ATACTTATGCTCTAAAGTATACAATAGTACAAAGTCTAGAGTAGTAACCTAGATTTTGCTAATAACTACCCATTCCTAGACCCTACCTAGCTACCCTACCTATACCTATACCTAGTCACGTGCTACCCTACCTATACCTATACCCAGTCACGTGCTACCCTATCCAAACGGTTTGGGTAGGGTACCTCGTGTACCCTACCTAGTTCCTACCCATTAGTCACGTGACTATACCTATACCCTACCCTACCCTACCCATCCGCCAGCCTAGGTAGTGTTAGCATGCGCAGCTGTACTTTAAGCTTTAATAGCACAGCCTCTAGGTTAAGTAGGACTAGGCTAGCACCTCTAAATCCTCCCTAGATATTACTTTCTATAATTAAGGCGTTAAAAGCCGCTTTAAAGCACAGCAAGAACTTAAGTTTAGTGATGCAAGTAATCTTGCTGCGCATCAGCCACTTAGCTTGGCAGCTATAGGCCTTCTTTAATAGGGCAAAACAGCCTACGTCAAGTAGCTGCAGCAGGTGCAACAAGTATAGAGGCATACACAAGGAAATAATCTTATATTCCTTGCAGTACTAGTAGAGTTTAACTAAGTTGTGGCTCTTGTAGCTGTCTAGAATAAGTAGCTAGTAGCTGCTAACAGTGCGCGCCTTTATATGCTTATTAAAGTACTCTAGCTACTTAACTCTAAGCTTGTTGTTAGTCTAGCTGTTGTTAGAGATATTAAGAACCTAGTTATTAGGTATACTAGGCTCTTTGTACTAGGTAGAGAGGTGGTGCTTGCTAGAGAAGATAATAATGGGGGGGATAGACCAGCCCTTTGCGTTAATACCCTAGATAATACTAGTCTACTCCTAGTCGCCCTGCTACACTGTCTTTAGTCTTCCTTAACGCTCAGAGCCTGTAACAACAGCTCCTGTAGATATAACGCCTATTATAGAGCTAGATTTATTAAAGTTATAGGTGTCTTTATCTAGGATACTATACTTAGCTTTAGTATTCTCTACTAACTAGAACTAGTCCCTAATAACCTTAGGGTCCTTACACAGGACTCTCTTGTAGTTGTACTTACAATTAAACTTAATTTTAAGCTCTAGCTAACAATTAACAAAGTTAGCAGCTTAGTTCTTGCTAACGTGGGGCTAGTGGCGCTCAGCAAGCAGAGAATTAGCCATATCCTCCACATCAGCAAGCCAGGGTGAGTATCCTCGCTCATCTAGCTTCAATACATGCTGGACAATCACCTCCTCCTTAGTACTAGTCAGCTTTATTATGTTAGGCTTGCAATTGCGTCGTGAAGAGATTCTAGCAAGTTAAGTGCTAAGAGTGCTTTAGGGCACGTTGTAGATTGCTGCAGCGCGTTACTAGAAGAGTGTCGCGTCTTGTTGGATAGCCTAGAGAGCAAGCTGTATGTCTGCTTTGTTTAGGTGCGTTTTCTTGTTGTTGCGTTGAGGCATTGTAGGTAGAGTAAAGTTTAATGTGGTCTTGGCAAAAGTGATCAGCTCGCTTGGGTGATCAGCTCGCTTGTGAGGTACGTTATAGCAATACACCAACTTTTCTTGTAATAATAGCTTTTAAGTGTGGCTCTACAGCTTCATTTTTCTATTACTAATATCTCGTTGGGGTGGGCTCATCGGCTGAACTGGCTCATCGGCCGCACGGCCACGGTACCGTGTCCGTGCGCGTGATGCGCCATTTTGGTACATGCACCCATACTTCACAACACCACAACTCAACGCCACGATGTCGCTACAAGAAGCCCTTGCTAACTGTAATTCTTATGATAAAGATATTCCATGGAGAAGGATAGCTAAACAACATGGTGTTGTGCGCTCAACGTTCACGCGAACTTACCGACGCGAGACACAGCCGCATCAACACAAGATCATTGCACAGCAACGGCTTACTCCACAACAAGAGGAGGAGCTTGTCTCCACCATGAGATAGCAGGCCTCAAAAAGGTCCTTAAGACTTAGAAGAATATAAGAATAAGAGAACAACCCTAGACTTCAACAAGCAACCCCTATAAAACGTTGGTGGAGCAGAATTCTGCTCCCCAAGCCGAGTTAAGAGAGCCCGCGCCTATGAGAGGACTAAACAATAAAACAAGGAGGCAGGAGAACTCAGAAAAGCCGAGATGGCTTAGCTGAGGCAGGCCAATAAGCTATACAAGGAGAAGATTGCTCAGGAGAAGCGTGAGCAACGGGCAAGGGAGAAGGCAGAGCGAGTCCGAGTAAAAACAGAGAAGGCCAAGGAAGTAGCTGAACGCAAGGCAGCCAGAGAGCCCCAAAAACACGATCGAGACGCCAGAAAAAGTTTTTAATTGCCTAATTAAGGTAAGCGCAAGGTCAGAAGACAATCGGAACCAAAAATGACAAAGACTCGTCGTGTAGTGGGTGTGCAGCGTGGTGCTCTTGCTGCAATACCTCTCCTGGTACCTCGCACCCACACTACGCGCAGCGGCCACATCGCCACTCTATATAATCAATCTGTGTGAGATAATACTGTCGCATAGGCCTATAGAAGACTCCACCAGGATATCTTATAATAATAGCTATTGTGTGTGACTCTACAACCTCATATTTGCAGTTGCTCGTTGAGGTGATGTGGCGCATCACGCGAAGTGGCGCATCACGCGCACGGACACGGTACCGTACACCTGTCGCAGCATTTCGTACATGAAGATCAATGATTTGTGAATGTCTAGAGTGTGATAACAAACTGCTGCAATTGGTATACGTAGCGTAGACGTACCTGGTATCATAGTAGCGATCGTAATCAGAAACCACCGTCCGCCGTAAGAACATATAGATACAACAGATTCGCACTCCTCGCTATGCGGCGCGACGAAGCCTTCGAAAGCGAAGACAGCAAGACAATAAGCAAGATCAAGACGCCTCTCCTTCATCCAACGTACCTCACCAACCGCCAGACTCCGTCAACTTCCGGCAAAACGCCAATCACAGCGCCTGTTGCCCCACACGCCACCTGCCGTCCGCAACGGTCTCAAACTTGACCCTGCGACCTCTTTGCTTGACCATTTGAACACCATCTGCTTCGAGCCACCGGCCCAAGTTCTTGCACTGACTGACATCAAATACTTCTAGATCTCTGCAGCCTTCTACCACAGCCTCAACACCTGTGCCTGTCACACGCACACAACCGCGTACAGAGAGATTCCGCAGCTCAAGCAAATGTAGTGATATACAACGGAGCGACGTGTCCGAGACTGCTGATCCGCAAAAAGCAAGATTGAGGTGTGTTAGGTTCGGAAGACCAAGAGCGAGGACTTCTGTCGCGGTGTCTGAAAGCGCACAGCAGAATGACTAAGAGAGGGTCAGCTGCGATCCAATGGGTCTCACTGCCTTGTTTGACTTACCAGGTCCAATTCCCTCAGCGCCTTGGCGGCATTTGTCAAGTAGACAATTGCGTTATCGGTGAGGTAGGTGCAGTCGGCGAGACAGAGCTTCTGCAGCCGTGGAAATGGGTACATACTCCAGTGCTGGAATCCGACATCTGTGATCGTCGTGCATCGTGTGAGGTCAATCGACTCGATGCGATTCGCTGCGTGAACGGCGATGTGCGCCATTGAGCGATCCGTAATGTGCTTACAGTAGCTCAGGGTCAGGCGACGTAGCTTTGGACAGCCGACAACAGTCCCAGGAGCCAGGGGCGTCGGTGCTTGTTGGTGTGCTCCATTTCTGCCCTTGTGTCGGCTGTTTGCGTGAGTCTGTTGTTGTGCTTGTGCCATTACCATCTGTGGAGGATGGTCTGGTACGACCCAGCCAATAACGCGTGCGAGGAGGTTATCGCCGACCTTTCTGCAGTTGCTCAGGTCAACCTCTTCTAAGCCCTTAGCTTTCTGCACCATGTCAAGGACTGCAGGGCCAGTAATATCCCACACACTCTTCATGCGCCATACTCTTACGCCGGGAGCGCATGTCTTAGCCAGCTCACCGAAGCCCTCGTCTGTGACGTGGAAGCAATTGCTCATGTTGATGTATCTGGGTCGAGTGCCAGCGAAGGGGCAGATGACATCTACTAATGATCGATCTGTGACCTTGCGATTGTATTTCGCAAGATCAAGGTCGTAGAGTATATCCGGGGAAGTCGAGATGAGCTTATGCCAATGTGACGATATTTGTCGCAGCAGCATCAGCTCGCATACGTCGAAATTCTGGAAGACCCTGACAAGGATTGAATCCGGGAGTAAGCCTCTAGTATATCTAATGGGTTTCCGTATCATGCGCGGGCGTTTGAAGTCGAATGCTGGTTCAGGCGGTGTTGACGTGTGCTTTGGTATGGGCGACGGTGCAAGAAAAGGTGTTCCGACAGGCGAAGTGCCAAGGGGCGAGCCAATCGGCGATGGATCTTTCGAAAAGCTGGTTTTGGTAGGACTGGAGGGTGAGTCGGGTAGTGGAGGGGCAAGTGAACCCCTTCTTGATCTAGACCGGACATTGTCTAGGTCGGTGTTGAGGAACGGATCCGGGTCGTACGGCTCCATCGTTTTCTCATCTCTTCGCGGCGGTGTGACTGGCAAATCGGCGTCAGGAAGGTCGCTGAAGGTGACAGTTGGAACGCTTTCCTTTCCCCTTGGGGTTCGCGGGCGCTTTGTGTCTGCAATGGCCAACTCATCAATCTTGGGAGTGCTCTCTGAATCTGACATGTGCACATCGTTGTCTTTGGCCATCTCGAGTCGCTCTTTGGCGACTGATTCCACCTGCCGACGTACATTTGGCGTGCACTTCTCCCACAACTGGCTGAGGGTATCTCCGCTAATCATAAGACACTCAACTGACGCCACTGATCGTACAGTAGCAGTGCGCCGTGGAGCTAGCGAGAGACTGACAACTTCACCGAAGTACTGCCCGGCCTTCAATCGAGCCTTGACCTCATTGAAATGCTCGCCGGCTGCGATCGACTTGCGCCTGCCCTGGTCGAAAGCCGTATGGCCGTTGTGCTGAGCTGGCTTGACGTTGACCACTTCAACCTCGCCCTTGACGATGAAGTAGACGTCGCGACCGGATGTTCCTTGCTTGATGATGTCGTAAAATGGTGGAAAAGAGCATGGCTGAGCGCGCATGCCCAGGAAGTGGAGAATCTCATCCGGAAGCTCGGAGAAGAGTGGCAGCTCTTTCAGTATTGACCGCACGTTCACGTCTAAGCTGCCAAAAGCACTGTTCGCTGCGGCCTCGGTCAAGCCTGGGCTCGGTGACTTCCTCTTCTTGTAGGCATTTACAATCTCTCCTTCGCGCAGTATGCCGCTCTCTGCCATGACCACGTCGCCGTCTTCACGATCACGCTTCCCAGTGATCTGCCGCACGGGAGGATTCGGTCGTTTGTTGCCTCCGAGTTCCTTCTTCTTACGCTCAAGGATCGCGAGTCGTTCCTTGGCCTCGTCCATGATAGCTCGCTGGACTTCGGGAAACCTGTGCAGCTCTTTCATGAGATCCTCCTTGTTCAAGCGCACTACCAGCGATCGCATGTTTGCTATGATGGTGGCGGTACGAGGGATGTCCATAAGGATGCCGATCTCGCCGAAGAAAGCGCCAGGCTTCAATTCAGCAAAAATACTCTCCTGGTCTCGTGATGTGACCCTCATTGCACCGCGCACGAGCCAGTACATAGCCTTTCCCGTTTCGCCTTCAGTAAGGACAGTGTCGTGTGTCTGGTACAGTGCTGGCTTGAGATGCATACCGATGGCAGCTAGGAAGGCGTCAGGGGCGGCCTGAAAGAGAGGGAAGGAGCGCAGGCGGTCGAGCAAATCGAGGGGAAGCCCATGAATGGTACTCGCAGCGAGCGGTGAAGGACGTATAGGTCTGGCAGGGTTGGAGTCGCTATCGAAGGCGCGTACCATGGCGAAAGAATCGGGCACAGCAGCAGTGCCGTGCCCGCGCACCGGGCCGCCAGGCCTGTAGCGGCGCATTGTTGTGTTGGAGGTGCTGTTGCTGGCTGGGAGCGACGCGTGCGAGGCCAGCGAACGGCGGTGTGTTTGCTGAGCGGGGCTCACGCCTCACCTAGACCGAGGAAGGAGCTCGGCAGAAGCTGGGGCAGGTGCAATACAGGGGCGTAGCAGACCTTAGACCATGGTGCGCGTGCGTGGCGTATGAGAATAACAAGCAGTGCTCGACAACGAGTCTTTTGTGAGCTGCGCGGCGCGTCTGCCCGGTGTGGGAGCTTCGTGGGTGCGAGGGTGGGGCGGGAACACAGCAAACTACAGAATAAGCAATGTGGTGCTAAGAATAGTCTTCGCTCTGTTGCCCTGAGAAAATGCAGTCACGTGCTGTGCAGGGCCTCGCCGCAGATGGTATAAAGATATGTCTGCCGGCGTGAAGCGTGACGCTGCTCGGAGAATGGTGATGGTGACGATGGATGCGACAGACATGGGCTCTTGGGTCTACCCAGGTGCGGGAACGAGCACTAGAAGATCCATAGAAGGAAAGAACCGCCTGAAACAATGGCCTGTGTGGCCCCTGCCATCACCAACACGAAGCGAAATCTGTCGCTATCAGGGCCGTGCAAAGCCCCCACGCCGCTGCCTCCTTGCGCAAGACACTGGTCCAATTGGCAACCATCACGAACTAACATTCATATTCAGCGCATCACAGCGAGGGCGTCATGTAGCCCTGTAGGATATCCAGATTATTTCGACCGAAGTGCCACTAGCGTTCACCCTGACCGGCGCCGGCCCTACGCTTCAGATCATGTCGCAGACACGGGATTCCCGTAGCGTCATTCGTCTGAAAGGCAACAACAGTTTACTCGCCAGGTCTATGATTTCCTAGCTCAGTTCGCACCTTCCTCGCTGATGTCATAAGTCGCGTGTTTCCCTACATGTCTTTTTGTCTTGGTGTCAGAATCCCATGAGCAGAGCCCCCAATGGTTTTTTGCCATTTACCCATGTCCAAGGAACGTCCAAAGTCATCACTGATATCGTAACAGTCGTCGTGAATCATCCAGATGCGCGAAACATCATCGCCGGTCCCTGTCGTTGTATTGCCGATGGTCATCATAACGGTTGTTGCGGTCGTCACGGTCATCGCTCCGCCTGCCTCGATCATCGCCGTACTTCTCTTCCCATTTCTCCTCACGCTCTTCTCTTCGTCCCTTGCGCTTATCCCACTGCTCTGAGATCTCCCTCGCACCAAGACCACCAACTACGGCTCCAGCAATGGTCGCAGCTGTATCGTACTTCTTGCCTTTATGCACTTGGTTGCCCAACAAGCCACCTATGAGACCACCTGCGACGGTAGCCGCGATTCGGTGCTGTCTATCATTGGATCGAGACCTCGATCGTAGCTTTGAGCGCGCACGGCGGTCGTAGCCACGATCCCTGCCAGGCCGTTGTGGCGACCATGACGAGCGACGTCTCTGGGGCTGTGGGCGGCGGTTGTCGTACTGCGGCTGTTGATATTGCTGCTCAGTGTCAGTGCTGCGCAACCGGAACAGGAAACAACCACATACCTGGATTTCATAACCTCGCGCGCTGTTGTACGGATCGCTCCCGCGCATCACCACTGCGCCTGCTTCTGGCCCTTGGTGATAGAAGGACTCGTCAGATACGTATCGCGAATCCCTTCGGTCATCTCCTCGGCGGTCCTGGTAATCGCGATCCTGGTAGTCGCGATCCTGGTAGTCGCGATCCTGGTAGTCGCGATCCTGGTAGTCGCGGTCTTGCCGGCGATCAGAAGCATACATCTCGCGATCCGAGTCGCTGTCGTCGCGGCCTCTCGAAGTGCCGTTCCTTGGGCGAGATGGTTCACCCGCAGGTGGTCTGCGAGGTCCTTGTCGCTGCTGGTTGCGGCCGTGTCGTTTATGCCAGACTGTGGAATGTTTTCCGACCTTTTCGAAGGCCTTGTCGTGGTACTTGTCTACAGCCTTATCAACACCTTCGAAGCCGAGTTCCTGCAAGCGCAAAGAACGGATCAGCAAAAGCAAACACAGGAATGCGTCACCCCGGATTTGCGTACCACAAGCTCTTCATATTCGCCCATGTCTTGCGGCGCCGAGAGTTGGATTGTTCCGTGCGATCCGTACGGTAGTGCCTCCGTCACGGTTATTCGGATGCAATTTTGGGGTGCTACTGCAGACTACAGGCCTTAATCCTACGCCTTGGATCCTGTTTAGTTATGACGTCGGCCAGCTTAGCGGGAACGAGCGACTTGGCTGCGGTCACTGCGCGAAGATCATTACAACGTCGAAAAAGCAAGCTGACTGACATCAGCACAACGCAAATGCTCTTGGACCAAGGATTCTGGCACAAATTAGAGCGAACTTCCCCTGTGCAGTCGTTGCATTCTATGCATACTCGCAGCACTCTCTAAATGAGTGCGACCCACCCAGCTTTCGTCTGTCAATCGAATCCTGGCACACCCCGTCACATGTTAACACTTCCGGCCTCAAATTTAGCATGACATCGCCACAAAAATTGCATGTGCGAAGATATGTCTTGCTGTGGACGCTTAGATCGCAGAATTTTTAATGCACTAAGGCACTTTGCTATTCATCACATGCAGACGTGCGCATATGCGTTCGCACCAGACGTAGGAACTTACAAAGCAGCTCTAGATTGATGGCTCCAAGTGAGAGCGACGCGTTCTCCCATACAGCAAATAATTCAACCACGGCTACGTGTGGACGAGATGGAAGGGTTGCTGGTACGGGTCTGATGCTGTTTTCGTTCGCTCCAACGCTACTCTTCTTCACCATGAGGGCTCACGATAGAGTGCTTCCTTTCACTCATGGGTAAAGGCCTCGCCCATTGCGCGGAGGTCGGAACAAATCCGTAAATTACGCTCTACTGAACGACGACGACACCGTCGTTCGCAGCCATGACTGCGCCAAAGCACCCGATCGCGCACCACTGGATCAAGCAAACTCTTATACCTTTCCTCCTATACGGGTTTATCTCCACACTTCGATACCCTGCCGATTTCTCGGGCAGGATTCAAAGCTCGGTCGACTTTGCCTTCGCCTTGCCAGACCACCCCAGCGACTACTTATCGAACGGGGTATCTCAACGCTCAACGCTTGTTTTACACCTCCCTCTCTCTCTCTCTCACTCACTTTTCCACATCACACCAGCATCTCCTTCTCAATCTCCTTTCTCCGCCCCCGATAGAACCGCTCGAGCATCCTCCGCCGCTCAGCCTGCGTACAGCTCTCCACCAGCAGCGCGAACTCGACCGGGTCGTCAAACCCCATGCTCCCCGCCATAGCGCAGAACTGTCTCCGCCTTACGCGCTCATCAGCCCTGTAGCGGTACGCGATGCGGAACTTGGTCTTCTGTGCACTAACCACTTCTCTGGAATCGTCGTCGTCTTCATCTTCGCCCTCCGAAAACGCCAACGGACGCGCATGCACGCCCGGACTCTGAGTCTGGCTCTGGCTTTGCGTGGCCTGGAATACGAGCCGCTTGCTCAGGTCGATGTCGTTGCGCAGCTCCATTGCTTGCTTGCCCAGTCGCGCTTCGACCTCTGAGCGCCCGATAACTTCGGAGTTTTCGTGCGTGTACTGGACACCTGCCTTGGCGAGGATGGCGTTGATAGGATCAGCGCCGAGTCTCTTCTGATATTTCTTGCGGCCGCGCGTCTTCCCCACTTCGCCACGGGTTGTGAGGGTGTCTGCGAGGCGCTTGATGCTGGCCAGGTAATCGTCGTCGGCGCCGAGACCCAGGGCTCTGTCGCTCAGGAGGTCGTTCTCGGAGTCGCTTGGGTGCTGCGTCTCGTCGAATTGGAAGTCCACGGCCTGCACACCTGCCCTACTCTCCGCGACATTGGTCTTGTGCATGATATCCTTGAGCAGGACGCTATTTTCCTGGAACGTGAACAAATTCTCCAGCCCGAACAGCTCGCCCTTCTTACTCGCTGTGTCCATGACACCCTTGAAGTAGCGCCGCTCTTCAGAAGCGTTGTACCCGATGTTGGCTTGTTGCTGTTTGTAGATCTGGCGCGCGTACACAATCTCCTCGATCGTGCCGGAGCTCACGAGGCGGAAGACTTCGACGTCCCTTGTCTGGCCAATGCGGTACGCGCGGTCCTGCGCCTGCAGATCATACGCCGGATTCCAGTTCGGATCCACGACAACGACCTTGTTCGCAGAGGTGATATTCAGCCCCACACCGCCCGCCTTGGTGCTGATGAGAAATACGAACTGAGCCGGGTCGGCGTTGAAGTCTGCCACCGCTTTCATGCGTTCGGCGTACGACATGGACCCGTCGAGATATGAGAAGTTGTACTTTGTGCCGTCGACGTCGAAGAGCCCGCGGAGCAATCGCAGAAGACGTACGGAGTGGCTGAAGATGAGCACTTTGTCGCCGTTGGCGTGCCAGAAGTCTAGCAGGCGGCGGAGCACTTTCCATTTCCCGCAGAACTCGCGCTGCGACTGGTTGAGGATGGCGTCGCGATTGCGCCACAGCTCTTGGAAGGTCGCGGGACACGCCGTCTCCAGGTTGTGCAGGTCTTTGGCTTGCTTATCTTTGGTGTCGGTCGAGGAGGGCACGATCAGAGCGATGTGGTTTGCAAGCTTTTGCAGCGTGGCCATGCAGGGAAACATAAACTTTGCCCATTTCTCGTCCGTATCGGGAATGGAGGTGTAGCAGCACCAGCCGCGGGGTTTACCGGATTGGCAGTCGCAGGGCTCTTTTGCAGTGCGGATGTATTCGCATTTATCGCTTTCGAGAAATGTTCGATAAGCGTCTGCTTGGGTTTCAGTGAGCTGGCAGAAGACGACGCGGTCGCTCTTCTTGGGGAGCTGATCGGCGATCAGCGTCTTCATTCGTCGGAGGAAAACGCTGGGGAGGATGTTGTGGACGAGGTCTTGGGCTCTGCTACGTGAGTCGGCGAGCTGTGCGTTCGTTGCATCGTGAGCCTGGCCCAACTTCAAAGGCAGACTGATCGTCTGCTTCCACTCCTGCGCCGATCCGTACGCACCCGGTCTCGCCCAGTTGAGGAGGTTCCAAAGCTCCTCATACTTATTCTGTATCGCTGTGCCGGTAAGACCAATGCGGCACAATGCGTTAACCTTGTTCATTGCAATCGTGACTTCGGACGCCTTGCTCTTGATCATATGGCACTCGTCTGCAACGACACAGTCCCAGTCCACTGTGTTCACATCGCTCTCGTTCCTACGGTAGGTGTCGTACGTCGTGATCATGATCTCCAGCATCCCCTTCTTCGCTGCCCCCAGCACCCCTTTGCGGTCTGCAGCATGGCCGTGGTACCGGAACACTTCCCACCACCCCCACTTAACCAGCTCGTCTTCCCAATTCTGCATCAGCGTGCCGGGACACACGATCAGGACACGCGGGTACCATCGCCCATCGCCAGACCGCCGGATCTTGCGCATGCACTTTGCATCGCGTTTGATAGCGGTCTTGCCGAATGCCGCAGTAAGGAAAGCAATGACCTGAATGGTCTTTCCCAGGCCCATATCATCGCCCAGTATAGCACCGGTCTGCTTGACGAAGCGCTCGTGCAGGAACTCGACACCCTCGACTTGGTAGTCGCGCAGCCATTGCGTTATGGGTGCTGGTATGACGCCCCCCGAGTCACGCAGTATGGTCTCCTTCTTCCTGCGCTGCGGTTTGACTGCTTCGTCTAGCTGGGGTTTCTCTTCAGTCTCGGAGTCTGAGAAATCAATGTCCGAGTAGCTAGGAGGGTAACGCAGCCCTGCTTCGTGCAATTTGTTGAGTGTCTTCTGCCGCGACACGACGTACGAGGGTATCGGATCATCAAGAAAGGTAGCATCGTCGGCCTCGTCAGCGACAGAGTCAGTACTGAAAGTGATTTCGCGCGTGTCTTGAAGCTTTGACTTGGGCGGCGGCTTGCGGCCCACAATGCTCGTTGCCACTGCTGCCTTCGACTTCTTCTGCTGGCGAATGCGGACGGTCTCCGCTGCGGCACGCTTGCGTTTGAGTGTCTTGCGGTTCTTCCACGCAGAGTACACGGCGAGCGTGTCTTCTTCGGACCACTCTGATTCTGGAGCTGGCTTGTCATCTTCTGTTTCCGAATGCGCAGGGGCAGCCTCGAACGCGTCGTCTTCGTCAGAGTGCAAATCTACAGCATCACTCGCAAACTTTGGCTTTCCGGTTCTCTGCGACTGACTTTGTGTTTGAGTTAGTGCTGGCATGTGTCAGTCAAGGTTGGCTTGTCATGCGTAAGGATCGATACTTCACCTTCAATATATTGTGAGAGGTCCAATTCCTTTCGAGACGATTCAACAGTGTCGAGTCCATCGTCACTCTCTCCGCCACTGACAGCCTCACTCTCAGCGAAGGACTGCAGAGCTCTGTGGTACTCTTTGTTGGACTTTCTGCGCGAGAACGACATGGCGGCTGGGTGGGACCCTGGAGGTCTTCACACGGCAGAACTTGCGCAGATTGTCCAGGTTTTCACGGCGTTTTTCTGACATATTTTACAGCTGAGCCGGAGTTGTTGACGGTTAGACGTCGCAGTCAAGACGACGCGCCACGCATGAGCGCGCTGGCACGTGAGCGCTAAGAGGGGCATCTGCTCGTTCCCGCAGCCAGATCCCTGCCCGTGCTCTGACCATCCAAAATATATCGAACCCAGCGTCATCAACTGAAACCACCGCAAACAAACCGCGACTACGCAACAACACTGCCTCTCACGCCCACGCCGATATCACACCAAAATAGCATTGGCTGCACGAAGTTCTCCATCCTCCCATAATCGAAGCGCCTCGCATCCTCCTCCACAATGCCGCTCGACACATCGACCTACTCCCTCGCCCTCCTGCGCCTCGATGGCAGACGGTGGAACGAACTGCGGCGCACACACGCCCAAATATCGACCCAAGCAGCCGCAGACGGCTCCTCGTACCTCGAAATGGGCAACACGAAGATCCTATGCAGCGTAACCGGACCGCACGAAGGGCGTTCATCAGGCCAACGCGGGGGCAGCAACGGGCGCGCGAAAATGGAAGTCGAAATTGCCCGCGCAGCATTCAGCGGCACCGACCGGCGGAAAACTGGGCGTGGCGAAAAGCGCACAAGCGAGATGGAGCACTGTCTGCGCGAGGCCTTTGGCGGCGTCGTGCAGGCGCATTTGTACCCGCACAGCACGATTACTGTTTCCCTGCACATTCTGAGCCAGGATGGGAGTCTGCTGGCTGCGTGCATCAATGCGGCGACGCTGGCGCTCATTGATGCTGGGATTCCCATGACGGACTATTTAGTCGCGTGCACAGCGGCGAGCAGCGCGAGTGCGACGGCCGCGGATAATGCGAGCGTGGATGATCCGCTGCTCGATCTGAATGGACTTGAGGAGCAGGAGTTGCCGTTTTTGACTGTGGGGTGTCTGGGCGAAAGCGATAAGGTGGCGGTCTGTGTGTTGGAGACGAGGGTGCGGATGGAGAGGGTCGAGGGTATGTTGGCGGTCGGGATCGAGGGATGCAAGAGGATGAGGGGGATACTCGATGGAGTCGTCAAGGGATATGGCAAGAGGTTCGGGTGAAGAAAGATGGGGCCTGAAATGCGTTGACTTGCAGCACCTGCCTGAGAGTAGAGGTATCTGAGCGTACGGTCTCGCTGACTGTGAGTAGTATTTGAGTCAAGCCCATTTGCGTACGTATGCAGGGGAGGTCTTGGTAGAACGGCTTCATGCAAGAGCGAGCGATGGGTGAATATGCAAGAAAGGTCGTGGCGCGACACCGGCACGACGGGCATAAGAAGTAAGACAGTCAGCCACTGTAGGGGTGAGTCTGAACGATCAGGCTCAAGGAATGCAGATTTGAGCAAGACAATTTACTGAGCCCCTTGTGTCGTCCATTACCCTTCACAAAGTATGGTTCGACGCACTTCTTCCAGACTACCACCAAAAGCTCACAGCTCGTTCTCACAGCTCATGCTCATTCTTCAGGGAACGAGGGATAAACTGTCAAAGTCTCCCAATTATATATTACGATCGCTTGTACGCTCACTATATCTGATTTCCTAACCCCTCAAAGCATACGCCTTCAGCGGGGGCTCAGTGAGCATCTTCTGCGGATACGCCAGCAGCAGCACGCCCGCAACCGGAATCAGCCCACTCGTCGCAAGCACATCGTCCAGATCCAACCCAGGCGCAGCGTAGCTTGCACATACTGCCTGCCTATTGATACGGCCGACTTGCCCTGTGGTTCCAGGATGCGTCAGCGCATCGACAATCAGCGCGTACGTCAGCGGATGGAACAGAGCGCCTGCGTGCCCGTAGAAACTGCCACCGGGCTGGTTGGCGCAAAAAGTCTGGACCTCAATGTTTGTTGCAGGGGCGAGACCAGCTGGTAAGAAGGCGGACGCGCCAGTGCCTTGTTGTGGCTGGACGATCTCGTCAAAGAAGCCGGAGTAGAACGTCGTTGTTGGGACAAAGGCCCTATCGCCGCCGTTCTTGCGCAGTGCCTGCACGTAGTTGCTCGTACGCTGCTGCTGAATTACACTGGGGTTGCAGGGCACGGCACCGATCTGGCTATTTGAACTGAGGCAGAGAGCGTTGGCAATGATGGTGCCGGCGAAGTCGGGCGAGACAGGGAGGAAGTCTTGCACGATGCTGCGCGTACTGGGCCAGTACTTCAGAACCCACTGAGTATCGAGACCGCCTTGAGACCATGAGACGACAGCGATCTTCTTGTTGGCGGAGACGGCACTGATGTAGTTGATCGCGTAGGCAATATACTCAGAGTTGATCTGCGCGTCCCCAATCATGGCGCCCGGGACGTTCAACCACACCGGATCGGCGTAGGATTGACCGGTGAGCAATTTGCGCAGGTTGTTTGCGAAGGTGGTGCCGCCGTATGAGCCTGTACCTGGAACGAAGAGAACTGGAGTCTTCTTGCCGTAAGTGAAGCCTGACGGGATGAAGATCGCAGCGCGGAGATGTGCCTCAGAGATGGAGTACTGGGGATCGTTTGATCCCCTCTTACTTGGGTAGATGTTGCCAACTGCTTTGTTGTTGTTGGAGATGCTATTCTCTCCAACAGGAAGGCCGCCTTGCAATGCGGTGTTGAGTGTGCCATCGAGGGCGGGGCCAAGGCCGTTGGCGACCTGTGTTGCAATCGCACCAAATATATTTGTTCGGGTTGGTGATGCCCAGACGGATTGTTGCTGTGCCAAGGCCTGCGAGATGGCAGTAGGCTTTGTCGTGGGTTGAATCTTGACCAGTGCAGAGTTGACAGCGGAAGGATTGCTGTTTGCTACAGCATTATCTACATCTTTAAGAAGACTGGTCGCAAGGCCGATAGCAACATTGAGCAAATTTGGAAGCAACTGTCGCTTTTCGATACTCGCAGTTGCGAACCTAGGTGCCGGTGTGATCTCCGGTACGGGGCCTGCCACTAAAGCCGGTGCGGGTGCAGTAAAAGATAGAGGAAGAAGGCCGAAGATAGCCAAAGATGTGAACGAACGCATCTCGAGGTGCCAGGTATGTAGCACAGTACCAGGAGTGCGGATTGAGGCTTACCAGGTACTGGTACCATGTTCGCGGGCCTCCGGATTATATGGATTACCTATGAACCATTCGGTCACGATTCTTCGGCCTGCCATGACGCCTGCATAGCCTTACTGTCATGGCGGCCTGAGTAGCTCGAGTCGTTCGTCGTCGTGGAAATAGCAATTAACTTTCCTCGGCGCATGTAGCGTGTACGGATCGACAAGATAATGTAGTCGATGACGATCACCTCTGGTCAGGTTAGCATCGCCTCCAGATCTGAACGGCCGTTGAAATTGGGATGCCATCATGCGATCCCGGCATCTCGTTGAACCGCGCCAAGTGTCGATACCGTCGCTAGTCCAGTAGTCGCCGAATCAATTAAGATCTCGGTGCAGCCGCATAGCAGTCCGTCTGTTAGGTACCAAACTGTGCATTCGGCACATCGTCATTAGTGCGGATCGTCTATGGAGGATGTCGGCAATTGCTGTTGAAAATCGCGCAATGGCTTAAGGACGCAGCTCTTAGTTGCTGTGCTATTTTTTAGGGAGATCCTGGGCGTACTGTCTAAGATCATAATGACGTCAGCAGGTCCAGCTCGTTCCTGCAGATCAAAAGCTACCGAAGCGGTGTTACAGAGAGTCTTCGTTGCTGACAATGTACGAGTAGAGAGCAAGGAGCACTAAGGGCAGAGGTCACAGTCGCAGATTTGGAAGGATCGCGTGCTGGGTGCATAGGTAGGTAAGACGCTTGGATCAACGCGCCAACGCGCCTTCTTCGACATCAACAATTAAATCTCATCCATACAGACGCTCTCTTTTGAGAATTTGCTCCCTCGCAGAGCTTGATGACCAGAATACGTCTTTCCATCGTGACCTGCACAATTGGTGCAAGCGAACATCTCAGTGGCGCACCAATAGCGGGGGTTCGTCCCGTGTCTGTTGAGCACGGCACTAACCTTTCTTCAGCCTCACGCTTCGCCCATTGAACTCATCAACTAATTAGGTATCTCGCCTCTTTAGGTTTTTGAACAAATAGCACCTTCTACGCGATATGAAGCGCCCAAAGTACGGCAACACGCCAAGATGTCGTCTTCACGCAGCACAACACCTGATCGAGGTATTTAGCAGCAAGCATGAGAACCGGTGTTCGCAACTCATCTGCACACTGTCCGGCCGACACTTGGTTGGATGTTGTGTGGAGGGCAGCGATCTGAGAGACACGGTCTGAACTTGATCAGGTTAACGCCTGCGAAAGGACTTCATGCTTTGCGACTCCAGATGGGAGACTGCTACTGACTGGCATAGCAGCCACCTTCACCGGCCCCTCATGACGAACCCGATCGATGCGCCGAATATGCCACATGGAGCAAACGATGTGGATAATGAGAAATCTATACAAGCAGCCTTTGCGCCCAGTGTACACGATGCGCTACCCACCGATGAGCACCCGTCAAAGAGCACTGGCGGGCTGAAGCAAGTGTGGAGGCGCTTTGAAAGACAATTAGTCGCGTACAATCTCGAAGCGCGCGGCATCCAGCGCGTAGAAGACCACGAGCGCCAGGATCTAAGAGCACTAGGCTATTCGCAGGTCGCAATCATGTGGTTTAGCGTCAATCTCGCGGCGAACAACATCACGTTAGGCATGCTAGGCCCAGCTGTCTTTGCTCTCGGATTCCTGGACAGTGTGCTGCTGAGCATATTTGGTGCCTTGGTGGGCTCAGTGATGGTGGCGTATATCGCGACGTTTGGGCCGAAGAGCGGGAACCGGACGATGATTTTCTCGAGATACAGTATGGGATGGTGGCCGAGCAAGATCGTGGTGGTGCTGAATATCATTGTGTTGCTGGGTTATGGGATGATTGACTGCGTTGTCGCGGGGCAGATTCTCTCTGCTGTGTCTGGCGAACGCATGTCTGTGGTGGTCGGCATCGTCATTGTTGCGGTCATTGCGTGGGCGATCACTACCTTTGGGTACCAGATCTTTCACTACTACGAGCGCTGGGCGTGGCTGCCGCAGCTTATCGTGCTGTGTATCCTTGCCGGCGTCGCGGGGCCACATTTCAACATCTCCGCCGAGTCGCAAGGTGATGAGAACCCGGATACCATCATCGGCAACAGAATCAGCTTCTTCGGCCTAACGCTCGCCGCAGCTATCACCTATGGCGGCGGTGCTGCCGACTACTTCGTCTACTACCCCGCGCACACCTCCTCGGTCTGCATCTTCAGCATGACCCTCCTCGGTCTGCTGTGCAGCTTCACCTTCGCCTTCATCTTAGGCATTGGGCTTGCGTGCGGGATGCTGATCAATACTTCCTGGGAAGCCGCATACAGCACCTCTCAGGGTGCGCTAATCATCGAAGCCTATGCGCCACTCGGCGCTTTTGGTTCCTTCTGCGGCGCCATCGTCGCACTTGGACTCGTCGCCAACCTCATCGTACCGACCTACAGCTCTGGTATTGACGCACAGATTCTCGGACGATGGGCCGGCGCGGTGCCGCGTGTGATATGGAATACGGTGGGCGTTGTTATATACACCGTCTGCGCGCTAGCAGGGCGTGCACATCTCGCCGAGATCTTCACGAATTTCCTTGCGCTCATGGGGTACTGGGTGTCTATCTGGATTGCGATCGTGCTGGAGGAGCACTTCATCTTTCGACGCAAAATGGGCTGGAATTGGGACTTGTGGAACCAGCAGAAGAAGCTTCCACTCGGCATCGCTGCCTTCATTGCGTTTGCGATAGGCTGGGTTGGTGCGATTCTGTTTATGGCGCAGATCTTGTACTATAGCCCTATTGCCCTGCTCGTCGGTACTTATGGTGCGGATATGGGTAACTATGTTGGATTCGCGTGGGCTGCGCTGGTGTACCCTCCTCTGAGGACGTTGGAGATCAAGAAGTTTGGGAGGTGAGCACCAGACATGACCGTCGTAAGTCACGACTGTAAGTGAGCTGCAAAAGAGTGATCCCAGGGGTGTCAGAATGGTTCCGGTGACACTGTGCACTCTAAGTAGAACGAGTGCAAAATGTTGTCTTTCGCTCACCACGCCTTCCTCGTATGCACGGCTCGGCGCCTTCACCTTGAGTCCTGGTCACAACTCATAAACCTTCGACTTCAACCTCAACGATTACCCTGATATCGTCCTCGCCCACGCATTGCTTCTATCCAAACCGCGCTCGTCATCATACGCTCGAGCGCCAACATGCCCTCCTGTTAGTATTCAGTTTATCATAACAATGTAATTAGCTTGCTAAAACACCATCCAGACGCCGACGACGACCTAATCAGCCTCACTGATGAGTACACCGTGACAAGCTCGGTATCCTCCGGTGGTGTCGCGACTACCTCCAGCAGCAAGATCGCAGCCAATCGCTGCAGCCTTATGAAGCGAGACAGCTTCTCTTACCTCACAGTCATGATGAAGGCGAAGAAGCCCTACACGCCAGCCTTGCCCCCTAAGCCAAGAGTCTCACTGTCAGTTGCAACCAGTGGTAAATTCAGTCATCGATATGAACCATACCAGCGTGCTGACTGTCTCCAGGCGTGCAGTTCGCCAGCCGTGTTAGCAATGAGAGTAGCATACTCTCACCGCTGGCGCGCCCGTATCACGCCGATGGCTCTGTTGCGGAGTACCTCCAGAACCAAGCTTGCTCATCCACATCTGCGGTCACCTCACCTACCACGGAATACAGTCAGCAGAACCTGCAGCGACTGGAGTCGATGCTGAAAGAGCTTGGCGACATCCAAGTCGAAGATGATGAGGACGACAACGCGACTGCCCAGCTTATACACTCAGAATTCGCTATACCCCCCCTCCCACCTAGATCCGAGCCACTCGCCGCGCTTCCTGTCCGCACCGGCCCTATCACCCCTCCTACGCCAGCCGAGTCGACCGAGCCTCAGAATCCCGAGGAGCCTGTCGTAAGAGTCGCCATGCACACATGGGACGCCATGGGTAGAGATGTGAAGGCACTCAAGGATGAGAAGCGGACACTGGAGCTTAAGATCGCACGTCTCGAGAAGCAGAGGCCACCATCAAGGGCCTACAGAGAAGAAGAATTCCAAGCGGAGATCGGTCATCTCAAATACCAGAACGAGCAGAACAAGACTCAGAAGGCTACTATGGCTCGCAATCTATCTCAGAAGGATGTCGAGATCAAGCAACTGCAGCTGGATCTTGGTACCACCAGGGAGGCTCTTGAGGCGGCGGAAAGCGCTGCTCAAACCTATGCCAACATCGCTGGAGAGCGTGACTACCTCCATTTCCAGCTGAGCGAGGACAGAATCAGCAGTGAGCGTCAACTCTCCAACTTGGCTGAGGTCAAGACTCGTGAAATCCAGGCACTCACGCGATCCGAGAGACTGCAGAACAACGAGCACAGAGCCTTGGCTGACACTCGCCTGGAGGCAATCAACACTTGTGTGACACAGCCAAATGACTTGAAGGAAAAGTACGCTGCCGAACACGACAGAGTGAATGAACTCGAAGACACCATTGAAGACCTCCAGGGTAGACTCAACAGAGTTAGCAAACTCCAGGCTGAGCTGAGCCAGAAGAGCAGCGAGTGCGACCGCTGGCGCACCAGGTATAAGAACCAGGAGAAGTTGGTCGAAACCTGGAAGCTGCAGATCGAGCGTGCCCGGAACGAGAATGAGTCTCTTCGTGGCGCCGCTCACCTCGTTAACCCTGTACCTACCTCCAAGCTCTCACCTCTTGTGCTCGGCTGTACCGAGTGCTACACGAAGAATATCAGCTGCGATAATAAAGCCCGTTGCCGCAACTGCACTGAGAACAACGAGAAATGCTCCAGATGGAGGTGCAGTCTCAAGCACCGCCTCGGTCAGTGTCCGACGGTCCCTTGCACGTTCCCCCATGAGGAGGATGGTTGGCTTCTTGCTCCTGAGCCTAGGCCCTACTGGTGAATGATGCGTGGAATGGATGGACAGATCTGCGGCATTGAAGTGTTGTTCAAAAAGCTTAGTCAGGTAACGAACAATCGATCTAACACATTGCTGAATAATTCCACGCTGATGTATGCCTTCATGATGCTAGATCCATCATCGGAAGACCCTCGTCTGCATCTCCATCTTTTCGTATTGATTTTCTCTATTCTCAAATCATCAAACCCCCGCGACCCAGCTTGGCGCTCCTTTTTCGGTAAATGCGTGATGGTCTGGCGGATAGAGGTGTTTGATAATCCAACGCGCTGAGAACTATGAGAAGGCTGCTTATGGACTGTATTTGGAGCATTGAACTCATAGAAATTGGCTGTGTGCTGTAACCAAAGTTGGGGTCTTGCTTCTCACTAGCTTGTTCGGGACCCTGAAGCCTCATGCAACGGGAATATACGCATGCGAACCATGGGTGGAGCTCCTCTGGAACGAATTCAATATCACTTTGTGCGCAAGATGGCACATTGAATGATTTTTATTTTCAAATTTCGACACGGGCAATGCTAACAGAGCTCAACCTTCGTGCCGTTTTCACGACTTGACAGAGCACACATTTCTCAACAACACATCGTATTTCTTCACGACCGTGTCAAAACACTTCTCCCGATCAGCAATAATGAGGTTCAGACCGGCTCTACTTCCCTTGGCCGCAGCATATACAGATCGTTCGAGAATTATCTCGCCATGCGTACAATCCCTATGCGCGGAAGCGCAAATACCAGCACTAGACCTTGATGCAGCTGAAATCCCGGAGAATACCTCCAGCCATGGCGATATCACTTCCTGGAGGTCTGTGGAACACTCGAAAGACTCGTTGGACTTGTCGCGGATGTCGTCGCCGGAGAATAGGTTGGAAACCGATGCACTGATCGATGCCCTTTGTGTTAGGGTCAAATCCCAGGGATACGGAGTCGCAAAAAGTATGAAAAAAAGAGAGGCTCACAAGCGGGATCAAAGCGACAGTAGTATCGAAAAAAATTCGACTTCATCTACGGTCACTAATGACGCCCACGCCGATGGTATGGTTGTCGATCATGAGGTCGACTTCATCATTGAACACCTCTCCGGATCACAGACCAAATACCCAGTGTATACCTGCCATCACACAGTGGACACAGATTTCATGATCCTCTCGCGGGGCGTGCTAGAAGAGCTGGAGAAAATCGTTCTCAGCCAGGACGATAAGCTGCGTATGTCCAGACTTCGGATTATACAGCTCGAGAAGGCGCTGAGGAGAAGTGATCAGGACAGAGATGCTGCCACTAAGTCGATGCACATTGCGCAGAACGCAGAGGCTAGAGCTGTATCCACCCTCGAAGTCGTCGCGCAGGAGAAGAACAATGCACAAACCGAGATCCGACTTTTGCAACAAGCGCTTCAGCTTGCACAACGCGGGTACAGCGATGCCAAAGAGGAGATCAGAGCACTTCAGAAGGATCTCGATGGTGCACTTGCGGACAGCGACAGATCTCACGAGAGGATGGAAGCCCTGCACGGCGTACTGAATGCAAACCAGATCGAAATGATGAACATGAGGAAGTGCCACGAGTTTGCGAAAACGCAGTCTAAGGGCTATCTAAGAGCGATGGAACATTCTATCGAATGTCATGAGGCTGCAAGATTACAGCTACTTGAGCAGCAGATTGGGCATGGGAGATTGGCGGTGGAGAAGATTGCGCAGGTCGAAAGGAGGAATGCGGAGTTGGAGGAGATGTTTGCTGTCAATATGCATGTCACGCAAGAGACAAGTAGAGGGGATCTGCACCTTGAAATGTCAGCTGCAGAGTCGTCCGAGACGGTCGTTGGGGAAGATCAAGATGAGGCACAAAGGAGCGGATGGGGCTTAGGTTCGTGGCGGGTGCGAAACCGGAACGGCATTGACGATACTGAAAGCGGGCCATATCTGCAGACTGAGATTGATACTACGGATGAACCTCCTAATTCAGCTCAGCAAAACATGCGTGGGAGTACTTGGGGCGTCACGAGTTTGAGACTGCGGGGTGTTTGGGGTGGGAGGACCCAGGAGAGTATACTGCCTAGGTGGGCGACAGGGTCCTAGGACTTTCGCGATGTAAGTAGCAAACAAGGACAGTGAATGAGGAAAGTCGAGAGAAATCGTCTAGTAAGCATATACAAGGTCTAATAAACGATCCTCTGTCAGCACGCGGCGATAGGTAAGTGCCACAGGGCACATAGAAAGTGCAAAGCGTAGCCAATAACGCTTGCCTAACTCGGCCACTTCTTCGAAAAGTCATGCATTTTTTCTTTGTCAGTGCCCGGACTATCGACATGGCATGGCAGTTGCAATGTTCAATATGACCACAGTGAAGGACCCCGCCAGAGCCAAAGGATACGTACTGTTCACTATCCATTCTACTAAAAGACGCTACATTGGGGTATATCTCGTATCAACCATCCACCGTCACTAAGAGCTTATAGCTTTTGGTTCTTCTCGTCCCTGATACTATAAGCCTCAACGCTCTCTGCATCGCCCTGCGCCCTGCCGCCCAGGTATTTGCTCGTCTTAAGGTTGTTGAGGGCGTCTTCCTCAGCATCAGCCTTGCGGAAGGTCAGGTAGAAACCGACACCGCCAATAGCAGCAATGACAGCAACGGATCCGTAGTTCCAGACGAGGAGAGGGTCATCAGAGAGAGCGACAAGCGCCTGACCAAGGGCAGCGGAGACAGCGGAGGTAGACAGTGCAATAGCCTGAATGGTGGACTTCATATTGGCAGGAGCCTTGGTGTATGCGTACTCAAGCTTGGTGATGGAGGCGAGCACCTCGGACATACCGACCAGACCGTAGGGGAAGACCTGAACCCAGACCGAGATGTCAGCGCTGCAGTCCTGGCCGGCCTTGGTGAGCTCGTTAATCCGGTTACCGCAGGGGCTCATCTTGTAGATGTAGTACTGGGTAACGCAGGCAGAGACCATGGCAAGCGAGCTGAGGGCAAACCCAGCGGTGATCTTCTTGATGGGCGAGAGGACGATACCAGCCTTGCGAAGGGCAGGGTAGACAATGAAGTCCATGATGGGGATAACGATGACGATGAAGATTGGGTTAAGCTTTGAAACAATATCGTTCGGGGTGTTGCCCAAATTCATCGTGCCGGCTTGAGAAACGAGGTTGTTCATCATCTGGTTGTAGGCAAGCCAGTACAGAGGGTACCAAAGGAATACCTTGCAGGCAAGGACACCACGGCGGACTTCGTCAACCCACTCGTCATCGAAAGTCATGAAACTCGGGAGGGTCTCACCACGAGCGCGTAGCTCACTGGGCTTAATGCGATCCCAGAAGTGAGGGTCCTTTAGGATGTTCTTGCGGTCGCTCTTCTTGCTAGCGAAGCGGATGAGTTTCCAGGCCTTACCCATGACGGAACCAGTGGGAGGCGTCAGCTTGTAGGTGTTCTTGAAGTATACAAGAATCAAAGGGCAGAGCAGGTAGCAAATGGTCGGCAAGGTGAAGCTCAGCCAGAAGCCTACAAAGTGCTCGGAGTAAACCATGGCGAGGGAACCAGTAAGAGAACCGGCGTTGATGAGCAGGTAAAAATATATGTAAATTCGCGCTGTGGTGGTGGCGGGATCAACGATTTCCTTCTTGCCGTTTTTCTTGGTGCGGACGTAGGCCTTCTGGTTCTTGTACTGCTCGGCGATAAGGGGTGAGATGTTCGACTTGAATCCACCGGTGCCGACTCCCATCACGACGAGACCAACGGAGAAGATGCCCATGGCAACCTTAGGCTTGACGATGACCTGAGGAATGGCCGAGAAGATCAAGATAACATGACCGATGACGGAGATGATGTTGGCCCATTGGATAGTCTTGTAACGGCCCCAGTATTCGTCGGCAATCCAGGCACCGAACAAAGGTGTGAAATAGGACCAGAACTGGTTGACTGAGGTTCGTTAGTAGTGACTCTGCAGCACTGATAGAAAATACTCACAAGTGGTCATTCCAGTTGACGCTCGCTGTCCCATGTTGAGCGCACCAGATCCGGGCTTCTTAAGGAAACCGGCGCCAGTCGTGCTGCCAGGAGGAAGCTTCTTCTGAATGAAGTTGACGAATACGGCGGATGTACCGTAGTACGAGAAGCGTTCAACAAATTCGACGCAAGCAACGGTCCATGCTGTCCAGGGAATGCGACCTGCCACGCGAGGAAGAGTCGCCCACTCCTCCTCGGTGGGGAAGGGGCCTAGCAGCCTCTCGTCCTCGTCATAAACCGAGTTGGATTCGCTGACGTCGAGAGGGATCGGGTCGAGGGCAGTCGCACCCTTAGTGATCTCGAGACTAGTCTTGGTGTTGACGATGGCAGCCATCCTGGCGATTGTCAATTGACGCAGGAGGGATTCAGAGTAATGGAAAAGATATGAGCAGGCGCACGATAACGTACTCCTCAGTCCCAGTAAGACTCTGTGTGCGAAGAGGTGAATGCCAAAAGAACCCACACAATTGGTACCTGGTAGTCGAAGCTGGCGGTACTCCCCTTCATATAGGCGCAATACAGAGGTCCAGGCCAGTACGGTAGCCCGGGGTTGCACATGGATTCCACAGGCGACACTTTAAACTACTCCACCTTCCAAAAGCACATCGTTCGGTACTCTGGCCTGTTATCACCGGCCAATCACTGCGAAGATGTGCCTAAAACATTGAAACCGTGCCTCTTGCAATCGAAGGATCACAGAAGCGTTTCCTTCGCTCGATACCGTTGCTAAGCGCGTTTCTTACAGCACCGAAGACCGTAAGACAAGGCCAGAGTGTATTGAGGCTCCCGGAGTTACGACGAGAAGGGGAGGAGGTTATGAAAGGCAAACGCCAATCCATGCGGCGATGTCGCCACGTTCCGCCATTAGAACGTTCGAAAAAGAGTCTCCAAGCACATGCTAAGATGGAAAAGATAAGCTGGGCTGTGATAGTAGAAGCTTCCTCCCAGCAGCAAGAGAATACCCAGGCCCGCCGAGGTTTTACGCAGTGAACCTTCCTCATTAAGCCGCGGGCAAGAAAAGCCAAGGGCTTGGTACCAAAGTGGCAGGATAACGGAGTTGCATTGTGACCACCTCCAACCAGAAACTGAACAAATGCTCCCTGAGAATGGCTGCGGCACAGCCAACGGCGTAGAATTTAGCGTGACGATGGTGTTGTGCCTGGTAATTGCGTGTGGCTAGAGAGGGGAAAGAACTTCGCGTTTGGTGCACAGACGCTGCATAGATACCTACCGGTAGGTACCTAGCTACACGGTATCTCTTTGCGGGGAAGAGTGAGTGCACAACATCCTCTGATTATCAATTCTCACTTGGCTATCACGCAGCAGATTGAGTGGCGATCCTGGCAAGACTCGTCTGCTGCCTCTCAACACATCGATACTTCATTCTACTGATAAGGCTGATAATAGCCGAGCTTGCCGACCTCATTCTCACCCAGACAATTTTCGTATGCCGCTCCTTGGTATTCTCGAAGCATCGCACACGCCGAGACCCCTATCTGCCACCCTCGGATACGGTATTGCAGAATGAGGAACATCCCTAGCCAAGTTCTGGGCTTTGTATATGCCACCAAGCATCAAACGACCGGTTTCAAATGCATCTTGTGGCTCCCTCGCACACTCGCGTCTCAAAGCTGAAGCTGATGGCAAGATTGTGTGCCACTTGCGATCTATCATCTCCTGCCATCGACCCTCGTAGAATAGCTGATGCAAAGCCTCTCTCTCCCGATCCCGACGTAAGCTATATATGATCAGCTATCTTACGGACATACAAACTGCTGATCGTTCTGCTTACGGTACTTGACAATAGGGTCCGCTGGCTGAAGTTGTTGCTGGCTTCTTCGCTCGACCGCATTCTCCCACCCAATACCCAACGCAATCTCGAGCGGTGGCCATGCCGAATTTCACGAATGCATAGGATATGGTCCATGTGTCTTCGCATGCTGTATGAAAATAATTGCGCAACTTTTGATACTCATGCGTATCAATGCTGGCTCGTTCGATCCCTGTGGATCAATCAGCGCTCGGTAGAGTCGTTCGAAAGTATGAAAGGGTGTGGTCGAGCGGTGCTGAACGTCAGCTCTCCGAACGTGGTGCCTCGCGCTCTGGACGACTCTGTACCATGCTCGGTCCCAATCTCTTCCCAAAATGCCGTACCTCCTCGAGAAGGCGCTGAGCCGCTCGACTGAGACGATGTTCATGCACTATCCAAATTGGCGTGACAGCCAGGGATTGATGAGATGAAACCTCCGGGCCTCGGTGGTCGTCTGAGGGCAGCTACGAATACGTCTGCATTATTGGTGGGTTATGGTATTATTCGACCGCTGACTCAAGGTTCAGGGCCGTGTTGCACAGAGAAATGTAGAGGAGATGCTGGCGCTAATAGACAATTGAGATTTCACTTATCAATCCTGTACGGAAAATGTCTATGTAGTTAGTGTCACTCTATTGCGAAGGGGACCCAGAATATCGAAGGCACCGAAGACTACTTCAGCTCTGTGACTGTCCCCTTGATGGCCTGCTTCTCTTCCTCCGTCAGAGTTATGCCGAACCACTCCTTCAGCACTCTAATACGGGTTGCCTCCGTCTTGCATTCCTCCACAATCTTCGTCTTACCACCAAGATTCTCTTTCACAACCGCATTGACCAGCATGCGCTTTCCATAGATCTCCTGGTCACCGGATCCATCCTCCTTCTCTCTTCTCAAGAACTTGACCAGCAGCTGAGTGACCGTGTGTTGACTATCAGGCGACGTTCCCGTGAAGTGATTGATGACATGAAAGTCAGCCTCCATCGCCTCTGTCTCTGAGAAAGCGTAGAATGAGTTCCAAGGCATGTCTTTCCCATTACGGTACTCGTAGATCCAGAGCCTACTAGCTTCTGTGCGGTGCAGTTGCGTAGGGATCCAGTCATGGATCAGACGAACTTCCTGGCCACCGAGATTGACCTGCGGCTTGTTGTGAACGAGCGGCATGGGTTTCGTAGGGCCGTCACCACCGAAGCCAACATCCATCGTCCATACCTGGCCGTCGGACAGCGTGATGATGTTCACGAGGTGGATCCAGCCAGGAAACTCCCCTGTGGGAACAGAGTCGATTCGCGGCCTGGTACGGGCTGGACCAAGGTAGACTGGGAATTTCAGGAACCGGAGGACGTGGTTGAGAAGGACATGGTTGCCCATGCAGTAGCTACCACGGCCGCGAGCTTGCTTGACGGTCTTGTCGAAGTTGCCGAGAGCGGTGATGTCGACTCTGTGGGTGGGATTGTAGTGCAGCCAGAGATTATCGTACGGTATTGCGGCAATCATGTGAACATGAAGCTGCGTGAGGAAATGGATATCTTCTGCTGGATCTTGCAGCGGCTGATGTTGCCGCAGGCTCGCTGGGAAACCAATGTAATCGTAGAAGGCATCGATGTGGGCCTGATTCAAAGCAGAGGGGGTGGCCATGATTGCGATGGACTGAAGAGCTTCCCAATGCCGTGGTGAATGTTTGCAGATTAGCATCGACTGCACTCTCGTTCATTGAATGACGAATCACTGCGTGAGTCAAACACGTCAACTTTTCAAGCACGTTGTCGCCTGCGTATCAGGGCGGGCACGTCGTGTTGCGCGACGAGCACTCACTTTCTATTTACATTCATGAGAACAGGAGCATTTTCATTAATCTCGCAGCTAAGACTAGCATGACAACACGTAATCTGGCGTGGGTGCACTTCAGTCGGTCGTGGTGTCGATGTTCTGAGGCTCGCTCTTGCCCCACTTTGGGAAGGCGCAACGTTAGCGCGTTCGCTAATGAGGCAAGCACTGAGAATATTGACATCGACGGCGCTTCCTGAACTTTGCAGCACCCGAATTCTCGCCCTCCACTAACCACATCATACAGTCAAAATGGCCTCCAAGCGCGGGTATGTCGCGACTGCATGATGCTCAACGAGCGACTACTGACTTCTGCAGACGTGGTTCTTCCGGTAACAAGCTGAGGATGACCCTCGGTCTTCCTGTGTACGTCCAACCCGCCCGCGACCGCTCTCGAATCCCCGCGCAGAACGAACAACGGTCGTGTCGTGCATTTATGAGGATTGCATGCTAATATGATTACAGCGGTGCCGTCATGAACTGCTGCGACAACTCCGGCGCCCGTAACCTGTACATCATTTCCGTCAAGGGCATTGGTGCGCGCCTCAACCGCCTGCCCGCTGGTGGTGCCGGCGACATGGTCATGGCTACCGTCAAGAAGGGAAAGCCTGAACTCAGGAAGAAGGTCATGCCCGCCGTCATTGTCCGCCAGAGCAAGCCTTGGAGGCGAGGTGACGGTGTGTTCCTCTACTTCGAGGACAACGCCGGTGTCATCGTCAACCCCAAGGGTGAGATGAAGGGCTCTGCCATCACTGGCCCCGTCGCCAAGGAGGCTGCTGAGCTGTGGCCCGTACGTTGCGCCGTTCTTGAGGAGGGGAAAACTCGGCTAACAGATGGCAGCGTATCGCGTCGAACTCTGGTGTCGTCATGTAAAGTGTCTTTTTTCTGCTTCTCCAACATTTACGGGTCTACGGGAACGGCGAAAATGCATTTACAGGTGGAAGGATTGGAAGCGGACATTGCGCCGCATAGCAGTGCACGGCCTTCACAATACCAGTCAAATGAAGAATACGATGAACACACCAACTCGCTTTCCGCGCTTGCACCGACTGGACGTGATGGACATGATGACAGGGTCGTCGAAGTTTGGAGACAAGCAGAAGAGGCTCATGGCCTGATTTCGCCAAACTGACATATTTAGGTCGCTCGACTAGCACGAAGTACGGTCGCACGCCAGCAGCGCTACATCTTCCTCGACGACGACATCCTGCGCCCACCTCGCTACGACCATCGACTCAGCCTTACGCTTCTTCCCACCCGAGAACTGTAACTTCTCATTCCCAACTACACCAGTCGTAACCTGCCCGGTACTCGGCGCTCCAATACCCGCGACTGTGCCATTTCCACCCTGCACAACATTCGAGTAACTAGACAACATTGTCTGCACGCCAGATACAAAACCCTGCCCGTCAAACGCGCAATGCCCGCCCTGCGGCGTGTTATCCACAGTCTGCAGCTGATTCACCTGCGCCGTGCTAAGACCCTGATCCGTCGCAATCTTCTCGTATGCGCTGACTGCCTGAGGGATGCTCCCTTGCAGCAGCTGCAGCTCCGACTGCGTGGACTGGAAGTGTATCCTTGTGCTCGCGATCGCAGCAGGATTTACGACGGCGACTTGAGGCGGCATGCCACCGCAGTTCAGCTCTACGGCCGAGGGAGCGTAGTTCTGCATCTGCGCTGGCACAAAGAAACCGCTCATAAGCAGGCTCCCGCCACTGACACCGCTGAACACCATGGCGCTCATATTCACCGCCACACGTTGCGGCAGCTCGTTCTGTATCCAGTCATTCACGGCCTGGGCGTGTGCCACGCCGTCTGTGCGTTGCAGTCCGCTGCCGCCGCCCCAGAACAGGTTTGGGTTTGGAGCCAGGAGCGCAACGCCCATGGTGTTCGCTTGCACGTTCTGGTTTGGCATGTCGAAGAAGGACTGCCCACCATCGCCGTGCAGGAGCACGTTTGCGCCCATGGTGCCATTGCCGCTTGTTGCTGCGGCACCTGGCACGCCTGATGCAGGTAAGAACTGGTCTGCTGGCGCGGCGATCTTGAAGCGAATGGGTAGGCCGCTGTTGAGATAGTCAGTACTTTTGTCTTCTGCTTCATACTTTGTGCTGATGAACGTACTTCACCATGACCATATCATCCAAGATCATACTCCCATCCTGTGCCTGGGTAATACCCATCGGTATCTTCGCGGCTTGTTGCTGTGCCGTTGCTTTCGGTTGCCCACCTTTGTTGCGCTGCGGAGAGGGTGCTGCGGCGACCAAAGCCAGCAGCGACAAAGAGACAAGCTTGAACATTGTTGATACGAAGAAGAAAACGACTAGATTAATGTTGAAAAGGCGGACCGGCCGTGAATAAAGTGAAGTAGATATCAGAGAATGGAGTTGATTGAGAGAGGGCGGGGAGAACTGCACAGTAGTACTCGAGAAAGCAGCCCGTGGGGAAGTTGAAAGCATATGCAAGACACCTTGGCTCGCGCTCACAGTCATGCTCCACCTTGTAAGCTCGAAGTCGTGAGACAATTGCGTAAATCAAACATGTGTGAGTAGCCAAGTCATCTGCCTGTGGATGATCAAGGCTTCGCTATGCTAAGTCGAGCTTGACAGCCGCTGGATTTTCATGCCAGTTGGTCGCGTGCGGCTTGCAGAAGTAACATGTTTACGGTTGTGGTGCGTGGTTGGTTTGGGGTCGTTTTGAGTGGGTTTCGGGGTAGGTCTTGGCGAGGGGTGGTGCAAGAGGGTATGTTTAGGCGATTCGAGGTAGTCTAGCGCTACTGCGCCTTGAGAGAACCAACTCTGAAATATGTTGTTGATTCTGTGCAGGTGATTTACGCGGTGCCCGTATATGCTGCTATGTGCTCGGATGTCTGTCCTGACAGATTGCCTTTCAGCATCAGTGCTTTGCAAGACTATATGCGAGATTTCAGCTCGTGGTCACAACCGCTCAGGATGAGGTAGGCCGTTTGTGATGCTTTTGGGTGATACCAAGCCATTGTGTTGATCTTCATGATTTCTGAAGGTCTTCTATTGCGGGTACGAGTGACGCAAACGTAACGTGCTTCAGTTGGCCAATGTACGATGCTGAGGCATTCGAAACTTCTAGTGTCTTTTGGGAAATGCAAATACGATGAGACATCGACGAGCCGCGATATGTCCAATTCATTTCACTCGCCTAGGCGAATCGTCAGTCTGGAGACTAAGCTGTGAGGTGTGGCGGAGAAGCTCTCGGGTAACAGAAAAACCCGGCGACAGACAACACCTATGAGAAAGAATGGGGGTATTCATGAGCTATTTGCGGGTGCCCCGTAGCCTAATAGAACTTCTGGTGACTGTAAGTATTTTGCTGAATGTTGCACCTGACCTTTTCTGCGACACGGCCCGTGCCCTGAACTGAGGGAGGTGCTGCAACAACACGGCATCCTTGTCATTATTTCCACTGCTGTTCCACCAGCATCGATGTCCTCGCCATACGACAGGATAGCGCATCCACCTAACCCCACAATAACGGTCGATAGTTTGCCAATGGCTGACGGCCCGCAAGACGTCGCTCGCGGCCCCACCTGCAACGCGTTCGTGAGGGTTTATCCAGGACGCGCGGCACAAGAACGCTGGGGAATATTCAGTCAGCACTACCTTCACACCATGAACGCCGACTACTTCTTGACAGCGTGTGCTATTGGACTAGAAGCAGAAGAGGGCCACCGGGTAAACACGTGAAATACATTGCTCTACGAGACATGCTGCATGCGCAAAAGAACCCACCAAACATCCCTGCGGTCCCATCTACTGCCGACCTGCTTGCGCCCTTCACATATCGATCCACGTCATTCTAAAGTCATCCCCTCAAATGCCGACTTCCTACCCCGATTGGGGTGGGCTCGACGGTGCAATGCTTCTCAGAATGACGGGTACTTGACCGAGGCTGGTGTCATTCCAGTAGAGTTGGTGGGTACGATCGCCGACCTTAAGTGCGTACCAGCTTGACTCTAGCGTTCCATCTGATCCGATGAGAACAGCGGTCGACCCGTAGAAGAAGAAGCCGGTCTCCACAGCACCATCAGTAGACGCATTACTTGACAGGAATCCAATACGCTTGTCCGTCGCAGTGGTGTCCGGAACGTAGAAGGTCACATTCGACCAAGTCGCTGCAGTGGAGTTGGTCAACTGCGTGTTGTTGGGATTGCCGATCCAGACATCGTCAGTTCCAAGAGAGACTGTTCGTCGTTAGCACAGAGCTGGCAGGCGAGGGATGTGTCAAACTTACAAGCAACGGTGGCGGCATCGCTGCTGTTCGATTTAGCGGGTTCGCCAATGTATGCAAATCCTCGAGGGTGTCAGCGGCGTCGGATTGGGCGAACTTTTCACTTACCGTCTGCGTAGAACAAGGGAAAGCCGCCCAGGCCATCGCCGTATCCGTACAGCGCGAAGTTGGAGGGGACGGCACGCTTCTTCATCCCCAGGGAAAGGAAGGGAAGCGTGCTAAGCACGGCAAGGCGAGAGAAGAACATGCTTAATTTTCGATTGAAACGACTGGATGGTATGCAGACAACACCTGAAAAGAAGTGAACGAGTGTAAGAGCAACTTGGTGCAGTGTCAAAAAAAGAGAGATACTGTGGATCTTGATGAGGATTTATGGAAGCGCTCACTGACGGCCGTGCTTTTGTCCTCATTGAGCACATCCTCCAGGTGGACATGGGTGCGCTTTACGCAAGCATTCTTCGTCACCCTTGAGGCTATGCCTTCCCACCATGCAGTTCGTATTTTTGGTATCCAGGGAAGACGTCTCAAGCAAATATACGAATCGGCCTTACCTATCAGGAATTAAGCAGCACGTACGTCTTGGCAAAGTTAGCATGTACCCTGAATGCGTTTCAGGCAAAAACATCGGCCTTACCTATCGTGAACCAAGCAGTTCGTACCTCTTGGCAGTGTATGCTTGTCGAAACTTGTCGACCGGACCAGGTGAGCCTGGGTACGCATGAGGCAACGTAATGCCTGAGGTGGAGATCCGGGTCTGTGCTCCTTCACCCGCCACACTATTATAGTCGTCATCTACCGAACAGGGATACCCTCGCTCGCACGGCTCTTCCCGACGAAGCTACGAACATCCCGTGGTATCTACATCAGTAGATTAGGTGGGAAATTGAGTGGTTTTTGCTCAGGGACAAGGTATCGAAACCTTAAAAGCTTTTAATAGGGCGGAAAGTCAACTAGTTCGCATCTGAGCTTTTCCTATTGGCATAAATGACCTAACCCCTGATCGCCATTCTCTATACACTCCTCATGCCGCACACCACATTATTAGCCAGGGGCATAGGTATGGAGCTTTGACCCACTCAAGGAAGTTCACGATCTTTGCCCCACTCGATTTTTCAATGCATCGTTGAGAGCAGAATGGGTACCTGGAGCCGACACAAGATATTGCCGCGTCATGGCGTTCCGATATGCAGCCGCTGAAGCAGAATCACCTTCGAGATGATCGGAAGCTCATGTCAGAATTTGGCCGACAAAGGAGCGGGCGTATGCAGCTACGAGGGCAGTGCAGCGATGCTATGGTGAAAGATTGCATAAGAGGTTGCAGCTCCTCAGGAATTATCATCCAGAGCAGCACATTCGTTTCTGTCGTTACTCGAGTCTTGCACTATCTCTTCCGTTCATTTTTCCACTGTCTTTTCGCTCTTTTCGAGCAATTACTTTCGCTATGTCCCTTCGCTATTGGTTCAGCGCTGCTGCAATGCTCAGCACAGCGCTGGCACACCCTTCGACTTCGAAGCACCACTCGCACCCCGCCCGGCTGTTGTCAAGCAGAGATGTCTGCTCTGGTAACACCGCTTCAACGCGTTCGGAGTGGTGCGACTTTTCGATCAACACCGACTATACTACTGGTAAGGATCTAGACTGCGTGCAAAGACTCAGACGACTAACGAGCCACTATAGAGGCCCCTGATACTGGAGTCACCAGAGAATACTGGCTGACCCTCGACGACGTGACTGTCGCTCCTGATGGAGTCTCACGCTCAGCAATGGCTGTGAACGGGTAAGTGGAGTACACCTGCCATTTTGGACAGGCTGACGGTCTCCAGCACCATCCCTGGGCCAACTCTTTTTGCAGACTGGGGTGACACAGTCACGGTCCATGTGACCAACAACTTGGTCGACTCCAAAAACGGAACCAGTATCCATTGGCACGGCATCCGCCAGAACTACACCAACGACCAAGATGGTGTTGTCTCAATTACGCAGTGTCCCACCGCACCCAACGACACAATCACGTACACTTGGAAGGCCTTGCAGTACGGTTCGACTTGGTACCATTCCCACTTTGCTCTGCAGGCGTGGGAAGGTATTTTCGGAGGTATTGTCATCAACGGCCCTGCTACGGCCAACTACGATGAGGACCTCGGTATGCTCTTCTTGAACGACTGGGACCACCAGGTAAGTCACGACTCTTGTCTCATGATACTGTGACCTCTTAGCTTACAAATTAGACTGTCGATGAGCTGTACATCAGCGCGGAGAGCTCGGGACCTCCTACTCTTGACAATGGCCTCATCAACGGCACCAACACTTGGGACGATGGCGGCTACCGCTACAACACATCCTTCACCTCCGGATCATCATATCGCATTCGACTCGTCAATGCCGCCGTTGACACGCACTTCAAGTTCATGATCGACAACCACACCATGCAGGTCATTGCCACCGACCTTGTACCCATCACGCCTTACAATGCCACTATTCTCAACATTGGTATGGGTCAGCGCTACGATGTCATCGTTACAGCCGACCAGGCCAGCGTTGCTGATAACTTCTGGATGCGCGCCATACCACAATCCGCCTGCTCTGAGAACGACAGCTCTGATAACATTCGTGGTATCATCTACTATGGAGACTCTGCCTCCACCCCAACGACTTCTGCCTACACCTACGACGACAGCTGTGACGACGAGACTGACAACATCGTCCCATACATCAGCAAGACTGTCGAGACCGAATCAAGCACCAACCTTGAGACTGCGGCCGTAGGATTCAACTCTGACAAGCTCTTCCGATGGTCCTTGAACAGCACCACCATGGTCGTCGACTGGGAGGACCCGACCCTCGCGCAGATCCTCAATGGCAACACGACCTACGACACGTCTGATGCCGTACTCGAATTGCCGGACGCGAACGTCTGGACTTACCTTGTCATTGAGACTACGCTTGCCATTCCCCACCCCATTCATCTTCACGGTCACGACTTCTCGATCCTCGCTCAAGGCTCCGGGACTTACTCTTCATCCGTGACTCTCAACCTCGACAACCCGCCTCGTAGAGACACAGCTATGCTGCCGGCTAGCGGTTACCTTGTTCTGGCCTTCGAAACCGATAATCCTGGCGCCTGGCTCATGCACTGCCACATCGGCTGGCATACAAGTGAGGGCTTTGCGCTGCAGTTCATCGAGAGGTACAGCGAAATTGCGGCGTTGACCAATTCGACTCGCTTGTCAGACGGCTGCACCAGCTGGACTAGCTTTTCAGATGAAGAGAGCATTGAGCAGGATGACTCTGGTGTGTAAGTGATAAATACGCTTAGTGGTCACGCAGCGGATGGATCGTTCGGAGTCGGTGTTGCGGTGTTGGTGCAAGGTTCAGATCACATTCCTCTAGATCTCTTTTCTCCAATCATCACGAGGAACTTTCTTAATGTCAATCAAGTGCAAGTATAGAATCTCAATGTATAACTTCCTGGTCGCATACTTTCTCCATACGTGTTGCTATCCTAATTGCTAATATCTCTATTGCTCTCGGCAATGCGACACCTAGCAATCAGCCATTCTGCAGCCATATATAGGCGATCACTTTGCACCATCACCTTATCACTGCATTCACGCTCATAATTCGAGCCGCACTAAAGCATGTCATGTTGGAGTCAGGTATTTACTGTGCCTTCGCTTTCGCTGGGGATCTCGACGCTACCCATGTATGTTTCTCTGCGTAAGCCCCGCTGTCTTTTCTTCTTTTCTCTACCGGCGCCTCTTTCTCAACCTCGAAGTAAGTTTCGAATTCAGCTCATCATCACCTCTATACTGACCATAATCAGACTGCATAAGACGCCAGCCATGTCCAAGTACCCGAACCCAGGCAAGGGCGGATACCAGCCATACTAAGCGCAGCGCAGCCTTATCTTGCAGATCCATCATAACCCTCAAGGTCACCACGCAGTACCCACTGTCGGATACGATGATCTTTTTCAGGAGCTGACGACTTGCAGCACTGGTCGAGCCAGCAACTGACCCCCTTCGCTCGCCACATCTGGCCTATCATAGGTCACAAAACCAGTCAACTTCATCCCGATAATGACTATAATCTAGCAATCTATCGCGTCACCTGGAAGAGCTAGGACACCGTAAGCATGCAACTGGACCCGCATCAACGTTGCTTACGAGTGAAGAACGCCTTCGATCAAAACCCACATCTGATTCATGAGCTCGCTTTTGCGATGCTCCATCCGGGGCTCGGAGAAACTGAGTTAGCTGAAGTTGTGCAAAGTGAGAGTCTTTTCCGCCTGCGCTTCTCCCGCTGGTACGTTGCTACTGATGATTAGACACGAAGAGATGCTAATACCTCAATCAGGTCCACCTCGAATAGCGCTGCACCCCAGCCTATCCCTGGTCTCTCCGTCCCAGCTTCTGCTTCTACGCTGTGCGGCCCTTCCGCAACCTCATTCTCTCGACCCCGAGGTCCGCCACAGGGTGGTCGTAGTCCCAAGTCCGACTTCCTGCGGGCCAATAGCAGAAACGACAGTCGAAATCCCGGTGCAGACAGCGCTGGTTATGTTGGCCCAAAGAAGGAAAACCGCTTCTCCAGTGACCCGACTTGAGATGGATGCTAAATTCAAAAAGGTATGCTGGTGACCAAGAGTGATCTCAAGCTATCTATGGAATAGAGCAAAGAGTATGCCCTCTACAACGCGTGTAGATAATTCATACAGCCAATACAAAACCATAAATCTCTTCTCACACTGTGCATTCCGTGGAACTCGCATCGTGAAGTCAGATTATCCAGTAGCTTAGTCGCAAATTGACTCGGAGACTTCAGTGCGTTTCCCGCAGTGTCGTTGCACGTCCTGTCCTCAGAATGTCTAGTCCATATCGCGCATGGCAAGTCGGCGGACGTTCGACAAGTGCTTTGTCATTTGGCCAGCGCGGACAGATTTATAAGAAGACGCGATGCCGGTGCGAATCCCAAAGAGACATGTACTGCTTGTACCATGCAGTGGGACACTCATCTTTGGTGATTGTCGTTATGAACGAGTTGAATGCGAACTGTGTGCATGCGACCGATCGCTGTCTCCTCGACGCAACTTATTTAGACAGGACCGACTTTAAAGGGAAGCTTTAGCCGTGTTCGCGCGACAAGCGCCTCGCGAAAGAGTTCGGTGTTGTACATGCAATCCCAAAGCAGTCTGAGCAGCCAATTGAGCAGTCTATCGAGTCACAATCCCTGCCTGGCGCTGGGCTCCGAGCAGGACGAGAAGCCGCTGCCACCTTCGTTTGTCGGCGAGACAGACCCGTATATGACTCGGGCTGATAATGACGACGAAATTGAGGCGCTTCCATCTCTGCCTAGTTGGTGCCGCGAGATCCCTGCTGCTCTGAGGGAAGCCACCACATCTCAACGCGAAGAACCATCTCTTAAGGACTTGACGGACGAGACCCTGGACACTGTATATATATCAAGAAACCGATTGTCTGTCCGCTTTCCACTGCCACCGTAGTGGCGTGCGCGAGAGTTCTCGAAGATGATGGGCAGTGGTAGCGGCGCGCAGCAGGAAGCATCGAGTAGCACCAAGTTCCCACTGCTTATTGGTGTCTGGTACATATGTCTTCAAGAGTGGGATGAGACGTCGCTAAAGCTGCGCGAGGTGGAGACGCAAGTCACATGCAAGGCAGTATAGAAGCTGCCTGCAGAGGTTTGTGTTGCTATCTATAAAAGGATCTGCGACAACATAGCTGGCCTTAATTGCACGCGGGGCTGTAGGTTTGGCCTGCGGCCCAGCGTCTCCTAAAGCAAGGGTGCATCATATCTAGCCAGTGGAGATGCATAGAATAAATAAAGTTGCTGTTATCTCGGAGCGGGAGAAGAGGGACTACAGGGCGCTGACGGATGATCGCAGGTTGCGTCAGAACATCGCCAAGGAGAAGATCCGCAACGTGGACGAGCAGACCGCTTCCATTAGGTAGTTCGGCAGCGACGGTGAGATGTGAGCATCATATACGCTTGAGACTTGAACTTGAGGAAGCGAAGAAGGATGGGGTCGAGTGCAAGGGAGTACGCTCATCAGCACGGCGGATTGCTTGGTGAGAATTTATGAGATATAATGGAAAGCAATAGACGTACGATTGATCATGTCCTGCATAAGTGAGACCCAGCTGACTCTACGATGTCACCGAGTTTTTGTCGGAGTCCTGAAATTAATCTACCAACAGTGTCAAAGCAACAGCCACGTACTAACAAAACGGCATCCCATCCGCGCGACACGGTAAATTCGTGGCCCAAACATGCAGAAAGCAGCGACAAGGTCGTATACAGCTGCAAGCATCAGCAGCGTTATCGCTGATGAGGTGTAGAGTGCAGGCGTTCGCCACGGTGGTCGAGTCCGCTCGCGCCCCACACCGATGAGAGCCGCACGCCGGTCGGTCTGTCTCGCTGAGGACAAAATCTTCACTCACGGCTCCTCGCCCACCTACCGATACCGGCACGCATGACATGACCGAGCCAGCGCCAGACTCAGCCGGGATGGAGGGGAGAATTGCTGCTGTCACGTAGAATTATTGTCTAGGGTTGAGGTTGATTCAACGACGATGCGGACTGGGTACACGCGGCTCAGAATTACCCTAGGAGCATTGAGGTGGACGGACCACGACACGAGCTGTGCGCTAGGAGTCTAGCTGTTCGAGGTGCAGTGCGTTTTGGACGACAGTGCCGAGTGTGGGGAAGCTGGTCAGTCGGTCACGATGGTCGAGATGAAACCTACGAGAGCGCAATGCAACAAAGAAACAGGGCCGGTGTGTGTCCTCAGCGCCGTGGATCGTCGGGTCATGTGGCGATGACGAGGATGACGTTGCCGAGCTGCTGCACGCGACCGCGCTGACAGCATCTACCAAGCTTCCAGAAGACGACGTCGAGATCTCAGCACCTTCCGACGATGCCGCGCTCTGCATGTCAGGAACAGCTGCAGCCATTGACCAATCATTAATGCTCCGCTTACAGCCCGATGGGACCAGTGCGACATCGTCCGTCTGGGGCAGTATGGGGCAGCTGAGGGCCATCCGACGCTGGCCGAGCACCGCGCGCAACATCGTGGTTCCATGGGAGACCCTGAGTACACCTTGAAAGTATATATGGCGTCAAGTACGTTTTTGATGGCCACAAGACCATCGAATCGCTCTCGAGTGAGCTATCTAAAGATCAAGAGTTCCTCGTGAATTCACTTCACCACTGACTTCATATTCGACAACCACGGCTACATCTACTACTACTACAACAACACATCAACCTTCATCGAGAACAATCTACACACACATCCAAGATGGGCTCCCGCTTTCAGCAGGTCCAGCGCCTTCAGCGTCTCACACTCGCACCTACGTCAAGGATTCTCGCCCGCAATGTCCACCAGAGCTCCCGCCACAACACTGCCATCCAGGGGCCCGGTCCCACATCACCACACGCAGAGCTGCTGTCCACAAAGCCATACCGCCAGGGATCGTCACCGCAGTCCGTTCTCGCTCGCCTTCCCACATCATCGGTCGCCCGCTCGTATCTGATCACTGCCATGTCGTCGTCGCCAGCCCTTCTTGGCCTGACATTCACCGTCCTGCGCAAGATGCTCGACTCGAAGAACTATCTCATGGACGTCGAGCGCAACCCACTCATTCGGACGCTGCTGAAGAGCACTTTCTACGCGCAATTCTGCGCCGGCGACAAGGCGCACGAAGTGAAGCCCAACCTCGCCGCTGCTCGATCAGTGCTCGGCTACGACGGCGTCATCATCGAGTACGCGCTGGAAGTCCTCGGAGGGAGCGAGCCCACGGCCGCCGAGACAGCGGCCGAGATCGACGTCTGGCGCAGGGGCATGCTGAAGAGCGTCGAGATGGCGAGCGAGGGCGACTTCATCGGGCTCAAGTAAGGCATCTCCAACCCATATCATCATACTCCCACTGACGACTCCAGATGGTCCGGCCTAGGCCGCCACGCCCTGCACCTCCTCCAGACCCAGCAAGACGCCACTCCTGAGATGTGGGCGGCCATGACCGCAGCCTGCGACGCCGCGGCCGCAAAGGGCGTTTGCCTGCTGCCTGGCGCGGAGGAGGAGCTCACCAACACAGGTCTAGAGAAATGGACCCTAGCGCTGCAAAAGAAGTACAACACACCCACCTACGGCCGCGCCCTCGTCTACACAACCTACCAATGCTACCTGCGCGCCGTCCCGGGCCGGATCGCGCAGCACCTCGAAACCGCCAGCGGCCACGGCTACATCGCAGGCGTCAAGCTGGTGCGCGGCGCGTACCTCGACTCGGAAGCGGCTGGGACGTGTTTCGATTCCAAAGCCGAGACGGACGCTTGCTACGACGCCTGCGCGGCGGCGGTGCTGCGCCAGTCCTGGACCGCAGCAATCAGCCCTAGCAACGCATCAACGCCATTCCCCGCCATCAACATCGTCCTCGCAACGCACAACACAGCCTCGCTAGACGCTGCGCGCGCACTGCGCAGGACGCAGCTGCAAACGCAGGACGCGCATTCGCTGCCGCGGCTCGCGTATGCGCAGCTGCAGGGCATGGCGGACGAGGTCAGCCAGGCGCTGGTGCAGGACGCGTCGGTCAAGGCGGACGTGAATGCGCGCGTGGTCAAGCTGTTGGCGTGGGGAACGCTGAGGGAGTGTCTTAATTTTCTGATCCGGCGCGCGGCGGAGAATAAGGAGGCTGGGTTTCGCACGCAGGATACGCGGAGGGCGATGGGGGCGGAGCTTTGGAGGCGGGTGAGGGGGGTTTTTGGGTTGGCGTAGGCGGACTGTGGTGCTTGCATAGCGCGGTGTTTTGGTATTTGGGCGGTTTGTTTGCACAGCGGCATGGCATGGCATGGCGGAGCACGGGTGTGCTCCTGGGTCTTTCGTGTATGCTCTTCCACAGCGTACAGTCTGCAGAATCTACAAGCGTTTCGTTTGCGCAGACTCACGCCTCTCATCCCCCTTCCCTTCCTTCTTCCGTAACCTCCCCCCCGTCCCCTCACAAACCCACGCAACCACCCCGCCCACCGCAGCCAGCACGACAACAAGATCGACTCCATGCACGCCCCACCACCAATGCTGCACACCCGCGCCGCAGGTGCTGAACTCGATGACCCACTCGCCGGCATCACCGCGCTCGGCGTCGAACCAGGCGGACAGGAAACCGGCGTAGCCCGAGAAATCGCCCATCATGCTGCGCAGCGTGATCTCGCGCAGGTGCGGGCTGGCGGTGGGCGGGCAGGTGGTGTCGCGATTGTTGTGGTGGTGGGAGTCGAGTGGTGGGAAACGGGTGGCGCGCCAGGAGGGGTGTGGTTCTGCTTCTGCTCCTCCACCAGCATCTGGTTCTGCTCCTCCACCAGCGTCTGGTTCTGCTCCTCCACCAGCGTCTGGTTCTGCTCCTCCACCAGCATCTGGTCCTGCCTCAGCTGCAGCATCTGGTTCTGGCTGTCGTTCTGGTTCGGCGTCTGCGTCTGCCTTTGTCTCCGCTCCAGCTCCAGCTGCAGCATCCGTCCCATTACGCACAATCTCCGCAGGCGAATACGCAAACGCAAACGCATCGCCGCTCTGCACCATTTCCTCCTCGCACGCCGGCGCGCCAGGCTGGCGAATCCAATGCAGCGTATCACACCCAGCGTGATCATGCCCATTAATCACGACCCCCCTGCGCCCCAGCCCCGCACCCTCAGCCCTTGTATCGCTGCTCAGGCCGAACAGGCTCTCGAGGACAACGGCGCTGCCGTGCTCGCTCAGCATGTTCTGCTCGCGCACGCCGTGCCCGGCGTCGAAGTAGGCAAAGTGCGGCGCGTCGGTGCATATGCCCGCTTCTTTGTGCAGCGGGATGTGCGTTAGCAGGATGGTGGCGTGGGTTTTGTCGCCCACGGGCCGTGAGGTGCTGATTAGGTGGTTCAGGAAGGCGTACGTGTCCTGCTGCAGGGAGTCGGTGTACGCGGGGGTGTCGAGGTTCATGGTGTTGAGGACGACGAGGCGGAGCGCCGGGGGGTCGTTTGTGGGCGTGTCGTCTGTAGGTGTGTCGTCTGTGGGCGTGCCTCTCGTACTGGTGCTGCTCGTGCTGCTCGTGCTGCCGGGCAGCTCGAACCACACATCCCAATTGACGCTGCCAAACGCGCGCTCGAAGCGGTCCACACGCGCCTCGTCAATGTCGCCCGCATACCCGATATCGTGGTTCCCCGCGATATTCAAGACGCGCCTCGCCCAAGCATCATCAGCGCCCAGAACCTCCCGCCTGCCGCCCCAAGACCGCTGCCGCTCATACTCGGGCTCATCGTAGTGATGGCTGTCGTCGGCACCGTCGACGCCCATGACAGCGTCCGGCACGCGCTCCAGCCCGCGCATAACCCGGCCCCAGTACCGCCCCGCGCGCTTCTCAAACTCGCCGTCGGTGATCCACTGCGAGCCCAGCAGGTCGCCCAGCACGGCGACGTGCGTGGGTTCCGTCCACCAGCGCAGACTGCGCACAATGTGCGCGAGGTACCAGTCGTTTCCCCACAGATCGACCGTCTTGCGGAGACCCTCGAGGGCGGCGGCGCCGTCGGTGAGCGCGCGGCGCGCTGCATCGCGCAGGATGTGCAAGACGTCGCGCGGCGAGCGGCCGGCGTCCCGGAGCTGCTCGACCGCGTTCGCCAGCGACGGGAAGAGGGGCGCGTCTGGATCCGGCAGCGACGAGTCGCCCTCGAGCTGCGGGTCGCCGAGGGCGAGGAGGCGGAAGGGCGCGCGCGCGTCGAGCAGCGGGAGCGATGTGTCGCGGGGCAAGGGGAATGCGCAGCCGTGGAACAGCGGATACAGGTACAGCCATGTGGTGCCGAGCAGGGCTACGGGCAGCAGCAGCGCGCTGAGGCCGAACAGGAGGCGCGAGAGCTGCATTGAGGCATTGCAGGGAAGCGGTCGGTGGGTGGTGTGGTGACAATGTGTGGGCTCGCGGGTGCTGCCGAGTCAGGGGTTGTGCGAGGAGTCTGGACGGGTGCGGCGCATGCGGCCATGGGGCGGCTCGTTTTATTGGATGGCTGATTTCACCTTTACAAACATGTGGTTGGCCTGCATGGGATGACTGCATGGGATGACTGCATGGATGTTACTGCATGGATGTTACTGCATGGATGTTACTGCATGGATGGTACTACATGGACGGTACTGCATGCATGGTACTGCATGGACGGTACTGCATGGACGGTACTGCATGGACGGTACTGCATGGACGGTACTGCATGGGATGATGGCAACTTGGTATCGTCGTAGTTTGTCTAGCACCACTCTCGCCCTCGAGCCCGCTACCGCTCAGCCAAGCAGGTCGCCCAGGGCGCCGCCAGCAGGCTTTGACCCCGACTGAGGCGACTGCGCGGCCGGCGTGCTCGAGCTGGAGCCCGGCGCGCCCCAGAGGCCCTGGCTTGTCTTCTGCTTTGCCAGGTCGCCCATTGTGACCTTCTGTGTCGGCGTCTGCGGCTTCTTCGAGACACCACCCAGCAGCGACGCAAACGCGTCGCCGCCGGCCTTCTTGGGAGCACCGCCTCCAATGCCTCCCGGCGATTTTACCGAGCCTGGTGTGGACACGCCCGACTGCAGCGCAGGCTGGGGGACCGACGTGAAGTAGTTGGGGCCCGTGGCCTGGTAGCCTGTGGACTTGGGCGGCTGCGACAAGCCAGAGGCCATCGACGCAGGCTGCGCGGGGGGCGACACAATGCGGTTCGCCGCTGGTGCGGGCGATACTGTGGCAAACAGGTCGTTCAGGTTGCTGTTCTGCGCGGCAGACTGAGGCTGCGGGGCGGCGAACTGCGTCGTGGAGCCGATGGTCGACGTCGACGCCGGGGGAGCCATGCCAAAGCCGGCTGGCTTCGCAGCAGGCGCCGGGGCCGCAGACTGGAAGTCGTCAAAGTCGTCGTCGTCGGCTGGCTGCTTTCCTGACGAAGAGCTGGCGGCCGGGGCGGGCTCGTCGTCCCACGCCAGCAGATCGACAACGGGCTCGGGCTCCTTGGGCTTTGGCGGCTCCGCCTTCTTGCCCTCTCTTCTCGTCGAGCTCGCGGCCGGCTCCTTTCGGCGGGCCGGGCTCGCGGCGGTTTCCCCCTCGTCGTACTCGTCGTACTCGTCGAATCGCTCGCGCCGTTGTTGTGTCTCGTTGAAGCTAGCGTCTTGCCCGCCGAATCCACCCCCGTCGCCGTAGACGCCGCCCGTGTGGCCGCCGTACTCGGCTGACTCGCTGCCAAAGCCGCCGTACCTGCTGCTGCCTCCGCTGCCGGAGAAGCCGCCGCCCAGCCCCATGCCGCCCTCGACGCCTCCAAACTTGTTGCGGTTCGCGCGTGCCTTCTTGCGTTCCTGTCGTATGCGGTCCACGTCGGCCAGCAGATCGGCAAGCTCCTTGGCTCTGTTCCGCACGTTGATGCCCTGGTCCTTGCCGTTTTGGTCGATGAAGTGGAACTGCCGGAGCATCTTGAGGAGCGACACGTGGGAGCGCGCGTCGTCGATGACCCGCTCCGAGCCGTTCTTGATCAGAAACTCGAGCAGTTGCAGCGCCTGGGAGGTCAGCGCAGCTCAGCAGTGGGGACAGCGGCCTTTGCACCTTGTAGATCTGCCTCCACTCCTCCGAGGCCTTCTCGGTGAAGCGCTTGTAGATCATGGGCATAATCTCGTTCAACAACTGGCTGCTGCTGTCAGCGGGCGGACGGCCGGGCGTGTGCATGTGCGGCTGAGTGCGTACTAGTTGAAGGTCGCGTTGGCAATCTCCTGCATCAGCGTCGACGAGGCACCTTTGCATGTCAGCAGCTGCCCGGGGGACATGGCAGGCGTAACGTACCCCACGGCTCGTTGTTGGTCGCCTCGCGGACCTTGGCCTCCATCTCAGTGAAGTTCATCACCGCTGCGCTGACGGTTAGCAGTGGCCAGCTGGCCGTGTGTGGCTGCTGCGCGCACCATTTTGGGCTTTGCGGAATCCCGCCTTCAGATCGTAGAGCGTGAGGTTGCTCACTTGATCCTTCAAGCTGTTGAAGTCCATGGCTGCGGCGTTGCGGCGTTGCGGGTTCAGTGTCAATGGCGGCTTCAACTCCACCAAGGGCACATGTGGACCGAGAGACGCGGCGCCATGCTCATCACGTGACGAGCTGGCGCTGGCGTCTACTCCTTCAGAGGATCACACAATATGCAGTCAGGTTTTCAAGGCAGCCAGCCAACTGCGGCGTCTTCACATGGACTCACCCAACTGACAATCACAATGCGTCACGACCTGGTCCTGATGGACGATGGTCAATGGCCGGCGGAAACGCGCTAGGGCCGAGCAAAGAACAGAGAGCTTGAGCTCCGTCCATGTCCAACTTTTGGCCCTGCACACTTCCTCTCCACCATCCTCACCTGGACACTAGCCATCTCTGCAAATCGCTGCGAGGTCAATTGTGCCACAGTCATCTCTCCGGCGTCTTACATTGCACTGCAGTCTGCTTTTGGACGCGTCCACAGCCCCAGCCGCCACCAGCTCCCCCAATAGGTACCGACTGACCCGTTGCACAGTAGCTGTTGGAGCAATCACGAAAAGTACGTGTGTGGCCTGTGTGGCCTGCTAGCCCTCCTGCCCTGCTGGCCCTGCCCGCCCCCGCACGCCTCACCCCAGCCGCGGCTTCACCGCGCGCATCGCCAGAGACACGCCGCCGCTGCTAGAGCTTCACCGCGCTACGGCCAGCTCCAGGATGCATGATGCATGGTGCTAACTGCTTCCAGCTCCCCACCACCCCGCGCCCCCACCATGTCTACTTCTTCCACTGTCCTCTCGGCCTTCCGCCGCTCCACCGCGAACTCCCTCCGCCTCCAGGCTCCCTCCACCAAGCGCTTCTTCACCCCCTCTGCTGCCAACATGGTCGTCAAGACCTACTTCGACGTCAGCTGGACCGGCCCCGAGGTCACGGTCGACCAGCGCGGCAATGTCACCAATGTCGGCCCTGTCAAGGGTGAGCTGCCCCGCCACGCCGTGCTGGACAGCAGCTGTGCACACGCATGAGCCGCTGCGCACGAACCATTGCTGACCCGCCGCCCTACAGAGCAGTCCGGCCGCATCAACTTCGAGCTCTTCGACGACGTCGTCCCCAAGACGGTCGAGAACTTCCGCGCCCTCTGCACCGGCGAGAAGGGCTTCGGCTACCAGAACTCCAAGTTCCACCGCGTCATCCCCCAGTTCATGCTCCAGGGTGGTGACTTCACCCGTGGCAACGTACGTGGCGGCGCACGCCCTCGGACACGGGACCGCTCGCTGACTCTGCACAGGGCACTGGTGGAAAGTCCATCTACGGCGAGAAGTTCAGCGATGAGAACTTCAAGCTGACCCACAACAAGCCCTTCCTCCTGTCCATGGCCAATGCCGGCCCCAACACGTAACCGCACCACGTCTGCTGCGACTCGCAATCGCTGACTTGTTCCAGCAACGGCTCCCAGTTCTTCATCACCACCGTCGTCACCTCGTGGCTGGACGGCAAGCACGTCGTCTTTGGTGGTGTCCCCGACGGCGATGTCGACTCGTACAAGATTGTCAAGTCGATCGAGGCCTGCGGCAGCGGCAGCGGCACCATCAAGTACAAGGAGGGCCCACCCACCATTGTCGGTGCCGGTGAGCAGTAGACGATTTGTATAGGATTCGACGGCAGATTGAAGGGCGTTAGTCTTTTTGGTGCATTCGGCAGCTTTTGCGAGAGCAGCGATGCCCACTGGAGTTCAGTCCCTTGAATACAGTAGCAACGAGCGTCAATTGACCCTACTGATGCACATGCACATGCACATTCAGGCCACGGCTCGTGCCAATTGAGGCCACGGCTCGTGCCAATTGAGGCCACCGCCCGTGCCAATTGAGGCCACCGCCCGTGCCAATTGATGCCACCGCCCGTACCAATTGATGCCACGCGCCCCACGTTTGCTAGCTGCCCCAAAATTTATCCATCAATGCCCCTCGCTCAACACAACCCCGCGCCCGACGCAACTAGCCTCCGCACCGACAACTTCCGGATGGCACCACCACCAAGCTCCAACAGGCAAGGCTCCCCTGCGCGGCATTCCCACAAATGCCGAACTAGAGCCTCACCTGCACGTCTGGTAGGGCGTGCTGTTGACATATCCATAAAAATATGACCAGGACATCAATCGACTCCATCAGTTTTCTGTCTCCGTAAGCTTCGTGACTGAGTCATCACCTTGCCGTGAATCGCTTCTCTGCGCTCAACTTCCCACCTGCCCTACAACAACTGGACACACCACCATACAGCAATTGGACACACCACCATACAGCAATTGGACACATCACCATACAGCAACTGGATACACCACCATACAGCAACTGGACACACCACCGTACAGCAATTGGACACACCACCATACAGCAACTGGATACACCACCATACAGCAACTGGACACACCACCATACAGCAACTGGATCCGCCACCATACAACAACTGGATACGCCACCATACAGCAACTGGATACGCCACCATAAAACAACTGGATACACCACCATGGCGCCCCTCCACCCAGCAACCCACGGCATCCACGCCGACAACCGCACCAACATCCTCACCGACATCGCCCCTCCAATCCACACATCGACTACCTTCCGGTACCCGCGGGACCCCTCCAAGCTCCACCCCGTGTCGCCAGAAGAAGGCGAAGTCATCGACCTCAGCACGCCCCTAATCTACTCCCGCCTCGCAAGCGCAAACATCAACCGCCTCGAGACTATTCTCGCGCCGCTCATGTACCCGCGCGCCCAGGAGACGGAGCTCGACAGCCTCGCCAACCACGTCGTCTCCTACAGCAGCGGCCTGAGCGCCTTCCACGCCCTGCTCGTCGCCGTCGTGCCCAAAGTCGTCGCCATCAGCGGCGGCTACCACGGCTGCCACGGCGTCCTGGACCTGCACCGCCGCATGCACGGCGTCCGCACCGTGGATCTGCACGCCGACGAGCGCGCGTGGGACGCCAGCGGCATCGGGCAGGGGGACCTCGTGCATCTCGAGACGCCGCTGAATCCGACGGGCGAGGCCTTCAACATCGCGCACTACGCCGCGCGCGCGCACGCCCGCGGCGCCCTGCTCAGCGTCGATGCCACCTTTGCGCCGCCCGGCCTGCAGGATCCATTCCAGTGGGGTGCCGACTTCGTCATGCACAGCGGCACTAAGTATATCGGCGGCCACAGCGATATGCTGTGCGGGATCCTTGCCACCGCCGCGACGCCCGCGGGACTCAAGCAAGCGCAGGGGATGCGTGCGGATCGCATTTTCCTCGGATCCGTGCTGGGCAGTCTGGAGGGCTGGCTTGGCGTGCGGTCGCTGCGGACGATGGAGTTGCGCGTGCAGCGGCAGAGCTCGAACGCGGCGCGGCTCGTGGCATGGCTGGACGGTGCGCTGCAGGGCGGCGAGGATGGCGCGCTCGTGAAGAAGGTGGTGAGCAGGGTCGTGCATGCGTCGCTGCAGACGGCCGACTTTGCCTGGCTCAAGCCACAGATGCCGAATGGCTTCGGCCCCGTGTTCGCCATCCTCACGCACGATTCGGACCAGGCACGCTGTCTGCCGAGTCACCTGCAGCTCTTCCACCACGCGACGAGCCTGGGCGGCGTGGAGAGCTTGATTGAGTGGCGCAAGATGAGCGATGCCGAGGTGGATGAGCGGTTGCTGCGCGTCAGCGTCGGCGTCGAGGACTGGGAGGATCTCAAGGCGGATTTCTTGAGTGCGTTTCAGGCGCTCGCAGAGGGTGGGGAGAGCGGCGAGGAGACGACGAGCAAGGCGAGCGTGCAGGTTGGACAGGAGGGCGCGCGGGTAGAAGGCGCGGCGCAGGGTAGCGTGTAGCGCGAGCTACTTTTCGACAGTACAGACGCAATAGTCGGAGCAACGTGCTGATCGTCATGGATTTGAGAATCAGATTGCACTCTGCTATGTTACACACCCGCCAATGCACCACTAAACCCGCCTACAACACACATACGTAACCACTACCGATAGTAAGCCGCACTACGCATTCACCTTCAAGAACCGCACCCGCTGCCCGAGAGCGTCCTGCTTGATCATCTCCGCCGCGCCCTCACCCACGCCGTACGCGACCATCTGCGTGTGTCCGTTATTCACGCGCGGGATGGACGACACATCCGCGACGCGCAGGCTGCGCACACCGCGGACCCTTAGCCGCGAGTCAAGCACCGCGTTAGGATCTGACGATGGGCCCATGGCGCACGTGCTGCTGGGGTGGTAGCCTGGAACGAAACGTGTTAGTCGCGGGAAGAAGAGGGAGAGGGATGGGAGGAAGAAAAGGAGGAAAATAGAGACGTACAGGTCGTAGCATGCTGCTTGACATGAGGAATCCAATCCTCCCTCGTCGCGTTCCGATGATGCGTCAACCCCGCAGGCCAACTGCCCTTCACCACGCCCTTCGTGCCCTTACCATTCACAACCATCTCATTCGCAAACGCACACGCCTCGGTCATAACGAGCAAGTCCAGTGGGTCCGCGAGGTAATTATGATCCACGATGGGATTCGCAGTTGGGTCGGCGCTCGCGAGCGTGACGGTGCCGCGGCTGCGCGCGTTGAACAGCAAGTTGCACATGGCGAACGTATGCTTCCCGTCGATGGGGAAGTCATCGTACTGCTTCGGCCCGCCGTACAGCTCCGTGTTCCACAACTCCATGTGCGGCTGGTTGGGCAGCAGACCCATGGGGTCTCGCCCTTCGGAGCGCGCGGCGTCGCGCCAGAGCTGCGAGTCCTGCAGTCGCGTGTCTAGGCGTGCGTAGCCGAATATGCCTGCTTGGTTAGTACCTCTGAGAAGATGGGAGAGGGGGGAGGGGGGATACCGAAAGGAAATGTGCTTAGTAGGCCGGATTTCTTCTCTTTGTAGAGCTGGTATGTGGATGCCATTGCGTCGTCGTGGTAGGCGAGGTAGTCGTTTGTCAGGTTTGGCTCCGAGACTTCGTAGAAGATGAAGACGAGCTTGGGAGTCTGTCAGTATCTATCCTTCTTGCAGACGCTTCGGGTTCTGGGTGGGAGATGCTTACGCAGTGGTCTTGCAGGTTCTTGCCCACGCCGGGCAGGTCGACTTTGCACTCGATGCCGTGCTTCTTTAGCTCTTCTGCGGGCCCGAGGCCGGATCGCATCAGGATCGTTGGGCTGCAGTATGCGCCTGCTGTGACGATTACTTCCTGTTTGGCGTGGTACTCGATCTTCTTGCCGGCTTTGGAGATGGTGGCTACGCCTGTCGCGGTGAGTTCGCCCGAGTCATCGGAGAAGAGGATCTTGTCGACGACGACTTCGGTCTTGATGGTGATGTTCGCCCTCTTGTTGCTGTTGGTGATGAAGTCGGCTGCCGTGGTGCGGATGCCCTGATGCACTGTGCGCGGCACGTCACCGCATCCGTGAGGTGTCTCACCAGTCGAGAACATATCTGGATGGTAAGCAAGTCCGACGTCTATCATGCTTTCCTTGACGCGTTCCGAGATCGGCGCAAGGTCGTGCGGCTCGATGTGTAGAGGGCCAGAGGTTCCGTGTACCGACATGTCTGCCTTGTGCCAGTCTTTCTCGTGCATGGTTTCCGCCTGTCTAGTTCAGTGTAGGTTCGAATGTATACAGCTTTAATGCCCACCTTCGCCATGTACCCGAACATCTTGTCGCCAGTCCACTCCTCCATGTCCCAGTCATCATAATCTTGCTTGGTGCCGCGAATGCACAACGTTCCATTGACGCCACTTGATCCGCCAAGGAACCGACCACGGCTGACTTTGACCTGCCTGTCGTTGACGCTGTTCATCGGCTCGGTGACGATATTCCAGTCTGTCTCGCTGTCGAAGTTCTTACTCCATCTCGAGTGGCAGTGAGTATACTTCCACAGAGTTCAGAGCCGGACCGCTTACCCGCCTGCCATGTGCACATTCTCGAGATCCGCATTGTCAGGCCCGGCCTCGAGAACGAGGATCTTAGCATCGACGTCCTCGGCGAGGCGTCCCGCAATCACACAGCCTGATGTTCCACCTCTACGACTTTTTAGCAAGCAGCTTCTACTTAAACCTCCGCATGAGATCATCTGATTTTGACATACCCGCAGATGATGTAGTCGTAGACCTCTGTCGGGTCAACGGAATCGACACGTTCGAGCGACATGGCAGCGGTGCAGTATATCGTTCACAAATACCAACGTTGATCTCGCGTGAACAGCTGTGGCTCACAAGAGGTCTTTATGCGCTCGGCAACTCAGCTCCATCTGACACGGAACCCGTCCGCACTCCTTCCGCAGTAAGCTATTCTAGTGTCCGAGCAGTACTGGAGATCGCACACGATCTAGGTCTACCCCTCACTAGTTGACGTGAGACGCGCGCAAGTGTCTGTAGGGGTACATGCTGTCCGGTCAGATTGGTGCTGGTGGTAAGGCATGCTTTGCGACACTCCATAGCCATAGAGTGTAGTTCAGAGACGGAGTCTGTTGTCGGCCCAGGACACGGCCTGGTCAGCAAAATAGCCGATATTTGGCATGCAACTTGAGCACCTGCGGCTCGTGTTTGACAGTGCGTTGGCTAGGTATCAAGTACCTACGGGGACCCCCGCTAGGGGAATGGTGTTGGTGTTGGCGATGTAGAAGTGGGGCCACTGAAATGCGGGGTGTCCCCAGATCCGCAAAGCTCCAGCTTGATGCACGTGGTAGACTAGTCGCTGTTGCGACGTTGTTGCGGACCACATCAGGTAAGATGCTTGGTTGCTGGCGCGGAATCTGAGGTGCTCAGTTCGAGCGCGATCTTCTGCCTGCACGTCAGGACTAGGATCGGCGGGCCATTCCACATGCCTGGCTCGAATGCTCGGAATACTGTACCGCAGGTAGCATGCCGGCTTCGTGCCGCAATAATTTCCCTCAAATCAATGAAGTCCCAGAGATGGTAATCAGACTTCACTGATATACTCCAACAACCCCCTCAGCGTCCCGTTTTCAACCCTACACCCCTCGCCCTTCCTCATGGCTCTTCTATAACCCTGACTTAACCACATCCGTATCAGATCCGGGTCCACATTCCTCACATTCTGCTGCGAGATCATAATGAACGCTTGCGCGCACAGCGTCGTGCTTTCTGAGGGGCTGGGTGGCGGCCGAGTCTTGCAGGTCGAGCACTCGGGATCCGACCCGACAGTTGGAATGACAGCTGCTGTTGTCGGTTCAGTCAATGCAGAGGGCGTGAGCAGAGAGTCTGTACAGCAGGGCGGTGGACCGACAACGGGAGATACGGGTGGAGGCAGGAGTTGGAAGGATGTTGCGATGAGCGTGGATTCTGCGACGCTGCTTGGGGCTGGCATATCCAGTCCCACATCGACCGCTGCCGTGTCCAGTAATTGCGTCAACGATGTGCTCGTCCCGACCGCGCTGTCCATGCGCTCAAAGTGCTTGGTAATGTCGTAGCAAGCGAACGCAGTAGCGGTATCTCGTTCTGCCTTCAACGCCTCGATTTCAGTGTGTGCTTTCGCGAGCTGCCGCTCTATCTCTGCAAGTCGCAGTTCCAGGGACACGACATGGTCTCTCTGGCGAGCGCGGTGGCGTCTCTGATTTTCACGCACGCGGTTGAGAGTGTGCTCGGCGGAAACGCGCTGTTTGCGCCGCGGTAGACTTGCGTCAGAGGATGAGGCGGGTGATGTTGAGCAAATAGCTGATGTAGATGGAGCCATATCAAGTTGATTCAGTCACGCTGGGTCTGGCTTAGAGGTGCTTGATACGTGGAATTGAGGACTTCCGTTCATACTTGAGCGGGGCGTTTCGGTATATGAGAATGCGCAGAGCTGGAGCAGAAGATGTCAGAGATCTTGGCGATATGTCACCGATGTATTTATCACGCGATAGGTTGGAAGTAGCGCACCTCGACTCAAAGGTGCACCGCTAACACATCACAACCTCCTATACTTTACCGTTTTGTCAAAAACGTCGATTAGGGGTATGCGACGCGCAGTCGACTATTTGTGGGGTTCGCTGTGATGCGCCGCCCCGCTTATGGAACAGACTTTGCGAGGCAATAGGAGCGCATTGAAACATCAATGGCTTGACGCCACATGGCAATATATTTTATCTAGCACCCTTCTACAGAATCAGAAAAGAAAAGCCTCCTTGGCCAAGTGGTAAGGCGTCGCACTTGTAATGCGAAGATCGCTCGTTCGATTCGGGTAGGTGGCATCACACTTTCGTTTCCTTTTTGCATTTTGCTCCATGTTGACAACGCGGAGCACTCTTTTCCTTTAGATTTTCTTTCTTAACATAGATTCACGCTTCTCTAGCCTTTAAATTTTTGGGGAGGTTAGTGCCAGTTCGGACTTAAACATGCACGTATCTTTGATGGTGCCCCTTTACGACATGCATTTCGTCTGGTTTAGGGACATCGTTATATAATGCAGAAAAATAATTACTCATGTGAGAAGACCAGGAACCACTTCCAATGTGGCGTAATGATAGATAGATGTCTAAACATTCCTTGCTTGGAATTAATCGGGACTCAAGAGGTACTGCTCCTGCTCTCGTCCAAGAGGTAATACTATTCCAGCGTGCTCTTTAGATGTGTAAATGTCACCCGCAACCCTCCTGCCTTGTGGCAACCGCACAGTACATACAAGACAGCACCCTGGACAGCAGGATACCACAACTGGAAACATCACGACTCGTTCATTGCGAAAAATATCACGACCCGTTCATTCGTGACACATGTCAGGGCGACGCAACGGTCATTCCTCAAGCGCAGGTGATGACCGGAGCTAGGCTCAAAAGGGCTTGTTTCGGATGCCGATCACCCGCCGCCTCGAACACGACTTCGATACCCCTTGCATACGATGCTCCCTTGAGACAGCTCGCTGTCCTGCCACTCCTTCACCGACACTATCATCCACAATGAGCCGCCCGCTTCTTTCCAACCGGACATCTTCGGAGTTCCAGGACCGATCGATCGAAGAGGAGGACTCTCTCCTGACCGGCCACCGCACCGCACGCAGCGACTCACCGTGGAAGAGATGGCGTGAGATTGGGCTGCTGGCATGGGCGATCATAGCAACAGCGGGGGTTGTGGTTCTGGCAGCCGTGTACCAGAAAACAGGAGGGGGATCGCCATCAGACAGCGCCCCCAGCAACAGCCACGGCAAGCGCAACCTCATCTTCATGGTGTCGGACGGCATGGGCCCCACGAGTCTGAGCTTGACGCGCAGCTTCATGCAGTTCCAGAACGGCGCGCCATTCAGTGAGCAGCTCGTCATCGACCAACACATGATCGGCCAATCGCGCACCCGCTCCTCTTCCAGTCTCATCACCGACTCGGCTGCCGGCGCGACCGCCTTCTCCTGCGCGCAGAAGAGCTATAACGGCGCCATCTCAGTCACGCCTGACCACGAGCCTTGCGGGACGGTGCTCGAGGCAGCCAAGAAGGCCGGATACATGACGGGCCTGGTTGTCACCACGCGCATCACCGATGCCACACCGGCGTGTTTTGCGGCCCACGTCAACATGCGCCAAGAGGAGGACCGTATTGCCGAACAGATGGTAGGCGACTACCCTCTCGGCCGTGTTGTTGATTTGATGTTTGGAGGTGGACGCTGTCACTTCGTCCCCAACACGACTGTCGAGCACTCCTGCCGAGCTGACAACCGCGATATTGTCGACCTGGCGCGCAAGAACGGCTTCAACTACATCTCCGACCGCGCTGGTTTTGATAGCCTGAAGGGTGGTGCCAAGCTCGACTTTCCCATGCTCGGCCTCTTCGCTGATGGCGACATTCCCTACGAAATCGACCGCCGCAACGAGAACGACAAGTACCCATCGCTCCACGAGATGGCCGAGGCTGCCATGAAGGCCTTGAGCGAGGCCACCCGCGACAGTGACAAGGGCTTCTTCCTCATGATCGAAGGTTCGCGTATTGATCACGCTGGCCACCACAACGATCCCGCCGCGCAAGTCCATGAGGTACTCGCTTACGACCAGGCCTTCAGCAGCGTGCTGGACTTCATCAAGAGCGAGAAGACCGAGACGGTCATGGTGTCCACCTCCGACCACGAGACTGGTGGTCTAGCAACCGCGCGGCGTAAGTTCTTTCACTACCCGAGCCTATAGATGACACGCTAACACGTCCTCAGAACTCCACACCACCTATCCTGACTATGTTTGGTACCCCGCACCGCTCGCCAACGCCTCGCACTCTGCCGAGCGTCTTGCCATTGAATACGCCACTTACCTCCTCTCGTCGCCCTCGCACGAGAAGAAGAAGATCTTCGTTATCAACAGCATCACCGACGGCCTCGGCATCCACGACTACACCGAGGAGGAAGTCGAAGCCATCACCGACGCCCCTCTGACCGCGCTGTACGCCTACGCAGAAATGATCTCGCGGCGCTCGCAGACGGGATGGAGCACGCACGGCCACTCGGCTGCTGATGTGAATATCTATTCGTCTGACCCCAAGAAAGCCGCGGCGCTCATCGGAAATCATGAAAACACCGAGGTCGGCGAGTTTCTGAGGAACTACCTTGATGTTGATGTTGAGGCTGTGACGAAGGAGTTGAGAGAGAAGGGCAGGGACCTCAAAGTCCTGGATGTTAATGGTACGGAGGTTGGCTGGATGGGGAAGGTCCCGCAGGAGGGCGAGAGGCTGGATGGTCAGACGCATCTGGCGGATTATACGGGGGACTTCAAGAAGAGGCATCTTTTGCACGGTAGGACTTGTGATTGCGGTCATTAGCCTGTAAATTGGTCTTGGTAGCGTAGCATTGTAGGCGTTTTTTGGTCTGGTATACAACATGTGCTCATTCTCCATTTCAATCGCCACGTGCCTGGATGATCTGTCTGTTAGCTCGACTTGTGCTGAAGACGTCACTCGGACTCACGGAAAGCGCGAGAGCGCTAGCGTAAACGCACCTCACCTCGTCCCATCTGCCCTCTTATTCCCCAACTCAAACGTGTGCTATCTCGCTGATTAACAGCAATCTCGCTGATCTCCTTCCCTATGTGGTCTTTGGCTACTCACAGACTCGAGCGCCCTGAGTTCCCTATGTAGCACTTCTTGTGCACCTCGTTGCACAAAGACACGCTCATCACGCTCGAAATACCCCGATAGGATACCTGAGTGCCCTGCAGTCGTAAGCAATACTCGGAATGCGTGCGCACAGGTTTGCTGATGCTCAAACAAGACATCGAGAAACTCTGCACACCAGTTGGCACCTGCCGACAAAGCCAGCACGTTCAGATTATCGATGACGCACATTGAGAGTTGAGGCGTCGCCCGAAGAAGGCTCCTCAACATGATCAAGGCAGCGTCCCAGCTGCCATCAGATCCATTCAGAGCCTCCATCTCATCTTCGGATATCTTCACTGCGTCATCTACTACGCGAAATTGAAGCAGCTGCGTGACAAGATTGTACACAAGTCCGATCAAACCTGTTTTCTCTGGGTTGCGATTTTCGAACAGACCGTCCATCCTTGTTCTTTCACAGAAATGCGAGATGATGGCTTCTTCGGATTGCCATGCTGCGACAATCACTGTCATTGCTGCGGCGCGGGAACTCGGCATCTCTTTTGTTTGCAGTGGGCTATTGATCCAAAGCCTCGACTTGTCGTTATGTTCAGCTCTCCATTGGACAAGTTTGGCAGAAGCCTCAACCTGCGGGATCCAGAATCTACCATCTTTTAAGAGCGCCTGTCCTTCGGTCCCTACCGCAAATGACTTTATCCGGACTGCCTGAGCGAGAGCTTCCACTCGGTTCACGGTTGTCATTTTGGCCGCGAGAGGTTGCTCTGGAATTGAAAGGGAGAGCTCTTTAATACCCTTCGCCTCGGCATTGGCAAGCTGGATACCATTGCTGTACACCATGGTGTGGAGCAAATTTTGCATCGTTACTCCCACGTGAGCAATGTCAGACTGTGGCGCTTGCCGTTGACGATACACTTCTCGCTCCAGCCCACGGACGCCCAACAGAATCGCCTTCGATATCGCCATATCGGCGACTTTTGTCTGGATGAGTAATGCGTTGATGCAGTCGTTGATGTTCTCGACTGCCTTCTCATATCCTTTTTTTAACTGCTCGTTAAAGCTCTTGACGAATCGATCGTGCTTGCGCTCCATATACCAAGCTATGACATCTCGATAGAAGGTGAATACCTGCGCGTGGATTTCAGCATACAGCTCGCACATTCTCTGTGTCTCGACCAATTTTACGATTTCAGCAACACTAGAGACCTTCTCCGCAATTCTGGCCACTTTGTCCGAGAGGATCTCTGCGATCTCGTCGTAATTAACAGCTGCACTAATGAGGAGCGTGAGACCCCCGCAAAGCGATGAAGCGTAGTTGTTCTGAGAAGGCAGTAAAGCAAAGGCTTTCTTGTGCGCATGAAGCGTCGAACACAGTCTGCGGAGGTTACTAAACGCCTGGCCGTTATTAGCGACGCTGTCTGCTGTTGGATCAGGCTGGCACTTGCCCTGCTTTGCTTCTCTCGCCACTTGAGGTCGAGCTCTTCAACAACAGCTCTGAGTTCCTCCACGTTTGTAGCAACATATTGCTGCATCACTTGGTCGGCTGCATGGCGGGATTGTTTACGACGAATCCCGAAGAACTTCGCCAGACCTGAGGACCGCTCCTGCTTGAAGAACTCTTCACACGTCCTGTTCAGGGTCTTTTTCGCAACTTCAGCTTGATGGAAATAAATGTCTCTGCCCAGATGTTACCGAATGGTCATCAGCTTTGGAGCGATGCTACTCACTTACGGTCACCCTTCGGGTTTTCGAAGAATACGCTCAGTCGATCTCTCTCCCCTTTCTCGAGAAGGACATCCTCCTCTTCCTGTGCCGTCTTCGTGGCGCGTTCCAAGGTGGTGTTCCCGCCCTGCTCGTCTGTGAATCGACGGACAAGTGCGTGACCGCTCATCACGGCATGCACACGACTCACGTCAACAAGGAGGTACGAAATGCGTCAAAAGATAGCGTTTCTGAGCAGAGATCTAATTGTGAGGTTCCTTGTCTCTGGATGCGCAACAGGTTGAGGACAATTTCGTAGTACCCCGCAACAGTACCCAGACAGCTCTCAGCCTGATGCAGACTGCATGCACGCTAAACCTGCGGACATCGGAACAATGGCGTTGACGTCTGCGAGATGTTATTCACATGTGCTTATCAGCTTCTTAGCGCCTTTGCGGCTAAGGACGTTGTACTTGAGGACCAGTAAGATCCAAAGGCTCGCAAGCGGCCCAACCACAATCTACCATAGCCGCATGCGCTGACCACCACCTTCGTTTTGGGCGTTCGGCCTGTCCGAGGGGAGACAGCTATTTTGTCAAGTATCTTCCACCTCATCTCTTTCTTGCCACAGTCATCAGGTTTCCGCCACGAACCTCATGTCTTCTGTTTGTAGCATGGCCTCAAACCATGGGTATTTCCCTGTTCTGACCGGAATTGAAAGGGTTTCTGATACATCGGCGGTGCTCACTCCAAATATTGTGGATCGAGGAGCAGATTCTGAAGATGAATCCACTGCAGGAGCCCAACGTCAGTGTGTTCGGTCGACCGTCGATTATCTCAGAAGTAAAGACTTACCAAAATAGTAACTGATGCTGAATCTCGCCTTCCTTCGTCTAGGGGCTGGGGAGCACACAAGAGAAGGCTTGAAAGGATCGGAGTGGCCATCGAACGAGCGAGTGGTGTCACTGATAATATTGCGGAGCTGTCCAAGGACACAGAGAAGAAAGAAGGGTACGGCAAATGCATGAACTTGACGTTCGACGATGGCGTGTGGTACAAGATTCCCTGGGAAGCTTGTTGCACCTGGCATGTATGTGATCTCCTTTCTTCCGGATATCAGTCCTAGATGCTCATTGCTGACCACACAGCGCATGGAAGCCCTTCTTAGGACTTGGTTCCGAGGTGATGAGGAAAGGCTAAAAGATCTTGAGAGAGAGCATTATACCCTTAAACAAGCCGACCAAGACTTGATGCTGCCGCGAATCTGGGAGAAACTACTGGTTCACGATGCAAACATCGTCTTCTCATGGGTTGAACCATCTGCCACTTCCTCGAGACCTGGGTCACCAGTCGGAAGCTTGGCGTCAGAGGATCAATATGGAGACCATGGCCCCGAGCACCACAACCGGTCACCAGTCGGAAGCCTAGCGTCAGAGGAGCAACCTGGAGACCACGGCCCCGGATACCACAACCGGTTCGGCTACACCATTCAGTATTACCAGAAACCCCTGTTCTCTACTGATGATGATGAGTTCGTTTCAAGCAGTGTATATGAGGAACCTGTAGGATTCGAAGTGGATGCTTCCTACGAAAAGGTTCCCGCGCTTGAAGAGTTTCAACATATCATAGTACCACGCCACGCCTCCCCACATCGAAAAGGCGGAAGGAGCGGGAAGGTCAAGCTTCGCTCAATCGACCGAATCGGCAAGAAAGCGCTCAAGATCAACTCTTCATTTCTGCTGAACGTAATTCGGTCCGTCGTTACCCATACTTCCGACATGCCCGACGACGTTGAGACGGGCCTCACGACGGGCATCTTTCCATACCCATACAAGGATCTGTGTTTGCATATCGACGCCCTGCAGGACTACAGAACTCAAACCTCTGGTTTGCGTGCTCGACATTCTGCCGCTTTCAACGACAGCTTCGATTTACACATGATCCTGCTTCAGGACTATCTTGAACGTCAGCCTGAGCTTTTGCTGAAAGAAACGAGCGCTAAATGGAGTAAGCCAAATCCGAGCACGTCATTCGCTTCGATCTGGCTGCTTTTGAAACCCGGATCGGACGTGTACGTCCGTGAATTCGATGGGTCTCTCAATGCGTATGTTGTAGACTCGGTTAGAGGTGGAGTGGTTGTCGGGAAGGATGGTCGGAGAATTAGCAATTCATATCATGTTCAGCTGTGGCACCTGATACTCGGATCGGGCACTGTTCGCCCCTGGACGAGATCCATCGAGATCGGCGTCTTTGACAACGACCGAGAAATCACCAGCTTGCCGCTATTCCCGGTGAGATTCCGAGATAGTGTTGATGATGGCGCCACAAGGAAAGGGTTGATCGGAAGGGGACGGAAGTACTTCCAGTACTGCCGACGCCCGAACTTCCTACAATACTCAGGCACGGGCTTGAGGGGAGGCAAATCTGTGGGTTTCCGATTCATTCGAGACAGTATCAACTAATAGTGTAGTACAAACGGGCTCGAGTAGTCGTCGAGCATGCATCTGATCCATGGCATGACGACGGGTTCGAACGTCCGGAACACGAAGTGCACATCCCGATGGAAGACGAACCGTTCGGTACATCAATACGACTGGCCCAATGCGAGTGTCAGGAGTGTAAGGATGCAGCGACCACCGAAGAAGTTCACACAATGCACTTCAGCGATTATCGCAGACTTGATCCTGAGCGATTGGGAGAACTGACCCCCCACCAATACATGCTTATGACATCGCACATGTTCGCATTTGTTCTAAGAGACCGTGTATACGGTAAGAGAGTCACAGGCGGTCGTCGTCATTCACTGACGGGGAAATAGACCTGCTGAACGTTGGTCATCTGGAAGATCCAGTGATGGCTGAGACTGCGATCGACAAGCTGGTGATAGAACCCGGCAACAAAGAGATCATCAAGGCGATCGCAAAGATTTACACCGACAATGCGCCAGAAGGTCGATTCAGCGCGGATTTTATTTCTGGGAAGGGTGAAGGCCAGATCATTCTTCTGCATGGGCCTCCGGGCACCGGCAAGACCCTTACAGCTGGTTTGTGTTGCTTGTAGCATGCTTTACACATCAGACTTACAGGGTTCAGAATCGGTTGCGGAATTCACGAAAAGGCCGCTACTCAGTATCACGGCCGCTGACCTTGGCCATCAGCCTGACGCGCTTGAGCGAAATCTCTTGAGATACTTCCAGAGAGCAGCAGATTGGGATGCGATTGTTTTGCTCGATGAAGCTGACGTATATCTTGAGCAGAGATCAGTAATGGATCTGCAAAGAAACAGTATTGTCTCAGGTAAGATCGACCCTGCTACGCTGACTTTTCTAATGCCAAACAGTCTTTTTGCGCGCCATGGATTACTTCCAGGGTATCCTGTTCCTTACCACAAACAGGGTTGGCCAATTCGACGAAGCGTTTGCATCACGCATACACTTGTCGTTAGGATACAATGTACTCGACGACAATGCCCGAGGTCAGATCTGGGACAATCTGTTCCAAAAGCTGAGGGAAGATCACCGCAAGAAGATAGGCCCGGAAATCGTTTTTGGCATCAGTGCAAAGCAATATATCAAGACCAAGGAAGTCATGGCGCTAGAGTGGAATGGCCGGGAGATCCGAAACGGTAAGCCAGCACAATTCTGCGATGCATCGGATGAAGCTAACCGTATCTTCAGCATTTCAAACCGCTGTTGCACTCGCAGTGTACGATACAAAACAACCTGACGGCGGAGAGATACCATATCTGACGGAGAATCATCTTGAGCAGGTGGTTGCGATGTCATTGGCCTTCAAAGACTATATGAAGAAAACCCGTCAAGGCATGACGGAATCGGAATGGGCAGTCATGCGGAACAATCGATACGATAGCCTGGCTGATAGGTCTGGCACACCGAGAGGAAAACGCACTGCGGCGACAACAACAACAACGGAAAGATAGTGGATATACATCGCTCTGGAGACACGTTCAGGCTTCTCATCCTCTCCGTCCAATATCGCCATCTTAAAACGTGAACTTTAATGATCAAGGCTTTGTCCATCCCAAGTCAGAGCCCTCAAGTCAAACACCTAAAAACATGAACAGTACAAGAGAAGCATTGGTTTTTCGCTGTGGAAAGCGGCTGGCGTCCAACACTACACGACGAACGCCAAAGATAGACCTAAGATTGTAGGAAAGCAGCGAGAGATTACAAAAAATACACCGACAATAGCTGTAGCTCTGGTAAATGGAAATCCATATTATGGATTTCAGCTTCCCTAAAAGATCGTGAACAGCAACCCAGACGCCTATCAGAACAACTGTAGCTAAATTTTCTACTATACAGCATAGTTAGGGCAGCACGATGATAAAGCTCAGAGCACACCATGCAATTAAAGAGCTTACAATGATTTCAACTTATGCTAGCAACATATGTGTGTTGTATATCGACCTGTGATATTAAGACTACATCTTTCCGAACCGACCAGCCTGAACGCCACACTCCCCCTTGACCATCAACGACTGCTGTCACTACTTTTTCGACGTCGATGTGTTTTTCCCCTTCTGCTTATCGTCACCAGTAGTGCTCGTCTTGAACGAAGTCGGCGCGGGAGCCGTCGTGCTCGTGGTTTTCTTACCGTCCGACGTCGTTTTGCCACTCGTGGCAGTGACCGCACTCTTATCCTCCGTCTTACTCCCTGTAGCACTCGCTGTAGCGCTGCGCGTAGTAGACCCCGTAGCGCCGCTGGTATGCGTAGACCAGTACTCAGCAAGCGCCTTCTCGACCTCATTGACCTTGTTGTACGCATCTAGCTTGATGAAGAAGTCAAGCTTTTTCTTGATCTCAGACTCGCTGAATGGCCCGTTGCGGCCGGTATAGTCCTTGTCGTCGAAAGAAACGGCGCGGTAGCGGGGTTCCATGGGGTCGATGAAGTGCGTCGTTTCGTTGTAACCGAAGTCCGCGAGTGCGGTGACGTTGAAGGCTGCGAGCATCTCGTGGTCTTCGTGGATCAGGTTGTGGCAACTGAAAGAGCCAGTCAGATACAATATAATGGAAGGTGTTGGTGTCAGTGTGAGGACTTACTGGAACATATACACGCCATCCCACGGTGCATAGCGAGCAACGACATCAATCTGCTCGTTTACATCCAGCCACATGACATCCTTGAGCGCGACTTTCTCGTACGGCATCAGTGCTCCTCGACCACCAGAGCGTGCTGTAATTTGTAAATCAACCAGGTGGATGTGGATTGGGTGAGACCAGCCGCCCCCAGAGTTTGCAAGCGTCCACTTTTGCACTGCACCGCGCTCGGGCTTGGCGAGAATGCGTTGGTCGACATTGGACCACGTGATACCGTTCACTTCCCATTTACCGTTGCTGTGCTCGAATTTGAAGTTGTATTCGGTTTGAGCGTGGACTGGTGGGAAGGGCACGTTGCGGAGCGTTTGGGGCAGGCCGTTGGGAAGGTTATCTCCTCTGCTTGGGTCGGAGACTTTATTACCCACAATGAAGCCTGTTTGAGGTCAGCCGCATGTAAATTCGAGCAGTTATATGGTTGCTACTCACGCATCACTTGATCAGTGGAGTTGTAGTCCTCGTCGGCAGCGACCTTGCGGCTGTTGCGGAGAGTGACGTTCTTTCCAGCATAGGAAGTGAAGTCAAAGATAACCTCCCACCTCTCAGCAACTGAGATATACAGATCGTTTGTCTGAACCGGGTTGAGGGTCAAGCCAGCGTCAGAGGCAAATACCGTAAAAGGAACCTGCTTGCCTGCGGCATCGCTAGACTCGAAGTAGAGTTGATACGACCTACTGATACCGGTATTCAGGAAGCGAAGACGATACTTGCGAGGTTCAACGTTGTGGTAAGGCCATGGAATGCCGTTGACATGAATGACATCTCCAAATACGCTGGTGGTCTCACCGTTGGCTTCTGGATCCCAGAGGCTGCCGTCGGAGTTGTATCGCTTGGCAGCAAGAGCAAGAGGAAGATCAAACTTGTCAGATGGAAGGCTAAGGGAGTCTTCCTGAGCATCAGATAGGATGTAGAAACCGGCTTGACCAAAGTAAGCATTTTTGGCGGTGTGATCGATAGCATGGTCATGATACCACAGAGTACGAGCATTCTGTCGGTTAGGGTAGTAGTAGTCTTTGTACTGGCCAGGTTCTGTGGTGTCGTCGGCCCATCCATCGAATGGGGCTCGGCTGTACGAGCCGTGGAGGTGAACACTGTTTGCTAAGGTGCCTACGGTTGGTCAGCAAGGAAAATATGCCGACATAAAGAGACGACCTACCGTGGTTGACAAAGCGAACCACAGCCTCGCGTCCTTGACTCATCCGAAATGTAGGACCAGGGACTTCGCCATTGTAACCAACAAGCCTTGTCTTGCCCAAGTTTGGGTAGATTTGCACATCGACTGGCTTAATCTCAACTTCATAATAGTCAAGAGAAGAGCCATCAGAGTTCGGAACAGTGCTACGTCCGCGTCAGATAAGTAAAAAATACGGAGGAAAATCGAAGGCACACTTACTACTTCGGCTGTATCTCGCTTCCAAAAGCGAGAGGTTGCGTGTACAGAGGATAAACAGGAGATAGCCATGGTAGCGCACCGCCTTGAGCGAGAGCGCTGCTTGCCCAGAGCAGTGTGAGAAGGCCCGACTGGAGATACTGGCCAGGCATCGCAAATCAGAAAGAGGAAGGGATCAAGATGAGGTATTTGATGAAGGCCTTAGTAGCCTTACCGTGGGTTGTCGGAGCAAAGAGCTCCGGATGAGATCGAAGTGACGAGGCGATGCTCTGGAATGATGAGTTCCAAATTCTGGACAACGGAGGTATGGCCTTTTATGTTCATAGGGGATATGCTATTGAGCTTGAATTGCTGATGACAGCGCCCTACTGCGGCTGAGTATGGTCGTCTATCAGGCCTTGCCGACTTCCACGAGGACATACATCTAGACAAGGATGCCGAGTGCACATCACGTGTGGACGCTAGAGAAGGCTCGACATAGAGAGGGACCGCCACCAAAAAGCTTCAAGCCACCAGCTGCTGAATTAGTCCGGGGGGTGTTGTCTGGTGGTGCCAGAACACTACACGCTGTAGCCAGTCGCTGCCGTTTGCGAAGTGCATAGTTGTCACCTAAAGTTCCAGAAGAGTTAGACGGCATTCAGCTGGTTCGGATGGACAGCTGGCATCGCAATACACTGCCCGCACGTGGCTGCGTTCACGAAAAGAGCATGTCGTGTTTCTTGGCTGAGGAAGCGAAGACGGACTATCGAATACTCACTGATGCTTTTTATCGATGAAGACGCCAAGGCTTCATGTAAGCCATGTCCAAGAGTGCTTATCGTTGCGGCAAGCCTTCTGAGTCGCGACTGGGCACCGTTAGGATCTTTGGCTTGGCATGTGGCTCTGATACGACTACTGTCGCACATGTTTGCTCTTGTTCGTAGCAAAGCCATCGGCGCCCTCGCGTTGAAGCCCACTCTAAGACATTTTGGCAAATATCTCTGTACTCGTGACCAGGCGCTAAGGGTCACCGTCAAGAAGCAGTGCGCATTCAAACGTTGTTGCCTGATGTTATGTCAATCACCCTGTAGCCCAGCAAGAGTAACATTCTATCATTCAACGGCTGATTAAGGGAGCAGAGATGACTTGCAAGTAGAGACAAGGACAACTTGTAGGAGCTGAGTGACATGGAAGCAGTCCTTCGTGAAGTTGCAGAGCAACATACCACACCTGCACGACTGCAGCCTTGCCTGTCTTCCGAATTGACGTCCACGAGGCCTGCCGGGGCGCATGCAAGTAAGAGCGGCATACCAAATGACGGGCTGTGCTATTCTAGGGGAGAACGCTTTTCCTCTTTGGTGCTCGCGCGAACATAGGTAGACGCCAATTGTCGTGGGAGCTGAAGCAGGGCTGGTGAGGGCGAAAGCGAAGGAGGCGAAGTCTGGAAGCGTCCCGCGGCTGCCAAGACATCAGCCGCACTCGCCTAAATCGCCCTCGTTGCTTGTACCAACACATACCCACCACCACGTTGCCGGCACGTTTGTCAGGATTGCAGGGTAGAGAGACCAGACCCAAAGATTCAACATCTGTCAGCCGCTCTAGCAGCATGTGAAGCTGTCCAGCGTGCACTGAAGCTTCGCTAAGAACGTGCTTGGCATACAGGGACTTGCCCGATTGTAGGTCTTGCGCGTAGCTTGATCAGCTGAAGACGGCTCTGGATGGTTCTTAGACTATGGACTTTTCAAGTCTACCGACGTCGGCTTTCCGTCACATAGGCTTTTGTGCCTGTAGATCACTATAAACATGAACCTCTTCGGGTCGAGCTCTGATGCAGTGTGGCTTCAAGGCTTGTCTCTCGCTGGATATCTGAACTGTACCTCTTTTCGTTCAAGAATTTAACTGCCTCACTCGAACAACACATCATTCCCATCAACATGCAGCTGACTAAGTTGCTCTTTGCCATCACGACCCTCCTCGGCACCGCCTTTGCTGTGCCCGCAGGCAAACCTACGGGTGGTCCTGCTACAGCACAAGTCACAATCTATTCAGGACCGTACACCTGTGCCTCTGCTGATCAGGTACGATACAACATCGTGTTACTGATGATGCGCGAGATGAGACACTGACACGCAATAGCCTCCCCCAAAGGATGGCAGCGCCGGGACCTCCAAGATCGTTAACATTGCGGAAACGCAGTGCATCGTCGTCAGCATTGTAAGCCGTAGTCTTTCGTTTTCGGTAGCGTTTTACTAATACACGCAGCCCTTTGGAGGCGCTTTGACCGCGTCTATGACTGCCACACCCAAAACCGGCACGATAGGCTGCTATATCCAGATCTTCTCACAGCAAGGCTGCGGACTCACGCTGCAAAACCAATATCATGGCTTTCCGTTCGACGGCGTCACGGCTGGTAGCACAGTTGGCTGTGCCTCGCCTCCAGTACAGTCATATGGTGGACTGCAGATTGTATGTGGCTAGGCGAGCAAGTGCTGTCGCATATAATATCAAAAGTGCCAATTCTTGCTAGTCCTTGGGCTCCGTACTTCTCTTTGGTGTTGAGATGTTGGCAAGTGTGGTCTGGGATACAGCTTTGGTTAATAGCAAACAACTTGTTCCGTTTCTCTCACAATCTTCTAGAGGTAATCTATTACAACGACGTGGCCCTCAAATGTATCGCCCGTAAATATCTTGCGTGATGCTCACCCTACTGCGACACAGCTCATATGATCTCCATCAATGCGCATTACCTACTCTTTGCTTTCATCACTGTCGCTTCCGGACACACCTGCATTGAGTCTCTTCTCCTTGGAGATGGGATATTTTCTCAATCCAATGCACTCGTAGTTCTCGCAACAGAAACCTGAAATCTTTTCCTTCCCAAGACGACCCAGTCTACCAGTGCATAGATAATGACTCCTGTTGTGATAGGGCCTGCATAGTACACGTCGACTGAGTCGACAGGCAGGAATTCCGGAAACGGCATCCATATAAGCATGAAAACAGTGTGGCGCAGAGATGCAACATTGATGATCGGTCCAGCTCGACCAAGTCTGAATGGACCCCATGGAATCGGCGCCGGATGCGATGCTGACAGTCGCCACCAGGGGATGAACAAGATTGGGAAGAAGTATGATATGTACGAAGCTGAAGCCCGTAGTTAGATGAACGCGTTAAAGGCGGTGCTGCTTCCAACCCTGACAATACGAGAAGCAGTAGACCCCGGCACGAAGCATCAGGCCGTTGACAGGCGCCTTGAGAGTTGGATGGATCCGAGCAAATTTTCTGGAGACCTAGAAGGACCAAAAGAAGCAAGGAGGGAGGTGCGATCAAACTTGAAGAATGCTTCGGACATAGGCCATATCTAAATGACTCGTACGAAACTTCAATAATTACAGCTTCGATTGCTTGCCGAATGGTCAAACACCCGCAGGCTTGCTCTACGTCTCCTCTTGGCTCGTGGCAGGCTTCCACTCAAAGTGGTGCTTGTTCTCCACAGGCTTCTTGACCTACGCGTCCTGATCGCCCTTCTTGTCAAACATGCAGCTGCTGAAGTAGTCCAGCTCAGCCTCATAGAAGCTTATTGGTAGGTGTGTACCTGTGGAAACTTCAAGACACTCGAGACTAGCACTCGAGACTAGCACTCGAGACAAGGACAACCTAGTCCGTCTCGATTGCCTTGGTAATGACGCGCCGTAGAGCAGGAAAATATTTCTTAATATCCTTGGCGACAACTGAGGAGAAGTTCAAGTTGAGATCGTCTGATGAGAGGTTGTTTTTGAGCACAGGGGCAAGGACGTTAACGGAGATGTAGTCAACCTGGATGATGCATCCAGCACGCCAGATCTGCCACACTTGCGAATAGTCGATTAACCACTCGTATAATTGTGTTTCTTATCGGCACGTGCAACGATGTTCATGCCCTGGATGTAAATGGCGAGACAGGCTGCGTACGTAGCTTGGCGAATGTCCTCGATGAAGGCCTTCTTATCCTTGCTGTCGTCCAGCTCACTAGGAGGGAAACCGCCAGTAAAAGTTGCGTGCGCGCGTTTGCAGTCACCTCGATATGCGGATGCTGGACATATCGTGTGAGCGACGTCGAGTGTAAAAGCAGGTACGTGTAGCTCAATGGCCTCCATGTTGGACCAGATACCGGTGCCCTCCTCGCCAGTAATGTCATGTACGACCTTATCGAGGACTTCGGAGATAATGAGTAGATGTGGCTGAGGGTCTGAAGTCGACTTGTCCCCTGGTTCGCGCTTGTGGGAAAGGTCGGCCCCGATCGATACGGGAAATGTACCTTGCAGTCCATGCATAAGTGCGTGGGATATCGCTGAGCTAGTGATGCTTACCAATTCGCCTGCGGAGTTCCACTCCTTTAGCACATCACCAATCTCTTCATAGTCGAGACCTATCTTTCGCATGAGGCCCCAAGCTTCGCAGATGGTGCTCACCATGCCGTGTTCAATGCCATTGAGATTTGTGCAGCATCTTAACACAGTGGCCAGCACCACCCTTGCCTATGATATCCACGACAAGCTTGCCTTCCTTTTCCTTGGCTGCGACTTTCTGTAAAATTGGGAGCATCTCCTTTGGCCCAGACGCGTCACCGCCAGGGCACATCGAAGGGCCGGCGCGAGCCGTCTGGTAGCTACCACTCACACCACGGCCAATGTAGCGATCCCCGTGTCCTTGCACTTATAATGCCGGCGTTCGGTGTTCGCGAAGTGCTTGTTGCCGCAATTGAGGATAATATCTGCCCTGGATAGCTTGGGCATGAGGCCCTCAGGAACCTTTTCGCCGACACCTCCGTGTAGTAGAGCGAAGACTGGTTGGCGGGGTTCGGAAAGCGATTTTCAGAGTGAGCCGTAGTCTTGACGATGTGTCAGTATATGTCAGATCAGGGTCGGTGTATGCATCGTACCTTTGTGCTTCTTGAGCTTCTCGTGGTATCCAGCTTTCTCGGCCTTCTCAATCACCGCGTCTATGGCCTCAGAAGGATCCGAGAGGTTGATATGGACGCCATCCTCTGCGAATAGTAGGGCCGTGCCTTCGCCCATACTCCCGCACCCTATCATAGCAATCTAATCTCGTTAGTTTCCGTGTCTTTACGTCTTCTGTCAATCAGCCTACAGGTGCGACCTTGGATATGATGGTTAGTGCGTTGCGTCAGCCTCGAGCTGTCGAGATCGGTGGGATACCAGAAAGGCAGAGCACAAGATCAGAATGAAGAGGTACGCTAGGTTGGAGAACGCAGGAAGGGTAGGATCTTGGTAGTGAACTAGCTTGTCGAGGAATTGGAGCATGGCCGCAGCGAGACTCAGCAAAGAGCTTTATTATGGAACAATCCGATGCACGAAAGGTTGACGTCGAGTGGGGTAGGTGTGGTCGGTCCTAATTCAGATCTCTGATATTGGCCTATGGTCTTCAGCGATGGGTGAAGGAAGAGAGTGACAGCTCAGAGCTGAGAGGCAGCCAAGCCAAGACGACAATAACGATGCCGTCATTTTTGGCGCACTTGCACGCCCCGAAGTCAGGTAGCTCGCTCGGCGCTGTTGAGGTCTTGGAACGGTTGAGGGGCATTCACGGAAGGGAAGACGCCCACCGGACGAAGATGCACGCTAATATAGCCGCACGATGCGGAAAGCTTGACCAGCATCCTGCCCACAACGACCCGTCTGGACAACACCTCAAAGCTCACCACTACCGACCTTTTCGCAATCACCCAACCGCACACCAACACAATCGCAACCATGGCCGATACTGAAATGGAAGTCGACCAGGTCGAACAGTCCGAGGCCACCTCTACCGAATCCAAGGTCAACGATGCGCGCACCCGCGGCGGCGCAACAGCTGTGCGCTCAATCGAGGGATGGATCATAATTGTTACAAACGTCCATGAGGAGGCAACAGAGGAGGATGTCCAGGACATGTTTGGCGAATTTGGCACAATCAAGAACTTGCACATGAATCTCGATCGCCGAACGGGTTATGTCAAGGTATGCACACGTTCTGACACAGCTGGGGCACCATGTGTTGATTTTATCTAGGGCTATATCCTCATCGAATACCCCACCCTGGAAGAAGCAAATGCTGCGATCAAGGGTGCGAATGACGAGGAGCTGCTTGAGCAGAAGGTCACAGTCGACTTTGCCTTCGTTCGACCGCCGCCGGTAGGCAAGGGACGCGCCCGCGACCACGACAAACGATCTAGTGGACGTGGCGCAGGAAGGGCCAGGAGCAGGAGTCCTGGGCGTGACGGCTCAGATATGGAAGACTAGAGTGCATACTAGGTATCGAGGTAGCCATGTCCGCTAGGGTAGCAGCACCCAAGCCACAGGGGCCCAGCCGTGCCAGAGACGTCAACGAGCACGAATAAGCCCTCGAACGGGACCTACGGGAATTAAGACAGGCGCGAGGAGCGGGTGTCGGAGATGAATTTAGCCCCCCGGCCTTCCCTCTGAAAGGGCAGGTCGGGCTATTACATTTCACATGTAAGCTGAAGTGTACGCGCACCTTGAGCTTTGCTAATCAAACTCGCAGGTCTCATTACAGTCCCCCTGCTATGTACACTGACACCACTACCCTACTTCCAATGTACAGCGCAGCAGTACTCCTCAAGGCCGAGGGGCACTCGACTACATCGTCAGTCTCTACATCGCTGCAACAGGCGTGGGCATGATGGAAGCACTTCTTCGCTCGTCACCAGATGCGAAGCCTGCACAGAGGAGACCTGGACCTTTTTGCAGCATAAGATTGTGGTTCGAAGGCATCGACACATGAGCTCGGTGACCATGCGCAGTGTCACACACGGTAGATGCACAGTACACATCAACAAAAGGCGGCTGTCCGAATTGTAGCTTGTATCATCACGACAATGCAGTGACTCGCGTTGTGCTAAGCTATAGACCGAAAGCCGATTGGCTGGACTCATCTGAAGGGACCAACCACCTCCAATTACATGCAACACCAGTTTGGCTTTGTGCAATTGCGCACAATGCAAGCCTCTACTTGACGACTTCGCCATCAACATTCTCTTCTGAACAGCACAGCATCTATCTCTGCTATCGTCGGCACACTTGCGCTCGTGTGTCGGCCAACGGTCCCACTTTCAAGACCGCTGATCTCCACAGCTCCTTCTCATTCGAGCTTGGTCATCATTCGTTGCGCAATGTACCTTCCTTAAGCATAATGGCTCGCCTTGTACTATGAGGGTATCCCTGTCATCGTGGAGCTGTCGCCATCGTCATATCGTGCAGCGCATCGTATATAGTTGATTGCTTTCCGTGCGCCCTGTTCTGCATCTTCGCATCAGCATTCTTACAACATGCGTTTTTCGACTGTCGTTATAGGGCTCGTGTTCGGCCTCGAGGCCGCTGCCATCCGAGTAGGGCCGTCACAGGCTGGTCAGGTAGCTGCTGAGGTATGTGCAGACAATCGCGATGTCTTGTGCCGCAATGGGCGCAGCTCCCAGGAAGCTTGGTGATGCTTGTCGCACGTCTCGTGCCGACCGCTGAGACCCATTCATCGACTGCTACTTATGGTCACGAGCTCACGCGTTCGCAGCCTCATTACGCGAAGTCTCGTCGCAGCCTCTACAAGCGCGACGATGGACTCGATCTGACCCTACTGTACCCCGAACGTAACATATCAGTGCCCATTGACTTCTTCCACAACGACACTCGTTATGAGCCCCACTCCAACGATACTTTCAATTTGAGGTACTGGTTCGATGACACTTACTACGAGCCTGGCGGACCAGTGTTCGTTCTACTTGGAGGCGAGACTGACGGTGCTGGTCGTCTCCCGTTCCTGCAGAAGGGTATCGTCCACCAAGTGATCAAAGCCACCAAGGGCCTTGGTGTCATTCTCGAGCACCGTTACTACGGCACCAGCTTTCCCGTTGATGATTTGACGACCGAAAACCTGCGCTTCTTGTCGACAGAACAAGCTCTTGCAGAAATCGACTACTTCGCAAGAAACGTCAAATTCGATGGCCACGAGGACAAGGATCTCACGGCGCCTTCGACTCCTTGGGTCGTGTACGGCGGCTCGTACGCCGGTGCACAGGCTGCTTTCTTGCGTGTCACGTACCCCGAAACCTTCTGGGGCGCCATATCCTCGTCAGGTGTCACGTTTGCGATCTATGACTTCTGGCAATATTTCGAGCCCATCAGACTGTTCGGCCCTCCCGACTGCATCAAGAACACTCAAACTCTAATCGATGTCGTCGACAAGCACCTCTTAGGCAACAATACCGCCAACGTCCAGACCTTGAAGTCTGTCTTCGGCCTCGGTAATATCACTGACGACCGAGACTTCGCCAACCAGCTGACCGGCGTCTATGGGTGGCAGGGCACCAACTGGGACCCAGAACTCAACTCACCCTCGTTCTACAACTACTGCCGTAATGTCACCCAGTCTTTCGACCAAGCTGAGCCTACTACCGAGAGCCTGCGGCCCACTGTTGCCAGCTTAGTCTCAGCAGCCGGATACGGCAACGACACACTTGTGCAAAATATCACTTTGAATGCTATCAGCTGGGTCAATCAGACTGTTCTGCCCGGCTGGCGACAATCGAACTACACCCAGGACCGCTACTTCACCAGTTTGAACGCGACCGCTCTGCAGCAGCACACTTCTCTCGAGGACTACGATGCCACCAGCTGGAGCTACCAAGTCTGCACCGAATGGGGCTACATCCAGACCGGCAACACTCCCGCCCACATCCAGCCTCTCATCTCCCGTACGCTCGACCTCGAATACTTAACCTTCTTCTGCCGTGCGCAGTTCAACATCACCACTCCTCCCGATATCGAGAAGGTCAACAAGTACGGCGGCTTCAACATCAGCTACCCTCGTCTTGCCATCATCGGTGGCAACGCTGACCCCTGGCGCCCCGCTACGCCGTTGTGGTACCCTGAAAGTCGCGATGACTCGGTCGAGGAGCCGTTCCATTTGATCAGCCATGGTGTACACCACTGGGAAGAGAACGGTATTTTCGACAACGAGACGACACCTACCCTGCCACCGTACCAGGTCATCTATGCGCAGCAGTATCTGAAGAACTTTGTTGTGGATTGGTTGGATGAGTGGAAGGGCGGGTATCAGACGGAGCTTTAGATCCGCGTATTGCGCTGGATTCTAGTAGGAAAATTGGATATTGAGAGATTGGCCTTTGAAGTAGCCCCTGAGCATATTCATTGTTCACAACACTCTTGGCAAGGTGTTTGTCTGGTACGTGATCTGCACCCGAACTTAGGTATGCTATGGGGCAATACTGGACTGGATAAGGAGCGAACCAGAGCCTAAGCGAAAAACTTCTTGTTTCCACTCAACACTGTCCCGCGCGTCCTTTGTCACCTGACCTTGCTTGCAGTCCAACTTTCGTGCGTTGAAGTCTGCGAGCTTTGCCAGCCTTGTTCTGAAATGTCTCCGAGCCCGCCCATAGAAATGTCTCCGCGGATGCTGCTTACTCTATGGACACTATTAAACTCGAACTACCATCTCGCAGAAGACTCATTTAGGCAATATGGTGAGCTGTGCTTAAAAAAGCAAATGAAGCATAAGCGCTAGCCTCGCACCCGATATCTCGGCTACCAGTGTATGAAAGGTATTTAAGAGCAGTCGGTATTCGCTGAAGCAATCCAGTGCTCACTGACAAGCCCACTACTTCGTATCTTGTCTACTGTTGTCTTGATTGGGACCTAAATCCCAATAGACGCCACCATGACATTCGACGTCGACGCCATCAAATCCAAATGGCAGCAAGACCCTGACGCAGCGCAGCGCAGCGCTACAAATGGGCGGAGAATGCTACGCGGCCCTTCGCCAGGATAATGGTCCAGCTCACCGAGCAACTGAGTACGCTGAAGATTACGCCCGTTGAGATCTTCGACCTGGCCTGCGGCACTGGCGCCGTCGAGGCCGAAATCTACGCTTCTGTGCCAAAAAACTCCTGGACCGATCTCAAGATCCTGACGGGCGATGTGAGTCGGGCTATGCTGGATTACCTCAAACAGCGGGGCGAGGAGGCGGGGTGGAGTGCCCTGACGACGAAGATCGTAGACGGGAGTAAGCTGGATGAAAGCGGCGTAGGCAATTCCTTCACGCACATCTTCGTCGGCCTTGAAATCTTCGTCTTGCCCCCCGACACGATCAGGCAGCTAGTGGCGAAGCTGGCGCCGGGTGGTACGCTGGTGGTCACTACGTGGGCGTACCTCCCGTGGTTCAGTCTGCTTGCCAAAACCTCCGCGAGGATGAATGACGGGCCCTCTCTGCCGACTGAAGAGCACCTGTGGAAGGCCTTGACGGATGGACGGCCGTGGCTTGATGCTGCCTTTGTGAAGGAGCAGCTGGAAGAGGCAGGATTGTAGAAGGTGGAGGTTGTGCAGAAGAAAATGAAGATTGACTGCGGAATGCCGGACACGTTTACGACGGCGATGGGATTCGTGTTGGGACTGCTGAGTGCGGAGTGGCCAGAGGAGAAGAGGGACAAGTGGTTTAAGGGGATTGGGGATACGACGAAGGCGATTTTGATCGAGGAGGTGAGCGGTCCGCATCAGCATGTGTTCATGGAATTCGAGGGGATTGTCGGCGTGGGGCTGAAGGGGTAGCGGAAAGCATGAGCAGCTCTGCAGAGCATATCTGATTTACTACAGAGTTGCAGGTAGAAGGTATGATTGGGTATTTTCTCAATAGTAGCCGTACATACATGATTGTCCTAAACGCCATCGCTATGCCTTTTGAAATGGACTTTTACACCTCTTCTGATGTTGTCTCGAGCCATTGCCCAAAGTACACGCAGGTCCTGGCTGAGATCTCGCCTTCGTCGCCGCAAAGGTCGAATACGGGGCAGTTGCCGCACGGCGCATCGACGAAACCATTGTAGACCTTGGTATCGACTACAGTCAAGACGGTGCGGTAGTTCGTTCCTGAAATTTTCTCCAGCCTGCCATCAAGCACCATCATCTCTAGTAGCTGCTCCATGTCGTCTTCTCTCACTGTCTTGCCTCTCAAAACCTCTTTGGAGTTCAGCCACTCAGCTACCGAAGCCGATGTCGGGTATTGCGGACTTGTCCTGTGCACGATCTTTGTCGCATTCGGATCTCTAGGTGCGTGGTATGGCTTCACTGCCGGCGCGTCCTCGATGTCGCGTACCCCCTGCACTTGCGCCTTTTTCTGTGCGATTTCAGCTATCCTGTCAGGCCCCTCGTAGTCGTTCCAGTTGCCTGGGACCTTAATGCAGGTCTCGTTTTCGATGTGTTGCGCCACAATCTGCGAGATTGTTTCAATCAGCGCGGTGTCGAAGTCGCCCTCCGACTGCCATGGACCTCCGGCAATGTCTTCTGAAGGCCTCAGGTGCTTCAACAGGTACATCTTACGGTTGGGAAACTTGACGCTCATGACCGACTGCACCAGATCCTTCGACTCCAAGCTCTTGAGGCATTTTGTGAGGACTTGTTGTGTCACGTTCGTTCGTGCGCGCAGTGCCTTGGACCAAATGCCCTCAGCTTGGACTTGGTCGATGTGGTGGTACAGAAGGCGTTCGTCAGGCGTTAGTCGTCGCAGTCTTCACCATAATCAGCAGTCTCTTAGAGGTACATATGCGCTTGCCACCTACTTGTCAGCCTCCGCGCGCGATCGCAGTTTCCAGCACGGCTCTCCCTCGAACGTCATAAGCTTCATGAGATGTCGATCGCAGAGCTCCTGCAACAGCATGGTGAGCTCGGCCATAGTCTCCGCTACCTGCATATTGGACAGATCGCGCTGGAAAAAGACGGTGCCTTGGGATCTTAGGGCGCATTTGTCGTATAGCGCATCCGCGGGGGACGCTGCTTCGTTGTTCGCGACGTCGATGACTGGAGGCTCCTCCTCTTTGGGCACCATCGAAGGTGCCATAGGTGCGGCCATGGTATTAAGGATGTCTACGGGTCACCGTTCGATCATGGGCGTGTTGTTGCTGCCGAGGCGCAAGACTGTGGGAACATCAGCGGCGTGTTGCTCACAAAAAAGTGCTGTCACGTGGGGCCCACTTTAGCTGCGGGGAGCACCTCACCCCCGAGACTTCGATGCTTTCGCTTACCACCATTACGGTGCGTGAGTACGTATCAAGGATGCGCTTTCCAGCAGTTACGGGTCTCGTCAAACGTGCAGTTGACATCGTATCAATGAGGGCTGTATGGTACGACGTGAATATGTCATGGCAAACGCCTCTCGGGTGCCACAGACTTTGATACCCGTCAGAGCTACGTTGGCGACAACGGGTCTGTTATACTGCGTGGAGGTATTTGGGACTACATAGTCTTCGACACGGCAAATGATGACTATGAATGAGTTTCAATTTTCTCGCAACACACGGCCTTTTTGTTGTTGTGCGCGATATGCTATACTCTATGTATGGCGAATCTCAGCAACTCGCATATAGCTGTTCGGCCGCGTTGTACCTTCTCGGATCAGTAATTACCTAATCTAGGCGAGTTCCGTGTGGTCGGAGAATGTCATGCTGACGGTTGGGTCGAAGATTACTTAGAAGTGGGAGAGGAAGACATGCAGATTATAAAGATGATCTGATCTACGCCCGTGTGTATCATTATTCTACGGGGAAGATCACACGAGTAGGAGGCAAACGCATAGGGACATAGTTGATGAAGCGATGGGTTCCTAAACTAGCGGTAGCAGAGTATACGCAAGTGTGAAAGATACGCATGGCGGAACAAATTAATGTGTGTGCCCCAATGTACTCAAGACTCCCAGCTTCAACATTCTGTCTCAAGTAGGACAAATTGGACCATCGCGAGCTAACCTTTTTTTCGACTGATATACTTTCCGTTGGCGCTGCTGATACTGTTGCGTTCACAGAGTAGCAATTGATCGGCGCAGGTGAACCATACATGATATACCGGTCGATTCGAGGAGGCTCGACCGATGCGGGCGGGAGAGGCAAGGAATCAGCTCGAGACGACAGCTGTCCTACAAATGGCTGTGAAGTCTCAGCGGGCCTGCCGCAGAGTCTGTCTCGACCGATTCAGTATGGGAAGTCGCATCCCTTTTCAAGAGACGACGCAATGAAGTCTTGCTGAAAGCCATGATGCTCATTACCCAATCTCGCTCAATGTAAAATGATCGCAGCGTGTCAAGACCTCAGGCAAGCGGCAACATCAATACTTGTAGTGAGAAAAGGGCCCCATTAGATCGTGAAGGGCAGCCACCTTCTTGAAGAAACTTACCGATCTCACATAATATCAATAGACTATTGATTCGAAAGTCTACCGACACAGGCTCAGCCGGCGATGGCGTTTATGTGGTAGCAGCCTTATCCTCCTATAGCTGTCATTCCACAGTATACCAGAAGAGGCGCCTGAACCGGGGGTCTGCGCTGAGGGAAACAGTTTGCAACGCATCGCCGATTGATGTTTACTTTTCAGCCAATCGCATGTGGTCAAAACGATCGTGAAATTGTTCCTAAAGACCAGATTGAGTCCGCGGGTCCTCCGGCGATCAGGCTATGTGGCGACAGGGATGGCCGCAGTGTGGGCTGTTGGCCGATTAGGTGGCCGCAGCCACTTTTTGAGTTCATTTGCATGGGGCGCAATGCTGCGATATGCGAACTGGTCATTATGCAAAAAAAGCAAATTACTTTGCTTTACGCTTGTAAAGTGACAGGAATTTCCTCATCAGCAGACAGCAAGAATCAGGGCGAAGTAAAAACTTCATAGAAACTCGCACTTTCGTCATTTTACACATGCTATGCTACTGCGCCATATGAACATGGAAATCTCTTCCACTCGGCATTATTTGAAGTCGTAGTCGGGTCGTCAATACACGTCACTTGTTTGCCCCATTCATCGCCCCATACGGATGACACCGGCATGGACAAGCTTCTGGATCTTCGAGCGAATACCGGGATTCTTGAGATGTTCTTGCAGCGCCGCGGGATCGTCCTTGGCCTGCTGCAAGATGCTCTGCATGATAGGGTCTTGAAGAATGCTGACGATCTGGTGACCTGTTAGTATAATGAACTCGAGGACGGAATATGGATGGACATACCTCTGGGTCGCGCTGAACGCGGTCCATTGTCTGCTGCTCTGTCTCGCCCTCGCGTGCTGAGTACTGAGCTTGCAGAGCCTTAGTTTCTTGCGCCTGGATCTCACGAGCGTTCTTTCCATCATCATGCTCCATGGCTTCAGCGCAAACGTTGACACACTTGTTGTACTCCTTCATGACGAAGTAGGCTTGAGCCTTGCGCAAGTACGCGCGAATAAACTTGGGGTCAAGCTTGATAGCCTGGTCACAGTCCTCAATAGCTGATGGAAAAGCGAGGAGCTTGATGTAGCAGGCAGCACGGTTAGAGTAGCCTCGGGGGTCCTCTGGTGCGCGCTTGATCATCTCGGTGTATGCTTCAACGGCAGCGGGCCAGTCTGCCTCTTTGAACTTGATATTTCCAAGCTCGCGAGCATTCTCTGCCTCCTCAGGGTTGATATATGACTCCTTCTCCTGCTTGATTTTCGCCTTCTCTGCTGCGCGCAGCTTGGCGAGGACCTCGGGTGTGCGGTGCTCTGTCTGGGCCTTCTGGTAGAAATTGACAGCGTTGGCGAGGTCGCCCTGCTTCTCGTATGCGGTACCAATGCGCGCATACGCCTTGGCAATGATCTTGAAATCTGCATAGATCTCACGACCGTACTCGATAGCCTGTTGGCAGGCCTCGATACAGCCCTGGTAGTCACCCTTCTCGAACTTGGCTGCACCCAGGTTTGTCATGTAGGCAATGTCCTTGTGTGTCTCCCATGCTTTTGTGTAGTTCTCGATAGCCTCATCGAACTGACGCTTCTTGTAGAACTCGGTACCCTTCTTCTTCAGCTCATCGGCCTTGACCTTGTTCTCCTTGGCAGCCTTCTCCTCCTCTGTCTCCTCATCCTCAGGCTCCGGCTCCGGTGTGGGCTCCTTCTTGGGTTGTGTGGGTGCCGGTCGCGCATCTGGCATTTCGACGTCCTCCTGGGCCTCGGTAGCAACGGAGCTAGCACCACCCTGCTCACCGGGCCCGCCAAACTGCATATCGATGCCCAGAAGCACGCTCATAACCTGTAGGAAGCGGGGATCCTGCATGAACTCGCCCACCCTGTTGGGGTTACTCTTCAGCTGCTGGAGCTTCTCCATGAAAGCGGGATCCGCAAGAAGAGAAGCTGTCTTGGGGTTGCTGGCCAACTTTTGAATCATGTTGGGGTCGCTGAACATGCCACCAAGGCCAGCTGACGGGTCACCACCGAGTCCGTCTGCTGCAGCCTCCTGCTCGATAGCGCGGCGGACAGCCGCGAGACCCGACTTAGCTTGAGCATTGTTCGCGTCAAGCTTGAGAGCCTCGTCAAAGGCGTCTGAGGCTCCCACGAGATCGCCGGTGCCGTGAAGCGCTGTGCCCTTGCGTCCCCAGCCCTTTGCCCAGTCAGGCTTGATCTCTGTAGTCTTGGTTGCGTCCTCAAGGGCCTTTTCCCAGTTCTTCAAAGAGGCATATGCGCCTGATCGGTTCGAGTACAGCACGTGGTTGGACGGGTCGAGCTCGATAGCCTCGGAGAACTTCTCGCTGTGTGGTGTTAGTATATGTTGTTGCTGCGGCGGCAATACCTTTGGTGGGGCGCTTACATGGACTCCTCGAACTTCTTCTCCGCAAAAAGCTTGTTGCCCTCTGCCTTGAGCGCGTCAGCCATGATGTGATGTGCGGGTGAATGTGTTGTAGAGGTATCGTAGTAGCATGCAGCTAATTGCAGGCGTAGCGCAGGTAGGGCTCTGGTGCAGAAATACGTTTGGCCTTGCAGCTAGAATGTTCCAGCATGCAACTCTGGCGGGAGAGGAAACGTCTGTGCGCGTAAGGCTGAATGGTGTCATCCCACCATTGCCATGTGCATCAGGCTCAGTGAAACACCAGACCGGTGTATAATTGTAAGTGCGCCCTTTTCTGCGGCCTTTCCTGTCCTGCGTATTTTGCCTTCGGCTCGACCATTATGCTTGGTAACAGTCATCTCCTGCCAATGCATCCTGCAGGCCGCAGCTTCCTGCTTGTCCACAGGTCGTCTTTGCCCAGACCATAAAAGCTAATGTGCACAATAAGCCAATTGCATAGATCGTCTCTAAAATCCCTCTTGTGGACCAAGATTTGAAAAAAAAAAAAACGGAAGCATGAGCGTGGACAAGGCACTTGCCCGCCAGGCCGCCTGGAACTCCCAAGTCGCCCAGAGCGACTGCACAGACAAGATCATCGTACAAAACCTCGCCGTTACCGTCAATGCCGGCACAGACGTCTGGGGCCGTAAGAAGAAGCAACGAGCATTCATAAGTGTCACTGTCACCCTTGGTAACCACTTCGCCTCTGCATCGTCGACAGATACTGTCGATGAGAGCACCGTCCATTATGGTACTTTAAGCAAGGCGATTCAAGGTCGTATCCAAGACGACAGTCTGGAGTGGATGAGCACCGCGGACCTCTCGGTCGCCATTGCTGGCATCGTTCGCACAGCTGCTGGCTCAGCGCCCATCTTTGCAATCGAGACAGATGTCTGCTATCTGAAAGGCAGTATGTTCGGCGACGGAGCCGGCCACCAAGCATCCATTATCACGACAACCGGGATCTACTGTAACGTACTATACCTGCGAAATGTCCGCATACCATGCCTGATTGGCATAAACTCCAATGAGCGACTGCAGAAGCAGCCAGTCGTTGTCAATCTGTGGGTCGACTGCGTCCCTGCATCTCGTGTGGATGACTACGCAGCGCTGGAGACTGCACTTTTTCAGGTATGATCGGTTCGACTTGCCTTCGATACAGTTCTGACTTCTAGCAGATCGTCTCGGCGACAGAGTACGAGACCCTTGAAAGCCTCTTGGCATTCGTTGTGCAGGAACTGAAGGTCAAATTCTTCACCCAGGAAGAGGACCAGAGCGCATACATTCGCCTGCGGATGGAGAAGCCGATGGCGGTACCATTTGCGGATGCTCCTGCTGTCGAGATTACACGCCCATTGAGAGCCATGTAGGAAAGTGGTCGATGCACGGCAACACAACTGGTCAATACTCAAGCTTGAAGAGCTACAACAACGTATCGCTATCGCAAACTTACTTGGGAACCAGAAGTCCGTCCCTGATATGGCATGTGGCTCGTGCCGCTGGTTGTGCATAGGCGAGCACTTTACAGAGCAAGAAGTCAAGCTAGATTATATCGAAATAGATTTTCTGTGGATGGTGGCTGGCTGGCCATTTGCAAATTTAGCAAGACTATCAAATGCTAAAAACCTATACTTATGACAAGTCACGAGACCAAGAGCACATGGCTCTTTATTTAGTCGCAGCACAAGAAATTAGATTGTTCCAAGGGCCAAGTACCATTGCGTAAGTTCCAATGTTCTTACAGCGGGTACCTACATCAAACCGCCGAAAACACCCAAGGTGGCTTGCAGTCTCGAAGCAACTTGACTCGGGAATGTTGTCGAGGATACCCAGCTGTGTCAGTAGATCCCCCACGTGGCTCGAGCACATTCCGCGGACGTGAACGCGCAACGCCACCTGTGTTCACCGCGTTTTTCCGATTGAGAATGTGCCGATTTGCCAGGGTACGATCGAGGATGCACTGAGAGAAAATTCTCATTCCCCATGGAAAGAATATCGTCCGCATTATTGCCACAATCCAAGCTAAAAGGCCAGTCTGGGGAGTTTGTTGGGGAGACTGTCGGGAGGCGTTGGGCACGCTAGAGACGTTATGCAGCTGTCTCCCAGAACTTTAACCGGGCTGGGCTACGAAATTTCGGGCTGGCCATTTGGCCATAGCTCCTAGAGTACCGACCCTCAACAATAGAAGACAGTGCATCGCGACATAGCTACGGCATCAATTGGTCTAAGGGCTATGGGCTTCTGGCGCTTACGGCGTTGCCGTGACAGCTGTGTACGATGTTATCGTAGAGCACGAATGCTGCGCTGCGACGTGGAAGTCAGGGCAGGAGGGGCACGATTAACGCATACGCACCCCTCAACCTCAACTTCTCGACGGGGTGTTTCCGTAGACAGTAATGATAGCTGAGAGGCGCTGGGCTAGACAAGCCAGTGCGGTATAAAGCGTGCTCCCGTTCAGCGCCTTGCACGCCAACGCTCTATACTTTTACAGAACCTGGTTGCGCCCTCTCCTTAAGCTCCATCGCTGTTGCTAGGTCGAGAACGTGCCTTGACTTCCTGCCCCACTAGACACGTCCGGGCGCCGCGTGCCATTGCTTTAAGCAACCTGACCGCCTCGCCCCGTTCACTCCTATCATCGATTCACTCTCTCCTTTCACAGAGTGCACAGAGTGTCTTTTTCCTTCACACGCAACCCACACATACACAATGGCCGGTCGCGCTCTTCCTTCGCACCTGAAGCCCTCAGCCGCTGAGGGCGGTGAGGGTGGCTTCGCGCCTCGTCACCACGGCAAGACGCAGTCCCACGTTGTAAGTACTCTCCTTTCCTGAAGCTGCCCAGCCACTGGCTTCTTTTCCGCCTGTCTGGACGTCGCTGTGTCGAGAGGCACATCTGTACAGAATTGTGCAGTCCCAACGACTCGCGGCGAGCAATTGGACCTGCCGAACGCTTGCAGAAGAGACGCTCTCAGTCTTAAGCTGGCAGCAAGGGCTGGTTTCATAGGTGACCTTCAATATTCGTTACATCAGCGAATGCTTTGGTACCTTCACAAGTCCACCTGTTCCCTCAAATCTTCGGCAATATGCTGTCAACTCAACCATGTTCGCTCCGGCAGCATCTCTGACCACCTACACCCCGAGCGTGGCTGCAACCGCTTCGGGAGCTGTTCAGCTCACTCTTCCTTGACCTTTGCTAACACCATATTTTACAGGCTTTCGAGAACACCTCCACCAATGTTGCCGCTTCGCAGATGCGCAACGCTCTCAACAAGCTTGCCGATGGCGTCACCGACCCCGCGGAGAAGAAGGTGAGCAGTCTCTCTTCCCCACCCAGCAGACCTTCTGCTCCAATTACAGAAGAATGCGAAATTGTGGAATGGGTCACTCGCTGTCTGCCACGAGCACTCGGCGTGGTTGGCAGGAGGGGCTTTACGTCACTAGAACGCATGCTGACCCACGCAGTACTTCGAGACTGAGATGGACAACTTCTTCGCTCTGTTCCGACGATACCTGAACGATAAGGCCAAGGGCAACGCCATCGACTGGAACCGTATTGCTCCCCCGAAGAAGGAGCAGGTTGTCGACTACAATGACCTCGCCAACTCCGAGGCGGTCGAGTACCTCAACAAGCTGGCTGTTGTCAAGCTCAACGGTGGTCTCGGTACCTCCATGGGTTGCGTTGGCCCCAAGTCGGTTATTGAGGTCCGCGATGGCATGTCTTTCCTCGATCTGTCTGTCCGTCAGATCGAGTACCTCAACCGCACGTACGATGTCAACGTTCCGTTTGTCCTCATGAACTCGTTCAACACCGACAACGATACCGCCAGCATCATCAAGAAGTACGAGGGCCACAACATTGACATCCTTACCTTCAACCAGTCCAAGTACCCCCGTATCTTGAAGGACTCGCTGCTGCCTGCCCCCAAGACCCGCGACTCTGACATCGCCAACTGGTACCCCCCGGGCCACGGTGACGTTTTCGAGTCTCTCTACAACACTGGCATGCTCGACAAGCTCATTGAGCGTGGCGTCGAGACCATCTTCCTTTCTAACGCCGATAACCTGGGTGCTGTCGTCGATCTCCGCATTCTCCAGCACATGGTCGACTCAAAGGCCGAGTACATCATGGAGTTGACCGACAAGACCAAGGCCGACGTCAAGGGCGGTACCATCATCGACTATGAGGGCTCTGTCCGTCTTCTTGAAATCGCCCAGGTGCCCAAGGAGCATGTCAACGAGTTCAAGTCAATCAAGAAGTTCAAGTACTTCAACACCAACAACATCTGGATGAACGTCAAGGCCTGCAAACGCGTTGTTGAGCAGAACGAACTTGCAATGGAGATAATTCCCAACGGCAAGTCCATTCCTGCCGACAAGAAGGGCGAGGCCGACATTTCCGTCCTTCAGTTGGAGACAGCTGTCGGCGCTGCCATCAAGCACTTCAAGGGCGCCCACGGTGTCAACGTTCCCAGGAAGCGTTTCTTGCCCGTTAAGACCTGCTCCGATCTCATGCTGGTCAAGTCCGACCTGTACACCCTCCAGCACGGCCAGCTCGTCATTGACCCCAACCGCTTCGGCCCCGCTCCCCTCATCAAGCTCGGTTCCGACTTCAAGAAGGTTTCTAGCTTCCAGAACCGTATCCCCTCGATCCCGAAGATCGTCGAGCTTGACCACCTGACCATCACTGGACCCGTCAACCTCGGCCGCGGCGTCACACTCAAGGGCACCGTTATCATCGTTGCCACAGAAGGCTCGACCATTGACATTCCCCCGGGTTCCATCCTCGAGAACGTTGTCGTCCAGGGTTCCCTGAGACTGCTCGAGCACTAGATGGATATGCGCGGCGTTGTTGAAGTTTTATTAGATTTACGATAACATAGGTCTTTCTGGCGTCGTTTGACCACGATAGATGGTACGCACGTTTGTAGCTTAGCGAGCCTCTTTCCACGCGACGGGGACGTAGTGATGCACGCCTCGGACGCATTACGGATTTAATAAATCAAAAGTTGCATCTTTGAATTTGCGCATGAGTCAAGTGTTTGCTGTCTGCTTGATTAATGCCTCGCGCCCAATTTGGGCATGGGCTTAGCGGTGATGTCAGCCGAGCTTAAGCTGCCTGCCACAGCCTCCGTTGCACCACAGCGCATGCTTGAGCCCTTGAACCGGAGGCGCAGTCAGCTGCGTGCGCATGGCTGCGAACCCAGCTATTATAACAGGTGTGACGCCTAGTAATCAGCAGCAAAACGATTATTTCCCGCGCGACGCGTTCGTTGTTACATCCTACAGCCTGGGTACTTATTTCAGCGGGGCAATTCGGACATTGCATGTGCAGGTATTGGTACCCAACAGATCAGCTGAGCGCGCGTATATGTTACTCGTGAGGCTGTTCACACTCCCGCATGGGCGTTATGGCCACAGCGACGCAAGAAACCAGAGAGCAGCCGCCGCCTGAGAGGACTGCGAACGATGAAGCTGCTCGGCGTGAAGCCTACGACTACTGGGGTTATCTGCTGAGGACGGACAAGTGCGGCACACCGATGCTCGACCGTCTGCTAAAGGGGGTCGCGGAGGTCATCGTGAGTGGAGGACCCAATTACCAAGAACGTCGCCTGGGGATCTAACGTTGTTTGTGCAGAGCAAGAAGTTTGAGCCCAGTGACTCGCCCGACCTCACGCCATCCCAGATCGCAGCATGGTACCGTGCAGTCGGCGGCAACTATGATATGCTCTTCACCGAGACAGCGCCCTCGTCGATCGCCTTCATCTATCGTGCCCTCGGCGCATTCCATAGCCTCCAGCCCTCGGCGAGTGACGATGGATACTCGTCGCCAGCGGTACCAGCACTCAAGAAGCAGGGCTTCGTGACATGGCAGACCATACAGTTGCTACTCGGACCACAAGAGCATGTTCCCTTCCTTCAGAAATCGGTCGAGCAATTCGATGTGATCGATCCAGACACGAAGCAGCCTTTCCTCAAGATACTGCCGAGCGAGTGCTTCCCAGACAAACCGGACGAGGCAATGGAGGAATGGTACGAGGGTGTTGCTACTAGACTTCGCAGGGAGGCAGACGAGGAAGCAACCGGAGTACGTGCGGAAAAGGAGCCGCGAGGCGCAGCCGACTTGTCAGGAGACGGATCGTCGGCAGACGAGAGGACGGGCGCATTCAAGTACTTCGAGGATCCCATGTACCGCAAGGCCAGGCCAAGACCAACGTACATGCGCCATGTATCGAAGGAGCAAGCTCGCGCGAACAACGATGGACCGATAGCAAGAGTCAGGCACATGCTCAATCCGTGGGCCAGGCGGCGTAGTCTTCCACCAGGCCGGTATGAGGATGACAGCCTCTCAGACGAGGATGCGACCCCCGTTGCACCCAATCCAAATCAGCGCTACCCCACCCACAAGCGCCCTCACCCACCTCGACGAGAGAGCTCGCTGTCTACTACAGACTCGGACTCCGATCCCGATCAGCCGCCTTCGAGACAACGCACACCTGTCCTCCGTCACCATAGGTCGCACGAACAACAAGCAGTCTCGCCGAGGGAGTACTTTCCGGCCTATCATGAACAACACAGGCCTTTGGCGCCCCAACGTCTATCGAATGAGCGGCTGGATGCCAGGACGTCGAGTGCGCCTTCTCCTGTTCCTATCTACGGTCCTACAAAGTCTCCCCTCTTCGCCACAACGGTCGCGCAGCAAATGCAAGCGCGAAACCACTACGATCGGCCTCTTATGACTGCGCGGGGAAGCTACAGACCTGTGCCGGCGCCAAACGTCAGATATGCAAGTCATTCGACGTCGGTGAGCCCACAGCACGCCAACCCACCATACGCGCGCGACCACGACCGCTACGGCCACGGCGACAGAGACACATCATACGAAGGTAGTAGCAATCATGGGAGCAGCCAATCGCATCGCCGGCACTCGTCAACAGGGGATGCGATGTACCCACGCGAGCGGTACGAGCGCGACCGTGAGCGTGACGGTGCGCGAACACGCTCCCACGACCGTGTCCAAGATGAGTGGGACGAGGGCGAACGAGACAGGAGTCGGGGCAAGAGAAACTACGACCGGAGTCGAGAGCACAGCCGCGAGCGAGAGCGGGACCGGCACAGAGCAAGCCACAGGTATGTCGCAGGCGTCGAGGGCGGTGTCAGCGGGAGGAGGTATCCTGTCATGTCTGCCAATCCTTCTTACTAAAAGGTGCATGTAGGGTCGGAGGACGCATCGTCAGGCTGCTGAAGGAGTTGTGAGACGGATGGGACGTATGTGGGTACAATGGCAGGTGTGGCTGTGGTGGCTGTGCGTGGCGCAGGCTTGCAAACCCGTGGGGTGGAAGTGAGGCCGGGGAAAGGCGTGGCACAACGAGTAATGACTAATGATGATACGACACAATCGCGCAATGCGCCTGACGGCACAAGTGCCGATTACAGAGATGGATGCCGTGTCAGAGTGCGCGGAGGCTGCGGATGCTCGAGATGAAGATTTGCAGATGGTGTTCAACACGATTCGGCGCAAAATGATCAGCCTGAAATGATGCGAGCTGGATCGGACCCTGCTGAAAGCGGACAACGGGGCTCGGCGACCACGACGAGCCAACCACAGCAGCTGCAGGCCGCAAGCGGAGTCGCCGAAGCGCTGCATGCTGCACGAAGCAGCTGCAAGTGAAGCACACGGAGCTGGCAAGCCTGAGAAGGCAAACTACGGCTGATGAGCCAGATGTCAAATAGGTAGGTAGCGATTTAACCATGGTCCATGCTTGGTCGTGTAGATCGATGGCACTGCCACAATATGTAATGACATGGCGGTGCTAGCTTTTCTCGCGGGCCCGTGAGTAGCGTTAGAACGTGAAGCTCCCATAGAGCTCCTCGCTCCTGAGAGAGCTGTCCCGCTTCGTGCATCCTTCCACACGCCCGCCCCTCTCTCGGCGCCCATTGTTTCTCAGCCACTCTCCATTCTTTCGCCGGCTGCCGTGTTTACTGTGCTCTTGCCAAGCACCTCCAATTGGCCCGGCTGTGCACACGAGCTGTTGGTTGCTGGGTTAGCTGCGGGACGTGTGCACGCCTCCGGTCAGATAGCGAGGCCGTCTAACCGGGTCAGCCAGCAGGTTCGCTGCAGCTCCACGCCCAACACACGAGCGCGCTGTCTGTCCTCTGTACTCTCTGTCCTCTCGGCTGAAGCCCGGCTATCTCGACCGTCTCGGCCGTCTCGACTGCGCGCCCACCCCTCTCCCCTCGCTCTGGATGCGCATGCGAGCAGCGCAGTGAAGCCGAGCCATGTCGCACCCCAATGGCACAACATCACAGGCTGCCTCGGAGCTGAAGCAGCAGGGCGCCCTCGAAGCTGCGCGCGACCCCAATTCTAGTGTCACGGCTGAGGCCGCAGAGCAGAGCGTCGTCGAGCAGGCGCGCCAGGGCGGCAGCGCGGCCTTCCAGTTCGACCCCAACGCCAGCCCCGAGGAGAAGCGCGCCCAGGCACGGGCACGGGTCCCGCCTGGCTTCCACCACGAGCGCAACCACAATGCCACCGCCCTGGTCTCGGACGCCGACGACGGCGCAAACGGCGCGCCCAAATACGACCTCCCTCCGCCCACCAAAGCCGGCGCTGTCGACCCGCCCTCGTCCCCCACTGCCAACGGCCATGCGTCGGAGCTCGATGCAGATGCTCGCTGGGAGCGCGTTGGCTGGGCTCCCCGCTTCGGCATGCCGGGCTCCGAGGACAAGGACGAGGACGAGGGCACCTTGCTCGACCACCAGACGTACCTGGAGGGCCAGCTCGACGACAAGTTCTTTGGTGACTGGTACCACAATACGGGCGTCATCATATTCGCCTGTCTGAGCTCGTGGGTCGTGGCCACGCTAGGTGGAGGCCTGGGCTGGATCATGATCATCATGGCCATCTGCGGCACCTACTACCGCACCTCGATCCGCCGCGTGCGCCGAAACGCCCGCGACGACCTCAATCGCGAGATGGCCAAGAACAAGCTCGAGACGGACACCGAGAGTCTAGAGTGGATCAACAGCTTCCTCGTCAAGTTCTGGCCCATTTATGCCCCTGTGCTCTGTGACACGATTGTCGGCTCAGTCGATCAGGTGCTGTCCACCTCCACGCCTGCATTTCTGGACAGCTTGAAGATGAAGACGTTCGTCCTGGGTACCAAGCCACCGAGACTGGAGCACGTCAAGACGTACCCCAAGACTCAGGATGACATCGTGCTCATGGACTGGAAGTTCAGCTTCACTCCCAACGACGTCAACGATCTGACTGCGCGACAAATCAAGAACAAAATCAACCCCAAGATTGTCCTTGAGATCCGCATCGGAAAAGGGCTTGTCAGCAAGGGTCTGGACGTCATTGTTGAGGACATGGCCTTTTCTGGCCTTATGCGCCTGAAGTTCAAGCTACAACTTCCGTTTCCTCACATCGAAAAGGTCGAGATGTCTTTCCTCGAGCGCCCGACCATCGACTACGTCTGCAAGCCTCTCGGTGGTGAGACATTTGGATTCGACATCAACTTCATTCCCGGTCTAGAGACATTCATCATGGAGCAGATTCACGCCAACCTGGGCCCTATGATGTACGATCCTAACGTATTTCCCATCGAGATCGCCAAGATGCTTGCAGGTAACCCCGTCGATCAAGCCATCGGCGTGCTGCAAGTCACCTTCCATGGAGCACAGGGCCTCAAGAACCCTGACAAGTTCTCTGGCACGCCTGACCCCTACGCGACTGTCTCAATCAACAACAGGAACGTGCTGGCAAAGACCAAGACTGTGCATGAAAACGCCAACCCTCGCTGGAATGAGACTGTTAACATCATTGTCACATCACTGAAGGACTCGCTGACCATCAACATTTTCGACTACAATGACATTCGCAAGGATAAGGAGCTTGGAACCGCCACGTTCGCGCTCGAACAGCTCGAGACAGAGACTGAGCACGAGAACATGCACCTCGAAGTCATGTCTGGTGGTCGACCACGCGGTATTCTCCAGGCTGATGTCCGCTTCTTCCCTGTTCTTGAAGGCGCCACGCTGCAGGATGGTACCAAGGAGCCACCACCAGAGTCTCGCACTGGTATCATCAAGTTTACCGTCGAGCAGGCCAAGGATCTGGATGGCACCAAGAGCATGATCGGCCAATTGAGCCCATACGCTCTCCTGCTTCTCAATGGCCGCGAAGTCCACAGGTCGAAGGTTATGAAGCGCACAAATATTCCCATCTGGCCCGATGCGAGCAAGGAAATGCTCATCACAGACCGCAAGAAGGCGAAGCTTGGTCTGGTAATCAAGGATGATCGCGACCTGGCTGCGGATCCTATTCTCGGAACATACCAGATTACCATCGATGACATGCTCGAGCTCACAGCAAAGGGTCACGAGTGGTACAATCTGGCTGGCGCTCATACTGGACGCGCGAAGATGAAGCTCGAGTGGAAGCCTGTCGCACTGAAGGGTTCTCTGTCATCCGGTGGCTACCTCACACCAATTGGTGTCATGAGGCTACACTTCCAGAGCGCTCGTGACTTGAGGAATCTGGAAACCATGGGCAAGTCAGATCCGTACGTCCGCGTCATACTGTCTGGTGTCGAGAAGGGCCGGACTGTCACGTTCAAGAACAATCTGAACCCCGACTGGGACGAGGTTGTCTACGTCCCCGTACATACTGTACGCGAAAAGCTGACGCTCGAGGTCATGGACGAGGAGAAGCTGGGTAAAGACCGCTCTTTAGGTCATATCGAGCTGGCTGTCGCCGACTATGTTCAACAAGACGACAATGGCGATTACATTGTTCATGAGCAGAAGCAAATCACCTCCGGTCCACTTCGGATGTCAGGTATCTCGGCTCCCAAGGGCACACTGAACTACACCTGTTCATTCTACCCCACAATTCCCACCTGGGATCCTGAAGAAGATGCAGAAGAGGAGGAAGAGAAAGAGACGACACCGCCGAATGGCAACTCTCGTACGGCTAGCATCCGAACGGCAGGGTCCAAGGCGCAAGCTTCGACTCACGCGCGCACTATGTCTGGCACAAGCCAGCTCGTTAGGTCCGAGACTGCAGGCACCATCTCCTCACTTGCAGCGAGCAGCAACAACAGGGACAGTGCCGCCGACTTGGCGAAACAGCTCGAGAAGAACGAACATCAACAGGACGAGCCGATCCCAGAAAAGCACAAGATCGAGAAGCTGCGCCTCAACGCCGAGGATCTGCAGCAGTATGGTAAGCTGCGTCGCGAGGAGAACGATATAGGAAGGTTTAAACGGTTGAGTTGGTGTCCCCAGCCTGCTGCCTTGCACCTATATTCTTATCTTCCTGTTTGACCGAACAGTGCTGACGATTGACAGAATCTGGTCTTCTTGTGTTCAAGCTCATCGACGGTGAATTTCCTGATGCGGGCGGATACGTTGATGTCCTGATGGACGACATGGCATACCCGAGCTACTCCAGCGCCAAGATCAAGAGCCGCCATATGACCTTTGGCGAAGGTGAGTCTTACCATGACTGGCTACCGGACGTTACTGATCCGTTGTAGTGGGCGACACTATGGTCCGTGAGCTCGACTTCTCTAAGATCACCCTTCGCATCATCGAGCACATCGACAAGGATGGCGATGGTGATGACGACCATGTGATTGCCAAGCTCACGGGCAGCACTATCGACACATTGCGGAGATGCCTGTACACACCTACTCAGCTCACGTTGAAGGACAAGCATAACAGGGAGTACAAGATCACCGTCAGTCTCAAGTATCTTCCCGTCAAGATGCGCCTGGACCCCAGCGAGTCATTCAACAACCAAGGCACACTCCGCGTGGACGTCCTCGATGCAGCTGATCTGCCTGCCGCCGACCGTAACGGCTTCTCAGATCCTTACTGCAAATTCATGCTCAATGACAAGGAGGTCTACAAGACGAAGACACAGAAGAAGACACTGCATCCAGCGTGGAATGAGTACTTCGAGGTGCCGGTGCGGAGTCGAACGGCAGCAGACTTTGTCGTAAATGTGTACGATTGGGACTTTGGCGACAAGGCTGATTTCCTTGGCAAGTCTGCTATCAACCTTGAGATATTGGAGCCATTCCAGCAGCAGGAAGTTACCCTTGGCTTGGACGGCAAGAGCGGTGCTATCAGGCTCAGGATGCTGTTCAAGCCCGACTACGTCGTTCGCGCACGCCAGGGCTCCTCTACCTTTTCCGGCACCTTCGCTGTCCCCGGAAAGGTAATCGGTGCACCCGTCAAGGGCGTAGGGAAGGGCGCAGCTTTTGTAGGCGGCAATGTCGTCCGTGCAGGCACCTTCCTTGGTCGGGGCTTCAGGCGCAGAAAGTCGCGCGGTGCGAACGGTGACGAGGACCTCGAGCGCCCCTCCTCCGCAGACAGACCTAGCATGGACGTTCCGGTTGTCTCAATCGAAGAAAACGGAAACCCATCCTCCGTCTCCGCCGAGCCCACAACTCCTAATCGCAACACCGCCGAGCACAACCGCCACCGCAGCTGGGGCGCGCAGTCTTTCGCCAGCCGCAAGGGCGACAGCGCGGTCCCTGGTGCCGGCGACCACGGTACCGCTAATATTCAGATTGTAAGTGCTGACGGCTTCCCGCCTGGTACGAACCTCCGCGTCTTCGTGTCAATGGGCAAGAAAGATGTCCACAAAACAGACCATGTCAAGACGGCCACGGGCTCAGTCGAGTTCCCCCATGAATCCTTCAAAGTGCCTTGCACAGCCGATTCTTTCTTCAAAGTCACCGTCAAAGACCACGCGACGTTTGGCCGCGACGACGAGCTCGGCGAGGCACAGTTCACCATCGATGACTCTGGTGCGGGCGGTGAGAAGAACGTCGGTGTCGGCAAGGGCATGGTGGTCATTAGAAGCAGTTTCATCCCTGCTGATGCGGGAAGTATCGCGGGGAGCGTGAGTCCGCGGGTGCAGAGGGAGAAGCGGGGCTTGTTGAGCAGGGGCAAGGAGAGGAGTCCCGCGCCGCCGGGTGCCTAGAAGGCAACTGCCACATCAAAGATGCAGAGAGCTCGGTATAGCGGTGTCTCTGCATGCTGTGGTAGCGAGGCTAGCCTGGCTTCTAAGAGGAGCGTCCACGAAGAAGTGCCAAGGGGCAGAACAACAGCACGATGAACGATGTAATGGTTGGATTCTGTGGGTTCGTGCCATGAGGATTCCCTAGATTCGACTGCGGCATTCTCTACCTTGATCTGGCCGCAGTCGGCTGTCTCCTCCTATTCTTCTTCCCCTATTTGGAGGGTACTTCATACCAGACTCCTTCAATCAAATATTTCAACACCACCCCGCGCTCTGCAAGACCCAATGTGCGCGCTTTTTGTTTTTTTTGTTCAATTGCTGCTCACACCGCGGCGCTATGCTGAGCCTATTGGCTCTCTTTTGTGGTTTACCGCGCGCTGGTCGCGTAATCAGAGCACTTATACTGCAGTACTACAGCTAGTACAGTGTCTCTGCTACGTCTATGCCTCAGATTAGGTGGCTGTAAGTTTCCGCACGTATTAGTTGGAACTCTAGACCGTAGGCTACAGAAACCGACCTTCACCGTAGTCGTATACCTGCGGTTGGACACGCTGGTAGGGAGGAGAGTGACGGAGATGGAGATTCAGGCTGAATGCTTAAGGGGCATGATGCGGTATGTAGTAGGTAGTCTTGGGTGGTATGTTTTCTCTTCTGAAACAAGGAGAGAAGAACGCAGGAGACGGTGATTCAGGTTGATGGCATCGAGGGCGCGAGAGGACTTAAGAGCGCTGTTGCTAGTGCGGGTTTCGCGATTTCTCGTGCCATGTGCATTGGAAAGGCGGCGTTTGCTGAGGGGAAAAGGTGCAGTCTCGAGGTATTATCATTGTCAGGTTTTGACGTCGAGTTCCTGCGTCCTCACGCCTAGATTTCTGCATTACGACGTCAATCCGCGTCCGGCTCCCGGACTGAAAGTGCGACTGTGGTCTCAGCGCTCTCGACTATCGACCGCAAAGCCCGTGCCGTCCTTTTGCGTCACAGTAGTCGAGACAAGAATACCATCGTGTGTTGTTCTCAACTGCTCCTGACTACTGTGTGCGCCTGCCCAGTGCAGGTCCGTCGTCTCCAAGCCCAAATGTTGATTGCGCTCACGTGCTCTCATGCTGCCGATTGTTCGGAGTTGCACATTGCTGCTTCCTTGTCCGGTGCCCCCAGTATGCTTTTGATAGCCTTGCGAGTCGTATGAAAATTTCGTTCGGGCCGCGTTTATGAGCACCGCGAAGGCTGGACAACAGCCGATGATGACCGCTTCGAAAGCGTTAGTGGAGAGAGGATTGTATATGTCTGCATACATACCGATAGAACATTCTACCATGCCCCATATAGCTAGCCATGTGGGGTCCAGTGGTTGCCCTGCAGCCTCAGGTTTGGCGGCATTGACAGCGACTTGTGTGACTCGGAGACAGGCGAATAGTATGCAGATGACACCAGTTCCGAACAGCGTGAGAATGGCGTTCTTCTTGCTGCGCGGCATCTGCAGATTCCAGGTAAGACTCATGGGCAGAGCCATGACTGTTGGATCGATAAATCAGCTGAGACTGTCGCGATGCGAGAGTGGTGATCGAAGCCCAGGAGACTGACCCATGATATTTGTGGCTGTGTCCACCGTGAAGGAGTAGTAGAGACTAACTAACTGCGCGTCTTTCGCTGCATTACCTGCCTAGAATCGAGAAGTCAGTACGTTGTCGAGGTGTAAGTCTGGCTAAAACTTACACAACCGCCTGTCCAAAATCCTGATATGGTGCCGCAAGATCTGAAGTAGAAGACATAGTTTCCAGCGAACGTCTGTGCCACAGTCAGTGCCCCGCTCAGGTCCATTCAAATAAGACGCGATACATACCACGAGGCAAACGCCAACGATGCTCCACCAGATGACTCTGTAACGCCTTGGCAGACCTACGAGCAGTCTGCGATACAGGCACAGGAGCGAGAACTTAATAGACCAGAGTGTCATCCAGAACATACAGGGAGCCGCGAAGATCATCTTGGTCATTTTGACAATCTCGTACTGTAACTCGGGATAAGGCGGTCTCTTGCCGTTGGCAACGTCGTATATCCTCTGCATGTACGGCGACAGAGCGATGTAGAGAGCACACATGATCGCGTAGCACGCGAAAGCAGTAAAGACGAGGAAATCGGATGCTGTCAACTGTTTGGGCTTGACAATGCTGAGGCCGGCTCTCGCGAGGACGACACAGCTGGTCAATCCAAGCATGGAGTATGCGACCTTGAGGACGGTTCCCTGGGAGAATCCATTCGTCAATTCAGACATGGCGAGGATTTGGATGGAGAGGAGTGACAGTGCATTACTGCGCTTGGGATACCAGGAAAGCGTCGTAGTTAGTCGTAGTTAGAAATACGGAAGCAGGGAACCTGTAGTCGAGATTATACTACTCGTGTTTCATCTCGTACGCAGTGAGGGCTGCAGACAGCCTTCACCTGTCCGTCATGGGTACATGGCATAGCCAAGGATAGGGCGTGTCATAGCTCCGATCTTACCGCCAATGGCGTTGAGAGACTGAAGAAATTTGGGCATCGGCTTTAGGACTGAACTTCTCGTGGCCGGTTCAGCAACTTTGAAGCGATCATGCCTAATCAACAGCACACCTCATACGACTTTCATGATGCATCCATCCATCTGATGTAGGCACCTGGTGCAGCTTTCTCCGAAGGCGATAAGGAGGTCAACCCTTAGAAGACCCAAAACACGATCACACCACCATGCAAGGAAATTGCTTCGCGTCACACTGGTCGGTCCGAATATTGTTGTGAAGTTCAATGGCAAGGAGGCGGGGCGGATGGCGGCCCAGCTGGGCCGCGGGGAAGAGCCACGGCTTGGTACATGATTGGTCGCTATCGGGCCGTCACCTGGCGTTGGCGTGCTGCTGGCGAATCTCCCGTCACCAAGTCATATGTTCCCATAGATACTTCGCTGTTTATTGCCGATCAGGAGATCTGCGTACAATGAGTGCGGCGCGTCCTGACTGGACTCTACCGTGTGAGGCTTACACAGACCCGACATAGCGTGCGACATCCATCCTTCCGCAGGAGCCGCGATTGCCCCTGCTCTGCGGGCGAGGCTCTCAATCATGGATTGCAGCGCGAAGGATTGCTCTAGATCTCACAAGGATAGACTCAGCACAAATTTAGTCCAAGTCAGGACTCGGAGAGTGGAAAGTCCGAGTCTATCCTGGACCCTTGTTATCAAACAAGATCACGTCCACTCACATAGGAACTGATGTCGTCCACAAGATTTGCAGTACATTCTGCTTTTGAGAAGCGAGGTAAGTTCAACGCCATTATCTCCGATACTAATGCCGCTAACCAGTCTGTCGGGCCAATGAAGAGCCTTCACCGCGTCTAAGTCTTTATGCATCCTTGCGATTCACACTCGACAAACGCGCAATCGCTTAGGAGAGCCTTCCTCTATCTAGACCTGGACATCCGTCCTTCGTGTATGCTCAACACGGCAGGTGGTGCGGCAAGGTATACCAATGGGATCATTTCGAAGCGCTAAGCATTAATAAGGAGCTGCAATCTCCCACCCGTCTGGTCTGTCATCAGCCATCATAAGGTTTCTCTGACGGCAACCATCGGTTTCCAGTATGAAAGCTCAATCTATCCTGTCACTTGCAGCCATCGCTGTCAATGCGGTGGCGCAAGAGATCTTTGAACCTTCGGACTTCAATGCTACCGACGCTTTGATTGCAACCGGCGTTGATGTCTCTGCCCTTCCTGAACTAGCTTACCTCACAGAGAAGCGATCTCTGTTCAGTCCCTGTGCTACCGCCGTAAGTGAGTTTCACCGACTGCTCTGACAGATTATTAACATCGATAACAGTGCAACTCTCTCAGGTTCATCTTCAAGAAACAGGTTCTCACTAGCGGGTCCTACGAGTACGATGCGTTCACGGACAGCTATTGGTCAACACAGACGGCATCAGTCAAACCTTATTGTGTGTTTAAGCCTGCAAGATCAGCAGACGTCGCGACACTGGTACTGCTCTCTCGCCTTACACAATGCCCGTTCGCCACCAAGGGCGGTGGACATACTGGGTTCCCTGGCGCATCTAGTATTGAGGATGGTATCACTGTGTCGCTGGAGGACATGAACGAGATCACACTCTCGGCCGACAAGAAGACTGCTGCGATCGGGCCCGGTAACCGCTGGGGTGCAATATACACGAAGCTCGCGGAGCACAATCTCGCTGTAATTGGAGGACGTGCTTCTGATGTCGGGCTCGGTCTTGTGGTAAGTCGATATCATAAGCACACATTGGAGTAGAACCTGACCTTTTCGTCAGCTAGGGGGTGGCGTTTCCCACCACAGTAACATCTATGGCTTTGCCTGTGATAATGTGGCTTCTTTTGAGGTGGTCACTGCCTCAGGCATCACTCTGACAGTCACGCCCACCAAGTTCCCTGACCTTTATTGGGCTCTCCGCGGCGGTGGCAACAACTTCGGCGTTGTGACGAAGTTCACTTTGGAGACGGTCTCTCAGGGCTTGATGTGGGGTGGCACTCGCATACATCTGGAAGCAGACTATCCAAAGCTCATCGATGCCTTTGCAACGATGGCGGAGAACACAGAGACTGACCCCAAAGCCGTCCAGATCTTGTCCTTTGCGGTAACAGCAGGCTCTCCCGCAGCACAGATCCAGCTTGAGTACCTCGAGCCGGTTGACGAAGCCAACCCACCCGCCATTCTTAAGAACTACCTATCGATCCCTCCAGTCATACAGAGCACGATCAACCGAACCCTGGCATCAGACACGGACATGCTCAACGCACAGATGCCTGCAGGGCATCGCTACTCCTTCTGGGCCGGGACCTTCAAAATCGACCGTGACTTCATGGCTTGGATGCAAGCACTGCATCAGAAGAACGTCGGATCACTGCCCGACCAAGGCTCCTTGACGTTCCAAGCCTTCACTGTCCCCGCTCTCAAGCAGATGAGCAAGAAGGGCGGCAATGCACTTGGCTTGAATCCTGCTGACGGACCGCTTTTCCACGTTCTCTTGTACATGATGTGGGACGATGCGGCAAAAGATGATACTTTGAACAAGGCCGCCTCCGAGTTCATGGAGGCTGTGAAGGTCGAGGCGAAGAACAGAGGATTGTACAACAGGTACATCTACATGAACTACGCGGGACCTTACCAAAATGTGGTACCAGGCTATGGGGAAGAGAACTTGGCGAGGCTGAAGAGCATCGCGAACAAGTATGACCCAAAGGCCATTTTCCGGAAGCTGCAGCCCGGTGGCTACAAGCTGGAAGGCGCACCATATGGTTATTTCATAAACCAGACGCTCTGGCGGTAACTCACGACGCTAAGTAGCTACTTTAGGGTGCGCCAGCACGTGCCCAGGCGGAGCGTCAGCGGAGCTGATTCATGAGATAATCATATGGCGAGACCATTTTGTTCTCCTAGAGTTCGCACATCTTGAGCAGAGAGGGAGATCATTTAGTTTCAGCAGATAGATGTGTATAATGGCCCAGCATCGGGTTCTCTGATGCCAGAATGATGCATGGGGCCCCGTTATGCCCTTTCATTCTGACCACACAGACAGTCGCGAACTTTGCACATAAGCTCAAGCATCTTTATTAGTTCACTTGAGCGAGACACAACTGGGCGTAAGCCTTGGCTCGTCGTTCATTGGCTGGTAGGTATGTAGCCCGAGGTTACAAATGTCAGCAGCACAGCACGCCCTGGCGCGGGCACTCCAACTAAAATGTCAACGTTGGCCATGATGACAACAACATCGACAGGCATACAATAGGCGGCTCTCGTGAGTGCGCTGGACAAGTCAAGCGCAATATGATGACTACGAAAAGCACCACCGAGTTGACGGATCCTAGTCCCCCCTTTTAATTCATCTGTTAGGGGGAGATATTCACGAATCAGCTTACGAATCGATTTACCGATCTCGAGCTCTTTGATCAGTCACCGCCTGATGTCCAAGGAGCGATTCCGACGATGGTTACGACTGGGCAGTCGTTGTTGCCTGTTCGTTCCTTCTCTTCTGGTCCAAGGACCACACCACAGCCCGGGACGTTCTGCACTGACACAGAGCAGACTTGGCCGGCCTCTTCAGCACTTCAACAGCTGTAGGCTGTTTTCTGGGCAGTTGGGCGTGCGATAAGATTGGTGCTTCAACATCATGATGTTCACTTGGTTCGGTCAGTATGCTAGCAATGTGGCCAACGAGTGCATCCTTGTTCGCCTTTGCCATCGTCAGTGGGTGTGCAAGCGGTAGCTTCTTCGTCGGCCTTCTCACTGCCGTCGCTTTGGTAGCGCCACACTCTGCGGCCGCATCCATCGCTTTGATGGTCTTCTTCTGACTTTTGTAATATTTTGGGAGCACATCTTGCTGGCTTCTTGATCGAAGGGACAGGCGCCGTGGATGCTGTGTTGATCGGACCCTACCGGGCGGCAATAATTATTCTGCGCCGCCAAGATGGGTATGCTGGCGATCCAAGGGTACTTGAAAAGCTGTGACTGAAAGTACGAAAGTCAATGGTATTTGATCGCTAACAACAAATTTTGAAATGTGCTATCTGTCGATGTTACTGAGGCGACTGGAAGGACAACCATACGCAGCACAAATGACAGGCTTCTTGATAGGCTGCCCTGTATGCTCAGAATCTCGGTCAATTTTCACGTGTGGAAGTCTCTGTCAAAGAAGGCTCAAATTGGATTGTTACGGACCGAGTGTACAAGTCACAGTTCGCTACCTCTAAGACAATTACTATGCCTTTGACCTTGCGTCCAAGGCCAAGAAGTGGACGATTTTCCATTAAGCCGCTTTCTCGTCTCCATGCGAGACTGCAGTCCGGACCCACCCGTCACACCAACCAAAAATTGCATTTCAGTCAGCTGGCAACCATCTTACAGTCGCGTACAGCGGACTGCTAGCCCTGCGTTGGACTCAATGGTGCCGCAAAAGTCCCGCTAAGATTCGGTTGGCGGGATTCCAAGAAGCGAATTGAAGAGTGGTGTGCTGGAGAAAAAAATTATTTCTCGTCAAAAGCCGCAACGGGGTGTGATGGCTTCGATAGCGGGAAATCATGGAGCCATGCTAGCGTAAGCGGGCCGATCCCGTAGTGACAGGTGGTCGTTGGCGAGTTTGCATACGCGATACTGTGGTTGTCGCCCTGCATTCAGCAGGGGTGGACGATCTTGCTGCGTCTACGGAAGGTGGTATGTGAGACTCGTGTGAAGATGATCTCAACCATTCTTCACTGTGATCATTGGGGTCCCTTTGTCTTTACACAGCATTTGTTGAGCCTGGTATCTGCGGTGACGACACGGAGCCCTTGATACGGATACATGGAGCCGCAACCTGAGGTCGGCGACCTGGGTGGCCAAGCGCTCAACTTGAGGCCTATATTCTGCATAAACGTTTCATTAATAGACCTCGCCAATCTAATTGGTAGCGGCTCGAGGCGCTGGTGCTGGCTGTTGACGCAAGTATCGTACGTTCTTTGCATGCGTAGTTGCGCCAAAGGTAATTGAGCTCCCCTTCGGTCTGACGGTCCGGATCTGTGGGGCTTGTCATGCAGGTCTTGATTGGATCTCAAGATCTCTCCCCCTTGCCACTGTTAAGGAAATTGATAGAGTTGAACCATACAAGGGCCATGAGGCAGGTGAGATTTCGGTACGTTACCTGTAATGCTCGCTTGTGGCTGATCTGCGGAGGGCGGCCGGAGGCGAATACTTCTCCTGCTAGGTGCGAGAAAAGTAAACAGGCTTGTGAACAGTTACACAAGGACTGACAGTCTGGTACTCGATCCTGCAGTCAGCCGATGCTGGATGGAAGTCTGATCTTTGTTGACGCCCATCGCTCGCTTGCAGGTCGCCGACAACGCCCTTCAAACGGTCGCAGCCACAGTCCAGAATATGCATTCTCAAGCTCTAGAACGCAAAAGAAAGTATATCGACACCATGCGACCTCTGTATTACATCTTCGCTCGTAGCTCATGGATTGGTATTCGCTTGGATGAACTTCAACCAATCAAGTTCCGCCGAGTCATTGTCTCCTGTGTTGATCAAGGTAACGATATCATGGTGCATGGAAGCTACTAACGGCTGTAAGAATTGGAGGTCAGGGCTCAGGGCTAAAGTCTTCGTGAATCCGGTGTCGCAAAGCAATGCCAGTTCCACATCCGCGAAGAAGAGCGAGTCTCGTTGGCGTCCTTCCCGTATGCTCGTTGAAAGTGTAGCGAACACTGGTCTGTACGCTCGACGATCAGTCGTGGTGCTCGCGAGCGGCACGCGGGCGACACGCTCAGCTCGTGTTGTAGCAGGAGTTGACAGGATTGCGGGAAGCTCGCGTTCCGCACTGCTGTCGTGTAACCCGATCGAAGATCGATTCCTTCTTGCATCTTGTCCTAACTCGTGCAGTCAAAACCCGAATCCGAGGATCAGGATAGGAATGTACCATCGGAACGGGTCGACTAGCGTAAGTGAATATTGGTTGCAGGGGCAGTGGATGGGCGAGCAGACGTTATGTATGTGTGAACCACGATGGGGACTTTTGCGGTGATTGACATACTCTTGGTCTTTTGCATGGGTTGATTGATCCTCGGAGTCTTTCAGTCGGTGCAATTGGTACCTTGATTGTGATACAGCGGATTGGCATCCCACGTGTGCATGTCATTGTGCTTGCATTCTGGTCGCGAGTTCCAGGTGCGAAGGATCGAACAGCGAGGCTGCGAGACAAGGATGTGGCAGCCACCAAAAACAGACATGTGGGCGACTTGATTTGATAGACGCGGATAGCGACTTTTACGTACTGCATTGACAGGAGACTCAAGGCTGTGCAAGCTGTCCGGCGACATACAAACGAGGGTAAAATAATGTGTCAGGCGGCATGGAAGCGGGGACGACGTTGCTTTTTGTCGGCCGGTGGCTGACTAACGCTGACGACAACTTGGGAATTGGAGGATAGCACATCGCATAGCACAAAAGTCAGATTCAAAGTTTTCGGGTCAATTTGTTGCAAATTTTATTGATACATGTTGATCGGAAACGGCGTTAGTTGGTGCTTTAGGTTGCTAGCCCATTTTGAGAGACAACCTTCGCTCAATGCTAGCAGAAAAATATTCACGTAATGATAGGCTTGCTGAAGTACAAGCCAATGAAAAGACAAGAGCGCCGAGGCAGCATGATACGGAGTGGGGTATATCGTAAGATTCCCCAGGCGCTCCATTGCCTACCCACCGTTTCCACTGATCTATGATCATCTGCTCCACATTCATCGCTGCGATCCCAGTAGCGCCTGTAGCCGTGGAACAGTTCGGAAACGGGTATTAATACATCGAATACTGGTGTCGAGCGTCCGGACGGCGGCAATTCGGGACAACGCACCCCTGTTCGGTCATTGGCGAGATGACCATCCCTGACTCTGCGTTATCTAAAAAAGAGGCTGCGGGATTCGTCGACCACTGAATATGCATGTCGCAGTGCTCGTCGTGAACAAGACTGTGCGCTTTGTTCGCCGGAGACGAGTAAGTGGGTCGCAGAGTGGGTGGCGTTGTCGCGAGTTCGTGCAGCGCCGGACATGAATTGTGTCTGAACTGTGCTGCTGACGTCCGATCATTCTTGGGTGCTGATGCAGGCTGATGCCATGCTTTAGTGAAGGTAACATTCCCGCTACCTCCTGTCCCAGAGTCTGGCCTTGGATCGTGCGATTTGGGCTCAGATGGAGTGATCTGACGCGACTCCGGATGCTGTGAATGAGGCGACTGCCCTCTTTGTTGACGATGATTCCTTGAGACGATAGTTGCTCCATTGCAGTTCTGTTGCGGGACCGACGTTTCAAGGCTCACAGGCGAGGCTGGGCCCGTTACACTGCTTGGTGGCTGGAAATTGTTCTGTGATGGCGGCGCATAATATCGTCCAAATGCCGATCTTTGGAACGATCCTGCACCGTCATGCAGCTCTTTCGAAATCGAAACAGTCTCATTCGATCTGGTCAGCTTCATGTCAGCCACCGGCTTGGAAAGGCTATAGAACTGCGGATCCTGCTCTTGTTTCAACTGGCTCGGGGTTGTAGCCTCACTCACAGCTTCCATTCCTACGCACATGAAGGGCGCGAAGCATTCGGTTATGTATGATTGCAGGCCTTGATCCTCGAGTATTTGCATGCCTGTGTTGCCCATTACCGTATCGCGAGGGCCTTCTCTGACACTGCATGCGTCATCGTACGTCGTCAATTTGGCGTTGGTGCTTTTCAAAGGTCGATGTGTGCTGTCTTCTCCAATCATCTTGCGTAGCTGATCAAGACCCCAGCTCAACTTTTCCACCGCCAAAGATGCAAGCTTGTGAACGCCATTGTCTTGCAAATCTCGGAAGACAATGTATGCGTGCTCGATTTTTCTCACATGGTCAAAATTACCCGTCTCTAGTGCGTCAAGGAGAAGCAACATGGAACTGTTAAACGCTTGTTGACTTATGGTCCAAGACACGAGCGATGCTGGTGCACGGGCGTAGAAGTACAAGTAAGCTGTCAGGATCCCCGCAGAAGATGCAAGTACTAGAGGTCTGCCCCGTTGCAGACTCGGTGAGGGTGTCGTTGGCGAAGGGGGTGAAGACGGTGTCTTGTTAACTGGTCGGAACGATGAAGGAAGCTTGGTGGCGGATCCATGAGGGGTCGCCAGCTTGTCACTTCTTTGGCGATTCAGAAGGATGAGGCATGTGTGCGTTTTGCAGTAGTAGACTTCGAAAGGTGAGCATTGATCAAAATACTGCTGTTAGTGTAGAGTCACGTACCAGCAGCCATGATGCTCAGGGGCCACTCGGGAAGATCCTTCTCTTTGTCCAACCAGGTTTCGTCGAATTGGAGCATCTCGGGCATGGTATCTAGGAGCGCACTCAGCTGATCCGTGAACCCGTCAATCTTTGCGTTTGACAATTGATCGCTGCTTAGAATCTGTCTGGCCAGAATGGTGAAGTGGTTGATGAATTCTCCAAATCGTAGCATGCGCGGATCTGTGGTTAGTTCATGTGGAGGTGGGCAGTCTCCTATACCGCTTATCCCCAACGGACGTCCCAAAGTCATTGAGTACTGCTCGTCCATGTGAAGCATCCACCACCAGAGAGTTTGCCGAATCGCACATTCACTTTGTGTAGGCGGAGCTGGATCAAGATATTTCGGGTGACGATGGAGACCAATTGCCTGGGCCAATCGAATGGTAGTACCAAAGAGCGTCCATGCGTCCAAGAAGCGACCAGAATTAGACAAGAACGGTCCAATCATAATGAGTGTCTCAATAGCCAACAGCGACGATTTGTGCATGCATGATGAGAGACGTAAAGCTTGCATCGCAGCCGCAACTTGAAAATAATCAGTACCGTTGAGCAATGGCATGGGAATACGTACTATAGACGTTACCTCTTTGCGCCTCCGCATCTACTGATTCAGCTTCCCACGTTCCACCACACTTGTCCCAAACGGAGTGCTGGGCGCCTAACGCTATGGCAGCGAAAATCAGCGCCAACATCTCAGGACACATCCTGGCGTTCCTTTCGGGATCAGCAAGGAAGCGATCAATCTCGTTCTTGGTGAGCTCGATAGGCAGATGAGGGAAAGCGCAGATATAGACGCGCTTCTCGAAAGCGGTCAGATATTCCTGGAGTTCTTCGCGGGACGGCAGAATGCCCAGTAGGTGCGGTATGCATTCTTCTGGAGTGGCCGGAAACAACGTGGCAAACGGATAAGTTGATGGGGCGTTTGGTATGAAAATATCTGGGCCGCGGGGCATATGATGCGCCAGAGATCGTGCATGTGTGGGTGTCAAGTTGACGGATGCAAACTGTCCCTCCGATTAGCAGTTGTTGACACGCAGTATGATTGCACTTGCGTCTGCGATGATGTTTGCGAGCCCCGGAGAGCCGAAGTAGATGGAGTCGGACCACTCGGAACCTTGGAACCTTTTTTGACGTGCTGCACGCCTCCTTGTGGATGAAGCCCTAGAGCGGTCACCGAGTTGGGACTCTGAGGACTGATCGGAGTCGTCGTCCTCATTCGAGACCTTGCTCGTTCTTAAGCGCTCTTTCAATCGTAGGTTCTCTGCTCGAAGTTTCCGCAGCTCATAAGACTGCTGTATTGGAGCATAGTCACCGCCTTCAGCAACGAAGTGGCATTCTTTGGGCGCTCCACGTGCGCAACATGCTGAGCAGGGCTTGGTGCGATCGCATTTAACCTTTCTCTCTCGACATTTGGTACAGGAAAGGAGCTGGCGGGGTTGTTGCGGTTGTTTCTTTCTGATGACATTTATGGGTTGGCCAGTGGGACTTCGAAGGGTACCTTGCGAGAGTGTGGACATGACGGTACGGCCGTCGCGGAGGTTGAGTCTAAACTCGTTGTACCGGTGTCGTGGATAGTTCCAATGTGACGGAGTGTGGTCGACTCGAATCCTTGAACAGAGACGGTGTTATAAGATCCGCGGTCGCCTGCTTGCGAGTAGAGGTCGCCAAGTTTCAGCTTCTATGACAGGTAAGTGCATGTCGCTAGACTGAAGTGGCTGATCCCTGATCTGTCTTCTGTGATCAGTAATTGAAACCCTGCAGCCTCATTCGTGAAACTAGTCTGAGGGATGGGTGGAGAACGTGCACAGTGTAGACGTGGATCCGCATTGGTCCTTGTGCGTCGGCTATGCTCACCAGGTCTCAGTGATACAAAAATATCGCCAAGGGCGTAAGAAGATTGTCGGGACGATACATGATACTTGGTACACAGATCTGGCGCCTTTTGCCAGGGCCCGGTCCGCTGGATCCACCCACGGCGGCCGTACGGCATGCGCATCCACGCGCGTGTCTGCACGAACCGGGTTCCTTGCCGTGATGCACTTTGTTTGTTTCCAGAAACGGATGGATCACGCATCATCCTTGCCCTGTTGACGAAGGTCGCTAGTGCGCCGCAGGCTCTGGGTGGCTTGCATGGGTAGTAATAATGTGCCTCGCCGGCCCGCTGTAACTGTTCGTTACCGTCACGCTTGATGTTCGCCTTCCCCGTGCCGTGCATTAAGGCTATCTGTCCCAAGATGCTTGCCATCACCGTATCATCTTTTGGAACATTTGTAATTCACGTGCCGCTCCCACCCAGACTCATGGTTCGTGGTTCGTGCTGTGATCGCCTGCTCCCCTCTGTCGCACAGAACGCCTCACCGCCACTAACCCTGAAAGCCGGCTTGATCTGACCATTGCTTGAAGAGTGATCTAAGCTGAACCTTTCAGCTGCAGCTTTCTGGGTCCAGACGCTCAACTACACCATCAAGAGTGAGGCTTTGGCTTGACTTTTATCCTGTGGTTTGCCTTCAGAGGGCCTTATTCGGTGTCGGTCATTTCTCGTTTCAAAAGTCGAACAGGCTTGACGTAAATTCGTGCGTTGAACAGGTCCACGCTGTCTAGAGCAACTTCCCACTCGTCACCCAATTGAGCATCTTCCATGTCCCGGATCGCGACTCTCAGACCAAACTCTGGCATGAGGCCGGCCGCCATAGGCTTGGAACCAGGTCGATTTCCTCCCAAGTCGATGTATCTGATCCAGCATTTGAAAGTAGACGGCAACTCGGCTTCACCGTAATGTAGAGCCCGAAGGAATGCCTGGGACACCCAGTGATTGACAGCGTTTCGCTGCGTGGTAGCGATAAGCTTTTCGCGAGGCGAGAGAGTTATGATAGACTCCTGAATCTGGCGTTGTGAGAAAGGTAGTGCACCCTTCTGAACGCCAACTTGGGCAGCGTTGAACATCTTCCCTGTTTTCTGTTCATATCGCATGGCAGCTTCGATTTGCCAATGGGCTACCATGTCGCTGAAACGCCGGAGCGGACTTGTCACTCGAACATAGCCTGAGACTCCAATGACCCGATGTGGCAATGGAGATGTGTGGGCGATAGCCCGACCTAACGACTCCATATACTGCATGGTAAGTCGAAGTGGCGGGTTCCGGTGCTTCGCCAAGTAGTTTGTCATGATGTCATGCTTCAGTTCCTCTGACGGTGCTCGATTGACATTTGGTGGGGCAATTGAGCCTCTGAACATGACCGGTATGCCTCGTTCACCACACCAGGTGGCAGCCGCAGTGCAACCCAACATCATGATCTCCTCAACAATATTGGTAGCATCCATGTCAAAGCGTAAAAATCCCTTTGGCGCAGCTTTGGAGATCTTAATGATGGGATCTCCTTTGATAAAACGCGACTTTTCGGTAGAAGGGGGGTTCCATGTCAACCCTGGCTTGTTGTCGCTCTCAAAGACACGCACGCTCGGTGAGCTGTTAAACATGGAGATACCGCCACGTTCTTGACGCTTCTTTGAAAGCCTCCTGGCCACCAAGTAAAGGTTTCTCAATTCCTCGACTTGAGTGGACTTGATGCTCGGAGGAAGTCGAGTCTCACCACCGGTTGTAGCGTTGCCACCAACAATGAGTCTCCGTCTCTCGCCTTCAGCCTTCTCCCCCAAGCTCAAAGCCAGCTCTGAAGGTGTTATCGAGACTGGATTACGGATAATACCGTGCGAAATCTTGGTCTCAAGCACGTCACCTTGACGGTCGACCCTGGAACTGAATGTGATGACTGGCCGGTCGCGCTGCAGACTGAAGTGATCTTCTGTAGCCCATTTTGGCAGCATAGGAAAAGTTTGTTCCGGTGTGTAGACGGTCTGGGTCATGTGTGCCGCTAGACTAGAAAGTGTGTGTGTTTTATCAAAGAACGCGGTTGGGTTAGCGACATGCACGTGGACCCAGAACTCCGAACCAGCGCCGTCGACGTTCTCGATCGAAATGCCGTCATCAATCTCTTGGGCCCCAAGGTCGTCTATGCAATAGATGCTCGTGTCACCCCAATCCCGACGCGTGCGAGCCATGGAATCACGAAAGTCAGGGGTGATTTGAAGCAACTTCGCCTTCTCGTTCAATACCTCCAAGTTGCGTGACAGTCTGACAGTCGGAAGCATTAGCTGCTCATCGTAGATTGAGCGATTCTCGTAGGGTGTGACGACCCCAATCTCTTGAAGGAAGACAAGGCCCGTCGCGCGACGCACTAGATCGGCTTGCGATTCGTTTTCAGCGGAGTGCTGAATGACGCCAGGTTGATAGAGGCCAGTGGCCGCGACAAGATCAGTGCAGGCAGAGTGCAGACCACTCATATTCTGGAATTGATTGTTAAGAACCCAGGCTTGCAAAAACGTGATGATCTCGTTGTCGGTCTTTGTAAATGCTTCATCGGTCACGATGCGAGGCGTGGGTGTCAAAGCATCTGCATCTCGATTCTTGTTTGGTCCCACTCCGCCCGAGGCAGGATCGCGATACTTTCTGCTCTTCGCAATGAGTCTGCGAGCCTTCTGGAGAAATCGAAAGATGTTCTCTGCGCCCTTTTGGCGCAGAACGTCCTTTTGCGAGTCGTTCGCAGTCTTTGCTCGATACTCAAAGTACTCTCGGATCCACTCGTGGACCGTTTCAACGATCTCAACATCCTTCTTGGGACGAATGGCAAACACGTTGGTCAGTCTGTGACTGCGTTGATCAGACCGAAAACGAAAAGCGTTATGGTTCAGGGCTTTTCGCACCGCCAGGAGATCCGATGAGGAAGGTTGCCACGCGGTGTCTCCTCGACCAAGCAAAGCTTTCGCAATCTGCGCGAGTGTCATCATGCGAGTCCGACTGTTGTCCGCAAGCACAGCGTAAGCGGTGTCCAGCACCGGTGCATTTTGGCGATAGACTGCTTCAGAGTGCGCTGCCAGGTCGTCAAGAAGCCCCTGAACTGGAGCAGCAATCTCAGGTGGTACGTGAACCTCACCTTTAGGGTTGGCTTTATCGGGGTCCGTCGGTAGGAATGGGATGATAGGCTGAAGGAGCATGGGGTCGACGCAGCCTGGAATAGCGAACGATATCTGGCCGAGGTTGGAGTGCGCCCACTTGCCGTTGATGGTGTAGAACTGGCTGTCATTGTCGAGCTGCTGTACAAAAACTGCCAGAATGGGTTCGCGCCCAGATTGCCTGACAATGTCAGTGACCAAAACTACACTTGACAAATGCAAGTGGGCTCACGAGAGTTCGACTACATCGCCAGGCTTCAGGAAAAGACCGATTGTAACGAGGTCCTCTCCATCATCATCTTCGCCGGCAAACCATCGGTCGCCCTCCGTCTCTACGTCTGCTGCCGACGCATTCGAGACTTTTGACACATTGTTGACTATCTCCCCAGCCAATGGATGTTTCTCGAACGCAGAAAGTGTCTCCTCACTAGGTCCTCCATATTGGCCTTGCCACCTCTCAAGATGATTGCGAACTGGTAGCTGTGGTGGTCGAGCGATGAAGACGGGGTCAACGGCAAGGTCGATGAGTGTTGGAGTGACGAGAGACTGTGTGCGCTGTAGAATGTAAGCACTGGGAGATGGACGTTGTGGTGAGAACATACAAGTGTAGAGCTGTGGAAGGCGCGCGCAGGAAGCGTCCTCGAAAGCTTGATGGCCGAATTACTTTCACGAAAAGTGTGCAAACGCGCACTTGTTTGGCTCCTGGAGCCAAGGCGCCATTGGCATCGCAAGCAGATGTTGCTGGAAGTCCACAACGAACGTGGGAGCATATTTTGTAAGACAGTGATGAAGGCTATAGAAATGTCAACGATGATGCGCTCAAGGAAGTCGCGACAGGCGCTAGCGCGCAATACTACTGCTAGTGCCTTCCTCACCTCTCCTCCGAAAACTCCGCACTTTCCTTTCTTCACCCAACACCAAATCATAAGGTAAGCACATCTCATCTTCATTACTTCCTTCTTGTGATGTTTTCCAAAACAGCATGTATTACCCGACTGTCGCTTTGTTGACAACCTGTGGATCACCTTTCTTTGGCTGATTAGAACGTTTGCTCTGCCACGTTGTTGCACTCGCTTTCCAGCACCCGTCTAACAGGCCTCAGTGTTCAGTAGTAGAAATGGAATTCAAGTCGAAAGCACCAGCTGATTGCTTCACGATCCTGTATTTTGCAGCTGCCTCTACATTCACAGGCAAGAAGACAGAGCATATTCCCGCACCCGTCCGCATTTGCGACCTTTTCACGAAGCTCGAGGGTACATACCCTGGGATCAAGGACAAGGTGTTGAGCAGCTGTGCTGTGACTGTCAACATGGAATATGTGGACCTAGATGACGAGGTCTCGAGTACGGACCAGGAGATCAAAGCAGGTGATGAGGTTGCTATCATCCCTCCCGTGAGCTCAGGCTGAGGCTCAAGCTGAGGCTCGAGGATGTGATGATGCAAGGAATGAAGTCACGGTAAACGATATATGATACACGATTGATAGACTAGACCAGGGTCAATGTCTATTCGAAATGCATACCCACTCCATCCTGAGCTCCACAGTTACTTGCCCCTTCAATCAGATCCAGCGGTATGTTCCAGGTGTGCTGCTGGGGCTACACTTGAAGCATATGGCTTAGCCTGTCATGTTACGTGCACGCGTGCGCGCATATCAATTGCCGATCAGAGTATTTTCATTGTTGACAACGGGCCTGCCTCACTACATAGCTCTCACGTGCCACGAAAAATCTCGCGCATCTAGCTTCTCGCAGATCCGGTCTTACTTGAATGTTGCAGCTTTGGGACGTCTCAGGCTTGGCACGCTGGACCACTTGGGATTTCCGGCACTTTGTCCTTTATGGGCCACCGTACACTTGCCCACTTCTTGTTCACCGGACTCCCGTTCACCGAACCACCGACACACCAATGATGTCGGCGCCGATTGATCCCGCCCTGTTCTCTCCGTTTGAAGGTAAGGAAAACACACAAGTGCAATCGTACGCATCGCAGCCTCAGCAGAACGTGGGTCATCCATACTATCTGCCTACGTCAGGACCACAACAGCCGCCCCCGCAGCTATCGCAGCCCCCGCCGAACACCAGCTTGGATCCAGCACTGCAGCAGACATCGCCTCATATTCCCGAGGATGACCACGAAGATTACGAGCACGAAGACGAGGGCGACCACGATGGCACCCATGCGACCCCAGGATCTGCGTCTGCGAAAGATGGCGCTGACTTCAAGCGCCCACGAGCTTGCGATTCATGCAGAGGGCTGAAAGTGCGCTGTGACCAGGAGAATCCGAACGTATCGTGTAGGAGATGTGCAAAGGCAGGGCGACCGTGGTAATGTTGAAAGGGTTCGTGCGCACGTACATCTTGCTCACTCGACCAGCATCACGACGCCTCCCACGCGAAAACGCCAAAAGAAGGCAGACAGCCGTGTCGCCGAGCTAGAACGCAAGATCGATGCTCTGACAGCAACACTGCATGCGCAGAAGTCAGAGGCTCCAGAGAATAATCATCATGGAGGGATACCGCAACATGAGGGCAACACTTCTGCCATATCCATGCCTGAGGGCTCCTTCCGTATGGGAAGCATCAGTCACGAATGGTCTAGTCCTGCTCCAGGGGCTTACACAAACATACCTCCGGGCTATGCGCCGGTGCAGACCATCCAACGGGGGCCAGAGGTGAAACGGAGAAAGGTAGACAACGGTCAGAGCCACGCAGTAGGTGATTCAACTGCATTGCAGCGCTTGTTCTAACGCCAGCAGACAATACCGGAGGATATGGATGCAATCCACCGTGATCTCGCTGAGCATCCTGAGATGAAGCGCAAAGGCAAGAGTCACGTCCACGCTGATCACTCACATATCAACGCCGTGATCGATTCACTCGTCAGCCCTGAGATTGCAGAGCGTGTCTTTCTGCGATACGTCAATGAGATTTGTCCGCATTTCCCTGCTGTGCCCTTCGCGCCTGGCACTACAGCCCGAGATGTTCGCGAGAAGAAGCCACTGCTCTTCCTATCGCTGCTTGCTGGGTCTTCTCACGGCAGCGCCGAACAAATAGTTTCGCAGGACGTACAACGCGCGTTGACGAAGATACTGAAGGATCAGCTTGCAGATATCATCTGGCGTAACGGAGAGAAATCTTTAGAAATCGTGCAGGCTCTACAGGTTGCTGTATTGTGGTACCGACCGCCTATGCACTTCGAGCAGCACAACTTCTACATGATGGTCAACTGCGCCGCAGTGATGGCACTGGACCTCGGCCTTGGACGCAAGGCGACACCAAACGTCATGAAGCTATCAATTGGACCATTTCGTAGGTACCACCCTAATTCTAGCAGCATCGAAGCGCGCCGAGCACACCTTGTGTGCTACTATCTCTGTATGAGCATCACGATGGTCTTGCGGCGGCCGATTCTCCTACGATGGACCAAGTACATGGAAGAGAGCGTCAAGATCCTCGAAACCTCGGCAGATGCCTATCCCTCTGACAAGCTGCTCTGTCAGCAAGTCAAAATGGCGCACATTGGAGAGAACATATCCGTCCAGTTCTCTATGGACGATCCATCAGTCGAGGTCGCCATCTCCGAACCCAAAACCATCTATGCACTCAAGATCTTTGAGAATGAGCTGCAACAACTGAAGGATGAGAATGCTAAGATGGACGAAGTGGATCGTGAGTACGCTCGTCCCAGCTTTCTGCCACATGCTGACCGATGAAAAGCTACCCTCCGCCTTGGAGAGCATGTGACGAACCTCTTTCTTCACGAAATCGCCCTCCATCAGAATCAGGGCACTGGTGATCCTGGCTTGCAACCACCTTTTCCACTCGAGTCTTTCACGTCGAGCGCAGTCAGAAAAGATGTGCCTATAGGCCCAGCACACATTGGTGCGTTGGGTGAGTGTCTTACTGCCACACATGGTATACTTGACACGATCCTCGGCATTGAGCTGGACATCCTCTTAACGCTGCCAGTCATCTTCTGTAAGTCGATCTAAGTCCACGTCCCCACAACATAGACTAACGGTCCTTCGTAGGTGTGCGTGCCATCTATGCTATCGTATGTCTTATGAAGATGTGGGTGTCAGTGACGAGCTCTGGTGAGGTCAGCAGCATCATCGGAAAGGAAGACCTGCAGATCGAGATGTATCTTGAACGGCTAGTCACCATGTTCAATGCGATCGTGTCTAGGGATGCACAGTCGCCCCACGGGAAATTTTACTTCGTAGCTAAGCGATTGCAGGAGCGATTTGCTCAGATCAAGGAAGGGACCTCCAAGTCAGAGCAGGCGGACTCAAGCGAAGCCTCAAGACGACCTTCCAACGAGGGTGCGCAGGTACCTGCTCGACAAACTTCGTCAAACCAGACGCCTCTACACTTATTGTCTGAGGTTGCGATGGGTAGCAGTCACCCTGGCAATCCCAAGACGCAACCACACACTCACGGCAGCTCTCAGCAACAAGCGCAGGCGGCGCTGCAAGCACATTCACATGCCTCACAGCAGCCTCTTCAACATAACTGGTATGCAGGCATGCATGGCCAGTCGCAGGCGGTGGATGTCATGGGCCTCTCACAACCCAATTTCGACTTGAACTTTGACTTCACCCAGTTTGACCTTGGCACAGGCTCTGATGCAGATCTATCAGCACTGTTCATACCAGACTCGATGCAATTGTGGAGCTACCCAGCAGACCTGAACTCACAGGGTTACAGCGGGTTTTGATGCGCATTGCGCGTACGACGCGATTCTTACTGGAAAGCCATCGGTTTCAGAGCGTCACAAGCGTCTTAGCTACATATCTCTTCTACGATCTAATGTCACATCACTGTAATAAGCAGTCCCATCGCATCCACCCTGGAACAAAGGTCGGTTGGATAAAGAACATGCTTGCCAAGAAAAGTGCCGAATCAGACCGTCTCTGGAGAACCACCAGTCCGCCCTTCCACACATCACAGCTTGGCGAAGAATGGGCGTAGCCGTTTTGAACGATGGAGGACGAACGTACGACCGTAGAGAACGAGCACGGCCCAGGTGTGCGGTAAGCCATGCACGATGTGTAAGGGTGGATGCTGCATGGCCCCACCAAAAGGGTAGATTAATGGTTGTTCAGCCGGATTACGATATTTAGCAGCCAATGTCGGCTGCCGCGTTCATGCAATTAAGCGCCTACGTGCCCTTGATGATTACCGTCTCTGGGCATTTTGCTGTAGTTGTGCGGCACAACTTGATCTTGCACCAAATGAGAGCACACGGCTTGCGAAATTTGTCTTGCGCGAAGGAAGGCAAACCTGGCAGACAATAGGGCCTTACCGCGCCGCCCAGCGCAGACCGGGCTAACGATATCACGCTGCATTCAAGAGAGATTGACCTGCTCGAAGTGTGCTGCTATGAGAGTGCGGGACGATGTTTTGCCAGCAGGAGTACCCTTGACCGCGAACATGGACCATGAGGAATTGGAAACACCCACAACGCCCCTTGAGAAGGCGCGGAAACGATCGCCAACGGTAAGATCGTCGTCGACGTGACCCGACGGACCGTTCAAGCCCTGGTAATGAGCCGGGTATGACCGTTGATAGGCCAGGATCGAGGAGTGGCTGGTCTCTCACGGCTCGATAACAGCAGACGAACCAGGATGCACCGCGCTAGAGCACGAGGAGCGTTCCAAGGGCAAGGTGAAGGGCCTGACGCTAAGCGCCCATGCCAATGCGCAGCAGCATCCTCCGAGAAGCCTGGCAGAGGTGCCGCACTAGATCCACAATCGACTTGTTAAGATGGCCGCGGCGCCTCTAACAGCAGTCCCGATCAGCTCACCACTGTCCCAGGCATCACCATTCCAGTGAACTTGAACAATTGGTCCGGGGTAGATAAATCAAATACGACTGGGAATGCTAGGAGTCCACGGCCTGACATCACCCAGTTGGCCCACGTCACCGACCAGTTATCATGTCACTCAAGGTCGAGGATGTCGGGCCTCCACCGCATCTCTTTTCGGGCAGGTCTGCTACATGGCCTAGCTCCTACACTTCTCAAGCTTGTTCGCTAGGCTCATCGCCCGCGTTAAAGTCTCCCGAGCAGCCTCACACATACAGCCGCATGCACGAAAACCCCATGTCTTCACGCAACACGATTAACAGCCTCCCAACAACCGGCTGGTATGAACCGTCTATCTCAGCCAACGACTTCCAGGTTTGTCTTATTGACCCGAGTTAGACACAGATGACTAATCCTATACTACCAGTACACCGGATACGAACAGTACAACCCGCCTCGGTCTTCAGAGGTCCTTTCTCCACATTCGTCCACGTACCGGCATGGAAGTCAGGTATCCTCATTAACAGCACCCACGGATTCATCAGCAAGAGTGATATCGCCAGTGCCAGTGTATCCCCATAGTTCGTTGCTCAGCGAAACTGCACAGCAGTCAGTCGAGCTACAACAAGCCTCGGACGTCGCCTCGCAGCGGTCGCCGAATCACGCAAAGGTCGAATCACACGGTCAACCGCCGTCCCACGGCACCTTTTCGGTTCTGCAGCCTGTTCCGAGCCCATCCGCATGGTCTATTGATTCACTAGGAATCCACACGCCTTCGTTGCAGTCTGACTCGTATTTTGCGAACTTTACGCAGCACCAACGAGGCCTTCGCAGCGGAGAAGGTTCCATCGAAATGGCGTTGACTGCGCCGCAGCCGCGCCGTGTATTCACGCCCATAGCGCCTCAACCCATTGACACGCCACGATCGATGGCAGCAAAAAGGTCAAGAGATGATGACGAGTCGGCGGAGCTATCGAAGAGGAGGCGGCGGTCCGAATCGACCAATTCGACGCAGCTTGAGCTCACTGAAGAGGACAAGTTGCTGCTGAGGTTGAAGGAGGAGGAGTTGATGCCGTGGAAAGACATTGCAGCGCGGTTCCAGAACGACTTGGGCAAACAGTACCAGATCCCCGCACTGCAAATGCGGCTGAAGCGGCTACGGGAGCGAATGCGGGTGTGGGGCGAGGCGGACGTCAGGGCTCTCCGCATGGCGCATGAGTATTGGGCGCAGAACAAGTTCGACATCATTTCGCAAAAGGTAGGCCCTACAGACGAGTGCGATTTGAGCTTTGACTGACGAATCTAGATGGCCAAGTTTGGCGCTCAGGACAAGTGGACGGCCCGTCAGTGCGCACGCAAGTGGGCAGAGAACGATGCGCTGCCCGCAGCCATGCCGCAGCACGACCAGCACGCGCAGCACACGTTCACGCCGTACTCGATGAGCCCGGCGGAGCCGACGACGACATTCCTGCCGTACATGCACTCTTAGTGCGGCGCTGGAAGCTGATGAAACGACGAACACGTGTGGAGGTTTTGGTTTCTTCACGCTTGGGCGCATCTTTACGTGTTCCTCCATCGCTGTATTCTGTATACCCCATTGGCGCCTTGGCCGTTTCTCGCTCGCTGCTATATACCCTCGCTTGCGTATCTTGTCGTGCAGCCAGGATTCTGTACATGGTTGAAGACGCTGCAGTACATGCATAGGCCTATGAATGAACGACATAGCACTTTTCAATTGATAGGAGTGCTGGCATGACGATGGACGTGCTGGGGATGATGATGGACGTGCTGGGGATGTTGACGGTCGTGCTGGGGCAGGGCAGCGTGACGACGTGTCTGTTTGGGCAAGCGTCATGCAGGGCTGCCAAGGCGGAACCGGTCCACGCAAGCTGTAGGACGACCGTCGCCCAACGCAACGTGAGGCAGCCACGACTATCAACAGCAGCACTGCGCTCCTTCACGCCCACCACAACAGCCACGGGCCCCTTGACTTCTGCGCCGTTCGCGCAGGAGTACCCCTTGCATCGCTGCGACACGCCCTCCCGCCGCTGAAGTCACCCTTCCTCCCACCAAGAGAGACCGCTCGCTGGAGCTTCCGCGGCTCTGCATTGAGACACGCCGACGCCCCCCCCCCCCCCCTCCCCCTCCCCCCGAGCGCTGTGTCGCCGTCACGCTCCAGAGGACCTGAGCCATGCAGTTCAACCTGTTCCACATCCTCGGCGACGTCTCACACACGTCGTCGAAGCTGATCCTGATGTGGGCCATGCACTCCAACAGCAGCTCCGAGGGTGCGTGCCTGCCCGGCCACGTGTAGAGTTGACCATGTCTGACACGGCGCAGGCGTCTCGCTCATCACGCAGGCCCTCTATGCGCTCGTCTTCTGCACGCGCTACCTCGACATCTTCACCACGAGCGGCACACGCGACGCCGCCCACATCTGGAACTTCACCCTCAAGGTCGGTGCCTGCCCGCCTGCCCGCCTGCACCCTGCGTTGACCATGGCTGACACGGCCAGATCTTCTACACGCTCTCCTCATTCTACATCATCTTCCTGATGACCAGCGTCTATGCCCGCACCCGCGAGCGCGAGAAGGCCTGGAAGCTCGGCATGTACTGTCTGCTAGGAGCCGTCGCCATGGCACCCTTGTGGTACCTGGTCTTCTCCAGCCACGTCGTCGGCCACAGCACCTTCATGAAGGCACGTGCCCTGTTTAACTCTCCCTCGTGACACGCTGACTCGCTCGTCCAGCTCCTTTGGGTCTTCTCCGAGATCCTCGAGTCCGTCTGCATCGTCCCGCAGCTGCTGCTCCTGCGCCAGACCACCGTGCCCACCGTCATAGACTCGTACTACCTCGTCACCCTCGGCGCCTACCGCTTCCTCTACGTCCTGAACTGGATCGTGCGCGGCGCCACCGAAAAAGGATACCGCGACCCCACAAGCTGGGTCTGGGGCACCATCCAGACCGCCCTGATGGTTGACTTCGCCTGGGTCTACTACACTCGCCAGCGCGTCAAGTTGCGCCAGGGCGGCGTCGTTGACTCCGAGGATCTGGGCCGGGGCTGGTTGGTTGGCCGACTGGCGGGCATGGCACCCAAGAGCGCCGACAACTTCGACTACGACGAGGAGGCTGCGCCGCAGAGGACCTCGCAGCCGAACAAGTGGGGTCGCAGAGGCATCAGCGTGTCTGCGGACGAGGGCGTGTTAGATGCGCCGAAGCACAACGACGTGGGTCGCGATTCGGAGACGCAGCCGCTGGCTGATCCGGCTGCCTTTGAGGACGATGAAAGTGATGATGATGCGCCGGCCGCAGCCAGCTCGAGTACTACGCATGCGCACGAGAGCGGTGTCAGGGGGGACGAGTGGGACGAAGATGTTGACGAGGACGCGAAGGCACATGATGTGAAATGAGCATTTTGACGCCTTTCACCATTGCTTCAGCGAGTTCGTTGCGTTTTGCGGCATCGAACTAAGCGAATGCCATGCATTACCTGTCCATGATCATGTTTCTCGAAAGCCGTTTCAGCCGAAGAAATGACAGGTTTCGAGTCAGCCAAGGCTACGCTCTAATGAAGACCAACGGTGAAGCGGCTTTCAAGATCGTCTCTTTTCTTTTCGGACACCGCATTGGAGTGGGTCTATAGAATTTCTCCACCCGAGAGTAAGAGAGACTGTTACCATCTCATTAAGACTATGATGAAGTTACGACGGAGGCTACCTACGACCTGATATCTGTCAATGTGTTCGCTCTATTTTCGGTGCGTACGACGGGCGGTTTCTTCCCACCCAAGGTCCGACAGGGCCGACCATTTCGGGCTTCAGATCCTGTACTGTATTGGCGCCTATGTTTCGCATTGTGTTGGTGATCTCTTCTTGGAAGACTGATAGAATTAGCGTTGCTCGACGTCCAGAGGAGTCAGCCATCTTACTTTTCAACAATCTCGCGACGCCATCCTCGCCATGTGTGCCGTTGGCGTATAACACTGGCCGGCCAATGCCAACAGCCCTTGCACCCAGAGCAAGTGCCTTCACGACATCGGCGCCGCTGCGTACACCGCCATCAACCATGACCTCGATCTGGGAGAAAAGCTCGGGACGCAGTTCGCGAAGTTCGTACAGTATGTCAATGGGCGCCGGAGCGTAGTCAGCCTGACGCCCGCCGTGATTAGACTGGTTCACACTTTTAGCACCTATCCATACACTTTGTATTGGTAGTATTGCGCGCAGTGCTGCACTTACAAGAATGACACCCTGCGCGCCGTGCTGAACACACAACTCGACATCCTCGACGGATTGTACGCCTTTGATTATGATCGGTAGATGCGTATGCTTTCTCACAAAAGCGATGTCATCCCATGTCAAATCCGTGGCTTGGTAACCACTAATTTGCTCCGAGACACTCGCTTTCTTCGCGTCAGCCGTCGGCGTCGTGATTGACTGCGGCGCCGGGGTATCGCTCGCTTCCCTCAGCTTTTCTCTCACATCGAGCGTTCGCTTCGACTGCCAGCAGACGTCTACAGTCAATATGATAGCGCTTGCACCGAGCTTTGTTACGCGCTCGACCAGTGCCGAGGATTCAGACCGGTCTTTATTGAGGTATAGCTGGAAGATAAGCGGTTGCCCTTCCAATCTCGCGTTGAACATTTCCTCCAGACCGCAGCTCGCATTTGCAGATATTGCCTGAACGACACCAGATCGTCCGGCCGCTTTGGTGATATTCACTTCTCCGAGCGGATGTCCCAATTTGGCCATTGCCGCAGGCGCGATGAAGATGGGCATCGATGTTGGCATCCCTAGGATTGTCGTTGCAGTCGAGCCATGCGACGTATCTCGCAGAATCCTCGGGCGGAAGAAGTATCTTCGCCAGGCATAGCGATTGTCCAAGAACGTAGCCTCCTCATCAGACGCACTCCGATAATATGCCCAAGCTGTGGCGCTGAGCACTCGTTCCGCCCAGTATTCAAAATCTTGGACGAGGAGCATGCGCCCTTCTGGAGGCATTTCTTCCCGTGCCTCTTGCCGCAATTTCTCATCATCCATGAGTTCTTGCTCCTCCGGTGCTGGGAGTGTATCGGGATCAATTGGTCCGAGGCAGTATTCTGGAGGCAATGTCCCAATCGCATCAGGCGGATGCAAGAGCGTGAACTTGACGCTCGCATCTTTACCCGCTTGTTGCAATATGGCCGATCGACCTCCTGGATGCGCTTCCAAAAACTCAGTCATGTTGTAGACCAGCCCCTTGATCAATCAGAATATACCCATCCGGCGGGCTCATAGGACAGTTCTTACATTGATGACCACCCAACAGTCGTCCTCCGTGGCATGCTTCTGCACCTCACCATACGAGATTAAAGCCTTGCGATCGCGTGATAAGGGCCTTGCAGCGTCGCATTGTAACGCTGTCTGTCCGTAAAAAGTATATCCGCCTGCGACGACCTAGTCAGGGTTTCAGAGGTTGCATTGAGTGTAAAGAGACGTGGACGACATACGGATGCAAGCGCCCATGCGCCTAGACGCCTGCCGAAAAAGGGGCCTGCAGCTGCGCGTGTGTTCGACCTTGATGTTGTCGTCTGAAATGTACGAAGTGCCCCAGATCGATTACGCGTCCCGGTACTGATGGCCCCGGATTTTGTATGCGCATGCCGCCAAAAGGTGCGTAATGAGGACATGATGGAGAAAAAGCGACGTAGTACCCATGGACCGGCCGATCGAGCGCGCGGTGTAATAAAGACGATGAATCCTACAGGTGAGAACACGATTGATGTCGCAGATGCAACGGGCAAAGTTTCCAAACTTGAAGAAGTGAAGGTTAGCGCTATCCGGCTGCTATCATCAATTGCCGATCGGCCTTTGACTTCGGCAATCGACAGAGCCTAGATACTTTCTCAAATACACTGAATTCAGTAGCTACATACTATTCGACCTCAAGATCATGCACAGCAAGCGAGGATTCTCGCTCACAACATGCTGCTGACCTCATTTCCAAACGCTTGCAGTCTCTGTTCCTTCTTGCTTGCCGTTTTGATACGTCTGGCTAAGCCCATTGTATAGCGCCTTTACCTCATTGGATTTCCTTGCAAGCTCTTCCCTCTCTATGGCATCATCGATACTGGCGATCATATCTGCCAAAGATCCTGCTTTGAAGAAATCGTTGTCCCGGTTGTACAACGGGCGCCTCTTTAGCGCCTCGTCATCCTCACCGTCAACCCGTACTCGAAACACTTGTTCCAGGATATGAATATCGTGTGGTATGTCGAACAGGTCCCTGCTATCTTCGTACGTGAACAAGTAGTAAACTTCCCTGAAGCCTGACCATGCGATGCCGCTCAGACATAAGCTGCAAGGCTCATGTGTGGCAAAGAAGACACAGTCCGTTCGGGGGTTTGGTCGAGTCTTTGGATCGGGGAAGTCGACTGTGAAGAACTGCTGGATACAATTGATCTCGCCATGGAGAAGAGGGGAGAGGGACTCGTGATTAGTGGCGACAGTGAGCGGGGCAAGATCGGTGTTGGAAAGGATAGCAGCGCCAAAGACTTTCGAACCCGAAGATACGCCTCCTGACGTGAGAGGTATGATGCGGTCCTCGACTGTCCTGAGCAGTGTCGAAACGAGGGTCGCCGGACTCATTGCTGAAGACTCCATATTTGGAGACAGGTATCGTGATCGAAGATGAGGCACGGAGGTATGCAGACGGTCGAGTCTTGGTCATATGTGGCATCGCTCGCCATTTGGATTAATATACCCTGTGCTGTGAGCGTGCGGCCCACTCCGTTCATGCACAATCGGCAACCTCCGAACATGTACGATAAGAGCCGGCGCGAACGACTCCGGACGAGCTTCACTGCTGACGCCAGATCCAAAGTACAGGATGATGATTACAGCTTCCCCGACCGTCCCTGGCCTCTCGCGAATCTTCTGGCTCCGTCTATTCTCTCCCTCGCGATGACCTCCTTTCCGTGGTCGAACTCGTACCTCAGTGCGTCTTCCAAAGTTGGGGAAACTGTACCAACAACCCCACAATCTTCATCGCCTCTTCGAGGGCCTTGCCTTTCGGCACAACTCGATTGGCCAAGCCCGTAGACAACGCCTCTTTGGCTGATACAGCCCTGCCGGTGAGAATCATGTCCATCGCGCGGCCTAGGCCAACGATGGCTTGAAGACGAACTATCCCACCATCGATCAACGGTACGCCAAAACGGCGACAGAAGACACCGAAGACAGCATCTTCCTCGACAACGCGCATGTCACCGAGAAGACTCAGCTTGAGACCGCCAGCTACAGCGTACCCAGAGACAGCACATATTACAGGCTTGTTGATCTGGAGACGAGAAGGACCCATAGGGCCTATGTTGCGGTCTGACACAGGCCTAAAGTGCAGCTTTTGAGTCCACTCCGTCCGTCGCCAGCTCTTGCAGATCTGCGCCTGCGCAGAATGTCCCGTTTGCGCCATGGAACACGGAAACTTTCTGAGTATCGTCATCCTCAAACTCTAAGAAGGCTGTGTAGAGTTTCTTCGCTGTAGAAGGGTTTATTGCATTGCGACGAGCGGCACGATTAATTGTGATGGTAGCGATTCCTGCCGATGAGGGATCGCACGTTACTGCTGAGGGCTCCCCGTTGGATGGAAGACATGTCGGGCCCCCGATATTGATGGAAACTGCGGGGTTTCGAATTCAAATCGTCAGAGCCGCTCACCTGAAGGAAGCAGGACGAGACCTCGGCACATCGTTGCACACCAGCCACAACTGGAGCAGTGTAAGTTCAAACAACAAGCGATCTGGAAAGCTCGGTACTTCAACTTTATGGCGAAGGAGTGACAAGCGTTGCGGCTCTGCCATCGGTGGTTTAGCCGCGTCGCTTCGCGCCCCGAACGGCAATCACAATGCACATCAGCTCAAAGTCCGACCTCGGGACCATCTCCATGTGGACATCTCCAGGGCTACCATGCCTCTAGGCATAATTTATTTTCGACCTATAAGGGCTCAATTCACGTTTGCCAGCGATTCAAACATTGCCCCCACCAAGCCCCGCATCACAGTCTGCCAGGGTCAGGACCTCATTGGGTGAGTGACGTTATGACAGGAAATTAAGTTGGTTCGTGGACTGATCGGCACTCATCGAGGTTGAACAATAAGGCATGGGAACTGGAGTGACAGCCATCTGGAAGATTATCATCACGACCATCATCGCAGCCGTCATGTCGAGCATCATACCCGTCGACTTGCTGTCCTACGCGACGAACCCAGCATATATCGATACCCTCGCTACGACAAACATCTCTAACCCTTCAACGATCGAGCTGCTTGCATACGATCAGAACTTTGCTACTGTTATTGGTGAGCGAGCAACAGCGCGACAGCTGTACAGTCTTGACTACCAAGCCTTCCACGAGGCTGGCATTTACAACAAGGAGACCAACAAGCTCTATGTGACGAGCAATTGGGCAGGTGACCTAAAAAATCCGATCAACGTCACAGTTATTGATCTCGCAAACAACTACTCGCTTACCTCTACACGCTACGCCGAGCTCGCTGAACCCAACGGCGGGACAACCTACTTCCCACCGGGCACCGAAGGAAACGGGTCATTTCCATCGCGAGTGCTGTACTGCGATCAGGGCGATTTCTACAACTATTCAGCCCTTGTCTCTGTCGACCCCGTCACAGGCGCATCAGAAAAGATCCTCACATCCTTCCTTGGACGCAACTTCTCCAGCATCAATGACGTGCGCCAGCATCCCGAGACAGGAGATCTGTGGTTCACAGACGCGGACTACGGGTATTTCCAGAACTTCAGGCCCGCGGCCACAATCCTCAAGCAAGTTTATCGCTTTTCCCCTAAGACTGGCGAGATCGCGGTCGTAGCGGATGGCTTCGTGCAACCTAATGGACTGGAATTCTCGCCAGATCTGAAGACCCTGTACATCAGCGATACGGGTGCTCAAGAATTTGCAAAGGACTTGACGCGGCCTGCATCTCTGTATGCTTTCGATATCATCAACAAGAAGAACCTAGCCGGTCGCAGGATGTTTGCGTATGCAGACAACGGGTTCCCTGATGGTGTGCACTGCGATACAGAAGGCAACGTGTGGGCAGGCTGCGGTGATGGCATTCATATTTGGAGCCCTGAGGGAACACTGTTAGGCAAGATCTGGACTGGATTGGAGACAAACAATTTCGCTTTTCTACCGGGTGCTGTCATGGTCTTTACAAACGCACAGCTCTGGATTGTGGAGAATATTACTGCAAAGGGAAGGGAAGTTTGTCGAGACTTCAGAGTGTGCTGACAGAGGGAACGCTGGATGGATGTAGTCACCAAAGTCGTACATGTCTATGCACAACCTTTCAAAGGTACATGAAATGCCCGCGAGATTTGTTATGGCGCTGCTAGACCAACAGATCAATGGGGGGCGCACATTTGAGCGTAGCTTTCCTCTCATCGCACAGGCAGGATGCCGTGCATTTGAATATGCAATCGAGTCCAGCTTCCCGTTTTCACATAACAAAATAAGGCAGGACATTTGTTGACCAAGTCGCCATGCCCTCAAATCGCCTCGCACCTCGGACATGCACAATCAAATCCCCAATTCTTCTTTAACACCCCCTTTCTCTTTTCGCGGCTCGTCTTCCACTCCTCGCCACTCAGGTACGTTATATTAAGCTCACCCCCTTCTCCAATGTCGCGACCAGCACGAAATTCCCACACGCGCCCGACACGTTTCTGCTCGATGTTCGGTCCACATGAGTGATTGAAGTAGCTTGCTGCCGGCCAGCAACCATACCCAAAGAACTCGCTTCCATCGTCTTCCAAGGACCGGATTCCGAACGAGTTGTGGCTGTCGCGGCTGCTGAGCAAGAACACAATCTCAGGACTCAGGTAGGACAGGAGAGGAAGGGGCAGGATAGCGAGCAGGTGCAAATATGAGCGTACGAAGGCGGCGAGATCGTCAGCGCTGTGGTAAGGTGTTTGGTCGTCGGCGAGCGCGAGAACTTTGGGCCAGTCCTGCGGATTGTTGTGGTACCAGATGATACCACTGACGATGAAGGCCATTACGTCTGGCGAGATCTTCCGCTGGAGCGCCTTGGAGAGTGCTTTGCGGTGCTGCTTAGTGATTCGCACTGACTCGATAACCTCCGTTGCATGGGGACTCGAAGACGAAGCCGTGGACTGCTCTACCTCCCGCAGAGTACGGATTAGAGACGCTTGAATCTCCACTTCCTCCCACGCTTTCGTAATTGCCTTGCTGGTCGGCCGTTGTAACCCCTCTTCTGCCATCTTGTCGCCCTCTTTGCTCCTTTTCTTGACCAGCGCTTCAACCGCCCTCCAAGCGTCCACTCCAACGCTTCCGTTCCAAATTCCCCACACATCCTGACATTGTGTAGAACAAAATGCAAAGCCGACACCCTGGTCCCGTATTGGCAGATCTCGGCCGTAATCATAGCTGAAGCATTGTCCACACACTTCGCGCCGGTATTCGCGAAGCAAGACATACAACGTGAGGTCATCCGAGCGCCAAAGTAGAGTGCCCTCCGGTAAGAATCGAGACGCGAATACGGCGCGGCCGGCGGTGGGAGTGTCGCGCACCTCGAAATCCTGCGTTGACGGAGCACCCGCTGGCAGTGACTTTGCAGGCCCACGCGACGGTGTTGAAGAGGCTGAAGACGGTCGTGAGATGCTACGTGCTGAGGACGCAGTCGTCGAGGTGGGGTCGTCGGAGGGGTACATTGTGATGTTCGGTACTGACGTTTGACGGGTGATTGACAGGCAAAGTAGCCCCTGGTGATCAGTATGAATGAATAGCTAGCTATGCGGCTGATCAAACTACGTAATTGCAGCAGCTAGGCAAAGACTCGCGATCAGAGACTCAGAATGACGCAAATAATGTCTACTGAATGATGTTGCGAGGATCAATTTCGTATGTCACTTGTAGAGGTACTAGAGCCGGAAGAGAAAAATCGCATGAATGAGGACATTATACGTGTGGGTTGCTTTGGGTGATTTAGGAAGGGCGCGAGAAGGATGAAGACTTGAAAGTGCTGTTGTGCGAACGATATTTTGTGTTCGTAGCGTAGCCGCCAGCCAGACCCTGAGATCGACAACATCCCTGCTAGCGCCTTGTGTCGATAGGACTGGATCCCACTTATGTGTCTGTCATGTGAGAGCTACGTCGTTCCGGTCCAGCCTGGCCAGCGGCCAGCCAATCCCAAGAAGCAACTGAGGGCAGATAATCAACGTAGTGACGCTCAAAAAGGTTCCAATCTGCTTGAGGGCTCGCGAAGCGGTTTATCTTTACAGATTACTTCCCTCCACATGCACTGGCAAGGTTCGTTCTCACGCAGATGTTCAGCATCCATCTTGAGTGAGAAGACCAAATTCCCACGGTAAGGCATTGTACGACACGTTGGTCGGAGATGGGTTGATGCCCTGGTACAAGAACCTCCAAGAACCACATGGACCCAGCCTCAGTCTTTGATCAACTTCATTCCTGATCATCTCACCGTGAGAGATGCTGATCGTCCAATTCTGACCAGGAGGGAACTTCACGTTCGCAGCGCCCATGAAAGGGCTCTCCTGGGTGCTCTGGAGTGCGTCCCATGGGCCCGCAAGATCCTTAGCCGTCCAGGACTTGAAGTAGCGAACGCCACCGCCAGACTCTCCCTGACCAATGCATTCGACGAGCAGCAGATAGGTGCCTTCGTCGAGGTGGTAGACATTCGATGCTTCGAAAAGGTCTTCCTTACGAGGCTCGGAAAGAGCGATCACGGGCTCGCTCATTCCGTTCGGGAACTGCGCAAGGGTGGTCTGACTGCGATAAAGGCGGCCATTGTCGTCGTGTGAAAACAAGTGGCAGTCAGTGTCATCGCAGATGACCCACATGTCGACCCAGTAACCTTGCTGGGGAGTCACAAGACCTTCAGCAATGAGAGCTGGCGTTCCAATAGGATAGAAGACTTCCGGGGCAGTCCAACCAGCTGGGTTGCCGATATCTGGGTTCGTGCTGTATGCGGCGTTGCCATTCTGGTAGATTAGGTACCACAGCTTCTGAAGTGCGAAGTAGAACACTTGAGGGGCAGCGCGGTAGCCAGTCCCGAGAGAGGCTTGGTCGAGATAGTAGAATGAAGCATCGTTCGCGTTTGCAATATCGGTGAAGTTGAAGTACAGCAAGTTGTAGCCCTCAGACCTCGCAGCACTGGCAAAAACGTGATAGGTGCCCTCGAGGAAGATGATCGAGGGATCCTTAACACCAGCAATATTTCGTGTATCATTTTTAGGAGTGACAAGAACTCCCGTCGATGTCCATTTGAAGCTGCTTGGAAGTTGTCCTGGCTTGTAAGGCGGTAGTGCAGAGTAGCCTTGAGGACCGGGTGGAGGCGCCGGTGGCAGTGCTCCTGGCTTCTGGCTCGGTTCTGGCGGCGCTGCTATAACAGTAGCTGCAAGTGCAAGGATGAGATTTGACCATTTCATGATGGCGGGTGAAGCTGCTTAGACTTGTGCTCTGAGATTCATGCTCGGACGTGATTGATTTATAGCTAACAGGCGGTGCTCTCATTAGCGATGCGGGCCGTGGCCTCTTCAACGTCAAATGAATACCCATGAAGAAGCTGTTAACGGAAGCAGTGAGCCGATGATGGACGCACCATGATCCTGCCGAATCGTGAAGCAAACGATTGCAGGAAGAGGAGAGCGATTTCCCTTGTGAGGTTAGCGTTGAAGACCTCGGAACAACGGTTAGACCTCCTGCAGTTTTGGTGATGCGATCCCGGCTGCGATCCATCTGATTGGACGAGATGCAATATAGGAGCAATTCCCACCGGCTGTCCAGTTCATTCGCCAACCTGGAAATTCGCCTCCGAATCAGATGCGAACCGCTGGCTGTGGAGATCAAGAGCCTGGACAATATCGGTAACTGACCTGGCTGTGCGGAGCCGGACCCAATTTCGTATCTAGGGAGGGTAGTTATAGCACCTCGCTCGAAGCAAGGCTGCCAGCGTGATTAGCGTGGAGCCCATTATATGAGTAATATAACCTAGAAGCATCGGTGAAGATCTCGGAACATAGGCCGAGTAACCTCCTCGGTGTGATCAATCCAAGGTCATCATATCGCTCCAGTCGATGACTGGCTCACCTTCGTAAACTTGGTTGCGAGGCGAGAGCCAAGACTCATCACAAGCATAGAGACTATCACAAAACAGTTCTGCAAAGTGCCTGTGCGAATCAAACGACTTTGGTGTACAGGCCAGAAGCATTCGCTCAACCTTCAGCAGTGATCAACCGCAATCGCGAACCAAAATACATGGTTTTACGTACGCAGTACGTATGTAGTGTGAATGCTGGGATCTTTCTTCTCCCATTTCGTTAGCGATATATGCCAGGCCAAGGATTCTTGGTGCTCAAAGGGTTATTGAGAAGGAATCGATCGTTGTGAAGTTACTGCAGTCAAACAGTGGAAGTTTTCGCCAGTCCAAGCCTCCCATTTCGGTGTGCGCCTCGTAATGCACCCAACGTCGCTTTTTCAACATCTGCGCGCCCAAAACCACACAGAATATGACGATATCGCATCATCATGTGTAGGGGTCCGGTAAGTCAGATCGCGAATTAGATGTTGACTAGCTACATCTGCTACTGGGCATATGTCAAAGTGCGGCATTCTACCACCGTATCCTGCCTGCAACAATCCGTGTGTTTCTCTTCGTACCAATCGTTCCCTCTTTTCCGCCAACACCTTGTAGCCTCAGCCCAGCATCTACAATCTCGAGCTGATTGAATGACGAGATGGCCCCCAGACCTTCAGTCGTCCCCGCCGTTGCCATGCTGCTAGCACCATCCATGATCGCCCCAATGCTCTCCCTCAGATCCGGGAGCAATTCCGCAGTAGCACCAAGCCACCTTGCCAATGTCCCCTTGAAACTGACCTGATCAGAGTCACAGCTGCCATCTGCCTCACACTTCGCCTCCCACAGCTCGCCGGTCTCCTCGTTGACAAAGTTGCGTTTCGCGGAAGCGATAAATCCCTTGGTTCTCTCCAGCCACTCCTCTTCACCAGTCAGTTTCGCCATGACTGCTGATCCGTACATGAAGACACCGACGTTGTAGCTCCACATATCGTGGTTCACGTCTACGCAGCCATTCTCGCCCTTCGCATCGTCCGTACCATCGTACACATCGAAGTCTGGGCTAATCAGACCAACGCCGACAGTCCAGTTATAGCTCTTGACTGCCCAAGCTTTGATATCCGCAGATGAGGTGAGCAGCGCAAGTCGAGTAGCCATCTGGAAGAACAATCCATTCGCAATCGTTGACTTGTAGTGCCACCCATCTGTTCCATCACCTTCGAGGATCTTCCACTTCATGCCGCCGTTGCATTTGTCGTTGTCCCAACGGGCTGTTTGCTCCTGGAAGACGTTCTGGGCGAGGGTTACCCATGGCACAGAGCCAGTGGGAGCGAGACTGGTTTCTGCAGCTGTGAGGGCTGCAAGCGCCCACCAGGCTTGGTCATCATTACCGGTCGCATGAACGGTCATGAAGTCGTTGGTGGCTGTGGCTTCGGTGATAAGCGTGTTCGACAGGAGGTTATCATATTGAGAGTCGCCCGTTGTCGAAGTGTAGGTCAAAAGTGCGTCGACAGCTGATCCAGATTGCCACCACCAGATCGGTTCGGCAAAGAGGGCGAGGCTCTGGTCTGGATAAGTGGCCCGGAGAGATGAGGCGAATGCGCCAGCATGGCTGAGCAGCAACTTGGCCTCAGGTACCGCAGCTGCTGTCGCGGACGCGGTTGCTGATTGGACTACGGGTGAGGTTAAAGAGGCGATCCGAGTTGAGATCGGTGTAATCGATGCTGAAGGCGTGGTTGGAGACGACTGAGGAGCGGACTTCGTCGAGTTTGAGAATAGCAATGGCGATTCTGGAAAGAAAAGCGTCACCAGCGGGATGATGTCTGCTGGGAGACGCATGTCGAAGAGATCTTCGTTTAAGGTGTGACGTAAAGGGGAGATCGAATTGAACTGAGCACTTTCGAGCGGTTGTAAATGAGCGAAATCGACTCACTGAGTCAAAAGAAAGTGCAGGCGCTGAGTCAAGAAATGAATGTCATGGACGAAAGACAGTCCACGTGTAGAAACAGGTCGCGAACGAAGGTATCACCGCTCCACAAGAACAACAAAACGGAATGTAGGAAGACAGCGAAAAGATAACGAGAAGGTGATTCCACTTCTTTCTGGACGCATCTGGGAGCCATGTCTTCGCCAAGGCGGAGACACTGACCCGGTAAACGCCCTGGGCCATGCCGTTGCGGACCCACATGTTGCATTGCCAACATGTGAATCGAACCTGTCCAAGGGTTTCTGCCTACCCTTCTGATGGGGATGTTCATATTGGCGCATGGCGACGTGGCGTCCGCCCCTGTTTCATGTGACAATATTGTGGGTCGCCGCGTGGTGTGAAACGTCGATAAGGAAATCTCTTTTCTATGATTCGGCGACGTGCAGAAATGAGCACAATCATGCGTCCTAACTTCGTCAGTTGCAGCCGTCGCACCTCTAGTTTTGGTGTCTCCTGTATAGGGCAGTGTTATAGAATCCGGCTTTATCCGTTGTGCATATGGAAGCGCGAGGCCCGTCCACGGCGTGTAGAATTAATGATACGGCTTCAAAGATCATAGAGCTTCCAGATGTATCTCTCATGTGGTAACCTGAGCGACTTGACTTAATTTGGGAAAATGGCGGAAAATTCGATGGAGCGGTCGGCATCAGGTATCCCACTAAGCTCACACATGGTTTCTTACCTCTGCGAGTTCTGATGACCGATGCACTGTACCGCGTTGCCACTGCGATCTCCTCGTACAGACATACCGAGCTTTCGGAAGATTCGAATGATCCAATATAGACGTCCTTTTTTGATCTCGTTTGTACTGTCTAGGCCTATGTGAGACGACATGGTGCGATAGATACAGTCTGCTGTGTCATTATATTCAAGAGATGTCGATCAAAATGTCGAAAAGTATAAGCTCACCTGCTGTTGAGAAGATCAAGAAATTCCAAAGTTGCTGAAGACCACAAACACGTAGCTGTGCAACCCGGAATGCATAATTGCAAATTGGAAATGCCCGCCCCAGTAGTTCGTTAGTTGCGAAACATGTAAACTTCATGCTCTGACGGCTGGTATGTTTTCCATCCCTGTTCCCTTTCGCCGTCGACTACATCGTGCGACCCCTCCTCTCTTCATCACCGCTCGTTCCATTGTCATTCGCTGTGAGGGCGCCGTAGTCCTGCACGCCAACGCTGACGCTAGGCATAAGTCTTTCTCTTGCCTCTTCAGCCTCCTCTTCAATGTTCTCTCTCATGATCTTATGGCTTCTCCTGAACACGAATGACACGAGTGCAATGCCAACAAGCAGGGCCATACCGAGCAAGATGACGTTGATAGGCACAGGATCATTCCTGAACACCTTGTGTGTTGCAGCGTCGAGGGCAGATTGAGAGAAATTGAGAACGCCGGCGAGGCAGATGATCAATCCGTAAACTTTTCCAAAAGTGGCAAACCCGAAGACTTTGGCGGAGTAGTCACTATAGCTTTGTCAGCAGCTTCTGGCGACCAAGTTTCAGTTACTCACGAGACTGCAGTGTAGTAAAGCGGTCTGTACAAAACAAACAGAACGATGCTGCCGTACGCAGCCCAAGTCTCCGGTATGATTCCCAAAACACCGATCGTAGTGGCGATCGCAACTAGAAGCGATAGAGTAAATGTAGTACTAGTATTATCCAGGATGAGTCCAATGAAGGGTATTGAGATTATACCGCCAACAGGCAGCGCGACGTCGAAAAAGTTGTTGATCTCCACGGCTTTCGAGTAGTCGTGAAAGATATACGTATACTGCGAGCGAATGGTAGCGACAAAGTAGTTGATCCTTGTCATCTGCAACACAGTGAACAATGTGATTAGGATGAACCAAGGGGTCCTGATCTGCTCTGATGCCGTACGTCCGTGGAGAGCTCCCCAAACGCCAGACTTGTTCCGCTTCTTCTCTTCTTCCTTGGCCTGATTGGCGCCGTCTTTGGTGCCCAATAAAGCGGTGATCTCACTGGCGATACTGTCTCGGTGTATGCGGCGAGCGTTTTGCAAGCTCTGGACTGTGGCCTGGTCCTCAATCTCGTCATCCGAGTCGTGTACGCTATTCCCATCTTCGACCTCGGTCACTAACTCGCCGACGGTCTTGTACGAGGTTGCAGGCATGAAGAAAATCTGCACTGCCAAAATATATGCTGGGACGATGAGATATCCGAGGAAGAACTTCTTTGGCGTGAACGCGCCATCTGTAGCCTGGTAGGCGAGACGGTAGAACAAAAATATGGCACTTGATGTGTCGAATGCGCCTGTGAGAAGAGCCAGGATCAGGCCGGAGTACTGCGGGAAGGTGTTGCTGAGCTGAAAGGAGGAGATGAAAACGAATGGCCCTCCCAATGCCAGAAACAAATATCCAGGGATGTACGCATCAAAGGGGAGCTCTGCTGCGAATGCGAATAGCAGAGCACCGACGGTGATCGAGATTGCCCCGATTATGCCAGACACGCGAGGCCCATAGCAGTCCAAAATAGTGCCAACGGGCAGAGCGACGACATTCGTGGATACTGCGGCGACGGTGAACATAAGATTGAGTCTGCCATTAGGCGTGGTTAGCGGGGATCGCGCCTTCCCAATCTTTCTCTCAACGTACCTCAATTCTTGCTCGTAGCAAACATACACATTATCTTTGCGCTCTTGCTTTGAACATTTGTCTCTGTACACGCCTTCGGCTAGCAATACCGGTTTGATCGCTGCGTATCCAAAGACCACGCCTGCGGCGAGAAGGCAGTAGATGCAGGCAAGACATACCTGCACTGCACGGTAATCAGCCGGCTCCTCGCGTCACACAGATTGCTTATACATACGACATCTCTTCCACTTTGGGACCTCGAATGCGCCAACCGGCTGCACCTCACCCGCAGCTTCGGTCCACGCTCCAACTGGGTTGAACGACATCTTACGGTTGCGCGAAGATTCGCGACTGCCAGGCGCACTCCATGGCTGGTACTCCTCCATCGTCGTGAGGCGCTCCGAGAGAGACATGTTGGGCGGCTTGACTCCTCGTTCTCTGCAGGCTCAGGGTACGATTTGCTACTTCTGAGCAGCTGAAGATGCAAGCGCACTTGGATGCTGCACTGACACCCTCGCCTTGCGCGCGTGCTCAGAAATTGCCTAGGAAGCTGTTCGGTAGGTAGTAACAGCCGGATGACGGCGCCGTCACGAAGCTTTACCGGTAGAAGCGGGATTGACGTGCAGCACCTCGCTTTATGGATGTAACGACACTGCAACAGCTGGACTGGGGAAAAAAAGAAGCTGGGTGGCTCCGAGGAAAACTGTTCAGCGTCCTAAATACGCAATGAAGCCTGCGTACAGCGAAGAGCGGACATGCAGGGTTTTGTGCCTTTAGGCATCTTCCCGCATGAGGCGCAGAGATCTGGGTACGCATGATCACATGCATCACACCTCATCCACATCTTCCACCTTACTCCGTAGTACAACGCTTGAGGCGGCTGACCATCCTTGTGAGCTCATCGTCTACGTTTTCTACGTCTTCTGCCCATTGACAAGACTTCAAGCCGACTTCAAGGTCCGTTATCATCGTGTTGATATCTGGTCACTGATTGGCGCATGTAGCTCCCCCGCTTGACCAATAATTGCGCGAATCAGCCGCGGAAGATGCACCTGCATCGATGCGTCGGCCCATGACGAATTTTCCACGGCCAAGGGTCCACAGGTTCGCTGGATCGCAGCATCGTCAAGTACATCGGAGTGAACTTGCAATCCTTTCATGCGACATGGTTGGAAAATTTCTTCGTGGTCCCGCCTAGACAACGGCTACTGCAGGAAGTGCGGCGGATAAATGCTCGCAGGATTGTGGGCAGGCCGACAGGTGCAAGCTTTTGCTCGATCACATCGAGTAAGCATTGAGATGGGCGATGGCCGTGGATCTGTGCACTTGCACGTTACTCTTGTTACTCTATTGCAATTATGACATTAAAGGCACGACGTGCCGAAGGGTGTCCTGGGCTCTGAACTTTACTCCCTTGGGATCCCCAACTCGACTTCACACCTCTGTCTATCAATTCTACTCTGACGAGACGAAGGTCACTGTTCAGATGTGAGCAGTCAGATCGAATTGTTGCTTGACGAACTCACACAGTAACTTCGGCTTCATTTTATTGACGAAGCGTCTACTCTCTCTTTGCACGTTGCAATCGGCTCTCGTCAGATTCTCGCGGGCTCAGAGCCGAGATGAAGTACTACCCAGTCCTGCTCCAATTTCGCACGATGAACAATCGCAACCCCTCTGATAGGCGAAGCTGCCGTGATGGCCGAATAAGCTCTTCAAGTTTGATTTGGACGTGCGCTTAATCTTGATCAGCGACCCGTGGTCCGGACCTTCGTCCTTGCAAGATCAGGCTCTTTGACTCTCAGAGAAACGAATGCCGACCACTGGCATATCCACGACTGTGAACTATATCGGAGAGTAAGCATATACTGAGCTGCATCGCTCAACGAATTCCAGAAGCAATCGTCACAAGGTTGTACGATACCCGAAGGCGATGCTGATCCAGAGACTCCGGCTTGGATAACGAGGACCTAGCGCGCGGAGATCTTGACGACACCATTCATCTTTTCATTTCCGTCGTTGTCATTTCGGCGATGGTCGGTCAAAGAGGTTGATTTTCATCGCCATTCTTGCAGGGCCGACCTGTCGCCTTGCTATCTTTCCTGACGGCCATCTGTCCTGGCCTGGTCGCTACCTGCGACTGGTCTCAGGCGAGTGTGCAACGTTGACTTCAATCCTCCAGCACGGGGTAAACACTATTAAGTCAATCAGTCTTATAGCACGACAATGGCTGACACCTTGGCCCTGCCACAGCTATATCTTCTTTGGCACTGACAGAGCCAATGAATTGCCACACCCGCAAGACATCATAGTCTCCCGCCATCCAACGACGCCATCACTACTACACCGACCTCATTGTCCCCGACACTAGCTCTGGAGTCTGCACTTTCACCTCCCACGGGGGCGACAGCAGTATCGCGACGGCCTGTTACTGCATCGAATTCAGAATGAGGCGTCGCGAAACAGAACTGCAATGTCAGCAGAGTTCAACCGCGGTCGCTGCGATGAGCGCCCTCCCAGTCGCCGCGACCAGCTTTTTGTAACTTTGTACGCGCGCATCACGCTGTAGCATTCCGCCAAGCTCCAGAATATCGACTCAATCTCGTGTTGCTCGTGTTGTCCAGACGATGGTGCGGGAAGAGCGTCACACCTAGGCCGAACTCAATTTCCCGCCACCTCGTTTTCGAAGTGCCCGCAACCATGTGTCGAAGAAAGCACGATTACATGCTACCGCTGGGAAAAGGAATGACAGTCTTGCAGGAGCTGCCGGACGCAACATTGGTCGTTCTCACGCTGCGCCACGCCGCCCCATTTCCCCGACGATCGGCACTGCTCCGACGATGGCGAACCCCTCAATTGGGCTTAGACTGACACTATACGATTTTCTAATAATAACATTCCCGTATGCAGATGAATTTTCACCGCATTGATGCTTGCAGGGAATGCTTTCAACATCGTGGTACGTTGCTTACTGGGCCAGGAAATTGGGCAAGGGAAACCTCCGACCCCGCATCCGGCGCCGCTACCATTACCAACCTCCTGAAACTGGAAGCAGACATACCACAGCCGAACAATGACATCGTCAGACTTTTGGGTGGAGAGGGAGAGGCGGGTAATTATAGTTACCCAAGCGGTACGAGCGCCTAGCGTCTGAAACCACCAATTAGGCATAAATTGCCTCTCGGACACGGGGTAGGGCTGAGATCGAGTTGCGTATAAAGGTAAGACCACACGCCCACTCAGATCCTTCATCATCAGCAAAAGCAAATATCCTGCAACCAATACAACTCCTCGGTTTTCACTACAGACACTCGTTCAACATGCAGTACACTCTCTTCACTCTATTGGCGGCGGCCGCATCTCTTGCCTCAGCGCAGAGCTCCTCTTCCGTCGGCCAGGTCATCCCCATCGGCGGAAACTGTGTCCCCAACGGCACACCCTGTGCTATGGGCGCCAGCTGCTATGCTACGAACTCGATGCTCCAAACTGTTTGCGGTAACTTCCAGGCCTCCTGCACCAGCAACCAGCAATGCGCTTTCAACACATGCAACGGGGGTCTCTGCAACGGCTTCCTTGCTTCTTCCTCCGCCTCCTCGGCAATGCCTACCATGACATCCGCATCGTCCAGCACAGGAGGCTTCCAGCCCCGCCCCTCATCCACCGTCACAGCTGCTGCTGGCACTCTTCCGCTCGGCGCCGAGTGCAATGCTTCCGCAGCTCAGAGCCAGTGTGGTGCCGGTGTCCAGTGCTATGCCAGCAACTCCGGTCTGATCCCCAGCTGCGGCAACTTCAATGCTGCTTGCACCAGCAACTCGCAGTGTGCGTTCAACACCTGCAACGGAGGTCTCTGCAACGGCTTCCTCGCTTCCAGCGCAGGCAACGGTACCGCCACTGCTTCCCGCTCCATGACTGCCTCTCACAGCGCCACCGGTACCGGTTCCATGGCCGCTTCTCGCACTAGCAGCATGGCTGAGTTCACCGGCGCTGCGACTGTTGCTACTATGGTCCCCGAGATCATGGCCGTCATGCTGGGTGTTGCCGCTTGGGCGTTGTAGATGCATAGAGCTCGATCCGAGATTGAGCGAGGTGGTGCTGGGAATACCTTGATTTATAGATTTCATCGTGGTCTGCCCAAGCGACTATAATAATGATGTTCGTAGAAATAACAAACGTAGTAATGATAAGTCAAACTTTGAACGGAACTTCCCACAGGCTTTGGTCGCTCGCTGTCGGTGATGTAGTGATATGCAGGGACTTATCTATACGTGCGTACACCCAAGTTTAAGTTCAGCTAGCCTGCTTGAAAAGTGCTATGCGGGTGAACTTGACGTTGCAAAATTTGGCATTGAAGTTGGAAGGGGAGTAAGAATGAGATCATTGCCAAATGTGGGCCTATAAGAATAATATACCAAAGCGTGTTGCCTAACAATAGCGAGGGTGCTCCGCTCAATACAACCGTTCATGCCCGAACTACAATACTCAACACTGGACGCTTTGAATCCTCAACAACCGTAAATTTTTGCCTCCGTGCAGCACATCGACACCAATGCATGAGAGTAGCCTCCGACTTCGACATCCTCAAACGATGAACTTTTCTCCAAGGTTCTCTTCTACCTCAACCGTGGTCGTGACCCTGATGTCGTTTTTCCTGGAGCATGCCGGGAGTGCTACTCCCATCTCGTCGTCCCTAGCCCTCTCCGGTATATTATCCTTGTGGCACTCTCTCAAGATTGTCTCCTCGCTTGCATTGTCGCTGCCCATCTTGACAGTAGTACGCAATGCACTTTCACCCTGACCAATGTATACCCGACTCTTCGCGCTGCCCCTGAGTCCATGAGTCTTCCCGAAACTCCCCTTTTTACTATGGGAGTAGTCTTTGAGCGGATGACTCCGGCCTCCACTAGCACCGCTCGAGTCACCGCGCGACCCGTAAGCGATGCGGACGTACAGCGGCCGGAGGACGGGTATGCAAGCGCAGATGATCGTGAGACAGATCTCGGAGGACGACCAGAGCAGCATGGGTGCGGTATCGTAGACGTAGTTTGCCTTGCTGGCAAGTGTGCGTAGTTCCACGGTTCGCACAACGGAGCAACAGCCTGCGAAGAAGCCGAGGGAGAGACCGCATGCGATCGTTACCTTCTCTTTACGCTTCATGTTGAGGCCCATGACCACGGGCCAGGGGAGGATGGCGAGAATAAAGTCCATGGCTGCAGACCAGGCTGGGTAGCATTAGCATGTGACATCTCAAAGTAGCATGTTGGAGACGTACCGCCCATGGACAAGCCTACGTCTGTGAAGTTGATGGGACAGTGTCCACCTGGGATAGTAGGGTTCCAGAGATACGATACTGGCTTGCATTGCAAAAACAGTAGCGCCGTTGTGATGGTGCTGAAGATCGCTGTGCTGATCATCACACTCCAGAGCAGGGCAATGTGCCACTTTCGCACGACGATGCGTAACAAAAACAACGCAATCGCGGCCTTGGACACAGCAATGCCCATCTGTAAGTATTTTTCAGCAAGTAATCTTAGGACTAGATTCATCACAAGGGCTGGACTTACTATGCAGATGCCCTGGCCGACAGCCTCCCAGAAGATGGCTTTGGAGTTGTCAAGACCAAGACGAGCAATGTCTTCGGTCGTCTTCCCAACCCCATATGAAACACCAATCGAGGTGGTGGCTATGAAAGCAATGAATACCGCCTGTGATGGTCAGTGAGCAGCGATTTTATAAGCCAGAACTAGGTGTGAGGGGCATATGAGGACAAGGGGGAAACGAGAAGTGCCTGACCCACCAGATTAATGACCATCATGTAGTCGTCCCAGCCCAAGCTCCTGATGATATAGAATCGTGTGTAGATTCGCAGCATGATGAAGACCGACGATACGCCGACTTGGAGCCACATCACGCCATTGAGGATTGGCCCATAGTCTGATGGCTTGCCCATGATGAGGACCGTTCAAGCAAATGCCCTTGACGTGACTTGAATACGAACAGTGTCCGAAAAAAGAGCTTTGCGGTGAAGTAGACGGCAAAAGAAAAGTTGTGCCAAAGAGATTGATGAAGTAGGCAGTTCTCGCAACGGAGGTGCTCCCGCCTCTATAGTGCGAGGTGAAGGATCTGGAGAAGAGGATGATGTTGGCAGTGACCGAGGGGAAGCAGAAGGCCTCGGTCGATATGTAGAGGAAGGAATTGCAACACAGGCGCCCCTTGAGTGGATCGTGACAGCACAGCAACTCCATCGTCCTCCAACAACCACCCTGTGTCTACAGCTGCTCAGCAATGCTATCAGGCTCTAAGTAGGCAGATCGTCAGCGCCTTCGTCTAGAGCGGGTAGAAGCGCCGCTATGCTCGATTCGATGTAGGAGATCACACGCAACATGCCAAGTCTTAGAAGGTGTGCTCTGTTATTGAGTAGTATTGCGATGGAGCCGCATGGCGCGATGGATCTAAACCGGAATGCATCTCCTACTAGTACGTTGGCGCCGGCGGTTCCTGCATGGCATATGAAGCTAAGCTGTTGCGTACTCAGTGTGTGATGGCGTGCATGTATGCTTGCAGACTGTATTCGTGAAAGCGAGAAGTACCTGACGGCCGATTTTTGACACAGCCTGATCCTGGCAGCCAGTGCTTGGGAGGGCCCTCAGCCCATAGTCAAGCCGGGGTTCCTAATTGCTCATGTGTTCGGTGTGTAGCTAGTTACTCATGTCATTTATTGACATGATAGGTGTGAGCTAATGTGCAGCATCTCCGTCTTCTCTGGCTCCTTTACGATGCGCGGAGGAGCGCGCATTGTTCTCCACCGGGCTGATGCCTTCGACCCTTCGCATCCAGGATGCTGGGCAGGATTAGTGGAAGCTACTGTAGAGGTATGGAGGCGTGCAAATTTTGCTCGCACGCTAGCTATTGTTCGCCGGATCGCCAGACTTGAGGACATATGTGACAAAGAAGCCCCGAACGCTGCGCCTCTTCCGTCATGTCCCTCAATACTCTCTTGCAGCAGAAGACTACTAGACGGCTTTGCTACAAGCAGAGAACCCTGCGATGTATGGAGACCTTTTACTTAAGACTTCGTAGTGCATAAATCCCATCAGTTCAAAATGGTATGGAGGTTTCACGACAGTGCGTACCGGTAGCCAATCACTTGTGTGACGCGAACGGTGGCGGCTGCGCGGCAGCGGCTCGCTCGTTCCCCGACACCAGGCCGGAATTGTGGATCCAAGGCCGGTATCCGTCGCTTTGTGAAGTGGCCGCAGTAGCTCGAGTTGGCCTGCATCTCCATGTTTACGACGCTGCCGTATTGCTTGGCCAAACTGCCGGTACATTGACTGCGCGCAAGTGCTCAGGGTCGCGGCAAGGCTGAGGCAGAATGCCCACCACGAATGTCGGATTGTAAAATTGACAACCAAAGGTGTGAATAAGTTGGTGAAGGAGGTGCAGGTGTCATGCCGGGAAAAGCGCTCTTTTCCGTGGACGCGTGCAAACGAGCTACAGGAGCTTCCTATCTCAACCCCCCCCCCGTGCCTTTCCTTCCCACATCAACGTTTTCAACAGTGTCACCACCATCTTTGAGATCACGAAAGCGAACAATTGCTCACCGCACAACGCCCTGCAGATGCTGTGGTACCACACTACGCGCGTGGCAAACGTCGCTGTGCGCCCACGTTGACCGCTGCGTGCACACATGAAAAAGGACCTGAGCGGATCTTCAGCCGTAACCCGGACGCTAGCGCCCTCCCCCGAGACGGTCAGGCCAACACGAGCAGAACAAGATGGGGCAGATGGAAAGCACACTTGTTGCCGCCAAGCTATCCCATTGAATGGTGCAAGTCAAGAGTCTAGCGTTTAAAAGCATTGGACTGATATTCCACTCAGAAGTTGCAGCGCCGTGGGACTGACCAAAAGTCCACATACGATCTCCACTCCAATCCTCGCTCCTGTCAGCACCAATTGACATCATGTCGAGAGAGGGTCGTCGTGAACAGCTGGTCCGAGAAAGCGAAAGGGTGACCCTTGGTCTGTGATGCGTTCAAAACGAAGCTATGATAGTCCTTCCATCCTACGACATAACTCGGCTTAGACTGATCTAGTCCCGCGGCGACTGAGCTATTGCGGCCATGGCTCCCAAACCCTGGCACTTCATACGGTTCCCTACAGTAGGATCGATCTGCAAGGGGCCCAACTGCTGTGATGTCCCCCGCGATCGGTTATGAATTATACAGGTCGAATCCGCTCCTCGACGGTCCCTCGATCATCCCTCGATCATCTCTGCCTTTACGTTGTACGTTGCACACACAAGCATGGTGGTCCCCTCGCTAGTGCTCACCGTCTTTGCCCTTGGAGCCATTGCACTGGTATTCCAGTATGTTGTTGCGTACCTGAATTCACCTCTGAAGAGTATCCCTGGCCCGTTCCTGGCGAAGTTCTCAAACATCTGGCGCTTGTACAACCACTACGGACAGACGCACATCGAGACGCAGAAAGAGCTGCACAAGAAGTACGGTGACGTGGTTCGTCTCGGTCCGAATACCGTCAGTGTTGCAGATGCAAGCCTGCTCAAAACGATATACTCAACCCGCGGCACGTTCCTAAAGGTAGGTAGCGGCACTGAACCTAGACTATGGCAGCCTACTGACCGTGCTCCAGAGCGACTATTACTCTGGTGATGACCCCCGTTGACCACGTCGACTAGCCCGCTCGCTAACAGGTCGTAGTCAACGATGCTCTCCAAGGCGGCCATCTCATCCAGAACCTCTTCAGCACCCGCAGCAATGAGTATCATTCTAGAGGAATCAAACCAATCCAGAAGCTGTACAGCTTCCAGAGCGCCCTGCAGTTGGAGCCACTCATGAACGCAGACCTGCATGTCTTTGGCAGGGAGCTCGAGCGGCGATTCATGGACGGTGACAACCGCGGCAAGGCGTGTGACATGGCTGCGTGGATCTCGTACTTTGCGTGGGACTTTCTCGGCGACATGACTTGGAGCAAGCGCATGGGCTTCATGGAGCAGGGCAAAGATGTCGGCGGCATGTTGCAGACGGCTGAGAATGTGATGCGCTACTTTTCCGTTGTAGGTCGAGTTGATACGCTACGCATTGCCATACAAATCATTGACTGTCTCTCAAGGTCGGACAGATGCCGTCCCTCGACAAGCTGCTGGGCAAGAACTTGCATCTCACGCGGTTCTACAAGTTCGACGACTTCGCCGTCGCCGCCGGCTATGCAGTCGAGCAGTTCATGGAGCGCATGGCCAACCTCTCGCAGTACAAAGACAAGAGGGATTTCGTCAACGGCTTCCTCGCCGCAAAGGAAGAACATGCCACCACCGTCACCGATAATGAAGTCATCGGATACATGATCCTCAACGTCCGTCATCCGCCCCCCTTGCTCTGTCATCGACACGACTAACCACGTCCAGATCCTCGGCGGCGCAGACACGCTCGCCATCTGCACAAAAGCGACCTTCTACCACCTCCTCAAGACCCCAGCCGCAAAGGAGAAGCTGGTGACCGAGCTGCGAAGCGCAGACCTGGCGCACCCAGCGCCCTACCAGGCCCTCGAGAAGCTACCCTACCTCGACGCCTGCATCAAAGAAGGGCTGCGCATGCACCCAGTCATCGGGCACATGGTGGAGCGTGTGGTGCCAGCCACGGGGCTCACGCTCGCCGACGGCACTGTGCTGCCGCCCGGGACCATCGTCGGCGCGAACCCGTGGGTGGTGCACACTGACACGCGCATCTTCGGCGACGACGCGGACGCGTTCCGGCCCGAGCGCTGGCTACGCGGTGCGGACGAGAGTGAAGCGGGGTTCGCGGCGCGGCTGAAGAGGATAAAGGAGGCGGACATGGCGTTTGGAGGCGGGAATCGTGCGTGTCTGGGCAGGCCGCTGGCGCTGGTCGAGTTGTACAAGGTGGTGAGCTTTGTGTTTGCGAAGTATGATGTAAGTCTTCACTCTTGCTCGAGGCTGCGGACGTGCTGACGAGAGTAGATTGAGCTCGAGGATCCGGCCAAGGAGTGGGATCTGCATAAGCAGTGGTTTGTGTGGCCGCACGACGTCAAGGTTATAATGAGCCCGGTCGAGGAGAAAGAAGAGGTGGCGGTGTAGGGCGTGAGGCGAGCGAGGCGAGGCGGCGGCGCCGCGGTGGTGAAGGTGCAGCTTGCATGAGCAGCATGCATGTCAGTGTGAAGAATGATTTGCGCCTCTTCTGCCATGGCCGGTGCTGTGCTATGCCGTGACGATGCATCACCCCTCAAACTCCGCCCTGCCGCCAACATCCCCCTCGTTGGCCACCCCATAGGCATCCTCGAAGCTCGCAATCTGCACACCCCACGCATCCCCATCCACGCCTTGCATCCCCTCCCAGCGAAACGCCAAGACAGCACCGTCCTTCAGCCCCGCAGCCTTGGGACAATCGGTTCCCTCACCCGTCTTCGCCTTCGCCCTCGCCCTCCCCTTTCCCTTGCCCGCCTCCTCTTCAATCACAACCTCCTCGTCCAGCTCGGCGTCCTCCCACTCGGCGAGCGCGAAGCCGGCGCCAGGGTCCAGCGGGTCGAGCGGCCGGCCGAGCTGGATGTCTGCCGCCGAGTCGGGGAGGGGTATTGCGGGCCCGTCTTCGGAGGCCTGCAGACCGGTTTCGGCGAGCGCCGTGTAGAGTTGGGCCTTTATGGTCGAGAAGGTTGATAGAGGGTCTGTGTGTAGTAGGACGGTGGTGCGGTGGGATTTTAGGCGGAGCGTCCATGTGCTGGGGGTTGGCTGGGCCATTGTGGTGGTGTGCAGGTTTGTAGTGTGCAGGTTTGAAGTGTGCAGGTTTGAAGTGTGCAGGTTTGAAGTGTGCAGGTTTGAAGTGTGCAGGTCTGCAGTGTGCAGGCTTTTGGTGGATGCAGCTTACTGCAGGGGTGGGTGCAGCTTGGGGGTTCGAGGATGGGGCGTGGGTAATGATCTATGTGCAGGTTTGGTAGAGCTCTGGTGTTGGAAAGTGGCGGGCGGAGAGAACGCGGTCGCGTCGCGTGAACTTATCTCCGCTTTACCGCACCCCCTCCACACCCTCAGACCTTCACACCACACCCTCGGACCTTGACACCACACCCTCGGACCTTTACACCGCGCACCCGCCACAATGGCAAGCCTCACTCCCTCCAATCCCGCCACAATCACAGCCGAGGACCTGCCCCCACGGCCCCCGCGCCCTTCGCAGCCTCTCACCAACGCGCCCCGCCTCGGCATGCCCTTTGACCGCCGTCTGCTCCTCACGACCTTCACCTCCTTTGTCTGCGGCTTCACGCTGGGCAGCGCGTCGGCGGGCTCCATGGCGGCGCTGCGATTCCGCGCCGAAAACGCACACCGACTGCCAGTGTCGCAGCCCGGGTGGTATCTGTACCACAAGAGCAAGAACTACTACAAGACCAAGGAAGGCGTGCTGGAGGGGCTGCGCAAAGGGTGCAAGGTCGCGGCGTGGAGCACCGTCTTCTTCGTCGTCGAGGAGAGTCTGGATGTCTTCCGTGGCACGTGGAAGGCGGGCAGGACCGTGGATGGCATGGAGGGCGTCGACGAGCTGAGTCTGAAGAGGATCGACAGGGGCGTCGCCGGGAGCAGGGATTTCCTATCAAGTGCGCTGGCGGGGATGGTTACCGGCGGCGTGTGGAGCGCGTGGCATCAGTTCCCTGTCAGCTTTGCGGCGAGGACGATCAGGCTGGGGCTCGTTGTCGGCCTGGGGTACGGGTTGGGTCAAGACGCGCTCGTGTGGGCCAAGGCCAGGTATGGGAGCGGCGAGGACGGGGAGAGCTGGATCTACAAGGGCGCGAAGAATAGGCTCAAGGCTGATGAGGAAGATGGGGAGAAGGCATAGCTGGATTGGATTGCTGGATTGCTGGATTGCCAAACTACGGTGCGATTACCGCGAGTCCATACGCCACGGTGGAAACGCCACAGCATGCTCGACCGCCCTCGATGCTCCAGTACCGTCCACTCACTCCACGCACTCCACGCACTCCACGCATTCCAACGCATTCCAACGCACTCCAACACACTCCAACACATTCCAACACACTCCAATACACTCCACGCACTCCAACGCATGGCTGTGCTTCCTTAAAAACGCCCCGGCATGCTCCTCCGTCGCCGGCCCAAATACCCACAATCTCTCCAAACCCCCACATGTCAAGAGCTGCTCTCCCTGCAGTGGGAGGAGCGTCTCGGGCTTGTCCAGGTCGGCGGCTGCGAATTCGGCACCCGCAGTCTGCACGTTTGGGGCTGACGGGGAGCGCGGAGCTTGGGGTCGGATGCCTAGGACGATCCAATCTCGGGAGTCTGTGCGCCTGCATGACACCCGCACAAGCATTGCGACGCAGCAATCAAGCTTCGTAAGCTCAGCGCCTAATGCAGCAAGGTCGTCGTGGGTGACGAGGCGGGCGTCGTCATCGTCGGGATACCGATAAGACAGACGGTCCTCCGTCCTCCACTGCCCATTGACTCCCCATCGCAACGGGCGGTCAAGTCGACATCGCCACCGCAGCCCTCAGCTCGTCCCGTCTCCCGGCAAGACGCCAGACGGCCCGACGCCAGACAGCCCGACACCCACGATGCGGCTCCCGCTCGAGCTGCTGCTCCTCTGCGCGGGCGCCCTGTCCGCGCCGCTCGCCCCGCGCGCCGCCTCGTTCGCGCACCTCGCGGGCCTGACGACCAACACGCGCGACCTGTCGACGACCGACTCGCGCTCCCCGCAGAAATACTTCCACGAATCCATCCTGCACCCGCACTATGACGGCCGCTTCGCCACCACCGTGCTGCCGCGCGACACGCGCCTGCTGCACATGCGCCTGCTGCTGCGCTCGTACACGCTCGCCATGGCCCGCGCGCGTGTGTCTACCTGGCTCATGCACGGCAGCCTGCTGGGCTGGTGGTGGAACGGCGGCGTGTTTCCGTGGGACAGCGATCTGGACTTTAGCGTCGAGGAGCGCGGGATGAGGGAGTTGGGGCTGTGGTGGAACATGACGGTGCACGCGTTCAGTGCGGCCGAGCTGGGCGTCGATTCGGGGCTTGCAGATGGGTCCGGCTTCCGGGGGGGTGCTGAGAGCACGGGCGAGAGGCGGGGCGGCGCGGGCGGCATGGACTGGCGGGGCAGAGCGGGCGGCATGGACTGGATGCGTGAGCCCGCGGGGCTTCAGGCGGGGACGTGGGCAAAGGTGGTGGCCGAGGGGAAGCGGTATCTTCTCGAGGTGAACCCGCACTTCACCGACACATCAACGCGCGACAAGCACAACCGCATCGACGCACGCTGGATCGACACATCAACAGGCCTCTTCATCGACATCACAACCGTACACCCCGTTCCGTCACCGCTGCCCGACGCCGCGCGCCGCTCCCACAAATTCGTCCTCAAAGAGCCCGCCGCCCACACCACCCACCAGGACCAGACGCACATGTACACCAAGGACACGCACCTGTACGCCACGGCGTCGCTGTTCCCCCTGCGCGAGTCCAGCTTCGAAGGCACGCCCATATCCGTGCCGTACGCGTACGAGCAGCTGCTGCTGGAAGAGTACGGGCCGCGCGCGCTGACGGAGACGTGGTTCGACGGCTACCGCTTCGACGCGGCGACGAAGGCGTGGGGCGTCGACACGCGCACGGGCGAGAGCGCTGCGGCGCAGGGCGCGAAGGGCGCGAAGAAGCCGAAGTGGCAACCTGTGGATGACGGGGACAGGACGCAGATGGACAATCTGGGGGAGGCCGTGTACACGCCCAAGGCGGGGAGTGCGGGGGATGTGCACGTGGTACCTGGCGGAGCGTCGTGAAGTGCTTTCTTTTTACTGGCGATGTGAAATATGGATACCCCAACCCAAGTCAGCGCGTACGCCCAAGAGTCCATCTATCTAATGATCATCAGACATGTGCACACCCACACACACACACCCACCCACACACATACATCCACCCACACACCCACACACCCACACACCCACACACATACACACACATACACCCACACCCACCCACACACCCACACACCCACACACATACACATACACACACACACACACACACACACACACACACACACACACACACACACCCACACACATACACCCACACACCCACACACACAGCACTCCTCGCGACCCGGATGCAGACGCTCAAAGCGGCATAATCTCATGATTCATCTCTACCAAACCCACAACGTGCTCCCAAACACCCTCGTCCAGCCATGCCAACAAAAACAATGGTATCCTATCCTAACCTCGCACTCCATGGCCACCCCGCCTCAGAAGGCTCTACTCATCGCGGTAGAACTTCTTGAAAATCAAATGCAAGAACAGATTAACATTAACCCTGACAGCCCCATTGCCGCTGCCATCGCGTCCCTCACCAAACAGGTTCATGAACTGGTGGTTATCAAACTGCGCCTGCAGCAGCCCGTCGAGGGGCACCTCTGCAAACGCGCCGGGGATCATCATGCTGCCCTGCGAGCCCTGGATCTCAAAGATGCCCGTCTGGTTGCTCGACACGGTGAGCTCGAGGCGGTCCCACGCGCTCTCCGCGTACCCGGACCACGACACCAGGATGCCCTTTTGCGCCAGGTTGCGCGCCGAGTACTTGAACGATCCGAATCGGTAGGCGCGCCCTGTTGATTTGAGCTCGCGCATGTGGTTGTACTGCCGAGTGAAGGGGAGGAGGAATTTCTTCTTGCCCTTTTTCGATTGCAGCGTCACCATGGCTTGCTCGATGTAGTCATTGTACGACTTGAGTTGCTGCTCGAGAAAGTGCGCTTTCTCGTCGAGCGCCGCGAGCGTCGTGCGTACACCTTCCATCTCGCGCGCCCGCTCCATGCGCCGCCGATGCTTGGTGCGGATGTCCACTGCGATGGCGTTGAGCAGGTCTTGGTAGTTGTTGTGCGGCGAGATGCGGCCCGCGCGTTGGAGTTGGACCATGTTCTCCAGGCAGTACTGCTTCAGAGTCGGGTAATCGAGTTCCAGGACCGAGTTGGAGCCCATGTCCGTGGTGTAGGTGGACGCGGCTGACGACCGAACGGCGCTGTGCTTGCGGTTGCGGTCTTTCCTTTGCGCGGCGACTTCTTCACGGACGAGTGCGTCCCATCGGTCTTCGTCTTGAGGTGTAACAGGCTTGCACAGAATCTCTGTAAGATTGGCGCCAGTCTGCACGCGGATGATGTACAGTGCGTAGCGCTTCGTTTCCATGAAGAGTGACTTGAGGTGTGCATCGGGGTCTATTTTCATATTAGCATCGATCAACGTGGCGATTTGGTGCTGCCTACCTTCTTGTTCGTGGAACTTGGGGTTCAGTGTCAGGGTGATTTCGGTCGAGCTGACGTGCAACAGCTCGTTCTCGTTGTTCTTTGCGCTTCCAAGCTCGCGTACAACCTCGCGCAGAGGGTCGTCTTGAGATGGACAGAGGGTTGAGAGGTCATCGATGACCAGGTTGTGAATGGCGAAGACATCTGCAAGCTTGATATACAGTGTTGGCTTGGTCCGAGCGAAGAGGTCGTTGAACTCGTCAATCTCAAAGTATGCCTCGGCGTCACGGACATCAATCAGATTGACCCAAATGTCCTGCAGACGGTCGATGGCCTCGGTGACGTAGCTGTTGAGTGGTTGCAGGTAGAGGTCCTCACCACCAAACAGTCTTCCTGCTGCTACTTGTCCGAGCACCTTGTTGACGGCGTTGAGATTACGGCCCATGACATTGGACAGACCGCGGTCGACTACTCCCCAGTGCTGGGGCTGAGCAAGAGCAGGCTGGATATACGATCGCCACAGCCAGTGTCCTGCAACCTGAAGGAGCTGTTCCTGCGGCTCGTACGGGAACTTCTGGCGCAGCTCCTCGAACATCTGCTGGACGATGTAGCGAACGCCATACGGCATGCGGTGAAGCACTTCTTCGAGCATCGCAAAGTACTGGTCCGCGACGTCTCGAAGATCTTGGAGGTTGTGGATGAACGTAGCTCGAGTCTCCTGGTCCTTGAGCGCCATGTCACGGGTTACGTTGGGATCTCGGCGACTTCGCTGACCGGTACGGAGCTCCTCGTTGTTGATTGCCGACTTGTAGATTTGCATAGGGTCGCTCTCGAGGTCCAGCTCCTCGTTGTCAATGATGTTCTCGCGAATGACCGCGCCCAAGAGCTCCTTCAGAAATTTGCGGTCCCGCGGCGAGCGAACAAAGCTACCAAACAATCTTGTCCAGAAGAAGTTGCCACGGGTGAATTCTTGCAGAGTTGCACAGCGATCGACTTCTTCCCTGAGCGACCTTGCCATAAGCTTGAGGAGCCAGTACTCTTCTCTTCGCTTCTGAGCCAATCCGAACATGCTCATTGTCAACTGCTCGATGCGCTTAGTATCTTTCTCCTCAAGTCGCTGCTCTCGGATACGCCTGAAAAGACGCGCCAGGTATTGAGGCTGTGTCTGCAGGGTAAAAAATAGCTCTTGGTACTGCTCGAGCTTCCGGCGCGAAGTCTTGTTGAGCGCCTTGAGGTCGAAGGGATCTTTCGATGAGATATCCTTGCTGCTCAGAAGGGTGCCGACGTGGCCTCCAAAGTGCTTCTGGTGCTTGACGACCTCGTCCAGTGTGATCTTGTTCTTGACAAGCAATGCGATCTTGATGTCCAGTTGGTCGACGTATTGCTCCGCAAGCTCGTTCTGCCGAACGTGCTGAACTACGGTTTTTCGTAGGCGCTCGAATTCTGGTTCGTTATTAGTACAATTGCAAAAGGTGGGTGTCATGACCACATACCAATCTCTTCATCAAAGTCGATATCGCTGTCGTTGAGCAGATGTACAAAGTTTTTAACGGTAGACACGGGTGGGTTCTTGCCGCTTGTCAAGCTCTTGTACGCTTCTCCCTGTTGACGGCCTCGGACGAAGCTCTGGAGCTTGATGACCTTCTCCATGTTTTCACGGTAGAACTGCTGCTTCTCGGCGTGTTTGTGACGGACTAGCACACCCCGTGCAAACGCCTGAAGCTCTACGACGGCCTCTTCGTGTTCCTCAAGCTGGCCGAGCTGCATGCCGATTTCCATGCGAAGCAGCATGCCGCGGGCATCCCCTTGAAGCTGAGTGATCTCGGGCTCTTGCGCATTGAGTTGGCAGAGTATGTCGTATGTCCGCTGTCGTTGGACGAATCCTCGACTCGCCGACTGCAGATCGACGAAAGCCGGAGTTTGTGTCTGGAGAGCCTTGAGGTTAGAGAAATGCCTTTGGCGAGAAAGGAAACCACGAATGTAAGCCTGTAAAGAAAGTATGGTAGCTTCTTGTCCGCTCAACTGCGCAAGTGTGTCTGCGGTTTCGGAACGTACTCGGCCACCTCTTGCAATCGCTTGGAGATCGGTGACGTGCGGCTCTTCTGCGTATAGCGCACTCATCGTCAACCCAAACGCGACTCTCGAGGCATTGCCCCGGATCTTGGATTGGATGTCCGTGACCTGCGGCTCCTCTGCGTAGAGCGCGCTCATCATCTGCCCAAAAGCGACCCTGTAGTTGGTGCCACGGATCTTCGATTGTAGATCCGTAATTTGTGGCTCCTCAGCGTACAGCGCACTCATCAATTGTCCAAAGGAGATTCGAGCAGCATCACCGCGAATCTTGGACTGAACAGCGGACCAATCGACTGATGTGCTTACCAGTTGGTCTTGCATCTCTGCATTCTGTTTCCTAGCGAGAATGCCCCGCGCAGCCGCCTGCAAGAGGGTGACTACGTTCTCATGTTGGCGAAGGCCCTCTTGGTCAGCTCGCAGTTCTTGTCGAAGAAGAGCTGCTCGGGACACTGCTTGGAAGTCGGCAATGTAGGCCTCGTTGGCCTGCAGCTCGGCCCATTCGCGGTCGACTCGGTGTCGGAGAAGGGCTCCCCGAATCATCGCTTGGATATGTACAGTGGCTGGTTCGGTGTCCCGGGTCTCGGCGTATCGGTTGCCGACGCGAAGTCGTTCCAAAGCTCCTCGAATGGCTGCTTGGAACTGTCGTATCCCGTGATCGTGTTGCTCGATCTTCGATTTGGTGTACTGAACCTGAGCCCTGGCTTTGCGTCCACGGAACAGATTCTGGACCTTGAGCACTTGGGCTGTGTTGTCCCGCCAGAAGCCCTCCTCGCCACGTTTCCTCGATCGGACGAGGTAGCCCCTGGCCGCACTCTGGAGCGTCACTGCGAATCGTCGCATATCAAGACGATATGTTGCGATTTGTCTTGCCCAGTCACCACGGATGCGGGATTGCAGGTCTGCAATAAGATGCTCGTGGTCCCAGAGCTCTTGCATCATATCACCCAGACGCATACGGACCAACGCACCCCTCATCTGTGCCTGCAGGTCCAAGATCATGGCCTCGTTCTCGCCTAGCTCACGATCAATTCTATCGTCTTCCGACTCGACGGGCTCGGGCTCGGGCTCGGGCTCGACGTTGAAATTCGCCGACACGCCAGAGAAGTTGGGCATGCTGACGCCGGACTTGTCAAGACCCTTTTGTGTAGCTTCCAGCTCGTGATGCTCAAACTGCAGTTTACCGACCAGGTTGCCAATGCGGAAGTCGACAATGCCCTTTCGGAACAGCAGCCACGACAGGGCGTGGATACAGTAGATGACCTTGGGCACGTTTTTCTTCTCATAGAGATCAATCAGCTCGAACTGGAACAGATCCGGAAGCTCGACGTCGGCCAGGAAGTTGAAGAAATGGGCATAGTTGTTAGAGTGCCGGTACTGCAACTTGGGGTCGCGGAAGATGCGCAGTGGGTGGCCCTTGATCGCTTGCACAATCTCGGCCAATGTGACACCGTTTCGCAGAGCCTCCTCCAGTTCGACGGCGGGCGGCAGCTCTGCATCGATGATATCCTCCATCCACTCCTTGGCCTCGCCGATGTGGCAGAGATACTCGTACGCCTGCAAGAACTGGCGCTGCTGGTCCATCCAATTAGTCCGGGCCCACGAGGATTGTGTCTTCTTCCCTCGTTGCTGGTCGGTCCGCTGCAGCCTTCGCCGCCCGTGCAAGCCGACGACCTCTTGTTCTGGCGACTTGATGCTGAAGTCATCCTCGCTGCCGGAGGCTGCAAACTTGGAGAGGGTGCGCAGATGGCCCGTGGCCGACTTGTGGAGGCTCTGCAGGACCGGCTTCTCGAGGTGTGCAGAGAGCGGCCGCGCCGAGTGGTCGCGGGCCGGTGCGCGTATCGAGTCTGCGCGGGAGACGGCGATGGACAGCGGGCGCGGCTTCGAGGGCGGCGAGGCGGGCGAGGTGGGCGAGGTGGGCGAGGCGGGCCCGTCGAAGGGCCGGTAGCGGATGTTCTCGACGCTCTGCGACCGGTTGTGCGAGAAGGAGCGCGTTGGGCTGCCCGTGGGTGTGACGGGCCGCTTTTCCTTCTCGGGCGAGGGCGGCGGCGAGCTCTGGGGCGCCTGCGAGAGGGGCCGTAGCGCTTTGCGCAGGTTGGCGTACGGGTTCGCGCCGGCACTCGAGTCTTCGGAGCCACCGTAGTAGCTCTCGGTGCGAGGCTGCGACAGTACCGTGGCCTCGCTCAAGCCGCGGCGGTGGCCCAGCGCAGCGCCGAAGCCCGTCGAGGCGCTGCTCGACTGCGTGCTCGACCGGCTCGGGGCATCGTTGGAGCGTGTCGAGGAGCCGTTTGAGAGCGTCGAGGCCTGGCGGAGCGGGGACGGCGAGGCGGACGGGTGCCCCAGTTTCGTGCGCGGCGTGTACGCGTTGTAGCTCATGACGCGATCGTGCGGGGAGCAGCTGGCGGAGGACGGAGGGCGTCTAGTGGCGCAACATGTGGTGTGCAGATTGGGGGTATTATGTCGAAGAGGCCGTGGTTGAGGCCGGTATTACTACAGGGTATGTCGACTATGTCGACTATGTCGATTAAGCGGAGGCGCCTGCCGTCCAAACGAACCAGCGGTTTGCCAAACAGACTCTCACAGCGAGTCGCAAAGGTCCAGCGTCCAGGCGCTCGCACGCCCACAGCCAAAGAAGGGAATGTGGAATGTGGGGGATGGAGAGAGCAGATGTCACAGCCGAGTTGAAGCTGGGTTGCTGGTTTGGAGTCTAGCGTTGTTTATCGTGTGTGTTGTCGTTGCCAGGTCGAACCCCGGCGGTACGAAAATCACCTCCGTCCCGGCGCACCACGACCACGACTCCCACCACACTACTGTGTAAGCGCGCGCCTCTCGTGGACCTCACATCCGCCATGTGTGGCTCCAACACGAGCTGCCCTGTCTTCACTTTCACCTCACACACGTAGAATCGGGCTCTGATGAAATGTCATTCACGACGCGTTATGAATAATCACGGTAGAGCGGTACGTCACATGAGGGTGAGGGCGACGGCACGTGCGCAAAGGCGGCCGCAGCTGGCAGAACACCGAAACTTCTTCCGTCGAATTTTCCCACTTTCTCATGCTCTTGGGAAAAGTTCACTTTTTCCCGGCCAAAGTCGTAAATCCACGCACTGAGGTCTGTTTCTTCACGTCACCTCTCCAAGTACTTCTCCGTTCCTGGGAAGTCTTCTCTACCTTCAAAATGACCATCGAGAACGGCGACGCCATGACTGACACCACCACCAACGCCCTGGACTACACCAAGGCCCTCGAGGTGCTCCAGAACGAGTACCAGGAGCGCGATGGCATTGACGTGAAGACCCTCATTAACTCCAAGGAGAACGGCGGTCTGACCTACAATGACTTCCTCATGCTTCCTGGCTACATCGGTGCGTAGTCCTCGCAGCCAGCGTGACCCTAACAGCCTGCCGCCTTCTGAGTCAAGTGCGAGCAAAGGGTCGCCAGGCCCGAGCGATACAATCGGCAGTCTAACACGATCGCTAGGCTTCCCTGCCGCCGAGGTCACCCTCGACACCCCGATTACAAAGCGCATCACCCTCAAGACTCCCTTCGTCTCCTCGCCCATGGACACCGTCACCGAGCACAACATGGCCATTCACATTGCGCTGCTCGGAGGCCTTGGTGTGATCCACCACAACTGCTCTCAGGACGACCAGGCCGAGATGGTCCGCAAGGTCAAGCGTTTCGAGAACGGCTTCATCCTCGACCCCGTCGTCATCTCTCCCCAGACCACCGTCGCTGAGGCCAAGGCTCTGAAAGAGAAGTGGGGCTTTGGTGGTTTCCCAGTCACTGGTAAGCAGCTCTCGATGTTCTTGCGCACCCTTTCCATGATGCTTCAACTTCATTTATAACTTTCGTTCATCCGCAACGGTTCCGCCGTGCTGTGGAGACCATGATTATTTTTCTGATCCTGGAACTATCCTGCTCGTTCAATCTCAAATCAGAGTGTGCGCAGTCACTAACATTGACTTGCAGAGGACGGCAAGCTTCGCTCCAAGCTGATCGGTATCATCACTCCCCGTGACATCCAGTTCCACGACAAAGTCGACGACCCCGTCACTGCTGTCATGTCTACCGACCTCGTCACCGGTCCCCACGGCATCGACCTCAAGGAGGCCAACAGCATCTTGAACAAGTCGAAGAAGGGCAAGCTTCCCATTGTCGACAAGGACTTCAACCTCATTGCGCTCTTGTCGCGCTCCGATCTGATGAAGAACCTGAACTACCCCCTTGCGTCCAAGCTCCCTCACTCCAAGCAGCTCATTGCTGCCGCCGCTATCGGCACCCGACCCGAGGACAAGACCCGTCTGCAGAAGCTTGTTGACGCTGGTCTCGACATTGTCATCCTCGACTCCAGCCAGGGTAACTCCATGTACCAGGTCGAGATGATCAAGTACATCAAGGAGAAGTACCCCGGTCTCGATGTGATTGGCGGAAACGTCGTCACTCGCGAACAGGCTGCTGCGCTCATTGCTGCTGGTGCTGACGGCCTCCGAATCGGTATGGGCAGCGGAAGCGCCTGCATCACCCAAGAGGTCATGGCCGTCGGTCGTCCCCAGGCCACGTCTGTCTACAACGTCACCCAGTTCGCCAAGCGCTTTGGCGTCCCCTGCATTGCGGACGGCGGCATCCAGAACGTTGGTCACATCGTCAAGGGTCTTGCCATGGGTGCCTCTTCTGTCATGATGGGCGGTCTCCTCGCTGGTACCACCGAGTCTCCCGGTGAGTACTTTGTCAGCCGTGACGGTCAGCTCGTCAAGGCCTACCGTGGTATGGGCAGTATCGCGGCCATGGAGGACAAGAAGGCGGGAGCTGGCAACCCAGACTCCAAGGCCAGCAATGCTGGTACCGCCCGCTACTTCTCCGAGGGTGACCGCGTCCTTGTCGCTCAGGGCGTCTCTGGATCCGTCCAGGACCGTGGTTCCATCACCAAGTTCGTGCCATACCTCATGGCCGGTGTTCAGCACTCGCTCCAGGATGTCGGTATCAAGAGCTTGACCGAGATGCATGAGGCTGTTGATAGCGGCAAGCTCAGGTTTGAGCTTCGCACTGCCAGTGCTCAGGCCGAAGGCGGCGTTCACGGCCTGCACAGCTTCGACAAGAAGCTCTACTCATAGACACAGATCTGAATAGATCTACTTGCATTGTAAGGGCGTTGGGTATGGCTTGAATTTCTAGACATGCGATGACGACTGACGGGACATTTGGAGGATTAGATACGCTCAAAAGCAATGATACCACGAACCATGTTCAATACTTCTATCAATTTTGTCTCCAAAACTGTACACATGATGTGATGCTGCCGGTTCTGTGCGCGGAAGTAGGCATAGAGCTTTGACCGTTTGACTCTGATGCGCCATGTCCCTCGCGCTGGACCTCGGCATCTCCCCGCGTCTCCTCGACACAACACCGTACAATGACACGCGCATCGCTAATCACCGGCGTGGCTGACCATGTTCAGACCGAGTATACCTTCTCGAACGCTCTTGGATAATACTCGACCGGTGACTGTGCGTTCGCAACATCTACCGTGTCGGTTCTCCGCCCCGTCGACCAGGCCACATCCACGCGCCGTACTGCTCCCATTGCTTGGAACGTCGGCAACGCTGCGCAACATGTCGTCTCCAGCGGACCACCAGCCTTTGAAGAAGCCAGCGAAAGAGCCTCCAGTCCCAAGGCCAAGCTCCAGGTAAGCTCTTTCACATGCTCCTCCTCGCGTGGGCTAACCTCCCAGCGTACTTCTCATCTCCCCAACAAACCAAGTTCTCCTCCTTCACCGCGTCAAGAAGGCATCCAGCTTTGCTTCCGCGCATGTGTTCCCGGGCGGCGCATTGTCCAAAACACACGACGGCGCCATCCCCGACATCAACGACCCAGGACGACACCAGGACGGCCCAGCGTACCGGCTCGCCGCGATCCGCGAGACATTCGAAGAGTGCGGTATCCTGCTCGCCAAGAGCAAGGCCAGCGGAAAGCTATTCACAGAAGTCAGCGACGAGGAGCGCGAACAGGCTCGTCGCGCCGTGCACTCCGGCAGCATGAAGTTTACCGACTTACTCGACAAATGGGGCGTGGTCCCCGACACAGATGCCCTGATCCCGTTCACGCGCTGGGTCACGCCGCCCAACGTGCCCAAGCGCTTCTCCACGCAGATGTACATCTACTTCCTGCCGCTCAACTCGCGCTCGCCGACTAAGAAGGCCGCGGACGCAGGCACCCCACCAGGTGCTGGCGTGGAGGAGGAAGACGAGCTCGTGATCCCCAACCCCACCCACGACGGCGGCATCGAGCACACGGCCGCGCGCTTTCTGCCGCCGAATAAATGGATCGACCTCGCGCGACGTAACAGGATCATCCTCTTCCCGCCGCAATTCTTCCTCACGCTCCTCCTCTCGCCCTACCTCAGCGCGAGCGTAACCTCGCCTTCATCCCCCACCCCTTCTACTGCCGAGCTCGCGCAGGAGCGCGAGAAGCTCATGGTCTTCCTCACCAAACCGCGTTCGTACGAGGGGCAATCCGAAGTGCCGTTCAGCGAGGCGTGTATCTCTCCCATTGTCCTTGGAAAGGGCGAGTACGGCGAGAAAACGCAGGATGGCGTTGGCGGCGTGGACAAGCACACCGCGGTGCTTGCGCTGGACCGGCCGGGGCGGGAAGTAGAAGCGCAGGGCCACGGGCGCCGGGGCATCAGGGAGTGGGTTATCACCACGAAATTCAAGGGCGAGGGGCCGAGGGATGTGGATGTTAGGAGGAGGGAAGAGGTGCTTGGGACGGCGCGTGGGAAGGGGAAGCTTTGAGGCGACGGCAACACTAGCAGTATGCTACTAGCAACGAACGATGTCTATTGGAATTTAAACACAGGTGAGACGTTGCATGTGGTCCCTACATACGTGCTGGTTGAACAGAGCTATCACCCCTCCCCCTCCCTCGGCGCGACTTTCAACCATCAGCCGCTCTTCTCATTCACCCTGAACGGACACAATGCTCCAGCTCCTCGATGATTCTCCTCAAAAACTCTCAGGAACCCCTTATCCACGAGGGCCCTCGCCTCGCTATCCTGGGCCTTCGCAGTCCTGATCCGCTGCTCCATGATTTCCCTCGCAGCAATCTTTGGATCCGGCAAAAACGTCTCGGCGAACCAAATGAAGCCTCCGACGGCGGAGATGATGAGCCACGCCAGCACAGGATTGACGGGCTTGATGCGGTGCGCGCGCAGCATCTGCGGCAGCGACAGCACAATCGGGATCGCGCGCCCGAAATGGCGCAGAAAAGGCGGGAAGTGCGAGTACGCAAAGTGGTCGAACAGGGCTTCGGCAACCATGTGGCCCGCATCGGTGACGTACATGTGGTTGTTTTCGACGTCCTCGCAAAAGGCCATCAGGCCGTCGAAGTCGGCTGGAGAATTGGCCATGGTGGAGAGAGGAGCCCATGGTGCCGACGGCTGCCCGGCTCGCTCGACGAGGAAAAGGTGCGCAAACTCGCGGAGGCAGAGATGGGCGGCGATCTTCTGCTTGGGAGTGAATCCGGCCAGTCTGAGGCGCAGGCGGAAGCGGTGCATGAGTGTGGCGGAGAAGCACAGAACATATGTGTAGTCGATCGGATGTGAATAGGCATCGGGATGCTGTTTGGCGCGGTACTGATGCCGTTTGTTGATTATGGCGATGGACTCGAGAGGTTTCGGGTGACGAGGGCCGTAAAACCACCATATTGAATTGTGCAGCAAGGTCTCGTACATTCGATCGGTCGGGCTGTGTAGTACTCTGCCTCCGTCGTCACGCCAGACTACTGCGGAGCCCCACTCATTTGGGATGAAATTTGAGAAGGTGAGCGCGTACATCATGTTGTTCATGAAGGCTGAGTCGCCGGCATATTCCATGGAAAGGCGAAAGATCTTCTCATATTCTGCGTACGGGTGGGATTGTTCGATCTCTTGACGTATCCATTTGTACGGCTTGTCCGTCGCCAATGGTTGCACGATATCTTCTTTCTGCATCATCTCGCCTCGATCTTGAATTGTGGATGTTTTGATGATTCGCAATGCTCCAACATGCTGGATGCAGTGGACGAAGTACAAAGATGAAAGTTGAGGGCTGGATATTACGGTCGAGAAAGGGTCCGAGGCGGGAAGTCGCGTGCGGGAGGCACTGAAGTCCAATTCTGGTACATCTTTGACAGCATCAAATGTATGTGGTACCGCCGGCTGAGAAACTCAACTCCCCAATGTGTAGCACACGGGTTGTGATTGCGGCTTTGGACAACATTACGCGGCAACAAGTGTCGGTACATCTGACGTCGTTATGAGAGATTTCTCCTCATGTCATAGAAGTTTATAGCCATGGGTTTCGACGATGGAGCTTCCAGCCTAGCTCTATGGAGTCGAGACCTCCTTCCCTGCTGTGCAGATTCACCAACCTTTCAAAATATGCATTCATCGTACCGGTATGTCCACACTCGGACGTGAGCAACCCCCTCCTTTCTCATAGCGTATCAATAGGGGGGTATACGAGCCGTCGGAGAGTCTGAAGCCGAGTGTTGGTGCCGCCGGGGAGTTAGGCTATACATATTCGAAGCTGCTGGAGGCCGAGGAGGCTAAGGTCTCCGGGCCCGGCGCCCTGTCTTGCCGCACTCATCAGATGATCAGACACCTTCCGCATAGCTTTCCTAACTCCCAATTTTTACAATTTCTTTGGAGGTATCGAGTCATCGCTACTTGAGGCTGATGGGGATGTCAGCATGAGCTTGATCAATACGGATCAGTCAGCCAATGCCTCAGAACCTCGTGCGACTATCAGCCAAGCAGAGTCACGACCGAGGAAAAGAAGCCGGATCACTGTTGCTTGTGCAAAATGTAGACGGAAGAAATCACGCGTCAGCCGCACCGAGGAATATAAGTCGTTGTGTTAGAATCACGCCAACACTCCTGCAAACTGCCAATGGAGGCTTGTGCTGATACAAGGCGTCGATAGTGCGATGGCCTCTACCCAAACTGTTCCTCATGTGCTGAACACGGCTTTAAGTGTGCGTACTCTAACACAGGAGCTTTGACCAGATCTTCAGCACCCAAAGAGTTAGCCAAAGCATCTGCTAGACTAGCTGGTACCTTTACTAAACAGCTGCAGACTGACCGCGGGGCTGGAGTCTCAGGTTGCAATCTTGAGAGAACAGATCGCTAAGCTGACATCCAGGGTGGATGGACTCGAGGGCGAATCTTCCTGCAGGTTTTTAGATTCAGCAACTGTTCAATGCCGGGGCGTTCCTATCGACCCTACCCCCTTGACCTGTAGCGACCCGAACACAGCGCTTGAAGCCGAAGACCCTACCGATGGAATTGGCTCAGTCGCTTTTACTGAAGAAGAACATTCAGCTTTCTTTGGTAAGCACATAAGGATTGCGCGACGATAGCAGGCTAATAGCGAGGCGACAGGACCAACATCCAACATAGCATTCACGCGTCAGATAATCCGTACAACAAATCAGGTTCTACACAACGCTGCTTTTGCGGGCACACCTATCTCTTTGGGAGCTTCAGGTGTCAAGAACCATGTCATTCATGTATCCCGTCCTTTATCTCCAGGTCCGGACCTTCTGAGTTTCGCAGGCGAGGCATCGATCAAAGCAGAACCGTTTCTTCTTCCACCGACTGGTGAGATGACGTCCTTGATTGGCCTCTACTTCACAACAACAGGATTACTGTACCCCTTCATCGATCGTCGCAAGTTCCTCGAGTCATACCGGCAGATGATTGACCTTGGTATCTCGTCAGTGCGCAGATCGTGGTTGGGCTTGCTGAACATGATATTCGCGATAGCAACGAGCGCGAGCTGGGGTCACGACCCTACAGTCACGGCAGATGCCCGTACCTCAAGATCAGATTCGTTCTATAGGTGCGCAGTGACTCTGAGCGACCGGCAGATCCGTTATGTTACAAGTCTCGAAGTTGGTAAGCACTTCCAGCATCGAACGTTTTTACTCTACTGATTTGTGCCCTAGTACACAAATGCTTCTATTGACTAGCATGTACCTACAGGGCACCGAGTACTCCGTCGGGACGTGGAACGTCCACGGGCTTGCAGTGAAAGCAGCTTATCAGCTGGGACTACACTCTCCTGATGATCTAGGTAGCGTCAACAACACCACAATGAGCCAACGCACCCGGAACTACATTTCATCGTCGCCATGAGCTGCTCCTTGACTCCCCGAGGCCCTGCAGATCCGAGATCTTCCCCGCAACTGTGTAAGCCTGATTTGGTAAAGCGTGCATCCATCAAACACGAGACACTGAGCGGCGATCAACTCGACTCATAATGTCTTACTTTCCCCACGCATTCAGGATGTCCATCAAGTACCCTCGCTTATCCCGCATGCTGATACTCGCATGCGTATCGTCCAGCATCCTCAGCCTCACTCTCTCCTTCCATTCCATCGGTCCCTTGTTCGTCACCTCGCCATCAGTCTGCTCACTATCCGTCCTCAGTCTCCCCGCAATCGTCCTGCCATGATTTGGCGGCACGTTCTTGTCCTGACTCCCATACCACAACACAACCGGCAGATCCTTTCGAACATCCTCAATCCTGAACCCCCAATCCGTACACATCGTATACCCATCCTTACACATGGCATCAAAGCCCTGCTCATAGCTCGCTCTCGAAGTAGCAAGATAGGCGCGCATCTCGTCCTCGTCGCTGAAGAACGCTTTATCGGAGTCGCTCATGCCCTTTATGCGGTCCGGAGATAGAAAGAGACGCAGACGCTCTTCGTCGGAGAGCTCGAGGCTGTTGGCGTTGTCTAGCTGGGAGAACCACCGCAGAAAGATTTGAGGCGAATAGCGCCAGCCGACGCTGAAGCCTAGAAAGGTGGGCCATCCGGCGCCGGACATGCCAATATCTGGGGGCCCGATGCCGCAGATCAAACTTACGACTTTCAGCTTTGAGGCGGGAAGGCCGTGCGCGAGCGAGAGCGCGTACGGGCCGCCACCGGAGACGCCCTGTGTGCGTCAGCTGAGATTTCAAACCAAAGGCAATCGAAGACTGCATCGAGGAAAGTGACTACGAGATGCATCGAGTGGGCGTACCATCACCGCATACTCACTGAGCCCCAATCCCTCCGTAAGCTCATTGATATCCTCTGCCCAGCTCTTCACTGTCCTCACGCCAAACTTCTCAAACGAACTACTCCATCCATGCCCCGGGCGGTCAATGCTAATAATCCTGAGTCCCAACTCTTTTCCCAGATCATGATATCGCGTGGCCTCGATGCGACTCCCAGGAAGACCATGCTGGTACAAAATCGGCTTGCCTTTTGGGTCGCCGTAGTCTGCGTAACCGAGTGTACGGCCGTCGGGTAGGGAGAAGGTGTGTGAGTGCGAGTTGTCGAGGATGTACCTGCAGTTCTCTGCGCCGTGGAGAGTGATTGTGGGTGGCGAGGGTTGTTTGCGGCGAGATAAGAGATAGACTGCACTACTGGTGCCTAGAGCACCGAATGTGTAGTATAGGCCTTTGAAAGATCCCATGATGCGTTTCTTGCGTATGAGGCTAGGTCTGTGAACATTCGATGAGCAGCTCGATGACGAGCTGAATACTGCCTTATATCCTACATTACGTCTTACAGCCTCGCGAACACTGTTCGGAGGAGGATGTGACTGAATACGCTGTGAGATGCGGTCACATCGCTGTTGACTAGGGTAGGTGCTGACGGGCGCCTCTTCTGGAACGAATTGTTGCCGGGTCGCCCCGGGAAGTCGCTGCCTGGCGTCGGAGGCCGACTGCCGTGTCTGTGTCGCTACTTGATCCTGCTACATGGTACAATGCTTTGTCAAAGTCTACACATGTGACGTATAGCCATAAAAGTGCTTTGAAATGCTCGGTTTATGCACATCAAAGTGTTCTCTATCGTACGCACGTCGCGCAAGTTGCACATCAGTGTTCCACAACATCTACCAGTATCGCGACCATGGTCTACCTACTTTACGAGCATGTCTCCAGGGACTTTGTTGTCGGAACAAGCGACACTGTCGACAGTCCGTCGCGCAATTCAGATCGTTCCATAGCTTTATACTGGGCGGATTGCCGGCATGGGATTCCAAGCTAAGTCATATCGTACGGGTCGTTGATAGATTGGAGATCATGATAGCAGTAGCGACATTAATCGCCATAGAGAATCTTGCTGTGGCCACAGCTGGCATAGGTGATAGTTGTGACTTTGCACATGTCGTCGATATATATAGCTTTGCTTCGAATATCTTGTGGGACTTAGAGCTGTTGGAAGATCTGTCGGTGTATTGAAAACGAATATGTGGACCTTTATAAACGATTGAGGATCTCTCTGCAGTGTGAGGCCATCTCCTCAGGGCAATTCTGTCGCTAAATGTATAACTTGCCGGATGTCCGCGACGAAGGTCCCGACATATGGCGAGTTGCTGGCAGAGCATGTCGGCCTGGCGCAATGCTAAGGTACGTCAAACGAACTTGAGTCTCGGGAAAAAGTTCCCGGACACGCATCGCAACATTGAGTGGCCATCGGCTCACCGGGACAATCCCGAGCGAACGGTGATGCCAGTCATTGAGGCAAAGCAAAATCCAAACGGCTTGTACGACGAACTGTTAGCACCAACATCGATGGTTAAATGTGATATTGCTTGTGTCTTAGTGCGAATGGACCGTGACGTTCTTCTAGCAGTGTGCGGCGTTGGGCAGCCAGATACGTTTGTTATGCAAGGCTGAAACCGCCTCGCCATAGTCATTGCCTGCTTCCATAACACCTTCAGCGCATTGCTGTTGCGGGGATTGCGGCATCCAAATTCGTAGCGTGCCGTGGCCGGGCACTACCTTCCGCCCCAACTTGTACCGCTGGCATCAACACCCGTACTACCCAGATTCGAGCTGTACCTCCGCAGCCCTTTGCCCATACCAATCGGTATAGACGAATGTCTTCTGTCATTGCTACCACGAGAGTGGCTTCTAGCGCCTTGCAGCTGCGTAGATGATCGCCTACGTTCAAGGTCGTTGATCTCTTCATCTTCATCTGAAGGAGCTGCACTTGATCTTCGCGTGCTAGTATAGCTGAGTATAGCGCCAGGTTCGCCGAACTCGGACTCTGACCGTGCTGCCATATCTTCAGGTACCGCTCTAGGTGCTGTGGCGATTTCCTCGTCATCGATGGTCGAGTCGTCATCCTCGTCCTCAGTCTCGGAGTCATCGCTGCTGCCAAAGCCCTTGCCTTCCACAAGCCACCAGGTTGGGATTGATGCTACTAGCGAGATGACGGTCAACGTCCAGAAAGGCACGATGATGTATCCTCGCTTAACCCCCCAGGTGAACAACCCGCCGCTAATGGCTGGTCCAGATGCACGCCCGATCGCCGAGACACTAGTCGCAACACCATTGATGGTTCCGAGAACCTGGAGACTGGCAGCACTGTTCGTGAGCATGATGGTTGAAGTCGGGAATGCGAAGGTGCCAGCAAGGCCGCGCACTACCAGCAGAGCCATCATCACAATCTGCTTCGCAGTAGGATCTGGGATGAGGCTGACAAAGGGCGTGATGAAGAAGATGGCTGGATAGATCAGGAAGGCGATTCGGAGACAGTTGAGCACACCTAGGTTGCGCGCAAGCGGTGGGAACAGTAGGAACTGGAACAAGGTTGACGAGACGGCGAAGAAGGTGAAAATAGCGCCTATGCGTCGCGAATCGATGCCAAAGCCACCGGCAAACTTGAAAGGCAGGCTGACGTTGGGATCATCTAGCTTCTGCGGTGGATGATGCAAAAAGACAGGTATCAACTGTGCAGCGTCAGTACGTAGAGGATGCTCAGCCGATGCCCGTGCTTACCTGATCATATGCAACCGAGTAGAGTGCCAGGAGTGTGTACACGGCCAGGTTCAACGTTGTCTGATATGTCAAGACGTCGCGGATTCTGGGCTTCTTTGGCCTTGTCCCGACGACTGGCCCAACGACTGGCCCGTTGGCAGTAGTTTTAGAACGATTCACAGTCTTCTGCTGACCAAGAAGCGGCTCGCGCTCTGGCTCGCGCTCTGGCTCCAAGTTGTCACCCTTCTTTCCAATACCGAATAGCTTGCGGAAAAATGCCACAAGCCTAGTGCCCGTCCGGAGACCGAGATCTTGATGGTTCTTCTTGGTCTCGAGCGTCTCTTGTAGGAAGAGCCATCCTACGACTATGCCGTTTGCGAAGAAGATCGCAGCCACAAGGTTTGGCAAGCAGTATGGGAATCTTTCCAACAAGCTATTACCACTCGGCTTGCGAGGGTCGAGTCGTAGCGGGTTCGAAAGCGCACCGCCCAATGTGGGACCGAAGATGGATCCAACCGTGAAGACCAGCGGCATGACAGAGAAGGCTCGAGGCTGCAGCTCCTTCCAGGGACACAGCTCGGCGACTGTCGTGCGCAGAATGCCAACATTGCCGTTGCCCAGGCCTTGCAGCGCACGCGCCGTCATGGCCATGGGCAGATTCGTCGAGAATCCCCAGAGCAGCATAGTCCACATCGTGTTGAGCAGGCCCAGCAGTATAATCGGTTTCCGTCCGTAGTGATCTGACGCCGCACCCCAAATCAAGCCTGTGAAGGCCTGGCATATCGAGAAGATGGCGGACGTGAGGCCAGCCCAACGCGCGATTTCGTTCTGAGGCACGCCGAACCGTTCCATAAGCTCTGGTACATATGGCCAGACCGATGTCAGGGCGATCGGTTCTGCGAACCGACATATGGCTGATGTCTGTTAGCTACACGGCGGGCGGTGAAGCAAGATGGAGTATTGTTCACAAAGAATGACCAGTTGCTTGACTGGTAGTTTGGGTTCGCTCATGATGGCGCCGTGGTTTCTGGACGCATGCTATGCAGCAATCGCAGGTATGTGACTTTGGCAGGAAAGCTCAAGAGCTGATGCTTATGGCGCAGGCGGTGGAGCTCTTTCTTATGACCGCAGCCAGAGAGGATCCACTCCGCAAGAGACGGTGACGGCGCCGGGCGGACCAGGGTCATGCCGGGAACGCCAATTGCGCGTCTCGCACGGCTTCACCCTCACGCACGCCATCACTCCGAACCCCGAGGGTTGCAATCACCATGCGCGATGAGGTCGGTTGCCGCGTGATGTGGTAGAGCTACTTTGAAGGTCTCACGCGGAGCTGGAAGGAACGGTCCCCAAGAGCATCAGGGTCCACCAGGCCACCGCCCATGCAGGCACAATCGCGGATGATACAGGGATTTGGGTATCGTCATTCTTAGCTCAATTGACGTGTGCTATCAGCTTGTTACATCGTGAGTACGTTGCCTAAGCCTTTGCCAGCTTCTCAGCGCCAGGCCACGGGGCTCATCCTCCTCAACGTCCCTCTAACATCTAGGCATTGAATTTGCAATGAGAGCGGCCAGAAGTCATCAGCTGTCTAGTTTTTCCCCTCTGCGTAACGGCTTTGTCTCACTGGCGGTACCAAAGCCAGCTCGTCTAGAAGGAATAACACCCGCATTGTACGTCTCAAACCTAGAAACCACACCGGCCTGGCTCGACGCCGGGTCTTCGTCTCCAGCCAGTCCACGCTCTTGCGAGATTCGCATCAACGCGATGTCCTCACCCGATTCGTTGAGTTCTACGTCGCGGTAGGCCGTTCCACCAGGGGCTGAAGCTGTGTCTGGTATCTTCGCATCTTGTGCCGTCTGTTCAAATGCGAACAACTTCCCAAACCGTACCTTGAGTTCCTTCAGGTCCTTGGGCACGCTCTCGTGACCACCGAGGGAGCCCTATGGAGCAGCCATCTCCACCTCTGTCTGCCCAGCTGCAGTGGTCATCAAGATCTGAACAAAACCTCCATCTATGGCTGACACTCCGTTGTGCCTGAACGCCAGCAATCCCATAGCGACAATCGGTAGCGTGAACAGAAGGCAAAGTCCGTAGGGCAGGAAGAAGTTGAGATGGCGCTGGAAGTGGTAGACGTTGACAACGCGGCTGTCCGTGCCGTTGACAATGCTGTACCATGTGTTGAGGGTCAGGGCTGATATGGTTATGTTGGCCAGTACCTCGTTCATGATAGTATCGGACAAGCACGATCTCCCCTGCAGCATACTGCTTAAACATCTCGCCCGGAACATATTTTATAGACGCGCTCCTGTAGTAACGGGCTCCTGTTTGTATCTCATGCACTTCCCATTCGCTGGGGACGAAGCCTTTCACGCTTGCAAAACACCCAAGGGCTGCGGACAGGTGGGCTTCAACTCATCAGACTCTTCAAGAAAACCTGCCTACGGTCAAAGCAGCTCTGCATCTGCCCGACAGACAACCAGTCAACCATTTCATGAACGGAAAAGGGAATATATTTACTTGCAGTACTATTTTGTACAATGGCGATCTCAATAATCGCGTCTAGATAGCTTACTCAGCGCATGTATGAATGCTCAGCGTCAAACAACAGAATAGCCGCTTTTCTTCACGGTCTATGCATTAACGCCCGAACGCCATTCGTGCCTCAGCCCTAATTCGTCTTCCTAACGCCTGGGAATAGGTCCTCCGTGGGTAGCAGGAGTCTGCGTTCCGTTGCCAGCAGGTGTAGCCGGCGCAGGAGTAGGCGCCCGCGACGGTGCTGCTGATGTGACGGCACTTCTGTTGTGAGCCATATGCGCCTTGACAAGATGTCCTGCACACAGAGCGCTGTTCAGCGAGAGTTCACCTGCGAGAACACCGGCGGCGATGATGCGGGCAAGCTGGCGCGCATTGTCGCCGGGAGTTTCCTGGTGGGCTCCGCGCACGCCGAGGAGATCGAGCATTGCGGATTGCGGCTCGAGGATTGTGCCACCACCGATGGTGCCGACTTCGATCGAGGGCATAGAGACGGAGATCTGGAGGCTGCCGTTTACGCTGGGAAGGTCAGTATGTGTATGAGATGGTAGGGAGAAAGAAGAGACGTACTTGTTCATGATGGTGATGCAGTTGGCACTCTCGACGACTTGCGCCGGGTCCTGACCAGTCGCCAGGAACATAGCGGCGACTATGTTGGCGGCGTGGGCGTTGAAGCCACCGATGGATCCAGCCATGGCGGAACCGATCAAATTCTTCTGGATGTTCATCTGAACGAGGTCATCGACTTCGCACTTCAAGACGGACTTGACAATAGCGCCAGGGATGATGGCCTCGGCAACGACACCTTTACCGCGACCATCGATCCAGTTGATCGCGGCAGGCTTCTTGTCGGTGCAGTAGTTGCCCGAGACGGTAACAACACGCATATCGTCAAAGCCGCACTCGGAAGCCATGACAGTCAGAGCATGCTCCACACCCTTGGAAATCATGTTCATGCCCATAGCGTCACCGGTGGTGGCCCTGAAGCGAACGTAGACATTGCAACCAGCGATGGCACTCTTGAGTGCTCGGAGCCTGGCGAAACGGGAAGTCGAGTTGAAAGCATCGGCCATAGTCTTCTGGCCTTCCTCAGAGTCCAGCCAGTTCTTTGCAGCACCGGCACGAACCAGACTGTCGAATCCGATGCAGGGTCCACGAGTCATACCATCATTAGTGACAACAGTGACAACGCCGCCGCCAGCGTTGATGGCCTTGGCACCGCGAGATGTGGAGGCGACCAAGACGCCCTCGGTAGTAGCCATAGGAAGGAAGTAGTTCTGGCCGTCGACAAGGATGGGTCCGGCAACACCGACAGGGAGAGGCAGGTAGCCAATAACGTTCTCACAGCACGCACCATGGACGAGTTCATAGTTGTAGTGCTCGTATGGAAGAAGCGAACGTTCGAGGAGGGTCGATGTTTCACGAGTTGCGTGGGTGCGCGAAACCAGACCACGGCGAATCTTGACAGCGCGGGTCTTGTCACCGAGGGTCTTCTCGAGGGCGTAACCAGGAATCTTGCCCTTGAGCGACATCTCAATCAGTTCTTCGTCAGTCATCTTGGGCGCGTTCTTCTCCTTGAGCATCTGCTCCAGAATCTCGAGGGATCGGTTAGGCTGCTTCTGCTGGTAATCGGAAGGGCCGGCGGGGATATCAACCTGAAGCCTCTGCTGAGCGGGACGAGGGGCGATCTCTGTGAGTGGCTTGATGCCACCACGACCAGCTTGCTCATCAGGACCAGGTGTCCTAGGAGGAGTAGGTACAGACATTGAAGGGACGCGAGACTGGGTACTGGAAGGAGCACCATCCTGGATCTCCGAGGGCGAGGGGGGTTCCAGTGCCTTGTGCGGCTCCTTTATGGTCAAACGGGCAGCATTGAACAGGTAGCCGTTGAGAACGACGCTCATGACCAGGGCAAGCACGATCCACTTGCTGAGAAAAGGATCTTCCAGGCTCTTGAGCACGCCGTCAACGATGTGATTGCTGATGTTGGCTCCAAAAGCCGAGTCGGAATCAATTCCACCAGGCTCAGCGTAGTGGACGGACGGGTATTCGAGCTCGTACTTGATTGGCATCAGCACTGTAACAAGAGTAGTGACCCCGGTGCTCTTTGCCTGCTCGAGGAGGTAGTCCAATCCGCTTCCAGCAACCTTGAAGGGATCCAGAGGAGGCGAGGCGCCAACGCCCGATACGTGAGCTCCCCTGGTTGGCGTGAGGCCAAAACGGTAGGTAGCCAGGTTGAGGAAATTGACGAGGAAGAAACCAGCAACCATAATGACCTTGAACTTCGGGACAGTGATCTTCTTGCCAAAGATGGTCGTGGTGTTCGAGCGGAGCTGGACGTCGCCAGAGTTGCTGGGCCATTCGCTGCTGCGAGCTACGTTCTCAGCGACCTTGCCATCGATGCCATCGTCCTCCAGTGCACGACGCAGGGCTACGTGGCGCTTGATGCGGTTGATCTCGAGCTTGATGGTCAGAATTGCGGTGTAGAAGGTCAAGAGCATAACGGAGTCGAAGAACAGGATCCAGGCGCCCAGGAAGCAGAACTGTCGCAGTCCACCCTGGATTCCAGACATGGCTCCTGCAACCAAGATCAAGATCTCGAAGAAGTAGTCCCTGACAATCTCAAATCCGGTCCTCTTGATGGCGACCTGAACAGCAGACTGGATAGTAACGGGCTCTCCGCGGTTGTCCTCTGCAGCGCGGCGGGCGTCAATGGCAGCCGAAAGCACAGCCTTTGTCAGAACAATGGGCTTCTCGAATCCAATGATGACGACCAGGAAGGGCAAGCCCTCGGACAGCAAGATCATGTTAATGGGTACACCGAGGTAGACTGTGATGGCGAGCGCGAAGAGGAATGCGAAGGCTGACTGGAGGAGCACGGCTGTCGCAAGCCAGAAGTTGGACCCCAGTCGCCTCATTGCGAGGAATAGCGAGACAAACGTCAGGTGCATTGCGAGGTAGCCGAGTGCCATGATGATGATGTCGCCCGTATCGGCGTTCTGCCAGTCACTTCTTAGCCAAGTTCCCACATGTCAGTATCCCAGCAATCGACGTACCTTGAGCAGATCGACGAACGAAGTCCACGAGTCGTTGAACCAGTTGCGCACGCCGCCTGAAGCACTGCCGTTCTTGGAGGCGCGCATCATCCACTTCTTCTCCTCGCGCGTGCCCTCCTTGTCCGAGCCCTGGGCGTCTGCGACGTCGGCGGGGGCCATGATCTCGTGCATGGCCATGAGGAAGTCGGAGGCTTCGGCGTAGGGAATCGAGTAGGCGAGCGACGTGTCCTGCGACAGCGTGGAGAAGGAGCTCGAGGAGCTGGGCAGACGCTCGACGGAGACGTTGCTGGGGATCGCGCTCTGCGACGGCGCCGAGTTGCTGCTGCTGGACTCGGGGAACACGAGGGTGACGAGGGCCAGCTCTCGTGCCTGTACGCCGGCGCCCGTCTCCTCGGCCTGCCACTGCCAGTTGGTCTCGGCGCCCACGCGCAGCAGCTTGCTGCCGGCCAGCAGCGTCTGCAGGTCAACGCGCCCGGTGTGCGCAACCTCGGTGTCCAGGAGGCCCTTGTCGAGCACGCCCAGGTACGAGTAGCTGCCGATGAAGGCGATGGTGACGATGGTGTGGATCGGGTGTGTGCATGCTTTCTTCGCGACCGAGAGCAGGACGGGCGAGACGGAGCGGGCGAACCAGGTCGGCGTGGTCTTTGCCTGGGGCGCGGCCGACTGCCACCGGCTGGTGAGGAAGCCGAACATGGTGCACCGCTGAAGTTGATTCAGCGAGGGGCGTCGCGGGGCTCTTCAGGAGGAGCCTGTTCGCATCGGCCGTGACGCGGTGCAGTGGCTGTGTGCCGGGCGGTGCGCGGGCGACGCGTGTGGGACGAGTGAACGAGGAATGCGAGGTAGGTTATGCCAGCGGTTCGAGACTGGGACATGTCAGTACCTACTCGGCCATGCCATAGATGTATTGCCGCCCGCCGGCGTTCGCTGTGCTCACCTCTCGAGTGCGACGGCGTTCACTGCACGGCGCAGGCAGAACGGGTTCCAAATTACTACTCACACGCTCAACTCTCGCCGAAATCGGACAATTTGGCGTCACAACAGCACGCGAGCACACTCTGTGAAGAAGCTGCCTCGCAGGTGAGGAGCGATTCCAGCGCGGACCCGTGCTCGGCGGTGACAGACCCTCTTTCCACGGGTGGGCCCCTATCCACGACTTTTTGAGACGCTCTCACCGCTTTGTGGTCAGGGCGCCGTGCGTAGGATTCGGTAGTGAGGACACAATGGACAGCAGACAACAAAGAGAGTGGAAAAGGGCGCCAGCTATACGCCTACTATCGTTCAAGAGTTCATCACAGCAGGTCGCTTGGGGCGCTCAAAGGGAAAGCGAACGCTTCTCCCGTAGTGGTGAAGCGTTGAACCCGTTGCTGCGGAATTACCTCAGCGCCACACTGTGGCGTATCTGACTCTTGTCAATCTCTGCAGCCTGACGTGGATCAACAGGGGCTGCAATCAGATAAGATTACCCATCTCGATCAAATTTGACTGCCTCGGGCCCTCTCTCTATTCCGATGCCGGGTCTCCTACGTCTATGCAATACTTTCGCCTGAATACCAAGACCAATGCTGTTGCAGATTTTCACTCAAACTTTGCTGTCATGGGGACATCGCCGTTGGTGATATCCTTCAGGAAGTCGCGGTCCGGCCTGTACAGCATGACGTGGAAATGCTCGACTGCGTGAACGCTCTTCAGGCTCTTCCAGTTCTTGAACCAGACGAGCTCGTTGACCTTTGTCGCGAATGTCTTCTGGACGTAGTCGTCGATCTCCTTGCGTGACTGTGCCGTGCACAGGCCAGTCTCCTCGTCGTCCTCGAGCTCGAACTTGGTCCACACCACGAGATGCACAATGTCTGGGTCGATGCCATATGGCCAGTCGTTGTACAGGATCCTGATGTCCTCTGACACATGTTAGACAATGTCGGTTCTTCTCTCGATGGGGTCTTCAATACCATCAAATTTAAACGGCCCACCCTGCGGCTGCATGCTGCCCCACTGCAGCCGCTCGTTTACAATGAAGTTCATAATGCTGCCATACCCTTTCACCAAACGGTACGTAAACGCTCGGTACCGCCGCAGCTCTGACGGTTTGCGGTGGAACTTGTCGATGCGGTCGGTCCCTAGCAGCCGCCGTCAGTACTTGTGCATACGTTTGGTTGCACTATCGTACTGACAATCTCCCGCACTTCCGGCCAGGTCAACAACTTGTAGTCCTCGTCGGGCGTGCCAATAATGCGCTGATCTTTTTCGCTACTGTCCTTCAAAAAATCGGGACATTCCGCCGGCCATTGCTCTTCAGGCACGTTCACTTTCCAGAATGGCAACGACTCTTCTTTGGGCATCGTGATCCGTTACGTGGTCTGAACGTGTGTCGAGATCCCGATCTGGTAAGACAAGGATTGCGGAGTAGTGATCCAGGAAACCCCAACGGTCAGAGATTGAGCGGAGGATTGAACGCATCTTGCTCACACGCAGCCTCGCCTCGCCTCGGGGCGGTCTAGCGCTTGTTTCAGGCGAACCGTCACTTCAAAAAGGAAAAGCGAGGTGCATTTTGGCCGACCTCCCAACATGAGGCTGGATGCACGCACGACCAGCTCAGCTCAGCTGCTTGCCCGCGCGAGGAACAGCGGTCAAACCTTCTGCAGCTGCAGGTGCGGGTAACTGCCGGCGAATCTTCAGCCTTCCGCGCGTTGCATTCATAAGAGCGGCGATCAAGCACCTGCCAGCATCCAGCCTGTTCCCTGTCTCGAGTCGTCCTTGTGCAATTTCGGCGCTGTGACAGCGCCGTCTGAACGGGATCGCGCTGTTCTCCCGCTGTTCATCTGGCTCTGATTGGACGACTAGTGCTCCACTTGGCAGTCAGAACGTCGTCAAACAAGGATCCCATCGCGGTGAAGGCTTCGGCGGACGAAACATACGGGAATCGGTGTGTTGCTGATCAGAGCGGCAGTTGCATCCAAGGTGCGCAGGTCCATACCAGTACGCCAATAATGTTGTGTTAGGGGTGCGGTGCTGTGCTGCCAAGTATGTTGTTTCCAGATGCTACGTAACAAACATATTTCCTTCACCACCACTCATTCTTCTGTCAGCGCCTTGACGACCTGCTTTCCCCACAAACAAACACATTACATCATTCCTTGCGATCATCAACTAGCCACGCTCATTCGACATTCATCGTGGGACATCCTAGCACGACAAGGTTTCAATCTAAAACTGCGAAATCACCTGTCTACAACGTTGCTCCACTACAATCTCGGGCAACACAGCATTCATTTCGAGTACCACGACGACTTTCAAGATCGTCATCGCACCCGAATGAGACACTATCTTCACTTTACACCCGTTGGGCACGACTTTGCGTGCACAACCACTCCTTCGCGACGACGGTTAATATCGATACTTTGTCGGTGATACAGCGACAGCTTGGCAAGCAACAAACGCTCCCGACTTGACTTCACGAACCTTCGACTACTCAAATCCAGCTGGCCCCACTCGCTTTGACTTCACCTCGAATTTCGTACCTGTCTCAAACGACACCGCGACTGCCTGAGGCCCACGCCCCCCGTCCTCCCTTCCTTCTCCCAAGATCCCAATTTCGCCACCAAAACCCACCAAACCGCAAACGAGAATTATCTCAAAGACTCGAGCACCCCAATCAGCGTCACCATGGTCCAAGACCCCAACTTCTGGCGCCGCTTCTCGGTCGCAGTGCACAACGACGAAGCCGCCATGCTCGCCGCAGAGGCAGGAAAAGGAAACAAGGAAGACAAACATGCGTACGTCGTGTCACTATCCTCCCCCATAGATTCGCCCTCGTCCGCCAGCACACCAACATCGCAATGCCACCTCTCCCCGGCCTTTCCTCCCGCAGCGTTCACCGGCCCTGCAACAGCCCCAGTGCACGTTATCCAGTCCGAGAAAGAGAAGCGGAAGGAAGCGCGCAGGAGCAAAGCATCAAGCGGGACGCGGAGCGTGTACTTTGAGGCCGCAGGCTGGAAGACACCCGAGATGATCGCCCTGCACAGACTGCCCTCCTTCCCGCACTCATCGCACACACCCACCCCTTCACTCCCCTCCACACCGCACTCCGCACACTTCGCTCTGGCAGCGGATTCCCCGCCCTCCAAACGCGCAAGCAGACGTGCATCACGCTTCCGCTTCGCACTCTCCTCGCACCCCCCTTCGCTGCCCCCAACACCAAAATCCACAGCCTTCCCCGCCAGTACGTACTCGTCGCCGGCCTCGCAACACACGTCGCGCTTCGCCAAACACGCGAACGGCTCGCGACTCTCGCTGGGTATCAGCCTGTCGGGGCGGCCGAAGAGCGCGTTCCGGTTCTGGACGACGATTACGGCTGGCACTGTTGACGCAGAGACTAATGCGGGTATCAGGGACTCGTGGCTTGAGGGCCAGCAGCGCAAGGCGCGGCAGCGGGCGTGGATGTGCTGGGCGTTTTGGGGCGTGTTCCTTGTGCTTGTCGCTGGGGCGATTGTAACGGTGCTTGTGCTGCGGGGGAAGGGCATGATCTGATGGTGCGTCTGGGGAATGGGGCAGACGCTGGGCTTGTGGTTCGGGCTGGGACCATGGTGTGCATACGCCTGGGCGGCGTTTGGAGCATAATGTTTCTCGGCGGGCACAGTGCATGCATCAGCGATGCGACGTCCTTGTGCTGCTTTAGCGATTAGATGATACCAGGCCTGCACTGCAGTGCGGCTCAATGCGATTCCTTCCGTCCGCAACATGTCAATTTGGGTGGGGGGGCCAAAGGCAATATGCGCAGAATAAGATGCTTTTGCAGACTACCTATACCGGTCAGCAGTCGCTGCTTGTAATGTACAGTCCTTCTGTATGCGCGCTGTGCGCAACCAGGTATCAAACTCCTTGACGCCGTGTCGCCCTTGATGCTTTCTGCTCTGCTGCTGTCGACTCTTTCGACGTCCCTCGACTGCAGCGCGCTCCGCGTTGCTCACCTTCTCCCGTACGGGCTAGGGTACTCTTTCTAAGCGTCCTCCCTCATCTCAAATTTAACTCCCATCTCGTCTCTAGTCTTGATGTCCACCTCATCAGCACCAGCACCTACGGCCTCACTCTGAGGGTCCTCCTAGAACCTCTTCGCGGGCGGCGTAGGACTCCTGCTCATGCTCCTCTCGTCCCTGCCCCTCTCCTTGAGCCACTTGCGCGTGCTCATGTCCAGGTCGCGGTCCAGCTCCGGCGAGGGCTCCTTGCGGTGGATGAAGTTGCAGAAGCCTCCGCGCACGCAGCCCTCCCCGCTGTTCAGGCGACAGCAGGCCTCGCGAAAATCGGTCACGGGGGACAGCTCGCAGTAGATGGGGCGGCCGGCGTACCAGCGCGAGTTGAGCGCGTCGCACGCCTTCTGCGCGTCTTCCTCGTACTTGAAGCGCACGTAGACGTTGCCGATGAGATCTGTGCCGCTGTCAGTCAGCCTGTGCGCGCTGTCACGTGCAGGGTGTGTACTCACGGTCGTTGTTATTGTCGCACACGACCAGCTCCTCGACCAGCCCGTACTGGCACAGCTCGCACCAGATGTCCTCGTAGAAGGCGTCAAAATGCATCTGCATCTGCTGCGCGTTCATCTTGTTCTTCGGGTCGTACGCCGGGTTCTGGTACAGGTTAGGTAGCAGGACGGTCTGCGAGTACGACGGCTTGACGTGCTTGCGCGAGCAGCGGTCGCCGTGGCGGCACGCGCCGATCTTGTAGTAGAACGAGCAGTTGACCTTGTCCTGCTCCGTGCCGAAGATGGAGGCGAGGTAGTTGGCCATGCTTGCGGTATGTCGGGTGTATTGGGTACGTCGGGTGCGTTGAGTGTGTGGTCGAGGTAGATCGCAGGTGGGCGAGGTGTGTGTGGACGGGCGACGGCGGCGGCGACGGCGGTGTCGTGGTGAGCCTGCGCAAGCAAATGTCGCAACGGCCTGTCGCGAACTTCGAGCGGAGAACTACCTAGCGCCACAGCTTAGTCACGTTCGCGTGGCTTCGCGTGGCTTCGAGAACTGCACGCTTCGCTCATCCACCAGCACTCACCTGCGCAGCCTTGACAAAGTGGTGGCATACAGCTTCGTCACGTGAATTTCCAGCATACGGGCAGCTGCATGCACAACGCAAGATGGAGCCCACGCATCCGCTCCTCCGTCCTGGAGGCCTGCGTCTGAGGCAGCAATGTCCGCACTAGCCTCTTTCGTACAGCTGCCTACCACCCGTCCATATTGTAGAATGCTATAAGACCGATCAGTTGTCATGGAAATGGAGTCAATCGATACACTCTGGCACAGTCATAGTGACCGTCAGAACTTGTCGACATGGAATTTACAAACTCACAGCCGGCACTACGTCTTGCGAATGTTCAAGACGGGGAGACGATTCACCAGGTATCTGCAAACTACCCAGTCTGCACAACACCACTAACTTTCGTATCAGCGCTGTCTTTTAGTCACAGGAACATGCACGCCAAGCGGCCCTGGAGACTTCATCTCGGTCAAGACTACTGGCGCAAATGGCCTTGAGGTCTTCCCCGAACAGACATGGCCAGTTCACAGCAGTCACTTCAAGGCTCTAGTCATGCTGTCCCCTGGTGCTAATACGCTCGACTTCTCTCATATGGGACAAGACGGGCAAGCAGAATCGATCAAGATCAGCCTACTTTACATACCGTTGCTTCAACATCCGCCACTTCATCTTGCCATCATGGTAGCGAAAGACTCGCCACTGCTCATGGACTGTCCCCCTCAGAAGGCCGGCGGTCTCTCTTCAGCCCATTCAGATTTATCCGCTGCCATTGAGAAGTTCCGCATGACTGCTTACATGTGGCAAGCCATGACTGCCGAAGATATGCGCACGAGAGGTCTTGGCCGCAGAACATTCAGACTGGAAGAGGAGTGGACAGCTGATACCGTTAGCCGAGACTTCATCAATGCGAGGCACTCAGAGCATTATGTATGCAACTCTGAGGATGCCATACGATCGACGGCCAGGGTCACCATCGTAAGATCTTCGAAGACAAAGAAGGAGATATTGTACGCCGAAGGCAAAGATACAACGCCTATGAGCAACAATGGGCTGTTCGACATCTTCATGGAAGCACTTGCGGACCACGTTGGCCACTTCGATCCCTCATCCTCACCCGTTGTGGCAGGCTTGATACTAGACGCGCACTACAACAAATGCACCGAACAGGCTTTTACACATGTCAGTGCTGGCCGTCACAATTCGTCAGGCATTTCCTTGGGCACTTTCGGTAGTCATCTGACGTACTCTTGGCCGCGCTTCACGGAAGAAGTCAGCAGCTGTTTGACGGATGCTCGGATCCCTGGCCCGAAGATCTCGAGAGGCCAGTCCACTATCTGGGAGTCTTGTGCCTTTGGACAATCTTCCTTCCTGTCGGCTGTAGGTCTTGCCTTTGGCGCCAATGCGAACTCCCACGAACAAAGAGATCAATGCGCGATGGCGCAAGATTGGCGAGGGAAGTTCTTGTCTAGTGCAGACACTCTTGGTGGGCCATCTGAAGACGTGGAGGTAGCTGGCTGTTCCACCCTGGACCTCAAAGACGCCCTGAACCTTCGGCTTTCTCGGCACTTCCTTCTGCCTACAGACAAGTCATTCACAGATGCTCAGCGTACAGCAGAACCTGCGGCTGAGCCGAAGTTCACCGATAACGAGCAGGGTGAACTGGACGTAGTCTTGCGTGTCACATCTGCTGTTGGTATTGCACGTATCTCATTCAACCAGACACCAGAGTGTACACCCTCTATTGACTCGCCAGCCAATGAGCACGAATACACTCAAGACCAACTCGAGCAACGCTTCGACCGTTCCCAACCACTGCGCCTCGACATCCTCGGCCTCAACGGCAAAGAGCTCACCATCGCCAACGTATGGGAGACACTGACGGTCAAAACCTTCGTCCGCATTCCCGGAAGTCCTATCCGCCTCTTCAAGCGCTCCGTCTACACCGATGCCGTCGAAACCAATTCTGCCTCAACTTGCGACTGGGCACAGCTCCTCAAAGAGCGTGGTCCAGATGGCGTCGTCTACCGTGCAACATCTATCGACCTGCGTGTCGGCTGCTGGTGGGACGGCGGTGTCATCACGTACGAAGACGGGCACAAGAGCCACTGGGGCCCGATGTGCACGGGTGGCCGCGAGCACAGCTTTGGCGGTCACGCGTCACAGATCATTGACTTGCCGCCCGGTATCAATATCAAGCGTATCGAGGTCAACAGGGGGCACAATGCGAGCTATATGCGAGGCGTGAAGGTAAGGCTTGCGGATCGCACTGTGCGCGGGGAGCTCAATGCGAGGCGCGGTGATGGGGCGAATGTTGTGCGCTTGGAGCCTGCGTCGCACGAGGTTATTGTTGGGTTTTACGGGAAGAGTGGCAATTCTGATGGGGTTATGGAGTTTGGGATCATCACTGTGGCGAAGACTGTTGGGCTGGAGGGACTTCCGGACGCTGTGTTTGGTTTGCCGGAGCTGAGGAATACGGTTGGCATGGGGGAGGATGAAAGGAACGGTGATCAGGACGACGGCGACGACCATACTATCGATGGTGATGGGGACGACGAGTAGACCACAGTGCAGCGTGTCAGCACACCTTTCACAGCCGCCCCAAGTACAATAATCCATCACATAATCCCCGTACCACCAGTCGCTATACTTGCCCTTCTATCGTTCGCAGCACCTAGCATTTGTCCTCCGTCGCATTGCGTTCGACATCTGCAACTGGATTTTTGAGCGAGGTCATCCAGGTACCGTGCAACAGCCACCAACCACCCCAACTTTCCGAGCACCATCCAGGACCGCGCAACAATTTTGCATGCAGCAGCAAATGCCGTACCACGCAGCTCGTCAAACGCTTGGACCTTCAAATCGCGTCCCTTGCAATTTGACTGGGAGAAACGAACATCGGCAACCCGGCCAAGAACGTCTATATGCCTCAGGACTTGTGACTGCTAAAGAGTGTTTGGATGCTGTTTCACGAAACCGCATGTGGGGCACATTTGCGCGGACTCTCAACTCAACAACGAACAACGAACATGCCCTGCGCATCGTCACCGCAGTGGCAGGAAAAGGGCTCACAGCTCGCGATCGGGATTGCTGGTGTACGAAAGCTGGCAGTTGGCGAGCTCGGACTTGTTTGGGCCCAGCGCGATCAAATATAGAGATTGGCTGAGCGGCTATCTGGTCGTACAGCGATCAAATGCAGCCCAAATAGGAGCGTTTGCGCTCCAATCAGATGGGATGGCGCGACGCCCAATCAGCCGTGCAGGACGTTGGCATCTGAAACGCGACAACGCGACGCAATGGAGCTTGTCTGCCAACCTGCTGCGCTCAGGAATAGATGCTGCTGCAGCAGTCGCTGTTGAGTTGCGCAAGTTGCACATGTCGCACATGTCGCGCATGTTTGGGGCTCAGAGGTGTTCTTAGTCATCTTGTCAGTCGCTCGGCTTCATCGCAAATGCGCTGAAATGCTAAGAGAGTTTAAGGCTGTAGGGCAGAAGGACCAGGCTGTGTGCAGGGCGCTAAACATTTGTGTGAAACTTAGCGTCGTGGAAGGAGTGGGGAGGCCTGCCGACGACGCTTCGACACCATTCACCGCGGGAAGTCCATTGCGGGAAAATCTTTGCTGGCGACGCGCCAGCGCACCGTCACCTATCGTCGCGTCGTGCAAGCCTTGTTCCTTCACGCTCGGGTAGCTTAGTACCGCCCAGCCTCGTTGTTTTTGTTCGCCTTACCCGGTTGCCGTGCAGGGCTCGCCCAGCGCTCAATTCAGCGGTCACGGCCACAAAATCGGCTCCGACAGGGCAGTCCGCAGGCTCACAGTGCTTGTCAGCAGGAGTGGAGATGCGCAAGTCATGATCTACGAGCGATCTAGATGGTGCCTAGTGGCCGGTGGCCGTGTCGTAGATCAGCGGGACAGGCACAGCTGTCACGCTTTGACTCAACACCAGAACACGTTCCGCCTCATGTGGCCGATAAGGCGACGAACTACCGGACCCGGTTGTACCAGAAGCACGGAAGAATATGCACTTGTACGCGCTACGCCGCCATATCGCTGCGGGCCCGGGTCAGGCTTGCTGGCGGCTACAGTTCAGGTCCGACGTTGAAACGCAGATCCAACATCCACACATCAGGCTCAAAGGTTTGAATGCGGAGTCGCGTGTAGTGGCGCGCTGTTTCGACACCGACTGTGTACAACTCTCCATTGGTCCTGGTCTCTTCCTGCCTTCTGGGCCTGAGCAGTGTTCAACGTTGCTCAGCGTTTGTCTCATCTCTGTTCATCCGTTTAATAAAGTACTGTGTCCGCGTGTACATCGGACTCATGTTTACACCGTGGTACGCCGTCTCTCCTCATCTTCCCTTCTCTCGCCCCCCGTTTGCGCTGTGCGTGTCGGTCTTCGGTGGCTTAATTTTGCACGCTTGCGTTGTTCTATTGAACAACAGTGCTGTCGCTGTCCAGGTGAAGGGGAACTCGTCACGTGTAACCTGAGATTGTGCGCTCATCAAGTCGTCGCCAAGGCCACATTGAATACTACTTCAGCGGCCGATAATTTCTCCCTGTCACCTTGTCTTCTTCATCGAACAACTTTGCACGAATTCGACGGATCACCGCACTCTTGCGACCGCACTTCACGGCTTCCGCTTGCATATCAACAACGCGTTTCGGCTGGACCAAATCGCCTCACCTTCTTTCCCCACTTGTAAACCAAAACAACAAACACAACTCCAAAATGCCGAGCATTTTCACAACAACACTAGCGGCACTGGCTGTTGCCCCGCTCGCCATGGGCCACACCTGGATCGAGCAGCTTCGCAACGTCGATGCGAAGGGCAACTATGTTGGCGAGTATGGCTACCCGCGTGGTATGATCAGCAAGACAGACGAGGGCTACACTGGTGACTCCATGAACTGGCTTCTACCGGTCCAGCCCAAGGTCTTCATTGACAACACCTCACCACTTTGCCACACATCACAGACCAAGCAGGAGCAGTCGTCAGACAAGTACCCGCGCCTCCAAGCAGTCGCCGGCGGCTTCATTGCCATGCGCTACATGGAGAACGGTCATGTCACCATGGTTGATCCTGCGACCGGTCTAGGCAAGCCCGAGAAGGGCGGCACAGTCTTCGTCTACGGCACCACCACACCCAAAGAAGACGAGAAGCTCGTCGACGTTCTCAAGTGGACCCAGGATGGCTCTGGTGGTGACGCACGCGGCGCGCTGCTTGCAGCCAACGACTTCGACGACGGTCGCTGCTACGAGGTCAACAACACACCCACCTCACAGGAGCGTCGCGTCTCTGACCCCAACTTCGCCATGGGTCAGGTCGCCGACGGAGAGCCAGGCAACTACCCGCTCTTCTGCGAGACCAACGTCCAGGTCCCCAAGAACGTCACCCAGGGCAAGGCGTACACAGTTTACTGGGTCTGGCAGTGGAACACCGCGCCTAACGTCGACCCCGGCCTGCCGGACGGCAAAGACCAGTACTACACGACCTGCATTGACGTCGACATTGGCTCTGCAGACACCGCGCTCGCCGCAGATGCAGAGTCTAAATACGCCCTTGGACCTCAGCAAGACGCCATGTCCATCGCCGTAGCTGACTTCGCCTCCCGCACAGCCATCATGACAGACCCGCTGCAAGGCGAGGTCGGTCCCATCTTCGGCTCTGCAACTGCAACCGGTGCACCTGCTACATCCGGCGCGCCTGCCAATTCTTCGTCTGCGCTTTCTGTGCCTGTCGCCTCGCCCACCGCGCCGGCGCTCACGCAGGTCACCAACATCCCGACCATGACTTCACGTCCTAGTGCTGCGCCCGCGCCTACTTCCAGCGCTGGCGACGACAACGCGGTGACTGTCACTGATATCGTCTATATCACCGTCACTGCTGGCGCGTCCAGCAAGTCTGCTTTGGCACCGACTACAATGATCACAACTGGCGCTGCGACTTCCACTCCCGTAGCTTCAGCTCCTGTCGCTTCGACTCCTGCAGCTTCGCCAGTGTCGTCTGCGGTAGTGTCCGGCACCGCGCCTTCGTCTGCGCTAGGCGGCTTTACCATGCCCAGCGGTGCGGCGAAGCGCGAGATTCTGCGCAAGAACGGCGCCAAGTTCCGTGGTATGTTGTAAACTGAGTTTTACGCATGCATTTTTTGCCTTTCTTTCCTTTCTTGTTCTCATGTACTTGTTCGTGCTCTGTGAGCATTAGACTAAGGGTGGCAGGCCACAGGTAGACGTGCTGGAATGTGCCCACGACGCAGGAGCACTATGACGACAATGTGGAGGGTATGATGAATGAGCATGAATGAGGATGGCAAAGGATAACGATAACGACCTGCATGGATAAGGACGGAGATACCCCTGCATACTCGGCGTTCAGGTACATTGCATTTTCTCGGCACTGGTCAGGACACTACGGAAACATACCCTGGGACTGGCGTTACATACATAGGTAGCTTTGCACAGCACTTTACTCAAGCACAAGATGGCTGTTGTGGCTGGTTCAACTTGTTCTACATCACTTGGCTCTTCATGCGCATACATGTCCCCTCTTCCTTCCACCTGGTTGTTTGAGCAGTCTTTAATTGAGTATGAGCAGTACACACGACAATCAGCAACTCATAAACCGTTCAGTCAATATGTCGCTGCACAAGACCGCAGTTTCTGTCAAGCGCTTCCGTCTTGCATACAGGTGCATGACATGACGATCTCGTTCTCACTTAGTGAACCGTCCTCCATCACGCAACCACCACGTGTCTCGACTTGCGAGTAAAGCGCCCGCAGCACAGAGCCTTCCTATCTTCAAGTCCCCCTTCATCTCAGATGTGCTGCATATACATACTGCCTCCCAGTCTCGACACGCACACAGTAAATTAACTGCGTCGATACTGCAAATCGTCTCACGGTTTCCCTCTGATCATACCACACCCTCACATCGTCAAACGGCCCCCCGATCTCAGATAACATATATATACGTGCCACCCTCACAGCCTCCGAGATCCCTTTAGTATATCGTGGCGGTGCCGCGAATCATATCACGGTCTCGGTATGGATGTAAATTTCGAACTTTCCCATAGTTTAGCAGTCTGACGAGAAAGAAGCCAGCTTTCACACACTACGGGACCAGTTCGCTGAATAGCCGGCCCGCATGAGATTCCAGGGTCGAGGGTGCAAGTGTATCTCCTTGATGGAGGTCAGTGCAATCGACAAGGGAGCCGACTACGAGAGAAGAGTGAACGCTGCCGCTACACTACTACGCCAGATTCACTGACTGATGAAGGCGAGAGAAGAATCATTCCATAAAAAGTCGATTATGTGCGTGACAGATGGGGACGACGAACGATTGACTAAAGTTTCAGATGTGGGGATGATCACCGGACCAAAGAAATGATGTCAGAACAGATCGAGGTGCTGAGCATTTCATTCGCTAAGCAGCAGCATGCATCTACATAGTCCAGAAGTATGCTGCTCCTCTAAACTATCCACATGTTCGGCCTTCCCTGTTGCAACCGATAAGGACAGAAACCACGCAAATATGCCGCAGGTGAGAGCAGATGGAAAGGGGTTTCCGATTCGTACTCAAATATCGATACTAGAGAAAGGGGGAAGAACGCCTCATGATGTCCGGGTCATATCCATGCCATTCATGCTGCCTCGAACAGCTGTAAATCAAACGCTTTGCCAATCCTTAGAAAGAGGTGCTGATGGCTATAAGCCGCCGGCTGTGACCTCGCCACGCAGTCCACTTCCCCCGGGCCCTTTCTTGCCACGGCGGCCAAGTAATGTGGCGTTGTCGAGGCTCAATTCGAACGCTCCCTTGTTCTTGACTTGTCGCTTCGCTGCCGCAGCGACGGCGGGAGAGTGTTGGCCGTAACCACGCTCCTGCTGCCGAGATTGAGGAGGAGCTGGTTGTTGCCGTGCTTGTGCAGCGGCCGACAGTGTCGTGTTGCGCATCTTCTGCTCCATCGTGGAGACATCGGCACCCTGAGACTTTGGAAGCTTAGCAGGTGGGTGCTGTATGGAAGGGTCATAAGGTACCGAATCATTACTGAACTCATCATCATCCTCGTTTTCATCGAGTGCGTTCAGCGAGTTGATAGCGTTGGCGCCGCGGTAGCCCTGCTTGAAGTTCTTTCTCCTCTTGCCCTCCTCTTCTTGCCTGTGCACGGCGTAACCAACGTCGAACACCTCTCGAAGGTTGACGGCACCAGGTGAACGGAAGTCCCTGCGGCCAGCGCCAGGAGACTCGAGATAAGCGTACTGCTGCTGCAGCTTAGGATCCATGCGAGATGCCGCAGGTGTCGCGAGGGGAGGAGCGTCGAGGGCAGAGTATGTTGGCTCGTCTGCCTCTCGAATCCAGGGATGGCTCAGGAACTGATTGATGTCGTAACGCTTCTCGGGGTCGACTGTAAGCAGGTGCGATACCAAATCCTGCGCAGATTTGGAGATATCGTCCCACCATGGTGACAAAAAGGTGTACTGACCGCGAGCAACCTTTTCTGTCAGAGTTTGAATTGACTCATCGTAGAACGGCGGGAAACCGCAGAGGAGGGTGTAAAGCACGCAGCCCAGTGCCCACATGTCGACGCTCTTGGAATAGCGCTCGTCCTTGACAATCTCAGGAGCAGTGTAACCGACGGTTCCGCAAGGTGTCATAGTCTGGCTGTCCCAAATGACTTTACTCAACCCGAAGTCGGCAATCTTGATGACACCGATACCTCCAGCACCCCTGCCCTTAACATATTCGCCCTCATCAGCCTTGTCTTCGTCGTCTGGTCCGCGGGGCTTGGGGCTTCGCGATGGAATGAACGGTGTGGGGTAGAACAGCAGGTTCTCTGGCTTGATGTCCCTATCACATGACGTCAGCATTCAAGAAGGTCTCAAGGATTTGGACTGCAAACCGGTGGACGACACCTGCTTCCTCATGCAGGTATTGCAAGGCTTTTGCGACCTGGATGATGGTGTGACGTGACAGGTCCTCGGAAAAGTACGTCAGGCGAACGATCTGGTGGAACAGTTCACCACCGGGGCATAGCTCGAGGACGATGTAGTAGTATTGCCGAGACTCGGAGAAGTCGATCAGCTTGACAATATTGGGGTGGTCGATTTGACGCATAATCTGTACTTCCTTGAGGATGTTTGCTCTCTGTAAGACATTACGTCAGCGCCTGTGCTGCTTATGTCGAACGGGGCAGGGGTCAGAGGATGATGCTATCGAATCGAGCAAACATCGCGTGTAGGGCTAAATCTCACATCGGCGGCTTTGGGTGTCTTGAAATCCGGATGCACATGCTTATCGCCCTAAACACGAGACGTCGTGTTGGTAACGTCCAAAAATCGCCAAAACTCTCACAAGTGCGATGTGGTAGGAAAGGAGCGGTGCCGACACTAAGAAATGGGCAGGAGAGGGCAGGACTGCTGGGTAATACTGACTTGCTGAGAGCTCATCTCGAACTTGCGGACGACCTTGATGGCCACCTCGCCCCATTGCCCGGTGGTATCTCGTGCTCGGTATACGTTGCTGAAGGCGCCGTCGCCCATCTTCTCAAGAATCTGCCATCGTTCAAGACCAGGGTACTTGGGCAGCTTGCCCTTTGCCTCACGTTCCTCGGCAACAATGCGCTCCAAAACCTCAGGATCAACTCCCTTACCCTGCTTGGCGGCTTCCTGCTTCTGCCTCTTATCGGCTGCTCGGTCTGCTGCGGCTCCGGCCTGTGCTGCGATGTTGCGGTTGTCGCCCCCAGCAGCGACAGAATAATCACCGTGGGGAGCAGCTGCATGATGCAGCGGCTTGTGATCCATTACCGGCTCTGATATTCCATGATGGACAGGCTCTGCTCGATGTTGCTGTGCGTGGACAGGCGAAACGCTTGATGTTGGCTCGGCATTTTGGCGTGCCTGCTTGCCATGACGCAAGAAGTTCTTAAAGTTCTGTATCGCAGCCATGCTTAGTCGTTGTGTGCAAATGTAATTATAACTCTGGCCTCGTGATGTTGGCGGGGTATATGAAGACACAAAGTGTTAAGAGAATTGCGATGAACAGCCGCGTGCAACTTCAGCTAGACTGTGTGTATCGCGTTGTAGGGCGGAATTATTCGTGAAGGAGATGGGAAAGTAGAAGAAAGGCCACTGGCTGACAAGGACAGAGGTCATGCAACGTGGTTGCCAGAACAAGAGAGCGCGCAAGGTATGACGCAGGTGCAGGCCCGTGCGCCTGCACCAATGACGACCCAAACGACATCATCGCAAGCAATAGACGATGCAAAGGAAATGAGCTTGTGCCGCCATCGGAACATTGCCATCGCTGCACATCGCGAGTAGAGAAGCAAAAGACTGGAGGGCATCTCACCTCAATTACGGGCATCTTTCTGCTCCGTCCAGTGCTCTTCGACGAATTATGCATTGGGTGCACGGTAGGCCTGCCGTGCTACGACGTGGCCGTCGACGTGTGGAGATAATGACGGCGTCTGCAATCGCGTTCCGTCTGGAAGATCTCGCAGATTCCCCTAGTGCGGTGCAAGGGTGTTCGGACGAGGCTGGCTCGCGATGGAGAGGTCGTTCGAGATAGAGATCAGTCTTGTTTGGCGCGTCTCCGTCTAGTGGTCCTTTTCTCGGAGGCTGGGTGAGCACGCTTGGATCTCAACAAATGATGCTATAAGAAGGGGGAAGATAGTAAGGAAGCACAACGAAGTGCAAACATAGAAGTTGCAGAGACGCAGGTGTTGCGAGAAGAGAACCGTTACATGTATATCTAGTTTTGCTTATTCGTCTGCTGAGGCGTCTCGGCGGCCAGAAGACGCACTACTTTCGCGCGAAGACTGCGCAACAGTGGATTGGCCGCGGATTCTGCGGCATAGCAAGTCCAAACGATAGATCATCGCGTCAAATTGGAAGCCTCATGCTTACTTCGTACAGACGGGAGGCCGCTAGTCAGAGTGGCTTTAGAGGGGCTCAAAAGGCCGTATCGCAGACCAAGGCAGCACCCATGACTGCGTCTGCCATGGAAGTGAGTGCACTACCTATTCCGCTGCGTGCCTGCGCGCATCCTCACACCACCAACTCTCGAGTTCAGTGATTCTCAAACGTCCCATACAGCCCATGCTGCGCTGCGTTCAGGGTCCAGCTAGCGCGGAGCAATACGTCACCTACGATCTTCTGAAACACATCGACCGCACGCAGCACGACCATTCGCAACACGGGAAACCTTGTGCGCATCATTCCTGAAGCCACGAGACAAACTACAAATCTGGGCTTGCGTAGCTGGGTGCAGACATTAGCGTCTGTCGGTTATCCTCCGCTGCTCTTAATGAATCTGGCGCTTGCTAACGCTCTTCATGGTGCCCAAGTGGGGTAATGAAGTATTGAAACTCTTTGATGACATCGTTCTCTGGGGAGCTTACCAATTGAAACCAAGCTTCACGGTCATCTTTCTATCTACTAGCTCGCTTCGTTGAGGCTCTGACACGTCTGCGAAGGGTCCAGCCGCGTGCCGAAAGCAAGTAACCCCTACCCATGATAAACGAGGCTGCTGGCTTGGACGTCGGACTGGGACGCTCAAGCTGCCGCTGGCCGCGCGTTTCTCATCCGAAAGGTCCGAAGATGCTAGGAGACACGTTCATGAGTGGGACACTTCAGGCTGTAGATTCCAGCATCTATAGACTCCTCCAGGCATTACAGTATAAGGCCAACGTCCAGGCTACCGCCTCATGCCCTCTACTTACGACGCACCAGCCTCACGAACAGCCTTATGGTGGAACCTCACGGAGAACATCATGGTCGGTCAGCATCTCGATGAGAATTGCACTCTTCACAAATTATTTGCGCAGATGCTCCGCACATCCAATAATGGAGCGACAGATGCTGCTCAACGCGCGACCGGCAACAATGTTTTATCGAGTCAGCAGGCCAGTATCATACCACCACAGTACCTCGCAAGCAAGTTCTCCTGCCTGAACCTGCTGTCCATTATAGTACTTATTCAATTATGCGCCTTCTCGTTCCTGGTAACTTTCTTACACTCTCACTCCCCGTTGATTTCTTGCTTTCTGGACACTTCCATGCAACACACCACTCCAAGTCTTTCCTTCTCTCAGTTATCACCCGACATCGCTTTTGTACAAACCATACGTTACTCAACATGCGCAACAATGCACAACCAACTGTGGACACATTCCATACACCGTACATGGCAGCGCGAGCCCTTTCGATACCGATTGGAATGGCTGCATCACAGCAGCAAAAGAGAACACGGCATTCGTATTCTGCATCTTATGATCAACTTCGAGTCTGCTTCTCACTGAAATTGCTTAGTAACACTTTCCTACCTCCTAACGTTGAGATCAAGAACCTCATGCTGATCGTATGCGCCCTCGAGGACTGGGACGACGCTGATATGTTCTGGCTGTCAGCGGAGATGGTCTACAATGACACTCTTGCCTAGAAAACCAAGGAGCAGGAACAAGTGGCGCTCAATGTTCTAGTCAAATTGCGCAGTGAGTCCGCTTCAAGAACGAGGTCGAGCTCGAGCTGTTTGGTGTTGGTACTGACGGAACGGCCGGTTACGCCGATTAAGCCCCGGCGGACGCCAACGGGGACGACGACAACAAGAGCGGCAGCATCAACAACTTAATCCGAGCACACGCATGATTATAACGTCACTTTAGGTTGCATATTGTGAAGGAGAGCCATCCTCATATGTCATACAAAGACCGGATGCAATCTTTGTGAATAGAAGGTCTCTGGCAAGAATATGAGTAAGGCTAGCCAGTTAGTAACCTCGTAAGGCTTCGAGAGACTGCATTTAGGTGTCTCCACGACACATCTAGGCCGCTTGATACCGGCCTAGTGCTATCGATAATCGCAAGCCGCACCTTCTTCGGCTCTACGGCTCTACGACAGGCGCCAGAGTCGGCTTCAAGTAATGCACGACAGATCGCAACATCACTCTGGCATATCCGCAATCGTACAATTCAGTGTAATGGACAGTATAGCGACAGTGCAATGACACAGACAGGCAAGTGTGACACCTGCAGACGGCGCAAGGTCAAGGTAAGCTGTCTACGTGCCGTCCTGTTCCTGTGCGCGTCTTCGTCTTCAGTCGCCTGCACGTGTGAACACCTTGCATCCGGTGCTACAGATCTCTGACAATTATAGTGCGACGAGGAGACACCGAAGTGTGATGCATGCCGTAAAAGGGGTCGTCCATGTACTTACACCTACGGAAAGGCGTCTGCCTTCGTAGTGCAGGATCCGAACCATTTGTCCAAGTATGGCAAATAGAGACTACCACCCATCGTGTACCCGTGCAATTTCTCCGAAGATATCGGCAGTGATCGCAGCTCAATGTCACTAGAGCTCAGACTGAGTACCCAAAAAAAGGCTGAGCCCGGCAGCGGGACCTTCCAGACTCTGGCGTCAGTGTCGATAGAGTACTTCTGGAAGATTGATATACCTGCGCATGTTGCCAAACTTCTACAGATCGCCATCACCACTGTTGATGCGCCACCATGCTCGGACATGGCGGATGTACTCACTGAGACGATGCATTTCGACTCTGTACAGAATATGGTTCTTTGTACTCGATACTGGATGCTACAGAATGTGCTTTGTGGGCTTACCGACACATTACGTCGGCACTTTCCCATTGAAGCGTCCCTTTCCTTACTGCCCACACCACAGATTGTGCGGCAGTTCGACACTGAAGCTGGTATATGTCTTGCAGAGTCTCTCGCATGGGCCGATTCAGTGTCTCAAAAACTTCCACTTGTCCCGCTACGCCTTCATACACCGCTGCAGATCTCAATTGGACCCTGGCATCGCATCATCCGGGAGACTGATACGACGTCTGCTACCGACACGAACCTCGAGCTGGCTCGAGCTGTCCGCATGAAGACGTGGCTAATAGACGAGTGTAACCGGATACATAAGCAGTGGAATGTCAGCACAGTGGACGAGTGTTCGCTGTGTGAAGCCTTGGACTCTATGGCTGGAGAAAAGATCCCTGATTGGTTACCTACACGCGTAAGGTTCGAGGCCAAAGATGGCGACATGGTCATCAAGTTTGACTGCAACAAGTCGACTGGTAGTTACCAAGATTGCTTCAGTCTGGCAAATAGCAACGCCATCTCATGCCAACCTGGACTCGCGGAGTCCGCATTGTTGACAACAGTGCCGCCAATGGCTGCATCCCAGCAATTCAGGAGATCAAAAATGACAGCGATGGGGGTCCTTGAGACCTCTGACGATGCAGCCTTTCCGCTGCCTGGTGCAGTCGACTTTCTCTTCCAGTCTTGCCGGAACCTGTGTTCGACATCTGGGTGGTGGCCTACTGCGGACACTCCTGAAGGATCCCTCAAGTTGTCCACATTTCCTGAAATACCTGAGCCCTTCGGCCCACGTAAGGTGTCAAGCAGGTGGTCACAAACTCCAAGATCATCTGGCGTGCTGTTGGACAGCACACATAAGACATCTGCATTCCAGCCCAAGGTCATACGAACGAAGGTGAGGACCGCCGTCACGTTAGATAACAGCAGAATCGATGGCTATTCTTCTCCAGCCGGGACGCGATCCAGGCCGGTCTGCGAAGTCGATGAGTCCTTCTGACAGTAGAAGGGGCGTGAAGTTTATGTCGACGGAATGAAGAGGCGGTGCACATTCATTACCTTCCGGCAATTCACTGTGTCCCAGTCGTAGCCGGTGACTGAAGCCTCTTGCTCGAAGCAACACGAGAAGGGAAGGTGCACGTCGGCTACACGCTCACCCAAAGTCCCACATCCAACTGGATTTGGCGATATTAGAGCGATGCAGCCGAGAACTAGCTGACGCCACCGCTTGCCACAATTCAGGACGGACGATGTTGGCATTAGTCAAAGGTCTCTGAGTCTTTTGGGAGGGTGGTTGCGCGCCTCGAGGTCACGAGCTTTGATTGCGCCGGGCCATCGCCAAAAGCTCTTGCTCAGACCCAGGAGGCTTCATCATGCGGGACGGCGCGCACGTCGTCGGTCGTCTCAGCCAAAAATATGTGGAGATCTCGTTTGCAGCTGGTAGTATTGGGTACCTAGTCGGGTTCGACTTTCTCCAGCTTGCTGGCATCGAGACCCAGATGCTGTCCAGCCGGGGGCTGAATGTGGCGGATCTGGTATCACAGGGTGCATGGCTCAGGTGCAGGTCTGCATGGGGTCTCGTGCGATACATACAAGATTGATCGTCGTGTCTTGGGTGCAGGGCGAATGACAAGATCGAGCGTGGCGGAGCAGAGCTGGGATGTCGTTCTTAGGTGCAATATAGAGGCAAAGATAGATCGGATGTCATGGAACGTAGGATTCTCGCAAGCCGGGTCAGCTTTACCAAGATGTACATTAATTTTGCAGCATGCGTATCGACGAAGCTTGATGGAAAGAAGTCTCTGGGAAGGATCAGGGGGTCGCACGCTAGTTGGTTAGGTTGCTTGGCGGAAGCCTCCGCTCTCACGGCCGCCTCTAATGGCGCATCTCTTCTCTCCATACCACGTCAAGGCGTCCACCTCCACCAATCCCCGGAGTCTTGCATGTCGCATCTCAATTTGTTCACCTAAGCGCCGTTGTCCTGCGCCCGCGTAGCTCGCGATTACGTTTCTTCGGAGCGGATCGCGGATTGGGGCAGGTGAACGGAACGCCCAGACTGACCGTCGACTATGGTGCGTCTGATGGCGAGATGTATTTGCGCGCACAAGATATGCTCATGCTGCGCCCTGCAGCTTGCAGCTCGTGTTATTCGGGTACCTGCAGTGGTAGTACCTTCGGTGCTTATCACCGCGTTCCTGAGTAACGTGATTTGAACTCTCTGTGGTTTTGTGGTGCTTGTCCATGCGCCAGTGTAATCATACAACCACGGGTACTCGGTCCTAAGGTTTTGTACAAGACACAAATTCACACCGGGGCGCCAGCGGTGACATCTCAGGGACGCCCATGCCATCAGGAGTTCCTGGCTGCCGATGCCGCCTAATCTCCCGTGCTGCTCGACACCCTCGCGAATAGGATTTTAGCTCTGCGCTCAGCCTCATACGGAAGGTCAACGGCGTATCTACTTGGCAAATGTAGATCACATAGTGCCCAGAGAAAATCTGTATGGGGAGTGACAGGGGTTTAGAATCTCCAGTACATGCAGCTGCCTAATTGGATCAGTTGCCAAGACCGCGACTGCCTCGTGAAGGACTATGATGCCGTGGAGTCCAGTAATGGCAGTCCGTGAGACCGTAAGCTGCAGCGCGAAGTAGGTAGCTTGCGAGACCACGCCGTCGTGTTGCTAGGTATATCTTCTCATGCAGTGGAGCAACAGTGGAGGAGTATAGGGGCCAATCTCCGGAATTATGGTCGGCACAAGCCCTCGCGGATGCAGGTTGAAGTTGTATAAGTAGTATCACCACGATCACCCAGTAATGACCAACCCCAGTCGTTCACTCTTCCCTCGTTTCAAGTCCTTTGTTCAAGATGCGTTCCGCTCTCATCGCCACCTTGGCCTCCGTGGCCGCCATCGGCGCCCATGCCCATCCTCACACCTCTGCCTCGCTCTCGAAGCGTGCCATTGACCTCGACAAGTTCCGTATGGTCGTCAAGACCGAGTACAAGAACGCTACCGAAGTCGATGCTGACCCTACCATTCCTACCTTGAGGACTCGTGCTACCCCTGAAGAGACTGCCACCGAGCTCGTTGGCGCTCAAGCTCCAGATGCTCAGTTCCGCCTGGTGAACGATCACTACACCGGCAAAAATGGTGTTTCTCACTTCTACTTCAAGCAGACTGTAAATGGTCTTGACATCGACAACGCTGATTTCAACGTCAATGTACGTTTCGCAATGGCCGCAGCCATTCACGCATATACTAACAAGTCCTAGATTGGCAAGGACGGAAAGGTCTTCTCTTTCGGAAACTCTTTCTACAAGGGCGAGATTCCTGCACCCAGCAAGAAGCGCGCCACCATCGATCCCGCAGACTCCCTAAAGACCGCTGTCGACACCCTCGGACTTCCCGTTGAGGCCGGCTCCGCTAAGGCTGAGCCTAAGGAAGGGAAGGAGACTTATGCTATTAAGAACACCAGCGGCAGCCTGAATGAGCCTGAGGCCAAGCTTGTGTACCTCATCGGTGCTGATGGCAAGCTCAAGCTCACCTGGAGAGTTGAGACTGATATTGCCACCAACTGGCTCCTGACCTACGTTGATGCCACCACTGGAAAGAGCGTAGAGGCTGTCGTTGACTACGGTGCGGATGACAGCTACCAGGTCTACAAGTGGGGTATTAATGACCCTACTGAAGGATCCCGTACCTACGAGGAGGACCCCTTTAATTCCTTCGCTTCCAAGTTTGGCTGGCACTCGGACGGTACTGACTGGTACAAGACAACTCGTGGTAACAACGCTATTGCTCACACCAACTGGGAGAACGACCTTACCTACGATGCTCTCCTGAATAATTCCCGTCCTGTTGCACGTGACCTCAAGTTCCACTACCCTCTGGACTTGAACGCCACCGACTACAAGACCTACGCCAACGCCTCAATCACCCAGCTGTTCTACACCTCCAATAAGTTCCATGATCTCCTTCATCTGCTCGGATTCGATGAGCGCGCGGGCAACTTCCAGGTTAACAATAACGGTGCTGGTGGTGTCGGAAATGACCTTGTCTTCCTGAACGCTCAGGACGGTTCTGGCACCAACAACGCCAACTTCGCTACTCCTCCTGATGGTCAACCTGGGCGCATGCGAATGTACATTTGGACGAACACGCAGCCTGTACGGGACTGCTCCTTCGAGGCCGGTGTTGTCATTCACGAGTACACCCACGGCCTGTCCAACCGTCTCACCGGTGGACCCAAGAACTCTGGCTGCCTGAACTTGCTCGAATCTGGTGGTATGGGCGAGGGCTGGTCCGATTTCTACGCTACCGCCATCCGTCTTAAGCCCAGTGACACCCGCAGGACGGACTACAGCATGGGCGCCTGGGTCAATGGCAACACAGCGGGTATCCGGAACTTCCTGTACTCGACCTCAATGACCACGAATCCCCAGACCTACAAGAGCGTCGAGTTGTACAGCCGTGTGCACCCCATCGGTAATATCTGGGCTTCTATGCTGTACGAAGTCCTGTGGAACCTGATCGACAAACACGGTAAGAACGACGCGGACGAGCCTTCCTTCGATAACGACGGCGTTCCTACCGATGGTAAGTACCTAGCTATGAAGCTTGTTCTTGACGGTATGGCGCTGCAGCCTTGCAATCCCAACTTCGTCCAGGCCCGTGATGCTATCATCGATGCGGACTGGGCGCTTACCGGTGGTGCAAACGCTTGTGAGCTCTGGACTGCCTTCGCTAAGCGTGGCCTTGGTGAGGGTGCGAGGTACCAGGTCACTGGCCGTCTGGACTCGTTCAAGATACCAAACGATGCTTGTTAATTGGGTGGGTGAATAACGATAACGATGAAGCTACATGACTACGCTACTTTTCCTGATTCAATGTAAATATTCTTCAATTGAGATTTTAATTCAAAGAACACTTTTCTGCTGTTACCAATATGTCTTCTGTTTGTTGCGGAGTATTGCCAGTTTTAGCGCAGATAGTGGCGAGTTAGCTCAGCAACACATGACCTGCCATCAGCCGGAGGCAGCAAGGTCTCCTAGTCAGAAAGAGCCGTACCTTTGCTCTACCTCTGATCCTTCAACTCTTTGTAGAACAGGTGAGGAATTCGAGTGTGTTGCCATTTCAATATTTGAATCAACATCGGCGCTCTTTCATCATTGCGTTGCACAGGGCCTCAGGCAGAGCTCTGTACAAAGAAACCAAGATTCTCACTTTGAACGAGAAATACCAACCGTAAGAACAGAATATTCACAGAGATGCCGATGGAAACCAGAGATGAGATGAATGAGAGAATAGGGCACATCCTGATATTTGTATCCAGCCGCATAAGCATGCCGAGAGATGAGGCGAGCAGACAAGCACTCAAACACTTTGCTGCAAGATTACATCAGCGAGGATCAGTAACGTAAATGATCTCCAGCCGGCGACCCGGCCAGGTAATAGCCACCAGGGTGCTCGCGGAAGGGCATGCAGATAAATAGTCCCGCCCCCGCGAAATACGTGCAGAACACGTACACACATTCGAAATTTCACAACTACACTCATAGTCACGCGTAAAAAATAATGTAATTGGCCATCCTCGTCCAAGAGAAAAGTTCATTCGATTCACAATTATCAGCATCAACACCTCGCTACGCTATGCATTTGCCACACTACAGAAAACCAAAGGTCCATACATCCCGCACGACAAACAGCAGCTACAGCAGAGCGCTTATTTGCCAGAACGGTAAGAGTTCCAGTAGCTGTAGATGCGGGTCTCCTGGCCAGTGGTGAAGCCAGTGAAGCAATCGCTAAGAATAGCATTAGTGTCAGGTCGTCAAGAGTGCGTCAAAAGAGGGATCACTTACTCGTCGGAGTAGTCCATGTAATTGGTAACAGGGTCAAGTCCAGCTATGGTGGGGCAGGTGTCGCGTGTGAGCTGGCATCCGTAGGCGGCTGAGGCCTCAGCAGGGGTGTCAGAGACGTAATCGCCAGAGCCCGTGCAGCCGCCCTGGAAAGTGTGGTACAAACCGAGCCAGTGGCCGATCTCGTGGGTGGCCGTGTGGCCAAGGTTGTAGTTTGTCTCGCTACCACCGGGCACAGTTGAGGAGCGAATCACCACGCCGTCGAGGTAGTAGGCGTTCGAGCCGCTTGTCACAGCCTGGGGGAAGTACGCGTATCCGAGGTACTGTGTGCCGGGGGTGAAGTACACGTTCAGGTCGGCGTAGGTGCCCTTGCGCAGCGCCTTCTTCATGGCAAGCTCGGCATTGTCGTTGGCGTAGTTGGTATTGATGGTCCAGTCGACGCCGGCCTGGGTGAACGAGATGCCGTGAGGGGCGAACGCGGTGTTTAGGACAGCGAGCTGCTTGTCGAGAGTCGCCTGGGTAAGATACCCGCCGGCAACAGAGTTGCCAGTTGCAGTGACGTGCCAGTAGACATTGATGCTGATGGTGGCGGCAGCAGCGAGACTCGACTCGCCGAATTTGGCCTCAGACTCGAGAATCTGGAGGTTCTGAGCGATCTGGATCTGCTCCTCGGTAGCGTTGGGGGTACCGCAGCTACGCTGGGCGGTCGCCGAAGAGGCGAGCAGGGAGAAGAGGAGGGTCCTGAGCTGCATGATGACGACTGGACGAGTCTGAAGTGAGGGAATCGAAGAGATCAGCTGCGAATCGATGCCATTTCAAGGAGGAAATTCAGGCATTCTTGTACTCCTTCCAGCCTGCGAGGCTTCTGGAGAAGCAAGCATATCACCACCAGGAACAGGCCGCTCCTCGCGACAGTCCGAAGCTTGTCAAGTCCACATGGTCTTCCAAGACGTCGACCTTCCCAAGAAAGCGTAAACCCGAGCGCAGCATCACCGGAACGATCCTTCCACTTTAACGGCGGATGGATCTTTCGCCATTCACCTGCTCGGTTGGTTGCTTAGTCGCATTGACGGTCAGATTCGTGGCGAACCAAAGCAGTGAAGCTTCTCTTGCTCAGGCAGGTGTCAATTTCCTCCAGTACCATTCGTCTTAGAAGGCTGGGTTTCAAAACACCATGGCAACTTGGCAGCGGCAAATGCTAGCTGGTAACGGCTAGGTAACAGCTCAGTTGCGAAGGAAACACGAAGGACGATTGGCGGCGGGACGCACCGCGTCTGTGGGGATGTTCGTATTCATCTGTCCGCTGCACTATCGCGTGCTCAACGGACTTGCATCTCGACCTGACTAAGGAGGACTACCGGGCTTCCAAGCCTCGCCAAGCAATGCCAGGGCGGTTTTGTAGGCTCGAAGAGGCATGTCAGTCGCTGGCACGAGCACCGTTATCTGCGAGAAAAGCTTGGGAGAGATAAGACGCCATCCTTGGAGTAAGGATCATCTTTAGCTAGAGCTTTCCTGCAGCCTGGGGTGATCGAGCAGAAGAAAGTGGCGACGGCAGTGCTGAGGTTGGAGAGTGAGGAATTGCGCTGGGATACCGGTACCGGTACCGTACCGGCATGTTTTGCTCCGAGATGCGCCGTAGCCGAGCGGAGATCTCTGGGCGGAGCGGAAACCGTCGTCGCTGGCAGCCTTCACCACCACAGTAAGAAAAGACACGGGAACCGTAGAAGAAAGAACTTGTAATGTAAGAGCAGCTCCGACAGCTAGCAAATCGTCGTTTTCTTTGCTCTTGAGGGAAGAAGAACTGTGTATGTCACGTCAGCTTGCGTCTTAGTCGGTTTTTTTCCTCTCTATCCATTGTGTGGCTTGCGCGAGACTCGAAGCTTCTCGACTAAATCAGTCTAAGGACCGAACGCATAGTTTTGATCAAGCAAATAACTAAGTACCGACAGTAATTCCCCCATTGACCCTCAAAATCTGCCCATTGACCCAACTATTACGAACTCCTTTGCGACAACCTCCGGATTCATAATGCGATTGAACGGAGTCTGACTCGAAATTCAGTCGACCAGCTCCTTGCTATTACCATAGAAGGAGAATTCTGTCGCCGTCGGACCCGGCGAAATGCATTTCACATTGATACCCTTAGCACGAGGTCTTTAGCCAGGATACATCCATCTGCTCAATCACGCCCTTCGAAGTCACGTACAGGAGGTATTTGGGCGTAATAGTCGAGCTGTTGCAAAGAGATGTTGAGAGGAGGATAATGTGGGAGCCGGGAGCGGTGTTGCTTTCGGCGAGGTATCAGCAATCTCATCTAAATCCAACCCACTAATCGGACAGTGCATATATGGGCCAAGAAATATGGGCATCTGACGTTCAAGTCCATAGTCCTTTGAAAACCGGCTTTTTCGGTTTGCTTCGGCATCTTCATCAGTGTGAGTGCGTGTTCGGGACCAGGATGTCGATTTGGTCGCCCCACGACACGGTTTCTTGGACTAGGCGCGAGATGTTCTGCACATCTGCTACGCATGCTCTGATGACTATCGCTGTATCACACTCGATCTGATAGACCGTCTTTCGCTGACATACTCCCAAGATGTATTTGACTTATCGGAGGTATATTCAGAGCATGTAGTTGTAGCATCGTGCTGGGACTAATCCTCAAAAGCCAGACAGGAAGGCACGCACACTTAGAGCTATTTGTGTTAAACAGAATTAAGTCATGATCATAAATATCATTAATCCACCTTCATCTCCCCTAGTGCCCCGTAATAGAGCTCCCACTCCCAAGCCTGTAACTCTCCGGCGGCCCATTGTGACTATACACTACGCCCCCCAGATCCAGCACAACCTTCTGCAGAATGACATTCGCCTCGACAAGCCAAACCTTGAGGGTATGTGTCCCTGGAGCAACAGCGCCAAAGTTCGTAGTGTTGTACCACGCATTCTGCGCAACAGCCGTGCCCCATCCGACAGGGAAGTTGGGCTGCGGCTGGTCGATCACGTACTGGCGGCGCTGCTCCGGCATATCGTCGATCTGCGTGATGTAGGCGAGCGGCTTCTTGGGGTCGATGTTTAGACTGGGAGATAGAATGAGGGTTACATTTAGTCCTCTTGCGGACGTGGTGGGGGTGAAGGTCAGGAAGTCGTATTCGATTGCGGGCGCAGTTGCCGACGTCAGACCTTCGGCGAGAGAATTATTAAGCTTGATGGCAGAAAGGGTGCGGCCGTACTTGGGCAGTGTAGCTAAAGACAGGTTGCCCTTGGGCGTAAGGCGCGTATAGTGCTCTGCTTCGAAGGCGAGCTGACCGGCGGACTCGACGAAGCCGGCGCTAAAGTTGGAAGGTATCGAGGTCTTATTGACCTGCACAATGACCTGTGGCATGCCGTACTGTGTGCCGTAATCGGTGCTGGAGGAAATGTTTAGGGTGCTCTTCTGGCCGAAGCCTGCAGGGACTTGGGAGAAGTCGACCTCGACGTAGACGCGGACGTCCTCGCCATCTGGTTGCATGGTTCCGGATGTCTGAGAAAGCTTGATGAAAGGCTCAGCTGTGATGTTCCAGTCAAAGGGCTGGGTGCCTACGGAGGCAATCTCTAGCCAGCGCTTCGGGGTGAAGGGTGTGATATTGGGCAGGTTCAAGGAGCCACCACCGTTCACGTGCCAGATGTCATCACCTGGAATAGTAGCATTGCTACCTTCAACGGCGACGCCGAGATCTCCAGCAAGGCTCCTTTCCCAAGTCTGTACCCAACGAAGGAACGGCGTGGACTGGCGCATAGGCTGCTGCCAGTATCCCTGGTATCCCAGATGGGTCTGGTCCAGCATGTGGTGCCACTTGCCGTTGAGAAGCTTGTGGTAGCGCTGTGTAAGGTTGTGGTCTTTCTTCATGCCATCAATAACGCGCTGCATCCACCTGTTGGCACTGGTCCTGCCCATGCCGCTGTAGGCGATATTCCTGGCCCCGGAGACTTGCACGTCCACAAAGTTACCGCCAGCCAAGACGCGGTGGAGGACTATCTCGTAGAAAGCGGGCTGCAGCTCTGTGGGAAGGGCATCATAGATATCTTGTGCTTTCTTGGCGATATTTTCCCATTGCGCGAGAATGCGATCAGCCTCTTCATAGTTGAGAATACTGTACGAGGAGGGCTCGACCCACTCAAACTTGCGCATGTTTGCAAGCAAGCCGTACTCGTCCAGAATGTCGGAAATTGTCTGAGCATGCTCGTCACCGAAGTTGCGTGCGGCGAAGTCTACCGTCCACTGTGGTACGGATGTCTCATCGTACGCGTCGATGTCGTAGGCAATATCGAACCAGTGGCTGATGGCAATCTCGCTAGGCTTGATGTCGCCAACGTTAACAATCCAAATTCTATCTGCATCCCGGTCCTTGGCCAGGCGCATCTGCTCATAAGTCTTTTGTAGCTGGATGGTGTCGATCCACTTGTAGCTGCGCGAGTCACCGACATAGTCGAAGTGGTAGTAGACACCAGCTCCACCAGATCTCTTCTTCTCGTCACCGACAGGCAATCTTCGGATGTTTTGGAAGTTATCCTCCGTCCAGAGAAGGGTAACGTAGTCGGGAACCTTCATGCCGGCCTCGAAGTAGTCCTGAACCTCCTTGTATAGACACCACATCTGAGGTACCTCCGAAGCATTGCCATGAACCTTGTTGAGAATGTCTTGCTGTGCCTCCACAACGGCTTCTAGCACACTCGTCTGAACGTCAGCAGACATCGCCGTGTCGTGGTAGCCTGTGAGATGTTAGTGTAATTACACATTGCACCTGTGTTCGGATTAGCAGGCGTCGCTAGATGTGCATACCTCTCATTCCAACAGTGACAACATTCTCGTAAGGTGCAGCACGTTGAGCGCCTTCATAGAAGTAGTTGTACAGAGTCGCGTTGTTGGTAGCCCACTGCCAACCAGATTCACTACCTTTGGCAACCTTACTCCACTCGGCAGTAGCTCGCACCATAGGTTCAGTGTGCGATGTTCCCATAACGATAGCGTATTCATCTGCGAGCGGCTGGTTGCGCGGGTCATCGACGTTGAACATACCATTCCACATAGCTGGCCAAAGATAGTTAGCCCTTGACCTGAGCAGCAGCTCAAAGACGTTGGCGTAAAACTCGGCTCCGAAGGGGCTGTTGCCACCGTACTTGGGGTACCTGGTGTTCGCCCATCCAGTCAGTGCAGGCGCCTCATCGTTGATGAAGAAACCGCGATATTTGACGGAAGGAGTCTTCTGCACCTTTACAGTGTTGCGAGCATAGACTTCAGCGTGGCTCTTAGCAGGCACGTCTGCGAACCAGTACCATGGAGAGACACCGATCTGTTCGGAGACATCGTAGATTCCGTAGATCGCACCTCGGCGATCGCTTCCTGCAGTTTTCAATACCTATATCTCAGAGAGGTTTATAGATTGTCTTACCAGCAATGACGAGTGCACGATCGGTTCCATTGAGAGGGTTCTGCACAAGCGCGCTGACGTATGCTTCCCACTGTCCTTCGATCTCGCTGACATCAAGCTTGCCACTCGCAATCAGGCCATCGATCAAGCTCGAGTTGCCAATTGTGCCCACGATGATCGGGGTGCCACTGGTACCGTTTGCGCTCGTGCCTGTGCTCCAGTCCTTGCTGATACCAGTAACGTTGAAAATCACTGAAGCACTGGCCATGGCTGTTCCAGTCGCGGTCAAGGTACCGTTGACCTTGGTCACTCGTCCAAAATCGAGGGCGAGGTCGTACGCCGCGCGCAGGACACCAGGCCAGTCTGCTGCATCAACATGGATGTTGGCGGGCGAAGAGCTGGTGGCGAGCAGAGAGCTACCACTACCGGCAGTGAAGTCAACAGTAGGTTTTCGGAAGCCCTCGACAGCAGTTGTGGGTGCAAAGAAGCATGCCGAGAGCGTCAGGCACAAGAGTCGGCGTGGCGAGAGCTCCATGGCGGCGGTCAGGTACAACTTAGGCTACTGAACCATCACTGGGGGTCTCTTGCCTCTTTATGCATGCGAAGATTTGGTGTAGGAGATATTAGCCAGGCCCATTAACATCCATGAATACGAACGGCTCCATAGCCCTGTGAAGATCCCCAACCATGCGCATCTTCAATCTCCAAGATTCAGGAACAGCACGCTCGCAACCGGACAAGTGACCGGCTATTCTCCAGGGTAAATGGCAAGCGACGTGATCATCGTTGTTTTCCCCCAGGCTCATTACGTAGGGCAAGTAGCCTAGCCGCAATACACGGTGCCGAGAGAGGACTCCTCCGTCCTCGGTTTGGATGGCAGGAAACGTCAAGGAAGCATTTCAATTAGGCTCGAGCACATGGTGGAAATCAATAGCGTCTGCCGGAAATGTTCCGCCAGGTATTTCGAGGTGAACATGAAGTGATTTGTGTATTTTTCATGCCCGTTTTCCTGAGGCGACAGACAGGGTTCCAACAAGCGGCCTTGGTAGTGGACCTGCGGAGCGGAGGTTTGCACGGCCAGGTTGAAATGGCTAAAGTGGAGCACCCCGCGTTGCGCTAAAGTGCCGCCAAGCCCGAAACTTTCGGTCCACGGGCGTGCCGAACATTTTCCAGAAGGCTGCAGACGCGACGTGCACGCTGCCCAGTATCACCTCCACATAAACGCAGCCGACACCGATTGTCACGAGATGGCGCAAGGCGCAGTCAAGAAGTCCAAGCCCGCTGCGGCGTCCAGGAAGTGCGTTCAGGCTGTACACAGCTTTGATTTCCATGCTGACCATCGACACAGGCCTTCGAAGACCGGTCCCAGGCCCGGACAAAAGGTCATCAAGCCCAAGAAAGCGAGTCTGATCCAGCAGAACAAGATCAAGAAGAAGAGCGCCGCCGGCCTCGTTGGCACGACCGAGAAGTTCCTCGCCGAGAAAGCTGGCCATCTGGAGATACTAAGGGGTGGAAAGAAGGACAAGAAGGAGGGCGCGAAAGCGAAGTGACAAGTGAACATTGATCGCACATTGCTCAGTCGAAAAGTTTGGTTTGCACTGGGAGAGCGTACGTCTAGCGCTGTGATAGGCCATCGTCAAAGCCTCTGCACGCCGCCACAGATCTGGCCGCGAACAAAAGCGACGAGGGCCTTGGACGGCCGATACAACCGGGTATCGACATGGCCTTAGAGAGAGAGCCGCAGCTAGCTCCACAGTGTAACAACGTTGGGGGACGATTTGCTGGAGCCAAGACTCCTGTGGAACGCGTCGACTGAAGAGTCCGCTGAGATTCGTGTATCATGTCGTATGTTGGAGAATGCAATGGAAAATCATGTCCCTCAAATGATGCCAGCTCGTGCTGCCTCACCAGCGCCATCCTCGAGGTTCGCTTCTCGTGCCTTGCCCTTACCAAGGCCACCTTCGCCAACGCCCATACGGCGTGCAACATAGCGTTGCGCGACGATACCAACGCTAAGACTGATTGTTTCTTCCATCCACTCAGATACCCACTCACGGGGATCAACGCCACCGCTCTCGATGATCTCCTGGATTTCATGTGGCAGTTGCTGCTCTTCGCCAGCAGCTTCTGTGTTGGCCGGCGCATCAAGCCACTCTGCCCACTTTTCAGGGAAAGCCTGGCTGATTGTTTTAAAGGTAATGCCATGAATCGGGTCGTGCAGATAAACAGCGAAGACAATCAACTCTTCGTCTTCCTTCTGCTCCTGAGCGTCTCGTTCCTTTGTATCGGCTGCTGTTGATGTGCCAAAGAGTTCTGTGGGTGTTGAGTAGCTAATAGCTTGGATCGCGATGAATATGTCGCTGCTCCGCACGGGGTTGCTTTCGCTGAGAGCTTCGGTAGCTTGCTTCGCAGCTGCCTCGACGCCTCCTCTAGCAGCAAAGAATTCGTCAGCATATGATTCGGCGCTCACTCTTGTAAGCTTTGTGCCCTCCACAAGCCCTTTGACTGTGCTCAGATCTCGCTTCTCAGCGTGGCGCCACCATGGTCCGTCATTCCAACCCCCACCGCCGCCCCTGTAGCCGTCCAGCGACTGGCGTAGTGTGGACTCGGAGCCGCGCTGGATGACCAGCAGATCACCGCCTTCGACTTGGGCCATGACCGTAGAGAAGGTCTGGTAAATGATGGGATCGAGCGAAGGGTAACCGATGAGGTCATGTGTAATGTGGATCTGGAGTCGTTCATGCTGTGCGATAGGTGGGGCAAGGGTGTGCAGAATGTTGGTGAAGGTTGGCAGTGCGTGCTTGCTCAGCTCGCCTCCTGCAATCTGTCAGCCTACTCGACCGTGACTACTGGGAACACTGACGCACCCATGCCACGAAGGTCACCGACTCTGCCTCGCACTTGTTCGGCCCATTTCTGTGCTTCCTGGTTCTTCTGGAGCTCCTGGTAAGCAGCTTCTGCTTGCTTCTTGGCCGCGTTTGCAGCTTCGGTCGCCGTGTTCAGGATGCCGCCCCATCCTCCGCCCCACCAGGAGCCGCCCGACGCTGCCGGTGCCTCCGCCTTCGGTGCCGGCGCTGCTGTGGCTGGCTCTTCCTGAGGGGGCGCAATGCTCTGGTGAAATGACAGTGTGCTCTCTCCCGACTTCCTTGGTGGTGCTGCACGATCCTCACTGGTTCGTGCTGAGCCTGTAGAAGAAGGTGTCGCGATATCAGCACCTCTTCTGTTGCTCGAGGCCACTGAGGATGAGGACAGCTTGGGCGTGTTCGGACGACTTGTTGGACGCAGGCCTTCAGGCCGTTGGAACTTGCCAAGGTCCTCGAGCTCTTCCAAACCCTTCAGCGCATCGTCCTCCTGTGGCAGCTTCTGGCGAGCAGCTTTGGATCCCTTCTTCTGCAGAGGAGCCGCAGGTGCCTCCGCACCGAGCAATTCGAGCTCCGCAAGCTCCTCCTCGACCGTCTTTGGCGGCATTGTGGGTCACGAAAAGTCAGAAAACAGCAACGCGGTGAAGGCAAACAGTATTTCAACAATGGTGAAGGCGAAAGCGATGTGTGGTCACTGATAGCTGTGACAACACGATCTCATTCCACGTTCGCGCTGTTGTTGGGAGCTCCCGTCCGGCGAGATGCCTGCCACACTAGCGCGTGGCTGCCATTGGTGAGAAAGGCCTTGGCAGCCGCTGAACTGGAAGAAGCAGCCACGACCGCCTCAGACAAAGATCATCACACATCACGTCCCTTACTGCTTGCCTTGGACCATTTTTCCTACTTTAATCTGTGTATCGACCAACTGCCAGGATTTTCGCAGCCCTACTGCTGTTGCACGGAGTTTGGTTCATCTTCAAGTCCTGCAGGTTTTCCGCCTCCCTGACAGGCTTGGATCTGCACTACGCCTCCTCGGGAGTGTACATGCAGACCTCGATTCCAACCATCATACGAGCGCAGCACTTGCGTGCTCGATCGTCACCAGACATTGAGCCCAATGCCACCACCACGGACTTCACTCGCTCGCTCCTCACAACGGCGCAATTCTGTGCAAGATGATACGCCTACGAGGACCCGTTCTAGTAGGGGCGTACCCACTGCAACAAAATCGGAGACTACAGAAGTAGTTGCACCAAAGCAAAGTCCACACAAGCTGAGTCCTAATATCACAAGAAAGACCACTCGCTCCGTATCAAACATTTCAAGCCAACCGTCTTTCACCGATACGGCTCCTGAGGTTTATGCTTCATACGAGAAACCATATTTCCTGGTGTTTGGCTTGTCGCGCGAATTCTTCGACGGCCTTAAGAAGTATCATGGCAAACTACCAAAGGAGCGCAAAAATCTTGAAAGTCCTGTACAGGAATCGCTATCATCAGATGAGGAATCTGAGTCGGAAGAAGAGGAAAGTGCAGAAGGGAGCGAAGAGTCTGCTGACGCGGCACCCATCGTGTCGCACTCTACGCCTAGAGGACGTGGTCGCGGAGGGCGCGGCGGGCGCGGCGGTCGAGGACGAGGCGGCCGTGGCAGGGGACGAGGTGGACGTGGTCGTGGAGGGTTGGTTCGAACAATCTCACCTACTCGATCACGTCCTTCGCGATCCGCAGCACCCAGGTATTCACTCACCGAAGAAGATGATGGTCTGTCAAATCAGACGACGCCAAACGGCGAAGTCTTGGCATCACCACTACCTGAAGAGGATGACCAAACGACAGACGCGTCCGAACCGGCTAACGGCCTGCACTTAGACGTCGACGTCGACAGCGATCTTGAGGCTGGATCTATCGGGAATGCTCATCTCGAATCGATGACTCCAGCTGGTTCACCCCCCTCTACAACGACGCCTCAAGGTTCACCTCCAAATGGTCTACTCAACGCTATACTTGAGGGAACGTATACTCCATCCCTGGTCGCCGAACCCGAACCCAAGATGTCGAAGAATGCGACGAAGGCTAAGATTCCGAAGATTTCGTTGACCACCAATTCCGCCTCTCAAACGCCTCGTGAATCCGCCTCAACACCCGCACAAGCACTGAAACCACTCGACCCCGAGGACGATATTCTGACAGTAGAAGACCTGCCTGGTCCTTGGCTTGAGGATTTTGAACCAGAACCTTTCGATGGCTGCGAAGACATGGCCGACTATCTTCTGCAGCGGAAGTATCAAGCCATGTCGGATGTGAATCAGATCATCGCGGCTCTTAACAAGTTCCCCACAGCTCAACGGAGTACCGACAATTTGTATGCCTTGGCCGAGAACGCTCAATACATTCTCAAGTGCTGGCAGGACGAGTATCTTGAGCTGGATGCCAGAGTAAGTTGTACATTGAAAATTCTAAAGTGGAGCTAATGCTTGTAAGACCGCGCCCCATATGCATCCCCCGAAGAAGGCCTGCACTAGTGGGCGTACACCAGTGGCTTCGCAGTTGTTCGAGGATACCAAGGAAGCAGATCTCTACGGCTACACTTTTGATGCAAAGAAGCCACTCGGCTGCCAGGACCCATGGGCACAACGTCCTGGTGCTGAAAAGAGCAGCGGTAGAGAGCTTCGAACACGTCGTGCGCGTGACATGTTAGACTCCGCAGCTGCAAGCGAGGAGGACGAAGAGGACATTGAAGGCCGCTCATCGAGGCGGCAGCGAAAGCCGCCTCGCAAGTTTGATGGTACTGATGTAGTCACAGGCGCTACAACACCAAAGAAGCACAACGGATGGGGCGGCGCTCGCAAGAAAGGCGTCAGCAGATTTGCCGCGCAGGCTTCTGAAACTCCTGAGCCAGACAGTAGACCTGCGAAGCGAGCTAGAACTGCGGCAGCTTCTGCGCTTCATCAGCGTCTTGTGCATGAGAGTGTGCGTGAAGGTTCAGTAGCTACGACGTCTGGCGACGAGGACTCATCAACGATGGACCTTGAAGAGTACGCAGACACGAGCGCGAAACGTGGACGGCCACCGGGGAGCAAGAACACAGGGCGCCGCAGTGACTTCGGTGTCAAGAAGGGACCACGAAAGAAGGCTAGTGGTATTGGTACACCAGTGCCATCAGCACATGGTCCTAATGCTCCTCCACTAGCACTGCAGTCATTGAGCGCAGGTCAAGGTCAGTTCTCCATTGATCCACAGCCTTTTTCAGATGTACACCCCTTGCCAGCACCGAACTCTGCTGAGACGGTCTTCCAAGCTATACCGCAACCTGCTGCCGCACAAGACGGCACCCTCGTCCACCCAAGCGAATCGAGTACGCCGGACGCATATATGCTCACCGCTCCATTGAGCCAATATACCAACAATCGAGCTGAAGACTCTGCTCCGCCATTGGGATCACGACGAAAACCGCGAGTCAAGAGCGAGAAGCGCAGTCAGTCGATGACCATCTGGTGGGCCGAACGGAAGGCTCGCAAGAAAGAGCAGGATGAAAAAGAGGGGAAGCCTCCAAAGCCACCGAGTTCAAGATCGAACTCTTCCAGTGGTCGGCGAGGTGGCCGGGCAGCTGCAGGGCCGAGCACAACTGCAACACCCGTATCCACCCCTCCACAGGCGCAACGACCCTCGCCCGTGCATCCGCAGGATCATCACTATCAGCCAGAAGCCTACACCATGCATGGGCCGTTGCCACCGCTGACAGCTCCATCTCCTCACCTGACATACGCTTCGGCACCCTTGCATCACCCTATGCTATTACAGTACTCACCGCTTGCCGCAATCCCATCTGGAAGCTTCCCGGGATATTCAGGCCCACCATTACTGCACTCACATCTTGGTCCTCGAGCACTCGCTCCCGCTCCCCAACAATTACCTGCATACCCGAGTCCCTACGGACCGCAAAGCCCTGCCGGCCCGCGTCCAAGGAGCAGCGGCCGCAATGGGCCACCACCTTTAGCGCCTGCACCGACGCAGCATTATAGCCCGTACGCACCGATGAGCATGGGCAGAGAGATGCCATTCAAGGTAATGGTTCCGGGGCCACCACCTCATGACGACAGGAGAGGTAGCCGTTAGGAGCAGCTACCGAAGAAGCTACAGGAGCGAGAAGTAATTGTCATCGATGATTAGCGTTTTATTACTACGTTACTAGCATAGAAACTATGCGTGGGGCGTTCACACTGTCGTGCGATGGTACACTGCAGGGGTTTGGTAAATTTCCTTTGGATGTATGATAGTATCACCGAACAAGGTTCAGTCATCTGATCGATCAAGTTCTGCTCGTTCGTCAGAAGTGCTATGTTCTCGCTGCCTCCACCCTTCGCTCACATAAATCACCAACATTACGCATGCTTATGGCTCATCTTGCATGCTATAGCTGACATAATTTCGCAACCACTGAGAGTAAGAGTGAGACGCTACGCCGACCAACTCAGACCCCTAATTCACCGGTCGAATCGCAATCGTCGCATTTCGACGTTACTAACACTTGGCCACTGGGCGATCTCGTGTCCTCATCCCGTCGATATTATCTTCTTGCGAAGAATGACACGTCCATGGCATTGATGACTGTTGCCTGAAGTGACACTGCAGCCTTGTATATCAAAGTTGCCGAAAAGAGATCGCGCGACCAGCCCTATCGATCTAAATGCAGACATCGTGCACGTCATATGTGTGAAGCAACACACACCTTCACAAGGATAGGATTTCGGAAGCAAGTAAAACAGGCTGTAACATCATGTGACTGTGCCTGAATGGAGTCTGCCTCGCCTTTCGCAAAACAAGCCGGGTCAGAAACAAGGCGGACAAGGGTGTAAGCGAAGGAAAGATCGAGCGGGTCCCAAACGGCGCACCTTATCCGCGCAGTCCGAGCCATCATCCTAGACACAACCCCAAAGACACGGCACAAGTCCACCTGACAGCCGTGATGTATTGTCTTACCCCTGTCAAGTCCGCTATTGTGGCAACACGAGTTGCTATGAGCCCAGCGACCAAGGCGTGCTGCTGCGAGCCACCCGACGAATGACAGCGAAGCCTCATCGCACCACACAGCCTCGCTGCGAACTATGCTATCGCCAAACCATCGGCCAAAAGAGCTTACCGCACCTTCTCCGTCAACGGCTCGCCTGATGAGTCCGCCCTCCCCAAGCGCGACCTACTGTTCTCTCTTCGCGACTCAGTGCCAATTATGGCTCAAGTTGTCCTTCCGGCCCCCGGCTTGAGACAAGCCTCTTTCCACACCTGGGAACACCCGAAATGGCAACTAAGACATCACAAAGATATCAATTCTGTCTCACCCATGACCAAAGGTTAGGCCTTCCGCGATCTTGACAAGCCTCAAGCGTGACTTGTGGAGACGATAACGCACCGGTGAAAGAGTCACGGCCCGCGATGATGAGAAGAAGGATCTTAGGGCTACGACACTTTGAAGAGATGGCTATCGCGGGAACGAACGAGCAATGCTGTGCATGGCAGCCTGAACTGGGTCAGGATGAGGACAAATACTGTTGCATCAGCAGTTGCATATAAGAGTCTAGTCCATCCTGAAAGGACAGGCATCACAGTACTGGAGTCTGAAGCTTTGCCCCCTTCATCATCTCCAAAACCATTATCTCGCCTGCGACCTGCGACGGCAGCAAGTTCGAGCCAGCATATAACTCTTCGAGCAGAGGTTGCTTCGATGTCGTCCATCTTCATCCTCATCAGGACCATATTGCAGATCTTCGGAATCGCACCGCATTTGTTCTTATCAATCATCAGTCACTATCAGAGCTCCAAGTCAACCGCAAGGCTGTCGCTGCAAAGAATGTCGAAGCGCCTTCAGGGTAGTCGCAACTCGAGTCAGAATGTAGACAGGGAGCCTGACCCAGAACCACCAGCAGCACCTCCGTAAGTTCATTTCCATCCTGAGAGTCGAATCAGTGCTCGTGCAGAGCACTATTCTAGCGATGTTATTTCGAGGCTTCATAGCCCCACTCGGAGTAGTGTCCGCTAATGATTGGCCAATAGTAGGATTTTCATTTTGTCCCAAAATAGCAACCCGAGTGGATCTCAGCCTCAGGAACAGGACCCTGGTCCGCCACACTTTCCCACGTCATTTCCGCGGTACGCGTCGCCATGCTTCAATGATAATTTTACCCCTAACAAAATTCCAGATGTCCCTCTGCGACGTCGACACAGCAAGTCTCAGAAGACGTTCCGTTTACAGCGCCTCAGCTCAAGCCGAAGCCTGAGCCTGAACCGCATCCAGCACCACCGTGAGTATTCGCTCGTGTGCGACGCTACGAAGAGCACGCAACACTCCCTCATCCAACACCAACCATCTACAACTTGGCTATACGATCCTGACCCCCTCCAGCGTGATCATCCTCTCTTGCAACAGTCGCGTAGCGTCCCATTCTCCACCAGCTTCCTCACCTCTCTCGTCGTATCCACGCCCACGGGCCCCCAACAGCCCCGTAGACCAAGTCTTCCACGCTACCGACTTCGACTCCGCACACAAACGCTTCACAATGGGGTCAAAGGCCAGCAAGCTCTCGCCGAAGAACGGCAAGCTGCAGTCGTCGCAGGAGAAGAAGGACAAAGAGGAGATGAAGGAGCCGACGAATTACTACACACATAGGAGTAAGAGTATGAGGAGGAAGGCGGGCAAGGAGTCTTCTGGGGATGGTGCTGGGGGTGTTAGTATGGGTTCTGGTGGTGCTGGTGGTGCGATATAAGAAGTGGCAGGCTGAGGGATTTCACATCTTAGCATCAACATGGTCTGGCGTTGTCAACGGCATTTAATTGGGCGATACTCGCTGCTTTTACTGCATCTAGCACGGCTATTACATCACGAACTGTCGCTTTCTCACGGGCATGTATATATCAACACGCTCAGGTAAAGTTATTCGCAAAACTCACCCTTCAATTCAGCGTTGCCAACGGGACGTATACGGCTACGGTGAGGAGGCAAGAAAGAAGGTACGTGTCAAACAGGACACTCGGTTTTCAAGACACTGCGGCATGTGTGGCGAGGCAGGGTACAACGCGCGAACGGGTAAGGATGATGCGCAAGGTACTCTAGAGTAGATCGATATACTGTAGCGCACAGTAGGACTTGTTTCTGTACTGTGGTGTTGCAAAGTAGCTATGGTGTTCGTGAGTCTTGGTTAAGTAGGTAGGTACCTACCGGTATACTTTAAAATATACACTAAATCTTAGCGTAGTAATGCCGTACTACGCCTTAATCTACAGCTACTTCCTGTACGGCTACAGCTTAATATAAGTACCGCTGCTTACTGTTGCTTACTGCAGTACACCGTAGCCGTAGATTTCAGTACTACGTCCAGTTGGCAATGCTGCCTCAATTTGCACACGCCTGCGTTGGTGACAGCTCCAAGACGATAAGACTGAGTAAAGTCGGCTTGAAGAAGAGACTGGAACGAATGTGCCAGGCTAAAAATGTACTTTTGCTCCTCTCTTTCCAGATCTTAAGACGGGAAGGTGCTGCCCAACCACTAGTCGCACTACCGGCAACGCCGTGGACCCTGCAGATCATCTCCTCGGTGGGAAATGGCATGAAAGCTCCATGCCGCAGCTCTCTCAAGCTCTCAAGAGACACGATCTCTGTCAGGGACGGGCTCTTAAGAACACTGGACCGTCATAACTTTACGAAAACATTCCACTCCCTGATTCCCTCCGACATCGACCCACGCTCCGTCACGCTCCCCGACCCTTTCATCGTCATGGTCACGGGCGCAGGGAAGGGCCTTGGGTACACATCAGCCTCGCCTTCGTGCGCGCAGGATGCAGCGGGATCGCAGTATCATCCCGAACAAGCGCCGATCTCGACGCACTGGAATCCGAGATCTGCACAATTGCACGCAAGAGAATGAAGAAAGTCGGGGTGCTGAAGGTGGTGTGTGATGTACATAATGAAGCCGCGATTGACAATCTAGATAAAGAAGTAAGTGCAAGGTGGGGAAGGGTCGACATCGTGATCGCAAACGCGGGCGTGGTTTCCTCCTACATCCTTGCTCCACCGAGTTCAAAATCTAATCTTCCCCAAGGCCTCGTTCAAGATACCGACTGGGCGCGTGTCATGAATACCAATCTCAACGGTGTGTGTCGCGTGTCCCAGGCCTTCCTGCCCCTTCTTACCGAGACTAAGGATGGACCCCAAACGATCATTTCGAGCTGCAGTATGGCGGCGCATTCGGTCGTGAGTGAGCTTACGCCTGTTACGTATAATCTAAGTAAGATGGGCGTTATGCGGTTGATGGAATGCATTTGCAACGACCACGGTAAAGATGGTGTGCAAGCGTAAATGTTCGATGCTGAAATGGAGAAGCGTACTGATTGCGATGGGTTTGCACTTCACCCTGGTGCGGTTGTCACGCCGCAGACGAAGAACCATGCTGGTGATGACTGGGAGGGGATGTTGGTGGATGATGAGGGTCTTGCGGGGGCGTTCTGTGTGTGGTTGAGTAAGGAGAAGAGGGAGTGGCTCAGTGGGCGATTCCTGAGTTGTAATTGGGACGTGGGAGAGTTGGACGGTATGAAAGACAAGATCGTGAAGGGCGATCTACTGAAGTATCGGATGGTAGTATGACAACAACGACTCCGGCTTTAAGATGATCCCTACATGTGATAGCGCAGGATGCGTAGCGGATGTTGCCTGTTGAAGGTGGAGAGGAGAGCTGAAGGCCCTTGGATTAAATTCTGACTCCTACAGGAAAGCCATGTACCGGTGGCGTGGATCCCCAAAATGGGAAGACGCATGAGTTATTCACTGTGGATAAGCACTTTGGAGAATTACAAGTGTTTGACCGATGTTGAGACTTTGCTACTGTGAAGTCGTCGGCGTCATTCTGTTCAAGCAAGGCCCCTCAAAAAGCACCACTCTTCTTGATAAACTCCTCCCAGCTTACAAGCTTATCGTCCACGATATCATGACTTTCCTTGAGCTCGGCGCCGTTGTAGTATCCCGGCTCGTCAATAAACTGGTGGTTCTCAAGCATCTCCTCAGCAATGAAACCTGGCAGGAAGCCCTTGTACTGTTCGGCTGTGATCTGCGCAAAGTGAGTCTTCTTTCCAGTAGCCGCTTCTAGGCTTGAACGGATCTGCTCGGGTGTGTAGTAGTTCTCAGCACCAAGAATGTGCTTGTTGAGGGTTTCGTCACGGTTCTTGAGTATTCCATTGACAAATTTACCTGTAGAGAAGTGGTCAGCGGAAAGCATTGGCCGAACAGCCTTGACATAACTTACCAGTATCTTCAGCGATGTCTATCAGAGGAAATTTCGCGTCCTTGCTGACTGGGAATGCGAAAGACAGCGAACCATCTTCGCCCTTCTGCACTGACTGAGTGAAATTGCTCATGAAGTACCCAGGCAGGAAGAATGAAGCGGGGACACCAATCTTCTTGATGTAATCCTCAATGTCTGACTTCGCCTCGAAGTGAGGAACGTGAGATAGACGGCCGTTTGTGATCTTGCCAACGTGCAATAAAGACGAGAAGATCAGATGCTGAACACCAAGTTCCTTGGAGGCATCTGCGACATTCTTGCCTTGGTCGAACTCGACCTCATATTTGGCGCTCTCCCAGTAGTTGGTGACAAGGAAGACCGTGTCAGACCCTTGGAGAGCCTTTGTCACGGAGGCTTTGTCGCTCAAATCAGCCTACACATTGTCAGTTCAGATCATCTTGACTATACACGAGTACGAACGCTCTTCATTTCTACACCTTGCTTAGCCAAAGCCTGGGCGCCAGGCTTAGAAGTGTCGCGAGTGATACCGCGGATTTTGAAGGTCTTGGAGAGTGTCGAATCAGCGAGGATGTGCTTGATGACCGAGCCTCCTTGGTTGCCAGTGGCGCCAAAAACAGTGATGAGCTTAGACATGACGAAAGCTTCTGCTGGTAATGCTGAAAATAACAAGGAGGATGGTTGATGAGTCTGTGAATGAGGTTTGGTGAGAAGCTGTGATGTTTGACGCTCTCATGGAGGGGACTCCTCGTGGAGCTTTATATGCCATCGCGGGTACAATGCTTCTTGTGTTGCTGACAACGCCGGGTGGGAGCCCCGAAAGTTACTGATGCATCGTGTTTGGCGATGCCCCAAGAGCCCTGGGCATTGCGAGGTGTGAATTTCGTCACTTTTTTTCTTCAGCTGCACGAACTTGCTCCTCAGCTGCTGTTTTAGGCTTAGCTTAGTGCTACCTAGTTAGCTCATCGCTGACAAACGTGCCAAAGGGTTCACCGAGTTCCCGCTCGCGCTCGGTCTGATTGTGCTATGTCAGCGTCGCGAAGTCCCTAGAATCTTTCGGAGCATTGCAGTCGAGCCAGTCAATCTTGTTTGTTCACTGTTGAATCAGCGATTTTGAGAGTCACGTCAACGTCGCGAAATGTTGCGGGCGCGTCACGTATGGCGCATCAACACAACACGACCCCGCCTCCTGCCTCCGTCTGCAGTACTCCAGAAGGCTGACTGCGTCAGCCTGTCAGACGCGCTTCATCACTTCGAAAGTGCAATTGTCGAATGAAAGATGTTGCCAAACCTCAAGCCGCTAGGTATTGTAGATTTATGAAGCGCCCCAAATGGAAAGTCCAAGACCGCAGGGCAATTGCCTAACTTCCTCTTGCGCTCGCAACTTGAGGGGCTTTTGGACCACAGTACATGCATCCTCTCGTGTGTCTGAGCGACTCTAAGGCTTGGGTTCGTAGTGACATGATGAAACTTTCGACGCAAGATGTTGATAGGTACCTCAGTCTCAGCGGCGCGTTGGGATTGATCGTGCACAGCATGTAGAGGAAGTCAACTCAAACTCCCACTTGCCTCCTTCACCTCCTCCAAAGCCTTCAATCTGCTCTCGAAGTGCTCCTTGATCAGATCGAAAGCATTCATACTTAACGGCAAATGCAACGGCACCTTCTCACCCTTACTCGCAGTCTCATACAATACCGTCGCAACATCCTCCGGCTTCATACCAGCGCCCGGCTTTAAACCAGCATCGACGTACCTTTCCAATATCCTCGCCGGCATCTTTGAATCTGCGTACGCCGGATGCTGCGCAGTAAAGTTTTTGCTGTGTTCCTCAAAATTCGTCTCGACGGCTGAAGGTTCGACAATGCAGAACGAGACTCCCCACTCCTGTCTAACTTCCTTCGTAACAGACTCAGTCCAGCCTTCGACAGCGTGTTTAGATGCATGGTAGAATGCGTGACCAGGGAAGGCGCACACACCAGCAACGAAGAGATGTTTATGATCAATCCGCCTCTGCTGCCGTGGCGCATATGCAGGAGCACAGCAGTCGTGGTTCGCACTGTGCCGAAGAAGTTGGTCTCCATAACGTCGTGCCATTCGGCTTCGTTTGCGGACTCGGTGTCACCTGAGAGCGCGTAGCCTGCGTTGTTAATGAACACGTCTATGGTGCCAAATTGCTTAATGAGGTCTCGCTGGCATAGCTGACAGCAATGGGAGATGTTACGTCGAGCGTGATCTTCAGGATGTTGGCAGTGTTGTCCGGAAGGCAGGAGATATCGCTGGGATTCCTGGCTGTCGCGACGAGGCGATGATAGGGCTTGCTGCCAATATGCTGTGCGAGTGCTTTGCCTATATCATCTGGGCAGCCGGTAATGAACCATGTAGCACCTCCGGGAAGGTAAAAGGGCTTTGCGTTGGCTGCGAAAATTTTGTCCTTTGTTTCAATAGATGCGAGTAAGTCCAATCTATGGGGTTATGGTAGCCCTGTGTTGGCAGTAAGGTGTCTATTGCATATTTTCTGACCTACGGCTGCTTGGGTGAATGAATTACCTCATTCGGAGGGTCATCGCTGTTAATGAGGCCAGTGCGTGGTTGGTAAACCGTACAGATAGTGGTGGTAAGAAACCGCCCTCCCAACTTGCGCAAAAGAGCTGGAGGGCTGCTCAATGAAGCTGGTCGAAGCTTGTTATTGGAGTATCAAATTGTGTGTGGCCTGACAAGTAACGTTATTAGTGCTGACTCACTTCCTGTGTGGGTGCGGCACCGCGCAAATAAAGACAGATACGGGCTTGATAATACTGTGATGCACTTCTGACGTTGGATAGATCTGGCATGTTTTGATTATCCGACCTCGCAGGCACAAAACATGTGAGCTATATCGCTGCCACGCTGTTGTAGCTCCAAACAGCATGGTCGTCTATGATACGGCCGTGGAAAGTCGTTGAAGTCGTCGTAATACTGTCGTAACATCGTGTATCTTCCATCGTACAGTTGTCCTTCGTAGCTCGTTATGATTCCTGGATGTTAATGATCGTGTCTTTTGTAGTTCTCCTGCTGCTGCTTCTCGTGTCGCTCTCGACCTCAGTCAAAGTGCCCATTCTCGTCAACCCACTCTGCCTTCCCTCTCCCATGCGCGCCACCATAGCCTGGATGTGCGGATGGCTAGGTGGCGGTCTGTGTAGGCTTTTTCTTGGAACAGACTCCCTGTCTCTTATCCTCATACGCATGCCTTCTTCTGTAGACATACTCCGATTCTTCCTCGTCGCCCCAGCATACTCTGTCTCTGTTTCTTCTTCAGCTTTCGGCTTTGGGCGTAGCCATCGCCACAACTGTCGAGTCTTCGTTGCCCAGACGTGGTAGCCATATTTTGTGGACAAGAAGCCAATGACGCTAAAGAAAGGGACACAGATTGCGACAAGTGTGATGGCAAACGGCCAGTATGGTGCGGGTTCGGCGGGCATATTGGTCATGCCAAAAATGGACGTGACGAAGGTGAGAGGCTGCGGTACAGTTAGGTTCATGACTATAACGTTCCAAGAGACATTGACTTACCATGAAGAACAAGTTGACAATTGTCAGCACCTTGATGTTGTAACCTTGGTGTACCGTCACATCTGCCAACTCAACTGACTTTCTGGACTCTTGGATGCTGGTGCCAGAGAAAAGCTGCTCTTGTAAGGTCTCGATCTCGTGGCGCCTCTCATTGTTCTCGCGCTGCAGAATCCGCAGCTCTTTCATCTCGCGTTCGAATTGTAATCTTAAGATGCGAAGTCGACGCTTCCAATGATCGTTTCGTGGTGATTCCTCGTATAGCGGCCAAAGTGTTTTGCTTTCTCCGTCCCAGACGTCATCAGTGAATGTATCCTCAAATGCATCGATCATCGCTTTGATGCTGTCATTCACGTTCCCCAGCGCTTGATGCGCATAGAAGTAACGACGCGTCCATGTGAAGTGCTTATCTTCGAAAAGGCGCTTCCTACGCGCTTCCTCATCGAACAGGAAGCCAAGAGGTGGGGTAACGAGCTCCGTGATTTGTCTGTAAATTTCGTCGTAGCGCTTCCTTGCGTCTCGATACTCGGTGAGTAGGGCGTGGAGGAAGGCTTCAGGGCCATTCAGGTATCGATGGCCATTCTCGAAAGTGTATGGGTTTCCGTTGATAGGGGCTGACTTCCAGTCTGGGAAGCACTCGAGTTGGAGGACCTGATATGGTGACCACATATCAGATACAAAGCCGTAATTCGTCTTTGAGCGCCTCGCTCTGTTTCGAATTCTTCGAGGTTTCTCGTCAAACAAAGCCAATGCAACAACAGCGCCACAGCGACTCAAGGGTATGTGGCTGTCGGATGAACTGGTTACTCTATCGGCTCTCTGCCACTGCATCGGTTTACAGTCGTCTCCGATGATGGTATAGTACTCGAATGTAAAGAAGAAGGTTCGGCGGTGGCGTGGATCTTCCTGAAATGCACGGAACATATGAGCCGAAGATGCTTCTGTGCGCACGAGATGCCCAAAGAGCTCGTCCATATCAAAGGTGTTATGCAATGTCAAATGCAGTGCCCCAAACAAGATGGGTGAGGGCTCTCTTGCAACGCTACCAGACGTTAGCTGAGACGTTGTTCAAGACTATGATGCTTACGTGATACGACCTGAAGTCGGCTTTTCGCTGTTCCTCCCAATGTCCTATGATTGTGAGCCAATGTGATGTAGCCTTTAAGGCAATCCAACATACTCTGATCGAATGCCATATCTCTGTCGCCTTGGACATGGTGTTATCCGCCGAGGTGACCTCCACAAGTTCTGGAACGCCATCTGGTCCAACATTGTAGACCCTGGCAAGAAGTCAATACACGCAATCGGATGAGGCAACAGCACGTACTGGAAGTGCGAGTAATGAGAGCGATCGTCGGCAGGTCCTGGTCCAAGATGGAATAGGTGCGGCTGCTTGCTCAGTTTTGCAGGGTCGGACACTAGACTTGCTAGGATATCTCTGCCATGTTCGTCCCAATTGTGGGTCTTCAGGTGTTCGCGGAGATGTTCATGGTCGAAGAACTGGGGTGGCAGTTTAGACTGGACAAAGAACTCGTCCTCATCGTCGCTACTGTCGTCAGAGAGCGTGGATGTGTCGGCGAAGACGGCATCTCCTCGCTGAGTAGCGTTCCGACGTAGCCGTGGAACGTCCGAGGGTCCAAAGCTCCCGTTTGAAGCGGTTAAGCTTTTCAGTAGTGTATCGTGTGAGTGCTGAAGTGTCTCTAGCTGCTTGCGAAGCTCATCAAGCTCCCGTGTAGCCATATGCTATTGCGATACCCTCTTCCGTTGAGCGCGACTCGAGTTGAAAGGCTGCAACAACAGCAGAAATTGAGGTTGAACCTTTAGAATCTGACCCGACCCGCCCGCTTAGCTCCGCAGATTGCCCAGTCTCACTATGGATGGAATTCTAGCTCCCCGTCCAATACCCATTGACAGCCAAGGCTGATTGTGGGGCAATCAGTGAAGGCTGGGGGGCAGCAAGCAGCGTTCCGCGCGCCGGTGAGTGAAGCTCGTTCATCAGGCTCACCGCTATTTCCGATTGGACATGCATATGACGTGGTGTTCTAAGGCTGCGGCAGCTGGCAGTGGCTTTGATCGTCAACAAATGATCCATGGAGCTCGGAGAACCTCGAAGGAATATAATTCGTCTATGAAATGTTGTGCAAGCAATAACGTGGCTTGCAGTACAAGATGCAGGGGATATATCATGCAGACCAACCGAAGCGAGGCTGACGGCTCACGTGATACCGCTAGCGCTGGGCCACGCCTCGTGAACCATGCGGAAAGAGCACGGTGTTATCACAACATCCCAAAAGGCATGCATTCACACGATTGTTGTGCTTTGCATTTCTGGAATGCGTCGCAAAGAGATGGAGCGCCGCGGGGCGGCTCGACGATGACTGGGAAGTGTACTAGTATTCGTCGGCACCTGATTGGCTCATTGCGGGTGTGCCACTGATAGGCGATATCGAAATTCCCCGGAATTCACCACACCGACATCTCAATTGCATCTCTGTGGTGCCCGACCCATCATGCCAGCACACACAATCCTGTTTTGGGTGACATTACCCATCCTCCTGGGCGTGGTCCTTCATCAAATTGGTTTCCAGGCTTTGCTGCCAGCTTCAATACACGGATACACTGGACTCAAGGCACTCCGTAGTCTCTTCGAGGAAACGCATTGCTACGCTTCCGTCAAGACACTTGCGACTAGCTCACCCAACGCCGAATGCTTTAGCGTTTCAAACGGAAGATTTTCAAGGGTTTTCAAGGATGACCTCATCAAACAAGACTCATCCTTCGATGCTGTTAAGGAAGCACGCGCTGGACACGTCTATCCAGGCCTGTGGGATGGACACGGCCATCTGATCCAATACGGCGAACTTCTCAATTCCATCAATCTCTTCGGGTCTAGGTCCATGGCTGAAGTGCAAGATCGCCTCGTGCAGTACAAGGCGGCTCATCTGGACGAAGGCACGAGCCAGCATTGGATTAGAGGTGTTGGCTGGGATCAGGCACACTTCGATGGTGCCTGGCCAATTACGGTGAGTAACACCTAGCTCTACTTTAGTCCATATCCATCATGTTGTTGACGTCGCAAAAGTCAGATCTCGAAATCGGTGAAGCTTTCAAAGATCAGTATGTCATGCTCGACCGTGTTGATGGTACGTCATTCATAGGGATAAGCCATATGGATTGAGTTTGACAGTCTCAGTACATTGCATCTGGGTCTCGGACAAGGTCCTCGAGCTTCTACCCTCACCACTACCAGAGGTGCCAGCTGGAGGAGAAATTGTGGCGAAGGGTGTCTTCTGCGACAACGCGATGGAGATGGTCCTGGAGCACTATCCCAAACCCGGGAAGGATCGCAAATCCAAGTTCGTCAAAGATGCTATGGTGGAGCTCAACAAGCTAGGTATTGTTGGAATGCACGATGCTGGCGTTGTTCCACGTGATTTGAAGCTGTACGAGGAGCTCTCGCACGACGCAGATTGGACTGTGAGGGTCAATGCAATGATTGAATGTGATGCTCGAAACACGTTCTGTCCGAGCGATGTGAAGAAGGTCAGCACAGCGAACGGCAACTTCCACGTCCGAAGCGTCAAGCTGTTTGGTGGTAGGTACTTCTCGAGCCTCTTACTTCATGAAGAAAAGCTGACATGATCCAGATGGCGCGCTCGGTAGCTGGGGCAGTGCCATGATTGACCCTTACAGCGACAAAGAGACTTCGACGGGCTCTCTGCTGGTTAACGCAACTTTACTTTCCTCCCTGACTCAGAACTGGGCAGCTGAAGGATATCAAGTCAATATCCATGCAATCGGTGTATGTCTAGCCCCCTGCATTGATCCTGACGATCAAAACTGATGGGTCCAGGATCTTGCGAACCGACTTGCCATCGACGCGTTCGAGATCACTCTTAAGCTGCAATGCCCTGACATCACAAAGCTCAAGCAGTGTCAGCAAGAAAAGTTCCGCTTCCGCATCGAGCACGCACAGATCATTCACCCAGACGACCAGCGCCGCATGTTCGAACTCGGCATCGTTCCTTCCATCCAACCCACTCACGCCACCTCGGATATGGGATACGCGGAGTCCAGACTCGGTAAGCAACGAACGGCAGACGAAGCCTACAGGATGCGTTCGATCCTGCCTCTCGGCCCGATCCTCGGTAGCGACTTCCCAGTCGAGCCGGCAAGCATTTTCGAAGGCATATATGCAGCTACTACACGCCGTAGCCCACGAACAGGTCTCGATCCAAGCGGTGCCAAGACTGGCTGGTATCCTGAGGAGACTCTCACCGTAGAGGATGCTTTGAAAGGGTTTACGATTAACCCCGCGTTCGGTGCGTTCTTAGACGGTCAAGCGGGTGTCATACAAGAGGGTGCGTGGGCAGATTGGGTTGTACTCGATCAGCCACTAGAGGGTTTGGATCTTGACGATCTTCGTAAGGTCAATGTGCGCGAGACGTGGGTAGGCGGTAAGTTGGTCTACAGACGGCCTGATCATTGAAAACACCGACTTAACCCCTCATGCGAGGCTTTCAGAACAAGCGTAACAACGCGACGCGCTGCAGGTGCTTGTCGTAACACTGACGGCCAAGAGGAAGAGAGTTACTAGAGTCGAGGTTGGGTACACTAGGGCACACCCGGCCCCACGGGACCCTGACATTGTGTCAGACCCTTCACCCTAAGGCGTTTGAATACACTCTCACCACCTTCCTGATTGCTTGCTTTTTTCTTTAGTTCCCGCTTGTCGAAGATTTGCGTGATAGACGTGGGGGTCCATCATGGTGCTCACTGAGACTTCAACCAACCAGATTGCTTGGATTACCCTTTGTACTGCCCGTCATTGTACACTGCGCCGCAAGGGTTTACCCGCATTAGCACGCCTCACTACTCTCGTGGAGGGGTATACTCCACACCTGCGCGTGCGTATAAAATTCTTCCTGATGGTGGTGACGAGAAGGCCTCACTGTGCATATTCTCACCTTCAAATACTCAAGTTGCGCCCAGACTTTACCCACAGCTTTTAAGCATCTTCGGATACAGGACTAATGGAATGTACGATGGGCAATATTATGGGGAGTGAGAAGACGAAGTTCAACAAGCACACAAGCATAAGAGCCACGCCACCAGAGACACCACCAAGAACGCCGACCATAAATGCAACAGCAGCTCAAACGCTAGCCTCGGAGATCCGCGATATACTCCATGCCTTGTCAAAGCTTCCAGATCTTAGACCTGGAAACAAGATCAACACACTTCTGACGCGTCTCGTCAGCTTGTGCGTAATACCATACAGCACGGAGCTTGTCAACTACTTCTTTAATATAGAAGGGGTACTTACATTGTGCGAGAAGTTACGTCCGCTCTGCGCTACAGCTGAAGGGGAACTGGAACGCTTCTGGGCCTCAAAGATCGTCGATGAATCTGTAAAGTCACAAGGTACTTCTTTCGCCGCGACCCCGCTACCTACTTTCCCGAGTAGCTGTACAAGCATCTCCCTGACGCCCCACAGAAACACCCCACCAGACACGAGCCCTCCTCACCACCTTCCCGTATCATCAAAATTACATCGACCTCTCGCGCATCGAATGCGCCACCCTCTCCGCCTTTCTGCCCTCGCCAACAACACCGCCTCAGAACATCGCATTCATCGGCTCTGGACCACTGCCTCTCACTTCGCTATGCATACTCGACATCTATCCGTCTGCACACGTGCATAACATCGACCGCGACACCTCAGCACTAGCCATCAGTCGAGATCTGTGCTCGAGATTGGGATATGCGGACCGAATGAGCTTCGCTTGTACGGACGTGGGTGCCGTGGAGGGTGAGGATGAGACAAAATGGGCGACTTTCGATGTGGTGTTCTTCGCTGCGCTGGTTGGTATGGATACGCCGTCGAAGCTGGCAATTCTTGAGGACCTGGTAAGGAAGTTGAGGCCCGGTACGCTGGTGGTGGCGAGGAGTGCGAAGGGGTTGAGGGGTGTTCTGTATCCGGTGAGTCAAACTTGTGTGCTGCTTTGTAGGCGATGCTAACGTTTGGAAGATTCTTGAATTGGGTGAGGACCTGGAGAGGGTGGGTCTTGAGATGTTGGTTGAAGTGCATCCGTGGACTAAGGTAGTGAACTCGATAATCGTGTTCAGGGTCACGGAGCGTTGAGTAGGGCGTGTGGGTGGTAGAAGGAACCTTTTTGTTTCTACGAGTTGGTATCACCTTGCAGTGGGTGATGTAAAGTTCCAGACACTACGACTAAAAGTGGCTCTCAGAAGCACAGCAATTCTGCTGTAGGCCTTGTGCCCTTCTGAGTATGATGGTAGTGAGTTATTTTCTGCAGGTGTCTCGCGACCGGATTGGTCTAATAGAGACTACAAGTATGTTGCTGTTTTGGCCCCCATTTTGCTATTCGAGAGTGTGGACTTGCACTCGGACTAGCTACTCGCACTGAGGGGCATGAAGTCCAGATTCGTGGTGCTTCCCACCCTTGGACTGATGCCCGGGTGTTGACGATTGTGATATGAAGAGCCTCCTTCTACTGAGTAATGGCCGTAGCTCTGAAAATCGAGTGCTCTGTCACTCCATGCACTGTATGTGCAATTGTGAATCCGTGTACATTGTAGGATTGAATGTGCCATCGTCTGGCCGCCAGTATGGCTCTGTGCTGTTGGCCATAGACAAGTCGGATCCGGAGGTGGTAACATCGCGAACAGACTAAGGTCGCATGGCTCGTTCAGGCCTGTGACCGTATCGATAGGATTTTGCATGGTCGGTTCGAGCCCAATGTCTCCCGGCACTATGAAACTGTCATGTCTAACATGTTGATTCATCTTTTCGTTTGCAAAGTTGGTTTCGAGGTGTATTGACGATCGTTCCCTTGACGTCGTGACGAAATGCTCGTCTTTGAGCTGGCCATCGGAGCTGTAGGGCGACGATGCTGTGTGACTCTCAGAAACTGAGCTTTCCTGGGGTGTTGATGATGATAACGATGTATGGTCGAGTGACGAGGTATCTTTGCTTCGACAAGTACGGTGGCGTGTCTCTGGTGGATGGCTCGCGGGGGGCACTATTAGGCCCTGTTCTTCGAGCACGCTTTCGAGGAGAGCGATCCTCTCTACAAGTGAGTATACATACGCACGTGAGATGGGCCTGGAAGATGTCACTAGAGTTCGAATGTTATTTGATATGTTCAACGAACCTCCGTCTTTCGTCGTCATCTCTAATAACGCAAGGTGTGCCTGAGCGTTCGCATTGAATACACCTCTTCTTTCCAGAAGGTACGACGCACTAATCATGAGTCAGTCCGCGACAGTGAGCGCAATTTGAGCGGACTTACGCGAATGCGCCGGTCGCGACACGATGTGCAAGCAACCGATGCTCGGGTCTTCGGACGCCGCGTCTTCGATTGTTGTTGGATCTGCGACTCATCTGATGAAGTCTGCTCCTCTTTAATGAGCGGTGGGGACGTCATGCTGCAACTTCCGCCTGCTTGTATGCAGTTATAAACGAGGTGTCCGGTGATGGACGGTCTGTGGACCCGTCGATTGATCGAGGGTGAGCTGTGTGGTATGGTTGAAGATGTCAAGAGGTACGAGGAAGCAGAAGCCGCGGCCGCGGGTAGCAGAGAGGTGGGTTCATAACAGCCTCCGAGCTGCCTCGAAGCCAAGCTTTGATCTGGTCAGACGCTACATGTGGGCACAAGAGTGGGTAGAAATTGTGGAGGTGGGGCGCTTCTCCCCAGACTATCGACAAACTTGCAGATTCAGGGTTCGTCAACATGCTAGGTAATGGTAAAAAAAGGCGCACGGTCTCGAGGAAAGCCAACTTTGTTGACACGATGTTCCTGGTGGTTGTGAGTATGTTCAAACAAGCGAGACTTCTCAGCCTACTTTGAGTGCTCACTGAGTCCAAGTTAACACTGCGGGTTGCTCAGAAACAGATCAGCGCTTGACGTAACGAAGGATTGCAAATGTCCCGGTCAAAACCCTTGCTCACCACTTCGTCGCATCGAGGGCCAGAAGTGTCGTCGCTCGGAGCCGAGGGTCGCTTCGACTGCGATTCGGAGAGCAGTTGAGCGCCCCGAGCCCAACCAAAGAGCACAAGAACGGTATGGCGTGCATTTTCGGGGTCCTATTGGCCTGGCTAGACAGCTCTTTATTTGCCAAAAGGTCCGCACGATTCATGTCGGAAGCAATGCGGACGTTACAGGCGTCGCCCTTTCTTCAGGCGCGCTGCCAAGAACTACTACCCGACACTAGAGCGAAATTAGAAAGCCGACAGCCGAGTTTCGAAGCCGCTCGTGTGCGCCAGCCACTCGACACCGCAAACGTGCATGCAGCGATGTGACGGCATTTCGGCTACAGGGTGCGGATCGTCGGCCATATCCACATGTGGTGTATGAGATGAAGAACCGAACGCAAGCATCACATTTCGAAAAAGAAGTGTGGTAGTTAAACCTATCTGCGGGCCTTTCGCAACCTGACATAAAATCTTGACTTTTTTGCGATGCGAGAACACGATTCTGTACAGGTGAGATGGACTTGCTATTGAAAGATGAGTCACTGAATCAACAGGATCAGATGCACTATGAGCTTACATGCCCTTCTCCTCCCTCACAGCCGCGCCTGTAGCATGCGGGTCGGTCTGGTATGTCTTGAACTTCCTGGCTGGGACGCCCTTCATGCACATCTCGTCAAGGTTTCCGTATGTGCGACCAGCAGTTTTGGGCTGGTAAACTCAGACGTAGATCAAGCAGCAGAATGAGAGACCGCTAAAGATGAAGCCCAGTCAACCGCCAAGGCTCAACTGAGGTAATTCACTATGGAAGCACGAAGGACCGCATGGTTGGCAGCGTGTTCTGCAGCGTCAAAGAGATGTCAGTCGTCATGACACGAATGTGGAAGGTACCTTTCTCGCAGAGAATGGTGTAAGTGGTGTCAGTAATAGTGACGTTGTACCGCCAGCAGTAGAGAAGGATCACGGATATCGCGCCCTTGAGTGCAGGTTTGCTTCCAGCAACTGCGCAGCCAGCCATAACAAAGAGGGCAATTGTAAACACAACAAGATCCCAGAATGTACGATCACGACGGACGATGCGGTCGATGAGGTACCAGGAAATGACGTTGCTGATAAGAGAGAACCCGTTGGACAATTTGGGGCTTTCGAAGACATCTCAGTAGAGAAGCCAACAAGCCGCACGTAATACTTCGTACTTGGGGCGAAAGCGACACCAGACAGTGCTTGGGTCGACAATCGCATGTTGGAGATGATGGTTCGTCGCAGTCGATGGCAGATGATGTTGGAGAGCAATTGTGAGATGAGGTCTCGTTGGTTTGACCCAGGACCGTGGTTTCAGAACCGACCGTCGAGCTATGGGTCTGGGTTTAACGTTGTGGAGATGCCAAGATTTTCAAATCCGGAGAAGTTGATGCTATCCTCAGACAACGTTACGAGCAATCCTCTCCGCAAGCGTTGTGCGCCGTCATTACGATCTCCCGAAACAGATCGCTCCCGCGAGTGCAGGATCTTTCCCACACCTGACGCTTTGGTGTCGCCTCCTCATAACCGAACCTTCCACTTTTCGGCGCGCCTCCTGTCACCGACACGCTGCCGATCTGCTACAATACCGATCGTGAGTAAACGAAGGCGCTACTTTTGCGTCCGAGGTTCTAGGTCCTGAGACTATCCTGACAGCCACAGGACAGGGTCAGTGGCGAGCTGGCAAAACAAACTCATAACGACTACGAATCAGCTGTCTGTGAATCTAGATTGTGGTAGTAGATCTGCGACAGCCAAAGACAGGCATAGGGCTTGAGCGGTATTTTCAACAGTATACAATCACTCGCAATAGAGTCAAATTGGGCGGACTCAGGCACACAAATCCGGTGTTAGAACGAAAAATGCGTCGCAGACTAGTTGACTTACACCACGATTACAGCAGCGTGACGAAAGATAATTTTGAGACATTTTTAATCTTGGTGGTGTATGACTGTATCAGTGAACAGCACGTTGTCAACCTCGTCGATGATCTGCACTTTGATGCTTCCATTACTCAGATCGCCACATGTGTGTAGCGCGTCCAAGGCCTTCTCCAACGGGAACGTGTGGCTGACGAGTTGCTTGAGATCTAGAATGCCCCCAGCGAGACATTGTAGGCCGGCAGGCCATGTATCGCGATACCGGTTGATGAATTTGAGATCGATCTGTCAAAATATTAGTCTTGTCGCGACGTGAAGCACAACGACCTTACCTCTCCAAGCGAGAGATGCATGAAGGGCAAATTGTTCATGGTCTCCCTTCCTACCCCAATCACCATAACTGTGCCACCTCTCCTTGCGGTATATGCTGCGGTGACCACACTGCTCTCAACACCTGTGCATTCCAGCACCACCTCCGGTGCGCCGTACTCCCCGACGTGTTCGAAATTGAACAACTTCCTGATCTCTTTTGCATTCCCCTCCTCATCCAGATCCCGACTGACTTGGTACGTGAGAGCTGAAGGGACGAATGTCTTCGCAAAAGCCAGCCTCTTCGGTTCCAGGTCTGTAATGACGATCGGGTGTGCGCCGCTTGCTCGCGCAGCTGCGAGCGCAATGAGGCCAATGGGCCCAGCGCCACAGACGACAGCACCGCGACCAAGCGACAACCCTGCCGAATTGATGCCATGCATGACCACTGACAATGGCTCGAGCAATGCGCCTTCTGCATAACTGATGTTGTCTGGCAGCTTGTGACACCACCTTGCAGGATGTGTCTTGTAACGTTGGATCGTGCCATGATAAGGGTAGACGCCTGCAAATTGGACGTCTTCGCAGAGGTTATAACGGCCATCCTGGCACAGAAAACATGTCGCGCACGGGACACCAGGTTCAATGGCAACGCGATCACCTTTAAAAGCGTCAGAACCGGCTATGTCTCATTTATATGTGCATAACGTACCAGGCTTGAGGTTGTTCACGCCTTCGCCACATTGTAAGACGACACCGGCCGCCTCGTGGCCTAGAATGCAATCGCCTTCGACTACGAGTGAGCCTATCCTTCCTGTCCGCCAGAAGTGAATGTCAGACCTGTAGGTGTCAGCGGCTAGAACAACGATGGAAGGTGTAGAACACATACCCGCAAACACCTGTCGCTTTGATGTGTAAGAGAACTTCGCCATGGCATGGCGCATATACAGGTGCATCCTCCTGCTTCAAGTTGTGGTCTGCGGTGACTTGTAGTGACGGGTTCGGTAGCGGTGTTGACAATATTTTCTTTCCAGCCATTCCATTCATGGTATGTGACGTAACTTTAGCAGATCTCATGTCGCTCAAGGGAGAGTCGAGAATTACGGGCGCCATTGCGTCTACCTGACAAAGTTGTATCTACAGCGCGACATATGTGGGAAGCAAGAATCTCTACAGCGACGGAAAGGAGTAAAGACGCCATGTTGAGCGCGCAACGCGTCGAAAGGCTACCATCCGGTTGTTGTATAGCCGAATGTTTAGTGGCGGATGGGCGGGGGTCGTCGATTTGAGGGGCTGATTTCTCCCAATCGACTGGATTCCACAAGTGGTCATCCGATATGCTGTTGACCAATAGGAATCCATGGGGGTCTGTTTCTTTGAGTCCGACTGGCCCGGATTCCCCAATCGGGAAACCCGTCGCATTCGTGCCAGAGCAATCATCAGAATGGTCTTGATCTCGTCTTCAGGAGCCTTGAAAAGGTCTTGTTGTCTCTGAGCCCTTCAGACCCTTGCTCGCCAAAGAACACTTCCAATACCATGCATCTCGCACAAGATACCACACAAGTCAACGGTGCGACGAACTATGGCAAGAATGTCGTAGAAAGCCTGAAGAAAGAAGAGCAGATCGAGCAAGCGGCGGTCTGTAAGCTCACAAACGAACAAGACCATGTCTTGAAGTCATTCAGACTGTTGATTGCAGATCTGTGTCAACAGTTCAATGGCGGGCACCCAGGGTATGTCTTTCAGTATATTCACGAGGATGTGATATTGACGCACAAACAGAGGTGCGATTGGTATGGCTGCGATAGGAGTTGCGCTTTGGAAGTGTGTCATGCGCTATGCACCGCACACACCGACCTACTTCAACCGCGATCGCTTCGTTCTATCAAACGGTGAGATTCTGATCGTCACACCCCCCATGCACGAGTTTACTAATCGGAACCAGGACACACTTGTCTGTTCCAATATTCCTTCCTCCACCTCACAGGCTACAAGGCCATGACTTTGGATCAGCTGAAATCCTATCACTCTGACCGCGTCGATGCGCTCTGCCCCGGCCACCCAGAAATCGAACACGAGGGTATCGAGGTAACGACAGGGCCTCTTGGCCAAGGTGTTGCAAACGCCGTTGGTCTGGCCATGGCAACCAAAAACCTACAAGCAACGTACAACAAGCCAGGTTTCGATGTAGTGTCCAACCACACATGGTGTATGATCGGCGATGCGTGTCTGCAAGAAGGTGTGGCGCTGGAGGCGATGTCCTTCGCTGGCCACCTCAAGCTGAACAATCTAACTGTAATCTACGACAACAATCAGATTACCTGCGATGGCAGTGTCGACCTTACAAATACCGAAGACGTCAACATGAAGATGCGTGCATGTGGATGGGACGTTATAGACATCGAGGATGGCTGCTTCGACATTGAGGGCATTGTTGGCGCGCTCAACAATGCACGAGCTTCCACCGACAAGCCAACTTTCATCAACGTTCGCACAATCATTGGTCTGGGAAGTGCCGTAGCCGGTGATGCAGTTGCTCATGGAGCTGCCTTTGGTGCCGCTGATGTTTCCCACATGAAGAAGCTGTACAACTTCAACCCCGAGGAGCACTTCGTCATCAGCGAAACCGTTCGCGGGTTCTTTGCGGATCTACCGTCGAGAGGTGAGGAGCTGGTTCAATCCTGGGAGAAAACCGTGCAAGAGTACGAGGCGATGTACCCTGAGCTTGGTGCTGAATTCAGGAACCGCGTAGGGGGTCATCTTCCTGGGAACTGGAAGGATCTGATACCTACCTCATTCCCTGGACAGCCCACAGCCACAAGGAAATCATCTGGTTTGGTGTTCAACCCCATTGCACAGGAGGTCAAGAACTTCGTGGTTGGCACCGCCGATCTTTCTCCTTCGGTCAACATGATGTGGAAAGACAAGGTCGACTTCCAGCATGTCAGTCTCCACGCACCCTTAATGATCAGCATTCGCTAACAACACGCAGCCTGATCTGAAGACCACCTGCGGTATCACCGGGAATTACAACGGCAGATACATCCACTATGGTGTACGTGAACACGCCATGTGTGCTATCTCCAACGGACTGGCCGCCTTCGCTCCCAATACATTCATCCCTACAACATCTTCCTTCTTCATGTTCTACCTGTATGCAGCACCCGCTGTTCGCATGGGTGCACTGCAGCATCTTCAGGTCATTCACGCTGCCACTCACGACTCCATTGGTATGGGTGAGGATGGGCCAACTCACCAGCCTATTGAGCTGGCCAATCTTTACCGCGCGATGCCAAATTTGCTCTACATCCGTCCAGCAGATAGTGAAGAGACAGCGGGCGCCTGGATCACGGCCATTGAGGCTAAAAACACGCCGACCATCATTTCCACGTCAAGACACGCCCTGCCGCAACTGCCGCAAACCAAGCGCAACTTGGTAGCAAAAGGCGGCTATGTCATCGAAGAGGTTGAAGACGCTGACGTGACCCTGATTGGTGTTGGTGCGGAGCTGTGCCATGCCCTTGACACAGCAAAGGAGTTGAAGGCAAAGAACATCAAAGCTCGAGTTCTCAGCTTCCCCTGCCAGCGTCTCTTTGATGCCCAGCCAACCCAGTATAAGCGGGACATATTGCGGCGACACAAAGGCATTCCAGCTATCGTCATCGAACCATACGCGCCAAACGGATGGGAGCGGTACGCTGACGCGGGAGCTTGTATCAAGCGCTTCGGACATAGCCTACCGGGTAAGGCAGCGTACAAGTACTTCGGTTTCGATACTCCAGCGTTGGTCCAGAAGGTAGAAGATTACTTACAGCAGGTCCGCGATGACCCGATGCTACGCGGTGAATTTGTCGACTTGTAAGCGGACATTGATGGCGTCATTTCGGAATGGCTGGGATTTGTAGCGTGTAGTAGTCATGACATAGACCTCTGATTGTTTGTTTATGAGATTCGACGCATCAAACTGAAATGACAAAAAGACAGCAATAGTAATATCGCGCTTTCATCGGCTAATGGGTAAAATTCTCGCTCTTACTTGGGCTGAAAGTAAGGAGACCGAGAGTAAGAAGGCTAAGCCGTCATGGGAAACAGAGGTACCTTTGCTCCGTATGGAACGAAGGGCACCATGCCCATCTTCAGGGCCCACAAGACCTGATCTACAACGAAAGTTTGGGACGTCTTCGCGCCACAGATATCGCTCCCATCTTGAGAAGCCTGCCACCTGACCTTCTTCCTAAAAGCTGGAAGCTTATGTGGACAGTGGGCCATGCGGCCGGCGCGCAAATCTCCAAAAGAAGATAGCGTGCGTTGGACCAATATAGTACAACACGATCGCCCTAAGTAGTGTGGATGTGACTGTGACATATCGAGAGATCGAGACATTTTCAAGCAAGAACTGATTTCCATCTGACGTCAAACAACGACAATAAATATAACGAAGAAGTGTGGGTCCTAGCAGAAACTCAACCCAGTATCTAGCAAATATTCCTCGCACCGCTGCCCGTCAGAGTCCAGTTGCTGTTGTCAGCACAGGGAGACTCGCGAACAGTCGTGCCATCAACCTTGAGCGTGATCCAGAGATCACGGGTATTAGCGAACTCAGTGCGAGCAGAGACGCGAACCTCACCACCACCGTTGACAGTTCCGCCACGGATAGAAACATTGTAGCAGTTCTCGATCAGGACAGCGTTATTGCCATTGTTGGCGAGATCAACCGTGGTGATGACCGCAGCACCGGACTCGGAGACACAGAAGACGCCACGGCCACCACCACGCGACTTGACCTTGTCAATGTAGACGTTAGTGTTGTAGTTGCCGTTCGCGTTACGGCCGTTACGGTTGGCGAAGCGGAGCGTACCATATCCGGTACCTGCACCGACATTGTCACCATCGACGAGACCAACCTTGACATTGATCGAGTTCTGGATCAGCAATCCCGATTCGCCGATATTTCGGGCGATGACCTGGTTGATGGTCAGGCCGTCGATATTCCATGTCTCGACTGCGTGCGAGCTGGCGCCAGTGACACGGATGTCGTCCATTTGGACGTTGGACTGCGCGGCGCGATCGCGATCGAAGCGGATCCCGAGACCGCCGCTGAGGTTCATGGTGATCTTGCCGAGGATGAGACCGTTGGCACCGGAGAAGCGAAGACCGAAGTAGGGCGCACCAGTCATGGTGAGGTAAGGAATTTGAACATTGTTTGCGTCGGTGACCTCGATGGCACCGCGGCCGGAGCGATTGGCGGTGTTGATGGTGCCGCAGCCTTCAAAGATTTTACCAGCCTGGATGGTGATGGTGTTTGCGCCGATGGAACCGGAGGCAATGACCGAGACTCGCTGACCGGCACTGATGGAGTCAACAGCGGCCTGGATGGCGGCGCGGTAGTCTGAGCCAGTGTAGACGTTGGTGGAGCCTCGGGTTGCGGTGAAAGAGCTGCCAGAGCCAGTGACTCTGGCTGCGGGCGTGCCTGAACCGCACTGGGCGGAAACAGCAGAAACAAGCGCCAGCGCAGATGCGAGAAGGGAGAAGTGAAGCATTGTTCCCAAGTTGCGATCGATGTTGATAATCGTTCAGTACATCGGAGTGCTGCTGCTTATATACTGTGAAGAAAGGAGCTCCCCTTCCGATCGTAGAAACAGTGCACCACCTCTCGTTCTAATGATCTAATTCTCCGGTTGGAGGACCATGTTTTTTTAGATCTATTGGGGATGTTTCCGTAGTAGGCTAAGCACGGAAAGCCTTCGTGTGACCACTTCCCTTAGCAGTCTTGGTTTCATATGGAAGCTGGCGTGCACTGGTCCTTCCAAGAGTCTGATGTTTCTCAGGCGACATGGACCAAGATAGAGTCAGTGCTGGTGTGAAACAACGGATGACCCTTAATACCGAACCCCAGCCAACATGTTCGGCAAGCAGACGTCTGCTGGTTTCATTGGTGCGGTGCCGCAATGCTGGCTTCCGCTGCCAAGTCTTCCAAGACTCCTTTAGATTAGTATCGTATAATTCCGCCTTGCCTGTGTTTGGTGTCTGGCGACTTCTATGAGGAGCTCGGGATTCCGGAGGCATGTGAGGTCGATCACCCCGCGAAACGCTAAGTGTGCTTGCATGTTCGGTCGCAAATACCCCGGTGTCCCCGCAAACTATTGCACGGCTGGGCGAATTGCTCTTTGTCGAGACATACCCTACACTGAGACTTCGAAGTAACACTGATGATGAAAACATGGCCAATACAGCTGCGGGACGAACCGTTATTTACGGAGACGATGAAATTGGCTGAAGTCAAGGCGATACGAACCGCCGAAGCAGTTACATCTCATGACATCTACTTGATGGATTGGCCTGTGAGCAGCCGCAACCGTTGCAAAGATTGAAGCGGATCCGGTCTCGCTTGGAGAGTCTCCACCAAGTGTATGACCTCGGGGATCTTGGGCAGCGGCTCATTCGTCCAAGTGCCCTGGAATCAGGATCCTGGTTTTCCTCTCGTCATCTGCGTCGTTCACAGCAAGAAGCCCTTCTTGATCTTCGCCCGACCCGGTATCATCTTCGGCTTGCTGCTCTTGACGAATTTCACCGAGAACGCGGAGGCAGTCCTCCGTAATCAGATCAACAGCTTCAACAGCAGCCTGAAAAGCTTCCTCTGCGACCTTCGATGTACTGGCACCAATATTTAAATCATCACAGATCGTTAAGTGTGCACTGACAAACTTACTAGCGCTACTGCACTTGCACATATACTTTATAAGGTAAGAGTAGCCTCTAAAAACGTTCCCTTTAGTGCCAGGAAGATGGTTATCAAGAAATTGTTTGACTACGTTAGTGTAGCGCTTGAGGTCCAGAGAGAGCTGTCTAAATTTTGAAGCCTAACGAATCCTTTCTTCGACGCGCGACTTGAGCCCCTGGCGGAGGGTTTCATTGAAGCTATTATCGTACATGACGCGTTCTGCCTGAAGCGTTTGCCTGACCATCGCCCAAGTCCACGATTGTCGATTGGACGGTAATGTCGGGAACTCAACTGGAGCAGAGCAGCCTCCTAAGATAATAGCACCGTGTAAGCGTAGATTAGATGGGTCTGTGATGGATCTAAGCCGTGGAGCTGGATCAGATCAAAGCCGAAGTGTCGCTGGAAGGTCTGCGGTGTGGTGGTCTCGCCATAACATCCAGTCACTTGCAACCAACGCATTCGGCCGCGCGACGGAAACCGATAAAGAAAGCAGCCTCAGGGTGGCAAGAAGAGCCCGTTCAACATTCCTGTTGGTTAGTCGTTCATTCCATTGATTTGACTTAGTCAAAAACTGACCTTCACCGACCTTCACCCAGGACGGCATTTTTACCGACCCACACCTCCTGGAAGCGTCTCGACGGCAAAAAGTTGGACTTGCTGGGAATCGAACCCAGGACCTTTCCCATTTTCTCAAGTGGTTCAATCGACAAGATTGCAATCGACATGCTAAGGGAAAATTATACCACTAAACCACAAGCCCAAGGACTTTTTCATGGAGTTATAGCACAAAAAGGGATTTATATACACGGTACAAAAGCAGTCGCAGCGTAAGATGATGAGGTAGCGCGTGTAGTGAGTCATTGTCAAAGTTGGCTGATGTCCTAGAACACGCTAAGATCACACGAAGGAATCTCCACGCGCAGCTTGTGGTCAAAGTCCTAGGCCAAACGGTTCAGTCTCGGTCGATGCAGGCTCGAAAGGAACGGTCAGGGGCTCGTCAAAAGATTCGAAGCACTAGGTGCTTACGAGATGCTAAGGGAGTATTGTACCTCTAGACTCTTGATTTTTAGTGATAATTCAGAACTGTGGTAAAAAGCAAACTTGCCCACGAGCCCAGACTGTTTAATCCCTCAGTGGGATTTTGGTATCGTCAAATAACCATATTACTGTGAAAATACTTCTACTCGTTTGGGCAGAGGGGAAGCGACGGCAAGGCCCATAAGGTGACCCGTGGTCCGATCGGCACCAAATCCTCGTCAAAGCAAGCTGTCAAGGGGTTGAAAATCTCTCCAAGTTGTGCACTGGCTCTGAGACGCGCCATCGAATTCTGTACATGTAGTGTGGGGTGTGTGGGGCTGGACCGAGGTTTGACGGGAGCCGAACGATGGACCGAACGCGATGAACAAAGATCGGGAGCATCGAGACAACATCTCAAATGGTATGCAGAGGTCTTTGATCAGTTTCGTTGGTCTTTTGCGTCTTCTCCAATGCTTTCATTGGCTGCTCCTTGGGGCATTCGTCCTTTGGCGTCAAGTAAACAGCTATTGTAGGCAAGGCAACGCCCAATGCAAGTCGTCCGTAGCACAGGCAATGCATGCTTCCGACGTGAAAGCAGAAGTGTAGTAGCCTGATGGTCGTGGATTTCGTTGATGGTAAGATATAGGTCGGGTTTGATTTTGTGTTTGACGCTTGTGACAGCCGGCGCAGCAAGTCTTGTTTGAAACAGCTGGTATGCAAACTTATCTGCAATAACAGTTTGTCGACAGCGGGCGTCGGTATGTTGATGCTGATGTCGTGCTGTCGTGGTTATGATTGCTACCGTCATCGAACGCAGCTGTCCTCCATTGCGCTACGTTACGTCATCATCAGCCGTTCAACTGTAACTCCACTCTCCGCATCATACTAAGATATCAACAACATCCGACTGCATCTGAAATCCAAGATACGAGTCAATCAAGCACAAAAATCGCCAACATGACCTCCCAAGGCCCACCACCAATTCGCTACTACGACGTCCCCAATTTCACCTTCCACAATGGCGACACATTGCCCAATGTCCGCCTTGCCTACCAAATCTTCAACCCACGACAAGAAAAGATAGCTGTAGTGCACACGTGTTTCCGAGGCCGTCTGTCCACAACACTGACATACGCCGACTACGCGCTGCGCGACTACAAAGTAATCGTGATCGCTTTACTCGGCAACGGGGAGTCGTCCTCGCCCTCAAACACCCCCAGCTTCCCTGCTAATCTCGAGTACATGGACTGCATCAAAGCGCAGCACAAGCTGCTCGCCGAGGAGCTGAAAATCGAGCAAGTGGATGTCATGCTCGGCTTCAGCATGGGCGGACAGATTACGTACCACTGGATCACGACGCACCGGTCGTTTGTGAAGAATGCGGTGATCGTGTGTTCATCTGCCAAGACGTCGAGACATAACTTCCAGTTCTTGGAGGGTCCGAAGACAGCGCTGGTGAATTCGAAGAATGCTGAGTCGGGGATTAGGGCATTTGGGAAGGGGTATTCGGCATGGCTGACCAGTGCGGAGTGGTTCGATCAGGAGCTGTATAAGGAAATGGGATTTGAGAGTTTGGAGGCGTGGGACGAGAATGCGACATACAAGGGGTATGAGGGTTGGACGGGAGAGGATTTGTTGGCGATGTTGGGCATGTGGCAGCGAGGTGATATTACCAGGTGCTGGCAGAGTTCAGAGGGTGATCTGATCAAGGCGTTGAAGCACATCGATGCGAGAGTGCTGCTCATGCCGTGCGAGACGGATCAATACTTCCGTCCAAGGGCCAACGAAGCGGAAGTGCAGCACCTGAAAGGCGGTCGTGTCGCGGTTGTGCCCAGTATCTGGGGTCATATCGCGGGTGGTGGTGCTAACGAGAAGGATGTCAGATGGATGGAAGGAAAGATTGCAGGTTTTCTGAACGATGGTCCTGCCTCATGAAGATGGCGATACATGATCACTAGTCTACAGTGTATGTGTCAGGGCGAAAATGCAACAGCAAGTGTACATACGATTTATTTCATGCGATACTTGCACCCGGAAATATGCTTAGTCGACCCCCGGTGCCCGTACCGTGAGACCTCGAACGCGTCCGCTTGATTCACTGTTCAATATTCATCCGTCATTGACGCTCATGTTACGAGTTATGTTTGGCAAGATCCAAAATCTCATCACCACGGCCATTCCTGCGTACACACTCCTCCCGCTACAAAGTACATAGCGTTCGGCGATCCTCGGCAAGGCTAACACAACTTAGACCATGCGAGTCGACAACTCACAATAATTGCCATCGGCAGTACACAAGCGTATCTACCCCACATTCGTCATTACCAAGCAACACATTGCGTGACGTCTCATGTGCAATTCCACTGCAACGGAGATATAACGAGAAAATGCCGCTCTTCCACCTGAACCCACACTGGAAACGTTCCTGACAGAGAGTGCCAGGACGATCAATACACACAAACCAAAATGCCGACTATGAAGGAAGTAACTGTCGCAAAGGGTCTCAAGACCGCGATCCAGGACGTCGCGATCCCAGAGCCGCAGCCCGACCAGGTGATCATCCAGGTCGTAGTTTCTGGCAGCAACCCCAAGGACTGGAAGATCCCCGAGCTCGTCCCAGGCTACAACGCCAACAGCGGCGACGACATCGCCGGCATCGTCCACAGCGTCGGCTCGAATGTCTGGGAATTCAAAAAGGGCGACCGCGTCGCCAGTTTCCACGAGATGATGACCCCTGGAGGAAGCTTCGCCGAGTATGCTGTTGGCTGGCAACACACGACTTTCCACCTGCCCAAGCATCTGAGCTTTGAGGGTATGTCGGTTCTATCTGATTTCTTACCAGTTTGAAGAGTCGATGCTGATTTGCTTCCGACAGAGGCGGCGACTATCCCCCTCGCTGCCATGACGGCAGCGCTCGGTATGCACCAGCGCCTCGGCCTCCCCGATCCCTGGACACCTGCGACAGAACCCACACCGCTGGTCGTATACGGCGGCGCGGCTGCAGTCGGCGCGTACGCAATCAAGTTCGCCAACCTCGCCAACATCCACCCGATCATCGCCGTCGCCGGGCGGGGCGAGAAGTTCGTCGAAGGCCTGATCGACCGAAGCAAAGGCGACACCATCGTTGACTACCGCAAGGGCAACGAGGCGGTCGTGCAAGGCATCAAGGACGCGCTGAAGGGCCAGAAGCTCTGGCATGCATTCGACGCTACCTCCGAGCACGGGTCATACACCAACATCACCCAGGTGCTGGAGCCCACGGGTCATCTGACGGTGGTGCTGCCGACCAAGACGTACGAGGGTGTCCCTGAGTCCGTCAAGCTTACGAGGACACAAGTTGGTGAGAGTCACAGGAGCGACAAGGACTACGCATATCTCATGTTCCGATACATGGCGCGCGGGCTCGCCGAGGGCTTCTTCACGCCGCACCCGTACGAGGTCATTCCTGGCGGACTTGAGGGCGTACAGAAGGGGCTTGAGAATCTGCGAGACGGGAAGGCGAGCGGTGTGAAGTACGTGTTCAGGATCGGAGAGACAAAGGGCATCAAGAGCGCCCTGTAGGTGGAGAGATGGAGGACCGCGTCGAGTCACAGACTTCTTGGTGTCATCCCCGGATTCCAACGCAACATGGAAGGGTCGGGTCGCTGTGCACTAGCTAACAAAGAGCGTCTTCAGAATCACCTCATGTAGTGCACATCTGTCCGACAAGATCACATCCACTTAGTCACAAACCAAACCCGCAATCACCCAACCACAAACCCATAGTTCCACAGCATCAGGCCCATGTCATCCGCAGAGTCTCAAGCCAACGCAGGATGCGCCGCATCCCAAACAGGAAACCCGCTCCGACTCCGCTCCTTATCGCGGCGCCTCACCCGTACGTTCCGCCTCCACCCACCCAGTCGCTCGCGTCCCGACGGTATGAACTACAAAACCCACACCGCAGCCGTCATTATTTATCGCAAGACTCGCTCGCTTTCATCCTCTTTTTCATTTGAAAGGCCAGCTGCGAGACGAGCGCAAAACGGCCCGGCTTCGTCCAGGAAGCTGCGGCTGTTGGAGGACTGGGGTGTGGGATGCGTGCGTACTTTGTAGATGAGAAGCCTAGGATATCCGGGGGCATTGCGATGTTGTCGTGCGTCGTGCGATTTACTTTGTCCTGCGTTGTGTTCCATTCTTGTTCATTTGAATCTCCATCTTTATCTCCATCTCCATCTCCGTCTTCATCTTCTCCGCAGTCTGCATATCATTGTCTACTCGTTTCTCTGCACTAGAACCATCTCCTCCACCTTCCGCCAACTCGTCGCACCCCAGCCCGATCTCACGTCACGTACCTTGCGGCTACAGTAGGACACGAGACTGAGAAGCACGACTAGATTTCCCTCGGCTCTGCGGGCCGGGGACGCAGTCTGTACGTGGCGTATGAGCTCCTGAACTACGGCATCTCTGCTTCACATCTAGAATCACGGGATTCGGGGGTTGCCCAGTGGACTTGTGGGAAAGGATTTATTTATATTCATTTCGGATTCGAGCCACGCACACGCCACGCTAAAAAACCAGGACCGAATAGACACCAAGCCGCCGCGACTTCGCCGTCCACCAGCTAGTGACCCCCGGCGGAATTCGAGTTATCAGCACACGTCCACGCCTTAGTCCCGCCGTCCTTGTTGTACGAATCGATAATTCCAACAATCGACCCGTACGTGCCGCCGATGAGCAGGAACGTACCGGACACGATGACAAACACGCTCCACGCAACCATGGCCTTCCAGCGCCAGTCGCGGTTCGACCGGTTCCAGTTGTCGTACAGCCACATGCAGCCCATGGGCTGGAAGCACATGAGAGTCCCCAGCAGGGCGCCGATGAGCGAGACGAGGCCGCCGAACACCGGGATGGCCGAGGCGATGATGTACGCTGTTAGTGAGACGGCGGCGGTTAGGCTGAACCAGACGATCCAGTGCTTAGGCGTGTTGTGATTGAGGTGTTTTGTGCCGCGCAGGAAGCGGATGAAGAAGTACTTTGCCGTGATCTACGGTTGTGAGCGGATGCTCTGCGGAACTTCGCAGGGGGAGAGGGGGACTTACGTGAGTGACTAGGATGACGGAGGCGAGGAGACCAGGCAGCGCGAGGCCGTAGCAGATCTTCTTCATCAGAGTACCCGCAGAACCCAGCGCGGGCGACGCCACGTAGGATCCGCAGTAGAAGTACACGACGACGCCGATGGCGACGTACAGCGCGGTCATGACGAACTGGCACAGCGACAGCGCCTTGAAGTACTCCCTGTGGTCGCGCATCTCGGAGACGATGTTGAAGTAGGCGGGCGTGCCGGCATACGCGAAGACCAGACTGGACAGCGCCGCCGCCGCCTCAGCAAAGGTAGGCGACTTGAAGAGCTCGAAGTTGGACTCCCAGGGGCCGAACTGCGGCGCCGCCGAGGGGCGGTCCTGCAGACTGACCGACACGGTGAGGGTGATGACTACAGTCGTCAGTACGCATGTTCTTCGGGGTCAGCGGTGCGTGGATACTCACTAGCTGACAGGATACCAGCAAGACCGACCCAGGCAATCCAGGAGATCTTGCCCAGAGTCTGAATTGACGCCAGCGAGAAGCCCACGACGCAGGCCACAGCCACGAAGATGGCGGTGCACGCGCCGTGCTCCGACAGCGAGTTCAAGCCAATGGAAATCCCCAGCATGCCAGAGCCGGCAACACACGTCCAAACTATTCTCGTCAGCCACTGCTTTTCTGGAGGACCATGTTTCCATAAGGTAATGACCCACATAACGCGAACCCCAGACCGAGGACCTCGCGACCAGCGCGGCCAAAGATCTTCTGCCCCACATCCTCGATGCCGTACGTCTCAGGATGGCGGACCTTGAACACGCCGACCATGTAGCCCGACCACAGCGTGATGAGGCCGATAGCCAGCAGCGAGATGACACCCGGGATGAGGCCCAGGGTGTCGAACGCAGCGGGAATAGACAGCACACCGAGACCGATCTGCGTCTTCATCATCAGGATCGAAGACCCGAGCCAGCTGACCTACCAGGCCGTTAGTAATCGTTAGGTAACAAGAGGATGCGGTATGGAGACGTACGTTGCGGTAGTTGGGCCCGCCCTCGACGACCTCACCAAAGACAGCATCCGTCTGGCCCTGCGCGTTGGTCTCCTCGGCCTTGAGCTGGCTGCCGTCCTCGACATCCTGGCCCGTCTTTTCGTTGAAGAAACCCATCCTGTCTGCTCCGGGGTAAGAAAAACCAGCGTACGGTACGAGAATGGGAATTCCAGCAACAACAACGACCAAGTACGACTTTAAGCAGAATTCGTTCGGCCCGACCGACACCGGGCTGGCACAGACCCAAGGTCCATGTGGAGGTCATCGAAGGCGCGCCTGTGGTTTTACCCCAGGTACGTGGGTCCCTATTGCGGCGGTTGGCATTTGATAATTGGCGATGCACTTTGCCAGCAGCCGCAAAAGGCCGAGAAGCGTTGGTGTGGAGCCGCCTTGAGCTGCCAAGAAAATTAGTGCAGGTACCGCAGAGCGAGGTTTCGCCGGACTAGGCCGCATGCGGCAAATCAACTTCATTCTGCACATCGCCAGACGCTGCGTGCCTCGAGGGCGCGCGGACGGGGCGTTGGGAAGGTCGAGAGCAATCTGGGGTGCTGAGGCAAGGCGCGTGGCGTCTGCAAGCTTCGCGCTCCAAGGCCGCGCGCGATGCTTGCGCGCAGGGAAAAGAACAGATCGGAACAGGGACCAAGCCATGACCAAGCCATCCGTACCAAGTGAAATAGACGCTTATCTTTTGTGGATTTTGCATGTTGCATTGTGGGACGAGGGTCCATCCAAGTCCGTTCACCAGCGCCTTTGAGATAGCGAAATAACGAAAATATGTCATTCCTCGGGTGCTGCGTAAATACTTTTGTAAAGATTAGGTGACGGTTGCGGATAATAGAGATAGCCAGAAAAATAGTGCAGACATATACAGTCCGTCTTGGATCCTGCAAAGACGCCACGTTCACTGCCCAGTCGTTCTTTGCGACAATGGTGGAATCTAAGTAGATATTGTTGCTGAGCCGCAGATATCGCAATGTACAAATACGCTCGCAACAAAGCCAAGTAGGTGCAGATGGGCAAGGTGCGGATATTACTGCACGTGATGCGACGTGTCGTCGCTACATGGTGGTATCAAACAGGGGTCGTGAAAAGCTCAAGAGTGCTACCAGGAACACAGGGAATGTTCAAAAGCTCGAAATCGTCATGGGCTAATGCAGCCGTTTGCGATGCCGCAAGTCGTTACATGGTGGTATAAATCTACCGCTGAAGCGCGGAGTAAATGGCGAAACATGGAGAAGGCGTCCGAGCGCAGTGCTCGACACGAGGGTATCGGAGGAAGGAGGAATCGGGAGGATAGAAGCAGGTGTGCTCCAGGTGAAGCGTAGTAGCCAGGGAAAGAGGTCAGGTGAGCACGGCTTCTGGAAGCATAGCTGAGGCGTGGGCTGACCCAGTTGTGCGGTCGGGACCTGGGGTGTTATGTAAAGACGCCGGGGCAAGAGTTGTCCTTAGGTAAGAAGTCGAGTAGCGCATCAAACATGGCCGTAGCGTGCGCGTCAGCCTCAGTGGGGCCCCATGGCACCACCTCCGCCAACATCATTCGGCTCGATGTAATACCTGCTCCCGATACTCTTGCGGATCTTGTCTCTCCGCTTCTCCGCCGTGCGCTCCTTCAATCGGTCTTTGATCCCGCTGACCCCGATGTATTGCACTTGGTAGCCCTTCAACCCCGGAATCGCCCTGCCCTTGCGCCAAGACTGGCGCCGATTCGCGCCGGGATGCTCAAAGGAAGCTGAGGAGCGGAGACTAGGCTGTGATCCGCGCTTGCGAATTCCGCTGCTTGAGGATCGGGGGGACCGAGAAGATTCCATGAGGATGCGGGGCGAGGATGCGTGCCGGCTTGTTGTCGGTAGTGTGACGTGATGGCGGCGGCGGTTGGTGCCGTGTCTTTCGACGCCGAGTGAGTTGCCGATTAGGAAGCCGCCGGAGCCTTGGATGCCGTTTGTGAGTCGCTTGCGCAGGGTGTTGCGGCGCCGTGGGTACGGCTCCGGACCAGGGTCTTCAATGTCGCTTGTGTCGCCGCCGGTTGGGAGGACGTTGTCTTCGTCGTCAGAGTCGCTGTCTTCGAAGCCGTCCCAGAAGCCGCGCGGTCGCCAGAAGGGATGGAGGGTTCCGTCCTCGTCGTTGACAGTAGGAACCTCGGGGTTGCGATGGGAGGACTGAGAGCGTGCGTGTGATTCGCTGTAGTGGCGGCCGCGGTTGCTTGATGCTCGAGTCAAGAACGGCGAGATGAAGTTGTCTGAGTAGCGACGCGCACGCTGGACTAGCGAGAGGCGACGTTGTGGGTGCGAGTCAGAACGCTTCGGCGGACCTGGCGGGCCAACTTCGAGCGTGCGCTCGAGCTCTTCAGCCGGAGTCGGTGGTATGAACATGATCTTAGGGGGCTCCGGCGCAGAACGAGGGTTCTGCAGTGGAGAGTCCACACCATCAGGTTGGGGTAGGTCAATCTGCATTGGCGGAGTCGACGGCTCGAACGTGAGGGTCGGTTGCTGAGGTGTGTGGAACACTTGCGGTGATTCTTGAGCACCCTCCATGGCATCGACGAATGGTGGTGTGGGCGTCCGGATGACTTCTTGACGGAATTGCACACCGTCCTGCGAATCAAAGTAGGCCTCGTCCGTCGACTGCTTGTGCTCAGGCACCATCGAATTGACACGCGAAGGCTGTTGCACCACGACGAGAGAGTTGTTATTGTGAGGGAAGATGCTGACGGCGGTGGCCTCGCTGACCTCGGCAGGTGTGTCGGAGAATTGTGAAAAGGGAGTCGATTGCGAATAGAGATGTCGGGCGTTGGCGTGCTCCTCTGTCCGCCCTGTGGACCTGTCGAAGCTGATGCGGCGATGCTCGTCGGGCGTTCTCCTTTGCCAATCGTAGCTCCGGCGGGAAAAGTCTTCAGGGGTGCCTCGATCGTAGCTGTGTCGAAGCTGTGGATCCTGGAGCGGCGATGTACGATCCTGGCTGAGGGAGCTTCGGCGACGCTCCTCGGATCTCGCTCTCGACGACCGCGACCCTCTACGTACTGGAGGTGACAACTGGCTGGGTGACAGCTGGCTGGGTGACGACATGGACTGCTGACGCCCAGGTGAGGCTGGCGTCTGATCAACTGTCGGCGTAGGCACAACCTCGTCTTGAGCCTCACGCTCGGCGACGAGCAGACGTACACGGTCGAGGAGGGCCAGCGGCGGCGCCTCATCTTTGGGGTTCTCATCATACACGCTGAGTCTCTGGTGAGCGGACTCGAGAACATGTTCCATCGGGTTCCGAGGTAGGGGCTTGTCAAGGTCACCAGGGCGACTGGAGTCTGAGACTACTCGCCGACGGCTGACGCCAGCCGACACAGGAGACGAGTACGGCAGCTGTGGCGGCATGACGGGTGAGCGAGTGGGCATGACGGGTGAGCGAGTGGGCATGACGGGTGAGCGAGTGGACATGACGGGTGAGCGAGTGGGCATGACGGGTGAGCGGGTGGGCATGACGGGTGAGCGGGTGGGCATGACGGGTGAGCGGGTGGACATGACGGGTGAGCGGGTGGGCAGAGCGGTGGCGCGCTGTGGACTTTGGGGAGGCGACAATTCGACAATGTGTCTGGTCCTAGCAGGGCCGGCGGCTGTTCTCGCAGACTCGGGCGCCGAGGATGTGCGCATACGCGGGCTCCTGTCAGGCTGCCTCTGGGAGTTTGATCTGCTGAGTATATCAGCTGCGGGCTGCAGGATCCTACGCACAGACTCCTGATGGGCGAGCGTGTATGCCGAGCTGTCAATGGTGCGACTGCTGCGCACAGAGAAGGGAGAGGCGTTGCGAGGTGCCGTGCCCACAGAGCTCAATGCACCGAGAGTCTCCGAGTCTGTGCTGAAGCGCTTGCTCCTGTCGGCAAGAGTGACCTTCTTGTGCACCAGCCTGTGCAATGGCACGTCCTCTGATGCCATGGAATCGCGGTCCGGACGAGTAGCTGACACACGGCTGAGGGGAGACGCCGACTCTCTCCGCAGAGCCATGTTCTTGGCGGAATGGCGGAGCTTGCGTTGCCGCTGTGGAGGTGTGGCGATGACGACCGCAGCAACAATGGTCGAGGCTACGGACGCCGTCGACATGCGCTTGCTCTTGCTGTCGTGGAGGGGCTCTTCAAGCGGGGGGTGGACTTGGGCGGGCCAGCCAATGGACTGTGCAAAGATCTCGATGGATGCTGCCGTGTCGACAGGCGCGGGCGGGCTGGCGTGGGACGAGAGCGAGTCCTGGTTGCGTCTCCGTCGGACTGTCACGTTCCTCATCAGGTCCGTGTTCCACTCGCGCTCTGGCAGTCGGACCACGACAGGAAAGTACTGGTCTTCTTCGGCGCCAGCGACGGTATCCGCATCGTCGTGCCTGGAGTCATCGTCGTCGTGCCTGGAGTCATCGTCGTCGTGCCTGGAGTCATCGTCGTCGTGTCTGGAGTCATCGTCGTCGTGCCTGGAGTCATCGTCGTCAGGCCTGGGATCATCGTCGTGCCGGGGGTCATGGTCAGGCGCGGGACCCTCCATCTTCGGGCTCGGGTAGAACAGCCGCGGCTTCTCCGTGGGCGTGGCATCGCTGTCGTCCTTCTCAAAGGCCAGGCCCAGGCCGCGGTCCTCCTCGACGGTGCGCAGGCGGTCGATGACGGGCGTGGCAGAGCGACTGTTGCTGGGGTCCGACGACAGGTCTTCTCTCGCTGTGGTGAAGGACTCGGCCCTCGACGACGGGTAGGCCAAGAGCGGCGGGCGGTCGACGGAGAGGGTGTGCGAGGCGGCGGGGCGTGGGGGGCTCGGATCGGGCGTGGGCGGGCTGCGCGCGTTGACGGGGGTGCTGAGGGCACCGGGGGCGCCGGGGGCGCCGGGGGCGCCGAGGGCAGACTGGTGCGAGGCGATGGAGCCGGTCAGGCTGTTGCGGGTGGGCGGCAGCTCGCGCGACATGGCCGAGGGGCCGTCGCGCGAGATGCTCGGCGGCGTGGGCGGCAGGCCGTGGCTGTCTGCGCCGTGGACGATAACCGGCGATGCCAGCGGGGTGCTCTGCTGGCTGCTCTGCCGGCTGCTCTGCTGGCTACTGGCGGGCGAGCCCGTGTCATCCTCCGACTGCGAGCCGTCGTGCTGCAGCTGGAGCGGGACGGCGGCCGGAAGGTACTGGCGATAGCTGTCGCTGCGGCGCGACTCGTGCGGGCGGGCGGGACGCTTCGGCGGGCGGGCGAGGGCCTCTTCGAGCAGCGCGTATGCGTCGGGCTGCAGCGCCGACATGGCGCGGGCGGCTGTCGAGCTCGAGCGATGCACAGCGGCTCCGTGGTCGACGGGGAGGCAGACAAGACGGTGTCGCGTCCAGCGCTACGAAGACGACATGCCGCGACTCGGTGCAGGCAAGACGGTCGTCGTGGGCGATGCGACGCCGCCGCTCACTGCAATCGCAGCGGGCTCGTGGACTCGACGTCCGACGTCGCACAGGCGGGCAGCAGCAGCTGGGGACGCAGTCCTCGGTTGGCAGCAGCGCCAAGGCAGACGACGGACAGCGGTCGCACGGCGCAAAGGCAGAGCGCGGGCAGAGGGTTTCGTCGGTGTCGTCGGTGTCGTCGGTGTCGTCGGTGTCGTCGGTGTCGTCGGTGTCGTCAATGTCGTCAATGTCGTCAATGTCGTCAATATCGTCAGTATCGCCAATGTCGTCAGTATCGCCAATGTCGTCAGTATCGCCAATGTCGACCGTGGCGCCCGTGTCGCCCAAGTCTCTGCTGCGCTGCGCCGGTGGAGAGGCTGCGCAGAGGGAGGCTGGGAAGCGCACGTCGCCTGCCTGGTTTTGCGCAGTGTCGCTGCACCTCTCTCTAGGCGCATTGGCTTCGGCCCAGAGTTGGTGGCGCCGCCGCCTGTCCAGAGCACTGCACGCATCATCTCAGCTGCAGCTCGCAGGCACCAGACGACTGCCGCTGCAATTGCGACGCTGCACCCGACGCAATACCATTGAAGACCATGGCATGCTGCTGAAGCGGCGCCCCAACCCGCGCCCCAACCCGCTGGAGCATGCTTGTTCGCCGTGACAGAGCGAGTGGGCCCTGGACTCGTCCCGCAGCACGAGCGCCTAAGCTCCTTCCATCTGCACTCCGTGCAGCATACCCCGCTCCACCACCGCAGCCCCTCCAGACGCATGCACTGCTCACAAGTCTACTGTGTGATGAGCACGCATCGACTGGCAATCATGTGTCTGCCTGCCATGTACCACTCAGACATGAGTGCACCAGCACAGCCGCTACTTGAGCACCGCTCCTGTTCAGTCCATGGTCTGACGGCCTTTGCAAAATAGTCCCTCTCGTGCATCGCAATCCCATCGTGTCGCGAAACACCTGCCCGCCCATCTCCTCGGTGCGAGGCTCGGTGCGAGGCGTGGTGCGAGGGACCAACGTGACACGTGCACTCTCGACAACCGCAACGGCCAGGCACCACGCACAAACAGCTCCTGAACGCGCCGTGCTCGATGCTCGTCTTTGCGCTCAACGTGCGGCCTGCACGCCAGCCTTGATGTGGCTAGGGGCACGCCGGCGTGTGGGGCGAACCCGTGTGGAGTGATGAGGCGGGCTGTTTTGGGACGGTGAGCTGATGTCGTTGGGTTTGCACGGGCTGCGAGGTAATTATAACCATCTGGTAGGGCTTCAATCATGGCTCGTGGACAGACGCCGTCTTGGCGCTTGCAATAAGCACACAGGAAGTCGCTCCGGGAGCGGCGCTAGCAAGATGGAGCAGAGGGGAGCTACTCCACAGGACCCTTGAATAAGGCCCGAGTAGTAATAGTCGCAGACCATCTCAGGACTCTCAGCGGGTTTCAACCGTTGCAGATCCGTCCAAGAGGCTCGCACGCTCAGTGCGCAGGGCGCAGGGCAGCAGTGAGCAGGGCAGCAGTGAGCAGGGCAGCAGTGAGCAGGGCAGCAGGGCAGCAGTGAGCAGAGCAGCAGGGCAGCAGAGAGCAGAGGGCGCGCTCTCTCTCCGACTGCTCTCCCTTGACATGTGTCCTCGACGGTGCTGATAGTCTCCCGCCGCAGCAGACGTCCATACCGACCACAGTGATAAGGTCCCTGTAGCCTGCAGGGCGCTAGTAGCATCTTCGTACCTGATCATTTACCCCAAGGTCGCACCGCAGCTAAGAGCCACCGGTTCCTGGGCGGCTCTGCGGCTCTGAGTGCCCTCTCTGTTCTGCCTCGACTGCCCGCTCCGCACTGCCTGCACCGCTTCGCAGACGCGCAGACATTGGAGGTGCACGGCGCTGTTTCGAGTTGGCGTATCACACCCGCTGTCCGACACGTACTCGCAGCGCGGCCAGCCAATAGAGCAGCCAATAGACCGAGGAGCCTCGACGACGACAACAACGGCCGCCAGCGCCAGGCACGCGAGCAGCATTGCCTGCACCCCTCGACCGCAGAACACGTGCCGTACATGGCCGAACGATTGGGCACCCGCAGCACGCACACCATGGCCGACGCACGTCTCGACGACGCCCGCGAGGCTGGCAGCAAGCTGCTCAGCAAGGGCAGCCGCTGGCGAACCAAGTACTTTGCCAAAGACGAGCCCGCGCCCGACGATCCGCCCAAGACGAAGCGCGCCGACACGTTCAAGCTCGACGACGACGTCAACGACTTCCTGCGGCCCAGCACCGACAAGGCCACCGCCCAGCAGCAGGCTGCCCAGGCCTTTCTCGCCGCGAAGCCCCGCATCGATGTCGCCCGGGCGCAGCGCTGGCCCGCCGCCCATGACATTCTCAGCAGCGCCGCCGCCCACACCAGGCGCCCTGGGCCGGGCGGCCTGCGGACGGGCACGCGCAAGCGGGGGCTGACGGTCACCTTCGCCCGCACGCCGCCCGCCGTCATCGGCCACGGCGGCGACGAGTGCGAGGAGCCGTCGCTGGACGTGTCGCGCCGCAAGACGGCGGGGCAGCAGCAGCAGCAGCAGCAGAACCAGCAGCAGCAGCAGCAGCAGCACCAGCAGAACCAGCACCAGCAGAACCAGCACCAGCAAAAGGCCGCCGTCCAGGATGACGCCCACGTCGCCGCCCGCACTCCGCAGTTCGACGCCATGGCCCGCTCCGCCAGCCAGACCAGCCAGACGGCGCCCCCGCGCACCAGCTTCACCCGCACCTTGACCAGCCAGGGCGAGCTGTCGCCGCCGCTGCAGAAGAAGCTCGACATGGGCCACATCAACACGTACGCCCACCCGCCGCCGCCTGCCCAGCAGCGCACCGCGCCCATGGGCTTGGCCGACCGCCCCAAGGTCCTCTCGCGCGCCCCGACCGGCTTCGACCTCGCCCAGGATCCGCCCGCCGCCCGCCGGCCCAGCAAGGACTCGGCCTACTCGGCCTACTCGCAGGACTCGGACAACCCCTCGCCCGTCGCAGAGAGAAAGGCCCCCGTGCTGCCGCCCACCCAGGAAGAGGGCGGCGACTTCCGCCCGCGCGCCCTCACGCGCTCCCAGACGGGCTTCACCGACACCGTCGACGACTCGGACAGCTCCTCGCTCGAGCCCGTGCCGCGCCTGCCGGAGAGGCGCTTCGTCGAGCAGGAGGACGACTCCCCGCTCGAGTCCAGTGTGATGGCGGCCGAGCGCTTCCTGCAGAGCGAGCCCGACGATCCCAACTCCTTCTCCGCCAAAGTGAAGCACAAGATGCGGGCCGAAGAGGGGCGAGCGCTGCACGAGGCACAGCGGCGTGCGGCCGAGGGAAGGCGGGAGTCAGACGCGAGCTCCCTGCAGTCAGACCCCTTCCAGGTCGGAACACCGCCGACCACCTACAGCGCCTTCACGGGCGGCAGGACACCGCCCTCGGCACCGCCCGTCCAGCCGTCGCAGCAGTCGCCGTCGCAGCAGTCGCCACCGCAGAGCCGTCCCATGCAGCCGAAGCAGCCGTCGCCGCCAAGAGGACTGGACGCAGAGGACCCATACCGCTCAAGAGCACGGGGACCGTCGCCAGGACGGCGGCCGATGCCTCCAGGCACATATCCTCTGGACACAGACCCAGACACACGCCCACCACCAGACACGCGCCCACCACCAGACACGCGCTCACAGCCAGACACGCGCTCACCACCAGACACGCGCTCACAGCCAGACACACGCTCACCGCCAGACACACGCTCACCACCAGACACGCGCCCACCACCAGACACGCGCTCACCACCAGACACACGCTCACCGCCAGACACACGCCCACCACCAGGCAGATCCGAACCATTTCCAGCCACAACTGCTTCATCTGACCAGCGAATACCGCCCGCAACGGAAAAGACACCGGCCTCGGCTAAACCCCCTCAGTCTGCTGCAGACGAACTCCACTTGGATACACCCTCCGCCCTACAGCCCGCCAAGCCCCCCATGCAAGCACAGCCGCCGCCCCAGCCCAGGACACAAGGCTCCGTCTCGCATCCGCAGAAGGCTTTGTCGCACTCGCAAGGTCCCCAAGGTTCCGTCTCACACCCCGCCGAGCCGGCTTTCACGATTCGGCCAAGGCAGGATATCAGCATGAGATTGGGAGGCTCGCTTGCTCGTTCAGACACGAGGATGCTTGGCGATGCTGCGTTCAAGGACTTTGCGGAGCGCGTCGTGCACATGAACGGCATTTTCGCGTTGACCGCACAGCTTGGCGGCAACATGCACGACCGCTCACCGTCGCAGTGGGCTCGAGTGGCGACTTGGTGGTTCTTGAAGGGCCGCGCTGGAATGGAGAACCTGATCAGGAGTCGGCCCAAGACCGCCGAGCCGCAGCAGGAACGCCTCACGCAGCCGCACGTCGATCTGGCCAAAGCTCTGTGGGTTTGTGCCGACGTTCTGCCTGGACACCCTGCATTGGCGCAGTACGCTGGCCAGCCAGAAGATGCAAAGGCGGATGTCGCCAGACAGGCTGGTGATGTTGCGGCTACCGAGGCTTTCGAGATCAAGGGCGCCATCTTCCACTACATGAAGCTCCTGACGGGCTCGATGAAGAAACACCAGAGCATGCCCCCGACCGCAGCTCTTATTCAGGGTCAGAACCAGAACATCTGGGAAGAGTACCCCCGATTCGACCCAATTGCTGGCAGTGTACTTTCGGGCGTCAAATACAGGCACGCCAAGAACGGGGCGCACCCGCAGCAGCACAGCCTGTCGCAATATCTGCCACTAACTGACACAAAGAATGAGTTTTGCTATTTCAGAATGTTCGCCACGGCTACCATGTCGACCGACGACCCCAACACCGACCGAACGGCCATGTCCGTCGCCATCACAGTGCTGCGTGCCAAGGAGGAGTATTCGACCAGACTTGCCATCTGCAGCCAGAACGAAGACCTCAACCTGATGGTAGGCCTCAACCCTGCGGCCGGGCCGACGTGGAAGGACATTAGCTGGAAGAAGCAGTCGCGTCAGCTCTGCCTCCAGTTGCAGCATGGCTTTGTCCTGAACCTCGAACTGAACGAGGGTGACTGGCGCAATCTGTGGGCCATTGTTGATCACACCAACCGTGTCGAGTCAAGCATGCGGGCGCGAGCCAACGAGAACTTTTCCTGCAAGCTCTACCTGCGGGAAGCAAGCTACAAAGACCCGGCAAACCCAGCAGCATTCCCGTCCGAACGTGTGCACGCGTGCAAGCTGATGGTTTTTGAGAAGTTTGAGCGCAGCAGCGAAGGCACAGGGAAGCGGAAACTGCATCGCGGCTACCGGCTGGTGCTTGTCACCGCCCAGAAGAACAAGCAGCTGAGCTTTGTCGAGCACGAACTCGGCACAAAGCAGGAACCCATGAACTTTGAGTACGTCACCGAGAACGACCAGTCACCCGCTCTCAGACTGCACTTTCGTGAAGGCGCTGCCGAACAGAGACCGAGAGTATGCACGGTGCATCTCGTCTTCCAAGATGCAAACGACCGCAACAGTCTCTTCGGCACGTTTACGTCTATGAATATTGCGCATGGCGAGATGACGTTCGCCCAAGTGCCGCTCAAGTCTTTCACTATTGAGAGCGCAGACCAGGCAGATGCTTTCAGCGCTTCTGGAAGCCGCGTGCTTGAGAAGCTGCAGTGGCAGGAAGCGAAGACGGTGAACCAGGATCCCGAAGTTGCCGGCCTAGAAGCTGCACCAACGGTCATGAGCGAGAGCCTGAGAATCGTGTGTCGGCACAGCACGGGCATCATCTCGGACCGCATGAATCTAGGTAAGTCACCCCCCCCCATCTTGCTTTGACGTTTTACAATGTGTCGTGCAATGTTGGTACCAACTATCCCAGGACCTGGCGAGATTCTCGTCCGACTGCCCACCGATGGCGCCACAGACCTCACGCTCCTCCGCAATCCCCAGCAAGACATGGCTGTAGCGGTGGACAGCAGCCGCGCCGAACCAGGCGTTCCCGACGCGCTGGCCGAGCTCCTGCGCACGTTGACCAACGCTTCCACCATCCGGCGCCTCGCTTTCAACTCGTTCAAAGACCTGCACGCCTTCCAGCTCGCCGTGACCGGCTTCGAGGTCAAATTCGACGGGTGTGTGACCCGCCATCACTCACATGATTGCGGACGCTAACCATCACTAGCATTGCAAGCACATTCTCCATCTCCCGCCGGCGCATGGTAGTCCCCATCTACAAGCAATGGACGGCCAACACGATCCGGCTGCAAATCGTGCACCAGGACAACGTGATCCAACTGCTTGCCTTCTTTGAGGACTTCTCGCACGCCGACGCCATGAATTTCCGCCTCAGCAGCATGGACACGTTTGAGAAGAAGGACAGCGGCGGCAAGTTCGGGCTGAAGCTCGTCGACGCCAAGTTCGCGCTGCCCGTCGACCAGCGCCGCGGCGAGGGCAAGATGCAGAAAGCAGAGGGCCGCATCGCGGGCTGGACAGGCACAAAGAGACGCTTCGTGTGTCTCGACGAAATCGAGTATCCCGGCGAGCACGACGACATCCTGATCATGTTCGACACGGCAGAAGGTACGTCCCACGCCCCACGCCCGCAGCGCATCGCTAACACAACGCAGCCCGCGACCGCTTCGCCGACGCCCTCCCCGCCGCCACCATGGAGCGCAAATTCACCGTCCGCCGCAAAATATGAGCTCGCGCGCCACCCCAAACCCGCGTCTCGACACCTCTTTCCCAATTCCATTCACAACCACCCGGCAGCCCAGCTGCCTTTCTCCTTGATCTCCTTCCCGTCTCCTTCGCATACAGCATCACCCCGCGCCCGCGGGCCCGGGGTCGCACGATACCACACCGGCGTTCTGGGCGTGTTTTGCTGTGACGCGACTGTCCTGGATTCGTTCTGTGGCTGCATGGCCGGCGTCTGTTCTGTTTTGTTCGAGGGCGACTGCCCTGCAAAGCGCTGTAGGCCTGTAGTGACAATACATGTGTACCTTCAACGCGCTCATCCCGCGCTTTCTGCTGTGGTGCGGTCCTTCTTCGGCTGTGATGCGTGAGGTAGTTGGGGTGCGAGACGTGCATCGCTGTCGTTGGTGCGGATGAGTCAGCACAAGCCCTCCGCGGCTACTCCGTCGGGTGAAGTGGGCAGCCGGTGTCGAGAGGGCGGTGTCGTGGAGCAGGGCTGGATCTGAGCTTACTGGTTACAGTGCATTACGATGCAAGGAGGCGGATTACTACAGGCAGTGCCAGGCATCGAGTGGCAGGAGTGACAGGACGAACGAGGTGGGGTACGCAGCCCTGAGTCGGTGTCGGTGAGAAGGGGAGGTGCGGTGAAGAATCAACGGTGGCGTGACGAGAGAAGGCTGCGGGCATGGAGCCAGCGAGTTTGTGTGATCGTGTCATTGACGTCGTGAGGATGATTATGTTACTACGGACTCGCAGTCTCTTCAGTCCCCATCGGAAAAAAAGAACACAAAACAATCATACCCAGCAAGCAAACAAGCCAAACGCCAGTGGGAAGCTGCCATAGGCAGACTGTCCCACTCCCAACCCAAGAGAGCCAACCGTGTATGCAACGATGCTTTGAGATGATTTGTTCGCAGTTTTGTTGAGCAGTAACGCCGCACTACCCAAGACGGAAAACTAAGATGCTAGAGGAAGTAGATGATCGACCGTATGCAAGACGAAAGCGACGACAACATGTCAGAAAGTCCACTTCTCTGGACAAACATTAGCAAATGAAAGAAGAAAGGGGTGATCAGCGCCAGACACCCTTAGCACCTGATGCAAGACTGCCCCGGACCGAGGAGTTGCTAACAACTCGTATTGGCGCCCGGTTGAGCGTGCCAGCTGCGGGTCGGTCCTCGCTAGATACCGCGACCGTCGTGCGACGCGCAGGACCCTTAAAAATGGGCGCAGAGCGAGGGCTGAGGACGCTGGGCTTCCACTCGCCTTCGTGGTTGTTCTTTACCATACGACGTGCTGCGCCAGCGGATATGCTGTTTTCATTCGGCGGGCTGGAGGAAACGGAACTAGGGCTGCGGTGTCGCTGTGTCCTGCCTGCTGGCAGAGCTTTTGTGGTAGAAGAACGGCGCTTGATAGCCGTCCGAATCTGGTTTGCCTCTGAGGGATCGACGGACCAACCGTCTTCTTCAGCGGCAGAGTTGTTGCCACTGTCGTTCCCGGAGGTCAGAGCCTCTGAAGCAATTTCAACATTGCTCAGTGCCGAAGGACGAACTGTATTTGTTCCGATCTCACGAAGAGGAGACGTGTCAGAGTCTGAACCGTAGGCGCTACTGATTGGCATCGGTGATCCGTCAGACTTCTTTGAAAGAAACCCTGCTGCGAATCGGCTAGATGCAGAGCGAGGCTTGATGTCCAAGGACGTTGTTGGCGGCACTGGGATGGGCGATGACCCAGCATCATTGGCGACCGGCTCGGGAACGGGTGTTGAGAATGTTGGAGGCGGCATGTCAAGCGAGGAGTTTATTGGAGTTGACTCGACGTGCTCTGGTGTCTTAAAGTCTGCCAGAGTACCGTTCTCGTTATCATCGCGCCAACGAACACCACGTTTAGCCTTTGATGGTGACATTGGTCTCTTCTTCACAGGCGAAAACTGTACGCCCTTCTTGACCGCGACCATCTTTTTGCGCCGTGGCGAGCCTTTCATGGGTGATGATGTGAGATGTGGTGCATCTGCGAATGACGGCATGGGAATTGACTTCACCGGCGAAGGTCCCATGACGTTGATCGGCTTTCGTCTCTTCGGTGTCCCCTTGTGACTCGATGCAAAGAACTCCGTTACAGGTAGACCGCCGTCTGGTCGAATAACCTGGGCGGTTGCACTGGTGCAGGCGTTCATAATCCTGGCTAGCAGTTTTCTTGCAGTCTCGACTGCCTGACTCTCGTCCATCTGCGTGATTTGGCTCAAGATGGACACAGTCTCGATGTGAGCCTGTACGAGCACTTGTACTGTGGCTGCGTCGCCCCCTCTTTCTTGCTCGAGCAAAACACTCAAAACCTCGCGTTCGGCGTTGGACTTCAGGATCTGGTATTCTCTCGTCAAGTTCGCGGCGTCGGGCCCGTCGGTGATTCCGTCCAATTCTGTCAATTGCCTCAAGCCGAAGTTGAGCGCAGTATCGAGCTTGGAAGCCCATGTTGATCGCTCGAGCCGTCTGTGATGGTGCTGTCGAGATTGCTCGAGCTCTGCTGAAATACCAATAGCTGTGTCCCTCATGGCAGTGATCTGTGAAGGCATCTCCTCGTTGTCGCGCATCTCGGAGACTGTGTCGAACGCTGCAACCCATGCTGACACCAGGGAAATACGCCTTTCAGTATGCTTCAAAGTTCTCATGATGTTCAATCTGTCCCTGCGATCGGTCTCTGAGTCAGTGTAGGCCTGCCTGAGCCGTATGAAAGCATCCCTCATTATGCCCTCCTTCTTCTCATTCTGCTTTTGGTGTTTCGCCAGAGATGCACCATCGGAGTCCTTCTGCTTCCTCATCAACTCGTCAATCAATGCTCTTTGCTCGTCGATCTTCTTCAGGTAGTCTTTGACGTGACGGTTCACATTAAAAACGTTCTTCGTGACTTTGGTCTGAATGTTCTTCGCGCGATTGGCGTAGCGGAGAGTGTTCTGTGTTTCATCGAAGTGAACGCTTGACGGGCTGACGCAGACAATCATGACAGTTTTGCAATTGCCGCCGAGAGAGAATTTGAGCAACCGTGTCAGTTTCGAGTTGCGGTAGGGGATATGATTGTGTTTCCGGATGTCACACAGGGCGTTGATGCAACTTCCGAGAGCCAGTAAAGACTTGTTGATGTTTGCACCCTCGGTCAGACGCGCGCCTCTGTTCTTTGTAGCACTAGCGCGCTCACTGCCTGCTAAATCGATAATGCTGAGGGTGGCCATTGTGTGTGGTTCGTTTACGGAGGCGTTGCGGTCTTTCGACGAGACGTTGATCTGTAAAACAGCGTGCGATCGAGACGAGGTTGCGTTGGCTTCGGTGGGGGACATTGTTCGTAGGTCGTTGCCGCGGACGATCATCTCCATGACCTCGTTGACCTGTCACATGTTAGACGCTGTTCCATGGCCTAGGTCAACTTCTCACATCTGTAGGTCGATGACTGGTCAGGCCTGCCACTGAGACTGCCTGATTGGAGTCTTCTCGTAGCATCAGAGAAGTCTTGCTGCCGCCCTCTACCAAGAGATCACGAATAGTTTCGTTGTAGATTTCCAGATAAGACAGCGTGACCTCTGTAACCTTCTCCTCAGATCGTTCACTGATCTTCTCAAACAATTCCTGCATCGTCAGGAAAATGATACCCGGATCGCCTGGGGTTCCACTACGACCGAGTCAGCGTCTCTCCGGTGTGTGTACGTGTCGACGTACGTGATAGTATGTGTCTTTCCACATCCTGTAGCGCCATATGCGAACACGGTTGCATTGTACCCGTCGAGCACATTGTCGAGCAGTGGCTTTGCGGTCGACTCGTAGATGTCGGCCTGTGATGTGGTGTCGTCGAAGACTCGGTCAAAAGCGAATGTCTGGTCCTTCACACGCTTACCCTGAGGCGCGTACGAGCGACCAGCCCTGTGTACCGGGTTGTCCTCCGGAGGGTCGAAGATCCTATATGTATATTAGTACCTATAGTGCCATGTCGTTGGGGATGCACGCAGCGTACAGGCAGCGCTCGTCAAGAACCTTAATGACAGGCCTGATGCCCCCCTTTGAGCTTATCCGCGGGGTCGGCGCAGCGGCGAGCGAACCTTCTCCAAGGAACAGTGTCGAGTCGTCGGTCTTGGTGAGCTGCGCAGCTTCGCGTATAGTGAATGGACGGACGCGCACAGTGACCGAGATGGACGAGGCGCCGGCGCTCGCCATGATTGCGCTCTATGTATGTTAGGAGTCCAGAAATGCAGCGCGACTACCCCTCAGAGTGGATGCGTTGGCCGTGGGCGTGGTTGCGGAATGTTGTGTGGTGACGGTGCTTCGAGTTCGTGCACCGAAAACGTCTCGTTGCTATGCCAACCAGGGAACCCGCAACTGACCCTGAAGCAGGCACGTGATGATCCACCCAGCGCCGCCTCCACCACCGACATGTCTCCCACCTCGTTCTGTCCGCCAGCACACCCCTTGTCGATCTGAAGACACGGGTATCGCGAGATGTGTGGTCGTGTAGTTGTGCATGATGCGGTGAGTTTCTAGGGTGCCCGGATCTCCATTCATGCACCGACGACGTCATTAGCAAGGCGTTCGTGGAAGATCATTCGACGCAGATTGCCTCCGCAGACAGTCTGATGGCCTGCGAGGCTGACCCCCTCTTTCCGTGACCCTCCGCGGATCCGCTGACGGTCTGACCCCGCTGGCACGAAGCCTCATCGACTTGGAGCATGCTCAGAATCAAACAGCGTTGCAGCTGCATCCACCAAGATGAACACTGGCTCGACCACAAGCTCTGGCATGGAGGGCGATATTGTTGCAGACATCAATTATTTTCCGGCTTCAGGTATACCGATACCCACATCTGCATGGCAGAAACGTTATCTAGGGATCGGTGATGAACATACTCGGCCCATGACCATTCACAATGTCCGCCAAAGACAGCAAGAATTCGATCTAGACACCAACGGCTTTACATTTGTCAAGCTGAAACCCAAACAAAGAATCAACGGTTCCAGCACCGAGGATGAAATACGCCAGGACTACTATCCAGAACTAGTGGAACTGGCAAAGAACCTGTACGCTGAACTGCGCACATATTGCCAGACGACTGGTAACACGTGGGATCGCTGACAATTACAGGACCGGCGCAAGCACTGCCTTTGTCTTCAATCACGTCGTTCGAGCACACTCATCCCCATCTGACAAAGGCAAGCTCGACTCTCACGGGCGTTGGCAGGACATACCTGCAGGTCATCCACACGTTGACTACTGCGGCGATCCTACTTACCTCGAAGGCACCAAAAGAGAACTCAACTTAAGTCCTGACGTCTCCTCGCTTTATACCACAAGCTCGCGTTATGCGTATCTCGGTGCCTGGCGGCCTCTGAAGCCGCTACGCAGAGATCCTCTTGCCGTGTGCGATGCCACAACGGTCCCAGATACCGACTACCAACTTCGCATGCGAGAGTTTAGGAGCGGTGTTAAGTCTGGGAACTATGTCATGAGCCACACAGAAAAGAAGCAGCAACATCAGTGGTACTACATGGCCGAGATGACACCGGAAGAGATCGTAGTGTTCAAAGGATATGACACTGAGCAGACCAGACCAGGCTGGCGATGTCCACACACAGCGATTAAACTACCAGATTCAGATCATGAAACACCAAGGGAAAGCATTGAGGCCCGCATCGTCTGCTTCTGGTACTGAGGGGAAAGGCCGTGCTGCCACGTGCTTCGCTACTACTCATTTCCGCAAGTATTCCTTTGATCTGGGATCTTGGCAATTACCCGCCAGGCACGTCCCTTCTTACCAACGATCGCGGGGTAGCGTCGCTGATTATGCCCAAATAGGCAACACTGTAACGCCGCCGTTGCTCCTTCCGGTTTGGGTGAATGTCGATCCCCTCGTGCTCACGGCACTCAGACGGGTAAGCTAGCCACCTTTAGCAGGTCAAGAGACAGAAGTCGGGGAGCGACCACAACGATCAGTGCCTCAAATTATAATTTATGCGCAACGCCAGGTGACCAGACGAAAGAGGTGTGAGATTAGTAAACAGTTGGCCCAAATGCAGACGACTGCATCTAAGTGCACCGCACGTCACCCTTGCTGCTCTCTTCAGGACTTATGTACCCAAGATTATCCAAGGTCCTTGATCTCGGTCACGGAGCAGATGGGGCAGGAGGTAGGTCTGCACAGCTGGACGTGATGAAATGTACTTGGAAATCAGAGACACCGGGTTAGTCCAGTGGACAAACAAGTATATCCAGCAAGGACATAAATATATCCAGCAAGGACATAAATATATCCCATCAATCACCCGCTGTTCGTGCTCCAGGCCGCAAGACCAGTCACTTCCTCATCCTTCGCTTTAAAAACCTGAGAAGCACGTACGCTGCCCACCACTCGCTATCCAGCATGAAGCTCACACTCCTATCCCTTGCCCTCCTCTCCGGCGCTCTCGCATTCCCAGCCCCAGCCGCTGACGCAGAAGCCTTCCCCATCGATGAGCTTCTGACTAGCAACCTGGCTCCCGAGGAGCACGCTCTCTCCAAGCGCCAGTACAGCAGCAGTACCTACAACCAGCTCACCGACGGCACCGCATGCCGCCCCATCAGTGTGATTTACGCTCGCGGAACCAATCAGCAAGGCAATGTTGGTGACGCCGCAGCAGTCGGTCCCTTGTTCTTCAACCAGATCGCTAGCCGCGTTGGAGGCACGAGCCAGCTCGCCATTCAGGGCGTAACATACTCCGCCAGTATTGCTGGGTTCTTGGTGGGTGGTGATGCTACCGGAAGCACCACTATGACCAATCTCATCAGCACCGTAAGTTCTGCACGATTATCGATAGATGTACATCGTTCACGCCGTGGCTGATCATTATCACAGACCGTGACCCGCTGCCCCAATACCAAGATCGTTCTCGCCGGCTACTCGCAGGGCGCCCAGCTCGTTCATAATGCCGCCGTCCGCACTTCTGCAGCAAATGCTTCTCATGTCGCCGCTGGTACGTTCACTCTACTTCCTCCCCTCATTTACCCCCGCTCCAAAATGGAACAGCCTTCCCATCTGGGTTATATGGCTAACACTTCGCAGTCGTTGTCTTCGGCGACCCAAAGCGGGGCCAGTCTTTTGGCTCGATCACTGCTTCCAAGACTCTTACTATCTGCCACAGTGGCGACAACATCTGCGAGGGAGGTGCTACCATCACAGCGGCGCATCTGAACTATCAGCAGGATGTCTCGACTGCTGGGGCTTTTGTTGCTGGCAAGGTTTGATTTCCGATGCAGCCTGGACGAGGATTATTTCTATCGCGGCGGTGATGACTTGTTCGCTGGCACAGCGTGGTGTGAGGAATTCTTTGATATTGACTAGTAAATCAATTCTTGGTGAGCTGTTTTTAGTGGTTGACGAGGCTTACTGCAGTCCCTAGGCCCTCTTGTGCCTAGCATACCGGGCTACCTACGGTTGTACGAAGATAGTACAATTCCTATTACTACTACGCTATAGCTACTGCATAGCTTACTCCTTCACTACCTACTAGCTGCTTACCTTAGCCGTAGTACGCTACAACTACTGCCAGTAATATGCCTCGTCGCAAAAGCTGCGTTCCTCTGTAATATTGGTTCACTTGATATCGATTGAGTTCCACCTTTATTTGAGCAATCAACCGCATCTAATATCAGCATTAAACCTGGCGCGGATAGGGATAACTGAATTGGCGGGTTACTGCAGCAAACCATGTGTGACCATCTATCGAATAACAAGAGCTCGCGTTCCAGTGGTATAGACATTGAGGTGTTTGAAGTAGCGAGGAGACCAATCAGAGGTTGCTAAAATGGTGCTGCCACTCATCTCTGATTTATATCCTGTCATCAACGAGTCGTGCAAGTCTGTGTGCAAGCTTCAAATGATTTGCACCCCGTCCTGAACTTTGACAATGTAATCAACATCAGCTGTACCAAACCCAAATCGCCTGTATTCGTTCATGCGAACGGTCGACACGACCGCCAATATGTGATAGTGCCTTAGAGAATAGCGCTCCATCTCAAACAACTCGCGACATCGGCTCAAGACCACGCAGTAGATATTTTGTAGACGTGTCCCGCTCTTGGTATCGACGTTTATCCATCCAATTTTCTTTCTGTCGGCATTCATGAGGATATAATCACCATAGTGAAATTCCAACGCGCAATTTGTGATACTTCCCAGGTCTGCTAGTAACGCTTCTTTACGCTCGGGGTGAAACGATAGCTTCCTGTTCACCGCTAAAGTGCCGAAGAAGTCTCGCGAAGCTCCGCCCCGCCAGTACACGCCATCCAGGACCAGGAAGGCATGTATTCGTAATGCTTGATGACTTGCACATCCTTTTCCATTGATTTCCAGGCAAGATTCCAATGCAAGAACTGTTGGAAGATGCCAAGCCTGGTCTTGCAGCAATGAGCTGCCGTCAAGCTCTATTCCAGTCCCTGTATGGTAGTCTTCTTATCGTGTTGTCTCGTGAGCTGTCTTCGTGTGAAATCCTGAATGAAGTAAGAAATTCAGGATTCCACTCTGCCGAAGTCTTCTACTCGCATGAGGCGCGTGGGGAAACTTGGATCAAGAGCGAAAAAGGTGCTATCCAGGGGACTACAATCGACATTGTCAGCCAAGATCAGCATACTGGAAGAATGATGGCTCACCTATTGAATTTGATAAGATTTTCACAGTAGAGGCCTTCCCCGCAAGTTCAGTACATCTGATTAGCACTGAAATGAACTGTTTGTCTCGCAAAGACGGTCTCCTGCATGACCCAAGCTCGTGAATCCAGCAAGCTATTGCCGACATCGCCATCATAATCATCAATGTCAGTCAAGATGAAGAATTGTCTGCCCTGACCATCTCGAACAAAGATGTGTTCAGATTCGCGGTAAAGACCTAGAAACCCGTGGTAGGAATCGTCGGCTACCGTCGCAGCCATTGTGAAATATGCGTGCGAGTATACGCTGTGCATCTTGGCTGATTCGCGTCGAAAATCTGCACCATTGTCATCGAACTGTACGATACAGAGCGAGTCGATCCAGAGGTACGAGATCAAGAGACTTTACCACCTTGATAGCATCCTGAAAGGTCTTTGGTAACTCCGAGACGTGGAAGGCTTTTTATCTTCTTGCCAGATTTCCCTGGCTGGTGCAGTTTGTTCTCTTCTGGCTTTCGGAAAGCTCGCCCCAACAATGAGATAGTGCAATATACTTGTCGCTCCTTCGCTGTTCCGCATTCAGTAATCGAACCCAAACAGGAGGAGACCCAAGATCGAGCAGTCCTCCAATATCAAGCACTCTCGTTGGAAACACTGTCTGAGCGTTTTCCCTTTTGTTGCAATCATGATTGTTATCACACCAGCGGGCCCAAGCACATAGCAGTCCAAATCGCGCCGCACGATCAAGAACCGGCAACATAGGGCGGCCGATGGGTGTCTAGTCCTTCGCTTGGGAGGTATTCACTTAAGATAGTATCGTCAGCTTCAACCTCTTGGAGCACTCCGCGGGCCGCAAACTAACTCAGTAGAGTAATGAGTCTTATAACACGCCTACCCCAGTAGCCAATTCGTAGTGCGGCAGTATTGCGGGAAAGAGTAATCTTGTCGTCATCACCAATATCGTCAAAGAATGATCGTACGAGAAAACTGCACATTCGACAGATCTCTGCAGAACTAAGAATGTACTCCAAATTTACATCCATAGTTTTCTCTGCAAGATCTCAGACGATGTGTCTGCAAACGGAACACATCTGAACAGTAGAAGTGGGTAGCGAGAACGGGTTTTCAGCACAGTACGTCTTAGTGAAAGCATCGCTGAGATCGGCGTGCCATCTGTTGTACACATTGACTCTGTACTCCTGCGCGATAGAAGGTGGTGCGTTAGGAATGTGTGCAATCGTGGCCGTCCGAGGTCTACTTACAAATTTGGATTCAGTCTTTTCCAGCTGCAACGATCAGTAATCCGTTGTCAGCAACAGTATTGCTTCAATGCTTGTGGAAGGAGTGACGTACCCATTTCTGGTCTCTATCTCTGCTCTTATGGAACATATCAGCTGTATCCAGCACAATTATTCAATCAGCTACTCATCCATTGAGGTTGCGTCCAATTTGGCCATGTAGGGATTTCGTCCATCATATCACCGTCCGCAACAGCACGGGTCTGCTCCCAGATTTGTTGCATCGAATACTTGAAGACATCACTTAATTCGCATCCCACTCCCGTGGAGCCCTCATAACCAAGGCTTTTGGACGTGCGCAACTGGGACTGCTTTCTAAGCGCCGTATTCTCGTAATCACTCTTCACTTGATCCTTGAGGCCTTCCATGTTCTTCCCTAGGTCTTTGATGAACTCGCGCTTGCTACTTGTGCCAAACATATTTGCCCGGTAGTAGTCTTCCACCGACTGAGTCCAGCCGTCAAGCTTCGTGCGAAAATGCGAGGTGTGTTTATCAATGAACAGGAAGCCGTTCGCCATACCTGCACAGCTCGGGAACTTTAGCCTTGTCAGCCCAACAAATGAAGTTTGAGCGATCGCGTTTCACCCGCGTGTATCGTTCTGCAGGGTAAATATGAGAGCTGAGTGGTGTTGATAGTCAGGGAAGGTCGCAAAGTAGGAGATTATTGCGAGAATAGAGGTGTATACAAGAAAGATAACATATTCAGCCTCGCAGAAGCTGCTAGCGCTTACTGCAGGGTGAAGTACTATGATGACCCCGCTGTGGCTGCACGGGATGCAAGACTGAAACAACACCATATGTGCAAGCTCAAGGGAAAGAGCAAAGAGAAATCGAACGTGGGCGTACGTGTACGATTTGCCGTTTGAGAACGATCGATTCAATCTAGATCGAGGCTGTGTGGGTCGTCTAATAGTCAGACTGGTGAAGGTTCACCTAGTGACATGCCGGCCTGGACAGCCACTCGGGATGGGCTGCTGTCGCCATCCTCCGCGGTTGGATCTGATTCAAGAAGTGAACCGTGTATCATTCCCCGTGTGCATGTGTGAAGGCCAGCAGCACTGTGCGCTGAACTTCCTCTCGTACGAACTCCAAGTCCACAGCACCGACCTGGCCCGCTTTGACCTCTTCTTCAGTAGCCCACACGTAGTTTTGATGCTCTTTCGGATCCAACTTTGTTGTCAATATAGCGCCTCCCTCAGACGGCACATATGCAGCGAAGCTAAAGCAACAGACCTTGTCGCCGTTGCTTCGAGCGAAGAAGTGAGGTTCTCCAACTGGACCACCCATGTAAGCGGCTTGAAGGCCGGCCTCCTCCCATAACTCACGCACAGCGGCGTGCAGGATACTCAAGTCGTCGTCGTCAACAGCTCCGCCAGGAGGCTCCCATTTGCCGGGGTATGAATCGCTTGCAGCGCGCTGAAGAAGGAGAACGCGAGGTTTTGAAGGTGTACACGTGTCCAGTACCAGCGCAGCGGTGCCGATCGACTTGAATGCAGCCTCGGGGTGAGCTCCTAAATATGCACTTTTAGGTACCGCAAATTCTGCGGCAGAAACATCGTAGCCAAAGTTGTAGGCCGGCTTTTCTGTCATTGTTGATTGCACGTGGGATCAGCGGGCACTGAGAGGTTCAGCGCAGGCCAGCCGCTGCACGTGCAAATGCAAGCACCAGACAACAAGCGAGGCCACCAGACTCGCGCATCTGACGCGACTAGGCAGGCCATCCCTAAGACGCCTCGCCACAATCGAGCATGGGTTTGCCGATCCTGGACCTTCGAGAGTCAAACCTCATGGAATCGTCACGCGCTCAAAGAAAGGACAGCAGACTGAAACTGCGACACGAGCTTTTCACTGGAGCCATACCGTCTCGAGCCATTGCAGCTCCTCGCCAAGCCATGGCTCATCCTGTTCAGCCAATTCATTCTGGAGCCCATGCTCCAGCTCTTTTTTTGGCGACTAGGTGGGCATCCTTCCGGGCAGTTGGTCCAAACACTTTTACTTTCTCGACCGTTCGTACGAAGTCCTCGCAATCTTTGAGGCTGACGCTCTGATCAGCATGTCCATGCAAGATCAGAGTTAGTGGGAAAACCCTCTTCTCACTCAGTCTCTCGAACGGATGCAGTCCCCTGTCTGTGCTAAGCGCCAGATCCCAACGATGCTCATTCGCCGGGGAAGCGTCAGCGAGCTCTTCTCTCGCGAGACACCTGTCGCTAGACAGTGGACACAACACAGCGCTCGGGCACTTGCACAAGATACTTGTCAATCATCTCCTCATCAGGCGTAGGCCGGCTCCATTCTCTCATTAATTCCTCGCTCTTGCACCACTTCTTGACCATTGAGTAGAACGACAGCAGTGCCTTGATGCGACCCTCAGGCAAATCGAACACCAGGTATAACGCGTGCAAACCCCCTGGGCTGTCGTCGCTAACCAATAACTGATCGATATCCATCTCTATAGGAGGCGCCGCATTTTGTAAAACCCTTGCAAGATCTCGATTGGCCCACGTCCAGAAGTCCCTGATGTCCTCATGGGTTTCGGCACCTGAGAGTTCTGAGATACAGCGATAGTTTGGTAGAACTATGAAGGATGTACAATCTGTGAAAGGGTCAAAGTAGTTGGAGAACCAGTCCTGCAATAGCGCATCACTCGATATCAAGCCGCCGCCATGCCATTTGACGTGCAGCGGATGCCTTCCCGGCTTCATGGTGTTAGGTATCAATATGGCAACGGAAATATCGAAGTCGCCAATATTCTTGTATGATGTTTCACAGATGGAGAAGTTGGAAAAGCTGTTTGCCGCCGCTTTGTGGAAGATACTTGCCATGATGCATGTGCGCCCTTCGGGAGAATGCTCTTGTGGCAAGCTGGAAGACTCAAGGCTTTGGTCCAATGTGCAGCAATGCTATGCGAGCTTCTTCCTTTTTACCACCACCCCTAGAGTCGGTCAGCACAAGGCTAAAACAGGTTGATGCCGGAACGTTGAGTATCATGAGCCAACAATCGGCTTAGGTCCCAACCACGGCTTTCGCTCAATCCCCCCATGAGACTTGGTGTCACGAAGTTCAATGGACCTAGAAGAGGTCAGAAATAGTTTCGTACTGCATGGTGGTAGTCGTCCAGCAGAAACGGTGATCACGTCCTTCAATTGTAACGCTAAGGGTATATATCGCACCGCCCAAATAATATCAAAGGAACACTCTCTATGCTCTCACATGACCGAACATGCAATCCTCTTCTTCCCCTTCCCCTCTTTCTTGCCATTACTCCCTCTCGTCCCCGTTCTCTCGGTCAACACCGGTACTGCGCTATGTGGTGCTTGCATACCACCCAGCGTTGACATCCCCACGCCTGCATATCCCTCCGACATGGGCGGCGCACTCATCGTTCCTCTAAACCACTCCTGCGCCACCAACTGCTGTGATGGTGGCACGAGACGGGGCATCAAGTTTCTCCTCGCTTGATTGTTGAGGTGAGCCGGAGGTGAGATTGATCGATGAGGCGCAGGCGTACTCGTGGGATTAAGCGGAGGGTTTGGCGGCAGCGGCCGATCCTGGAATGCAGCCACGGAATGGCGTGGGATAGATGCAGCGCGCGGTACGAGGGGCGCAGAGCCGCGGTGCAGTAGTTCCGGGTCAGTAATGGGTGGTGGACGGATGTCGTTTGTGCCGGTCGCTGGGCGGCGGTTGACGCACGAAGGGCGTCGGGCTGGGGGCGTTGTCGACGGTGGTTGAGCTTGTGAAGGCGAGATGTAGGCCAATTGTTGAGGTGGTGAGTGGGCTGAGGATCCTCGTCTTCGTATTGAGTCTGAGGAGTGTGGGCCTGGGTATGTTGTAAGATGGCTCAGTGATGGTCGTCGAAGCGATACGTCAATAGCGGAGAATGATTGGCCCGCGTGCTGGTATGGTCCCGATGGCGAAAGCTGTGCAGGATTGACTGTGGCAGTCATCGCGGGAAGCGTAGGCACCGGAGGTATACCTGATCTTGACCCAGAACCTCGACTCGAACCGCGACTTGCTCGGCGTGCTGATGGTGGCGCATTGGGATGGCTCAGACTGACGCTCTCAGCTTCTTCCGCTTTGGCTGTATACGCTGGGGGTGGTGGGACCCAGTTATCTGCATCGCTCTCATGGGGCAACTCGCGCTGACCGGAGCCATCAGCGCGACGGTACTCCAACGGGCGGAAAGGTAGTGCACGCAGGTGTCGACGGTTTGCAGGGGACACGGCAGCCACAGTTGCGGCTCTTGCTAATGACATCTGCGACCTAGGCTGCTGGTTGTCGTACGGCATCTCGAAGGCTGCTTGCGCTTCTTCCGCCGTCAGCTCTTCTTCATCAGCCATTGGTGGTGGTCTGACAGTGGTACGCGAGCGCTGTACAGATGATGTACCACTTCTAGAGCTACGTCTCGCACCGCTCGCCTGGCCTTGTGCTCTGCGCTGTGCCAATGTCCTTGTTCTCATTAGCTCAACTTCTTGATTGAAGTCTAAGGAGCCTTCTGGAAGCACTTCACCCGGGCACAAAGGATCCAGATCATACTCTACTTTAGATGTCACCGGAATCGCAACCCCTGCGGGCTTCGTCTTATCGAAATCGAGAACAACGATGACACCCTTCGGTCCGATTGGTACATCAGGTACATCGCTCTCGATCGGTGCTATGCTCGAGTTACCCACCGCAATGAGTCGCTGGACGTTGTTGCCAATCTTGACCCATCGCAGCACACAGATCTCCTGATAAGCACCAACACCAAGCTTCGGTATCGGTATACAAAAGCAAGGCTGGATAGGCGCCTGACCTTTTGCCTTCTCACTCGGTTTGTATTCCCACCCAGGCACCTCGTATATCCAAATGTTGGTGGTACCGCGCATCCGTAGAGCTACCGCTGCCAGATCAGCATTGGGGGAAACAGCGGGCATGGCATCGTCGACGAACTCGGACCGTGTCCAGCGCTGATGATCAGGCAAGAACATCTTCCTTTGCGTGAACCGCTGACAGGCAATGTCATATATCCCCCAAGAATCTTCTTCTGCGTTGAAAGCGAAGAGCTCGTTGAAGGTCCCTGTGTCGGCATCTGGAAGCAGCGTAGCCTGTCGCGCTATTCTTGCGGTCTCTGGAAAAAGCACAGATCCTGTCCATACAACTTCCGGCGCTTGAGGTATTGGCGCGCCCTCCTCGTCGAGTGGGCCATCGTACAACCCTGGAAGAACAAATAGAGCAGAGCTATCTGACTTGCGTGCGTACCCTGTAATGAGCAGCGTGCGTCCGTCATCCGAGAACTCCAGCGCGTCGCCTGCAGGCCCAGAAAGTGTACGTCGCGCGGTCACAGGCGCGTCTGGAAAGACAGCGACAACCTCGATACCGAATTTATTTCCAGTGATCAAGATGCGCGCATCCGGCGAGATAACGAGGGAGCTGGCTTCGTGCACTAGCTGCACCGTTCTCCGCATCTTGATTTGTCCGCCCTGCTCGCCATGAATCTCATACAAGTCGACCTGCGATGGCCGCGACAGTACTGCGAGCAGAAAGCCGTCTTCTGTGATGTCGATAGCAACGGGCTTGCGCTTGACTTGGAGGGTGCGCGCAAAGAGCCTAGGCAGCTGTGCCGTCTGTATCAGCCAGATATTCGACGCCGAGTACACTGCAACGTAGTTTCCCCTCCTCGAAACGTTGAAGTCGAAGCTATCGGGAAGCGCCGAAGACGATGCGGAGTTTGACATGAGCTCAAGAAGCGTGAGACTGGGTTGCGCGTGCGACGTGGTGGCTATGGAGCTGCTAGGAGAGCGATCGTCATTCGTCATGTTCGATGTCATGGCTGTTGAGTAGCCCGACTGACTTATCGCGGACGAGGACATGGTCGTGTTGTCGATGGAAGATGAGGCGAGTCGGGTGTCGAGAGCATCCACGCTCCGATCTGAGCTCAGAGCACTTTCATTGTTGGCGGGCGTTGTTTCCTTCCCCTTTGCGCCGTTCGTGTTGTCTTTGTGCTGTGTATCGTTCTCTGAAGTCCCCCTCCCCACCATCTTTTGCTGGCGTGCCGTCCAGCGCCGTCCTTATCGTATCAGTCGTATGTGCGTGGTCGATCGCACGTCGTTCGGGGTCGGGGAGGTGTAAGCGCTGCAAGGCTCCATGGAGCATGCCTGAGGTCTTTTCTTCTAGCCAAACGGTAAAGAGCAAGGAAACATAGCAGAGCTGCCCTCCGAAGACGAGAAGAGGCTATCTGCGTGTGGATACAATGTTACGGCGGGTTTGACATGCCATGGATCGCCCGCTTCCACTAGGTGTTCCCGCGCCGGCGTGCGATCCCCGCGGTTTTGTGAGGCTATATATAGCATACATGATCACGGACAACTTGTAAGTGGCACCTCGTATAAGAACCGCCTCTATTAATTACCGCATACCATCTAGTGGAGACCACATTTCTCAAGTTTCCTTCTTTATTCACTGCTTGTTCGCTCGAGGAGCCTTTCTTCTCGTAGCTGTTCTGAACGTTGGGGGCGTTATTCCCCTGCTATGTTCGAAACATCGCTCCGCAAGGCTGAAAGAGGGGAACCCCTGCCGTGTAGAAACGAATCACCATAGGCCGCCAAGCTGAATCAGTGCTGCAACTTTGCACCATTGTCGGTGTGCATGTCCCTCCTAATCTCCACGGTGGCTGGCCTTAATACAAGGCTACGCCAAGCTCCGGGCCTGAAATGCAGCCCACAAGCTGCCGGGGCATGTGCAGACCCGATCAACATGCTCGGTATGCTAGCCAGATGATGTGTAACTTTCTCACAAGACTGTCATGCTTTCGGGTCGCCGACCGAGTGTTTAGCCAGTGGCTGGACTCGATTTCCTTCATCTCCTCGCAGCGATGTTATTTTTCTTTGCATCGTCTTTGTCTTGTACGAGCAGTTGATACTGCTGGACCAGCTCCTCAGGACAGCGAAACTCAATGTGGAATGGCACATGCGACAAGGTTTCTTTTGCAGGAAGGACGCCGGACTTCCATTTCGCTAGTCGGTGCTCTGCATACTGCGTGAAGTATGGTATGGGATTAATCGACACAAAGTCTGTCGAGACAGCTGCCTTACTGTTGATGGCTTCCTGGATCCTGCGCGCATGCTCACGTTGGTGATCGATCAGTTTGTGTGGGGTGCTACTCCACCTCGCAAGTGCACGATCACGGATGTAGTGTCTTGTATCAGGCAAGTCGTGCGGCAATTTCCACCACTGACTGTAGAAGGGGCCCCAGCCTTCAGCCAGGACGAACCACGCCAACCAGGAGCTGCCTTTGCGAAACAGTCTCTGTCCATCAATGCCGCTGCCCCAATCGAACACCCATGGCTTGTGATCCTCGCCAATATTCGAGATTGATGTTCGGAATGCAGACGATAGCAGCATGAACATGAGTTTGTAGTCTTTGGCGTCTTGCTTGGGCATAGCGTCGATGTGTCTAAGCCGCCGTTCAAGTATTAAATCTTCTTTCTGCTGGCTCATTCCCAATCTGCGCGAAGGGCACAAAAACCGAGAGGCAAACTCGTTGACCGGCTTGGGGTCATCTGGCTGGGATGTGGGGGTCGAGATGCTCGCTAGCCGGTACAAAACACGCCAACCATTTGCGATTCGTGCTCGTAGTTCATCGCCGTAAGCGTCTTCGGCTGGGATGCCATAGCGTTGCTGCATGGAGTCATGTGCGATGCGATGACGATCCACCAAGATCGCTGCGAGTTGGCGAGGTATCAAATCTCTGAGCCATGGTACTGTGAAGCTAAGAGGCCGGTAGAGTAAAAGATTATCACAGCCAGGGAACGAGGCGCGCGCGACCAAAGGTGCGATGGTGTTGATGTACTCGGATGCTAGGTTTCTCAATCTCCTGTTAGTCGATTGCAGAGCAAGAAACTCGTCGACAGTGCATTCCGAACAGATGAGGATAATGATGTCGTCCGGTAGGTCATTGAAATGCAACCGCTCTGCAGTAAGCTTCGGTGAAGTCTTCTGACAGCGCGTCAGAGAGAACATTGTCAGAAATAGCGAAGAAAGGAAGGCTAGATGTAAGTGAGTGCGAGAAGTGAGTGCGCGAACAAGTCACACCTCGGTGCGTTGCGGCGCAATAGACTGACAAACAAGGCGGGAGATTGATCAAGACATGGATACCGCTCCTTCAACAGCTGAATTGATTGACGATCATTTTAGGAACTTGATGGCTTGGGATTGAAACTCAACACCTATGGACCTGGGGTCAATTGCTGCTCGTTGGGATAAACCATAGAGCACTGCGATGTGTGACAACCGAAATCGCAGGATGCAGTGGGGATCTGTGTGCAGCCGGAGGTGAGTATTCACAGGGAACCCATGCCCGAGAGCCATGTTGGCGGTGAAGCGCCTTCGTGAGCGGTGTGGCGATTGCTGAGAATGATTCGAAAGACTGCGAGACTCTGAGATCGAAAAAGCATCCCTGGCGACTGGTCACATTTAGCAGCGCGTTGTTGTTGCGGTTCTGGGAGCTCAACTGATCCCAATAACTGTCAAGTTTGTGTGCTGACTAAGATTCCGCAAGGGCCCGACCCGAGTGTGGGCATCCCACCTTCCGTGAGCGACAGTTGTCAGGCATCTTCCGCTGGTAAAGTCGACGCGACATTCATAAGCCTGTGCCAGACAGTATCATCTCTCGTCACGGCCGGCAATGGAAAAGTGCGCAGAGCGTGAACAACGCCGCAGACACTCGTGGGCGATCCATAATTAGATTGGTCTTACGCTGATCGCAACGATCCTCTCTTCATCAGCACGACTTCGCCTCAGCGTTACTCCAAGACGCACAGCGCATGCTTGGGTGCATCCTTGCGAGTTTTTGTCAAACATGACTCCTTACTCCATGTCACAAGTACGCCGCTGTCTTGCTTGCAGCAGCTTCTGCTCATCTGGCACTGCAGCACTGAGCATCCAGTTGCCAGGTACGGTTACGATGACTCGGTTCAATGAGATGTAGTTCCAGCTCTAAGAATGTCTGCTGTCTGCATATCAGCTGTTGCGCCAAAAGGCTTGGTTGTGCTCTATGAACGCCACAGGTCGATGTAGCGAGTTGTTGCTACAATCAAACGCCGCTAGACACTGTTCAGGTATCCCTATGCTCTCATCTTGTGAACGCACGTCAGACTGAGAACGCGGTTCTCAGCCGAACAATTCACGGCAGTCATCCCTAGCCCGCCTTTGGCTAGACGCTTCATAAGCATCATTGAGTGGCTCAGTACGACCGGCTTACTGTTGGTCAATGTTCTACCCGTTGGCCTGGTCTGACATAACGCACCAGTCTCCACCTTGAACGATGAGAGACTGGACGCACGTCAGGGATGCGGGTCGAGTGTGACTGCGAATGGGCATTGTTTGCGCAAAGCAATTTCCGCTCATTTAAGTCGTGCGCTGCTCGTCTTCGCGATGAATTCTCCGTCTTCAGCTCCGCGCTACAATTGCAATTCTGATTGCTGATATGTCAGGACGACTACATAAGATCATAGCCTCAGCCTCAGCCTTGCTGCAGCTTTCGAACGCTAAGCTCGCGGATCCAACTATCACCGCTCCTGCTGTGCTACCAAGGCAAAATAGCGATGCCTTCATTGGGTACCTTGAGTTGAGCAACACCTGTAAGGCATCACAAGCTTGTCCTGGAATATTTCTGACTTGGCTGTATCTTAGGGACTAGCATTAGTTGTAAGTCCAAGAGCTCTGCAGAAATTTAACCTCCTAACAAAGTCAGGCAACTCCGGCCTCACATGGTATCAAAGCGGACAGTATGCTCAGTGTTGTCCAGAGACCGAAACCCATTGCTACGCGCCGACAGCGTGTGTTGGAGGATCGCAAATCTATACATATCCAGACAGCTCAAGTGTGAGAACAATTGCTTGTACCGAAAACTACCAGAACGCTGCGATTTCAATATGCAATACCATCTTTATCTTCGAGAATACCCATGACTCTAATCCTCGAACGAACATCAACTGCGGAGACTCAAGCGCAAACTGGTCCTATTACCGGGATGTCCCACTGGAGGCGACTGCTACAAGTAAGCCACCACTTTTACCTGTCTTCTGCGATACAATCTGACCTTGTATCAGCAAGCTCGATACCAGGAGCCACAACCAGCACTCCAGCGCTGCCAACTCAGGCGTCTGAACCCGAACCAGGCTCCAAAGCATGGATTGCAGGAGTCGTCATTGGCCCAATACTTGGCCTTGCACTTGTAGGAGCTGGTGTTTGGTTCTTTCTGCGCCGCAAAAGGAAGGCTGTGCAGTTGCCTCAGCACAGCAGCGGGGCACACATCGACTCGGATTCGCCACCAGCAGGCGTTGAAGGCTACACTGAAGCAAGGCCTCAGTCCTATCCGGCTCAGCCGACACATTACAATTTACCCGGACAATCGGGTCAATATAGGTATCCTCAGCAAGGCGGTTTCTCGCCTGTGCCCCAATACGGCTTTCAGTCTGCGTATAACGCAACTGCAGACCCACAACCAGAAGCGTACACTCACAATACCAAACGCGAAGGTATCGGTGGTACTGCAGAGCTTGCTGGCAATGACACTGGCATTGCGCGAACTGCGCCTTCGCCACTGGTCGCGGTTCCGGTCTCTGAGCTGAGTGGTGTTGATGCGAGACGGCTTGGGCAAGAGGAATTCGACAGCAACAAGCCACAATAAGCAAGCAGATCTGGAACGGACGAACTACTGGCCTGGCTCTGAAATTGGCAGACTGAAAGAGAATATGCCTGTGCAAGGCATCACTGTAACTCCTAGGCCTTCATACGTTTCTCGATTGCTTCACCAATTCAGACAACCCAGCCTGTAACTGCGTTACTGCTCGAAGTTCATTGAAACTCATCCTTCGTCTTTCTATTCCCATTTCCTTCACGATTTCGTCTTTCCCTCTTTGGTCCATGGCCCCGTCAGTCCCTCCGCGCTCAACCCAAGGACTGGGTCTCGCCCCGGCACTTCGACATTCTGTGGCACACATCATAAAACTGCCCCTCATACTCGTCCCCAACCGCAAAGTCCCACTCTCCACACCTCGGATACGCCTCTATCATCATGAACTCGCCCATCCTCGGGATAGTCTCGAAGAATTCCCTACTTCCGTCCTCGTCGTTCTTATCTGGCCGCTAATGAAACTCATTCCCATCTGTCTTGGGCAAAGGGTTGTGCGTCTTATGCGCCACACCTGCCGGGAGGATAAATACATCCCCCACCGCTGCATGAAGCAGCACACCACCTTCCTCTCTACCCCCCTCGCTCAGATCCTTGCCTGCAGCCCCCAGCCTGAGAGCTTGCTCGCGGTCTTTCTTCGAGTCTGCAACACCGAGGCAGATTCTTGCGCTCCCACCCGAAATCATCGCCATGCATTGGTGCGACCCGGGGTGGTAGTGTGAGCTCTGATTTGGTCCGTAGCCTGCGATCTATTGCGATTGCTAGCCGTTGGATGCGAAGAGGTTGAAGATCCAGTGGCTTGTTGAGAAAGTTTGTCTTTGATTAGAGATGTGAGGAGACCTGGGTAGTGGATCAAGACGTGGGATGAATTTGGGATTAGCTTTGTGGGTGTGAGGATGTAGATTCGGACTTCGATCTTTTTGGTGGCTGCCGTCGTGAATTAGTGGTAGGTGTGATGCAATGTTGATACCAAACAATCAGCGCGATGTGCTGCACATAATTCGATTCATAATTAGGCGAAAGTAAAAGATCTGAGAGACATATAGACATCTACACACGCTGTGCCTAAGCGAGGCCATTCCGACCTCAACACAACTGTCTTTTTTGGGTTAATGAGCACCTACATTAAGCAGCACCTTGACTACCTGCTTGTGGCGGCTAGCTGAAGCAGTCTGCAGCGCGTTTCCGTAGTCTACACCCTGTGCGTTAACCTCTGTGCCTTTGTCAAGCAGCGTCTTAACTACCTGCTCGTGGCCTCCAGCTGAAGCTGCCTGTGACCGACTCTTTTCGCCATGCGCTCGCACTCGTCGACGACACAATTGAGGTCGACTACTACATTTCATCTCCGGCAGAATCAGCGTACCGTATAATTGAACGCTGCCGGCATCGAAACGAAATTTGCTTGTGTTCAGCAGTCAGTCTTGTCCTGGTACTTGAAGTTGATCCCACAACAATCGAAGCGCAGAGGCTTGCCAGTCTAAGCGTTCAACTTCGAGTCCGGCGAGATGTGTACACGCAAGTGTCGCACGAACAATGCGTAAACAGAATCCTCTGTATCAATGCTCTATCTTCCTTGGGTATCTTCACTCCATCTAAATAACCATATCCCCCTGCTCTTCCTCCCCAGCACCTAATCCCTCATCGCCCTCCTCATCCAGATCCTCGAGCGGATACGTCAGTATCGCCGCCACGCCGCCCAGCCCCTCCAACCGCTTTCCGCTCTCGTGCAGCGAACTGAGGACTCTGACCTCACCGCCTTCGACGTCCCTCACCCGGTCCACAAGCCCGACCCAGCGTCTCCGCTGCCGAACATTCTGCGCCCGAAATAGACTGTTGCTGATCAGCAACACCCCGCCTCCCCTCCCGACGGCGCCTTTGTCGACCGCGCGCTCCACCTCGCGCGGCCCGTACCAGGCGCGCCCGTCGTCGAGGCGCACGAGCGTGAGGAATCTGTCCATGAGCGCCGTTTCGCGGGCGTATTTTGTGTCAGATAGCTTTGTTGTTATCGCGGGCGAGGAGAGGATTTCGTTGAGACTGTGGATGTGGGCAGAGGACGAGTGAGCGACGACGATATTCGACACGAGACTCATGAGGGGTTTGTTGGTGGTGCGTGTTGCTTCGGCTTTGAGGTAGGCGAGGAAGGCGTTGGCGACAAAGCCGGGGGATGCGAGGAGGAGCGGGAGGGTCTTGCTTTGTGTGGCGGTTGTACTGGGCAGGTCGATTTGGCGCAGCAGTGTGGTCAGCGTCGTCGAGAAGAACTTATCCATGCCCTTTGTGTGGCCGTCGGCGCCGCCACGTCGCTTTCGCGGGACTGCGACTTCGATGTGTTGGCGCAGGATGGTCTGGTGCTCGGTGATCATGCATATGTTCGCTGTGCCTTCGCCCAATACGACAGCCCAGAGCTCGGCGCGGCGTTCGGTGTCGGAGGCTTCTTTGAGCATTTCCAGCGCGACGCTGTCCCAGCCGTCGGCCTTCTCGAGGGTGAATTTGCGGTTCAGCTCCAGGTCGAGCGTGTGGTGCTGGCCGAGCTTGACGTGCTCATTTTCGGCTGCGACTTTGCCCGAGACGTGCAGCTGCCCGGATCCGATGTCGAAGTCGGTGTGCGTGACTTGGATCGTGAGGTCCATGGTGATGCGCTGCGAGTTCACGGAGCCGGCGTCGGACGTCTTCGATACACGGCGGACGGCCTTTGCGCGGATGCGGTCGTTTTCTTGGATGAGGTTGTAGGCGTGCCACTGCGCGAGGTCAGCGATAGGCTCTACATCGCGACTTGAGAACAAGTACCATATCCTCTGGCTCTTCTGGTAGCAGCGTCACGAAGCCAGAGCCCGTCTTCTGCTCGATTTGCGACTTGAGTAACCGCATCTTGACCGCTGTGTGAGATGTGTAATGTGTAGTTCTGTATGCCTTTCAGATACTTCAAGATAGGTTCAAGTCTTGGTCAGCGTGTGCGCGCGCGTAGCATCACAAAAAAGTGTCGGCGAGGTATGGCGTAGCTATTGTTAATCGAAGAACCATGACGTTCTGAAGTGCCCCTCCACAATTCAAGTGGGTCCCTCTCTGCTTCACCCTTGTCTCTCTCGCTAAGTCCGCGACTCCATCCCATCAGCACCTCAACAATCATCACACAGGTATTGAGGCAGCACGCAAAGTGTTCTCTTCCAAACAAGTCGACCCAGACTAGGTGATCATCGCCGATCTCGACGGCTGAAGTATGCGTGTCCTCCACGCTGCGCATAACAGGCAGCAAAGTACCGTAGAAGACAGGTGTAACTCGCCGTCGTCGTCAGGCACCAACAACACATAACATGTGCTAAATTGACTCTCTGAAGTATGTCACCAAGTGTCTCAAACAATTACACCCCCATCATGTTTGCAGAGCGCGCGCACGACGGCCCTCATTGTTCCCCAATCCCATCAATGTCACACCAGGACACACAAGCCCAAAGCCCTCTTCTCAACCGTCTCCCAGCCGAGATCCGGAATAAGATATACATCCACATATTCACTATCCCCTCGTCGGTCTTCCCAGCAGATCAGCGCGCACCACACCCACTTTCCCTTCTGTTGACGTGCAAACGCGTCCACGCCGAAGCTCACATCCTAGCTTTCAGGACCTACACCTTCCCCCTCCGATCATGGATATCAGCTACATACATCCATCTAAGCGCCAGCGTATCCCATCTCCCAGCATCTTACATGTCAGCCATTCACTCACTCTCGGTGCCATCTAGCCGCAACACGGGCGCGTTCTTGGCCAACGCACTGCTCGTGTTTCCTCACCTGCGGCAGTTCATCGTAAATAGCGAGACGACGGGCTCCCGGGGAGCTCAGAGCGGGAAATGCAGCGTCTCTCGCGCCTCGAACCGCCTTGCGTTCCCCGCGGGCGTGTGCGACACCGCTGTCACAGAGGATCCTGCGCACCGCGCCGTCGCACGCTACGCGCCGCACGCTCTCACTGCTCTCCTTGCTACGGTGACGGAGGGAAGTGCGTACAGATGGCAGAAGGGACGCACGTGGAGGGCCGAGTGGCCGCAGCTGAATAGCGAGTACTTGTACTCCGCGATCCAGTGCGACGGGCACGAGGTGAGGGAAGAGCTGATCATGGATGGAGATGCTGTTGGCTTGGCTGGCGGCGTGGATGTGTGTGTTTGTGGATGTGAAGTTGTGAGTTGGACGGCAGCGGTGTTGGTGCAGGAGGGAGGACGGCGGGTCCATGTCCATGTCGCGTATTGCCGAGAGGCGGATGAGGGAAAGTGTGATGACGCTTCAAGTACATCCCACGAGATCAGGCTGGTGCCGGGTATTGCACCGGCCAGTGGGGTTGTGGCCGAGCGTGCTGGGTTCAGATGTGAACCTGGCGAGGAGTACTGGGAGGCTATGAGGCGGAGGAATGGGCACCTTGGGGCATTGTGTCGAGGGCTGTGGAGGAAAGCGATGGCGTTCGAGAACGAGAGCTATTCTAGGCTGACGGCTCGGAAAAGAGAGGCGATGGATCTGAATTGAGCGTGCCGGCTGGTATTGTGGGAAGTGCATTGATGAGCGGATTGAGCATGGTGGGAGCAAGTGTACCTCGCGCCACATGATTAGATTCAACGTGAGGAAGCCAGAAGAGGAAGGAACGAGCATGAGGAGTTCAAGGTAAGGTGATTATATCCATTGATTCATAGTCCACAACCATCCAATCTCGACCAGCGCGTTGCGATTCAGTTGAGAACGAAGCCGCAGCGAGCGAATGCGCGACTTCTCATCATCTACACGTATCAACCATACGCCAACCACGGGCGCTCTCTCGGCTCTCTCAGCCAAATCTCGCAATCGATCCAAAACAAAGGTGATCAATCCAATCCAATCCAAAACTCGCCGGTTCCAAAGGAAGGGGACTGCCACATGCGGCTAATTACATCTCCGTTTTTGATGTGTAGAACGAGTATGCGCGCGGTAGGACAAGGTATAAAGAAAACGACAGTCGGCCAGATGAATGTGTACAGTGCCGGAAGATGGATAGCAGATCGTTGCGATTACGCCGTAAACACCGCCCAATGGAAAGCGCCTGTCGAAAGATGTGACAGCGCCGAGGTGTCGCAAAAGTCTATCGCAAGCGCTGCCGCGCGCTAAGAAGAGCACGAAAAAAAGCGCGGATTAAATAGATATTTCGGAGAAGCGTGAAGATCATTCTGAGCCCTTTTCGTACTTGACGGGGTGGAACAGCGCCGGGCGCATGCAGAGACGACCGGAGCCAGCCTCTTCCTCAGCTGGGCCGCCCTTGTCGTTCTCGCGCGAGCCGAGCCATCTCCTCCACCATTCAGAAGAGAAGCCAGCGTTGTAGTAGAAGCTGTTGCCCAGCTGATTGTGCTCACCCCAGCCAAAAACGCTGTCTGTTGGCTTAGGCGGCTTGTTGTAGGTTCCGTCGAGGGCCTCAAGCGGCCAGTTGTGGTCAAAGTAGACGGGATGGTTGGCGTAGACGGCTTTGAGTCCGTGGTGGAACGCAACCGTTGGCGGCCACATCTCGGGAAACATGTGGTGCTTCATTAGGTACGTCTCGCGGTGCATCAGGTCCAAGAGACGCTTTGAAAGTCGTGCAACGGTAATGATTGCGCATCGTCGTGGGGGTTCGGGGAGCTCAAGGTCGTAGCCGGTGACGTCGTCACGGAAGACCCAGTTGGTCTTGGCAGGGTCGAAGATGGGGTTGAAGGTGATGATGTCGGCTTCTTCACCAACACCCCACTCGTAATTGTCCTGGAGGTACGATGTGGGTGGCTCAGTCTCAGGGGGACTGGGAAGCATGCCAGTGTTCTCGAACTTGGGAGGACCCCAGACGGGCTTTTCGTCGCTGTTGTAGAGCTCCTCCTCGACCAGCTCGGTGAAGTTCTTCCAAGAGCCATGGAGCTCGGGGATGTAGTAGCGCGAAGAACGCTCCCACAGACCCTTGCGCGGCTGTCTCTTGGCGAATTCGCCAATCTTGGTGTTGAACTCGTAGTAGTGACCGGTGAGACGGAGATCCATCTCCCAGTTCCAGTAGAAGTCGTACTCGGGGCGGGCCTGCGAGAACCACTGCAGGGCAAAGTGTGCACTGCGGTAGACGGAGTGGACGGGCGCCTTGGCGTGGTTGTAGACGTTGTTGGGAAAAGGCTCGGGGTAGTACATCTGCATCTGAGCGCCAGACCACAGAGTAGCCATGCCCCAGAACTCCTTGGGCAGGTTGTCCTCGATGACCTTCTGGTAAATCTCCTCGGACGACCAGATTGGGATGCTGTCGTCCTTGACGTGGATCAGGAAGTGGACATCGTACTCGCCGCCAGACTTGAGTGCAAGCTCGCTGATCATGGCACGGAGACTGAGAATCTGGTAGTCGCTGTACTTGTAGCCTGTCCAGGTGCGGAGAATGTAGGCGTGGCGAGAGACCTTCTTCTTGGCGGGGCCGGCGCCCTCAGCCGCGGTGTCATTCTTCTTGAAGCGGTGCATGTTCTTCTCGTGGCATCGCTTCTGGGCATCGGCCCACTTGACCTTGCGGTAGTCGACCTTCTTCTCCCAGCTCCAGATCTTCTCGGAGCCAGCCTTCTCGGACTTGGCCGACATGTCAAGGCCGCCCTCTTCTCGGGAGTAAGAGTAGCCGTAGGGCCCGAGACGGCCGAATCGCTCGAAGCAAACCTTGTCGTTCATGCCGAGCTCCTCGTACGAGCCGAAGAAGGGAGCGGTCGCGTTCTGGGGGATGCCGGGGTAGGCGTAGATGTCAGGGAGGTCGATCTTCTCGTCCTCGTCGAGGTAGCAGGTCTCGACCTTGTCGTGGTCCTTGAGGTAGGCCTCGGACTCGAACGGGTAGGGGTTGAAGGGGACCGGGTCCATGGGCGGCTCCTTGTTGTCCTTGGACATGTGCGGCCACTTGGGCTTGATGTTGTCCTCGGGGTTGGGGCTCTGCGAGTACTTGACGTAGTCCTGCTCAGAGACCCAGTCGCCGTAGGGGACGATGGTGCGGACGCCGTTCCAGAAGCCCGAAAGTCTACGCAGTCAGTGGTGCAATCGTCATGGGGGCGGAGCGTGGCAGTGCCTACCGTGGGTAGTGCTCCCAGTGGTACTGTTTCCTCTCGTCGCCACCGTGCTGCATGTGCATCTTGTGGCGGCGGTAGATGCCGCCGCCGAGCATCGAGGCCAGGACGGCGACGGTGACGAGCAGGGTCAAGATGCGGGCCATGGAGAAGCGTGGGCGCTGCACCTTGTTGACCCACGAGGGCTGGCGGGCGCGGGTAGTGGGCCATGACTTGCTGCTGAACAGCGGCAGCGGCGAGGAGCTCTGGCTGTCGGCGCCAGGCAGCTTCTCGTAGTTGAAGCGCGTGCGGATGAACAGCTTGCTGGCATTGAAGCGCGAGGCCATTGTGCGTGCGGGCGAGGGAGAGCCTCTGCGTGCGTGGTGTCACCTGTAGGGGGAGTGCGCCTGGTGCGCTTATTTCATGTGCGGCTCCAGCAGTGCCACGGGCAGACGCTGTCGCTGCGGCGGATAGGGAGGGCTGGCGCTGGCGTGCGGTGCGGCGGGGGCGTGGCAGTGTGTCGAGACGCGGCGGGTCAAACGAGCGTGCTGTCCTGGGGCCGGACGTCTGTGGGAGAGGCTCGCAGCGGTGGGAGCAGAAACTGTAGAGACACTGGAGATGGCACGGCTAAGAGACTGAGCGCTGGGCGTGCGCAGGTCCTAAGGGGTTTTCGGCGCCCCCCAGCGAGCCTAGCGGCGCTCTAGCAGCGCGCTCGCAGCACACTCGCAGCAGGGCTCGCGCCTTCCACCGCGCTAGGCCAGGACCGCTGCAACTACGTCTGGAACGCTGGATGGCGCCCGGTTAGTCGTCGACGGTGCACGCACGGCAATTGGGCAATGGATGGCGATAGCCAGTCCTGACAGTGCGCCAGCGGAAAAGAATTGCAGCTCCAGCACCTTGGCCTTTGTGATGGCAGCGCTGCTGACGGTGCTGCGCTCGTTATCTGTTGACCGTGGGCCCCCCCGGCGAATCAATGCACCACGCTGCGCAGCCCCCGCCACTGCACCTGGACACCGGTATCGATACACTCCCGCGCTGCCGTCGTCTCAACAACGCGCTGCACCTACGCTCTTGCGGCGGCCGTGGAGCTGCTGTGGCCGCGCAGCCCTGACCTTGATGAGCTGCAGCAGTCACGCTGCCAGCCTCGACGGGCGCACCAGCACCTCGTCCATGCCAGCGACGGTAATAATGACATGTTGCGAGCCCTCTTCCTCTTTCTCTTCCCCCTGGTGTCATTTTCGCCCGCTGCCCGCGCCCCCGGCCCGTTCGCAGCCAGATCCGTCCATCTGCGCCCTCTGATTCGCTGGCTGTCGACTCAGTCAGCGAGCAGCAAAAGCGTACGCGGCCCTCCCAGAGTGGCGGCCAATCGAGACCCTCTGAGACTGTCCCATCGCTATTTTCATCGCCCGATATTGACCCAGAGCGTTGATCCCGCCGCGGCATATCATCGTCGCTTGCTCGTTCCGTTTGGAGCCTGCCATGATTTACGGAAGAGCGTCCCATTAATTTCGTGCAGCTGGCTACACTTGTGTTGCACAGTGTTTTGCAGGCTTCTGGTCGACGTCAGGCAGCCTCGAGCTGACACTCTCGCATTGACGCACGCCTCGAGAAGGAGGTTCTCGCTGGGTGTGGCCCCTGTTCCCGCGAGTTTCTGATGACAGTGGACCCACGCATGGGGGACGTGCATCTCTCTTCATCTCGGGCTTTGGCCAAGTCATGCGGGTCAAGTCAAACCCACGCCAAGGTCAGACAGCCTTGACATGTTCAGTTGATCAGGTGTGCAACGGCTGCGAAACCCCATGCTCGGTTCCCTGTAACCAGCGTCGTCAGCCAGACCAACGTGGGTGTGCATCTGCTCCATCGTCGATAATATTGCATCTTTACAGCTTCATGTCCAGAATGCGCTAGTCTGCCATACCGTCTGCAACATTGCCACCCAGGTGCACCGATAATTGAAGCTACACGGATTGTCCAGCAGACAAAGCCATCTCAAAGTCGCAAGTCTGACAACCATTCAAGGGTCTATCGTTACTCGAAGCAAAAGCAACAAGCTCAGTCTGCATATCTGCCAAGGTCGCGGTGCTGTGGATGACCTCATTCCTGAGACTGGTCTGGTGATAAAAGTATCTGGCCTTATCGTGCGTAGCCCGAATGTTAGGACTATTGACGGCACTTGATATGGTGCGACATCAGGCTTTGTCGCGATAAGAGACGGCGGACCGTTCGTGAGAAAAAAAGATGGCTGGCAAGCGCCAGGTGGAGTTAGCCTGACTGATTGTGGCATTTGACCTATATTAGCAATGCTGGAGCGCTGCCAGTCGACGGCAGGCATCTCGTCCACAGCAACGCTTCATACGCAGCCTGAGCATGTCTCAGCAATGACAAACGACTGACCATACTGCATTGTTCCGTCTCCCTGCAAGAAGCGATACGAAGACCTCCTGGCCTTAAAGTCTGGCAGTGTGTAGGCTGATAGCACAACTTCTTGATTTTCACGCTTCTCCAAATCCAACCCTTGCATGCTGCGTCATGACAGTTGGATCATCCGTGCAGCCTGGAATATTGTGCACAGGGACAAATCACTTCAAAGAAATATATAGCCACCAAGATTTGCGCAGTGTCTTGCGTAGAAGAATGCTGCGTGGCTTTAGTTCATTCACCAACGTCTTTCGTTGTCCAACAAACCATTTCAAATTGCAGGCCGTTTCCATGTTCCTCTCGATACCAGCTATTGCGAATGTTTCACTCGGTTCTGTTTATGTAGTTAAAACAATACACAAAGCTGCAGTTCGAGCACCTGAGCCAATGGCGTCGCGTCCATCTCCGCTCGGGCCTTCCAAATTTCCGAGTCACTTCCACTTTCGACTCATAGCGCGACCCCACGTCAAGCCGATTGAGGCTCCCCGCGCACGATAGACAAACCGTACACTCGCCAAAATGACAGGAACACGGGGCCCAGTGCCCGTACCTCTGGAGACTCAGGGTCGCAACCTCACACAAGACGTACTCGACCTCCTCGACACAAAGGAAACGCTCCAGAGCAATGAGGATTTCCCCGCCATACTGCAGCGCGACATCAAGGCCGCACTCGACAGGCTCGCCAGCAGATCGATGGTCGAATACAAGACGAACGACAAGGAGCAGGTCAACCTGACACCCGAGTCGGAAGGAATTGTCGCGAATGGAAGCCACGAGTTCAAGGTCTGGAAAGCAGTGAAGGAGGCGGGGAAGATCGCTATCAAGGACTTGCCTGTGGGTAGCGCACTGGTACACGTTCTGTAAGGCTTGGGCTGATAACTCGGGCACAGAACATTGTCGGCAAGGACTCTGCGAGCGTGGGACAGGGCAATGCATTCAAGAACAAGTGGATCAAGAAGGACGGCACCGAGCTCGTCCTCGTAGCCACAGAAGAGCCCGAGGACGGCATGCAGAAGCTTCTCAAGGACATACAGGAAACGCACACTGTATCAGATGTCAAGCAGCTCAACGACCTGAAGAAGAAGAAGCTCGTTACCGTCACCAAGGTCATCACATACACAGTCACCAAGGGACCCAAGTACGCGAAGGAGATGCCCGTGGAGCACACAGACTTGACAGAAGACCTCCTCAAGAGCGGAGCCTGGGAGACCGCGAATTTCAAGCCGTACAACTTCGCCGCGCTGGGCGCAGTGCAAAATGCCGGCGCATTGCATCCTTTGATGAAGGTCAGGCAAGAATTCAGGAACATCTTCTTCTCGCAAGGCTTTGTCGAGATGCCCACTCAACAGTAAGACTGTGCGCGTTTGCCATTACGGACGACCGACTGACGTATTAGCTTCGTCGACTCTGGCTTCTGGAACTTCGACGCTCTCTTCGTACCACAGCAGCACCCTGCCCGTGACATGCAGGACACCTTCTTCGTTTCCGACCCAGCGATAGCGGACAAGCCGCGCGCCGACCCCGAGAGCGAGAGACAGATGGACCAGATGGAGGCAAGCTCACAACGTCTTTTCGCGACCGAACAAAGCCAGAAGGAAAAGAAGCCCAGAGACTTCGAAAAGTACTGGAACGATGTCAAGAAAGTCCACGAGGAGGGCGCTTTCGGCTCAATAGGCTGTATGTTTGAGCAGAATGCTGCCACTGGACGGGTTTGAGACATGAGCAACGTTTACTAACGGGCGCTGCAGACCGCTACAAGTTCAAAGACGAGGAGACATTACGCCTGGTCCTCCGTACACACACAACCGCCGTCTCCACTTGGGCGCTTCACCGATTGGCAGAAGACCCGCGACCTGCCCGCTATTTCTCCATCGACCGTGTCTTCCGTAACGAGACAGTCGACGCTACACATCTGGCTGAATTCCACCAGATCGAGGGTGTCATTGCTGATTTCGGCCTGACATTGGGCGGTACGTTCGACCTCTACGTATATCCTTTGGTTCGAAACTGACACGGCACAGGTCTCCAGCGTTTCCTCGGCGACTTCTTCGCCAACATGGGTCTTGAGAACCTGCGCTTCAAGCCCGCCTACAACCCTTACACAGAAGTATGCATCACTCCTCTGCTGTCGCCCATCATGCTAACCATCGAAACAGCCAAGTATGGAGATCTTCGGTTACCACAAGGGCCTGAAGAGGTGGATCGAAATCGGTAACTCCGGCATGTTCCGACCCGAGATGCTGGAGCCCATGGGATTGCCCAAGGACATGCGTGTCTACGGTTTTGGTCTGTCCCTCGAGCGCCCCACAATGATGAAGTACGGTGTATCGAACATCCGTGAGCTTCTTGGGCACAAGGTCGATCTCAGCTGGATCAAGGAGCAGCCGGCTGTTCGTTTCGACAAGGAGTAGAAGAGGAAGGACGAATCAGCAACGTAGAAAATATCTGGATGACTGACATGATAGAAATATACCAAGCCGATGTTGCTGTTGGATGCGGCACGTCTGACCATTTCCTGTCCCTGACCCACTTGGCATTCTCCAATTCCCAACGTCCTCGTAGTCTGCGAGGGAGAGGTAGAGCAAGGACCAGATCTTCTAGAGACACGACCCGTTGCAAAGTCGGCCGAGTACTAACCTATCCATGTTATTTTCTGGTCCTCCTCGTCCAGGACCTCTTTCCGGACTTCTCCGTCCGTGCCGCCCAAATTCCATCACTGGCGAGAGCACCTGCCGCCACCTGGCCTTCGCCTCGCGCCCTCAAACGTGACGGAGCCCCAGCGCAATCCTCAAGCCTCGGGTCACGAGCTTGTTTTTCCGGACAATCATGTCGAGCAATGAGCGCTCGCAGATACCGATTGAATCGAACGGAACCCAGACGCCTTTCCATACCTTTGCTTATCACACAATGCAACCCAACGATCGGAATCCCCATCTCCAAAAAAAAAGTCAGTGCCCCACTTATCTCGAGTACCCTCCAGAGCTCGACCGATCTCTTCTGAGAGATATTAAGCTTCCTGCCCATGCGTCGTGTTACACTGTTGCACAACTAGATAACCCATACATAGCACCTTCTCTATCCCGAGAAGCGCGCTCTGACTACGCCCTACCGTTCCAGCACGAGCTGTTGCTGTTATCTCCGTCGAGATTGCAGACACCGAGGAATGAGAGAGATATGCTCACTAACGAATACTTCCGCTGAGCGCTGAGTCAAGCTCAACCCCTGCATCTGCACTGGTGATTTTGTATCGATCTCGCGTTCCGCTCGAATTGGAAGGCTGGGGATGGTAGTACTTCATGATCGACTCCCGGTTTGACTGTGTTTGACTGTGCATGTCCGACCCGTATCACGTCTGTGGCATGGAAGATACTGCTTTGTTCCGAGGAGGTGGGTGGGAGGCATTTTGTTGTACGGGTAGTGGTGGCTGTTTTTGTCGCGGGGGCTGAGGGCGCTGTTCTGGAGGTCCGAGGGAGCTGTGGTGATTCGTTCAATGGTCACTCCTTAATTACCATACGTGTGCCACGCGCTCATAGCGCGACTCGCGCGTGCACACGTTCACGTCCTCGCGTCTTGTCATGGAGGTGCAACAATAGTTGACCAGTCGGGATCCTAGGATTGTAGTGCCGTTCCATCTTTCCTGGGGTTTGATGACTTTCCTTGTGTCAAGTCTACTATCGCTCTGCGGCATTTGGGGTCTTCACGGTGCCGAAGAGTGAGGTGTTGGGTTACGTTCTTTCTCGACGAATCAGCTGTTGTTGTATGGATCATCTTCGAGTGTTAGTAGCTCAGTAAGTAGCTGTATGCACTACAAGGATTAAATTGGTCCATAGACGTGCAGGACGTTAGAGGCCGGCTCAATGGGTGACAAGCTGTAGCCCACTAGTACAATGCTACCCTCTCTAACTAGAGAAGCAAGCAAGTATACTCGATCGCATGGGATGCTGTGCTTCTTCGAATAGCTAGTGCTGAGGGTATGCGTTGAACCGGGTTTGGATCGGCATCTGTCAGCAATTCGTCTCAGAGCTGCATCAATACAGGCGAATAAAACGTTTGCGGTTGTCACTATGATCTCTCAAGAGAGAATGCACCCTAGGTTGACTAGTCGCGCTGCCAGTATTCGTCTTCGCGAGCTCGTCTATCCAAATGTCCATAGCTGTGGCGGCGCCATCAAGGTAATGAATCCGGCCGTTGATCCATACCATGATCCGAAACGCTCTGGCAAAGACGACTCCTATTAGAGCCACTTGATGAACCTTCTCTTGAGGATTGGTCTGATCGATATAGAAAAAGCATCAACCCGAAATTTATAACCCTAAGTTCATGTCTCTCACGTTCGAATGATATGCTTGATCCACCGTGTCGAAATCCTGGTACAGGTTTTTCCCGATCGTGGACAGCGTTTTCTCTCCGGACCAGAGGTTTCGAAGCAAGATAATTCTCATCATAGTCGTGCAACTCCACCTGTTTGACACGCACTGGTGTGTTGCATTAGTCGTTGTATGGCGCTTAGGGCAACGAAAGAAACTCTCGGACGAAGTGTCGAAATATAGTGTTACGCACGCGGCAGGTAGATTGCTGGTCGTGCTCCAAAGACTGGTGCTGGAAACCTTCACTTGCGTTCTGCGAGAGGTCTGGAATTTCATGGCTACCACGGACATTGCTCCTTCAGTGACGATTTCGTTTGGTATTGATGGGTTGGTAGTGTGGAGGGATGCGCGCATGTCAGAATGTTCCGTGGCTGCGGCCCAGGGCAGGGGGCAGGATCCTTCATCGGACAATTTAGCTCTAGAGCTGCATCCTTTGAAACACAGCTTTGAAACACGACATGCCCTTTGCTGACGATAAGGGGCTCTCTGGTGTTATCATGACGTTCCAGCAGTGCAAAGTCGATGAACGTTTGAATAATACGATATCCATGCCTTTGGCTTGCGCTTCCCACTCAGATGCCCAACTCCCATTTCAACGACTCAAGGACACACGCGTTGTCCTCGCGGACGCTTTAGCATTGCGAACACCGAGTGACGTTAAGGTCCGAGATGGCGTTACTGCGGTGAAGACGGGCCGGCCCTCAGGAACAGAGACGTTTGAAGATCGACGCATCTATACCTAGAGGGTTTGTCGATCCGGCCTTACTTTGCCAGAGTGATGGAATCTGGGGGCGGGAGGTGGGGTTCGACGTTCACGTCTCGGAGTGCTGGTGTTGCCGCTCGAGCGACAGGCCAATTCATCCCATGCCTCTTTCCCCTCAACGCACATCAAGCCAACAAGGAGACAGCGATGTTATGTTATGCAGCACCTGCCCTGACAGATTGCGCGACATCAATAATCGAAGAGCAAACTTGTCATCAAACTTACAATTCAACATCATCCCAATAGGGCCGCGGACGAGTGCCAAAGGGAGGGCGGGAAGAACCTGTGGCACAGCTGATGGAATCCTGGAGAAGCGATCGACCACAACGCCCGCAAGGTACAGCGCCAGCGACCCAGTAACCTCTCAATTGGAAGCAATTGCGGCCCATGAATCAAGTACATTGCAAGGACCTTCTTCAATCGAACCCGATCCACAAACGATGGCGTGCAGAAAGAATGATCAAGCCACGATGTTATGAGTCGCGAACGTTGCGAAAAAACGCGGAGGACCGTTCAGTCCAACGTTTGCGGTGCTCGAGCTGAATCAAAGCCCGTCAGGGCTCAGGAGCTACCGGCCGCGTGGCGCAGTTTTTTACAGTGGAGTGATTTCTTAACACTAGCTCAATGCCAAGGGCCCAGCATGGGCAGACACGGCTTGCTGCTCCTCGCGATCTGACTTGTGCCAACTCGCATATTTCCTGGAAGACCGTCCGGCATCCGGTTATACGATTGTACTTCGTACAGCGAAGGCTCTTAGCTGCATCTACCGTCGAGAAACGGTTTCCGCTTCTGCTGAACCATGAACGAGGGATTCCTTGACTCTCTGGATGATGTAAAGCTCACGCAATTTGCGCGTCAAGATTGAAGGGTCTGGAGACGTCCATCTCGGTCGTAGCAGCCGCATTAGGCAATACGACCACTAAATACGCTGCACCGCCAAAATCTTCTTCATTCTTCCCGTCGATGACATGGGGCCATTCTCCATATACGTGCCGTCTCATCTTCGGGGAGCTGCTCCCGTAACAAGGGTTCGACAAGGAGTCAGGAGCTGCAGAGGGCGACGACTGCAGCTACAAGTCGGTCGAGCGGGCACTCGGCGATGGTGGGCTTGATCCGTAGCCATAAAACAACGGGCCAGAATATCCCAGTGAGCAGAGAGATATGACGGGTTGCTCTAATGCTGGTACGTTTGCAGCTCAACAAGCACGTGCTTTGTTGATCCGCGGTTAATTGAACATGCAAGGTCATGGTCTTTTGCAGTTACGAAGTACGATCGGTTAAAGACGATGCATACAGTAGCGAAATTTTGAATGTCGCTGAAATTCCAGATGCGGTTCTTTGTGGCCGTCTGTCGTGGAGAGAAGTCGCGTTTCTGCCTGATCGATGTCAAGCGAGCAGAGCACAGCGCCTTTGCACCCAATTACACAAGACTCCGGCACTCCGGAGTCTGCCGTGTCGCTTGGGGATGCTTGATTCCGTTGTCTGGGCAGAGTGCATGGCAGAGGAGACGACAGTCCAGGTTTTCTTCAATCTGTTCGTGCCGTACCGAGGTTGGAGAAGGAGAGCCAAGGTCCACTCTCGCCAGGCCAGGCCTTAACGACCAGATGGTGCAGCATCGGTGCCTTCATTGTGGCAAGCCTCAAGTCGAGCCTGGGGTATGATGTATCTTCATGTACCTTTCGGGATCAGATGCTGTCACTCGGAGCTTTAGATCAGCGGCCAGTGAAGTGGCGCGGAGCCGGGAGCACACGACTAGGGTCCGTCTGAAACTGCTTCCATGCTAGAAATCCACTTCCTCGTGGCAAGTGGGTGGAAGGGTTTCTAGCGAGAGTGCGAGGGCGTATTAGATCTCCGACTGAGCTGTGCTAACAGTGGGAGCGCGTGCCGAATGCACGCAAGCGGCCAGTAAATGTCACCCACTATTTTGTGTACTCCGAGTCAATATTAATCTTCGGAAGTTCCCACAAGAGGCAAATTCCCCTTTTCCTAGGTCATCCGACGTATATACTACAGTAGAGGTCTGTTGCTGCTTCTGGTACCTGTTGCTCTCCTACACCGAAGCTCGTTGATTGAGCAGAGGACGCCATGCCGACATCCGTCGAGGACTTTCAGCTTGCTGCAGTGGCAGCAGGCTTCACAATTGGATTCGGGTTTCTCACCGTATGGGAGGCTATCCAGCAAACACGGCGGAACCGCAACCCGCTAAGGTCCATCTACATCTACATGTTGTGGGGTGAGATCGTGGTGAACGTATGCATCGGCGTTGTCGGATGGCTCTTCTTGACAGGCACATTGGGTCCCACGTAAGACACCGAGATCACGCAATGGCACGGATCGATGCTGACATCAAGATAGTGTGCCAGTCCTGTTCTTCATTCTTTTGTTCTGGGTGTTCCAGATCCAACTGCTCATGCAAATCATTATCAACCGAATTGCACTCATCGCCGAGCACCGGAAGACTGTCAGAAACATCAAATGGGGAACCGTCGTCATCATCTCTGCCATCAACATCGCCGTGTTCTGTATATGGATTCCCGCGCACACCGTACCACCAGCCCACGAGATCTTCGTCAAGATCAACAGTGTCTGGGACAAGATCTCCAAGGTTCTCATCCTCATCGTGGACGCCGGTCTCAATTGGTACTTCCTACGCATCGTCAAGATCAGGCTTGTCGACCAAGTCGGTCTCACAAAGTACAAGCCGCTTGTGAGCTTCAACGCAAAGCTCATGATCGTCTCGATCGCCATGGACGTAAGTGTCACTTTTGCGCGCACGTCAGCTCGCACGCGCTAATCTCAACAGGGTCTTCTCATCGGTCTCATGTTCCTCAAGAACCAAGTCGTCTACGTCCAATTCCACCCCGTTGTCTACATGGTCAAGCTCAACATTGAAATGTCCATGGCGTCCCTGATCGTCCGCCTCGCCCAGGGCAAGACCGAGAACGACGCCGATCCTGATCAATTCGGCAGCTCCACTGGCCCGTCGAATTCGCAATCAGACCGCCGCTCGAAAGCGAAACCGAACCAGTTCCAGTCCTTTCAGTTGACCTCCGCCAAGGGCCCAGGAAGGAGCAAGGTCCACCACCGCGACGGTAGCGATGAGAGCTTAGGCCACATCCACCGCACAACAGAGCTGAACGTTGTGGTCGAGCACGTCGGCAAAGTGAAGGACAGCAGTGAGGACAGCCCGCGAAGCAGCCATGAAATTCAGTACAGCATGTTTGGTGATGAGACACCGTTGCATAAGAAGGGTAACATACAGATTACCGCAAAACCATTGTAGTTTTCCTTTGTCAGCTCGAAGATACCACCGTACACAAAGTACACGCTCAATTTACAGTGACAGTCAAGGCGTCATCCAGTATCGTATTGCGCCAGCTAATCTAGTCGCGACTGACTGTAGGATCCCACACACACGGCTCGTAGGCGCCAGTATCAAGAGTCTTCATATCCTCGACGGACAGCTCGAAATCATACACTTGTGCGTTCTCCTCGATCCTAGATTTGGTCACAGACTTGGGAAGAGGAATGAAGCCCTGTTTGCCGAGTCAGCCTTTCTCCACGTTCGCATTGGAACAGCCAACTTACCATCTGCAGACTCCACCTAATCAGAACCTGGCTCGGCGTCTTGCCATACTTCTTCACCAGCGGAGCCAAGAGAGGATCGTCATTTCGTGTCGCCCTCACAATGGGACAGTATGCTTCGCACAGGACGCCCCTTTGCTTGCACCAATTGACAATGTCTGGTCTTGCGAGCCATGGGTGGAGCTCCACTTGATTGATGCTGATCACGTTGCCTTTTACCTTTCCCTGGCTGCTTTCTGTCTCTTTGATGTACGTCTCGAGCTCGTCGAGGTGGTGCACACCGTAGTTGCTCACGCCAATGCTGCGAATCTTCCCCGCCTCTACGCCCTCGACGAGCGCTTTCCACGCGCCAAGACGGTTCTCTTTACCTCCATAAGGAGAATGCAGGAGGTACAGATCGACGTAGTCGAAACCCGTCACTTTCAGCGTGTTGTCGATGTGCTGCTTCGAGTTCTCATAGTTCATGTCCTGCGGCGGGATCTTTGTCGTGAAAAACAACTCTTCTCTCTTGATACCGCTGGCCTTCATGCCTTCTGCCGAGGGCTGCTCGTTGCGATACGCGACCGCAGAGTCGACATGGCGGTACCCGGCCTTGAGCGCATGTTCTACGACTTCCGCGCACTCAGCCGCAGGCGTCTGATACACGCCGTAGCCTAGCGATGGGATCTCATAGCCCGATGGCATGCGGTATTTGGTGTTGATGGACAGAGCTGGCATGTTTGCGACGGGCAAAGATGACGTCGTACTGAGTTTTCGCACTTGAGAAGAGTCGGGAGTATGGAGATGGCGTCGCAAGTGAATCAGTCTTGAGAGCGCAGTGTTTCTCAACGCGAGCATGATGACATGCAAGCGGAGTATTCGAATGCTACTAGTATGGTTCGATTGCTGTGCTTGGGGTGGCGGATGACAAACGCTAGCGGAAATAGGAGCGGAGATAGCTACTCTGGTGATACCTAGTCCTAACCTCACAGGAGCCGTAGTGTTCCTCCGCCGTATCTGAAGTCTGTCTACTGTCCGAGCTTGAGATCAGTCGGCAACAGCACGTCATCAGCTTGGCTTTCAATGCAAAAGCAGCAACTCGTAGACCCCGTCGTGAATCTCACCAGGCAGATGTAGCAGCAGCAGCAACAACAACAACAACAACGTCTCAGACCATCCCACCCCCCCTCGCCTCACGCACAATATAAGGCCCCCCCTCCCCCGGCAAATACCCCGGACAGACGCCCTCCCCCCCCTCTCCCTCGCTGCTCATCTTGACCCGCAACGCCGCCTTCAGCACTCGCGCCTGCATGATGCCAAACTCGCGCTCGAACCGGCCCAGACAGCGGATGATGAATTCTTGAGCGGGACGCGCCGCGCTCGGCATCGCGCCTGCTACGTATAGCGCCCAGATCGTCGAGTGCCCGCCGGAGACGCGGATGATAGGGAGCCGGTCCGCGCTAGCGCAGACGAGCGGGGGGTCGATGGGGCTGTGCTCGGAGCGGAAGTTTGCGAAGAGGAGTTTGTGCGGGGTGCGGAAGGGTGTGGGGGTGGGAGATGGTGGGGAGATGGATGGGTTGTCTGTGTGGATGCTGGACGGTGGGCAGGGTGGAGGGTGTGTGTCTGTCGGGGCGAATTTGGGTGCGTCGTGTAGGAACTGCGGTGCGCTTGCCAGGATGTCAGACTGGATTTTCTGCAGCGCGGCGATGCTTTTGGCGAGCTGCTGGAGGTGGTGTGCGGCGGTGAAGACTGGCGGGGACGTCGCCAGGCCGGCGAGTATGGTGTTGCGGATGATGTCGTGGATGTAGATTTTTGTGTAGCGTACCCAGTTCCAGGTCTGCGCCGTGGCGTGGCTGGGGTAGATGTGATATGTCAACCCGTAGACGTGGGGAGTTGGAGATGCCAGCGGGATGACCTGGTAGTCCCATTCTGGCCCTGCGTGCTCGAAGACGGTCTCTGCGACAGCGTCGAGCTCCAGGGCACGGTCGAGGATGCTCGGTAAGCGCATCGTAGGGCTCGCTATGATGTCTGCTCGGAGATTGACAACGTCTTGCTGCAGGAAGAAGAAGCGATTCCGCGGATCCGTGGTGTCGTGATGCTTCTTGATCTCGTCGTTCATTTCCTGCACATATGCCGGCAAGGCAGTGCCATCAGCGAGGCAGTTCGTCGTGAGGAGTCCGATGGCGTGCAGATACATGCGGCGGCCTGTCGGCGATGCGAATTGATTCATGCCTCGCATCTCGACCAGCGACGCGGCTCCGGCCACGTGCTCACCCCAGGCATGCAAAGTGTGCTCGTTGGAGGTAGCCTCGAACAGGCCCAGCAGGGTGATGGCCAGCAACGTTGTATCGGACGTGACTTCTTTGGGGTGAATCAAGGCGCTATTCGTCATCTTGATGGCGTCGAGATACCATCTTGTAGCTTTGCCTTTGAGTGCGGTATCCTGGTAGATGTTTGCTACACCAGCTAGACCAAGTGCAGTCATCGACGTCGCAACAAGAGGATGAAACCCATCCGTAGCCAGGTGCTTGTTGTAGGCACCAGACTGAATCGAAGGCTGATCAAGACCGATGGCGTAGTGCGACATGAAGTAAGCAATGCCCTGATCGATCAAGGGCGCCAGAAGCAGGGTACCAGGCGACTCCTTTGCAAAGTCTGGACCGGTGTATGCATCGTGGGCCACGAGACGTGATGCGATCAGCCCATCTGAAGGATTCGGGGAAGCTCTGCTACTCGCATGCCGTGCATCGCGCAGCGCAATGGCCTTTGCTTTGGCCTTCTTCGCCTTGGCTTCGGTCCTGGCCGTCTCGTCGTGGAAGAAGACATCCACATTTCGATCGTATCCAGGGCATTTTATCCTAGCCTTTTCACATTTGCCGCATGCTCCGGGGGTCTCATCGCACTGTAGCCGAGTCAGTTGCGGTTGGCTGCAGTTGAAATGGAGGATGCGAAAATGGAGGATGCGAAAATGGAGGATGCGAAAATGGAGCATAGCTGCTTACCTTGATCTTCCGCTCACGGCAGTTCTTGCAGCCCGTCGAAGGACGTCCCCTATACACCATTATGGGCTCTATGGCAACGGTGCCTCGAAAAGGACATGACAGACATGATATTGACTGCGACTGCGACTACGAGATAAGAGGACGTTGCCGTGAGACAATGTGTGGCTGAGTGTCAACGAAGCGGGACGCCTGATGCGTGACTAGCATCGCCCAATCGGGCTGTGCTTACGACGAGATGCAGACAGGCCGGCGAAGAGCGGTGCGGTGCAAGAGCCCGAAAAGTACAGTAAACATTCACTCTTCTGTTCTTGTATAGTGCTAGTCTAAAGATGACGTCTAGAGAGGGAGACTCGGAGCTTGGTCGCAGAAGAGGGAGACTCGGAGCTTGGTCGCAGAAGAGGGAGACTCGGAGCTTGGTCGCAGAAGAGGGAGACTCGGGGCTTGGTCACAGGACGACCAGGTTCCCGATCCGCACTCCTTGGGATTTGAAATAATACCGCCTCCTCACGGCCACACCACTCGCACGCTTCAGCTTCTCAATCGTGGCCGCACCGCCGTCTACCATGATGAGTGGGATCGGGTGAGGCCGCAGAAGCCCGCCAGGCGTTAGCTGCTCTTCGTCCAGTAGTGGCTGCACCAAGGGCCCCGCCTCGTCTTTCAGTTGCCGCTTGCTCGAGCTCGTGGTCGGCGGAGACTGTTGCTCAGAGGAACTGACAATGATGACGAGTTGCAGCGCGTTGGCGTCGGGCGGGTAGGCAGGGATGTTTCTGAGCTTGGCGGAGAAGCTGCAGCCGCCGCGCGATACGGCAACGATGTGGTGCTCCCTCGCCACGTTCGCCGGTAGCTTCTCGTTGCACAAATCGCCGTCGTGGACGTAAATCTTGCTCCAGACGAGCGGATCCAGGGCGCTGTAGGCGGGGTCGGGGTCGTTGGTGTCAGGCAAGGGCGCGGCACCGACGCCAATGGGCAATGTGCCAGCGACGGTGTGGCGCGTGGTAGTCTGCTGCTTGGGCGCACGAGAGGCGCTCGTGGGCGAGGGTGCGGTGAGGAGGTTCTGCAAGGACGATAAAAGGTTGGACAGGTACGACGGTTCGTCTTCCAGTGGCTCGGGATGCGCGTCCATGTCGTCAAGGGCGTCGGCGATATCGAGACCGGTGAGGTTGCCAATCTCGCCGAGCGCCATGTCGAGCAGCGAAGACAGCGTGTGTGACGAAGGCGCTGCTGGAGCGGGCGGGACGTCAATGAGCAGATCGAGTGCGTGGGCGTCGCGAGTCCGCGTAAAGTACGGATCCAGAGGGTTGAAGCTCTCGATTGTGGAGCGGCTCATGAAGACCTTCTCGTCGCGGCCGAGGGCGACGTTGGAGATGGCGTAGATGCGGAAATGCTCGTCCACTTGGACAAAGTAGTCGTTCTCGCGCACCATGCCAAGTCGCAGACCGCTCAGAGAGTTGACCAGGATGCCGTCCTGCATGCGCAGCATTGTGCCCGTGTGCGGGCTGTTGGGCGTGTTGGGGAAGGAGAGGTCAAACGTTGTGCGCACAGCCAGCGGTGAGCTCATGGCGTTGTGGGGGATGTATTCGGGCGGCAGTGTCCATGGGTAGTAGGTGTAGTTGGACGGCGAGCGAACATCGGCCATGGATATGCTAGGATGAGCAGAGTCGAACTCGATGAGCGGTGATTCGAGAGCGTCCATCGTTGGCATGAGGTGCAGACGGGCAAGACTGGCGGCATGGTAGACATCGGGCCGCGCCGCCGTGGCAGAGATGCTGAACGGCAGGATGGCAGGTGGCAGGGGACATGTCGCCGGTGCTGGCTGCCACTCTGGCAAGGGGCCGCGTTGCCGCTGAGCTTTCGCTGGGCGAAGTCGCTTTGGTATGATCAGAGGATGGCCCTCGGTAGTGAAGACGTAGGGAGCATCCCACGTGTTCAGGGGGTGGGACGGGTCGAAGAGCAGGAACAGATACTTGGCAGTCTCGCCCAGGAAGAAGCTCTCCATCCGGTCGCTCAGCTCGCCTGTGCGGATGTCTTGCAGGCCGGCCCAGCCGCACTTGGTCCAGCAGCGGCGCTTGATGTCGCGGAGCGTCATCTCGCCAACATGGAGGTACCAGGGGTCCTTTGTGGTGTGGTAGAGGTACCAGGTCGACTCGATGAACTCTGGCCTGCCGCCCCACCAGCGCAGGCCGTGCTCGATGTTGCCCGTTGCGGTCGACCATCGTTCGGGCATAGCAGAGTATCTTGTCCAGAGGGCAGTGTATAGGAGGTGTGTCTCGACGGCCTCGTCAATGTAGCCGGCCATGGCGAGCAGGCCCTGGTAGAAGGCGCTCAGGCTGTCGATCCAAAAGGCTCGCAAAGCCCCGGTGTAGAGGTCGACTTGAGCATAGTGCGGGTGCTGATGCTGGGCCCCGCGGTAGATGTGGCGCTTGATGCCCTCGTGCGCCTCCTCCCAAGCCGCCAAGAAGGCATCTGGCGAGTCGACGCTGGCGTTTGCAGGGTCGTGTGGCAGTCCGGAGAGCAGAATGTGCGACTTGAGAGCATACTCGAAGAAGCTGTCGATGCCTGCCCCAATGCCAGTGTAGGGCGACACCCACTGCCCCGTCTCGGCGTCGATGCCTGCACCCAGCAGGCCGATGCTGCTGCGACGATGCCAGACAGCCCAAAAGGCATCCTTTGCGGCCTTTTCGTACCTGGGATCGCCCGTCAGCCTGCTGAGGGTGGAGAACTCCAGTACCAGACTGCCAGCTCCCGCGCTGCACGTCTCGGTGATCTCGGTGCCCTTGTCGCTCGGGTCCCTGCTGCACTGGCCGTGGGCGGGATCCATGTTGAGGGGCGAGTTGGCGTAGAAGGGCACGCCATGGCGCAGGTTGACGCGTGGGTAGGGCAGGCCGGTGGGCGTGTGGAAGGCGGGCAGGAGTCGGTTCGCGAGATCGGTGGCTAGGCGCAGGAGCTGTCCGTCGTAGACGAGGCCGTTGGGCCAGAAGATGCCCGTCCTCCCCTTGCGCTCCTCCTCGGTGGCGTGGTAGCCGCGAATGGGCAGGTCTCCCACGGCAAACTGGTGGGCGCTCAGCAGGCCGCCCACGCCGCGGATGGTCGTCTCAAAGACCTGCACCTTGCTGTCGAGATCGAACCCCCGCGCGCGCTTTCCTTGTCCGCGCGGCCCGTCGGTGCCGTCTCCGTAGTGCTCGACGAGCGCCTGGATGCCGTCCTGGAAGTCGTCGAGGGCCTTGTTGCGGGCGTGGCTGTTGCGGGCGTGGCTGTCGCGGGCGTGGCTGTCGCGGGCGTGGCTGTCGCGGGCGTGGCTGTTGCGGGCGTGGCGGTGCGGCGGCGGCGTCGAGGCAAAGATGGCGAGGGTGGACAGGCTGTCGACGAGGGTCAGGGAGTAGTTGCCCAGCACGTCGTTGACTTCAATGTGGGCCGGGTTCTGGCGGTCGCGCGTGAGGGGCGCGCAGGTCAGCGGACGCAACTCGTCGTCGGGGAAGGCGTGTGTCATGTAGCTGTCGAAGCCATGGTAGAAGATGTCGCGCGTCTCTTGTCTGTAGTTGCATGAGCCAGCCACACCAGGAAGCATGTGTGAAGGCGTCTACCTCAGGTCGGCAATCGTCTCATCTGTCATGCCATGCACGCGTGCTGCCAGCCAGAGGGTCGATAGCAGCAGACATGGCAGCAGACATGGCGGCAGCGGCAGCGGCAGCGGCAATGGCAATGACCCAAAGGCTGCGCTCCACATACTCCGCGCAGTCAGTCGCATGCCCGAGAGAGTCTCTGTGCAGCGACATGGACGCTCTCCATGCGAGCGACCGGGTGGAGACTTGTCTGCTGGAAGCCACCTTTCACGACGGGACGACTAGGGCTGTCGGGGAGATGGAACATGCCGTCACGGCTTAGCGCAACGGCTGGCTGGCAGTGACGGCGGCGGTCGTGCCATGAAAATTGTCGGGAACAGCGCCGCAGCGGCCATCACCAGCCAGCTTGCAGAGTCCATCACCCGGCAGCTTGCAGAGTCCATCGCCAGACAGCTTGCAGAGTCCACTACCAGACAGCTTGCATAGTCCACCACCAGACAGCTTGCAGAGTCCATCGCCAGACAGCTTGCAGAGTCCATCACCAGCCAGCTCACAGCTCGCAGCTCGCAGCACGCAGGGCACCCACCGCATCCAGTCTCTTTCTTCGCTGTATTGCAGACTGCCCTCTTCCCAGTAATTTGTAGTGCCACCACCCACAGCGAGCCAGCCAGCCAGCCAGCCAGCCAGCCAGCCAGCCCGCCCGCCCGCCAGCCCGCCAGCCCGCCATGCTCCCCCGAGCTGCGTTCCGCGCGCTGCGCACCCGACCTGCACTGGCAGCGCCGCGCATAGCTCCCATCACATCGACGCCGCAATGGACGCGCTCGTATGCCAAGGTCGGCAGGCCGAAGAGCCCGCAGATGGTCGACGAGCAGGCCAAGACGCGCCCGATCCCCGTCAGCCCAGCACAGCAGCCCGAGTTTACAGAGACGTCGAGCTCGCCCGCCGCCAACACAGCGCCCGCGTCCACCACACGGCCGCGGCCCGCGAGCGCCAACGCGACGGTGGACAAGGCGTCGCAGCAGGCCCAGGGCACCGAGGAGGAGCTGTCCGGCCCCACGTCGCCCGCCGCCAACACAGACGCCCACTCGACCGAGTCGCCCGACGCGCCGCCGCCGCCGCCGCAGGCCCAGAAGCCGCTGCCCGACCTGCGCTTCGGCATCCCCTCGACCTTTGCCGCCGAGCACGACGCGGAGGCCAGGGCGAAGCGCGACCCAAACGATCCCAACGCCGCGCCCGAGCAGCCCGAGCAGCCCGAGCAGCCTGAGCACCCCGCGTACGGCGGCGCAGGCGGCCGCGAGCTGCCCAAGAGCGCCTACGAGACCAGCACCGACCGGCGGCGGAACCGCGTCGCCAACTGGGGATACCTCGCCACGCTGCTGTTCGGCACAGTCGGCGCCGCCTACATGGGGCGTCCGTGGGACAGCGACGACGACGCCAAGGCCCACGCCGACATTGCCAACGACTGGACCCCCGCGCTCATGTACGCCCGCGCCGCCGCCCGCATCAATGGCCAGAAGGCCTACTACACCGACCCCGCCTTCCAGAAGCTGCTGCCCGACAAGGACAAGATCCCCGGCGGCGCCCCCGAGCTGACCCTGGTGCTGTCGCTCGAGGATCTGCTGCTGCACTCGGAGTGGTCCACCAAGCACGGCTACCGTCTGGCGAAGCGTCCCGGCCTCGACTACTTCCTGCGCTACCTCAGCTCGCAGTACGAGCTCGTCATCTTCACCTCGGTCAAGTCCATGGACGCCGACCCCATCATCCGCAAGCTCGACCCCTTCCGCCTCGTCATGTGGCCGCTGTTCCGCGAGGCCACGCGCTTTGAGAATGGCGAGTACATCAAGGTGACTACTCCCGACCACTCCCGACCACTCCTGACCACTCCTGACCACTCTTGACCACTCCTGACCACTCCTAACCTCTCCCGACCACTCCCGACCACTCCCGACCACTCCTAACCTCTCCTAACCACTCCTGACCTCTCCCGACCACTCCTAACCTCTCCCGACCACTCCTGACCACTCCTAACCACTCCTGACCTCTCCCAACCACTCCTGACCTCTCCCAACCACTCCGTGCCGTGCTGACCCCCGCAGGACCTCTCCTACCTCAACCGCGACCCCTCCAAGGTCATCGTCATGGACACGGACCCCTCGCACGTCAAGCTGCAGCCGGAAAACGCCATCGTCCTGCCCAAGTGGAAGGGCGACCCCGCCGACAAGGGCCTCGTCGCCATGATCCCCTTCCTCGAGTACCTCGCCATGATGGCCGCCACCGGCCAGCCCGTCGACGTGCGCAAAGTCCTCGAGTCGATGAAGGGCAAGGACATCCCCACCGAGTACGCCCGCCGCGAGGCCAAGCTGCGCGACGCCTTCCAGCGCGATCTGGCCGAGACGAAGAAGAAGAGCAAGGGCAGCCTCGGCGGCATGTTTACAAAGTCGCTCGGCCTCGACGCCGCCAAGCAGCCCGGCATGCAGCTCGGCGACCAGAACATCAGCCAGGGCATGAGCGAGGGCAAGATGATGATTGACATGTACCGCGACTTCAACATCCAGAACTACCAGCACCTCGACAAGCAGATTCGCGAGAACGGCGACCAGTGGCTGAAGGAGATGGCCGACGAGGAGAAGAAGATGCAGGACGCCGCCATGAAGGACATGAAGGCCGGCGCCTTTAGCTGGCTCGGCGCCGCGCCCCAGTCCGCTGCTGTCCCGTCCGCCGCGTCGGCGCCCGAGGCTGCCACCGCACACGCCGGCGTGCCGCCCTCGCAGACGAGCTGAGGAGCGTGTGGCGTGTAGCGTGTAGCGTGTGGCGTGTGGCGTGTGGCGTGTAGCGTGTAGCGTGTAGCGTGTAGCGTGTAGCATGTAGCATGTGGCATGTAGCATGTAGCATGTAGCATGTGGCATGTAGCAGGTAGCATGTGGCGTGTGGCATGTAGCAGGTAGTATACGAGGAGCAGAGCGCACGGCCTCGAGATTTCGTTTTTGATTGGATCACTGGCGCATGGCAGGCAGGGCATATGTTGGACGCGACACGGAAAGAAGCATGTAAAGCACTGTACAATATGTCGAATAGCACCGAGCGGTTAATACCAGCACAAACGCATCGTCCAGCTCTTGTGCAAACCTCCCCCAACGTTATCGTTTTAGAAATATCCTGCACGACATTCCATCACCTCGCTGTGCAAGCCTCCCCAACGCTACCGGTATCGCCGTGCGGGCACATCTTGCACGACACCCCCACCACCTCGGTTCGGAGCCAACTTCACATCCGACCCCGCAACGACTCCGTCCAGCACGCTCAACCACAACCACCCGTCCACGACTCACACAAACCCCACACCACATCCCCGCAGCCACATGTTCCAATTCCACTCCCTCCCGCTGCTGTCTCAACTGCGGCAGCCTCCATACCGCCCCACGACGCCCTCCTCCGCGCCATCATCAGCAGCCCCATACTCGCCCTCTCCCCTCCCGCCCATGACCGCACACGCGCCAACCGCGCCCTTCCGCTTCCTCGACCTGCCGCTCGAGCTGCGCGAGCACATCTACGCGCTGTACTTCCGGCCCGCGGACCGGCTGCGCACGTCGCCCGCGCTCGAGGACCAGGGGCTCTGTGGCGGCGTGTACAAGTTTGATATCCGGCTGCGCGCGACGTGCAGGCAGATTGCAAGGGAGGTGCGCACGGTGTGGAGGAGGGAGGTTAGGACGGTGAAAGTTGCTACGCCGTGGCCCAGCGCTGGTGGGTTTTTCGGCCATCATATTACGGCTCAGCAGCTGACTGGCAGCCATGCAGTGAACCACGTCTCGTCCGAAGGCCTCGTGCCCATCATCTGCGCCGACCGACAGGCCGATTGCTTCAACGACCACCACGCGCTCGTCCAGATCACCGCGCCTTTCCACCAAGCTGTGCCCGAGCACACTGTGGTTCTGCTGCTCGAAGATCTGCCTCTCTTCACGCAAACATGGTACTACTCGTCCCTCAGCTACCCAATGCTGAACGACCGGCTAGCGACGACATTCACGCTGAGAGACCCGGACATGGACGACGTCGACGAAGGCGACGAGAAAGACATACCGCTTCCACTGCAGCGCAAGCTCCTCCTCCCGTTCGGCCAAGTCAAGGGCCTGTACAGCATGGCCATCGAAGGCTACAGCAAGACGGTCGAGCACGAACTCCGCGCCGCCATGGCCGTCCCACCGCCGACCCTCCAGCAAAGCTGCGAATCCGCTACAAAGCTGCTGCACGAAGGCGACGCCCATCTCGCCCGCGGCGCAGACGGCGTGGACGACGCACTGGAATCCTACAAAGCCGCCTTCCACGCCATCCACATCCTAATCCAGGGCCGCACGCGCCGCGTCCTCGCAGACACCTTCTTCCACGCGCACATCTCGAGCGGCATCTACGCCGGCCAGACGGGCATGCTGGTGCGCGTCATCCTGCGCCTGAGGCTGGTCGCCCGCATGCTCGCCGTGTTCCTAGCGCAGGGCGCCTGGGGCGACGCCGCGTTCTGGGGCATGCGCAGCGCCCGCATCATGAGCGACACCATGGACTCGGAGTTTGAGCACCTGCTCGCGGACCTCGTGGGCGGCGACGACGTCGGCATGATCTACGTGCGCGCCGGCATCGCGCTGCACCGGATGCACGCCGACGCCGAGACGTGGTGCGAGGAGCTGAAGGAGTACGAGGGCGAGGATATGGCTGACGTCGCTACGCTGCTTGGCTTCAGTCGGAAACACCTCAGGCGCGGCACGGAGCGGACCAAGAGCGAGCTAAACAAGTACGGCGTTCCTCGGCCGTTTGTCCTGCTGTTCGATGATCCGGAGCCTAGTGACGCGGGCAGCACCACCGTCCATGTCGATGCGATTGAGCAGGATGGAGCCGCCGCGGGAGGCACGGGATACACGCTGCATTTCGACTTTGATCAGTGACGTCGGTTTTGCAGCATCGACTGCGCTGCAACACGCTGCCCTGTACACATCGAGACGACACCACATCACAATCTCTGACGTCTCTCCATTTTCTCGCGAGTCCCGCATTCTCGCGCGTGGCGAATCGTCGCGGGAGTCCAGAGACGCTGTGATGGCAGACCGGTGGTGTGGAATGGTACCGGACGTCACGGCGGGAGATCGGCTGGAGCTACAGTAGTGTGCGTGGTAGCTGGTCGCTAAGCGCTTGGGAGGGCTGGTAGGGTACCGAGTAGCGATGACGTGAGATGTCGTGCGGGATTATGGCGGAGAGAGAAAGGGATCGTGGACGAAGAGTAAAAGATGTAGATATTACATACGTGTAACAAGGTAGCAGTCGGTAGATCTGAAAACCTACCAGAGGCACAGACGCCTCAACGACGGCATACAGAACGCTCGCTGAGCGCGGAACATAACCACCAACCCTTCAAGAAGAAGAGGAGGAAGAAGAAGAAGAAGAAGAAGAAGAAGAAGAGGAAGAAGAAGAGGAAGAAGAAGAGGAAGAAGAGCAACCCCGTCGTGAGAACCCCTAAAACAACTCCCCCTCGAGCTCAATCCCCAACGCCCCCCTACACGCCCCCCTGACAACCCTCTTCGCCTCCCACTCCCCCATCCCCCCCGCATCCCACTTAATACCAACGATCTTGCCCGCCCCCGCACCCTTGAGATCGACAACGACAAACAGCTCCGCGACCTTGGTCCCCGTCCGCGCACGATGGAAGTGCACCTTGAGCTTCCCATTGCCATCGGGACCCTCGGAGAAAACAAACCACCCAGGCGCCGCGGCAGACAGGGCGCCGGCGTACAGCGCATGCACCTGCGCCGGCGGCAGGAAGATGTCCCACGCGCCGATGCAGGTGCTGTGCGGGAACGGCGATGACGGGTGTGCGCTGCGGGGGACGCGGGAGGGCGTGTCGGTGCGAGGCTGGGTTGGAGAGCAGCGATGCTGCGGTTCTGGGGAGGGCGGGGGCGAGGGGTGCGTCGTGAAGTGCTGGGATGTGGGTAGGGTGGGGAACGAGCCTGAGTCGACGCGGATGTGGGTTACGAATGCCCGGGGCTTCTGGGCGGGCGTGATGCTGAGAGGGGGCAGTGCGGGTGCCATCTCAGCTACGCGCTCGAGCTGGGGCTCGGGCGGGCGGTGTGCCAGGTTCCGTGGGGAACGAGGCGATTGCGGTGGGGTTGTGTTCCATTGGTGTGGTGAGGCGATGATGGGGCTTGATATCTCGAGGGGCCTGTCCTTTCTGGTGAAGCGGCGGAAGAGGGATGTCTTCCTGAACAGTGGGGGCGGCTGTGTAGTCTCGATGGCCAACATGGTGTTGAATGCAATGTGTTGATCCGAGCTTTGCAACTCAGGAACAGTACCGTGGTGCAGGAGCAGGCGAGTTTTGGTAGCGAACTGTCAGCCCTGGAAACGTTGAAGAAGCAAAGAAGGGCGCGTTGAACGGCTGGTGGGGTAAGACGGTATATCAGCACATCAGCACGGCGGGGCCTCAATCTCGATTTAGCCCGGTGGTTTTCGTAGGCTGATCGCGAGTACTGCAAACCTGGCCCGATTTTGGGTTCCTGCATCCTTGTCTTGACCTGCCGAGTCATGCACAATCAGCCGTGTCCCAGGATCAGGAGCCCCTCCAAAGGACTGACGAGCACTAAATCCGCGCTTGCTGAGTGCATTCAGAGCAAGATATCTGGGCATGATGAAATGGTGCCTAGAGACTACACTAGCGTGGCGGGGGTGTGCTGCATCCGGCCAACGTCACCATCCTCGGATCCTGGCGACGGCAGCCAGCACGGACTCGCTCGTCGCTCAGGTCTCTCAGCGAGGCTGCGACGGCTGCCGCACGGTCCAGAACCGCAGATTTGGGAGGAAGTCTGGTACGCCGCCTCGCGTGGACTGCTGGGGCTGAAGGTCTCTCGCTACACAACCTGTGCTGCACAAAGGCGAAAAGGCTCCCGCGGCCTCGCGACCTGCGCTTCGCCAGCCTACGTGCCGCATCTTCAGCTGGCCTTTGTCGAGGCCCTCATGACTGTCGCTTTCAGCTGTAGATCCAGGCTCGAGAAATCCATGTCGGCCCCGCGCAGCCGAGAACCCCCAGAAAGCCTCGCTCTGCACAAGTCAAGTACTGACCAACGAGAATCCTCTCGACCGCTTTGTACTTCTAGAACCATCGTCTCGGATTGGCCGAGCTGAACATATCGCAGAAAGCCACATTTCTTGCCCCTTCAGCCTGAGCAGCCACGAGAGTCGGAGTTGGCGATCGCGCAGCATCGTGATCCAAAAGCATCAGTACCTAGCATAGTAGACTGGAATTTGGTCCCGTGGATCTGCGGCTTGGCGCTGGTGACTTCATGCAACTGCCAATCTGTTGTTCCTTGCGGAGTTTTCGGAGAATGAGAATCCAGGTGACCTGGGCGACTCATTGCGGACAACTCGTTGGTTTCTGTGAGACAATCATGGAAATGGCAGCACGACATATTGCGCGAACCGTATCGCAACTGTTTTCTTGACAGACCGACCGGCACAGCTGTCTCGTCTGTGAACAGATCGAGAACAACGCAGCGCGTGTCTTGCATTAGCTCTGCATAGAGATGCGTCCGATAACGCGCTGTCGCGTCCATGCATTCGAGCGAGAAAAGATTCGATCTCGAGCTGCGATGAAGGCGGGGCGACCAGAGGAAAAATAGCACGTGATGGTTGCGCTTATTGCATTCATTGCCGACGCCAAGATATTGCTTCCTTGCAAAAGGGCGCCTTACTCCTGGTAAGTGATAGTCTTTGTCCTCAAGAACTCTTCGATGCCCCAGTTGCCGTTGAAACGACCGTACCCACTCGCCTTAGCACCGCCATGCGGCAGCGCCGGCTCATCGTGGACAGTCATCGAGTTGATGTGCACAGCACTATTTGTAGTCAGCTCGTGATCATCTCAGACGATGGTATGTCGTCTTACCCAGACTCGATTTGTTTTGCGATGCGGAGGCCACGGCCAAGATTCTCAGTGAACACAGCGCCTGAAAGACCGTATTCAGTGTCGTTGGCAATCTCAATCGCTTCCTCTTCCGTCTCAAACTCGATGACGGATACGGATGGGCCGAAAGACTCAGTGTAGTACATGTCCATCCCCTTCTTCACGCCGTCCACAATGACAGGACGCATCCTTGTGCTGGACGGCTCCTTGGTCTCAGGGTGCAATTCGTCCTTCTCGTGGTCGCCGTGTACAACCTTGGCGCCCTTACTCACGGCTTCAGAGATCAGCTTCTTGTTCTTGTCGACTGCGGCAGGTACGACCGTCACGGGTGCAGGCACTTCGCCACCAAAGATGCCTTCTGTGGCGCCCTTGAAGGCTTCGAGAAACTGAGTCTTGATGCTCTTGTGCACAAGCACCCGCTCAGAGCTCATGCAGATCTGGCCAGAGTTGATGAACGCTCCGACAGCACACTGTGTGGCCGCCTTCTGCAGGTCCGCATCTGCACAAACAATCGCACTCGCCTTTCCACCAAGCTCCATCAGAACGGGCTTCAGGTTCTTGCCGGCTTGAGAGGCGATGATGCGACCGACAGCTGTGGAGCCTGTGAAATTAATCTTCTTAATGGCGGGGTCTTCGATCAAAGCCGATGTGACCTTAGCGGCATCCTCAGGTCGGTGGACGAGCACATTGACAACGCCCGCAGGAAGACCAGCTTCGGTCAGGACGTTGCCAATGGCCCACCAAATGCGAGGGCAGAACTCTGATCTATTCCGGTCAGCGTCAGACTAGCCGTATGCAGCAGCCAACACCACTCACCCCTTGAAGACAACAGTGTTACCTGCTGCTAGAGGAAACAAGATCGCGCGCATACCCAGGAGGTATGGGGCGTTCCTACAGAGTCGATCAGCGCCGTGATCGCTCACCACGAAGGCCTTTACTCACCAGGGTGCAATTCCAAGAACAACACCCAGTGGCTCCTTGACGATCAATGCCGCTGTTCCCTCTGTTTCACAAGTGGGTATGTGACCCATGACTGTGCCCAGTCTGCCGGCGACGTCGCGTAGCAACTCAGCAGTCCGGGGTACATTGACGTGACTGGTGAAAACCTCAGCAGCACCAGTCTCCATCTTCATGTAGTCGGACAACTCGTCTGCTCGAGAATCGATAATGTCGGCAGCCTTCATGAAGATTGCGAACTTCGCAGCAGGCTTCATCTTGGCCCATGCTGGAAAGGCAGCCTGTGCTGCAGCGGTGGCATCCTTGGCATCTTCCACTGATGCTGACGATGACTCCCATATCTGCTTGTGCGACGCAGGAGAGGTGACCGAGAATGTTGTCTTGGTCGTTACCTCCTTGCCATTGATGAGGAGGGGCACAGTGTACGAGGTATCTGTCGTCATTATGCAAGAAATCGATTTTTCCTCAAGACTCTTCGTAGGAAGAATGGCGAACGATGCAGAGTGAGCTCAGGATCACTTGCAGGGCTTCACAGACTTATGATGGGCTTCTGCCAAACCGTGACGGCGAGAGTTCTGCCCGAGTAGGTAACGGAGACTGCCGACTTGCCGATGTAGCTGTGCGCGTACGGATACTAAAGCTTCCCCTTGTACTCATGAGCCTGCCTTGAAATATCTACAGAATGTCCATCTATGGAACCTATTCTCCATGTTCTCTCTCTCTCTCGCTCTCTCTCTCTCTCTCTCTATATATACTCTTTACATATCGTAAGGCAGAGGTGAAAGCAGAAGGGAGAAGTCGGGATCCCAAGCTGCACAGCTGCGTTGACAGGTCGGGCGATTCAGAGGGCTGTATGCCTGCTTATTGGGCTGCCGTCATTCTCCTACAATATTAGGAGGCTCGTTACCACCATGCGAGTTCTGCCCGTTTGGCAGGTTGGCACGGGCTGCGGAGAATAAGAGTGGAGCGTTCGGTGTCCGAGAACACCGACGCGGGGCCTCTTTCTCGGGATGTGGGGAAGGCATCAACAACAACAAACTTCTGAAGAAGTAGATTTACGTCACTTCTCCTCGGGGATGACCGAGCTAGAACAATCGGGATTTCTGGTGGCTTGAGTTTCAGTTGTCGCCGAAATGGCGAAATGGCTGGAAGATGCAGATGAAGACTCGACTTGTAGCGGTTGCGGCATGCCTAGAGCATCACCGGAAATTCACAGCAATATCATATCGTTAAAAGATCCTGGGAAACTCTATTCATGTTGCTATATGGACTCCGAGTATGGACAGCATCCATCGACAAACCAGCGGACCCTTCAGCAGCACTTAGCTCGGATCCAAACAAATCCGTGTCAAAAACAAAGAAAATGCAAGATCGATCCCTGCGGATGATTAGGAGTGCAAAGTGAGATCGCAACGAGTGAACAGGAAGTCCGACATGGCTCTGCAACCCTTTTTGTCAGCTCTGCATCTACTCAAGGATGAGTTGGACCGATCCAACGTAGAGAATGCTGAAACCCGAGTTGAGCACCCTTCAACTCAGCATGACAGACTCGGTCTGACACTATCTAGACTTCAGCACCGAGATCGGCGCTACCTCAGACGACCTCAACCCGGCCATATCGCTCTTCATCACATTCGTGATGTTATAACCATTGTCGGTCGCCGTAGGGAGATGGCTTGGCGCTGATTTTTATCATGATGTTTGGTTTGTCTATCAGCATTAGACTTGTTCTGACTGCATGGGGCGTGGCTTAGATGGGTAACGTTCACTCTAGCGCACGTACTTATCCGCGGACGACTGCCACTGATTACAGGCTGATGTTCGGTGCATTTGAGGTCGGCTTCTTCTCGACCACTGTAACGTACCTGTCAGCCTTTTAACTGCAGGCTGCGACTATGATCTTGGATTCCGTGTTGCCCTGTTCTACGGACATGTCGGGCGCGTTCTCGGGCTCGACCGGTAAGTGGGATTTACCTGAGAGGCTGAGATGAGGACAGGGGTCACTGATCAATGACAATCTCTGCAGCTTACGGTGTCTTCAAGATCAAAAACACGCATCTGCACAAATGGCAACGTTTTTTTATCATCGAAGGCGGACTTACTATACTCCTAGGTATAGTTGCCTAGTTCTGGCAAATATGCCTGGCCAGGCTTTCTCCGTCTTTTCGTCCCTAGCGGTTCAAAGGCTGGGCTGTTCGTCACTCTGAGCCAATCTGGTATCCTCTTACCCCTTACTCACAACACCTTCCAATCATTGACGGCCGAGTTTAGATGGGCGTACCACCCTACCTGCGCGGAGCAATAGTCTTGTACGCTTTCGCCCGAAGCTCCGACCATCCAAGGAACGCGATGATCACATCATCACAGGCATCAGTATTGCACTGATAGTGCTCATAATAACAGTGCTCAGCTCCTCAACCGAGTTGAATTATGCTGGGCATTGCATCTTGCTGTCCGGAAGTCACGTGCCCGCCTCACATCGGCTTGGCTGAGTGAGTTCACACCTGGTAAGTATCTGTACCAAATCAATAGGAGCCTGCTGACTTTAGAAGACGTCGGCAAGCGAGACTCTACTCCTTGGTGTCAACGGATTCGGCAACCTTGCTCGGGTTATCGATGGACAGCTCCACAAGCGCAGATACGCTCCGGACTTTCGGTTCCCCCTTCCGTTGCCCTTTGCTTCGTGGTGACATCTCTACTAAACTGTTTGGCTATCGGCGTGCCGCTTCATATTGCAGACCGTAAACATGCGGGGGAAAGCCAAACTTGCGAGCAAAACAGCGATCGAGATCGAAGCAGCGTAAATGGACGTTCACATACGGCCTGTGACACGTCAAAGACGCGCTGCAGTAACAGCACCATGCTGCGTAGCTGCCGCACCATAATTCTGCTTCTTTCTGGGTACTGCAGACTGTGAAGCCTTCCGCTTGCCTCTTCGGGACAATTGTGTAGCTTTTTCAGCGTTGTTAGCTTCTTTATAACGCTCTCTTTGAGCCTTACGTTCAGCTACTTCCTCAGCCTGCTTAGCTTTAACTTAGTCTCGCTCTGCCTTCTCCTTTACCCGCTTCTCACGCTTCTTATGAGCGATCTTCTCATTGTATAGCTTATTAGCGTGCCTTGATCTAGCTGCCTCTGCTTTTTAGACTCCTCTGCCTTCTGTTCTTGTTGTCTAGTCCTCTCATAGTCGCGTGCTCTCCTAACTCTGTGGAGAGAGTAGAATACTGCTCTACTATAATACTCCTCCTGTTTAAGCTAAAGTGCAAGTGCCTTACTCTTTCTCTTATGCTTCTTCTAAGTCTTAATGTAACAACGCGCTGCCAATTTAAGCTACAGCTCCTCTTCTAGTTAAGGAGACTAAGCAGTGTAGATACATTAGGGTAGTAAGCGTGTGGCAGCTGCAAACGCAAAGAAGGTGCGTGAGCGTGAGCGTGAGCGTGAGCGTGCAGAGGAACGCGCAGTCATTAATGCGCGCAAAGAGCAGAGACATAAGGATAAAGAAGCTCGCAACGCTGCAAAAGCTCTCAAAGTATCCCAAAGAGGTAATTGCATAATCTTAAAAGCTTCTGCAGTTAAACAGAAGCCTGTGCGTTGTGCTGTAGGTGCTTTAAGTCATCCTAAGCCTGCAACACCTCCACCACTCGGCACGCCCAATTATCACCACCTAGAGTGGCCGCACTGCCACGAAATACTAGTAACTTTATATTAGGAACTTTGTCACATAGATCTATAGAATACTCTACTAAAAAACTTCACAATAATAATTATTGTAGGTGGCTATACAGCCTCAATTTAGTGATGGCCGTAAAGGCTCGGAAGGATCGTTGGTTGACTCCGATCGTTGGGTGCACGGACACGGTAAGTACCGCGCTCTTTTCGCGTGCGCTTCGCGTGAACACCCCTGACGGCGCTAGCCTGTGCTCACCCGTGGATTCATTGTCTAGAGGGCGGAATTATCTCCGTTCCGTCCGTCGCCGTGCAACGCAATTGGCGTGAACTTCATTCCAGTTCCCTCACTCACCGTCGAGAATGTTGCATCAAGACGTTGGCAGAATCTCCCAATAACAACGAAATACCCTGTCTCTTTGATACGCACGACCACTGTGTATAACATGTCACAACAAGTACCAAAAGCAGCTTTCTTTCGCGCAACAAGTCTAGGTGCCGTGCGAGGCCTACAATTGACGCGAGTACCATGGCTCGACCGACTGGGGTTTCAAGCCTCACACTACGTCACGTCAATGCTACGTCTCTTCACTAGTGGAATCTTCAGTCACGTAGAAACCTACACCATGGTCACAAACGCGCTCTACCTTGGCAATGGTCCAAGCCACGATGATGACCTGCGACTATTCGTGGTCTTCCCCAACTTGAAAGGAGATATCCGTAACAACAGCAGACTTTTGGCATCTTTCTGGCAGCGATGTATGCTTCCTGCTATCGAAGCTTTACATTCACCACAGAATATGTACGATGAACAAGCAGATGGGATGGACTACGTTGCATACGATAACGGAGACGACATGAAGGAATTGGATGAAAGTCTTGCTACATTCGCACTACACACCCCCGTTCAACGCCACGACAGCACGCAACTCTTCTCTCTGGATCAAGCTTGGGACAGTATCGAACAGACCGTTGCGAACGACCCGGATCTCCAGATTTTGAACGACATGTTTCTGATCGTGGCGTGGGAGGCGCCCGCAGTGTCGCCAGGGTCTTGGCAGACTCCGTCCTTCGAACCGTTCCTAAATCTGGCGTTGATCGATCAGCAATGTGGGAAGACCATCTACGAGCAGATTGGCGAACAGCGATCGGTCCTGAAGAACGACATGCGGACAATTTCAAGAAAGAGATCAGCGACATTGACGCAGTTGGAGGATCGACCGGATGCGAAAAGAACGCAAAGCATGGACATGAGCTAGTGCACTTCGTATGAAGATGGCTTGACGATGTCTATCTACAAAGCTTCCCTCCTTGTGCCGCCCAACTTGCGCAGCTTAGGAAACTACAGCGACGGCTTGTGGCGATCGCTTTCTTCCGCGACCAATACATGTCCTCCGTTCCTTCGTCATCACCTATTCACAGCCTCCCCATTCTGACCCTCCCATAACCTCTGGTAACACCAGCCTCCCATTGTATTGAAGTGATCATATGGATGCATCGGATTCAAGAACGTCGAACAAAGATAACAGAAGTGCGAACGACACTGCACACACGTCATGTGGTTACAGGCTTCACTCTTTTGCACTGGCGTATCGCACTTGGGACATTTTGTCGTGTTGTTCCTGATGAATACGAGTGATGATTCCTCTTCTTGCTCGAGGATGGTGCGCTCGGACGGGATGCTGATGCGCGCTCGGCAATCGAAGAAGTCGCCATGCCAGGTGCGACGACAGAGGTGGCAGAAGGCGTACGAGCAGTCTTCGCAAATCTGGAGAAGGGAGGCGAGGAGGGCGCGTTCCTTTATCTCTTCGCGTGCTTCGGCTGTGTCTTCGGTCTCGTCTGAGTCCTCGATCAGTGCTTCAATGACGACTGGGCTACAGTCTATGTCTTCCTCATACACGGCGTCCATCTCCTCCAGTGGGACGTCCGATTTGGGATAGTTGTTGCCTAGTGCCGCTCCTTGACACCATTGTCGAGGGCACCACATCGTTGAATTATCGATCTCCAACTTCCTCTTCCGTCTCAGGTTGACGTAGCGCTGGACGGCGGGTCGCTCGATTGGAATCCGAAGTAGCTCGCGAGGCGTAATAAGTCGCGTGCGTTGTGTGCACCTGTCATTGCCACCGCAGCTGAAGTTGGGACACTTCACATCGTCGATGTTGCCGGTCATAATTGCATTATTGTAGTAGCCTTGGAGACAGTCGATGCAGAACACGTGCCTGCATTCGCCCATTTGGTGGCACCAGGTGCCTTTCTTGGGGTCCAGGCAAACGCCACACTCATATGTGCCCTTCTCGAAAGCATGCTGTTTTGCACTCTGATTGAAAACTAATAGCTGGCACTGAACATCGCTCGTTACCTCCAAGCTCTTCAGACCAAAGGCTGCCTCGGCTGCTTCCTCTAGATGACTGACGTAGGCGAACATGACCTGTGTGTGGCCATACTCTTCCCACAGCGATGTACCCTCCAATGCCAATTTGCGGGCTGTATCCTCGGGTAGCCACAAGGATTCCACGTGAATCGTGGGACCTGCTTCGTTTGGATAGCCATGAGGTAGCTTGAAGCGAATGCGTAGCGGTGGAAGGTGCGAGACCTCAGTTGCTCCAGTTCCGCCTCCATCGGCGAGACACCTGATCTGTAACGGCTTTGGTAGCAATAAAGGCAACTCGAGACATGCAGAATATTCGCTGCGCGCGACTAAGCTGCTGCCGTAAATTGCCTCAAGCGTTTCTAGTTCTGCCGTCCGCTCATCCTCAAGTTCGGTCATGTTGGGATTTGGTTGCAATTTTGACCTTGTGATTATCGATGGGAATGTAAAGTGCGGAGTTTTTCAGATCATGGTAAGGTGGATGTAAGCGCTTTCGTCGTGCGGGTTGTTTGTCCCTTTCACTCGAGTTTGTCAGGCCTGCATGCTGCTCAGGGTCCGCGTCGACCTTGCGCCCTTTCCGCTTTGCAGCAGGGCGCGTTTGCAATCTGAGGCAACAACGATTGACGCTCATCACATCGCGGGTCAAACGCGACTCATCTACCAAAGATCTCCTGCACAATCGTGTCCCCGTCGAAGTTTGCATCGCAAAGTACCACAATGTTTACCTGGCCATGCACTTTCTCTTCCACCTTTTTATAGGCTGCAAGCGCGAGTGCGGAGCTACCTTCCATCAACATATTCTCTTCCAATGCTAGCGCTCTCAACGAATGTTTGATTCCATCCTCGTCGCAATCCACGACCTCATCGACGACCTGCACGGCCAGAGGCAAGGTGATCGTATCTTCGTCGATGCCGCCTGCTACAGCCTCAGCCAATGTAGGGAGATATTCAGTCTCCACTACTTCGCCAGCTTGCATCGAAGCAGCTAGTGCTCGCGAAGCATTCGCAGAGGCACCGAAGACTTTGACTTTGGGGGAGAAAGCCTTGAGGACGGACCCAATGCCACTTATCAGACCACCGCCGCCCATCGAGATAAAGACGTTGTCTACGCTCGGAAATTGCTCGAGGATCTCAAGCCCAATAGTGCCTTTCGCATTCAAGCGCTTCGCTTGACTCATACCTAGTCTGATCGGTATGGCGACAGCTCAGATGGACACTGTGTCCACAGGCCCTTGGGAACATAACCAGCAATGAGAAACGTGGTTCAACGAGTGACAAGTCGTCGTCTGCAAGCGAGCCTATATTGGAATATGCAGGGGTTGATATACATCCTGCGCTCAGATCCACCGCACCGTCCGTCAAACTCGCAGAATTTCACTCCGATGTCCGTTACACCTGCCTGCGTTGAGCCTGACTCTTGCCTCAACTGGACAGCCAGACTGAGACCATTTCAGGTAAAGGACGGAGCTACGCAATGTCGCCGATTTTGCTTCTGCGTGGCGTCTTCTAGCCAGGTTATACCTGCCTGTCGCTTCGCTATGAGGCAACGTTGCCGAACTCTTGACCATACTGGACTACACGTCGACACGAAACCCAGTCGCGACAAAGATCGATATATCGAAACGATGAAAATCACTGCAGAAGCCCTCAGATGCCGGAATCGCTAAATGTGATGCGCGGTTCGTTCGCGGCAAGTTTTCGCGGAGCTGTGTGTGCTATACTCCAGGATCTTATAGAGAGCACTGACTGACCTCGAAGCGAGAGCAAATAACGTAGGCGCCACCTCTGATAGGTTTCCCAAAGAGTCTTTAGAGTAGGGTGCGTCACATTACCGGATGGCGTCGAATAAGTAGAAGGCTAGCGGGAGTCATTTGAGACGGTATGATCATACCGAGCAAACGCATACGTGAGGCAGTACAATGTAGAGTGCCCAGAAGGTGATGACGCATTTCCCTACTGGTAATTTCCATGAATGGCCGATCTGTCATCATGGATGGAGATATAGCATACTGTTCCCACGGGAATATTGAGAATGCTGGAGCAGATCCCGGAAACGTGCCCCCGGGCAAGCACGTTTCCCGACGCCCGTCCGATGAATGACCATAGAACAGCTCTCAACTCAGTAATCCACCGAGTTGATTACAAGCGAGTAGTTTCTGCCTCAGGTGCGCAGTGACATTTGTCACTTCTGAGGCCGAGGCATCCGCCGCCCTTCATATCCATGCCTCGTCAGCCAAGCAGCCCATGACCCTGCCTCGTCACCACTTATCAGGCAAACCACTACTGGTACTTTTATTCTCTACGTTCCAGGCCAGTAAATGCCATAGCCAAACGCTTCAAAGCTTGTCCTTCGAGGTTTCAGATTCCGATCTGCGACCTCTGGTTCGCGACGGTTCGCGTGTCAGGCTACCGACGAACCTGCCGACCGTTGATATACGGCCTAACGGCACCTGAACGTCGCCTAGATATGTATAAAGTGACGACAAATCAAGAAAGTAGACAAATGTGGCATCTTTTGAGACTTGAGATGGAGATGAGCGCATGCGGTCTACACGACCGACGCACGCTGTACAGCTCGATATACTCGAGAAAAAGAGAGGTGCCAGGCAAATATTAGATTTGGAGTATTACAAAGGTACTTGAAGTCTAGAAGTAGAAAGAAGGATTCTAGCGAGTGTGATACAGGTGCTCAGTTGACCATTCTGCTGGGATCAAGGTATACAAGGAAATGTGGCGCGAAGCCGCTGCTGACGTGTACATCAACAGGAAAAGGTATGGGTGTAACTGTAATCAAACACGAAACGAATTCTTGCTGTAGATGCCTGGATATCTTCTCGCCAGCCCCTGCCGTAGTGTTTATGCTCCACCATCTGTCACGATAACCGGTGGAAAGGTCGCGATGGTGTACTGGGCGAATAACATTGCTGACTCTTTAATGCCTTCGTATATACGCTTCTAAGTCGCCATCAATGCCGCTACAGTTCTGGTATCTGCTCAACCCAATGCAGCGCAAACTGTCAAGCTTGACCAACGCCGCAAGCCATGGTATAACCAAAAGGTGTGCCGAAAGTATCGCAATGGCTCCGAGGAGCTTCGATTCGGAAATGCAGCATGCGCTACCGATGGGCTCGAAGGGTATACTGATATTGTGTATGTCGTGAAGCGAACAAAGAGTGATTAAATATGCTGTTGGAGAAGTTCGGCGAATGCTCTTTCATGTCAAAGTAATGGTTGCGGCCAGCGCAACCTCAACGTCCACCTCTTAGATGCTTCATGTCTCACGCACTGAGACCTTCGAAGTGGTCGGCCAGTCATTGGTAGCTTGCGCTCGGATCGCTTTGGCCCCCAGGCATCTCACTCTGAACGTACACGCTCTGCTGCTGCTGGCGTTCGCATTCCTCCTCCTGCTCTGTCTCGATTGCTCTCAACTCCTCCACTTTATCTTTGCACGCGGCTGGCGAAAAGCCAGCACCGACTTTCGACGAAATGATGCGCCATTTGTCGTTTTCGTATTCCTGCATCGAGGTGCGCAGTTTCACGACCTGCAATCCCGTTGTGGTTAGCATTTCCGCTTCCGCGCTGGGGTTGCGAGTACGACGTCACGCGTTTCAGGATAGAACGAGCGACTTCATTGCAGGATGGGGCCTGGATATTTGAAACACATGGATCTCACTTACCATCTCATCTGTCCAGACGGTTGTCTTAGCCTTAAGCTTTGTGCAATAACGTACCTGCAGAGTTCCGGAGCTGCGACCCGGGAAGAAGTCGGCGATTTGCTTCCAAGTCAAGTTCTTCTTCTCTTTCAAGTCGACTAGCAGTTGGTCGTCTTCGGGCGTGAACTTGAGTTTCGGGCCGCGGGGTCTTGGTGCGGGTGCAGGCATGCCCTGGGCGCCGACGACGCTGGGAGGTCCCTGATGCGGGGTGGGAGAGGGCGGCGCACCCTCCATCTGCTGTCTCTTGCTGCGATGGGTGTTGGGAAGATGGTGGTGATGTGTTGGAGGTAAAGTGTGCTGCTGTTGTGGGGCTTGCGGAGGTAGCGGATACTGGTGAAGGGAGTAACCCTGCTGCGAAGGATGAGCAAGTGAGACGCTTCCTGTTGCTTGTCCGTAAGGGTTCAAATGTTGCTCTAAGGGAGGCAATTCTGGCTGCATCTGATGCTCTTGATGGTTGCGCTTGCGTCCGGCTGCGGTGGTTTGATAAGTCGAAGAATAGCCCACATTGTAGGAGGCTGATGGCTGGTGTGACATCTGGTGGCGGCGTAAGATATGAGATTGATGCAATGATGGATGTGTCTCGATGTTTGTGTACGCAGGATGAGGGGCAGCGCCGGCATATTGGAGTCCATGAGATGGATGTGGCTGCGAAAAAGCGTGCTGGTATTCTGGTGACAGGCCGGTGTGGGAATGGAGCGCATTTGACTGTTCGACGTTCGATGTCGGGACATGGTGGCCGTCTCCTGTATCGCCTGGCACGCTGTAGTCGAATAATGCGCCTCGGTAGGGACTCGCCAGGGCTGCGATCACGCATGGAGACTACCAGAGCAAGCTAGCTCTGGCAGGCCGCCGCAGTGAGACCTGAGCCAGAAAAAGAATGCCTGGTCTGCGTTGCCGGATCGCCTCGAGGTACTTGTATCGCATGTGTTTACGAATTTTTTCCACTGCTGTTACGTTGACAAATGTTGGAGCAAGAAGAGCCTCGACAAAAATGCTATGGACGCAACCTGACCGCGTGTGCTAAGGATTGGGATAGCCGGATATAGCTTGTGAAAACCAGAACAGCATCAACATGCCGCTGGGACAGCAGTGTTATGTACCATTTTCGCGCCTGAAGGAGCGAAGGCATGAAGGCATTTGAGAAGTTTGTCCCTTCGACTATCCTGGTCCTGTGCACTTGCCACACGGGCACAATGCCGAAGTACCAAAAGCTATGGGGCATTCCCACGAGACGGTGTCTGTTCCTGAATGGTACAGAGTTAGCTGTGTAGGGTAGGCCCGACAACAAATTCTACGTCAGGCATAATGCGGTGATCAATGACAAGGAAGGGATCCCCGGTTCAAGATCCGAAAAGGTATCCCAACCCATTCGCGTCAGTGTAGTGCTGCTGGCTCGTGTGCTGAATGGCTGCCGATGCAAAATGACAGCAGTGATTAGTTTCTTTACCCCAGTCCCATTTAACGACGTGGTCTAAGCCTGTTCTATTTCCAGAAGACCAGGAAGTCAAGATCTCCAGCACCGTTGCAGCATCCTCATGCATATCCACAGTATCCCAGCGCAGCGTGGTGGCCAGAAGATGCGCATTGAGAGTGTCTTCAACAGGCTAGAATGGGCGCGTCAACATGACAGGGGAAGCACCCAAAGCGGTGACGCCACTAGCAAGACGATTTGTATGCGAGATTGAACGATACGGACTTGATGAGAACGTGGAAGCCAGGACCGCGGTCTGGGATGCCTGGCGCATACTATAGCTTGTGCCTCCTAGGTTCCTTATACCGCGAACGTTCGTGATCGGAGCTTTTCAAGGCATACCACGCCATGCGCATCAAGAACGGACTGGTTCATGCCTCAAGACCCTTACTCGCGGTGTGCCACGGTGGGTCGTCATGCTGCTTGCCCTGCCTGCGCAGTACTTGGATCGGGGCAGCGCATATGCCGGTAGGGAAAAGCTGTCTTGACGTAGCACCCGTCTGTAAGCAGTGGGCCGGGAGTTGGCTGGCCCCAGTCATAGCTTTTGTCGCAAGGTCGCCTGAGGATTGGCTCATGCAAGTGCCGTTTCGACGTTATATGAAGGAACCTGGCCCTATATGCGGTTCAGCATCCCCGCAGAGCGAGGATCGACCGAGCCACAAAGAGATCCCTATTGCGACCGACTGACGCACGACAGAACTGACGGACGTACGGAGAGGCAACGCGGAAATAAAGTGGCGAAATGCGCAGCGAACGATATTTATTGTTATACTTGCGACGGCAGCGAACGTCGATCTGCTGTTGGGTTTTCCTCGGAGCTCAAACAAAGCGAAGCGGCGAAAAGTGGCAGTGTGCTTCGGAATCAATTGAACGCTACACCCTTTCCCCGAGCTCGGGTGCCTAGCGCCTTTTTCTCCTTGTGTTGAGCTTCTGAATGGTCAGACAGCCCCGCACATATCCACTACCTTCTTGCGCACCCTACCACAGCAGATACAGGGCTTTTTAGAGGGTCCTTGGACCTCGCGCACGCACAGCAAGTATCCACAAAAGCCTCATGCTAGCTTATCAATTGGTAGGAAGCACGCTGAACACCCGAGCATGCATGGGGGAGACTCGGGAGAGCGTAGGTTCGGGAGACCCTCACGGCACGATAGCGACATCTTGGCATCGCAAGTCGTTTGGGGCGGCTGCGATCTGCCGCCCCCCCAAGTTCACAGTTCCTCATCTCGCAACAGACACAGCGGCAGGAGATGAGGTCGTAATGCGGATGGCGCCACAAGCCCTTCTCCAGAAGGTGGTTGCGCAAACGGATGCCGACATGCCTGTCATCTTCCTACGAATTCCGACCCCTCTGCGTCAGCCCCTTGACACGTGATCGCTACGCGTATATGCACGAGCGGAGCCTGCCAGGTTCTCCTTTTCCAGGCGACAGTTCTATGACCTCACATGCCTGTATCGAGGACTTCTGAGGCCTCAAAATTGGTCGATGCTGTTTGCCAACTCTCCAGCGACGTTTGACACCTGCCACTATTAGCCACTTAGGCTGAACGTAAGACCACATATCGGTCGGACCGGCCAACGCTGAAGTCCATGCGTTCGCCTGTACTCAGGCAATGTCTCGAAGAACCCGCAAGGATCCTCTGCTGTCTGTGCCCCTCCCGGTACACGACGCGTGAGCTGAAGAAGTACAATTGCAATGACTTTGAGCAACAATGCACTTCATGCGATCATAAAGCTGCCTGTTGCAGACAATTCGCTCAAAGCAGGCAAATAGAGCGTGATGTTACCTCGACTCGACGACAAAGTGCCCAGGCCAATCCCTGCCTGGACCACATGTTGTCATGGTCCAACTGTGCCGTTCCACAAGGCCCTTTCGGTCCAGACTTTGAGAAGAGGGTCTGTCTGCGCGAGATATACAGCAGGGCCGTGTTGTGATCGGAGACGCGCCACACAAGCGGAAGGACGCAGGTACCGCGAACAGCCAGTTGTTCGACCAGGTTGCGATCTGTCAGCGGCCGTACGGAGAGACGATACTGCTTCGGTAACGGCAAGGCGTTGGAATATTGCTGCGAACTGCTGCAAATACCCGAAACAACGGCTTCGGACTTCAAACGGTAACAGATGGGTCGATCATATAATTGTGCATTACCTCCACGACGACACTGACGATACCTTCGCATCGCAGTCGACACAGAGCATGAAGGTTGCCAGACTGCGCTACATATGATCGTCGATCCAACGACCCAGGGCGATAGTAACGCCTTTGGCACTACAAAGAAGGCGCGCAAAGAATGATCGGCGTGGTGAAAGCGAAAGAGATGCTGACTTGGCTACGAACCATTGTGTACCCCGCAGCCGGAAGCCGTTACCAAATACTCCGATGAAACCAAAGGAGATAGGAAAAGTTGTACACGTGCACAGCTCGACCACAATCGGAAAGCTGGTATCATAAAGCGGGTCCATTGCGCTAAAACCGGGAAGATGCAGACGGTGCTCAACACTATCAATACTTTCCACCGAAATGCTCTTTGGCATACTGTTCGCAAGCCTATAATTGTCAGTGGATCGTGACTGCATGTTACAGGTCTGGGCGGTCCACTCAAAATTCCATGAAGATTTCGAAGGGACGGCACAACCAGGTATCAGAGTTTGACATACTTTTGCGGGCTTGCCAACTTTCTGGCCGATAGCTTTCCACTTGTTGGCGTCGTATTCCTTGATCGCGGCAAGTAACGCTGTGCTCTGCTTCCCAATCAGTATTGGTCTGCTGTGGTTGCCATAAGTGCTCGAACAAACTCACTTCATCCTCCGCAAACTCGGCATAGTGCATATCCTGCGTTGACGCAATCAGTAACCGCAAGCCATTATAGTAACAGGTACTGTACTTGCCTTGTACCAATGCTTTTTCACGCTGCCTTCTGTTCGTTGCGGGAAAGTCTGTAATGTTCTGTCAGCACCAGTGTGACACAGTGCACCAATTGCCTCGTGAACAACGACACTCTCTGGCGACTCCTGCCTACCTTCGCAATTTCGCTCCAGCTATTGCCCGCATCTCTCATTTGTTTGAGCCTTAGTTCCTCTGCTGGGGTCCAAGGCGTGTTTGTCCGGCTCTTCTTGATCTTTGGCTCTTGCGTAGAAGTATCAACCTGATCCGCTTGGACCAATGCCGCACTATTCTGTGCTTTTGCACCAGCGCTCGTATCCTTCATGTTGTTCGTCTGCTGGCCCAAACTAACAGATTTGCGCTTTCGATGACCAGAAGCAGGAGATTGTATGGCCTGCGCACTCATCGAAACTTCGTCGCTTGTTTGGGTCGCAGGAGCTACAAGCTGCAGGACTGGTTGCTCGTTTACAGCAGTATATTGCGAAGTTGAAGGCTGAGCTAGCGCAGTCGGCGAAGGTTTACGATTCCGTTTGGAAGCAGGGGAGCAGCTGAGAAGTGAGGGTATCCAAGGTCAGCGTGTCCATGGACTAAATCAAAAGTTATGTCAAGAGTGAGATGACTGCATCCTGCTCGGTGACGAGAGACACGAAGTCTAAGTAAGAGGGACTCACGACATGATGGCGCACGGGTACGTCTTGCCCGCTGCCGGTCAGATAGAGACGCGAGGCTTCGTAACTGGTCAGATTAGGTGCGTCTGTAGAGCGTGGTGTCATGCTCGTCGATTGCCAGGTTTGGGACTGCGTTCAGAGTGTACAACGGTGAGTGTGTGCGCAGTAGATCATCATGGTATCGAAGTAGGCAGATCGCCCGTCGGTGCAAGTGTTGATCAAGTACAAGGAATACAGAAGGGTCAGGTTTGTAGGCAGGCGAACGAATGGGCACAACGGAGAAGCATCAGACGAGTTGACGACTGGGATGCTCTGAGGTTAATCAGCCAAGTACCAGCGGGGATAGCCGCCAGACTTGTAGTGCTGGAGTAGAGGTACCAACGTCGTCATCAGAGATATGTGGGAGTGGAAGTATCAGTACGAAGACAAGTTGGAGTGGAGAAGCGGGGTAGCAGCCTCTTGGACAGGCCCTGGTGAGTAGGTGGCTTCACACTTGCGCGCTTAACCAGACGAGTCTGAAGAGGGCGGGGAAGGTGCAGGTCGTGCGTGACATCTTCATGCATCTCAGCTCCTGTGAGTGATGCAAACTGTTGCCGATCGAGCTATGACGAGCATCGATGCGTACCTCTGACCAAGGTAGCGAGGTACGGCCGGCCACCTTGGGGAAGCGCTAGACGTGTTCAAACTGCCATCAGACAGCGTCTCCTTAGCATGGGGAGAATCGTTCTCTTGTAGCTTTCATATGCAGGTGCGTAGCGTGGTGGACTAGTGACTGTGAGTGGTGACGGAGAATGGTTGACAGCTGGCAGGGTTGGTGCTCGTGCGCTGACACGCGCCTCGCGCCTTCAGCACGCTACCGTACTTGTGTTTCTTCGGCATCATCATCGGTCAAACAACATGATGAGAGGTTGCAGCGACATTCGCCAACCTAATGTTGCCCAACGCGTGACGACGTCGAAAATACAGCTCTGAATCTCACAGAACCCTTTGATGCCAGCCAATTGTGGCCCCCTAATCCATCTCGCAGGTGCTTAGCCCATCCACCACCATCTCAAGCCGTTGGCCAGGCCCTGACGTCTTTCGACGGCGCAACAATCTCTTTCCCGCGACATTTAACAGCTGGGCACGGGAAAGATAGATTGAATCGCTTCTCATCTGTCCCCTATTACGACGGATGACGATGGTCTTTGGTAACGGAGGGGATGCTACTTCAGCATAAGCTCCGCCGGCCTCTCTCCGCCACGCCGAATACTTTCAGCCACCTGACGCAGCGCCAGTATCAGCCCAAGCCGCAAACGTTTGGGAAAACCGCTCTGCTGCAGCGTTCCAACTGACCGCTTAGCTATAATGGCCTCTCTTAAGCGCCAAGCGGTATTGCCTGAGAGTCGCCTTACCAAGACGATACTCAAGAACGGAACACAGCATTTCCGAGCTCTCTATCGTCTCGACTGTCTCACGGCGTCAGCGGTGACCTGGTCTTTCACGGGTTTGCAGACTTGTGTTGCGCATGTAGGTTGCGCGTCCTTTCTCAGCTTCATTCCTTGCATTTTGTATTTCTTGCATTTTGTCACCAGCTGATCTTGTTCATGAAGATGCGAAGTTATGTTTTGTTCATGAAGATGTGAAGCTATGTTTTAGTTCGTACGCTGACATTCACTGTTAAGATGTCCCTCAGACACTAACGCAGCTAAACGGTGCACTGTTCTCCCCGGTACCTGTAACCGCGCGTTCTGAGTTAGCGCCCGCTGTTATATAGCCTGGTGTGGATTTGTTTCCAGGCTCTCCAAACATTGTCAAACCTTTCGCTTCGCAAAATTGCTGCACGACCCGCTCTCTAACATACTCGGTTTTGAAACCGACCCCGTATATCCCAAAAGCGTTCGTTACTTTTATGCAATCCGCTCTAAAACATCAGCGAACCTGGTGAACGCATCGCGAAAGAGCCTTTGCCCCTCCGTCTCTGGCTTAAGTTGTCTCGTATCAGGGTTGCTCTAAACATTTTGGCTGCGAACGCCGATGTCAACCGTGCCGGTGATCAGGACCTTAGCCGCATGACTGACAGTTTGAAAACGTTGCCAACATCAGGACGAGCCACTGCAATCCACAGTGGTGCGCGGCCCAAGCAACGTCCCGTTTCTTGTCATCGTCCAAACTTTATAATAGTTGTCGGATACCCCGAGTTTCGAGGCCTCATCCGCATCTGTTCAATCGGCATCTGTCTTTTGGTTTATTTCTAGCAGCCTTGTAATACTTTCTTTAACTCCCACCGGTTGGGCTGCACTACATTCCTTAATCAACATTGCTGAGCAATCAAATTCGCGGATTCCAATCTTCAGTAATACACTCTTTCAGAGCCAGACTCTACACCGAACAACAGACTTCCCAGGCGGACACGACTGACGATCGACTCGCGACTTGACTTACATACAATACCAACATCTATTCCTCACCCACTCGATCAACTGCAACGCATCAAAAAACAGCCACAATGCTTCACCACCAGCCTCAAATCCTTTCTCCTCTTCCGGAGATGGGCTCCCAGAACCCCAACGCATCTGGACTCCGTGCTCGCAAGATGTCCGCCGCCGGAAATCGTTCATGGTCTGAAGAAGAGGTACAGGAACTCCTTGAATTGACTACGCACTTTACTTACGTCTACCAGGAGACATATCTGCTTCAAACTCGCATGCAGAAGATGCCGTACAAGCACATTGCTGTTCACTTGAAGAAGACTGAACTCGCTTGCCGTCTTCACTTCCACCAGCTGTCACACGGTAGTCACCGCCGCAGGCGCAACTCGTCGGTTTCTTCGACCGCTTCGTTCGGCTCTATTGCGCAATCTGTATGCTCGATGGGCACTGATCAGGACGACTTCTCCCAGTCATCTCGCCAAGCCTCGCCAATGAGCTACACTGGAGCATCTCACCACATCAGGTCCGCGTCAGCGACTGCATCGCCAGGCCGTAGTCAGCACAAGATTCTGCTTCCCAAGCCCCGGACTTTCACTCCTCAGGGCTCACCTGAGCCCCACAATGGACTCCGCATCAACACCGAGGTTGCTTATCAGCCACGCATCGTCGACACTGACCGACTCCGTGCCATCTATGAGGCCCGTCGTCAGCAGTTCTGGTCGACTGTGGCCGCTGACTACGGCGCCGATGTGTCTCCTGCCCAACTCGAGGAGATTTGGCGTCACAGCTCCAGCGCTGTCCGCCCACCGACCCCTGATGCATCACCAGATGGCAGCATCATGCACAACCCCATTCTCAAGCCTTCCACAATCCCATACCTATCGCCTGCCTACAGTGAGCCCAAGCATTACAGCCCGATGGATACCAGCGCTGTTCCCGTGCCCGAGCGCATGCCGTACATGCTCCCCATGCCAGTTCCGTCCACTGGACGCACTCGCGCCGGTACCTGGAGCTCTGCGCCAAGAGATAACATGCCCATTGCGAGCCTCCTCACCGAGGACAAGAACCCTCGCCAGTTCTAGGCGTATAGAACCTACAAACCCTTTACGACTTCTTACTTTCGTTAACTCATATTACATGACTTGTTCTACAATACGTTTGCCGCTTGTTCCGTCTGTTGCAAACATGTCCAGGCGAGTCATGGTGGAGACCTAACGAATCTCATTTGTTGGCTGATCGCTTTTGGAACGGGGTCAAGAAAAGGCACGGTGTACCCAGATTTTGCCATACATGTACACAATCAAAATATTTCTCTGACTATTCGCATGTGTCACTCCTTAATCAACGAGAGATACCATGTTACGCCGTGTTCGCAATGTTTTGTTCTCTTGTGCCTTATTCCCGCGAGGCGATGACCCATGATATTGTTGCCGTGGTTGCGCCGCGCTACTTTCGCGCCGAGGCCGCTTCTCCTTCACAGGGTTGATCGCAGAACACCTGAACGTCACAGGAACATCATTACAAGAGATCTCGACGGTGCCAAGAACCGGCCCACACGGTGGGTTCACGATCCAGTCGGAGAGTCACATTCAGCAACGATGGCCCTGTGATTACGACTTGCCCATTCAGGTTTGGTGAATGTTTCGTTCCCTACCCCGTGAAACACTTCCAGCCTCAGGTCCGATGCCCTGCCAACATCACATCTCTTCACTGCCACCATCAGGCTTGCGTAAAGTGAATGCAGCTGTCCTTTGATCTCCACTTCTCGAAGTCTCAGACCAGCCTCCCGGCGAAGAACACATTTTCGTAAGACCCGCAGCTTAGGCTCCGAACAACCAACACCTTGGATGCGCAGGCGACGAGCACGACCAACAAGAGCACGGTGTCAGCCCCGCGCCGGATGGGGTCGGGAACCCAAATCATATGACGACCGTTATGTCGATACCGTCGACCAGATTCACTGCCTGGTCTATCTCCCTGGTCTCGCATCTCCCGCCTGCACCACACAGATCCTGCCTCGTCGTCCGCTGTGGCCTGCCATGCAGACCTCATTTCCCATCGTTCATGCCTGTGGGGCACAACCAGTGAACCACACACCCTTGCGATACAGGCCTATAGCACCCTCGAGCGGTGGGTACTGGGTAGGTGCCACCCTCGTCTCAGGGTTGAGAGCCTTGCCACCTGGACATCATCTGGTCTTCCCTACTGCATGAATGGTTAGGTTCATCCTTGAATAATCGGCGACTCCGGGCCCGAGATTTCAGGCGAAGACGTTCATTGCCTTGACGTCTTACAGGGCTTAGCGGTGGCCTGAATACAACACCAAGGTGCCTGGAAGAAATGACGCTGTAGGATCGCGGGCAGTAAGATGAACAACAGCGGACTGTTGGTTCTGAGAGGATTGTTGGAGGGGGCTACTGCATGCAAGTAGATCGGAAGGGAAGAGTGGTCGCCTTCTATGCGCCTTCCAGCAGGACCCCGTACTTTCTCACTATGGTCAGAGACAGACCGGCTGCTATACTGGTACGCCCCCTTTCTTTGCTTCTTCGAGAACACTCCAAGATATCTAAACGATCACTGGATCGGTTTCCGAGCTCCACTGACCCTCACGTCTGTGAATCATACGATCTTTTGGATGCGGCTCCTTCAGCGAGTTGTGTGCCGGTCTGGATCTTGGTGTACTGCAGCTGACGTCGAGCCTCCTGTCTGGGTACCATTTTCCTCGATTTTCGTGACGAGCTCTTCGAGATCCTCAGCTGATGCGCCACCTCGGCCACCATACTCGGCATCCAGGCGTTGCATGAGCTCCTCGCCTGGCAAGAGAATACTTCTGTCAATCGCGAGTGGCAAACCACGATGTCGACCTCGAACCATTACGACCAAGATTACAACTTTGCTCAGGCTCGCAAAAGAGCCGCTAAGACTGTAGTCTTGACTTGGAACACCGGTGGACAGGCCCACTGTGCCATATGCTGACGTGACTTCGAAGAGCACTGAGAACGAGTCGAACCCTGGATCTTTCCTCAGGATGTGACCTCGCTCTATAATTGAGACAAGGAAGAAAGCAAGAAACTGGAACCAGATGTCATAGGCAAGTTGTTTCTGCAAGTGTGACGCAATGCCAGCAGCACTGTCACCACCCTCTTCCAAACCAATTGAACGTTCCTCGTAAGTGTTGGTTTTGCGAAGCGTCATCACCAGTGGGTAGCTAGAGATGTACATGATGACGAGGTAGCCGACTAAACATGCCGGCGCCAACGAGCTAAATGCGACGGTATACGCTCCGGACGTGCGAAGGCCTGTGGCTTGAAAAAGACCGTCCAAGATCCTTGTTCCAGTAGGCAAGGCCTTGATGTCCGGCATGCCGATATTCAAGATCTCAAAGCATAGCCATGCCGTGATATCGATCGTGACCTGGATCATCAGAAGGTACCATGTCTGCCTGCTTGGGAAAAGGTAGATGAAGCACCGTCGAGGATGTTGCAGTAAAAACTGCAGGGTGTTCTGCAATCGAGAGCCTTTTGGCACACACTTCTCCATGACCCAGATCGTCAACCTCAAGAAGATAGGGAATTGTGTCTGTCCAACCAACGCCAGTGCACCAGCAATGATTAGAATGTACGGCATGCCACTGAACGGTATGAAGTTCGCGTTCAGCACGTTCAAACCTCCGTTCGTGAATTCAGTGACTGTCGAGAAGAACGCCCACCACCCTGGATTCAGGCCTCCAGGCTGTGCTTCGCGCAGAATAGCTCTTGTCTTGGTGCGGTATGCGTACGGTACCAGTAAGATGACACCGAGCGTGTACCAGAATAACTGGTAGCCGATCAAGATATATAATAGTGCTTGCAGAGCGCGATACTCGACACCTCCCAGCTCCAATCGATCGTGTTCGCTGAGTTCGAGAAACCGTCCTTTGGAGTCTAATCGTGGCTTAAACGAGACATAGTCGTGCTTTTCAGGCTTCAACTCGCTCGTTACACTATCAAAAATACGCCCGAAGAAGTTACTCGCCAGCTTGGTCTCCCACGGCGTCGGCACAAACCCAAAACCCGTCTGATGATGAAACGTCCTTCTTTTAGTCAACGGCTGTATCTTCACCGGCTTCACCGGCTTCGCCTTCCCTAATCCTTCGTTTGCACTGCTATTTCTGGGGCCGACGATCTGACGTTGCCGGAGACTGTTGCTCCTGCTTTCGCCGCTGCCTTCGGCCTGGCGATTGTGCTCGATGTCTTGTACTAGGCGCTGCATGGTGCGCGAGTGCTTCACGACTTCGGACATGCGCTTGCGGAACATGGATTGCCGGATAAGAACTACGACCATGGAGACAAAGGGTATGCTGCCGATGATGAGTAGAATACAGAGCACGGCTTGCTGGAAGCCGGACAGGTCGCCTAGGTCGACGGAGTTGAGGCCTACGATACGTCAGCCAGAATTCAACCTACATCATTGCTTCCAGATCGATGTATCGACCTACCAGTGGTTGTCATAGCGCTGCATGTCAGAAACAATGCGTCCATATAGGAGAGATGCGAATCGCGATACTCCTTCGGCCCATTCTTCACCCCTTCACCATACACAATGACCGAAGATATTGCAATAACAACGATAAAGTAAAGCATATGCGCACGGTAGAAGTTGAGCGTGAGAAATTCATCTTTAAGGTATCTGAGGAAGTGGTTCTTGGCTTCTCGTGGATTCTGCTCCAGTTCTTCGACTGGATCTGGCATTGCGTATCCCCGAAGGCGTTTGGTGTCGCGAAAGCGGTTGAGGTGTATAGAAAGGGTTGTTCAATATCATGTTCCTGCCCTCCGTGTGCCTTCCGGTTTGTTGTTGAAGCTGGAAAGTCCGATGGAGGCTGTGCTGTTGCCAATATTGCCAGCGTCGCGGCATGATGTCATTGGGAGAGGAGAAATGCGGACGCGTCCCGCCGCGTCCCGCCACCACGACATTCAGGTCCCAAACTTTGCTGATTGGTCTTATGATTGCAGCGCCTGCGCACGATGCTTGTATACCTGCAAGATGACGGAGGCGCTCGCTGCGTCACTTCAAGCGGTCTGTCAAGAGCAATCGTACGCATCGAACAGCAGAAAGAATTCGAAGCCGACAATACCTACAGATCGTTGCCTATTTTCACTCAGAGTACATACTGCTCCTCAAACCTCTTTACGACATGCTTCACATTGGTCAAACCACGCCTTGGGAATTTTGCGATCTTGCACGAGCAGTCTGTCGTACAAGTGAACACAGACATGCGTCTGAGACCGACTATCCGCAGTCTGCAACAAGCGCACTTCTAGCCTTCTTACCGATGCATGTGTACTTCGTGAGCAAGACCAACAAGGTGTCTTGACCCTTACACCTCGAACGGGAGTTATCGCCATTCAAGGGCATTCGTCGCGGCTGTCTGAGAGTAGCCGCATGACTTCTCATCATTCTCAATGAGTGGACTGACCGTTCCTTATGAGTCTGATTGACTGGTCTAGAATCTGCTTGCGACCGGAAAATGGCGTTCGTAGTCGATGGCACCATATCTTAGGATCCACTTTACGATCCAGTGCCGATCAGCTGGAGACCAAAGAGAGGGTGACTGTGGGGGTGGGCCGAACTACTCGGACAACCCGACAAAATTCTAGGTCTCCCACGGCGATGATCCAGCCACAGTGCGCTGAGGCTATTCTCTGAATATGCTTCTAGGTTCCAAGTCACAGCTCTTACTTTTGATGTTGGGGGTGATTGAGAGAAGCTAGGCCGAAGGCGACTCACGTTCTGGACTGGCAGCGCGTCCGCTTTCCCCAAATCGCCGACGCTACCCATACTAACTTGGGTGGCTTTGAGCTTGACAGCTGGGAATGAAGTACTGAAAACACTTGAAGCGACACGCCGACTTATCTTATGCACTTTGTGATTGGAGAGCTGCAAGCCACATCAATACCATCAGGGACCGACCGGTTCGCGCGGCCAGCTTCCGCAGAAGCAGACCCTGACATAGTCGTGCGCCCTCGAGTCAGACACCGGCCAGAGCTTTTATCAGCTTTGAGACTGTGCAGTTCTGAGTTCACGAACTTTGATAGCCCAGCTGACCATGGCGCGACTAGGCGCAGCGCTCGTTTCGATCGTGGGCTTGGCCCGGTCCGTGGAAATGGGGCGGTTGCAAACATTGTTGCGCTTGATATAACATACGGACCCGGCCATTGATCTAGTGGTGTGACCTACATCTTTAGACCTCCTTCCAACATGTTCCGTGAACTGTTTCGCAGCCACCGCCGTTCAGGCTCATATGGCAATGTCTACACAAAATTACAGGCAGACGCCGAGGCAACCGTCAGTACCCTGGAAAAGAAGCTCGGGGGGGGTGACTAGCGAAGTCGCTGGCGTTCTACCAGGCAAGCTGAGCTCTGAGGCTGCATTTCGCCCATGGAAGTCGCACATGCATGGGGTACGTCCGTCGTCTTCTCTGATCAATACTTATTGCGCGTCACCACTGATCCCCATCTAGTTGATTATGAAGAACAGCCAGGAACTAGACGCCTTCATGGAGAACGCAAAGCGAGACGCACTAAGGATGTGCGAAGGCCTCTCGAAGTCGGATCGAGCCGAAGCCGCAGATCGTTACAGGATATGGCACGAATACGTCGTAGCTGCAGTCACTGCGATCCTCGTCTTTCTGCAGAAGTCTATCACCGCCGTCATCGATCACAAGAAGGTATCCGTCGCCGGTTCGACTACATCGGATGCAGATGTCCGCTTGGCGATCAAGGAATGGGAGTTGGACGCCATATCTGCTGTCAAAAATGCACATCACAAAGCCGATGCTATCTTTGGACGACGATTATGATCGAGGGGGCATCGATCATGGGGCTTGGGAGCCACGCATTAATGAGTCACGATGATTATACGCTATTTTGTACTTCAAATTATCTGTACTCAGTACGCACAGTGTCTACTCACTCCTCGAAGGTAAGCTCTGATGTCAGTCTGACCTTTCACACCTCCTCCTCTTGATCCTTCACCACCTCATTCTTCAAGCCTGCTTAAAGAACTTCAGAATCTCATCATCGTAGAACGTCCAGTCATCCAGCAGTTCGAACCCTCCACACAGATATGCCGGTATCACCATGCCCACGACCACATCCTCGAGAAAGTCTGGATGTTGCGCCTTAGGGGTCTTTCCTGTCTTGATCATTATAAGCTCGTTCAGCGGCTCGTAGAGATAGGTCTACGGCTGCTGGTGCTCTCGCACATCTTCGTCATCGCCTTGAGCGGCAGTGCACTGGTACTTCGGCACTTGGTGGCGCAGTTTGTAACAGAGTAGGCGCCCTGCCCTCGAAATCAATACTACGTGACTTCTCTGCCTATACCAAAAGGTAAGCACAAGAATACTTAAGCAAGTATTCGTTGCGTAGTATAATATATATAGACAATAATAGTGCTAGCCAGCTAGCTTTGCCTCTAGCTGCTATGAGCGCTATGCCACGTGTCGTGTTCGTGCATAGTTGTTACACATGCTACCTTACTTATTATACATCCTCTAGCTACTTAACATAGTCTATTTCTTACTGTTAAAGTGTAAGTACTCCTAACACGTTTAAGACTTAGCACGCTAACACGTCTTCTATATTAATCAGGAAGGCTTCCTACTAGCCTTTAGGGACATATGTAGTAGTCTGGCCAAAGGCCAATAAAGGATATCTACTTCCTAACAACTTTTGCTAAAAATCATGCACAAGTTAACTAGACGTCTAGTTAACTGCGTAGATAATATATATCTAGCTTAAGCCAAGCCGGCTAAGCTAATGTAACTGGCTAGCTCTAGCTCTTCTTTAGCTTTAGAGTCTAGACCGTTACAGTAGCTGCTAAGGTGTCTGTAGCAGCTTAGCTATCTAAGAAGACTTAGGGTAGAGGTAGTTAACTAGGAGCTTAATTAACTATTTAGTGCTGTAGGAACTGTAGTAAGACTAGATATAATACACAAATATGCTAGGAGGGTATAGAAATATCTTCTAAATCTAATACAAGCACATAGTATGCTAGGTTACTATTTAATAGTAAGTAGTTGTAGTTGTAGTAACTTGTGTTAGTTATGCTAAGAGAAAATGGCTAGTTTGGTGATATGGCTGGCTTGGTGATAATCTACGTTACGTGGTTTAGTGGCCTTATATTATTTGACGTTGGGTAGAGGGATTCCGCGCATTTGATGAATCCGCGCATTTGGTGCACGGACACGGTACCGGTAGTACTTCCAGGTTACAGGAGATGTGAACAAACCCTTCAACTTAGCAGCAGTGATCTCGCCTGCCAAAATCTGATTATACTGCACAGGACGCCACCTTTTGGGTATCTTTTCCATCTTCATTATGGTCAATTCAGTGAGATACTTAACCACACTATTGGTCAAATTAATGCCAGCCCGAACAGTGTGCTTGTGGCGAAGAACGGGAGGCCGTATTTGACAATGTGAATGTAATATTGACCTCCGGCAAGCTTTTACTGAGTAGCACTTTTGTGGTTCTGAGAAGAAGCTCTTGAGTTGAAGATTGATGCTGTTGTTGATCCTGAATGCAGGCCACAGATCAAGTTCCTTATAAGTTGGAGCCAACATGACTATGGCACGGACGTCTGGATGTGCGCCAACGCTGCTCTGAATGGGGGCGTATGTTGGACTCGGTAGGTCATGGAGTGAGAGCATGGCGTCTAAGTCGAGTGTATAAATTTTGGCTGGTAGTTATTAGTCCTTCGTAGACGTGGTGATAGAGGAGCAGCGAAAGAGCAGAGAGGCTTTGATATTCTGCTGGCTCGTAGACGTAGAACTAGATGTCCGCCTTGCACTCGCCTTCTCGCTCATTCTTTCTTCCCTCCAGTATCTCAATGGCTTATTTTCCTCTGAAGCACTTGACGGAGTGTCTTGACCCTTCGAACTTGATCTCGGTTGGCATGTACCCGAAGTCTCGCCTGAGATCGCACCTTGACGGAATCAGTTATCCTGCGCCAACTTACACTTGTCCTAGTCGCTCTACTCATCTTCAGATCAGCTCCTCAGACTTCGCCCTGCGCTGAGCCTCTTCTCTCTCGTCAATCCTCTGCTGCACTTTCCAAGCTTTGTCTAAGAACTCTATGACCTCGTCATCGTAGAATGTCCAAGTTGGAGCCAGGTCGAATTTTCCCCTTGACCCGGTTACGAGTCTCATATTTAGCAAGAGTTCCGTGTATTGTGGTGGACGTTGGCCGACAGGAATCTTCATAAGCTCGATCAAATTCAGCTCATTGAGTCGACCCTGGAGCTCTTCGCATTTGCGAGTAGAGTAAGAGTTTCTCTGCAGGTGATTGTGATCACCAAACACTCTTTAGCCATCTTTCAGAATATCCTCTTCCAACGTAATATACCGGTACTTCAAAACGGGATGCTTCAGAGATTCGTCGTAGTCCACTTTGTAGTGAGCAACGGACGTATCAGCTTCACTTGAGGTCGGCACCTTCAACCGAAAGGTGGTGGACTCGTAAACCGTGACAGGCATATCTGGGATTGTCACACCCGTGGTGTCAAGCTCTAACATCCAAGTGTGTTTGTCGCCAATTTGGCGGCGCCGTGTAAGTTTTTTGATATCGTCACCGTTCTCATCTGAGAGCAGCTCTGAAGAACTGATGCCATCAGACTGGCTCATCGGAAATTGACTTTGGGCCCAAGATATCGACTTCGTTTTGAGCCCGTCTTCGGTAAACCAACCAAAGGCAGGGATGACCATGTCAGACATCTTCGTGAGCAGATAGCACTCAGACTTGACGAATGTACGGTGAGGAAACAGCACATATGCCTTGTTCCAAGTGGTGAAACATAGACCAGCTGTCGAAACGCAACGAATAGCTGAGACATGGCGGCTTAGTTGCGATGGGACAGAGATATGCTGTCACGGTTTGGGTCTCTCCTGCCTCATGGGCAACCGCGCCTCACCTTCGGTGAGATGCGACTACCCATCCTGCACCAGCGCTGTTTACAGCCATTCATGTATACCTAATGTTCGTAGCTTCACACAATACAACCTCAGTTCAATCCTTCAATTCTTCCTGCATATGCGCACTGTTCACTCCACCACGACATATGCGGACGCTCTCGCCTGAGACTGTACGACTGTACTTCCACCTGCCTTTCTTCAGGCTATCGCTTGCCTCATAACCCTGCTACACAAGATATTCGATCATGATATCGCTCTGCTCCTGAGCCACATAGATGTCCAAGACTGTCAGGGGCCTGCTTGAACGTTAGATCCATTGTCGCATACCCCGTCCTGCAACAACTACTCCACAGCGACCTTGCACGGACCGAAACTCAAGTGGATCAGCGAAAAACCTTCTCAGATAGCCATAGTAATGCCTGATCTTAAATGCTGTGGCTTTCAGCACGGTCTGCACCTGGTCGAAGCCCTTGTAGGTGCAATTGAGAGCAACCACATCGGCAATATCCAGGTACAGTAAAATCATCGTCTGGACAGGCGCATAGGTGCTACTGAGCAGGTCGGCAAGGGATACCATGATGTAGTCGTGGTTTTGAAATCTGCTGTTGCAGATTCCTTTGTTATGAAGGCGCTTCTGGCGTTGACAGGTGTGTTAGATCGTGGAGGCAGTCACTACCTGGTAAGTGGCAGGATACTCTGCTCCCTTGACGTTGAGCAAGCTCAACTGAAAGCAGAGTCGGTCAGCGTCCAGTGTGACAACTAAGGATCAGCAAAGCAGACGTACCTTCCCAAGGCGCGCTGCGCTTTACAAACAACTGCAACAAGCACTGTCGGGAAGAACGGGAGTGGAATATCGTCGTGGAGAGAGAGTGAGAGAGAGAGAAAGCAGCAAGCCCAAGAGTATGCGCGGGGACGCACAAACCCACAAGTCAAGTCGCTGAAGACAAAAAGAAAACAATGGTGAAGGAGAGACTGAGAAAATTCAGCGTGAGAGGCACATGGCACAGCATCATACACTTATAATTTCGACAGCCTACTATATGTAAGGTATATCCAGATAACTTGCCGTAACTCTAGAGAAAAGGGGTGCTAAAGATAAATTACTAAATGGAAGGAACTTTTGACATGCCACTGTACCAAAGTCAAAAACTTGATCAACCGCCCCTCGCCTTGTCCCACATCGACCAAACTGGATTCCCCCAAGAGCAATGATCCATAACAGCAACGCCACCGTCTTCATCCTCATCAGTCACCAATCTCCAGCTCCTCATCTCCTATAGTAACAGGCCTCCACGAACCTCCCCCCAAGAGCCTCAAGCCTATGTACCTCTTCCTCTTCTTGCTCAATCTGCCTTTCCCACTCAACCCTTTCCAAGTAAATAGCATTGCGGTAGATCTCCATGACCCTCAGGCCATCAACCTGCACGAGGTCCTGCAGCCAGTAGTTCTCGGCGGTATACCGACTGCCTATCGTCAGCCCCCTTACCGCATCACTCTGTGACACATAGACTTAGCAGATCTCGCCCTCCACCCCCCTGCTGCTCCCCTCACCCCCAGCAAGCCGCTGCACCACATATCTCCCGACGGGCAGCACCCTGACCACGCTCTTCGCCGCAACCCTTCCATTATCCGGAGGCACCCGTGTAGACCTCAGTCTCTGCAGCTTAGCCCCCATCGGTTGCAACAACATGTCAATATCCTCTGTGCTCATAAGAGGCGCATGGTGGAGTACAGGCCGCGATACCGTGGAGCGCAGATCTGCAGCTCCTGGCGACCGGCTGCTCAAGGACTGGAAGCTGTTCAGATGCACAGGGTAGAAGGAGAAGGTGTGCGCTGCGCTGAAGGGTGTGCAGGTGCGGGTCCGCGCTTCCTGGGCCGCTTGCGCGGCGGCGATTTCTTGGGGCGTCATTGCTTGGCACGGAAGGTTAGGAAGGAAGAGCGAGAAACGTGTGGTGGGTTCGATGGCTTGCGAGAGTTGTTGTGAAGAGCATGCTGACGGGGGACTGGGTGTCGTTGTCGGCGAGATCATCATCAAACGGGGCTCTGAACATGGCACGTACCCTTGCAGGCTTTTCGTGTGTTGCTGAAGACGAGTTGTACGTTGGTGGCAGAGGTCGCGCTGGAGGTAAAGTCCCAGGCCTGTTTGCTGTTATCCAGATCGAGCAAGCTGGCAAACGAGCCTGTCTCCACCTCAACGCACCATCCTGCTCTTTCATCTTGCATTACTATGTCTGTTTGTAAAATATGCTACGTTGCACCTCCAAATCTCTCTCGCTTGGCTGCTGTTGTTCTGGTGCATCACGCTCTCCTCAGTCACCGGCGACAATTCCTCTTCCCTCTCTCCAACCCGTCGGTATCAGCGCAGCGGCAACTTGTCCCACACCCCTCTCCGTTGCCAACAGATTGAACTGTGCTGCTGCATTTCGTGTATCCTGGACTTCCAACCTAATACCGAGGCCGTTGAGGTACGTTCGGACGGCAGGCGCGAGGGGAAGTACAGAGGGCCCAGTGCCGATGATGAGGATATCTGTATCGTATCAGCATTGTTTCTTCTCTCGACATTTCGTGTCAAGTATTCCAACCCCGTGCCCAGGGTACGAGCACATGCACGCGCTGAGGCACGTGTTGCCAAATGGAAAAGCAACATACCAGGCTTCGGCCACACCAGCTCCAGAATCCCCCACCCGCCCTCATTGACCTCCCACTGCCCCTTCTTATTCTTCAGCCGCCCCGTTATACTATCCTCGCCCGCTCCCTCACCGGTGGTGCCCTCCTTCCGCCCCTCACGCACCCACGGCCACCATCTAAATGCCTCACCACCAACAAGCAGCAACCCACACCCACTAACGCGCATTTGGTTATTAAGCGCAAACCCATCAGGCGTCGTCGCGTCGATGCTCGTCGCCGGCGCCGCGGTGTTACGTAGCACATCGAGCGCATTGAAGTCCGTTTGCGTGTCTTCTTCGCTCTTGGGGCCGCGTTCGCGGGACTTTGGGGGTCTGGACTGCATCAAGACCGGCGCTGTGGTGTGCAGACTGCGGCTGGAGGATGGGCGGAGACTTGTGCATGATCGCTGCGATGCTGCCGAGCAGGTCGATGCGATTGAGTGTGAGCGGATGGGGCGCGTGGAGGACTGGATGATGCGCTGCGAGAGCGAGCGGGTGTGATATATCATCTGGCGCTCCATTGTGGTGTGGGAGAGTATTTGGATGGGTTGTGAGAGCAGAGAGGGAAGTTGTGAGTGTTGACGGTGACGAACATCGTCATTGAATTCAATGGTGGCCCAAGCGGGCTAGCTGCAGGTACTCCTCCGCTCCGCTGCGGAAAGCTCCCATGGTATAATCCTGAACTCCGCCACACTGTGCAAATGCGTGTCTGTGTGCTGATGAACCCAATGCCACTATGCAAAATGTAGATGCGATGTTTTCCCTAGCTGAAACCTGCCTTTGAGCGCCCGCTGTCACCGTGCCATCCTGTCGCCCGCAACAGGATGCACGATACCACCCTTCTTCCCCATCGCCGATTTCATCGACCTCAGGTCCTCCATATCGATCTCGTCATCGTCCTCGTCGTCGGAGTCAAACGCTGAAGGCAGCTCCTCGCAGTCCGCTGCGTCAAGGCCCAGTCTCGCCATCAGACCGATCATCCCATGAGGCTGACGCTGGTCCAAGCCGCCCTTGACAGGAGACGCCTTGAACGACTCCGTCAGCTGCGAACTCGTGCTTGCGCGCTGCACGTTGCGGCGCCGGAAGTTCATGGGCTCGGTCTGGCTGCTGCTGCTAGCTGTAGTGCTCGCTGTCGACGACAGGCTCGGACATGTTTCTGCGCTCTGCTGCGAGTACTGATTTACGCTCTGCTGGCGGCGGTGTCTGCTTCGCTGCGCTTCTGGCTTGCCGCATCGTAGAGGTTGCTCGGCGCCTAGGTAGGTCCACTCGTTCGCTGGAGGGTTGTAGGTTGGGCTTGTGCCGCGGTTTATGCAGAGCTTGGAGGCTTTCAGTTCGCCGTTCGGTGTGCCGGATCCTGATGTTGTGAAGCGCGACCAGCGCGAGAAGCTCACTGTGCGGCAGCTTGGTGGTGTTGCAGGCATCTCTGCCCAAGGCGGGATGATATCCTGCATGGCTCTTGAGCTTTTGCGCTTAGGCAGCGCAGGTCTGCTTAATATTCTGCCTTTGCTTTCGTTTGCAGACATCGCTGGGTCGTATGAAAAGTAGTCTTGTTGCGACATGGTGGCTGATTGCTGCTTGCGGCCGTAGTTGGATTTGAGGAGGTTGCAAGCAATCAGCCTTGCTAACGCAGCTGAGTTTGTATTGTGAAGCTGAGTCGGGGTGCGCAGTCGCTGACTTGAAGTTACTCAGTGCCGTGGAGGTGAGCCTCATGGTCGAAGTCGGGCGAGGTCAGCAATGCAAGAGGCGGGGACTCATTATCCATTCCATTGTCTGTCTTCACCTTCAAGACACCAGGTCCACACCGCACTTTTACACAGCGGCTCGGGATTGGTGCGACTGTCTAGGGAGCACCTGAGTATCGGAGGAAATTCCTGCACTAAGGGCGCTGAGGGCGGGACACCAGGGCTGTAGGTGTGACTCTTGGGACAGCTGGACCTGAGTTCTATGGGCGTGGAGGGGTTGCGCCGTGTGGTTTGCACGCCATGCAAGTGTCGCGCATGATGGGTCCCTGTGCAGACGATGGCGGATGACGTCGATTGGTGGAGGCCGTGTAACAAAAGGAACAATGATCGGCGTGGGGGCGAGGTGTGATGGACGCATGTGAAGCTGCAACCCGTGATGGTTGGAGCAGGTGCAAGTGAGGCGAATTCAGGGTCCAGGATCCGCGGGTCCAGCCCTTGAGGCATGTGTATCGGGCTGTGTCGGGCGCGTATGGCGCGGTTGCCGATGCACGTGACGGCCGCTTACGGACAGCTAGAGGTGGGAACTCGTTACGATGTACAAAGACCTCCTTCATGCTTCTAACATGACGATATGAAGACACGTGTCTTGCTGAGACGATGATGCTACTTGATGAGACCCTGCTTACCCCAGATCTCCAGTACCACGGGAGATCTGCAGGCAGCTGAGCCCTCAACCATGGTACTGACCACATGATACAACATAGCTGTTCTCAGCCCGGCTCCCCAAGTCGGCTTTCTGACTTTCGCTTCAAGCCATCACGGGTCTCATATCGACCTCCCATGACATCATGAATGGGTGACCACTGACCAGCCATGCCGCATTACCCTCCCCTACGGCCTACCGCCCCATATGCACTACGCATACACCTTCATCAACGCCGAACTCGCCCTCAACTCATGCTTTACACCGCCCATTGACCATAGGTGGCTAAGTTACAATAGCATACTCTGCGCCAACACCGGTGCGAGCCTTGCAGAACGTGAGCAAAGTCTGCAAACGATCATGGAGGCCCTAGAATAGTGCTTCGATATGCAGAAGAACGTTATCTTGGTCTCGTGGGCTCTAGTGCAGACAATTTTCGTGAAGAGAGCATGTGCGGAGGAGCCGATTGATTATCTAGCGGCCACGAGGAGTGCCGAGCTTAACTGTACGTTACTGCGCTTTGAGTATATAGATTGCCTAAAAGGCTACGGCGTTAGCTGGGGCGCTTGATCCGATGGATGTCTGAAGAAACAGTTCGAGGATCTGGTTGCTTGACTTGCTGTTTAAATCTTGCGCAGCGACGTAAGGAAGAAGAGTGTTACGAAGGTGATGCGGTGGGTCGGGAAAGGGGGAATGTTTAGTGTCCTAAGGGAAGAGGATGTGAAGGAAGAAAGGCTTAGCCCGGAACCGGAGTACAGCTGGTTAGGCGAGAATAGGCTAAGCTTCAATGACGCTGTGGAAATCGAGGGGAAAGAGGCAGAGGAAGAGGCGGATAAAGATCTTAGGCAAATCGAAGATCTGGCAAATCAGCTTGTCCCGAACAAGGGGCACCGGGAAGTCATCGTATTTGAATGATTGCACCTTGTGGAGGCAATCTGAGAATATGCACTGAGAGGACCCTAGAAAGACTTGAGGCTTTGAAGCAAGCCTATTACATGGTCATTGAAGTCGACGAGTCTGCTGAAGGACCCACTTTCATTAGCATGCTTCGCGATCCGAAAGGAAACCTATAAGCAATAACAAAGACGTCGAGGTAGAATAATCGATGGGTATATATCCCAATACTTTGCTTGGGGACTGAAACCCGGATAATTGACTCTAGAAGAGGGCGTAATTGTCAGTTAAACGTAAGAGGTAAACATGAACCCAAATTTGGAGAATTTGCCTTATTCGTCGTTAATGTAGACGCATTCTAGCAGTAAGCCAGCTGTGAACTTGATTGTCTAGTTGCATTGAATGCAATCACCATAAAGCGCCCTGTGGAGGTCTCTAGTGAGTCGTTGTGCGAAGCTGAGTGGGGTTCCTTGCTTGGGAGGACCATACTCTCCTTCATCTGTGCCCTTGGTCTGACTTCTGCCCCCAGAGATGCGCTGTTGAGGGTCTTTAACGTTGTGATAATGTGGTATGATACCAGCGTTAACATGGCCGTAGATCTATTTCCATAAGCGCTTCGCATACTTGTTAGATACACGCTCAATGGTCCCATCCTCGTTCTGTAAGTCAACATGCGAGATCTCCAAATCCTTGTTGATCCATATATCCGGACATGGATCGACTTCTCCTCCAACTGTACGCATTCGGTGGTGTGAACGAAGAGTAGTATTCGCGAGTGCAGATGCATCAGGGACGGTCCGTTCTCATTCGCTGCATCCCCAAGAGCTGTGCTGGTGCGAATACCAGAGAATGTGCAGTTGTTTTCTGTGGCTCATATGAGGTCCCTTGCTCGAAGATAGATGTCGCTCGAAACGTCTCGATCGGTGTACGGGAATCGTAAGATGATGCGAGTAGTTTGTTCCATGATGTTCGTAGGCTGGATGATGGCGCGATCACTACTAGCTCATTCGTGCAGCTCTCGCAGTCCGTTCGTCATAGAAACTTGGAAGATGTTCTGCAACGAGCTGCCGGAAACCACGGCTGGCTTGGAAGGTTGGAGGTATGTCGCTGCTCATCACATATTTATCCAGGTCGTACTGGATAGCAAACTTGAGGGTGGGAACTACGTAGTGCATGATTAGAATTCCAACCTCGACTGGACTGAATTCGTCATTGTTGTTAGTGTGAATGATATCAAAGATCGTTTTCGGCTGCAGAACGGTGAAGCGCTGCTGGCCTCGCAATAGCGAGGATACCTCGACATGAATCTACCGGCAGGTTGCGAGGAGCCCAAAGCGATCGCTCGTCGAGATGTAGCCGCCGTTATGCCGAGCCAGATTGTAACGGTTGAGAGGAGAAGCAGATCACGTGTTGTTGGCGGTGGTCTGGTGCTGCTTCCTCATATTGTTGAGCACCTCTTACCTCAGCGGCATCGCAAACACGTCAACAAAACAGAACACGCAGCGAGCCTTGGAGAGCAAAGAGACAAGCAGAACAACAACAGAAGAACACAATACACTCGTTATATACATTTGCCCTTGATACCGCAACACAGAAACTATGCCGTGGAGCGGCCTGCTTGGAAGAGCCATTTGTAAATCGCGTTTCGAATTTCGGGTGGTAGGCCGGGGAAGAACATAGCGGGCAACTGCGAGCTGTGAGACAGCGAGGTGGAAGCGTTAGTGGTGACTGCTGTTGACAATGACAAGTGAGATGAATGCCTCCTCGCTGCCTCGCCGTCTATGTTGCAGATCCTGGTTGGTCGAACGGTTCGCTGTTGATGGGTGTAGATGTGGAGGCAGGCAGTTAGTGGTCGTTGGGGGATCCTGGGCGAGAAGTGGCTGCGGAAAGAGAATTCCTTCCTCTTGTGTTGTCTCAAGCACTTGCCAAGGCGCTCCAGACTTGAGGCCATTGTCGCCTTGATGAATCGTGCTGCTAACTACTAGATCTGCAGTGAGCTTGTAATGGTCTGGAATTGGGATCAGGAACAGGGCCAAGGAAACCGAGAAACATTTGTCCACAAACTTTGTCATTGCAAGTATCTACCAGCGCTCCCCGTAGTAAGCCGTGTTGCACGGTAGGGGTTAAAGTACCACTGTGCAGCCCTATAACTTGATGCTCTCTGCCTGTCGTGTGATCTCGCAGCTATTCTCAACGTCTTTTCAATTGACAAAGCATGCACACTTGGACCTCACATGGCGCTCAAGTCTCAGGTCTGACAGCCCCACCTGTCAGTGCGGCATCTGCTTTGGAATACAACGAATGATACTACATTCTCACTAGGTCTGCTCAAAGTTGAACGATAAACGTCTAAAACGCAATTACAGGATGGCGCAGAAAATCTGCAGCTGTAGAGGCTGCAAAGTGACGATCTTGGTGGGATGCAGCAGTCGCGAATACTTTGTTAGAAGGTGAAAATGGTTCGAATTGGGTGGATGAGCTCAGACATCTATTATTCAAAATCTACTGGCTAGTCATGATTTGATAGAATTTACGTTGGGTGCGAGGAGAATGTTGCCAGACATGAAAAGAAACAGCAGGTGGGCTCCATGACCAACCTTCATCATTGTTGTGTCTCACCAAAGGGTGTTCGCGCTGTCATCGATACGCCGAGCGAGGTCCGCTGCGACTCCAAGCAGTGAGCCCGCATCGAAATCTACCTCAAGAAGGGTGGCGTTGAAATCTGTCGGCTCTTCTGATCCACTGTAGTCTGGATCCCCCAAATGTACCAGGACATCCACCGCATGATTCGAACCAGTAACTAGATCCATTGGTGCCTCATGCTCCAACAACCCTCGATCGGTCACAACGCGGACTTCGCTGTTCTTGCCATCAAACTCCGCCTCTCGAGGTAGGAGCATTTCGTCGACCCATATGATCGGGCATGGTTCAGTTCGACGTTCGGGATGACATTGGATTATCTTCCACATGAATAATAACACCCTCCTCTCAATATCAGTGACCGGGGAAGGGCCCACCTCCCAATTTCCAGAGACTCCGACTTCCACTTGTACGATGTACGGGTTGAAAATCCTGCGTGTTGCACGTAAGAAAGCAGTTGCATCGAGTCGGACTTCTTCAGACCCGGTGTGAACGCTGATGTCGAATGCTAGAAAAATCGTGGTGTGGAAGTTCACTGGCTCATTCCAGGAAGTAGAATTGGCGTGTCCATCTTTGATCCATGACTCCAGCGTCTCAAAGTCCTGGAAAGTAGATTTTGCTGTTGTAGTTCTCAAAGTGGCTGAAATTTGAGCGCCAGCAGGATCCGAGATACATACGTTGCGCAGCCATTGATTGGTGTACAGGAGCCCTGGCGTATTTCTGATCAATGTTCGATTGTCAAGATCGTAATCCAAACGGATCCCTTCAGGAGCAATTACGTGTTGGAGGATGAAGTTAGGGAAGAAGTCTATGTCGTCTGCGTCATAGTAAACCTCGTCTTCCATCCAGACACTCTGAAGCAGCCCCTCGAGTGTCTTGGGCATGACGATGATCAATCGATGCTGAGATCGCAGGACGCTCTTCGCCTCCTCATAGATCTGACTGCACGTAGCCATGATACCAAGGCGATCGGACATGGAGATAAAGCCCGTTCCCTTGCAGCGCTTCAGGAGCTGCACCGCCGAGCGACCCTCGGGGAAGAGGTGATAGTAGATCATATTTCGAATTTCTGCTGGCAGATCGAGAAACGAGATTGCAGACTGAGCCTTCTCTGTAGCAGTGGTTGAGAGCGCGCTCGCGTTCGAGGCCAGAGGTGAGACATGTTGCAGTTGCGGGTAGTCGTTCATGGTGCAGACCAGCGTGGACAACGGCGCCCGAGGTGAGACTGGAAGCATTGTAAGCTATTGTTAGAGATGAGGAATCATCGATAGGCGTTTCGGATGCGGTGCGGCGAGGTTGGTAGAAAAACAAGAACCGCGAAGGCGAAAGCTCGGGCAGGAGTGAACGAATATGCACTCACGATGAAGGCAGGTGCGTTGCACTGACGTCACGCCGTCGCCAGCAGCTGGAGTAGGGACACCTCGATAATGTCTATTTCAGGGAAATGTTCAACCACAGCTCACGCGCTCGGTACCGCACATTATAATTCGCCAATATTCGTTGAAGAACGTACTTCGTACACGGCTTTCAAAACTGCCGGCAACACATCACTTCAAAAAGTAACTGCACTGAGTCTCCAAATCCTCGAGTGCCTCCAGAGTCACGTATATAAAAGATCTCACCAGTCGTCTCACCATGAGACTCTCCACGCTCGGCACCACAGTCACCTGTACGCTGATCACAGCCTGCGCGGCCCTCCCGGCCACAAGAATCAGCCCTGTAAGTCGCATTCCCGACCATTTGCGCACCACGCCAAGCTGACACTTTACACATATTGCTCCCCGAGGTGCCCATTTCACAATCGTGCCCATAGCAAATCTCTGCTACGAGTGCGAATCGTTCTGCGATCTGGACTGGCGCGCATGCCATAAGGCAGGCTGTCTCGCCTACGGTGGGGTGAGTCCATTGAGCGAGCATGAGGACTCGGCGCTGATAATCAATAGTCAATGAAAAAAACTGTTTGCGACGAGTGGGCTCATGGTCCGCCGAAAGAGAGCGGGGTTCCTGATCTGGAGCCAATCCCCCATCCTACCATGGTTGAGGGAGGATGGCGATAGAAGTGGGATCTGCATTTGCGGTTGCCGAACAGCGTGGGAGGAGGGCAAGTGGGTTTATTTTCTTAGAGACTTTTTAGAATTGAAGACGAGGGAGAGAAGCGGTTGTTAGCGTTGATGTAATGCTGAATAGCAGAAGAGCGTTTTCTTGACATCTCCTCAGAAGATGGACAAACAATAGACCAAACTTCTGCAGAAGGAAGATGACGACCCTCGAGTTATGCGATCGATGTGTAAGACTGCCGGTAGGTTGGTCGTGAGAGTCTATTCGTCCAAATCGTACTTCTTTGTGACCACCGTTTCGCTGACTGGAATGCAGAAGTCCATGGAGCGGGACACCAATTTTGAGTGAAGGATACATACGTGTGCGACGATCGTCCCAAGGTTTGTGTTCGAAGATTCCCCTCGGCTGCACAACATCAAGCCTTCCGTGACACGTCATGAAGCTCGCAGTGTCATCACACACCCGCCAACAGGTCGTACCGATAATTAAAAGCCAGGGCGCGCATCAGTATCATTTCGTTATCAATAGACCCCAAACTATCCCCTTTCAAAACTCATAAAACGCATCAATATCCCCACCCCCCCTCAGCCTCGCAATATCCTCCACCTTCTAGGCAGTCCATCTCTTCGAGTACGCACCTCCATACCCGCCCTTAGGCTTGAAGCACTTGAGCCACTGCCCGAGCGCATCAGTGAAGTGTTTCCTACTCACAATGCCGGGCGCAAAGTACGTCCTGAAATCATAGCAATGCTGCGCGTTCGCCATTGTGTAACCGAAGAGCTCGCTCTTGCTCGTCTCGACGCCGCACTTGGGCGCATTGGTGAAAGCGTTGACCTTGGGTGCAAAAGACTCGGTGCTGAGCGGGCTGAGCGTGCGCCAGGGGTCGAACTCGCCGCCGGACCAGTACACATTGCTGGGCCGGATGTCCCAGCCGCCAAAGACCTTGTTGGTGCGTTTTGTGTTGGGCCACTCGGGCAGCAGGCTGCGGGGGGCGGTGGGGAACTGGCGGTGGCAGATGTCGCGCTGATGCTCGAGCGAGTTGTACTTGGAGACGACTTGGTTGGCGCCCAGGTTTGCGGATTGGAAGAAACCCCACTGTGTGCAGTACTGCCAGGTCCAGCTAATCGAAGCAGGGTCCGAGAAACGCTTGTTCAGGTCGCAGGAACCGGTAACGTTCTGGCTGCCGGAGCACTCAGTCTCGAGGTAGCTGTTGACAAGAGGTGCGAAGGTCTTCCATGCTGCCCAACGGTCGATCACAAATTTTGCGCCCTTCGACTTGGCCCAACCCTCAGCGGGGGCGGTAGTATTGGTCGTGGGGTCGGTCTCAATCCAGTCGCAGAAGCTACGGAGAGATCCAGCACCGCCATCAACGCCGTATGATTGCCAAAGGTAGAAGATGGTGCTGAGAGCATCAGCAAAGGTGGCGTGGGAGTTCGAGGCGGCGCCCTTGCCGAGGAACTGCTCCTTGAGCTTGGCAGCTGCAGAGCGGTCAGTGTCGAGGGTGTTATCGATGTACTTGATGGCGGCCTTGATGTCTTGTGTGCAGTTGCTGAAGCCGTACTTGTTCATTCCACGCCAGACGGGGTCAAAGTAGAAGGACTGGTCAACGCTGGCTTCGACGGGCGCCGAGGAAGCGTATCCGGCGTATATGGTCTCGGGGTACTTGTTGCGAATGAATGCAGCGCGCATAGCTGGATACGATCCTCCTACGAAGATCCAGGGCGTTTTGTCAGGAGTCAAGGTAGCGTTGACGTTCTTCCTCTTGAACTGCTTGGCAAACTGAACAACATCGGCAAGCGACTGCTCGGTGGTGAGGTACTTGAATGTCTCAGGCGGTGTGTCGAGGTTGATCGGTGCAGGCGTCGAGTTGCCATCTAGTCGATGCGTTAGTAAGGAGCCCACAAGTCAGATGCAGCGACTCTCCCAAGGCGAGCGAGGATAGACTTACAGAAGCGGTGCTCCCATACAATTCCAACACCCCCAAACTGATCTACGATCTGCTTGAAAAAGCTCGTCTCATTCTGCAACCTGAACTGCCAGCTGCCACTCGCATCGGCCTCACCAACGTCATAGATGAACACGGGTCCGCCAGCCTTGTACCCAGACTCCGCGACCCAAAATCTGTTGTTGAAGGTGTCCTTGCTCTCACCGAAGTGATCCAATTTCAAAGACACGTACTCCTCAGCAATCTTCTCCGGGAATGCAGCTGCAGCTTGCCTAGTCACGACGTCGACAGTAGACTCTTTGACCGTAGTGCCGATGTGCAGGCTCCTAGCGATGTTGGCCGCGGTTGCCGTCTCGATTGAGGAGCCGTCCGGGTTGAGACCCATGTCCGCGAGCAGGTTGAAGTCCCGAGACTTGGCCGCGTTGAAGGCATTGGCGCCCTGCAGCAGCGCGAAGGCCAGCGCCGCGACGGAAGTGGAGGTCCGCATATTGATATTGATGAGCTGGACGCTCAGCTGTCAAGACAAGGTCTGGGAGGCAGCGAGAGGTAGGCGATGAGAAGCGTGGTGCTTCCTGCCTTGCTGTCGGACGCGGTGGCTCTTGTGAGTACAGGAGAGAGGCGCAATCGGCGACATGTCTGCGGTACGACGGTGCATAAATACTTGTGAGCAACTTACCAGCGGCCCGGATAGTGGCATCTAGGTTCTACAGCGCGGATACCACATCGCGGATGGTGATTTGCAGACTCGTGCTTCGCAGCCAACAGTTTCATTCTGCACAGTCAAGCAACACCAAGCTTGCAGCGAAAGAAGAAGGTACGGAGCGGCGCTCCACTTATCTCCACGAGAAAAGCTTGATAACATGGATGGCTTGGCAGGGACGCTCCAGGTGCGGAAGGCGCGAGCCTCTCGCCTGCCTAATTCGTCTTAGTCGTGCTGTGGTCGTGCAGCGTAGTGGCCCGGCGAACGATCGTTAATTTGACGTGCAGCATCAAATGAGCGATGATCAGGAAGTTGAACCGAGGGTGTGGCATGCGACAGAAGTGATGTCGCCACACTGAGGATACACTGTTCGGTGCCCATTAATCTGTTCGCAGGCAGCGTCTTACAGCAGCTTGCATGCGCTTGTTCCTGTGCATTCTCGTGGCGCTGCGTGCTAGCAACGCCGTGTGCCCTTGTGTATCGTCCTCTATTCGTGCTGTCAGCGGCTTGATGATGTAAGATGCTCGACGGGACCGGGCAAGCATAGGACAAGATGCCGCCATGTTGCACATTGCAATGCACCGCTTGTCGCTGTGGGAATCTTTCTGCCTGAATTGCTGCTGCCATTACTCGTGTCGCTCCATCTCGAAGCTCGTGCGTTTCGCTACCTTCCCCTCTTCCCATGTGGCTGCCGGCCAGCTGCACCGCACTCTCGCGGTGGCGCCCGCCCATTATTACATATTAGTTCTTAAGTACGAGTATTCATCTCTGTGTGCATTTGGCTTTGTTTCGCCATTCTCCATCCGTAACGCCCCCTGCGATCGGTACGAAGCATTCCGGTGATCATGTCCTCTCCAACGCGTGCTCTTCATGAGTTATGGCTCTCGTTCGTAGTACCCGGAAAAGCCACACCCGGCCAGTGGACATGTCCCATGTGCGCCTGCTCGATGTGTTGTGCATGCCCTCCATGCGCATTACCTTCATTTTGGCCGTCGCGTCCGCCAAGCGCCATGAGCGTCGTTGCCGTATTTAGATACTCTCCTTGCGGGCCCACTGGTTGCTGCATATACGTTTGTGTCCACTGTCGCCAGTCTTGCGGGCTGTAGTTGTTGGCGACGTAGGTCGGTTGGTGCGTGGTGGTCACTTGTGGCAGGCTTTGCGGGTAGGTGTAGGCGTGTGGCAGTGGCTGGGCGGCCGTGCCTGTTGCTGCTGCTAGAGCGGTGGCATGAGAGGGGTTCATGCTGGTGTCATCCTCGACTTTCATGTAAGGTTGTTGGTCGTAGGCGGTGCTCTGCTGGGTGACTGGCATCTGTGCGCTGATGCTGTAGGGCATGGTCATGCTGTCACTGTCCGTCAGGCTGGTATATCCGGAGCCCTGGGTGAGTGTGGGGTCTGTGGGACCTGTTGTGCTTGCAGTGTATTGCTGCTCGTTGTAGCCGCTTGTGTCGTAGACTGCAGGTGGCGGGTTTGGCTGCTGCTTCGCGTGCATAGCTACCCGTGCCAGGGATTCGGTCGCAGTTCGTTTGACGATGCTGTCGTTGATGTTACCTAACGCGCCGTCCACGATCTTGGATATCGCCTTCCTCATCTTGTCCTCTGTGCCTGCGTATGTCTTTAGTGGAATGCGGATGATTTTTGTAGTAGTAGCACTCACCTGAAAGTTGACCGCACTCGCCAAGGACGTTGATCCATGTAGCCATGTCGCCCTTCAGCCTTGTCATGTCGACAGGAGTCAGGAGATCTTTCCGCATCGACGAGATAAACAGAGTCGTGAACACTGCAGCAATGTAGACCACTGTGTTGATCCAGACAATGTCGAGACTCTTCTTGTGCATCATCTCGGTGCAGTTGTACAGCATCTTCTGCGACGCCTCCATGCACTTATCCAGATTCGAGGACAGGATCGCCGAGTCGACAGACCTGCATACTGCGGGGTGATGCAGCAACAGCTGGAACTCTTGGTACCAGTACTCGAGGTATAGGGCGAAGATGTGGTCGTCTTGTGAAGCGCGAGACGGGTCTCGCAGCTCATACGGTAGCTCTTCCTTCCAGTTCTGGATGCCAGCCTCGAGTCGTTTCAAAGACTCGACGTACGAGCGTGGCGTGTACTGGACGGCGTAGACCGTCTTGTACAGGTCCAGCTCCCAAACGGCGTACTTGGCGATCTGGATGCCCACTTGGAACGAGCACTGGTGGAAGGGGCTCAGGTTGGCCTCCTCGCCAGGCAGACAGTCGTTCATGGGCTCGGGGAACTCGACGTCGATGTCGTCGTTGCTGATCGGCATGGGTCTTCCTAGCTTGCCAGCCAGATTCAGCTGCAGCGCGGTCATGGTCCAGAAGATGCGCTTCCGCATCTCGATGTCCAGTTCGGTGAACTTCTTGCCGGACGCCGAGTCCCAGTTCTTCACCGATCGGTGCAGACCCAGCTCTATCGCGTACAGATAGGTGAGAGAGGTCATGATCCACGCCGCGCCGGGCTTGGGGAAGTTGCGGAGGTGGTGGCAGATCATGGCCAGGGCTTGGATGTCGGCGAGCTCGTGGTGTCCAAGGAGCAGGTCCTTGTAGAAGCTGCAGGCGTACATGTAGTGTGCGTGTGACTCGTCCATCAGGGGCGTCTGCTGGTCGTTGCGCGCTGCGATCTGGTACTTGATGGTGGCGAGCATCATGTGGACCATGACCTTCTCAGGCGCGGTCGGCACGAAGCTGGGGTCCTTGCCGAAGCGCCAGACCAGCTCCATGAAGGCGGGCTTGTGGACCAGCATGGTGTAGGGGTTCAGCGAGCGCAGGTACCACGTGGCCCATTCCTTGAGTGTCGCGTACGGGGGCAACGGCACAGGGTCGACGTGCCGGCTGCCCACGCTGATCTCGACCAGCGTCCGGTACGACATGGGCGAGGTCTCGTACTCGGCGTTTTCGTCGACGAAGTCAGTGATGTCGATCTCGGTGCCGAAGACGGATAGCGAAGTGCCTCGTATGTGGCTGAGCAGCGAGTCGCGCGAGGCAACGCCCAGGTAGTTGTCCCCAATGGAGCCGTACTTGAACACGGGCAGCGAGTTCAGGCTGGCCTTGTCGCCCGCAGGCGCGTAGCCCGGCATGGGGGATGCGCTTGGGCGGCGCTGGCCAGGCCAGTCCTGCGCGTCGGCTTGGGGCGCGGCGGGCGGCCAGGACGTGGTCGCGTAGGCGGGCGGCGGGCGCGGGTCGACGCCGAGGTCCTTCAGCTGGGCCTGCAGGTCGGCAATGTGGGCACGCAGGCAGCTGTTCTGCGTCTCCATGGCCTCGGCATGCCCTCGCACCGTGGCCTTGCCGGTGATGCGGTCGGTGGTGCGGCATTGCGTGCGGTTCTGCTCGCATGGGGTGCAGCCCTCGGGGCGGCCGTCGCAGCGGATTTTGCGGATCTGGCGCGGTCAGCATGTGTGCGGCGGGGAGTGCGGTGCCGTCGCTGTGCCAACACAGGCAGAGGGACTGTCGGGACTGTCTACGCACCTTGCATCGGTCGCACGCCTGCCCCGTCCGCTTCGAGTCGGCGAGCTTGCGCTTGACGCTGCCCGAGAAGTCGTGGTTGCTGGCGCTCGGCCGCTGGTGCGGGCTCACGCTGGCCGGGTGGGCGTGGTGGGCGTGGTGCGCCTGGTGAGCGTGGTGGGCGTGGTGAGCCTGCTGCACGTCCTGCACTCCATGGCCGCCGTGCTCGATGCGCTGGATTTTGCAGGTGTTGGCGATGCTCGCATCGTCGTCGGACATGCGCTTCGTTCCGGATGCCATGATAGATTCGCTGCGCCTGCGGTATCTTCCGATTTGCGCCTCACACGCGAGCACCTCGATGCTGACTGGCCCGTGTCTGCTCGACCAATTGCTATACCTCATGCCCGGGTCATGCCCTTGCGGCGCTCCAACGCTGCGACTCTGGAATCGAAGCAGGTGACTGTTATGGCTCTGGAGTCTGCACGCTGCTCCAGGGAGAAACTCATGCGGTGAAGGGGACGCGGATCAGGTCCCGTCATCGCAGTCCACAGTCAATGCGCCACACACTCAGTATTCAGCCCGTCTGGCCGATGCTTCTTCGCAACGCTGGACCGCTAGCTGGCAACGCGCCCGCCGCCAACACGATCTCACTAACGCTGTCGCAACCGGCCATTTGACAGGCCGGCTCGCGCAGAACCTGCCCCCAACGCAGGTTTGATCGCCTGTCGTTGACGGCTCCGATTCGCTGCATGCGCCTCCGGCAGCTTTCTCCGCTACCGCTGCTAGACTAACCCGCCGCCGAGCCAGCTCATGTTGAATGGCACCCCCGCCATCTCCCAAAGCGGCGAGCGAGATGCGCATTCACTTCCCAAAACGCCCAGCTCCAAACCGCCCATACCTGATCGGCGCCGCTCCGGCTCTGCGGAAAACATCGGTAGCAAATCACCTCAGCCCTGAGCATTATCGTCGACCACCCGCAAAAGCCAGGAACCCCCTCGCACTCAGTGTTCCTCAGAGCTCAGGTCGACCGCCACGTTTTCACAGAGTTGGTTCTGGGCCCAGCGACTTTGAACGAAGAACCGCACCATGGCTGCGGTACGGACCTTCACGCTGCCGCACTACGACGCCTACCCGGTGCAGGTTGCGCTGTTCAGCGATGTCAGGAACGCCGCCTTCCTTCGCAGTCAACTGCTGGCTGCGAATCCCGAGTTCGACTATGCATTCCTCGATGCCGCCATGGTGAGTCCCGCTCCACTTCTCCACTCCTTCCACCCTCGTCAATTCTCGTCCCACCTTCACCTCATCTCGTATCTCGATGCTTAACACCTTGCGTGCCCACGATCCCAGTTACCGCCACGTTGTGCCAATCGTGCACATCGTATCTCTGTTCAGCCGCGAGTCCAAGCTCTAAACCATATTGGCTTGGCACGAGCCTTCAATCAACGTCCAGCTTCACGCTGGACGCCACAACACATCTTCACAACGTGTTACGGTGGACACGTTGGCACGTCAAGATGGTACCTTAATCTTGCGGCCAGCTGTGGCGCTTGTCTGGACCTCCCTGCTCTTTGCTGAGTCTTCGATGTTTATCAAACGAGCATGGCTTAGCGTCAAACCCCATCCGGATGTATGGGTTCCGATACCTTCGCAATCAGGACTTGGCCATGTCGATCTTATTCAGCTACCTCCACGACTGCAATGATTTGTAGGAGAAAGGCATTATGATCGCCCTTCCAACGTCGCTCGCGCAAGAAGACTATTGGGATCCATCCATTCGGTTTATGCAGGCTCTACACCTTCGCCATGCCTGCACTGCATCCATGGCTATGCATGCACAATTCCGCTTGCTCGACGACGCGCTTTCCGCACTTTGGCACGGATCGTCTTTCGCCGAACAGAACGAGTCTTTCGTCATACGATGCCTGCAACTCGTACCTTGCACTCGCAGAGATTACCTGCCAGCTAGTAGGAACAACGTGGTTCAAGACGGGCGACTGCTAGGCCTGGAAGAACCACTCGACAATCTCACAGCGGTGTCAATCGGCCCTGCAACCATCGACGGTGCAGAAGTTGTTGGAGCACGGCACGAAGAGAGTGCATCCCGGACCCCACCTCCACCACTCCAAGATTTTTCAAGCCGTCCCCTGCAACCCCCTTCAACAACTCCTGCACCCCCCTTCAACAACTCCTGCACCCCCCTTCAACAACTCCTGCACCCCCCTTCAACAACTCTTGCACCCCCCTTCAACAACTCCTGCACCCACTCTCCAAACATCTTTTACCCCTCCTCCCCAAACATCTTTTACCCCTCCTCTCCAAATATTTCCTACCCCTCCTCTCCATACATCTCCTACTCCCTCGCCACTCCATTCCCCACACCCCTCACCCCACTAACAACCGCAGATCCTCACACCCCAGCACCTCCTCACAGCAACGTTCCTCGCGCTGCACGCCTTCCTGAACAGTACGCACAAGACCCGCACGCCCCACAGCGAGCTCGTCTTCCGCCTCAGCCCGAACAACAACATCGGCGAGTCATACCGGACTTTCGGGCTGACGGACACGACGACGCGCTTGATCGCCGTCAAGCTGCCCATCAACGCTGACGGGACGAGAGACGACTCAGTTTCGAACGAGAAAGTGGGACGGCACCTGGGCAGTGCCGTGGAGGGTGTGAGTGTTGAGCTGTCGGAGGATGGGGGCGACTTGGGTCGATTTGCCGAGGTGCACAGGATCAAGAAGGTGTACAAGATCACCTGCGCGAAAAGCACGTCTGGTAAGGGAGCAAAGGGAGGCCCGGCTGCGAACGCCGAGAAGAAAGATGACAGAAGCGATATCGAGGCCGTCATCCTGGGCACCATGGCGCTCAAAGGCTCGTAGCACAGTACTCCACACAAAAGCACACACGGCGACGACTGCAATACCAATGCCAATACCAATACCATACCAATACTCTCAAAAACTAAACTCCAATTGCCCCCTCAGCACACATCCGCAAACGTGAATGTAAACATACTCTTTACCTTGTAACATTCTCCCCCTTCAAGTACGCGCGCCTTGCGAAGCTACGGCTGCGCGGGAGCGTGTTGGTATCAGCGTGACATCAGCACAGCAGCATGGGACACGGGTCAAGACAAAGTAAACTTGCACGTCTAGGTCTCGGGCTCCTTCCCATCCCCAACTATGCTACATGTTCCCACACCCAACTATGCTACATGGACCGTGTGGATACAAGGCCAATTCTATCGGGTTCGCACATGTTAGACTTAGATGTGCATGTACTCGGGCTTGAGGAAGTCGGCCATGTTCTTTGGCCTGGGGTAGGGGTTCTCTGCTTGGAGTCAGTCATCCGTTTTCATTTTGTGAGAGAGTGGAGGAGTGACGCACCGTGGTGGTCGTGGCCGTGGTCGTGCGAGTGGGGGTCCTCGGCGGGGCCCACGTAGTGCATCTTGTACGTGGATCCGCACTCCATGCAGCGGGACTGGGGCTCGTCGCGGGTGAGCTGAACTTGTTAGTCATCGTCCACACGAACAAGAATAACGGGTCATACGGTGATCCACAGGACGCCGTGAGAGTCGACGGGGTAGCCGGTGCAACCGACGTACTGCTCGTCGCCGGCAGAGTTGACGACGATGGGGTCCTCCGGGGTGCCTTTTACAATTAGACTCAAGTCTGCATAGCGTGGGTGTGTTTGGACGCACCAAGCCGGCTGGCGTCGAGGGGCCTCATGTCGAAGATGTCAATGCCCTGCATCTTTCCGAGGATCTCGAGACGCTCGAGACCGGTCGACTGCTCGGCGTCGGTGGGAACGGTACCGGGCTTCGCGCCCTCGGGGATGAGGTCCTCCATGGACTTGATCGCTGCGCGGTGTCAGCATTGGCCGGGATCAGGCACTCGTGACGCTATGTCATGGCCGGTTGCGAAAAAGCTGGCGCACGTACAATCGAGCTTCTTCATGCCCGCGAGGACGCTGGGCGCGTTGGCAGAGTGGCCGGCCTCCTTCTCGTGGGTGGCCTCGGGCTTCGCGTCGCCTGCGCAAGTGTCAATGGGGTTGTCGCACGAGAGCTTCTGGGGGATCCCTTACGGCGCACAAAGGTGGTGGTGAAGGTGCGGCGGGCGATGGCTGCGGGGGCCGCGCGCCTGGCGGCGGCAATGGCAGAGCGCTGGAGGAACATGGCACGAACAATTGGGGTAGAGTGGAGAGGTGGACGGGCGAGCGGGCGAGCTTGGTGAGCGATGAACCGTCGTTGTGCTGCATCGAACGACCGGAGCGAGCTGCAGGGCTTGGCACTGGTGATCTTAGTCATCACCGCCGCCGTGACTGGCGCAGGAGCTGCTGGGCTGCGTTTAACGGCTTCTTCTTCAGCCCCGAATGATGCGTATAGGCTACCATGGACGGCAAGCAGTCGCCTTCACTCGATAACATGTAGATGTGTGGGTGATGCTCTGATGCCTCTGACCCTTTTTCTACTCTGTCGCTTGCACTGATGCAGCTGTCATAGACACAGAGACACAGACACATAGACACCACCACAACCGCGTACTCACCCCACAGCCGCCACTACAACATGTCGTTCAAGCCAGCTTTTGTCGCTGTAGACATGCAGGAAGACTTCTGTCCTCCGGTGAGTGTCCTCCCGAAGGATGCTGGAGTGATGCTGATTAGCAGAATGGAGCGCTCGCCGTCGCTGGCGGGCGTGACATCGTGCCTGCCATCAACGAGCTGCTAGACCTCCCCTTCGCCCTGCGCGTCGCAACCCAGGACTGGCACCCGATCGGCCACATTTCATTCGCCTCTAGCCACGGCGCGCCCAACAACAAGCCGTTTGTGTCCAAGGCTACCATCAAGAACCCGCTGAACCCAGCCGAGACACAGGAGACACAGCTCTGGCCCGTCCACTGCGTGCAGGGCAGCAAAGGCGCAGAACTGTTGCCCGAGCTGAACGCCGCCAAGTTTGACAAGGTCGTGAGGAAAGGCATCGACAAGCGCGTGGAGATGTACTCGGCGTTTGCAGACCCGTTTCCCAGCCCGTGCTCGCAGAGCGACCTGGCAGACACGCTGAAGAAGGCTGGAGTTACGGACGTGTTTGTCGCGGGTCTGGCGGCCGATTACTGTGTCCGATTCACGGCGCTCGACGCGCAGAAGAACGGCTTCAAGACGTGGGTCGTCGGCGAGGCTACCAAGGCCGTCGACCCGAATTCGCTCGATGAGGTCTACAGAGGCTACCAGGAGGCGGGCGTCACGGTCATCAAGGAGCATTGGAGAGACGACGAGCAGATACAGAGGGTAAGGCAGCTTGCATAGCCCATACATCGATACATCTGAGACAGCCACGTGTAGTTCCATGGATTCCACTATCAGTCATGTTGGCGTGGAAGTGTGCCTGTTCCGAGCCTTGCCACTGGGCGTTTTGCGTATCGTTTGTCCGACCGGCACGGCGCGGGGCAGCAGTGACAGGATCCAAGAACCCAAGAACCCAAGAACCCAGTCCGGTACCCGCGTGCACCGCCCCGTGACAACCAGGGCAGCCTTGATCAATAGCTGACCTCCAAGTACCGGTCCTACCGGAGAGGCCTGAACTCCAAATCCTGCTTGCGAATCCTCGTGCTTCCTTTCATATCGCCCTGACGTGCTCGCCTGTCGTTGTTGCTAGCTGCCATTGCGGGGTCTTTGATCTCACTAATTTTTGATCAACCGCCGCCATCGTCATTGTCAGAGGCGCGCAGCTCCCGAATTCTGGTCCGCGTCACAGCTGCAAGGCTTGTCTGTACCTAGATCCACCCGTACTCCCCCTGCCTCGAGTTCGAGTCTTCACGGAGAGCTTTTTGCTGTGTATAATTACTACGGCCATATCACCTTCTGCCCGCCATGCCGCATCTTCCTGGCGTCCATCGGCGCAAGAACTCGCTGACAGGTGCGTCGTTGTCTCTGAAGGGCTATACGGATTTTCACGGTCTGTTTGCGGGAAGGATGCAAAGCTGATGTTCAAATCTTGGAATACTACAGGCAGCGCGCGCTCTTCACTTGACGGTCCTCGGGACAATGGTGAGCAAGTCACGAAGGAGGATGAGACAGTCGTCGATGCGGAGCAGGGCAGCAGTACGTCAACCAGGCGCCAACGAGAGTTGGGTATGGAGGAACCGCTGGTTAACGTAGGACTTCCTCACAGTGCTCTCGCACATCATCTCCCAACTGCGCCCAGGAGCCGACCTTAGCCGAGTCACACTACCAACATTTATACTCGAGCCGCGATCGATGCTGGAACGCATCACAAAGTGAGACGTCTGCCGGGATTTTTATTTCTCTGCAGGTGCTAACACCGACAGCTTCATGGCCCACCCCGAGACATTGCTCCCTCTGACCAAGATCGACGACCCCGTTGAGCGCTTTGTCGCAGTGACCAAATTCTACCTCAGTGGATGGCACATCAAGCCCCCGTACGCGATTTAAGACTCGAACACAACCGACGATGATGGCTGATGTAAGGCAGAGGCGTCAAGAAGCCGTTGAACCCGATCTTGGGTGAGATCTTCACCGGCTACTGGGACTACCCAGATGGTACCAAGGGCTACTACATCTCCGAGCAGACATCGCACCACCCGCCCAAGTCCAGCTACTTCTTCATGGCTCCCGAGCACCACATTCGGATTGACGGCACACTGAAGCCGAGGAGCAAGTTCCTTGGCAACTCGGCCGCGAGTATGATGGAGGGCATTGCGATCCTGAGGTTCTTGAACACTGGGGAGCGATTGTAGGTGGATTTGCACGGTACGCATGGCAATGGCTGACAGCAGGCAGCTTCATCACACAGCCCAACGTCTACGTGCGCGGAATATTGTTCGGCACTATGAAGTACGAGCTCGGCGACCACGCTTACGTACGATGCCCTGAGACCGGCATGGTGGCCGATGTCGAGTTCAAGACCAAGGGATACTTCAGCGGCGCCTACAACGCCATCGGCGGGTACATCAAGGACAAGAACGGCAAGAACCTGTTCGAGCTGTCAGGATCTTGGAACGAGGATATGTACATCAAGGACTTGACAGTAAGGAACAACTCGTCATCGAATTGGGCAAGCCCGACTGACAGCTGGTAGACCGGCAAGAAAGAACTTTTTTTCGACGCTGCGAAGACACGACACACACTACCCAAAGCACGGCCACTTGAAGAGCAGGACGAGCGCGAATCACAGAGGCTGTGGCACGATGTCACAGAAGCTGTCAAGCGCAAGGACCAGGAGAGCGCCACAAAAGCGAAGGCGCAGATCGAGGACAGACAGAGAGAGGAGACAGCGGCGAGGAACAGCGATAACATCGATTGGCACCCCCAGCTTTTCCGGGCCACTAGAGGTGGGCCTGGCGGGTCTGATGAGGGCGAGGAAGATCTCGATTGGGTTATCAACGCCAAATTGTCAGTCACCGCCATCATTCTGTATAGTTTGCGACTAATCTGTGCAGTGACGGACAAACCCCAGAGGAGAAGGTGAAGCAGATTCTCCAGATATACGCTATACTACCGGGTCAGAAGCCGGACAAGCAGTTCAGCATCCCTCAACGGGGTGAGAGTCTTTCACGAGTCCAGACTCTGGAGGATCAACCTGCACAATCAGCAGACGGTGCGCCACTGGCACAAATGGAGCAGCGAAGAGAAGTTGCGCAGGAGGGGGCCCAACAACCACCGTCAGTCCAACAAGACCCGCAGCAATATGCTGAGCAGGAACCACAGGTGCAGCAGGTGCAGCAGGTGCAGCAGCAGCTTGCTAGCGTAGACCTCGACCAATCCGCACCACAGGCCAAGCCCAGCGCCGGCCATGAGCCCGTCAGCTTTAGCTCACCCCAGGCCAACTCAGAATACGCACCACCGAGTGCGCAGAAGCAGCCAGCGCAAAGCCAAACAACCGAGACTAACCCGCCGAGCAAGCTCCTGAACTCAAACCCCGCCCCTGAGCCAACACGGGAAGACAAGTTACAACGGAAGGACAGTGAGACGCAGGAGGAGGATGAGTTCCACGATGCGCACTCGTAGGTTCCATCAACATGGGCTTACTGTTCCCTTATTCTGCGGCATGTTGTCTTGAGCGTTTCCCAGAGCCGCAGCTTACCTCAACAGCAGGCAGTTCTCAATCACTGAACATGCATCGCGCCTTCAGCGCGCCGACTTCACACAGCTCCCCCGCCACATTGATGTACATGCTTCTCAACACGCACTGTCTCTCAATTACTCCACGTCCGATTCGATCTAGCATTCAACAGCCACACAGCTCAAAGCGACTGCCCAAAAGCGACACATTTGATTATCTGCATGTTATTTCCACCCTCGTAGAAAAGGATAGACCCAGTAGCTGCTGGGCTTAAAAGCATGTCAACATACTTACTCTCGTGTATTCCATATCCATCCCGCCCCTCAAGTTCCCAATCGCAAGTCGTCTCGCAATGGGCACATCGACTGCCTGTCTTTTCACTCCCGTGGAACTCGAAGTGAGACCCTTCAACCATATTCCACAGCTCAGTAGCCTCCGCGCCAACACCCATCTACTTCCTGACTCCGTACGCCCGAGGAGATCAGGCGGCGGCGTAACGACAGATGCAAGATCGGAGAACCGGCTCGGGCGATTTGGCGACAGTTTAGATGACGGATATGCAAGGACTTGAGGCGGGGTTCATGTTCAATCCTGGTGTATTCTGGGCGCGTTGACACGGCATCCTTGTATCGTCTGATATCGGCAACCAAATGGACTTTCTCTTTTGCCACCAGGATTACATCGTGTCACAGTCCATTCCGAGCCTCGAAAAGCTCGTCATGGATTTTATGAGAGGGCATGCCCTGTCGTCTTGTTGTGCAGACAGCGGCACTAGGATTGGCTGGTTGTAGGTCGTGGCGGCTTACCTGACTACCTGGTAAAGGACAATAAGATCAGTATTTTTAAGGCACGTTCACTTTTCCTTATACTTCTTGTAACCGGTGCAGAATCTTTGGCTTCGATACGAGCACAGAAAACGCGACTATCTCATGGAATTGTTGCTGAGTCTGTGTTAGACTACGCGACTACGGCGGGAACAGCACGACAGATAAGCTGGCGCACCGATGCCGCGTTGGCGACAGGGCACGTGGACTACAAGCCTCAAAACTGAGGGCAGCGTGTGTAACGGGGCGTACTACGGTACAGACAGCCAATCGTAGCTTACGAAGGGTAAGATGAAAGAGGTGGTCAAGGTACGCATCGATTCGTGAAGTCCACAGGTTCGGAATACAGAAGGAAAAGGAATTATGTCGAGCAACAGCATGCGTCCTTGATGGTGAAGAAATCAGCCCAAATCGTACTTAACATCACTCTTACCCGGCGTTACATTGATTCTGCGATTGATCTCGCTCACATTTGAAAAAAGAAGGCCCGGCCACAGACATGCGGCACGCTCCGGTCCCCCCTAACTCTAACTTGAGCATCAGAGCGGAGGCGCCTTGGGCTCCAACTCGCATGCAGCTGGCGCAAGTCGCCAAAAGCCCAAGTCATCGATAATCATGGTCGACGTAATTCCTGGCTGAACTGACGGGACACCATCAAGGGCAATGCAAAGTGTATGAGACAGGAGCAACGAGAATCGCCAAGTCGAGATGAACTTGTAGGTTGACTGGGGGCTGTGCCACCATTGAGCGCGGCAATGTGTGCTTTTTCGATGCTAATAACATTCAGTCCTAGTCGTAGTGCTGGTAAACTATCGCGCACGTCCATGAGAAAAGAGTCATCTCGAATCGGGATGTTCGGTAACGTTTCGAAGGGCATCTCTGTGTACTGACCGTGTTGTGGGGCAGCTCTTTCCGGTATACAGGACGACACCGACCTATCATGAGGATTGAGCCTTTCTCCAAAGTCTGAAGGATTCAACCCCAAAGAACCTTATTGATCCTACGGTGTAGATCAGCGGGACGGCGTTCGTGAGCTGCTGCCGCCGGCATCTTGCCGTCTACCTTCGCACGAGACAATTATTGCTTCCGACATCGACCTCGCCCGTCGGGGATGCAGGGAAGGTGCGACCCACGATCCCAGCGCTCGTCGTCGACGTACAATGGGGCCTTCACTACCGTAACGATTGATGGCGTCGACTGCAACGCTGGGAGCTTTGAGCATTGTGACGACGTCTTTGAGGTGCTATGTTCGCATTCGTAAGCATTATTAAGTAGACCTACTTTGTGAACTATACTGACCATACGCGGGTCTCATTAAGTGTTGCGGTGCAAGTCGGTCCTATAGCCTTAATCGTCACCTCTGTTGACTACCTTGGGCTAGTACGTCTCAGGCATTATGAGAGGTGCGAGAGTAACGAAGAAACGGCCGATACCAGAACTATGTGTCGTAATACATAGCCTGTCCTTTTCTCTACAGCAACAAAGCCACACATTGGCGCTTTTCCGTTCATAACATTTCATGCACACCAGTTTTAGACACTCTATACATACGAAACCTCTCAGTTCTTCTACTGCTTTCGCTGGCGCTTGCGACGTGGCGCGCTTTCCTCAGCGTACGTATCGTCGTCACAATTAAGGTCCACCTGCCGCTTCCGCTCCATGCCCCACCCTGCCACCGCCATCTGCTCCTGTGTATGCGCCTCCAGTCGCTGCCGCTTCGTTTCCCGACCCATCTCAAGAAGCTCTTGTCGGGTCTTATTATTCTTACCATTCGTCTCTACATCCTTGAGCTTACCCTTCGGACACGCCACTGTCATGGCCAGGAACTCGCCCTTCATGAGCTTGTCACAACGTGTCTTTGAAGACCGCAAAAGATCGCAGATAGCGCACACTCGCTGCGAGAAGCTCAGCTGCTGATTGAGCTGTGTGACGTCCTGCAGCGCTCCGTCGTCGTGCACGGCCAGTGCTGCGGTGCCGTGGCGGTGCAGGTTCACGGCGCAATCGAACAGTTTCCAGCATGTCAACTCCATCGCTTCGAGCTGATAGTATGAATTGCGCTGCCCTGACGATGATGGTGCCCATCGCTTGGGGAAGCTACCTTTGGTGCGGTTCTCTAGGCAGGAAGAAGTGTCTAGTATCGCAGCCATCAGGTGCGAGACCCAGAATGTGCATTCTTCTTGCGTCTCTGGCACGGTGGACTGTGGATACCATGCGTGTTGATAGTGCAAAGAGGCTGCGCCGCTTTCCGCATCTTCAAGGCTGGCGTATGAGAGCTGCACCGGAAGACTTGTTTGGTCGATAAGTGTTTGGGACTGACCGCAAGCCGCGTTTTGGTAAGAGGGATACCCCTTTCGGTTTGGGAAGTACGGAGATAGGGTTTCGTCGAACGGAAGACCGTTTCGTACACGAGCACCTGGCGCTGAACGATCACGTTCGGTGTCAATGTGAATCGGTAGGTCTTCAAACGCAGACGAAGCTACGTACTGATACTGATCAGGTGCTAAAATGGCGTCGCGACGCTCGCTCACAAATCGCTCCTCATCAGTCCGATAGTTGTACATGTCTTATACCGTGAGAGCCAGTGGTTGGAAGGTAATGAGTTGTTTGTTGTTGTCTTTCTGAGCTTATATGCAATCAGGAGATGGACGTCGGTGGACGTAACGTGAAGCGAGCCGAATGCACTTTCACCGTCGACATGATTGGTTCATTGTGATGGCAGAAAACATCTGTTGAGGCTCATAGATGTTTGATAAGAATGACCAGATTGCGATAGAAACGTCCGGATTCCTCTAGTTATCCTGGAGGATCAGGAGTTTATATACATTAAAGCATTTCTTTCTAGCTTGGTGCTCAGCTCTCTTACCCCCCGCGACAACATCGCCATTGCCAGTGAAGTGCAATAAAAACAATTTGTGTATTATACGAGAGAACTCTCATCGGATCATCAGGATGTATGATGTTGGCAGAAGGAAGCCACACCTTGGATTAGACAACGCAGTAAATCTCCAAAGATATCATTGGATTAGTAACCAACTGAACATCCACCGAGAGTATCAGACAGCATAATTGTGCATACATCTAACGTTGTCACGAGACGACCATATCGAAAACTCTTACGCGGAGACTTAGCTTTCTCACGCGGCGCTTCTCTTAACGTCGAGCGGCATGCGTTATTCTACTTGGCACCGACATAGTTGGCTCAAGACAAGGCTCATACTCAGAGCCAGAACCAGAACCAGTCTCTGGCTTGGGTTGACGCGTCGCCTTCCAGCGAATGAACTTGCCTTTGGCATCACGCAGTGATCCAGATTCCTTACTCTTCTTCTGCGCTAGAATCTGCTTAGTGTATGCTGGAGTGGTAGACTTACGTGAAGACCCCTCGTTGCGCATCGTGCGCTTAGTCGGCAGAGGAGACTCTTCTTCCGACTTTAACTCTTCCTGAACCTTTCGCTTTTTTTACTGCGGCGCTTGCGCTAGCTTAGCAGGGCAGTGCGAGACCTGGCCAGGGGGTTAATACATTCTTGGTCTTGACCCCCTTCGCGATGACCTTTTCGATCTTGTGCTTACGGATGGGAGAAAGGTATGGTGCCGCTAATTCGATATCTGATCGTTCAGAACCGGAGTCTTCAGTACTATCTTCCCCGTCCTCGTTCTCGTTGGTGTCGACGGTTTCGCGGCCGGTGTCTGACTCTGCCTCATTTGAATGCTGCTCGGCGCTGCCCGATTGTCCAGACTTCTTAGATCCGGCCTTGCGAATTATCCCCTTAGCGAGACTCTTCCTATCGTACCTCCGGGGGCGCTTAGCCAGAGGAGCTGACTTATCATTCTTTGAGTCTGTTTCTGTCAGATCGATTGGACGCTTGCGTGTTCCGGCTTCTGTCTCCGTCTTTGTAGTTGCCGCGTTCGCTGATGCTGTCTTTGTTGTAGAGGCTGCGAGTTCTGCCTTCAGATCTGCCACCGATGCCTCTGCAGTAATGACTCGCCTTCTAGCAGCTGCGCGAGCTGCATCCTGAGCCGCCGCTACCGTTGCAGCAACGACTCGCGCTTCAGCAGCAGCGCGATCTGCAACAATGCGAGCCCACTCCTTGCGGCGCTCCATGCGAAGCTTTTCAAATCTCTGCTGCTTTTCGAATCGAGCGCGAGCCGCGTTGATTTCAGCACGTGAGATACGAACCTTTAATGGTCGGAGCCCTAGTTTCTTGGGCTTGAGTGTGGCCTTCGACAAGATTGATGATGATAGTGTCGAATACGGGGTCGAAGCAATTGAAGCCCGGGAAAATGGCGCTGGTGGGGAAGTAGGTGACACTGGCGAGGAAGAGCTTGCCATAGTTGGTGCCAATAGAGAAGGTTTGGATGCTGGTACTGTGATACGGAAACCTCGAAGGTCGCGTCGTGGTGGGGACGGCGCAGGCGGAGCTGGAGAAGGAACGCGCAAGACAGACGTTCGCGATGGCTCAGGTGCGACGAAACGTTGAGGGCAGTCAGCCGTCTCATCGTCAGAGCCGTATCCAGCTTGAGCAATGTCAGTGTTTGACTGACGACGGTGGGCCGACTCTTCATCATCATCCGACTGATTGTGCGAGATGTTGGTTGAGCGAGCATTCAGCTTTGTACGCAGTTTCGCTGGTGTTGTGCGCTTATTGTTTGACTTGAACTTGCGTTGAGTGCATTGAGTATGTCGGATGTTGTCATCGTCGTTTTGCTCATCACCCTCTTGGTTCTCCAGGTTAGGACGAAGCGGATCTTCGGTGCGGCCATGCACGATCCACTTCTGACGCCTTTGATTCTGCACTTGCATCGTGGTGGCACCAGACATCTTATGCTTCGGTGCGCCAACCAAAGCCTCGAGACCCTCACCCTTCATGAGTTGATCGCAGAGAAATTTGGAGTACTTGAGCATAGCGCAGACATGGTGAATGCGCTGCTCGAAGGTCATATCGCGAGAACCCTTCAGCTTCTTTAGCGCCTCCTCGCAGTACATGAATGTCGATTGAGGACCGTGAGTGTGCAAACGCTCTGCAATGTCGAGCATGTGCCAGCAGACCTTCTCCATGGCCTGGGCGTTGTAGTAGCTCCCGGGCCCATCTTTCCAGCGCTTGACATACGAGTTTCCGTTCTTATTATCCTTGCACTCCGAACAGTCTTGAAAGGCCTGGAACAGTTGAAGAGCATACTTTGCGCGCTGCCTTCGTGTGCTCGGGGCAGTACGGTCACGAGATGGCGGTTCCCAATCATTCTCGATGTTGCGCGAAGACATAGCTGCTTCAGCATCCTCGAGGCTATCAAACGTCAAGCCCGCAAGTTGGACCGGAGGCATTGGATCATGTTGTGTACCCTGTTCGGGGGTCGCTGTTCGAGCCGAATCGCCGCGGCGCCGAGCACGGGTGCGGCAAGATCGTGGAGAAGTCTCTGAGTCTGCATCATCATGCGAGAATGTGGTATCCGTTGGAGAGTATTCAGTCGAACGACGGATGTGCTCTGCAGACTCAGCAGTTTGCAGAAGACGAATCTGCTCATCAGAAAGGATATGTTGCTGTGGGAGATCTAGTGCCTGTTGGGGTTCCTGAAGCTGCTCCGAAGGCTGAAAGTCACGAAGATACTGCGGGGCTGACTCATCGACCGGCGACTCGAATGGTGATGGTAAAGTCAGACCAGGCTCAGTCTCGATACCTTGCATCTGCTGCATCTGTGGGTTTTGTGGCCAGTATTGATAGCACTGCGCGTACTGTGTCTTGTATGCCTGCCATGCCTGCTCCTCCTCGGGAGTAGCTAGCACAGTCTGAGGAGACGGTTGAGTTTGATCGAACGCCATGGTAGGCTCAATCGTGAGGGACGGTGGCTCTAGCATGACGGGAAGAGCTTGGTCAATTTTCAGACCAGAGCCGCCGTCATATTGCTGGGTCACTAGCTGTGATGGGGGCTCAGCATAAGGAGCCAAGTTCGTCAGTCCAGTGTTCTCATTTGGGAGCAACTCAAGATTGTTGTCGAAGATTTCGTGATCAGATATTGACAGGCCGGCATTCTCGTCGTAGGGCACGTGAGCGGATGGTTCGACTGGATTGCCAGAAAGAGGCAGAGCAATGGACCCACCAGCTGGATCAACAGCAGGGTTCACGTCGAAGAGATCGGGTCCATTTTCGAACAGATGCCGATCGGCCACGAGCTTGATATCCTGACAGTTGTCGTCATCAGCATTGAAATCGAACGAGTCGTCATTTGGGTTGTTGGTCGGGTCCATTGTTGACGTCTTGCGGATCGAGTGTCAGTTGAGGGAGATAATGGCTGGTGGATGAGGGCGTATGCCTCGGACGAGCCGAGCAGTCCTTAAAAAGGGAGGATAATGTGCTATGTTGAAAGACTGCGGGACTTCTAGGCGAGAAGTGCAGGCTAGATCATCCGTCGATTCACAATCCTGACAGAGGTATGCGGCCGGTCTAGCCAAGTTCGTAGTCCAGTATATAGTGATGGCGAGAATGCCGGCGGGCAGCGAACGTGGTGAATGAATAGGAGCTGAACTGTTAATTACGTCAAGCGGTGCATGTCTGTGCTCGGATCAGCCAAAGTATAAGTGTGATATGCATCTGTAGTGGGCTCACAGTGCAGCCTTATTGGATCTATTGCACATGGGCACACTGTGTTGCTGAACAAGGGACTGTTACAGATCGACCACACATTGTGCATGAGGGGTGCTCGTGGGATCCGTAACCCATACCATCTGATACCATATCGCTCGATCGCACAATGCTCGAGTCTTCCCGCGTAACTCCTGGGCAAAGGGGTGTGTCTTCGCGAGCAGGTAGTCTCTCTAGCCTTCAGATTAAAACTGTTATTAACAGGTCTCGATAATACACAAAGACTGCACATGGCGTATAGAGTGTTGTCTCGAAGGACAACAGCACATGGTCGCAGGTGAGGCGATCCCGTGTCTGTGCATACATCGTCCCCGTTTATCTTTCCTTAGCAGAAATATTGTTCCACTTCACAGAAAATGTCCAGCACCTTGGAGAGATTTAATGTCAAGAAATTTTTCTGCGGTGGCCTGAAGTGGAGTCTGACTAGGATGCCGGCGTTGAGAAAGGAGTCCAGAGGATGGTATCGCCAAGCTCCATAGATGAAGAAATATCAAGGAAGGTATGAGCGTATCAATCCAGCGAAAGACGAGAGTTGCACCGCTCAGGAGCTCGAACATGAGTACAGCGACTGCTATACTCGAGTCGATGACTTCGCAAGATGAAGCGCACAGATGCTTAAGAATCTGCGCAGTTCCCGCGACGACACTCGACGGAGGACAAAGCTGATATTTACGAGAAATGTTGGATCTGGTAGTTAGTCGGGATTTGGAAATCGTGATCGTGCAGCTCATTGAGCACATCGGACTTGTTGTCGCTGGATGCACTCTCGGTTCTCGGCCCGGCCTCATTCTGAGCCACGTGAATAGTGGTCAAACCGCAGATGGAGATGTCTTACTGAGTCGCCATCAGAGTATGTCCTGCGAATGAGCCGGGGCTGAATGTCGCTGATGACGAGCAAGTGTTCTAGATGAGACAGCAGGTGCTTGTATGACTCATGATCATGAAGTATCTCCAGAGAGCTGGATGATATTCTCTGTAAAAGAGAAATAATCGGGCTTTAGATGCAGTCTTCACGACGACATTGAATCTGATAAGCCACCGAGATGTGCGGAACGCGAGCGTTGGACTGGCGTAAATCAAGAGGAAAAGTCGTCTTTAATGGCAGAGGGAACGACAATTTAGAGGCATTTCCATTCAGTATGAGTGCCGTAAAGTCGTCAGCCAAGCCTTTTGAAATTAGACATGATCAGTGAGTTCATGGTCGACGCGTCTCGAGGTCGCACCAGCCCGTTCTTTTTCTTAGCGCGCCACGTGACCTTCGTCGGGCGCAGTCACGGGAATGTCGGGTACGATCTCTTGCCACATCATTGCTGTCGCATGAATTCACTCTTCCAACCCAGAAATCCACCGACTACGCTGAATTACACAGTGGTAGCTCCGTTGTCGCAGTACCTACTCCACAGATCTTTCGTTGAATCCCCGACGGCATCCGTGTTATTGCCCCCGCCTTTGAGATCTTTGTTCGTAGCTTGGATCAGCACCCGCCTGTAGCTCGTCAGACTTGGATTTCCATCGTCGGTGACCTCCAATATCAGATGCAGCAACTGCCCTTGCAGCACCGGCTTCCTGCTCTTGAGCTCGACCGCACATTTCTCTGGCGGGGGCAGCGTGACTTTGACAGTCTTGCCCTCACTATCGAACTTTTTGATCTGTAGCTCTGAAACTTCGGCATCCACCCACCATTGCGTCGCTGTAGGTTCGCGGTAGTGCCACCACTTGTATGTGAGTTTCCTGCCATCGGGGTCGTAAGTGCCGCTGGCATCTAGAGTAACTGAAGTGCCAGCCTCAGCGTCGATTCGCACTGGCGTGAGATCTTTGGTTCCATTGAGGAGGATTACGGGATGGTGGTTAACTTTGCCAAATTCAGACTCCATGCTCCACTTAATCCTCGCTGCAAAGTCGTTCTGAAACGCATCGCGCCAGCGCCAGATAGTCGCATGGTTTGAAGTGTGAGTCCTGGCGTCAAGGCCCTTCACGCGATCGACTGCGTCACTGTAGTGGTTGCTGCCTAGCCCGGCACCACTAATGTCTGTCCGAGCATAGCGACCTCCCCAGGACCCGTAGTCGGGGCACTCGGGAACACCAAGACCGTTCTGGATGAGGTAGAGAAATGTCGGCGTATCTCCCTCAGGAATGAAAAGGTAATCCGGATACGCGCTTCCGAGGGGACCAATCTGGATATTCTCTTTGATCCAGCTCTTCTCCATCTTCGAGAAGTCGGGTCCACCTTGATCGAATCCGTAGAACTGTTCCCCCGAGATGCCAGTCCAAGCAGCCATACCGTACTGATTCCACCCATGTACTGAAGCAATATAGAAAACGTCAGGGAAGTTATTGCGGATCCATGCGCCGGTATCATCTTGATCAGAGATTGCATATACACGTATACGTGACAGTAGGCGCTGAGAGTCCTCGGGCGAGTACTCGTCATCGATCTTGATCAGAGCCTGTGCGAGAGTGTTCGTGCCGCCCCAGCAGAGGATCCATAGAGGCTGTGTGGAAGGAGCAACTATGCGATCATAGAGTAGCTGACCCCCAGCGGACAGTGGAATGTCCTGTCCGACTGCTGACATCCCGTATGTCTGCGATTGAATCAGTATTATGATCAATTTTGTCTGAGTTCAGACCTACCTCCGCACCCTTCTTGATCAACCCCCTGAGATACTCAGCAGTCGGGTATGGCCAGTCAGGGTGGACATGGTTGTTCAAGTTCTCGACAGCCCCCGCATATGCGTCAATGATCGACTCCATGTCCTGCGGACACACTTCGTTCTTCATCCACGTACTCGTGCATGCCACCAGGCCCTCAGTCTCAAATTGGTTGGCATACAGCAAGTAGCGACATAACGACTCAGCACCATCAGGCTCGTTCGAGATATCTGACAAGATGAAAACGCGGGGCTTTAGAGGGTATGTTTGGAGTTTGTCGGCAGCCATGCTGATGCGGGTTGTGGCAGAGATGATTTGTGACACTGAGAGGAAGGAGATCAAATGGCGATTGAAGAGAGGAATCGAGTCTTTCTAAGCTATTGCACTGTTGTGCGAGGCCAAAGTCACACAAAGTCACCCCGAAGAAGTGTCTTGCAGGTACAAATGTGGGGCGTTGTCGCATATCAATGGATCTGGATGGGTTACCGGTATCTAGGCTCAACTTCGGCTGCGTTTGTGTCACGGGCTTCCGAGGTCCAGCTTCGCGCTACTTTACGACATTCTTGACAACATCTTCATGTTTCATCGGAGTGGTGCGAAGTAAGTGGACGACCGATTGTGTCAACGACGATGTTCCCCCGGGGAACGCCTTCAAGATCTACTTCGAGACAGCCGACTTCGCTGCCCCTCCATGCCTGCGCCACGTCTATGCTTCTTCAAGACGGCTCAGCCTTGCTCAGCTAACGCTTTATGACTAGCGCAATTGTAAACACCACATAAATCGACGATCATTACCATCGTAGACTGATAGTTGCAAGTTCAGGCGTCCAGCAGTAAGGCTATGTAATGCATACCTACCTAACGTAGGCCAAGATTCTTTCCACCTCGTGCAAGCAAGAACTGCATATAAAGCTCGAGCTGATTTGCTCCTCACGAATCACGACCATCCTATATACCCGGGAAATCAGTGGAATAACAAGCATCATGTCATCAATTCAGTCTCAGGTGCACGAGGCAGCCTCCCAGCACGCTCAACTCATCCGAGGTCTTGCGGAAACAGATCAAGCACTGTCACAGCTCCAGCAGCAAGATACCTACCTCAAAGACCTGAAAGCGCAGGAAGCAAGCACCGCAAAACATGTTGAGGAACTCCGCAGAAAGACCGATCTTGAGCTGAAGGACCACAAGAAGTACTCTGAATCAACTTTCCGCCGTTTTGCCCACAAAGCCACTGGTCGAAAAGAACGCTTCGCCGAGAAAGCTGGGAAAGAAGAACGCGAATACTTCGACGCGATAATGGAGCAAAAGACGGCCGAAGATGAGCTCGCATATGTACGTCAGCTGAAGGCGGAGGCCGAACTGCAGAGGCAGAAGTTCGACAGCGAATCCACGCGCCACAACCACCTCCAGCAACAGCTGGATCACCTCTACAACTCGATCTTCGCGGGCCAGACTCCTGGATTCCCTGAGGAAGACTGCAAGGAAGAGGCCTGCAACGTTTCGTCGCAGCATGTACAATCCCTCCACCAAGAGCTCGAGAAAGAACGCCATGTCCTCTTCCTCTTGCGCCAGACCAGCACCAAGCTCGGTGAAGCCCGCAGCTTCCTCAACGACGCACATGGCATGTCGCAATGGGACATGTTTGGCGGCGGCACCATGGTCTCGATGCATAAGCGCAATCTGCTCGAGCGTGCCGAGTCCAGTATCCAGCAAGTTCGTATGCTTCAACAACAGCTGCAGCAAGTAGCACCCCATCTCCCCAGTCTCGGCCAGCTGAACATCGCGTCTGGAAGTATCTGGGGTGATATAGTCTTCGACAACATCTTCAGTGATATGGAGATGCACGACAAGATCAAGGACTCTGAGGCGCAGGTTGATCGCGCTGGGCATAAGTGTGGTGATATGGTTAGGCAGAGTGAGCAGACGGAGCTGAACTTGCTTGGGGATGTTAGGAGTGCGAATGAGCGGTTGAAGTACACCCGCATTGAGCTGCAGAGGGCGAGGGAGGAGGCTTTCAGGGCGGTGTTGGATGGACATGATGGTGATCTGCAGCACACGTGGCAAGATGAGACCCACCAGCCTCCAGCGGGTGCACCGCCGGGTTATGATGCAGCGCCGCCTGCGTACTCCGCTTAGTCTTTGTCTCCTGATATCCCGGTCTATAGCTTCCAACGTGCAAGTTCACGATCAGTGCCTTTGCTAGTCTGATAGTTGATTCTTCGGTGTTGTTCTGGCAGGTGACACTGTAAACTTCCTGTCGCTGGGAGACGGAAGGCGCACTTGACGACTTCCTTCCCAATCCACACAGACTTCACCAGACTGCAACTCGGCAATCCATCGACAGCACACTCACATGTGGATCTTAGCTCCTCTCGCTTCATGAGGTGATGCCTAGCTCAACAAGCAAATGCGAAGGTGCGCCCGTTAATGATGTCCACTCTACTCTTACAAAGCCTCACTTTTGACCTCCTGCTTTCTTTCCTTCCCTTTATCGATCCTACAATTTGTCATCAAAAATTGGTACTCTCACTAGACGCCCTCGCACCTGCTGCTACACAAGGAACGCCCAAAGGGTCCAAAACACGCTACTACCTCGAGACGTCCTGCCAAAGCTCGCATGCTGCACTCAAGCTCTAGCGCTCCTATGTCTTCCTGTTGAGTCTAAAAGAAGCGCGACCGATGACGACAAGCGTCGTGGTAGGGTTGAGAGGGGACCAGCTCTCACAGCAAACAAAACTATGGTGTTGGAGTCCGTGCTCGATGACCGCATCCCTGCTGACAGCATGCGCGTCCACACTATGAGCAGACATATACGGGCAGCGGCTTCTCGGCCATGGGTGGGTTGTCTTTCAACATACTTCATAAAGGAACTTGCTAGTTGACTGCAGCTGACCCTTCAAAGCTCCTTTCCGAATTATGGACCCTCTCCTATCCGTTGCGGACGACACTATTGCCTACGAGCGAACGCAGACCTCTCCATCGAACCCTCCGGCTCGCCTCTGGGCCATCGGCGACATCCATCTTTCGTATAAGGGCAACCGCGAAGCTCTCGAGGAGCTCCAGCCGCGGCTGAATGACGGTCTTATCCTCTGCGGCGACGTAGGGGAGAGTGCGGACCACTGCAGACAAGCTTTCGAGAAAGCTACCTCATGCTTCAGGCGCGTCTTTTGGGTGCCGGGCAATCACGAGCTCTTCACCCTTCCGTCTGAGAGAGACCACGGTCTCCGCGGCGAGAAGAAATACATGGAATGTGTGGACATCGCACGCGAGTATGGGATATGGACACCAGAGGACGACTTCACCATCTGGGAAGGCGAGGGTGGACCAGCGCTCATTGCGCCCATCTTTACGCTGTACGACTACAGCTTCCGCCCGGACAACATTGAGCTGAAGGATGTGTTGGACTGGGCAAGGGAGGAGGACATAGAGGCGACGGACGAGCACCTGCTGCACCCAGATCCCTACCCCTCGCGCATCGCGTGGTGCAATGCGCTTCTCGAGAAGACCGAGAAGAAGCTCGAAGCCGCCGTCGCTGCGCATCCAGATATGCCGCTCATCCTCATCAATCACTGGCCGTTGCGTGAGGACCTGGTCAAGCTGGTCCGTATACCACGCTTCTCGCTGTGGTGCGGTACCAAGAAGACGGAGGATTGGCATAACAGGTTCAATGCAAAGGTTGTCGTGAGCGGACATCTGCACATAAGGCGTACGGACTATATAGATGATACGAGGTTCGAGGAGGTCAGTCTAGGTTATCCAAGGCAGTGGCAGGAATGTCAGGACAGAGGGTTGGACATCAACGACCTCTTGCGCGACATCCTCCCTGGGCCCGCAATGCCCGAGGGCAAGAGAGAGACAATTTGGCGGAGGTACGGCTGAGTGCAGACGAGCCATGGAGAGTGGACAGAGCCACCAACGTCAGCATCTGCAAACTCACGACCACACCATTCGTTGGACACACGACGCGCTTTCAGGACCATGGCAGGCATGATTCGCTACAAACGCGGCTATGGCTGAATATGCGCACACGAACTCGCAGGAACGCGTGTTGCTAATCTGTCGTCGGAAGATCTAGTCGACAGACACAAGCAGCGTTCCAATCGTTGCATGACCTTTCTCACGTGCACATGTCCTGCGCAACTGCCACACTCGACCCCTGCCGTACTTGTGCACCTTCCCCATCAGTTGCAGACTAGCGTCGGTAGACGGGCTAATCCATTCGGCAGTCCTTCTCCCACGCTTAGACAAACCCGGATCCCATTCGACCATCGTAAGCCGGAGACGCATGACCTGTCAAACTGGATATTAAGAGCGCCGATCGCATAGGAGCGTTTCCCGGAGCAGGTATTTGCCCCGGTATAAACAATGCGACCTTTACAATTAAGACCTGTTCCTCACATGCACGGGAAAACGGCCGCGCTACACTTCTATAGCTGCAACGACTCGAGTGCTTGACCCTTGTCGTACACAACAAGCAACCAATCGGTGCAAAGGCTAATGGCCATGTGTATTGCTAGCATGCACTTATGCGCGCACTCTGGCAGCGGGAGTAACACCCAGACAGGAACAAATTCATGCTGATAGCGATACTGCCGAGGAGCATACCCGCTCGCTAGGAGGCAACACCAAACCTGCAGCAGTATAAGATGAGTGGCAGACCTCGTGAGAGGTGAAGAGGCAGCCAGCTTTACCTGAAGTTCTTGGTCCACTGACTCGTTCCTGACCACTGATCCACGTTATCGTCGACGATCGCAGTATCCGGGAAAACACATTCGCACAGTCGACGCCTAGGACCTCGCCCAAGATGCTCTTCAACTTTCAGTCACTGGCCGTCCAGCTCCTTACCGCTGCGACCTGCGTCTCTGCTTTGCCTACAAGCCTCGACAAGCGCGCCGTCATCGACCATGACGCGGTCGTTGGCTTTGCTGAGGCCGTTCCATCTGGCACTGTTGGCACGTTGATGTTGAAGTACAAGCCGTACCTCAAGGTATTCAATGGCTGTGTTCCTTTTCCCGCTGTTGACGCCGCAGGTAACACTGGGTAAGTTTACCCATTTGCAGAGGGCCTGGACTGGGGTTAACACAAACGGCAGCGGCGGTCTCGCGACCACTGGCTCATCGGATAGTGATTGCTCTTCCTCAACTGGCCAGGTCTACACCCGTGCAGGAAGCTACAGCGGCAAGTTCGGCATCATGTACAGCTGGTACATGCCCAAGGACTCGCCCTCTACTGGTCTTGGCCACCGCCATGACTGGGAGAACATCGTCGTCTGGCTCTCTGATGAGTCCACGTCGGCTACGGTCACTGGTGTTGCCATCTCTGCCCACGGTGACTACCAGAAGGACTCCTCCCCATCATTCCAGGGCACCAGCCCCAAGATTGGGTACATCAGCTATTACCCGGTCAACCACCAGCTCATTGCTACAACCGATCTCGGTGGACAACAGCCGCTTATTGCATGGGACAGCATGACTGCGGCGGCCAGGACGGCTATTGAGAACACTGTAAGCGGCATGCCCACCTCTCTGTGACGGCTCACTGACGCATTGACAGGACTTTGGCTCTGCGACTCCCAGCTTCAGGGACAGCAATTTCCAGAGCTACCTCTCAGATGCTTACTTCTGAGCTCACGGATGTTACGATCGACTGTAGCGACGCTGGAGTCCAGGTCGACACACCATCCTATCGTCGATGTGTGGACGAAGAGAATCGTGATCAATAAATATTGTTACTTGAGACCTTTCAATCCCTCAATATGCGCTGCACAACAACTACCATGCTTACAAGGCAGGTCTTTATATCGTTTCTTCGCACAGTTGCACTGTTCAGATTCATGATACAAAACCAGCTGTTTTCACGAACTCAGGACTGCCATGCCCAAATTCTTGACAAATAAACCAAACTAGGATGTCAGTTCTTCTTGGCTCTGTTGCTATTCACAGCTTAGTTGCATACGGCGCTTGCGCACTAGCAAGCTGGTTTGACAATAAGTTGACTGGAGAAAAGCTGATTGGAAAGAGCTTGAACAAGAACCCAGTCCAGTCTCACGAGCATAAGAGTGGGCAGAGAATTCTGAGAAAGGCGTCTCGCCGCTGCGTTGACACTCTTCGATGCGTGCTAAGGTTCCTCGTTCCTTGTATACGCATCATCAAGGTTAGTCACAGGATCGCCATATCTCGCTGTGTATGATGTCAACGCGTAGCAGAACACCGTGTAGCTCACACCTGCCTCTGTGCCTCCAGAGAACCTTCGAATCTTCTCAGTGACGCCCAGGAATCTTCCTGCCGACACTTAGTGCATCAGTATTGTCAGTGTTGTCCCGATGCAGGAATCGGTGATCATGGTCGTCGTCGGCGCGTCAATGTTCAAATGGTTGAGTTCGAGCGGGGCAAGATGTTGCAGCCCACGAAGAACATCGAGACCAAGATCGAGCTGCCGACAGCCGCAGACCGGACTTCATGCACCCCGAGCATCGCGTGGTTGAAGCCAAAAGACATCGTAAAGATTCTGAGGGTGCCTGAGACTGACGATGACCTCTTGCCATTTGTCTTGTTCATGAAGAAGTCCATGATGGAGACGAGCAAGGCTCAAGACAAAAAGGACAAGAGGTCATCTTTCAACGGGCGATGGTCTTGCGAAGCACTCCTCAAGCACGGGTGTCCGGCAACCTCAAAACAGATGGAGGCTATCTGCTTCACTATCGTCAACATGGTCAAGAAGTACCACCTCGGAGGTCCTGCTTTCCTGAACCTGTACGACCAGCTCCACCAGGACAAAGCCGATAGAAATCAGGATCTCATTTTCAAGGAGCATATTCAGGCCGTCTGTACTGTCCTACTGGTCTCAAAGGCTAGGGTAGACACGTGCTTGAAGCACGAGAATCTCGGCAGCCTGGTCGCATTTCCTCTTAGTATGCTGGAAACCAGCATTGCCAGTCGCTCGTACAATAACAGGCGCAAGGCGCAAAACAGGCGCGGCAAGAAGGCTATGGAGGAGGATGCTGAAGCCAGCGCTGCCGACAATGCTTCCAGCACGACAGCTACTGGCAGCGATGACACCAAGGCTACAAATACTGCAGAGACCGTCAGTCGAGATAAGGTACGAGGAGAGATATACTGCAGAACCTCCGTCAAGAGGTAGCCGCAAGCGCTCTGCTACAGAGTGCTTGGGACCCCCGAGCTCATCGCAGCCTCTATTATCAAGCGGTACCAACAACCGAGGCCGTTCCTGGGTATTTTCAGCGGCAGACACGATTGCAAAAAATGGCATGCAGGTGTCATTCCACTCATTGTATCACCTGCAGGTCGTTGATGTGCAAGACTATGGTCAGCCGCCATTTGCGCGACCTGAGGCAACGCCATCTCGGACCGCAGCATACACGCGCATTGCTGCATCTAGCAGAAGCAGTAAGCGCTCTGCCACCGAACACCTGGGAATTAATCTGCCCTCCGCACCAAAGTGATCTCGCAACGCTGCATACGTTGGATCGAGCGACCCACCGCTCCTCGGCAGGACAGGCACCATCACGAAGCCGACACTCGCGCCGCCAACTAAGCGTAGCGCTACTAAGGCTGGCTTGGGGGACACAAACACTCGCCAGAAAAGTGCTCGGTCAGTCGATCGCCAGGTCATTGCCTCAACGCGCGGACCTGCGCCGACGTGGGTGACCTATCCCAGCACCGCGAAAGTCGCAGCTAGTCTGGGAAAGACGACTTCGACCCTACGCCTGACCTTCTGACCTGAAAGGGATTCGATCACGTATCAAAACCTATACGCGCCTTGCCTTGTTGAGAAATCAACGTTCATCTTTCTTTTCTTTCTTACTAACGTACAGATAGCGGACGCTGCAGATGAACCAGAATCTGCGCCAAAGCGTCGCAAGCAACCTCTGAGTACAAGCCGTGCTCGAGTTTGTCGTAAGCTTGCTTTGAACGGCCCCGTATGCTTGACCTAGTTCTCAAAGCAACATCTTCAGGATCAAATTCAAGTGGGATTGGAACCGCGCGTAGCAAGCGACCAGCAAGCACCAGCAACCAGACGCAGTTGCCGCAAGACGAGAAGATCAAGTCGCCATCACTACCAACTACTGGTACTTGTGGCTGAAGCCTGCTGTCGATGGCAAGTGTTCATATGACGAGCTCGACATGGAGCGTATCTGCCGTAAGCTTGTCAACACTGCGGAAGCTCTGTACGCGCATAGGATGGGTGCTACCGACATCTACTGCCGCGAGACGATCAACAAGGCGAGGACAGCCCAGCCGATGACCTTCAAGAACCGTATTGGCAGGCTAGCTCTGCTCATGCGCAAGACGAAGGCCCGCTGCAGTGACTTTTTGTTGGGCAACACCCTCGAGGACACCATTGCCTTGGTCAATATCAAGTTGTCAGACCAAGAGTCGAACGCCGCAAACAACCGCTTGCGGTCCTTGAAGGCTGAGCGAGCCAACGACTTTTGCGGCATAGCGAAAGATGCGAAGTGGCCTAAGGACGAAGATGGCGAGCCCGCCCTGTTTCCCTTTCTTCACGGACCGGTATATGGCCCAGCGGAGAGCGTATCGCCTGGTGATATGAAGAACGGGCATGATGAGCTGGCTGGAGGAGGCGAAATGCAGCACGCTGCGGACTTTCACCAGCCGTACATGGTTGATCCAGGTGCCCCTCAGTATCCCGGAAGTCTCCAGGATTGCACACTCGCTCCCCCGGTAGCACACCAACGTGGCTTTGGGCTTTCAGGTGACCTCGAACCATTGCACGTCAATTTTGGCATTAACTTCCCGACAACAGATTCGCGTGCGCGAGGCTTCAGTGGATTCAAGGGCCTCCATGGTCAGACTCCAGAGGCCGAGATGCATCCTGGCAACATGCACGTATTTCCGGACGAACTTCATGCATCTGTGCCCGTGGTCCCATTTCACATGGGGCCAGCATTCAACGGTCCCATCGAAGCACCTTCTGCATACAGCGCTCACGTAGTCGACATGGCCATGATCAAAGGCGTCCGAATTCCGATTCCACCAGTTGCGATGTCCCATGTTGTTTACCAGAACCTCGGGCTCGGAGCATCATTGCTCAACGGCAACCAGGGGGCCATGTTCGAGAATCATCACGGCTACCCGTTATATGGCCCTTTTTCACAAGACCGACAGGCATTTGTGGCTGCTACAGCTGGAGACGAAATCCTCGAGGTTGACCGTTCGGCTGGCTATTATAAATTCAGCAGGCCTATCAGGCGCACTGCTCAAGAGATCGGGTTTCTCGAGAACGATGGCGGAGAAGGCGAGGGGGTTGTTGAACCCACCAATAGGCGCACTCGTGGTGGGAACGCGGCTGCAGGCTCTGGTGCAGCCTCGTAAGGTCTCCGTGAACTCGGTTTTGCGCGGACACACTGCGCCATCCTCTACTAAACGCGGTGGTACTCGTCGATAAGAGCAAACCGAGTTCAGCCTGCTGAATGCGTTGATATTTGGAAGTTGCGGCATGATGGTCGTGAATTTCGTACAATGTGGAAAGGTTTCAGCACAGCGCGGGCGCCGGAGCGGCATCGATCAGGTTTGCAGGAGGACACTGCTTCGAGGATGCAAGTCCATCTGGCAACAATACTGTACCATGGTGCGAATTATTTTGATGTAAATGGACGCGGCCTTAATGACACGCGTGATGGCGATCTTTGGTGGCGGTTGCTTCCCTTCTCGGCGCTTCGAACTTCAGACGCATTCTAAAGTCACGTGCTCGCTTAGTCGTGACTCCGCTTAGTTGCGACCTCTTCCATGTGCATGTTGTCTTATGTATGTCGAAATCTCAATCAAACGCGCAACCTGGACTTTTGGAAAGAGCTTGCTTAATTCACGGTCTTTTGAGGCCCGAAGGACAGACGTGACCCCACTACACCGCTACCGCCTCGAGCACGAAAACATCATGACTTCCGAGTCTTCATCTTCTTGAATTTAAGTCAAGCCGCCTTGTGAGTATTTGAAACACAAGAATAATGAATTGGACATAATTCAATGTCTCAAATCTGTACCAGGAGCTGAAGCCCAGTACTTCATTATCTATCGTGCACCTTCTCCAAGTTACCCTGTTCTCGCCTTTGTTGCAATTGTCTTCAGGAAGGAACGCCACAGCCTCCGATATCTACTCGATCAACTAAACATTTACCGATGCTTGGTCTTTGGAGCTTGCGTATCAGCGACCGCAGGGCTCAGGTCTGAGGTGCGATGGGCTCTTGTACTACACTTTCACGAAACTTTCCTCGTTCGTATGGTCCGATTAGTAACACAACGCGTACGGTGCACGGTGCACGAGAAGGCAGCCCTGCGCGTACTTGAGGAATCTCCAACTTGACCTTGCTTGCATCTACATCAGCCCGACAACTTTCTACTACCCTCGTTAGCGACTTCTGTCTCTTCTGACAAAAGTCTCGATATACCGACATTTTCCAAGCTGCAGTATCCTGCAGTCTGTACCCTTGCTCTCAAGGATGACGCGATATCAATATGGACGTTGGCTCCGGCGGCGTAGATGAGCGCGTTTAGGGTCAAGGCCCACGCGTTCCTTGCGATGTCTGCATAATAATGCTTGTATATCCTTCGCTGCCTGGATGTACAGCATTTTACGATAAGCGGAACTCGTAAAGGTGGATGTTATGCATAGGGGTGCCTTGATGACCAGGCCAATTGGTCGCTGCAAGCCCATAGATTAATGGCAAGGCAATGTCAAGACGAGTCAAAGCAGGCCTCACACTGTGTACTGTGTATTGGTGTCGATGTACGAGACAACGATTGAGCAGAATGCGCCTCTTTGATTTTCGGGACCCATGACGCCATCCCCTCTTGTATCTCGCGCCCCATCATGTCCGCGACGCCTGCATATCAAGACTTTTTGGAGCCATTCGCAAGGTAGACCCCCATCGCACCTATCGTATCAGAATCGCTTTCCGGATGTTGCATCTTCTTCGCTATGTGCAACAGCTCATCGGCAGACTGACCGCGAAAACTCCGCGATACACCGAGTGCTCAGAGATGACGCTACCCCGCGTTCTATATTGAGTATACTCGTATCATGACATCCAGAAAACCTTAATTCTGGCCAAGCTTTACCCATGGCAAGCACGCAGCAGAACATGGTCCCTGCTGTGACCCACGGCCTCGTCATTAACCCAGCTTCTGCGAAAGACGTGCCTGCACGATGCCCGATGAGGCAGCTCATACTGATGCCCGGTGGGATGACCTTTCACGATGGGTAATGGTAGGGGTGTCCCATCTTGCTCAGGTCGGCATGCTGCCCGAAACATCGTTGCCACGCAATGAGTCCGGTGGAGTGTTGATCTGATCTGCCTTTTTGCTAATGGTATCCTGGACCGTGAGCAGGCTTCGAGTGACTACGAGAAGCAGGTATAAGTTCATCTTGACGGGCCACTTTTCTGCAGACGATCCAGCAGTAACAGTTCTGATCTGAGGATCCATCATCAATACGACCATACCCCGACTTTAACCATGCGATTTCTCAGCATCCTCGGCGGCAGCCTTGTGCTGAGTCCGACTCTTGCACAAGTCGCGCCTGTAGTGTCTCCAATCGGTGTCTCGGCTTCGTATTTCGACATTGACGAGGTGTCACTTACCAGTAGTCGCTTCATGGACAATCAAAACCGGACATTGAGCTACCTTAAAGCCATCAATCTCGACCGGATGCTCTACGTCTTCCGCTCCACGCACAAGCTGTCTACCAATGGTGCAGCTCCAAATGGAGGGTGGGATGCTCCCAACTTCTCCTTCAGGAGTCATGTGCAAGGGCACTTCCTGTCGGCTTGGGCACAATGCTACGCGCAGTTGAAGGACACCACCTGCAGAACCCGAGCTACTTCATTTGTCGCGGAGCTTCTCAAGTGCCAGAACAATAATGCCGCTGCAGGCTTTAGCGCAGGCTACGTCTCCGGCTTTCCTGAATCTGAATTTGACAAGCTCGAGAGTGGTACCCTGTCGAATGGAAATGTCCCTTACTACGCCATTCACAAAACCTTGGCTGGCCTGCTCGACGTATACCGATGGATCGGTGATCAAAACGCGAAGACGGTTCTGTTGGCTTTTGCCGGCTGGGTCGACCAGCGCACGAGCAAGCTTACCACCGACCAGATGCAGAAGATTCTTCAGACGGAGTTTGGTGGTATGAATGAGGTTATGGCAGACATTTACCATCAAACTGGCGAGAAGAAGTGGCTGAAAGTAGCTCAACGCTTCGATCACGCTGCTGTCTTTGATCCTCTGGCGTCCAATGAAGATCAACTGAATGGTCTCCATGCCAATACTCAGGTGCCAAAATGGATTGGGGCTGCGAGAGAGTACAAGGCGACAGGTACTTCTCGTTATGCAGACATCGCAAGGAACGCATGGGCCTTGACCGTAAACGCGCACACCTACGCCATCGGCGCCAACAGCCAGGCTGAGCACTTCCGTGCGCCCAACGCCATCGCCGCCTACCTAAATCATGACGCTGCTGAGGGTTGCAACACGTACAACATGCTGAAGTTGACTCGCGAATTGTTCGTAATCGACCCCAACAACGCTAAATACTTTGACTTCTACGAGCAAGCTTTGATCAATCACATGCTGGGTCAGCAAGACCCATCCCAAGCTCACGGGCATATCACCTACTTCACCTCACTCAATCCTGGAGGCAAGCGCGGTGTTGGTCCAGCGTTAGGCGGAGGCACTTGGTCCACAGACTACGACTCCCATTGGTGCTGCCAGGGTACCGGTCTTGAGACCAATACTAAAATGCAGGACTCGATCTACTTCTACGATATCTCCAATATATATATCAACCTGTTCATCCCTTCTGCGGTCAACTGGAAGGCCAAGAGTGTTTCTGTCAGCCAGTCCACAACCTTTCCAGCAGGCGACACGACTACCTTGACCGTCACTGGAAGCGGAAATTGGGCAATGAAGATTCGCATCCCAGGTTGGACAAAGGGTGCTTCGATCGCAGTCAACGGTGCAACACAGTCAATTACCGCCAACCCTGGCACCTATGCAACGCTGTCACGTACATGGAAGTCTGGCGACACGGTAACGATTAAGCTTCCCATGAGCCTGCGCGTCATTCCAGCAAACGATAATAAGAACATCGGAGCTCTCGCATACGGACCTTCAATCTTGTCTGGCAACTACGGTACAAGCACACTCTCAGCAAATCCCAAGCTGGACCTTGGTTCGGTGAAGCGAACAGGCAGTACAGGTCTTTCTTTCACAGGTACTGCGGATGGTACGGCTATCAATATTGGACCTTTTTATGATGCACAGGGCTTCAACTATGTGGTGTACTGGGCGACTAGCGGCTCTCTTCCGAGCAAGACATTGTAGATCTATGAGGCGCAGTATCATATTCTGCTGAGTGTCTCCGCACGCTCGAGAATTTGGCCATTATAGTGCACTTACCTTAGATCAGAGAGCTCCTGTAGCACAACATCACACAACACGAATAGCAGATAGCAATACAATCGTTGATCACAATCTCTGACTGAAACTGCTCACGCAGTTACAGAATATATACAATATGAAAATGATGATGGGCACACATGAACTCATCATACCAGCTCTATAAGCCAGAACCTGCTCCTAAGCGAGCAATCTAAGAGCTGGTAACGGTGCACTGGGACTTACCTCCAGCACTGCTCCAATCCTCAGTGGAAAGAGTCTGGTAGTTGTGCTGGCCGAGGTTGAGGCCAAGTTTGGCCCAGGCGTCGAAGTGGCACTTGGTGGTAACGGTGCCGCTGCCAGGGCGCTTGCTCACACGGTTGCTGATGCACTGTGTGAAGGTTGTGATACCGACCATAGAAAGCTAGTTGATCTGGATGTGCCTCCGAATGTCGTAGGAAGATGTAAATGCGTGAGCAGTGTCGGTCGGAGACTTTGATCAACGATTGTATTGCTATCTGTTGTCGTGTTGTGATGTTCTGTTACAGAAGCTTTCAGCTCTGGGTTAAGCGCACTTGCCCACCAGGCAGTACCTGGTACAATAGGATATCATGTGATCTAACCCACGTGGTGACATTAGTAGCTGTGAATATCAAATTAGTTGCAAGGTTGCCGCGAAATTCTGCCTGAAGGAAGCCATTTAAATGTTCAGAAGACATTTGAGATTGCAACCGCCACGGTATTGTTAAAGTACTAGAAAATACGACATGGGCAGGTCGTATTTTGAAAACAGAAATACACCCAGGATGCAACGAACGAGTGAAACGTGTTGGTAAGAGGGAGTATCGAGAGATAGGAGGAAGCAGCGACGAGCGAAGTTTCGAGAAGAGGAGGTTCTAAAATCACTGAACCTTCCTGGCACGCCACTCAGCAGCCTTAGTCCTGCAAAAAGTGACAGCTCCCTTGTGGCCTGCATCGATCTGTCTATCGGCAGCAATACATGCTTTGTTGGCAAGCTCACGCTTCTGAGCGCATCTATAGCTGTCAGTTGCTTTGTTTTAATAATTTATGTAGCAGTGGAGACGTACGCAGTGTAACCATCGATACACTTCTGCTTGAGAGCTTCCTTGGCGTTCTTATCACCACCCTTCTTTCCGAACTTGGTCAAGGCATCGCTGGGGCACTTCTTTTCGACGGCCTTGTACTCGCCAGTTAGAACCTTCATCCGCTGCTCGGTCGCCTTCTGCTCGGCCCTGATTCTGGGGTCACTGGAGAACACAGGGTTGCAGGTGGCATCACGACCGAAGACGTCGCTGATGGCACTGACGCCGTTGTTGTTGATTACTGGCGCGGCTATGACAATTACTGGTGCAGCTATGACAATTACTGGCGCAGCCAACAGAAGAGCAGCGAGGAAGGATGTAATCTACATTGTGAGAGGTATGTCTGGAAACGGGTTCAGATGAAGGTAAAAAAAATGAATGAATGATTGAATAGAGGAAAGAAGGGTAGATAGACCTGAAAAGAATGTAATGTGTACTGATGTAGTTGATATCGCGGTCATCCTATCCTTTATACATAATTCAGGTACCTAATCTCATCAGGCTGGACACCATCAGATGGTCTTGAAGTATCAGGGCCGAGTGCTGGTGGGCTGCCGTGCGAGGCCTTGTCGACAGCTCGAATGATTTGGTCACTGAAGCTTCATTTCAGCGCGACTGATCGGTCCGTTGGTATGCAATCAAACGCCTATGGCGATGAGACTTTCTGAGTGCTCGCTGAGATATTTGTGGCCATCCATCTGGATTCTGTTGACACTGTTGAAGTTCGCTCGTAATATCTAAGTGGATTGAAATCATAAAAGCAATTTACTTTTCAACAAAGTGCGACAGCTTTCGCTCTAGACCCCCATTACCACTACACTTTCCGGTATATTTGACTATGATTGCATATCGAGCAGCTTGTCTTTCATGCATGTTGAAAGGCTGGGTTTGAAACTGCGCGGAGATTTATTGCAGGTCCTTGCACAGAGGGGCAAGGTCTACACTGAGCTCACGGTACACATTGAATTACCTGTAGTAAGTAATATGTCATATAACTATGCTAGACATTTTGTTAGACGCATGGTAAAAACAGAGTTCATACTGTACACAAAGCATGACCTACCCTGCTAGAGGGCGTGAGAGGGGCTATAGAGGGGCTAAACAGTGAGATAATTTGGAGGCAATGCAACCCTCTCCCTTTGCATCCTATTACTTAGCCAGACTGGGACCTTGTATACGCTTGTAGATCTTAGTTGAGTTACATGTCTCTGCCCTCCGCTTCGGTGTCAGGTTGATTGATACATAGGAAGGGGGGTGCCCAGCGTTGCAAAATACACAAAGTAAGTGCTTTACTAAATGAAGAATACAACCTTACCTAAGTTTTACTCCTCTCAGGGGTCCAGAAACTTCATGAATGATGTAGGCAATCTCGAAAGCTTGACTAATAAACACTATGTAGTTGCTTGCCTCGTATAAACTACAGATGATGCAGAATCAGCGTAACTTAGAAGGGGCAGTAACGCGGGTATGATTTACGGCGTAGAGAATCTAGTCGTTTTGCGCTGGAGCGCTCATTTCGGCGCATTTAACGCAGTTTTTACCATTAGGTACTCCCATCGGGAGTTTCCCACAGGGTGCGGACCGGACCCCCTGTAACAGCCGACACACGACGCCCCTTGCGGGGCTTGATCCAAACCATCTTAAAATCACGTGTCTGGGGTGAGTCAGGCATCTCCCCGAGGTGGCGCCTGCCTGGCGACTACGCCTCACCGCTGCATTTCAAGTCGTGTACAACTCCGAACTCCCCTCTATTTCAGCCGAGTTGTCTACTCACCGAGAAGCATTCAGTGCCTCTAAAGTCTCCACTCGTGGGCAGAACCTTGGCGGACCATATTATTTTCAAAAACGTCCCGTCAATTCCCCCTTGGTTTCGATCATTGCTCGTCGACACGGCTTGCCACCAAACATTTTATAACATCTGCAAGTTTACGCTCAATTGTCACACTCGATCAAAACTAATCTACCGCCGAGATCCGCTCTGAAGTGGTAGCCGCGATCTTGAATGCTGGGACTGAGGAGACAGGATTGCTGTACAACTGTCTTCTAGTCAATCACCTCTTTCTTAAAGAAGCAAGGCGAATTATTTGGTCAAAATGTGACTCTACCTCTGGAATTCATCCCGATGTTCAAGATCTCGGAGTGATGGTATTGCGCGTAGACATAGGCCTGGGGCGCGCACAAATCTATGCGAATATGGTACGAGAGTTCTCCTTCCACTACGACAATGCTTACACCGACCAAACGAGATGGCACACCATGCTATGTCAGCTGCAATTTCCGCAGTTGGTATCCGTTTGGTTCTGGGAGAAAGATCATGAACACAAACTCAACACTGAGGATGTGATACTACATTACACCAAGTCCAATCTTCGCCAACTCTCCGTCGATACTTGTGGTCCGCTCTCAGAAGACTTTTTTGACGAAATGGCTGGACTGTGCTTGAGGCTGGACAGCCTACTCCTGCACCTTTCCAAGATCACAGCCTCTTCGAGCTCAGTCGTTCGAATGCTGAAGAGAATGCCTAACATACGCTCACTCGGTTTAGAGAAAGGTTTTGGAGATGTCTTTTCTTCCGAGATGTTCAGGGTCATCGCTTCTTATCCGGCTCTCGACCAGGCTGTTCTCCCATACGTCCAGGATAACTGTCTGCTCGCTCTCCAGACGGACGCAGACATACGGTTTTTTCCCAAGCTCAAATACTTGTACACTGGCGCCACCGCGGAAAGCCTAAGAGTCTATCATAGAGTTGCGCCTGGGATCAACGTACTCGGCTTGACAAACGATAAATTGGAACGTGCGGATAACGTGTTGACCAGTGCATCGAGGTTTCGAGAGCTTACATCTTTCACTGCCCAGCTCAACATGAGCACAGCCATTGGGGGCGACGAGCTTATCCAGTTGGCTCAGGGGTGTCCAAACCTGGAGGAGATCAAGATAGGCATTGACAGCTGGTCCGACATCAAGCCTTCGGCGACAGGGATGACAGACGACCTCATTGAGCAATTAGCTCCGCGTTTGTCCAACCTCAGGGTTCTCTATCTTTTGTTCGAGTCCGTCAGTCAGCGTGGGCCTGGATGCATTCATACTATCCGTACCCTCGGGTACAATTGCGAAAGGCTGCAGGAAGTGGTTCTATCGTGCGAGCCTGACTGGTCATTGATCGGATCTCTTTCCAAGGGCGAGGGAGTCCCATTGGCTGCCAACCTCGAGCAATTGCAACTATTGCCCCATGATCACATGATGCAAAACATGACAAAAGAAGAGCATAGAAACCTACTAGATGTTTGGCGACACAATGCGAAAGACTGGCTGCCGCAAGTTTGCTTCATGGAAATTCGTGGGGCAGATGACTGGGAGGAGGCGTTTGTGGATGTTATTTGCCCCATGAACGAAGAAGAGGAGGCCGTGGAGGACGAGGAGGCCGTGGAGGACGAGGATGCCGCGAGTGTTGTCGATGAAGCAGATGATGCAGGTGTAGCAACCATGTTCAATCAATTCACTCTGCGGGAAGGATGATAAGCTGGGTAAAACGAAGAGTGACGGAACGGTCGTGAAAGGAATTGTTTGAGCGGAGCCGCGAGTGGGGCGTCGTACGAGCCACCGCGCCGCTTCGCTCCTCCCACACGTTCCGCGGCTGCCATCCAAAGCTTCAAGCATTGTCAATAACACGTGATTTCCCTCTCACCTCACCCTGGCCACTTCCTTCGATGGGGAGTTGAGCGATATGTTGAAGCTGAGCTGGTCAAATTGTCTGCGCTAGCTCACAGATGAGCGATCGTCATCGAAAAGGCTTTTCCAGTACCCTATTGTCGAAGCAGGTGATCACGATCACGTTTCGATCGGCCTATATGAGTTTCGGGACACGTCATTCACCATGCATCGAGCACTTCTGCTGCCGGAGATTGTCGCAGCGATCGTACGAGCTGGCAAACTGGGGCCCGTTCTACTCTATAGCTGCCTCTTTGTCAACAGGCTGTTCTTCCATGAAGCCTGCAGAATTTTGTGGAAAGGCTGTTATGGCACTTTCGGCGTCGGGCACGTAACACCGGCAATCGGCGACCTTGGAACCATGGTTTTGAATCCCAACATTAGTCATGAACGCGTACAACTCTATACAAATTTCATTCGCGTACTCGTGTTCCAGGAGTAAGAAGGTAACCATCTTAGAGAAGACGCACTCTGGCACCTGCAGCTATGCCAACTCCAGTTTCCTCTGCTCGAGGACCTGAACATCTGGAGGACGAAATCGACCGAGGAATTCAATATCGAGAATGTTGTTCTTCACTACGTCCACTCTGGTCTCCGAGACCTGCGCGTAGACGCGAGCGGCCCTCTCTCGGATCACTTCCTCGATGAAGTCAGCCGTCTGTGTCCTCTCCTGCAGCAGCTCGACATGGACTTCCAGAACGTTGAAATATCGAAGGATGTTCTTGCTTGCTTTCTGCAGCGCATGTATCATCTGGAAGGAATTCATGTGGCTGCGCTGGACAGGAGTTGGTCAGCTGAATCGTTCGCTGCCGTAGCCAAATACGAGCGGCTGAAGCTTCTACACGTGCCATCAATACACGATACATGGCTCGATAACATCGGGTCTTGCTCATTTCCGGCTCTGAAGCAATTTTATGTACTCAGTACGACTGGAAAGGCTCTGCTTTGGTTGCACTCGAATTCTCGTCTTGAAGCAATCCATCTTTACAACAGCAGCCTCTCAGGCCCAGATGACGTGCTCTTCTCAGCCTCCAACTTCTCGCGACTGACGAACTTCAAGTATCAGCCAGGTCCCAATTCAGCCGTTGCAGGGCAAGATCTGGTGAAACTAGCCCGTGGTTGTCTTCAACTTACACACATCGCTGTCGGTCAGGACCAAGCCATAGCCCCTGAGCTTGTCGATGTTAGTGATAGCGTGATCTACTCAATGGCTCAAAGTCTGCCTTCCTTAAAAGAATTCCACCTCCATGGCAGATCCGAGTCGTATCCAAGCATTAAGGCGATCCTATCAGCGTTCGGTCGACGTTGTCCACATCTGAAGCGGTCATGATTGGATCACATTCGCCCGCCCGCAACAATGGTTATTTCCCCATCTTTGCGCGTTTTGCCTTTGCCCTTCAGTACACATGGAAGAGATCTTGTCCGAAGTATGCTATAAACGTCTACTCGCGGAGTTCAAGACTTTTGCTCCTGGATGGTTTCCTAAATTGGAGTTCTTCAACATCATTGACGCGGACGATCGCGAGCAGGAGGTCAAAAATCACATGTATGAGATTGATTACAAGCGAAAGTACAGCAGTGATACAAAGAGCAATGAGGATGAAGCGGAGCGGATTGAGGAAGCCGACGATACAGGATTGGCCACTTATTTGACAAAGGGTGTTGCAGCTGCGAATTCTACCGGAGCCTGAGTTGCGAAGGAGCTTGGCACTCTCATCGATGCAAGCCTTCCAGCACACGGAGAGCTTTTTTACCGACGCACAGCCGTGCTTCTTAGAGATGAACTACACTCTGGCAAATGCACCTTGAGGTAGTTCCCTTTGAAATACAGGCGGAACCGCTACATCTTAAGCCTCCAAAAGATATGCGATAGCCCTGCGCAGCAAGGTTGTCGTTCCAAAATTTCTCCAGCGTCTGATCACGGCTACTCAACAGCTTGAGGTGATTCGGCAGCTCGAAATGCAACGACAGCAAAATGGCTGATTAGTGCAGCCTCAGACACACTTATACCTCAAGAAGCGTGTCTTACAACTCTGATCGCGCATTCAGTTGCTTGTTGGTGCTTGCTCGAGGGCTTCTCTGGGGTGAAATATTGCGTTCATTCAGGACCCACAAGGACCTGGTACATACCTCAAAGTCTCACAGAACGGGCCTCTAAACATCGGAACTAAACTCTACTATGCTTTCTTAAGCTCTACAGTGCGCCAAAGAGCGGTATCCAATCAGTAATGCAACGATGTGATCCCAAACCGATGGATGGTCCGAAGGTCTTGGCGTTGGTTGCAAACGGACGTGTTCATGTGCCAAACTACCGAAAAAACAAGAAGTGCAGCATTCGGGATCCTCAGCAGACCGCAAGGCGGCACAATTAACGTACAGCAAGGAGCCTGTCTCAGTTACTGCAGGTACTACCAGCCAATACGCCTTTTTCTATCGTCGCCGTTCCCGTCATCGCCACTCTTGCTGCTACGCGAAGTCCGTGTGTCAGCCCATAACATGTCCGCACCATTACTTCCTTACCTAGGTTTTTATCCTTCTTTAACTCTCCTCGGACGTTTCCAGTGCTTCCGCCGTGTCCAACGCTCTCGCTCCCACAGCGTCCAGCGTCGCGGCCTCCCAAATTTCCAGCACCCAACACGCAGTCTCCAACATCCTGGCCTCTGCCTCGTCTCGCGCCGCCTGCACTGTCTCCGCCACCTCAACAGCCGCCTTCATCGCCACTTCAATTGCATCCACCCTTATCTGCGCGCTCTAGCGCTGCTTCCGTCGCTCCTTCGCATGTCGCCAGCGCATCTAGCCACGCTGCCTCTGTCACGTCCTCTGCTACTTCCCGCCCCAGTAGCGATACTTCTTCCACTACTTCGCGTGCCAGTAGAGTCGCGAGTAGTGCTACGTCGCGCGCTACTAGTGCTGCTGGTGGAGCGATTGGTACGGGTGCTGTTGCGAGCCGCACCAACTCTAGCGTTACGCAATTCACTGGTCCTGCTGTCTCTCTTACCACTGAGAGCTATGATGGTACTATTGCTACTATGATCGGTGCTGCTGCTTTTTTTTTAGCAGTGTTGTAAATGGGGAGACGGTGGTCATGGATGTTCTGATTGAGGTGGTTGGACTGGGTGTCGAGATACGTTTATGTGATAGACGAGGCGAGAAGGAAAAGTATACATAGACGTAATCACTAGCACAACCAGCCATATCAATGTATGGCAAGGATCCTATGACAGGGTCTGTGCATTCTGGACGCTGATGCAAACCTTGCCAGTCCCTTCTGTGTCCACAACACATCAACGTTGAATAATTCCGAATCACCCCTTATCTGAAGCTCCATACTCCCGCGAGCAATACCCGACCGCCAACCTGAAAGCAGTCATCATTACCCCCTTAGTCAAGAGACATAATCCTTCCAGGCCGCTTCGCAGTATCGCGCAACACGAGTAGCAACTTGCTCTCAGTACCTCGGTAAACACAATTCTGCGGCGTCGACCTCACACTGAAACGCCTCAGCACATGGGCCTCACCCGATATCATCGACTTCGACAACACGCAGCGCAAGATCGCAACCACCGAGCCATTCGACGTCAAGCACAAAGACACGGGCGCTATTTTGGATCTACCTTTGGGGTCGTATCTTGTTGTGTTCAATGAGACGGTCGATATGCCGGTAGATGTCATGGGGTAACTCCTTGTACGGAGCTCGTTATGACGGTCTGGTGCGATAATTCAGGCCAGTGCTATGAAAGGGCGCTATCGGTGCGACGCCGCAGATTATCAACCCGCATGAACCGAGGTTGGTGAGAGATTCGAAAGCGGCCCAGATGGTGTTCTATAAGATGAGTGAGCCTGGGGAGGGGTACAGGGGCGTGTATCAGGGGAGCGCGAGCGTGTGAGAATGGGGTAAGAGAATGAATCACTTCATAACGAGTTCATTAGTCGTACTGCATATTCATACAGCTAATCTACGAGTTGCCACCCTTGGTGCCATTACCACCGCTGCAGTGCACCTGGTTCTCAACCCCGTTGATGCTACCACAGCTGAAGAGGTCAGTGCCGGAAGGTGACTTGACATCAATATTGCTGAGATTGATGTTACTGCACACGGTCGGGCTCGAGCACTGCAAGTAACCAACAAGCGGGTCGTACTTCTTGCTCGTGGTGCCCTTGAAGTTCTTGATTGTGACGTCGCTGATCGTCAATTTGGATGGGAACTGGTTGCACAGCGTAATGTTCTTCTGGCCGTAGCACTGGGTAATCTCGATCGCGTAGTCGACGTTGTAAACAGTCATGCCATCGTAGGTGATGTTCTTGACTTCACCAGAGCCACCTCCGCCCTGCAAGTCGCCGGAGAGTGCGGATGCTGCGCCAGGCCAGACCTTAATGCGGGCGCCGTCCGAGGCGTTGGACATGGTGACGTTGGCTACGTAGATGTTCTTGACGATGTCGACCTCGCCGACGTATTGGCCAAGCGAGCCGACAGAGATGCCGTGGGAGCCGTTGCAGCTAAGGTTCTGAACAACGATGTCGGTAGAGTTAGGCTTGAAGGAGACGCAGTCGTCGCCGTTGTCAATGTTTGAGTTCTGGATCACGATGTTGCTGCTGCGGTACGTATCCCAACCGTCAGTGTTTTTGGCAACGTTCGAGCTCGTGCTGCCGCCGAAGATGTCAATGTTCGAATAAACAACGTCGGTCGAGTTGGCGATCAGGTTGTACCACTGTGGGCTGTAGCGGAGCTTCAGGTCCTCGATAGAGCCGCCCTTTAGGCCGATGACACCGAAGAGAATAGGACGCAGAATGTAGATGTTCTTGGCGTAGAGGTCGTACCAGACTTGACCGTTACCGTCAAGGGTTCCACCACCATAGACCTTGACATCTTCGCCACCGATCTGGAAGAAAGTGGTGGCGTTCTGGAATGTATGGTAGAACGCGTTCTTCTGCCAGTAGTCGGTGTCATTGGTGAACTTGATAGTTCCTTGGATATCTGGAAGATCTGTTAGGATCGAGTTAGACTGTGTCGGGGCACCATTACTTACCAAGATCGATGTGCTTGAGGAAAGTAAGATCAAGAGCAGTGCCGATAGTGTAGTTCTTGTCCTTGGGGAAGACAACGTGACCACCATTATTGCACTTCTTGATAGCCTTTAAAATGTTTTTGGAGTCGTCTTTGCCATTACCACCGGCTTTGACCGTGCAGGTCTTTGTGCGCGCAGGCGAAACAGGGAATGGCTTGCCCGGGTGGTGAGGAGCGATGCGGTGATCTGGTCGCTTGGATGGAGTGACCCCGTAGTCGCGTTCCTCGATAGGTGAAGCGAGTGCTGCAGATGCAAGCGCAAATGAGATAAGGCCAGAGACACGCATTTTGGCAACCTTGTTGTGATGTCCGGGCAGAGGAGATTGAATGGGCCGGTGTCTTTTCCATCGCGCTGTCTGCCCTCCTTCTTATACTCACATCGAGCATGATCTTGTCTGAGCGCTCGCCCCACAATCTCCAGAACGGGAGATGAGGGCGCGGACCTGGGGCGGAGAAACTTCCCCCACAATGCAGCCTGGGGGTGGCTAGTGCGTATTGCTAGCCCAGAAAGCTTAGCAAAACGCAAGCACGCTCGGCGCCAAGCGTTGTGATTCGTGGAAGTTTTGGAATCCATGACATGTCAATCTTCCCGACAACCACACCAAGCCGGCAGCCCGGACACAACCCTGGGGTACCGTTGCGTTATCGCACCCTGGCTCGTAGCCTCGTGGTGATGGAGGCGGTATTGACGCTGACGACGCTACTCGCCGAATCCCTCCAATCCAAGCAGCCGCGGTCGACTGCCAGCCGTGTGGATAGCTCCATTGCAGATCAGGGATGAAAGGTTACCCAATAACAGCCAGATTTTCGAAGTGTTCTTGCGTCCAGATATCGAAGGACAACTTATTAGCGGGGCCTTCTGATGAATTGCTCAACCAGCCTTCACAATCCCTGCACTGTTTGTTGCCAACTGTGAGCAAGCTCTTCCTGGGCTGCACATGTTCAGTTCGGTCACCCTCATAACCTTAAGCCCCAGATGGTGTAATTTAGCGAAATGTGCCATTTCGGTAAACCTCTTGTGACCATATTCTCCCCACGACCCGCACCAGCTTTGGGTGACACCTTCATGTTATCGGCACCTTTCATGTCGTTCCACATTGACCATGAAACGTGCTACGGCGCCTTCGTTTCCTACATCATCTTTTCTATTAAGTTTTGGCAGAGCAGAGAGGTCGTCTCTTCGGACCGATGTTCAGCTCGCATAATGGTGCCTTGCATATGATGAGCATTATGCCTAGCGATGGCCAGGGCCAAACAGAAGCGAAAATACCGGCGACCAGGACTGTGGATTCCTGTTGAACAACACTCGAAGTGTCATTGTCGATCTGAGAAGGATCGTTTACAATCACGTACAAAGACGAAGCGCCGGTTGCTGCGCCGCATAACGAACTAAGCACCTGTTCACATCTCAACATGCGATGTTCTCAACCGTATAATCTTGTCACACTCGTGTATGCTATACATTATTGTTTCACATGTTTCCGTGGCTTTGACGCACAGACGTCGATCTATATTGCGTTATGTTCTGCCGTGCAGCATCCGGACCCACTCTCCGGCTTCCGCAGAGCCCCATGCAAGCACTCGAAACATTGTGTCACATTCGTCTACATGTAACATGTCAAATCCTTAATCCACAACAACCATGCCGAAAGCCTTGTGCACGCGCCAATACGACATTAGAAACGCCACAACTTCTGCGCACCATCATCTTTCCGCAGCAGCCTCGAGCAAAAGCCGTAGGTATCGGCAAAGATGACCACGGAAGAGACTGCCGTAGCCACCCATACCCTCCCAGCGCGTCGTACAGAAGACTTGTCACTTCTCCAACCGTCGCTAGAACATGTACAGCCACCGTCGGACCCGATTGGGTCTGACCAATCACCGCAACCACCACGACGCCGCCTGCTTAAGCGAGGAGGCATTCTGTGCGCATCGGGCTGCAGAGCGTCGAATCGAGATGTGAGATCTGAGTTCGGACTGAAGAGCCTGACGCGTCTCCACGCAGGCGAGCCATCAGCCTAGATCAAACCGTTAGTATAGGTATTCGACATGCGGCATCCTCGTTCGGAAGGTTCAGCGAGCCGACGCGCCCAAGAACCAAGGGTTCTCCACTGTGCTCAGCAAGGGCACCGATACTGAGCGACCACACTTCTCGGTTAGTGGAATCGAAGGCCTGACCTGATCATAGCGACCGTGCCAGGAGACGGAGAAGCGAGTACTGCATCTGAGATACTAGAGATAGAAGCAGGGTGCAATCTGCACTTGATATTGATCCGCAGAATTCGCAGTCCAGGTCGAAGGATGCGCTATTCTTGCCATACATGAGATGCTACATGTACAATGCTGCTATCCAGCCACGGCAATCCAGCTGATCGACATCGCGCAGATGGCTCGATACCGCGCACAGCACATGGGGAGGCGAGAAGACTCGAGATTTGGGTAAAAGTCAGATGCAGCGTGAAAAGAAAAAGATTGCGTTCGTGAGATCTATGTAACTACAATATGGCGCGGGCCAATGCCATCCTAGCCCAGCCGGTCGGCGATGCATCGAACGCTTACAGGCACATTAAACCCAATAACACAACCATAAAAGCGACAACGCTAACCCAGATGCAGTCGTACAGTTTCTCAGCGAGCGTGTCCAGCCTAGGCGAGGCGATAATGTGAAAGAAGCATGGACCTTAGCCCAGGTGGGAGGCAAAGAAACGCATGGAGATAAAACAGGTTCATACCGCGCCACCGAACTGCGACAGATCGTCGTAAATATCAATCCCCATGGACATATTCTGCTCCCAAGCGTGACGACTATCAGCAGGGGTGATCGGCTCATCTGCACTAGGTGTGGGGCTGCCACCAAAGAGGGGCTCACCAGGCGTCTGCTCCAGGACGTATGCAGTGTCACCACCCATGAACCCTTGGCTGAGTGGCGTAGCCGGGGTGACAGGAGTTGAAGCGTAGCTGCGTGGCGGAGAGACAAGTTGCGACGCCATATCAAGCATAGGCGAGTAAGATGTGCTGTCCCTTGGCGTGTCGTACGTCATGGACATCCGACTGTACGGGCTATCAATACGGGAATGGTAGGCTGATGACGGTGTGTAGACGCTGCTACCCTCCCACTCGCTACCATATCCACCGTTCGAGTATGGGTCGCTGCTGGGTGTAGGCCGCTGGTACATCCCAGCCTCACGAGCACGCTGAGAGCGGCGCAGGTTGGCAGCGCGACGAGCAGCGTGACCACCCTTAGCACCGGAAGCTTGACGCTGAGGCTGGGGCTGTGTGCGGTGCGATCGCTTGTTGGGAGCTTTGGAGCGGTAGCGAGTTGTGGACTTGACGCCCTCGAGGAGGGCGGCCTGGGTGAGACGCCACATGAAGCCCTTTGTCGTCGCATCGGAGGGCGAGTCAACCTTCTCAAAAGCCTGTTGGGTGTTAGCGGAGTGCCAAGGTAAGAGTCAAAAGGTATCAAGGACGGCAAGTGCGCGGTGCACGAAGAAGGCGGGAAGTGTGATTGGAAACTTACGCCGTTCATGCTGAGGTTGTGCCGGATACTGTTCTGCCAACCTTTCGTCTCGCTGTGCGTCGCCTTATCAGTATGTCTCCTGAACCAGTCGTAGATATCGCGCAGCACCATGGTGTGGTCTGGTGCGTCGAGCAGGGCGCGAAAGATGAGCTGTGCGTATGGCTGCTCCTTGTCGATAGGCTCGTCCTCATGGCCAGTGGAGTATGGTGTTGAGGCGCGAGACATCTCAGAGTACGGGCTGTTGTAGTCGTGCTGATCCTCATGCTTGATGTGAGTGCCGTAGTGAAGGTCCCAGTCGTCGTTCAGCTGTGTGAGCTCCGGTGTGGAGTTATCTGGAAGCGAAGGGGTCGAGCGGAGCTGGGGTGGGGAATGGAAGTAGGCTGCTGGCGGATAGGATGCTGTCATGTCACTGGAGCGGCTGGCGAAGTCGATGTTCTGGAAGACGCGAGGACAGCTTGATGTACACTCGAGCGGGTACTTGATAGCATGATTGGCGTTGAATGACATGCCATTGAAAGCTTGTTGAGGGTACTCGGTGCTGGCCGCGTTTGAAGCGAAGAGTTGGGGGGTGCAGAAAGCATCTTGAACAAAGCTATTGTTAGGAAATTGCCCTTGAGCTGACCACTGCATGGCTTCAGGGTCGAAGATCATGGGTGCTTGCTGTAGGTGGTGGCTTCCGGAAGGTGCGAGCGTTCGATCGGCAGTCGTCATGGACATTGTTTCTTCGTAGGGCTGAGGGGATGTGGAAGGTGAGACGTGTGTTCGCGCAGAAAGCTCAGTGCTGGGGGAAAATTTCAGTTCTTCTCGTGGCCGGATGGTTCCAGATATCTCGGCAGGGGGCAGAAGTCGGGGTGAAGTCGAAAGTGGCATTGCTGTTGAGCTTCTGCCTGGTTGGGCAGTGCACAATATCGGGGAAACGATGTGATGTGTTGGCCAACGATATTTGTGAGACCAAAGGACTGGCAAAGATCGAATCTACCAAAGGACCACAGAAGGATGGACCTGGAGTGAAGCGCGACAATCAAGACATTTGTATGCTTAGCCAGGCACGGGCATCGCGCATTGGGTGGAAAGCTCATTGTCATTCCACGGCTGCCAGCGTAGCTTGATGCTGCGGGCATGCACGGCCGACCGGCAAACAAGGAATTGAAGCGTAGCATGGGGACGGTTGAAGCAGGCGCAGAGATGGTCACACAACGCTGAAGTACCGGACGCAGAGGACCTGAAGGTCATGGCTCCCGGGCCGAGGCGGACCCTGACGCTGCACTACCGCAGTGACAGGTGTCTGCATATGCAGTCCCACAAGAGGAGCCAACCATTTTTTGGTTGGGGTGATCGGCAGCGGGAACATGCATGCCCAACCCCCAGCGTGTGACACTAAAACGGCCACGCATCGAGTGGTGGATTGACCGCTTCGGCAGAGCTCTGTCTACGGATAAGTCCAATAGCACCCTTCACCGAGAGCACGAGAGCATCGGATTGTTCTACCGTAACTTCCCCGCCATAGCTCGCTACGGCTCTGGCAGCGTATACCTATACCTCCCAGGCGCACAATTATCGCCAGCAAGCAATTGTTATTGGATTGGGTGTTGCTTACGTGCAAACTTGACGCAAAGAAGACACATGTAGTGATCGTTGATGTGCATATCGACTCAAGCAGGTACCCTGTAGATCTAGCCTTAGCACAGATGGGTGCTGAATCGACAGCAGCAGCATCCCGTTTGGACGTGACGATGAAGGGCGTGCCACAAGACCTATCCGGTGAAAGCTTCATTGGTATTGCCTCATTTGCACTGACAGCGGCGACATTTGCGTCTGATTGGTCATCGTGCTTGACGCATTCGTCACCGCTCGAGAGATATATACACCGCTGGCAACCGACAGATCGTGGTGTCGTAGATGGCACTTGGGCACCCGGTCGCTCTTGTAGGACAGCTCCATTGCTGGTCACCGATACCACGTTGTCGCACAGAATTGCATGGAGACAGATGGAAGGAGAACGTCGTAAATGGGGAAAAAAAGGCTCGTTGATGTTCTCGGTGTCGTGTAGCCATTAATATACGCAGCGCGATGAGATGAATTGCGAGTGTGGGGCCAACCGGCTACTTCCGATAATAGATCTGCAGCGAATCAGCGTGAGCATTGTGTAGTAGTACGAGAAGGATATACCTTTTTGAACTGGAAGTGCAGTTGCAATATGCCCTGCGCCTCGTTAGCCAATGCTTTGTGGTGACGGTGCGCGTAGCGTAGGCTCGTGTAGCACGAATGAGCTGTCAGGCACTCACCTTATCGAAACTGCTCTTGAAGCCGCGCTCCCGTTTGGCGCTATAATCCCACTCCTTGTCCACGATACGAAAGGCAATGTCCTCGTAGGGCGGCCCGGCGATGAAACGGATCAGGCACGTGTCATCCTCCCCAGCCGGGGCAAAGGATTCGCCTCGTCTGCGACCGTTCTCGCGTTCGATCTTGTACGTGGGCGCTTTTGTTTTGTCGATGAGATCTGGATAAAAGATATTGAACTTGTAGCCCTGGACGACCTTGGGCGGGGGATTGTCGTGGTCGTAGTGGGTCTGATTGTACTTGTTCCACTCATAACCCATCTGCACACGGTTGAAGTAGCGGGGCTTTCGGGGTTTGTAGGTGCCAGCCCACTGCGGTCGCGCAGTCGTGACCTGTTCTTCGGCCGTAAAGACCTCCTCGCCCTCTTCGACCCCGCGTGCGACCTCTCGTTCGTAGAGGGCCATGGTCGCCTGCGAGGAGTCCTCTTTCTCGATGGGCGCGAACCGTGAGGCGCTGACGGTGGCCGCGCCGCTGCCGCCTGTCTTGCTGTTCATCGTGACTTGGTCCGGCGCGGCGTTCTGCGAGGGAACATAGCCGAGCTTCTGTGTTCTCTTGCGTTCGTTGGCCTGGTGTTGTCAGTGTGCCTGCCGTCTGGAGAGGCGTGGCACTTACAATGTCCTCTAGGAACTTCTTCTCGTCCACCTGCTTCAGCGCCTTATCCTCGGTGCTAAGCTTCAACGATGGCTCGGGGTCGAGGGACACGTCGTAGGCCACAGTCATTGCTGACGTGCTACCCAGCGTCCCTTGCAGCTTCTCCTGTACCGACGCCGCAGCCTCTGCTTGTTGTTTCCGTAGCGCCTGGAGCCTCTCCCTGACAATCTCCTGTGATACGCGCCGCAGCTTCGCCTTGGCCTTCCATATGCGCAGACTCCGCAGCAGCTGATCCCAGTAGTCGTAGTCGATGGGCTCGTCTGAGTCCAGCTTTTTCTTCACCTGCACCTCGAGTATCTCCAGCTGCTCGCGTGTCTTGGGCGCGAGGAGCGTGTCGATGTCGGCGGCGACGGAGTTTGTGCTGCGCGAGTCGAACGAATCCCTCGATTTGCGGCGGAGGTCTTTGCAGATAGTCTTGAGCGCCTGCAGTAGTCAGCAATGCGTCTCTTGTAGTAGGACATATCTCCTCACACTCCAGTAGTCTCTGTTGCTGCGGTTGGTTTCCAACGCAAGGTAGTTCTCGATCTCCTTCTCCAGCTCGGACAGCTCTTCTGAACCCAGGCCCTCCAATACGCCTTCCGGGTCGACAACGTCCAGCTCGTGATCCTCGACTTCCTCTTCGTGTACAGATCTGGTAGGGTCGATAAACCGCAACGTGACAGCGAGCCAGTCGATGGGCCTGGCACGACCGCCCTTGACGCGCAGGGCCGCCTTCTTCTTCGCCTGCTGCAGCACGAAGCGGTCTTCGTCCGCGACCCAGGCGTCTTCTGCGGCATTTGTTGACCGCTTTGAGGCCCTCTCGTGTGATCGCGAGTCGCTCGAGCGCTTCGCGGGTACCGTGGACGATGGCGGCGGTCGCTGTGGTGGTCTGTCGCGACCATTGCGTTCCCAGGGCGGAGGGTTGCGCGACGACATGTTGTGTGGAGGATAGTCGTGTCGTGTTGCGCGCTGAACAGGCTTCGAGGCCGCCATCTATCGCCGGTCTCGAAAACGTCAGCCGCCGTGACGTACGGTACCTGCCCCGGCCGCCTGGACCCCCTGCCGCACCTGCCGCCTAGCATCGGCAGCCCTGCACAGAGACCACCACACCTTACAAGGCGTGCTACAGGCATCAAAGACCATGCATGGACGTCTTGTGTCTATGAAATCAATGGCGCGCGCCACAGAGTTCAATCTTTGTTACGCCAGACCTTGAGCGCCTGCATGTCGTCCTGGCGCGTTCTGGAGCTGTCCGAGCAGCCGGACGGCGAGCCCATCCCCCAGCTGCTCGTCAAGTCAGCCTTCAACGCCGACTCTTACACCATCTTTCTCACGTGCTTGACCAACATCTGGAGTGAGCACGTCGACCTGTCCGGCATTGTGGGTCGCGCTGCCGAGCAACAATCACCCATCGAAGTCAGCAAACAGGACACTGCGCAGCTAGCCATCCTCCTTGGAAATGTCGACAAGTCTCTTGGATGCTCTGAAGACGCCGAATGTCGTCTCACGCGTGAAGGATTAGATGGAATTACGTTGCACACCACTATTCGCCTGCCTGAACCACTGGATTCCTTGACCTGGAAGTTCCACCTGCAGAAGCGCACTGCCGTAACACTCAAGAACGAGCTGATCCTGCCATTGCTTGTTTCATCACACATTCAGTATGAACGCATCAACGACCTGATCACAACAATCGAGAACAAGGACAGGGCCATTACCCGCATGGTCGATCAGTTCGAATCCAGCAACTTGGATCTTGCTGCAGCTTTCCCAAGCATAGGAGGCTTGAAAACAGGTCGCAAATTGATCAAACGCGAGCAAGCAGCGAGGCATCTACCCGCACTCAGGCCTTTTCAGCAGCATGTTTGGAGAGAGGAAACAGCACAATTTGCAGACTCGGATGTCACCACACTAGGCTTGTTCCAGGAGGCGCTTGTCCAGTGCACACTGAATGTGCCCACAAGTCTCCATGCAAGCGAGGGTGCAGCAGACTGGCTGGCTGATGTACCCACTCGGCTGACCTTCGCTGAAGCCGCGGTCAAGATCAAGGTTAGGGAACTCGCGCCAGTCTTCCAAGGGCCGCCGAGGCACGGTCACGAGTCGAGTCCTATAGCTGATGACACTGAGGACGACTTTGAGGTGCATGAGAACTTCAAGGTACACTCAACTATAATTCGCATCATCAAAGCAGGCTGACGATACTGCAGACACGCAACGTACCCAAGAAGATCGCAAAGAGGCTGGAGCCTACACCGCCATCAGCCCAGCATGGCAACGCAGTGGACGACGACGAATCGACCGAGGACGACGATGATCTTGATGCGCCATCAAAAATCCAAAGTCAGACTCAAATTCAGACCCTCGGCCGCACGGCACGACAGACGCGGCAACGCACCAAGTCGCCTTCTCCACAGCCGCCAGCAGAGCCAGCAACACCTCCTCCACCAGCCAGTCGGCCCAAGGCTAAAGGCTTTCGCATAGGAGGTAGAGCCAAGAAGACTACTCCAGACACATTGCAGGATAAAGAGACCAACCCAGAGGCCCCAGCTCGAGCATCGATGCCGCCACTGTCGCAAGTCGAGTCAACCGAAACATTTCTCAAGAAACCTCGGAGGGCATTCAAAATTGGAGGCAAGAACAAAGCCAGTCATGAGCCTGGTTCATCGCAGCATGAGGTTACCGTATCACCGACAATGAACCGTTCCAAAGATGCTCAGTCACCGGCGTCGAGGTCATCACCACCGCAGATGCCTGAAGCGATGCCGAAAGAAGGAACCAATGTTGAGAAATTGCATGAACAGACCCCTGAGGAGAAGATCAAGCGAAAGAGAGCTGAGCTTAAACGTAGGAACGAGGAGTTTGCTAAGAAGCAAGCGCAGCATAAAAAGAAGAAGCGTTTCTAGGGCCATTGCCACTTGAGACATACTCTAATCAACTGTGGATGACCTCAGGTTCCTGAATGAGCAAGCGTGAGTGTCGTTTGTTCTTCTTGGTATTCTGACCTCTATTTGGATATTGCCGTTTGTCTGCTTTCCTCATTCACTTAATCTGCCAACCCCGCATGGGTGCGCCTCCCTCACGACACCACGGACGGACACGCGCCTGCTCGATCTCTCAACTTGGCAGCCTAGACCTTGAGCGCGTCACGCGCGACAATTGCTACCCAGCATTATGTGTTTGTATCACTACCTCTACTTCTCAGCGTGTCAACACGGCGAATTAACGCTCATCACCTACTGCGACAAGGCAAAGGCACTGGGCCTAGCCAACACGTATGTGCGCTCATTCACGCACAAAATACTACTGACAGCCTTCAGGAATAGTCCTTCGGGGTATAGTATCGAAATTGCGTGTGAACAAAGCCTTACTTCATTGTCAATACCCCCTGCAAGCAATCATAGCGCTCCACATTCGCATAGTCAGCACCACCACCACCACAACAACAACAACAACAACAACAACAACAACAACAACATCATGGCAACATTATCACCTTCCAAGCCTCGCACGTTGCCCGGCTACGGTCCCACGCCGGTTCAACAGGAACGCTCATCACCCCAGCGCGCTGCATTCGTCCCCCGTTCCGCGCTTCCAGAACCTGGATCCCAAAGCCCTTCGCCGACGTCGCCGTCGTCCACATCCCTGTTGGCGGCGCAAGCCATTCAAGCCTTCAATAGCGATGGCGTACATGACGGCGCTTTCTTGCTATCCACAGAAGATCTTGGCCAAGGTACATACATGCCATCTTGATCTTGCATACTCGATTCGATGCCAGTGGCTGACTTGCGGATAGATTTTAGACACGATGCTGTCTCTGAGATCAATGTTTCGGCCCGCAATGGTCGTGGCTCTGACGAAGAGACCGTGCAAGGTTCATCTGAGGCCAGTGTTGACATCATCACGGAGCGTGACACGATCGCATATAGCGACGTGCGATCGGCCAGTCCTCGCAAGCCACTCCCTGCGCAATGGCTGCCCTCATCCAACTCGCCCACTCTGACGACAACTCAAAGAATGAGAGTCCACGGGGACACGATGGCTTCTTCAAGCGGATCACCCATCGACCGCAGAGCTATTCGAATAACGCGTAGCTCGATCGATTTCGGGAAAGCCCACGCAGACACAACTTCGTTCCTCACCAAAGAGGCACTGGATGCTGTCGATGCCAATATTACATCGCCAACACTCCGGCGGAGTCCAAGCAAGATTCAACGTTCGCCGACCAAAGTCCCTTGGAACAGTCCAGCTGTGTCCCCGAAAGTCGGAACCTTGCGCCACAGCGGTGCATCACCCACGAAGCCATCTCCACCTCGGGTCACACACCTCGGTGCCCATGTAACAGTTGATCATAGGCGCGCTCCCAGTAGCATCATCTCTACCGGAGCGACGTCATTCCACACTGCGCATGGCTCGCCGGTAAGAAGCTCTGCTTGCTCCCAGAGCAGCTTCTCATCAGCTGAAGACCTCGACGACAGCGTCTCTTTCCACTATGCTGACTATGTGGCTGACCTCGATGTGGAACAGGTCAATGATCTGAACAGCAGAGGAACGACCGCTTCAACGGCAGCTGCTAAAGCTTCGCTTCGATCCCGGACTTCAAGGCCAGAACTCTCGATCCGCATACCACCCTCAGACGCCTCTGTTGACGCTGAACAAAGGTCAGCCTCTACTATCGCCTCCGCCACGAGTAGCACGGCAGTGAGCATTGAGGAAGTAGAAAATTCGGGAATTGGACTTCTTGAGAATCATCACGGTACTGCGACGCAGTCACGCATTCCTCGCATGTCCATCAGCAAAGGAAGCAGCGCTCGTGCCCCTACACTCAGCTCTACACTTAAGCAAACGAAGTCTACACAGACACTACGATCGCCGAAGGCCATTAAAGGCAAGCCAGAGCCGAAGAGCACGACTTATTCAAAGACAACTAGAACGAAATCACAGCATCATGTTCGCACCATTGACAGCACGGGATCCACACCAATTTTGTCTAACCACAAGAGTCGTGACTTCGGCCTACCCGCAAGCGTCGCTTGTGTAGCCAAAACAAACACAGAGCGCGCGACACGCGCACGAGATGTCGACTTGCTCACTTCGTATCTGCAAGACACTGCACTTCAGGCAGCTGAACCGGCTGAAAGCCTGCCGGGCACAAATACGACATCCCGAGCGACCAGTAGCTCTACCGTCAAAGCTTCACGGGTCACTGAGGATCCGGTGATATCCAGCTCCGCAGATGTGCAGACTCGCAAGCGCCCAGACTCTTTGGGTAAGCTTAGGCCTCTGCGACTTTGGGCCATTCTTGGTGCAGTTACTCACCCATATGGCAGTAGGCAATATTCACTCGAGTGACGCAGACGATGAGTATGACGACTTCTCGATAATTGCGCCAGTCCGTGGTAGAAGCGCGCAGTACCATCCAGTCACCCGACGCACAACCATTAGTGAGGTTTCGATGCAATCGAGCTCTGCTTCGGACCTACGCGCCACCGCGACTGAGTTTGTTCCTACTCTGAAGGACACCTTCGAAAGTATGCGACTACATGATGGCTTGTGTATCTAGATACTAATGTGGACCCAATAGACGTCTCGGACCCTCAGCAGCCTCCTAGTTTACCCGATATGTACGCTCTCGACGGTTACGGGATTCCGTGGTTCTATCACATGTACCCAGTACCATGGATGTTCCCACCGATGTATGGCAAGGGCCGCTCAAAATCGCCGAAGAAGTTTCGGCCAACGAAGCAGCGCCCGACCATGACTGCTCCTATGGCGGACCAGAAAGAGAGGCTGGAAGCGTTCAACTCCGCGCAGACGGAGAATGCGGCCAGCATCACGAACTCAACCACCTCCGCGCCGGATACTCCGAGAGGAAGCGACGCTGCGCCGTATCGCCAAATCTTGGCTGCTGCGCCCGACAACATACCTGTAACTTGTACCACGCCCCATGTGAAGGCCTCCGACGGCTCGTTCTCGATCCAGCTCGACATGATTGCGCACCAGACCGCTCTACATCCCAAGATGAATATTACGCATCCACCAGTCGATCTTACTTCCATCCGTAACGTTCCTGCTCAGGTCGACTACCTCCAGGGTCATGCGCAAGGTTATAGCACACTCCCTTCTAGACGTCGGAACCAACGTCAGGTCGGTAATGGACTGTATGGTGGTCGTGGCAATGTTGGTATGCCTATCTATGCAACCGCTCCTTTCCCTACGCCTGTTCCGCCAATGGGACGCCCCGTCCAGAACTCTGGAGGCAGTCATGATCCTTATGCCGGGTACACGGTTGGCACCCAGGGATGCGGTACGGTCGAGATCGAGAAAGCAGCCGAGTACGGCGGTGGTCAGCCCTGCAACACTTGTGAGCCAGATCACTGAGTACCTTCAGGGTGCACTTTTGGAAAGCTGGTCGCGGAATGAAAGATCAGGAGCAGCCTTATTAGTATTGGAATCATGTTTACAGAGCATGATCATTTGAAACTGGGGGTTTGGTTATTCGGGAGGTCCGAAGTGTCATTCGTTTGATCGTGGTCGTACTGGATAGGTTGCAGTGATAATGAATAGAATTCATGGCGACTATGTGTGCTTGACTACCTTCGACTGTGTCGTGAAGTTCAACGGTGTCTCTAGCTGCTTGTTGCTCGCTTATATTATAAGGGTAGCTGAGGATATTATGAGGTAACCTCTGCCAGATGGTCGAGGTTCTAAAATCTTCTACTCGTGAGCATTGAGAATGCCTCGGGTTCTGTAATTCACATGATAGTATACAGTGCCGATCCAATTGATGACACAAGTCCCCCGAATAAGTCCCGCCTCTACTGTGCAGCTCGGTCTCAGAAAATGTGGACCTGTACTAGTGTGATCCCGAGCTTACTGAAATTCGTTCTTGATTCTAGCTTTGGGCATCATGGCGACTATTTTGCTAGATCTAGTAGTCAACACAGTACGGAATATGTGTATTGCATGGTGCTGATCACAGGTAGCTTCACGCATACCTGGCTGTCACGTCTGCGATCACTAAGTCGCAATCACCAGCTCGGCTACAAAATCTTTGCGCGCGACCATATCTTCGAAACCTGTGCACTCCACGCAGACAAACATACTAATGCACGTACACCGCACAACACGTAGCAACGCCCCCTCGCCTTCGAGTCGCTACTCTCGGCCACCAGGCCCCACATGGCCCATACCCCTCCCTCTCGAGTCGCAGTCCGCACAGCTCATCCCGCCAACACTTCTCATGTCTCCTCCTCTGATTTCGCGGCTCGAATCGCCAACCCCCCTCTCCCTCACCTCCCCGCCCCGCGCGTCACCTACACACAACCCGCCCCTCCCGCTCACTTTCCACTGGCGCTGCTGCCGCCCTGGGTGTCGTGCGGATAACGCCGTGAGCACGACGGCGCACTTCGCGCTCCTGGGTCTGGACCGGGGCGATTGGGTGCCGGGCTACTGGCTCGCGGACTGTGAGGCGTGTCGGTGGCGCGCTTGTGAGGCGTGTCTCTTGTTGCAGGTTGAGGGGCGAAGTGAATGGCTAGGCTTCGAAGGGGATATGGATCCTGTGGGCGTGTGGGGGGGGGTGTTAGGAAGGGTGGGGAGGGGAGGGGGGATTTGATCATGGGGCTGGAGACGGGAGGTAGGGTTGGAGAAAGACGGAAGGAGGAGTGGAAACAGAAAGTGAGTACAAGGTGAGTACACGATCGATGAATTTACCGCTGTCGCTATAGCTGCTTGACGCAGACCGGTCTCATGTCGGGAGGATTCTCAAAAACCTCATTCCTTCTTGTGGTATACTCTGACGTATCGTACGTGTTCAATCCCCTGTGCGTCCTCGCGTCTCTGCGCCTCGATCTTGTACCCGCCGAGTCGGGGCCACACCTTGGTCCAGCAAAACCAGTAGAACACGCCAAGCAGCAGCACGCTGACACCAACAATCGGGAAGACATAGTACGGGTAGCCATCTGCGTTCCACGGGCCACTTGGCGGAATGAAGGGCACAAGGGCCAGGAATATGTTCGCAGCAAGGTACAGAATTGCGACTGGTAGGTACGTGTGCCATGGAGACTCCCAGTGCTCCTTTTTGTTGTAGTGGAGGTAGATGAGACCAGCTGTGACGAAGCCGTTGATCCACGCGCCGGGGTAGGTGTAGAGATCGGTGATGAAGTTGTAGGCGGGTCCGGCGGGAGGGGCGACAAGGACGATGACTGTGATGAGCCAGTGGAGGAAGAGAGCTGGCGCTGGAGCGCCGAAAGGCTTGATAGAGGCCCAGAACTTGCTGTATGGCAGAAGGCCCTCCTTGGCGAATTCTTGGTTAAGACGAGAATGCGCGAAGCTGACTGCGAGCACGTTGCCTAGATTACTGAAAGCTACGAAAACAGGCAGACTGCGGGCGCCAGCACTGTCACCGAAGACGTTGCGGAAGAAGACACCCGCCACAATGGCTTCACTGCCCGCGAGGTCTTCCTTCGAGATGGCGGCAAAGTACGCAACATTTGCAAGAACGTACAAGATCGTGGTGCCGCCAACCGCAAGAGGCGCAGCCCACGTGAGCGTTTTCTTGGGATTCCTGATCTCGCCGAGCACGTAGTTGGCGTTCTCCCATCCTTTGTAGGAGTAGATGATGCGGAGTAGCGCCTGGCAGTACTCGTAGGCACCGCCTCCACCGTAACCTTCACCTTCGTGGAATGTGAACGCATTATCGAAGTTGTGCGGGTTGGGGACCCTCCGATGTCCTGCTAGAGCTGCAAATCCGGAGAATACGATGAAAAGTAGGATAAAGACCTTAAACACGCCCAGAACGTTGAACAATCGGATGCCCCACTTCGGCGCAACAGAGTGCAATATCACGGAGAAGGTGATGCACGCAATGGCAATGCCACGTGCGACCCACCCGTCGACCGTGCTGCCGGAAGCCAACAGGCAGTAGCGTCCGAAAGCCAGAGCGTTACCTGATGAGAAACCAAGCAGCAGCATCTGTGCGGCGAGAACGCACGTCGCAACATATCTGGGGTGACGGTAGACACGCTCCAGGTAGTTTTTCTCGCCACCGGAGCGTGGAATAGCAAGGCCAAACTCGATGAAGACCGACAGACCAGCGAGCGTGAGAATGCCGCCGATAATCCACAGAAAGAGCGAAACACCGACAGAGCCAGAGACCGCGAAGATGCCCGACGGCGTGGAGAAGACTACAAGGTGTCAGAGGCTCCAGGCTGCACAAATTCACATACGTCTTCACTTACTTCCAGTGCCGATCATCTTGTTCAAGATGACAAAAACGGTCGCCGTGTAACCCAGCTTCTGACTGTCATCGTAGACGAAGGCTTGGTCTGCCTGCACGCTGACATTCTCGTCTGTGTAGCCTGGAAGAGGATGGGGTGTCTCGTGGCCGGTCTCTTGTGCGACCTTGCGGTCATACTCGTCAGACTTGCTGGCCATTTGGACTGGGTCCCACAACTAGGTATCTCTGTCAATGAAAGGTCGAGAAAGAGTGGCGACGCTAGTAGTGCCGCTGGGCGACGGGTGGATGACAAGTGGTAAGCAGTAGAGCGGACGCGCTGCAGCTATCAAGAGTTCTGGAGAATAGACTGGGGTCATATACGTGTATTTCGTTGCGTGCTTACCTTTGTCTATCCAGACTGCATCGTCCTTGCACGGAACGCCTGCAGCTCGCGATCGTCATACAGATTGACGTTTCAAGGCTTGGGTTACATGGCAGCCAAATAATTCAAACCTTTCATCAGCGCTGACTGGTCGAAACGTACCCAATCAGGAAGGTCAAGCAATGTGCGTGTTGGAGCACTCTTGGTATGCGCTATGAGCGGTGCCCAAAGTAAGCAGCTCCGATGTCGTGATTGCTCGGCGCAATTCGTCTACCATAAAAGTGCAAAGAGCACCTTGGCAATCGCAAAGCATCGCATTGTGTGGCGAGAAGCCCTTTTGGTGGCTGTAGAAATTGTCGATTGCGAAAGATGTGTACGAGTAGGAGCTGCGCACGTGTCAGGGATGTGCGCAGTCCCGAGTTCCTTGCGAAGGATGTCGAGGCGTGTCTGGTTGCTGTCGCAATAGTTGTGCACCCAACCGCTCGAGGTGAATCCTGCGGATTCGCAAGATTCAGGGCTGACAACGCGTGACTTAGGTGTTGTGGCGAGCTCTGATGCGCGTTGCGCTTTCTCTTTGCGCGTCTCCACTCGCTTGGAATACGCGTTAGCTAGGTCGAAAGCCAAAACACGGTCCGCGTAAGATTGATAACGTGTTGGATAAGCGAGTGAGCCAGGCAAGCGAGTGAGCCACCCTACCAAGCTTACAAACCTGTTCAAGCGTACATCCAAACCACGTTAAGAGATAATATATATATATTAATATAGCAGACTAAGCAGTAACGCACTTCACGGGTATGCCGGTCACACGGGTATGCCGGTCACTCTGCCAAGACCCCACCAACATCTCCATCTACACCACAATGCTACAACAACAACGCGATTTAGGACCTTTAAAGGAAGATAGAGTACACCTTTCGATTCAAACTATAAAACAAGACGCGAATCTCTCCCAGCAACGCGCTGCAGTTCTTTACAACGTCTCTCAAACTGTAACAACGCGCTACGAACAGTGACCCGATACCACTAGGATACGGTTCCAGCGACTCATGACCATGGCCCTTGTCGCATGGCATGAGCTCGCACCAAACTGCCACTGAACCCTTATATATAAGGAGCAAGGAACTGTAGCATTGCAGAGTAGTTTTTCTATATCCTTTTGTACAAGACCTATAGGTGTAGAGAATATATCCTAGTGTTCTTATCATCCTAGCACTCCCATATGCCTTGTAGCGGATTCACACCTATTCCGGATATCTCTCTTCTTGCCTGCGTCGTTACACAAACAACCCTAAGCAATTAACGCGCTAGGCAACCTGCACAAGCAGAATGGACACCTAGATTAAGGAATTTAGACAAGAACAAGGTGGAGGTGATTGTTTAGTATATACTTGACCTAGCTGCAAGAGGATTCCCCCCTTAGCTGGCTACTGTGGCTTAGGCTGGCGGATGGGTGTAGTAGTCTGGCCAAAGGCCAATAAACTTGAAGGATGTCTACTTCCTAACAACTTTTGCTAAAAAGCATGCACAAGTTAACTAGACGTCTAGTTAACTGCGTAGATAATATATATCTAGCTTAAGCCAAGCTGGCTAAGCTAATGTAACCGGCTAGCTCTAGCTCTTCTTTAGCTTTAGAATCTAGATCGTTACAATGGGTAGGGTAGGCTTTTTTTTTCTTCTAGCTCCTTAACTATTAGAGATACGCTTACGTAATGTATTACTTGATAGAAGTGCCCAGTAATGCGCTTTCTAGTAGAAGAAAATTTCCTGATTTGGCCTAGTATTGATTAAGTTATCGAGCCTACCTAGCAAAGTATACCCATGGATGGGTATGCTCGCTAGGTACCCCCCCTTTTTTCACTGTCTTTTAGATTTAGCAGCTGTAATATAAGAGCTACAAGGAAGAGCTATATAAGAAAAATAAACAACATGTAATTTTGTTTAAAATGGGCCCTTATTCGCCTACATTGGCCTGGTATTAGCTAAGTTAGGGGGGGTACCCAAACAGGACTTTAGAGCATACCCATCCGCCAGCCTAATAAGAGCCACTCCTCTCTTAAGTTTTAAGAGCTCTGCAGAGAGAACAATATCTACACGCTCTATATGCCACCTTACTTATCTCACCTGCTACAGCCACTTAATACTAGCTGCTTCTTGCTGTTAAAGCGCGCGTACAGCTGTAAGGTTAAGAGCCTAATCTGCCACCACATTAACTACTGTTGCAGCCAAAATAGAGGCAAAATGTACATACATTTGCACCCCTGAATTGGCTGGTAAATAGGCATGATATCTGCTGCGACACACCCCCTTACGTCTAACTAGGACAGCATGATTAGAGGTAACTTAACGCAGAGAAATGCCTAACATGCTAAGTAGGTGAATCCTTCTTCGTGATGCTCTACACTATGCTCTAGATAGTAGCCCTAGTTGAGCAGGTACTATGCTAAGGCTTGGCTATAGTCACCCATAGAACACGAAAATCCATTCAACCTTTGCTTGCGCAGCTTCCGCGTCCGGGCTCATAACTGTTGCAGCCAAAATAGAGGCAAAATGTACATACATTTGCACCCCTGAATTGGCTGGTAAATAGTCATGATATCTGCTGCGACAACTACATTACCAAGCTTAAGTTTCTGCCAGCGTTTAAGGCAGTATTTAGTCAATTGTTCACCTTAACTAATATCTGCTCAGCCTTTCAAGGCGCAGGCATTGTGCCTCTCTAACTAGACGTTGTACTCCAGCTGCTCTCCCAGAGGCTCCCTGGGAAGCTTGTACGCCGAGTAACGTACGCGAGCTTGAAGCTCAATCAACATTGATACGTGAGCGCATGCGACAGCATAAGAGCTTGTCACCAGATTCAATTATTGGGGCGATTGACTAGCTTAAGAAGGGCGCTGAGGTGATGATGCTCTTGGCTGAGCTGATGCGCGATCGGATTGCCAGCCTTGAGAAGGCTAATGAGGCAGCGTCAGCGCGCAAACAGCGTAGAAAAAAGCGATTACAGCAGCGTGGGGTCTTAGCAAAGGGAGCTAGAGAGGCTTTACTCGCGCAACGTGAGGCTGAGCAGCAGATTGAGCGTGAACAGTGTCAAAATAGAGAGCGATCAGGCCTTAGCCGCCAGGCTCTCGCGCGCTGCAAGAGGTGCAGAGAGACTGGACACAACTCACGCACGTGTAAAAAAGATATTGCAGATACTGCTTAATCTACTGCATTAATATCTATATATCAGCTCATGATGTGGTTGAGATGTACGCCTCTGGAGGTGCCAAAGTTGGTCGGGCTGGCCGCTCGCTTGTACTGGCGACTCGCTTGTAACCTATGTTACGTTAATTGTGTGCAATGATCGGGGCTATCATGTTGCAGCGCTCTTACACCCAAGACGACAGCCACGGGCAATACGTCAGCCCCATCGAAGCTGTGGCCCACAAACACCCGCACAAAAAGTCCTATCTCGCGACTCAACTCAAATTAAGGCCACTGCAAGAGATGGCGATTCGACCCAGGATCACCAGGGGAGCGAAATGTCAAGCTTTACAAGTCGACTGCAGTAAAGCTTAATTCACGCCGCGGCCGCCACGACGCAGGCACGGCCACAAACACATTCCAAGTCCATGAGACGCTTTGCAATTGATTGACGTCCATGAAAACAGAATAGAGATGAATGCGAAGTTGCCCGGAGCCTCATCTTGTGTCAGTCAACCAGCTCTTTGGAATCGACCGCTCATTGGTGGATCATCTCTGCCCACACTCCCCACAAACCCCAGGAACTGTGAAGTGGACCTTCAAGCCATGCCCCGCGTTAAGCACAATCCTCGAGTCTCTTGATTGGATTATGCACTAAGGAACAAACCAACTTGTATTTCCCGCGGCTCATGACGGCATGTTTGAAGGCTTTTGGGAGATTGTGCCTGCGCGTCCGCGGCGAAAATGATGAGGACCGAGCATCAATGCTTCAATTTCGCCGTGACACCAGCGCTCGGCCGCTATTCTCCGCTGCGCATGGACAACACCGAGTTATATAAGACGACTTGCTCAGCCTTCTTTCGAAATTGGCGCACTGCGATTTCCAAGGATTGACTAAAGATGCGTCTCAGCTTTGCAATTGCATGCCTGCTCGAGGCATGCTCGGCCTTGTCCGCAGTCAATCGTAAGGCTTGTCAACACCCAACGCGAGACCCCCTGGATGGCTGTCCCAAGAACACGATCCTCGTCGGCCCAGGCCAGAAATACAGCACAGTCCAGTCTGCGATCTTGAGTCTGCCGAACAACACCGCAGCTTCGCACATCCTTGTTCTCCCCGGCAATTACACCGAGCAAGTCAACGTCACTCGCGCAGGCCCCGTGTACCTCTTTGGCCAGACGAAGCACCCAAATGACCAGAGCAAGAACATCGTTAACATCATCTGGCGCAATGCTACCGGTGCTGGCGTCACGCCCAATATCGACAACGCTTACACCTCCACGCTCACAGTAGCACCGACCTTCAACTCTAGTACCACTGGCAGCGGCCCTACCGGCAACCCAGTTCCAGCAGACACTCCGTTTGGCAACACTGACTTCAGAGCGTACAACCTGAACTTTGTTAATGACTACAGACCGTATTCTGCTGGTCCTTCGCTTGCTGTTTCAGTGAGCTATGCCAATACCGGATTCTACTTCTGTGGATTCTACTCCTACCAAGACACTGTATGTCACCTCTTCATGGTTCCTGGTGAGAAGCTAATTCAAGATCTAGGTGTATATCGGCAAGCTGGGAAACGCCTACTTTTACAAGAACGAGGTCGCCGGCCAAACCGACTTCTTCTATGGCTTCGGTACTGCTTGGATTCAATCAAGTCTTGTCACTCTGCGTAACTGCGGCGGAGGAATTACCGCCTGGAAAGGCACCAACACGACTTTTGTCAACAAATACGTAGGTTCTGCATTTTGCGGGTCTGAGCAGTGAGTTGACTATTACTAGGGTGTTTACATCCACGACTCAGTTGTCCAGAAAGCAAACTCTTCACTCGCGTTGACAGGAAAGTGCGCGCTTGGACGACCGTGGAACGCGCTGCACCGCTCCATCTTTGCTAACACCTACCTGGACGACTCGATAAAGCCCAGCGGTTACATCGCTTGGAGCACCTCCGACCCTCATCTCAGCGTCAACACCACCATGGCTGAGTACAAGACTTACGGACCTGGCTTCAATGCTACGGGCAGAGCCGCCGACAACGTCACTATCGTGATGGACAAGAAGCAGTTTGAGCCATACTCGACAGTGGACAAAGTTTTCCAGTACCCATTTTCCAGCAAGGGTGGAAACACAGCATGGATCGATAGAGATCCAGAACGATAATGGAGCTGCCCTCTTTGAGATCTTATTATAAGCCATTGCAATCAACGCATTCTTCATCCTCTTTTGTCTTGCCTTCATAACGAAGACCAGCACAGTACAGACCCTTCCATCTACTTCCTTTGAGCCAGATATCCCACTGTGTGACTGTGAAAGGCATACGGCCTTTGTAACAGTGATTCAAAATTCCACCACACAGTAGTCGTAGTACGTTCCGCATTGTCGCCGAGCGACACAGCTGTTTGGTATCCCTACTACTCTCTACTCGCAACCAACGGGAGGATGACGGGGTGCGCATCATCAACTGACCATCATCTACGCCACTCGTACTCGGTATCAACGTGACTTACTGATTTAAGGACCATGAGACGCTTCATAACCTTGCCGTGATGAATTGGAACGGAGCCTTCATCGCTCTCGGCGTCCCACAACGACACGACTCCGACCCCATGTTCGGGTTCCCAGCGATGAGGTCCGCGAGCAAGTTCCAGCTTCTAGTATTAATATTGGCGTGCCAGTGCAACTCGAAATGTTGCAGTAGCACGAACGTGAGCTTCTTGAGCTTCGCAACATCACGAAGTCGGTGCACAAGGAAGCTCAGCGCGTCGACATGGCTCCACCACTTCTTACGATTTGCATGTGATGCAATCCGGCCCAGGAACCTTCCCCGACGTCTCGGGATAGCCTGCCAGGGTCGGGATTGTTTTGATTTGCATAGTAAGAGCGATCCTCGGAGCAAGGAGGCATAGCAATGCTCAGGTCCATAAGCCATCGCGTGTTCTGTACCTCTATGGTGTAAACGAATGCCGCAGCTACGATGAAGCCATGAGTACCTGAGAAACGGAGCTCATTCTGTCCATGGGACACCTCCACTACTTCTGCGTTCACTCTCTTGCAGACATGAAGGAGCGCAAGGTTGACATTTTTGCGGTTGAAGATACGACGGTAGAACTTGTAATCGTGGCGGCGCTGCCAGAAGTCTTGCTGGCGGACCCTTATATCTGGCCAGAGCTCGATGGGGTAATGTAGCATGAGCGCGTACCTGTACATTTTGATATGCAGCTCGATCGGAAGTTCCATGAAGCCCGGTTTGAGGGCTCTCTGTAAAATGGGTAGTGTAAGAACTCGGACACCATATCAAGGGCAAATTACCTGCGGACGCTGGTAGCGCTGGCCGTACAGCTTTTGGTAAGGCTTGTAGGGCTTGATTACATCTCGGCTATGGACCAAGTATGTGTTGGCATGAGACTGACCAAGGGCGTCTGGCGCATGGCTAGATGCCTTCTAGGAGGAACACCGTGGCTATGCAAAAGCCAGGGGGATCGTACTGTACTCAATGAGCATCAAAACCTCGGCATCTGGGCAGGACCTTTACAAATCTTCAGCCATGACTGCTGAGTTAATAACGTCGGTTGTAGTGGAATCCCTTCACGGATCCGCCGAACAATTCGGGATAATATACGCACAGAGTCCGCATTACGGACCCACTATATACAGTGTGCCCGCCATTCACGCACTTTCACGGTTTTCCCAAGCTACCCGCCATCTGCACTGCACTTATATCGAAGCAAAAGACAAATCGTCCAAATGCTTTCTGGTCTGCACAGCAGGCCGCGCCATTAGGGACTTTCGATATGAAGAGCATGTGAAATTAGTAATCTCGATGACTTGTCATTCGGCTCTTGATTGAATGGAATGAAGATCGCATAGCTTTCGGCATTCGACTTGCGCATACACGCAGTTGAGTTTACTACGCTCTACTCTTATAATTTCCCCACACAGCCACCTAACCAGTTGCAAAAAAGATGTCAATATCCCCACAACACACTACAATCATACTGCAAAAGTAAGCGATTAATGACACAGAGGCCTCTGGCTATGCCAACAATGTGATGAGATTCTAGTGCCCAAGATGCTCTTCAAAAACGAAGTCGAAACGATATCTAACCAGGTACATTCGCCCCAAGAGTGGAGGAACTTATCGACTGTTTCCGAAAATCTTCACGCAGATGAACTGTTCACGCAAATTGGCAAATCTGATTGCCATGTTGAGATGGACACTTAAGGAGTTTGTGTGGAGTGAATTAGTTGAAGTATCGAACTGAAGCCGAGAAAGGAGTAATATATATACCCAGCAGTTTGTGGTCATATAGCCGGTCCTAACATGACTCGCTCATCTTAAGCTAATCAATAAGTCATGGCTCGAACTCCCCTCAGAAATCCGCGCTTAGATTCTTCGCTATGTTTTTGTCCTGAACGACTCAAGTTTTGGGCACATTGCAACACTGCCCGTGGCTTAAGTCAATCACGATTCCCATGCCCTGTGCTGGTTATTCGTTCAACTTTGGGTGGTCCAATCGTAAGGTGTATCAAAGAGATACTTCCGAGCTTCCCTTCAAGTCATGGAATGAAAAGGCTTTCGACTTCTCATCTTTATGGGACTCTCTTCAGGACAGTCGGCTACGACCCGACGCTTTGAGCAACCTCAGTCTGGTATTTGGACTTGACTTCCGCGTGAGAGGCCTCGACTGCGAAAACTTGCAAAACACATTCGGAGGCCTCCTCATCGAGAAGTATGGCCTGATGATTGAGACCAATATACCGTCTCCCAAGCCTACTGCTATCGACGACGATGTCGCTAACTGGCTGTCCCTTCCTCGTGACCTCAAGAATTTGGTGCAAGAGTATGTGACGACGGACCAGAACGCAAATACCAATTTGACCATCAATTTAGCTTACCTTATTTGTAGTGGTGTCTGACAATACCTCGAGTCTATCCCCTTGGACAAATTACTCGCGGTGAATGATGCTGCAGAGAAATCTAAATGCGCAAGGCAGACTCGGAAGAAGTGGAACGATCATGCAAAGTTAGATTGACGTTACATTGCTAGAGCTGTATCACCGCATATAGTGGCTCTGAGAATATATGTCTCGCCCCGCTTTAGGAGTTGCACGCAATGATTTGATATATCGCCTCCGATGTGATGCCTTTCAAGGTTTCTACCTTGCTAATGGAATGTTGTTGCCCATCACAGCCTCTGACATTAATATCCTCAAGGATCCAAGTAGGCTATTCACACAGTGGAGTGTGCGTATGATATCGGACTTCTGCAGTGAATAAGATGGCAGTCGTGAGGCGTATCTTCGCTGAAGCGTCGCACAAGCCTTTCAAATTGTTCGTACAATCCGAGACACAGTTGTGAACGGCAGGTCAGAGTTGTGATGTGCAGATCTTTGCATCTGGATCATGGTGTCTAACATTGGGGTTGCAGAGTAGTCGCACAATGGGGAAGGAGCAAAGCAGAAGTGTCTGCGTAGAGCTCGATCACGAATAGTTTTAAGGCCGAAGGAACCGAGCGTCCGCGGTTCTCCGGTATCACAAGCCAGCGCGTGCACTCTCCATAGACAATTTGCGCAGCTTATGACTAAATTTGGCCTTGTTGAGTTTGAAATAGGATTACAGGCGGCTTCACTGGGCGTTGCCATGTAGATTAGCCCCTCGAGTAAGCCCACGAAAAGCCAATCAGTTACATCCTTCCGTACATGTGCATCGGATCGGTATACAAATCTGCCAGATAGTGGCTGCGAGTGTACACCCTCAATGCTGGCTCGGGTGTCTAGCGTAGGTTCTAGCTGATGGGAAATCCAGTGTTGAGCATTTTGTGGGTACATTTGCTGGTGCTTAAACCCGTATAATTACCAGCAATCGCAGATGCACAGACAAAAGTGGGTGTGTATAGGAACAATTGGCCATTTGGGGTCTCCGCAACAGTGGAAAAAGACACTAGCTACCTAAGCTCGCATTTGTGTTGTAGTATGTCCGAGTCTAGTGAGCCCTGGCTCGCGGTTCGGAGCGCGCGATGTGGAGTCGTGCCGTTTCAGCCTTACACTCTCCGTTCCTGATTGGGCATGTCGATCTCCATAGCTCTTCTCCAATGACATCCGACAAGCAGCACCGTGATAGCTATTCAGGATGATCTTGTGTATAAGAACTGAGAAGTGAATCCAGAAGGGACCATCAGGCAAAGAGCATTCTATCGTTGACCATCATGAAGTTCTCAACCTTACTTACCGGAGCGTTCCTTGGCCTCACGCCTTTCACAACGTACGCAGCCAACTCGTTCTCGGCCTCCAACTTGTACTATGCAGCTGGATTGAAAGAGGAGCAGCAGACAACTCTATTCGAGGGTCTGCAGAGCGCTGGCGTGAAGGTGCTGCGCGTGTGGCTTGATGGTAGGATTGATCCCCCATCTCATAGAACATCACTGACTTGTTACGAAGGCCAGAGCCAAGGCCAAAAGGGCACAGATATCGATCCCTTTCCGTCTCTGCAAGGCGACTCACCCACAGCCTGGGATGATACCGTCCTCAACCGTCTCGACAAGTTCATGGTCAAGGCGCACGATTACGGTATCAAGCTATTGATCTCAGTCCACAGCTACAATGCCCTCGAAGGCAACAGTGATTTTTATGGAAAGTGGTACGGCAAAGGCGACTTCTATACCAACAGCGACGCCATCAGTCACTTCAAGGACCGCATTGCGCACGTGCTTGCACATGTCAATCCTGCCAACGGCAAGACCTGGGCACAAAGCCCCGAATACATCTTCGCATTCGAGGCTCAGAATGAAGCCATGCACCCTCAGGTACTAATTTTGTCAGCAAAAGTTGAAGTCTGCGGCTAACGTGTCTTGCAGGGCAACGCCAAAGCCCTCCAATCCTGGCAGTGCACCATGGCTGAGTCACTGAAGTCCGCACTCGCTGGGAGCACCGATATTCTTGTCACGACTGGCGGCGGCGCCTATCTTGCCAACTCTCTTCTCGACGGATACTTCAACTGTGCGGCCCTTGACGTCCTCGCCATCCACGCCTACGGCATCGGTGACTTCGCCACCGAGAAGCTGAAGCTTTTCGTTGACCGCGCTATAGCCGCCAACAAAAAGCTTATCATGCAAGAGTGGGGTGCGTGCTATACTTCTGCTTCGAACAACAACTGTAATGGCGGTAGTCCTATCAGCACTAGTGCGCGTGATGCAAACATCAAGCAGTGGGCAGCACAGATCGACGCTGCTGGCATTCCGTGGTTCTACTGGCAGATTCTGCCAAATGCGGACCCGCACCACGATTGGGATTATGAGGTCGGTATCGACGATAACAACTGGGAGGTCTTGAAGGAGGCGGGACTCGCAGCTGGTCAGGCCGAGAGTGCCTTTGACTTCTCGGGCTGGCTTCTGTAGAATAGGGAACCTCGGTCAGTCGAGAGGGCGTAATTTGCTCTGTTGGGTATGATTTTGTCTCAGTGTATCACTCTGTAGCTGGAAGTCTCTAAAGTCAATAGCCCATAGTAGCCATCCGGTCTCTGTGCGATGGATATATCGGGGCCGTAGCAGTAGCGTTATCAACAATCGAGTCAATTTCGACCTCACACACGTGCACATCCAACAAGGTAGAAATGAGACCTATGCAGATAAATGTTAGGCTCGAACAGGTAATCAACAAGTCAATCCGAGGTCGCTGGGCCTCGCACAATTGATTTTTGACAACTGTGTGTAGCAGACATAATGTTGCGGTATCAAGGGCAAATGTATATAACGAGTGTATTGTGTTGTTCTGTGTTGTTGTCCTGCTTGTATCTTTGCTCTCCAAGGCTCGCTGCGGGGTCTGTTTTGATGACGTGTTTGTGATGCAGCTGAGGTAAGAGGTACTCAACAACATGAGGAAGTAGCACCAGACCACCGCCAACAACACGTGATCTGCTTCTCCTCTCAACCGTTACATAAAATCTAGTCTCACAGGCACCTAGTAGTCTGGCTATATACAGTAGTTTAACATGCGCGCAGGAGGTTAATAGTGCGTAGCAAACCAGCGGTACACAGGAGTTTGTGGTTTTGCTTTTCGGTCTTGATTTCTGACCGATGGGTGCCAATCGTCACCTGTAATATGGTGTAACCACGTGGCTCAGATCACATGATATTCTATTGTAGCAGGCACTGCCTGGTGGGCAAGTGCACTTATCTGAGAGCTGAGAGCTCCTGTAACAGAACATCACAACACGACAACAGATAGCAATACACCCGTTGATCACAGTCTCCGACCGATACTGCTCATGCAGTTACATATGGGTACCCTGCGGCCGCCAAACTCTGATTAGCAAGTTGCACTTATTATCGTACGATTTTGCCGTTCGTGCCTTGTTCAGCTTAATAGAAGTCTGCCGCAGATTACTTCAATCCTGAAATTTCTTCGAGATTGACCCTAAGAAACTTGGCAGGTATTGACGATGCCGGATTCCGGGTGGGTGATGTACTGTATCTGTGGACCCTATTCATGCTCCAACTACTTGCTATTTAAGAGGAGCTTTCATCCAGAATCTAATACGGCAGTAGCATATTCGTTTCAAGTCATTCCTTTCCACATTCATTAACATTTACTTTTCCGCCATGATTGCGATTCAGACCCTTCCATGTCTTCTGTTAGCACTGGCTTCACTGGCTAGCGCTGAAGATATCTATGTATCTCCTAAGGGTAGGGGTAGTGGCTCGTATAACTCACCGTTAGGCGACATACAGAAGGCTGTTGACGCAGCTGAGTCGGGCGACACTATCGTCTTGATGGGCGGCATATATGCTCCAAGCAAGAACATTCAAATCAGCACGAAGTGTTCCGCCAGCGCCAAATGTACAGTCCGCCCTAATGGTACCGACAAGGTTGTAATCGATGGGAAGAATATGCCAGGGTAAACTACACATGTAATCTGCTGCCAGATCATTGCTAACTCTACACAGAACCCCGAAGAAGTACAAAGAAGACCTTCCCAACAAGGAACGCGGCATCTTCCATGTACAGAATGCACAACACTGGCGTTTTTTCGACCTGGAGCTTAAGAACGGACCGTACGGCATGTATGCGCGTGACGCATCTAACAACCACTACGAACGCATCGTAACGCACCACAACTACGAAACAGGCTTCCAACTTGAAGGTTCCTCGTCCAACAACGTTATAGTCAATCTTGACTCGTATCGGAACGCGGACCCGCGTAAGAATGGAAAGAGTGCAGACGGATTCGCCTGCAAGGAGGGCAAGGGCACTGGAAATGTAATTCGAGGAGCCAGGCTTTACGAGAACTCTGACGATGGGCTGGATCTATGGTAAATCAGGCTCTGAATCGCTCTAGAACGGAAGCTAACTTGCGTGAAAGGGAATTCGAGTCTCCCCTTGTCATTGAGGATGTGGTGGCCTGGGGCAATGGCTACAACCGCTGGGACTTTTCGCCGCATGAATCAGATGGCAACGGCATCAAGCTGGGTGGTGGATCACACCCTTCTGCACCATTTGTCAACCATATCGTGCGCAATGTAATGTCATTCCAGAACTTGCGTCGCGGCTTCACAGACAACAACAACCCTGGTAGCATGACCCTTGAACGCTGCACCGCATTTGAGAACGACGAATTTGGCTTCAACTTCCAGCTTTCAAAGCCGATCATCAAATCTTCGATTGCTTTTGGCAACAAAGGCGCGGAGACGAAGCTGAAGGGCGGTGTCAAGGACAGTGGCAACTCCTGGAACAAAGGTGGATGGAGCAAGAACCAGTTCGCAAGTACGAACAGCACGACGATCAAGGCTACGAGGAGGTCAGGCGGTAAGCTTCCGGCGACAAGCTTCCTACGCTCTGCTGATGGATCTGCAATTGGTGCCGACATGCAGAAGGTCTGAGGTGAATGACAGAACTCCTCGAGAAGCTGCAGCAAAGCCAACAACAATGGACACCTGACGACTGACATTTATCACCATCCTTTTTTTCTACCATACCGTGTTCGTGCACTTAATGCGCGGATTCAGTCAATTCGTCAAACCAACCATATCGCGTACCTGCAAAAACGAGGCTGTAGAGCCACATACAATAGATGTTGTTATAATATTTTTAGTAGAGTAATCTTTAGACCTATGCAAAAAAGTTCATCTATGAAAATTAATTATGCAGGGTAGCAGTGCGGCTGCTGCAGGTCTTATAAAGGCGACACTACGTCCCAGATTTGACAACGATACAGCGTGGCATTTGCCATCGAATAAACCCGGGTCTCAGTGCAACCTCGGAATGAGTAAAGTACAGCTACTCATTGCTGCTCTGGACCTGGGATCTAGCGGAAGATGCACACGCCACAACGTAATGACTTTTCGCCGACAGCACTTCAGCTGTCATAGGTCCTGCTACTCTGCGCAGATTCTCAAGCCACGATCCGGTATAGACCGGCAATACTCCCTTATTGGGAGCTATGTACCGAAAAGTTATGTAGTTTGATGCAGGGGTGAGTTGACAGAGTCGGAACGAGAGGTGTTCTTCTCTGCAGAGAGGAGGCTCGCTTCTCTGACCAAATGCGCCCTATGCAACTTCGCCCTTGCCCTCAAAACCGAGAGACTCGAGAGTTTTGGCACTCAACTACTCACAAGATCAGACGACCCGCCAAAGCGAATCAAACATGGGTCAGGGCGTACGTCATGACCGCAACAAGTATTTTCACGACCCTGACGCCGGTCGCTGGTCAACATCCGATTTCAAGACGCCTGTAGTCTCCACGCCTATCCTCGGCTGCATTAAAAGTCAAGCACAGGGTACTTGAGATATAGAAATGATGAACTCTATTTCGCATGAGTCTTTGTGAGACACGGTACTTGACCTTTACCTGCACTGTAAAAATAGTCCAGCTCCCCACCACAGATCCACTGACTCCGCTCCACTCGATCGCACCCCAGTCTCAAGGCTCTCCAATGCCCTCAGCTTTGCTGGCATGCACATAATCCTCGCACTCCCGCCAAAGGTCGATGTATTGAGCCGCACAGATGCCTCGGCCTGAAAACACCTTCCCGACAGCGATTTTCAACTGCCTTTGTCTTATTAAATCTTATAGTTAACTTAGGCTGCTTATATTTGTCTTATAAGACGCTAAAATCACTTAGTATTACTATACACCGAACGAGCCCATACATGGTAAATCACGAGCACACCTATCGAGAGCATACTCATCACGAGCGAGACCCAGACGGGAGACGCCCAAAAGTCTGGCTCCTACCAGCTCTCTCTTGTCGCCAACCCTCGATCCACGAGGACCACCCACGAGGAGCCATCTACGAGGATTCTAACTCGAATGCCAGCTATGCGCCCTGCCCTGAGCGCGATCAGCGAACCTCAGCGGCGAAAATAGCGTCAGCTGCTACCTACTCATACGAGCGCTCGTGTGCTGTTAGATATAGATTCATAATACGTGGCTGCGTTGCCGAATAAGTACGATTGTGAATCCATAAGCCAACAACATTTTGAGCTGAGCGCTACAGCAGTCAGACAGTTTAAATACTAATAAAGAATATCTCAAAAGTACGAACAGTGATGGCAGGGTGAAGTAAGGACATAAAAATTACTATCCCCATCTACCACCTCTCCTTTAAGGAGTGCAACGGCCGTAGCCTCATTATCCTGCTTCAATATCTCAGTCTCAGTCTCTATCTCAGTCTCAGTCTCTATCTCAGTCTCAGTCTCTATCTCAGTCTCAGTCTCTATCTCAGTCTCAGTCTCGATCCCAGTCTCAATAAAAGATCGTAGTGACAAAAGAATATGCAAGAAATGAACCCCGAGATCACTCTTCACCAACCACCTCCAAACTGTCGTTTGCAAGGCCCCGCTATGAACAATTCGAAGCCACATGCACTCTTTTCCTGAATCGCCAAACATGGATATGAAACGTGACGCCCAACATGCAGGACGCTGCTTACAAGCCAGCGGCAAGGCCAGCAATAGCAAAGACAACAGCAAGGACGGAACCAGCAAGATTGAGTTCGATACCCGACGCGCCGCCGGAGCTCTGCTGGGTCGAGCTGCCGCCCTGGTTGAATTCGGAAGATCCACCGCTGACGCTGCTGCTCGAGTCGCCTGTTGCCTGAGCACTGCTGCCTGTCCCTGAAGCAGCCTGTGTGCTTGTCTCCTCGGCACGGTTGCCGCCGCCAACGTTACCACCTGGCACGTTGGCGATGTCTGCTGTCTGTGTCGCGGAGCCGGACTTGGGTGCCTCGCCAGGGTTCTCGCCGGTGCCCATGAGCGAGCCGAGAATGACCTGGTCGTTTGTAATCTCGACGGTGTTGTTGGTACCAGCGTAATCGGTGTACTTGTAGCTCTTGGATCCAGACTTCTTGATGCCGTCAGGAGCGTCATAGCATTGGACGGTAAGCTCCTGGAAGCGGGCGTAGTAGTAGCCGTTCTGCATGTACTGGCTGTTCCAGTCAATCTCACCGCCAGCCCAGTCGATGGTGCCCTTCTCGTTGGTGGGCAGACCGGCGGGCCAGAGCGAAAGCATGACACGAGAGGGTGTCTGAGGGTAGTCGAAGCGGTTGGCGGTGCCATTCCATGTATCCTTGCGGTTCAGGGTGCGGAGGTCGTTGCCGTCGACGGACCAGGTGAGTGTGTCCTCCTTCCAGTCAATGCAGTACTCGTGCATGGTCGAGGCGCTATTGCCTCCAGGTAGGGTGAGGTTCTTACCATTCGTATCTGCATAACGTCAGTCATGTTACCCAAATGTCGTGCGCAAGGCTTCATACAAACTGTGACACCCTGCGAATAGAAGTTAGACTGCACGTGGCCAGTATCAACACCGACCCATTCGAAGTCGATCTCGTCCTTTACGTCGGACATGAGAATGAAAGCTGTGACGACACCCTTGCCCTGCGCCGTGGTGGCCTTCGTACAGATCTTGCCGTACCAGACGTAGTGTGTCGAAGCCAGCAGTGTTCCAACTGTGTCTTGGGCCATTGTCAAGAGCGTCGACTTCTTGCCGCTGCTGGGGTCGGTGTAGATGGCGGGCATGCCCTGCGACTGCCAATCGGCCTTGGACGAGTCGCCGAGGTACTTGTCGATGGACTGGACATTGCTGAGCGTGTCGAGGTTGTAGGTGCCGGACTGGCAGACGGGGCCGGGCACGCACGAGTCGAACGAGTGTGACATGAGCGGGTCACAGCCGCCGAGGCAGAAAGCGCCAACACCGCAGTCACCGTATACTGCGAGGCTGTTAGCAGCGCGACAACGAGGCCGAGGCTGGGGGGTACGCACGCGAGCAGCATGGTGTGTCTGACGGGCAGTGGCTGTCCGCTGTGCATTTGGCACCAGCGTAGACCGTGCTAGCGAGGGCAGCAGCCGTGAAGACGGTGGAGAGGGCGCCGCGAACCATTGTCGCGGGAGATTTTTGTGGCGGGGATGTCGTGCAATGCGGCCAAGAGGTGCGCGTGCAGCCGCGCAGCTGTCAAAGCCGGGCTGTCACTCCAACAACAGCAGGCCGGTCGAAGGTGAATGCACTGTGCTAAACGTGCCGGCCAAGGGTCTAGTGAACAGGTGAGGGGATCTGGGGTGAAGCCAGGCGAATGGGGCAGCGGACGGTGGGTGTGGGTATTACGGGGGTGTATGTCCCTGAAGCGTAGTGAGACTGGTGGGCGCTGTAGCGAGCGTCGATGGTCACAAGAGCTGCGACCTGTGGGTTAGATGCACGAAAAGATGGACGGGAATCGAAACACGCGGCGATGCAACATCGAGGAGATGTTAAGAGCGAGCGGCGGCGACAGGAGGGATGCGTCGATGCGAGTACGAGAGGCGCCTGGGCGGACGGGCCCGGGGAAAGTGTCATGCAGCGATTGATTGACATTGCTGAGGGTCTATTTCCCTGTTGGTATGCGCTAGAGCCGCATTGGGCAGCTCTCCACATCAATTCGCGGACCACGTCTCACCTTGCGCGCTATTTGATGCCTTCCACTTTACAATCACGAGCGGCGCAGGCTGAGCTGCTTGCCTGAGCGCGCACAATCGCACTTCAATTGCTGTCTCTTGGTCTTCTGCAGTGCTGTTTACCCTGCATCGCCACCCTGCATCTCTTTAGTAGCCATCTAGCGCATATCGATAGCGCATCTATTTATTTTTGGGCGGCCTATGGAAAAGAAAGCTTGAGCAGCCCTGCATTGTTGCACCACTGATCGTCAACCCCGCGCCCCACTGCCATCTGTACCGGCTTGTGCCCCAACATCATCCTGGAATGTGCATCTGTCAGCCTGTGTTTGTTTTACCTGCGTCATGTTAGCTGTCGCGTGCTTCCATGGCTGGGAAACGAACCGCCATTCCTGCGCACATTTGTGTAAGTAAGTTGTGGCGGTTGCCCCTGACCCTGCCTGACCCTGACCGGAACTGTGGCTGCCGAGCACGAGTCAGACCCTAACACGACCTCAGCCGCACTGTCGTGGTGATCAACGCGGCAGACGTCACATGCCTCGTTGAAATGTTTGCGAGGTTGTATGAGGTGGCAACAGCGCGCTATCGAGCTGCTGGGATCTCTATTAATATGTTTGCTAGTGAATGTTGCCGTCAGGCTGCGTAGTACATTCCTCCGTGCGCATAGTCAATTTGATTGCGCGAGTTGTCCAGATAGCTTTATCACCTAATTACTTTAAAGTCATTCTCAAAGATTTTTTGAAATGATTTGTCTAGAACTCGTCGGTGACAGAAATTACAGGAGCTTGAGAATTTTCCATGACTTCATTGATTGATTTATACTCCCTCGTCATGTTCGTGTTAGTATCCAGAATGGTCGTTCCAAAACCTCAAACAGTCCTGATTAGCTCGAGCTCAGATTGTAATGCGCTATAAGAGCGAATGCTTTGCGAAGTTGGCAAGCAGTTTCCGATGGTCATCATCTTGCGAGCTTCTGCCAACCAGCTAAGCAGCATCATCGCCAACATCCTTCTCCTGAGCCTGCTTGCACGTCAGCTTGTGCTTCTTCCAGGCCTTCTGACGGTCAGGTAAGTGGTAGTGCCGTCTTACACTTGGCGCACTTGAGCAAGGAGTTTCCGGCCTTAGTCGTAGCAGCGCCGCACTTCAGACAGCCAATCTTCTGCAGCTCCGTGTCTATAGCACCAGTACTAGACTTGGAGAAGCGTTAAGGTCGAGCTGAGGAATTGCGGGCGGCAACGGTGCCCACGTTGTCCTTGCTGATGGTCGAGGCGAAGATCACTGGGACGGCGGCACGTATGGCCGAGTCGGGGCATCCTTGAAGGGGCTCATGGTCGCGAGGTACTTCTTTGGGAAGTAACCAGCATTGCAGCTGCAAATTAAAGGGTCATCTGTTTCTGTGGAGATTGGCATGTGCCCTGCGACTTGATACTCGCACATGTTCTTGTGGTTCCACCGGCGGCATCGCTCAGCAAAGGTTGGCAGCGTATGTTTCCAGAACTTTGTCTCGCCATCATTAACGTTGACACATACAAGTTTGCCACCCAATAAAGCCATGAGAGGAGCTAGATAAGCACACCCGTTGGAAGTGCGTAGCAGAAGCAGAGCAGCGTCCAAGAAGACCCTCTGGTGAGAGATGCGGATACAGTCAACGAGGATGGTGCAGACATGTTGCGGTGGAGTGAACAGTGCGCATATGCAGCAGGAATTGAAAGCTTGAACTGAGGCTGCATTGTGTAAAGCTACGAACAGTATGTATACATGAGTGGCTGTAAACAGCGCTAGGTGCTCATGGAGATTAGAGCAGCCGCACGATATACATAGGCTCAAGCCTAGGGGGTGCTAGAACAGAGCCACTGCTCTACGGTGCCTCTAATGCAGCTTTTTCTGACGACCTACCAACGCGGCGCAGCTCTCAAGTATGTCTTTTCATGCTGTATGGCATGCTGATTGACTGGAAGGCAACGCTGCAGCGCTCAGTGACCAATTCAACAACTGAGGCGGAGCTGCTAGCTCTGTCGACAGCAGCCAGCGAGCTACAGGCTTGGAATCAACTGTTCAAACACATCAAGCTTAACCTAAAGATAGTACCAACAATATATTGCAACAACCTGCAGACAGTGGGTGTTGTCACTAAGCACGAAGACAAGCTGTTTACGCGTTTGCGTTATGTGGATATCCCCCAGCATTAGCTGAGACAGGAGGTGGCTGAAGGACGTGTATCAGTCTAGTGGAAGCCCACTAACCTCATACCAGCTGACGGACTCACTGAGTTTGTTCAACAGCTTAGACTGAGAGACGTCAAAGATTGCTAATTGAAGGCAGAAGCACTAGACAGTCCTGAGCCAGCGAGCTTGACTTACTAGTACTACGATGATATAGGTATAATACAGGATTTTAATCAGATAGGAAGATCAGCTTTAGTTGACACCGCAGCTGAGGGGGTGTGTAACCACGTGGCTTAGATCACATGATATCCTATTGTAGCAGGTACTGCCTGGTGGGCAAGTGCGCTTACCTCAGAGCTGAGAGCTCCTGTAACATAACATCACAACACGACAACAGATAGCAATACACTCGTTGATCACAGTCTCCGACCGACACTGCTCACGCAGTTACATATAACGTAGTTCACAAGCGAGCGGTCCAACCCAAGCGAGCGGTCCATCCCAACCATGATAGCCTAATAACTACTTTGCATTACAATGCCATCCCAACGCAACGTGCAATTAACCTATACTGAAGGGACCTTACAGCTTGCTATCCAAGCTACAATTGAAGATCGCGACGAGAGCGAAAGACGCGCTATTGCAGCCTTCAGCGTACCTCGAACTACTGTCCGCCGACGACGCCAAGGAGCCCTCTCTCGACGCGATCGCGAGCCCAATTCAAAGAAGCTGAGCAAACTGGAGGAGGAGGCCCTTGTACAACGTATACTTGAGCTTGACACAAGAGGAATACCTGCTACAAAGGCTATGGTGCGAGATATGGCCAATGATCTGCTTGCTGAGCGCGGTGGAGAGCCTGTTGGCAAGCACTGGGTAGACAACTTCAAGACGCGTACGCCTGAGATCAA